CGAGGAAGACCTTACCGCGAAAGACGAATCCATGGAGTTATCTGACATTACCCGGAAGTCTCTTGAAGAGGACGCGCGGTCCTGGTCTAAGCATAATACCGACCCGGAAGAGCGGTTCTGGATGAGACAGAAGGGTTGGAGGGAGGCTGTTACGGTGGGGACTTCGATTATCGAAAGCCAGGCGGAAGAATCGAAGAAGGAGCAGTGAGTATCCGGTGATGGACTATATATAAAAACGGTGTTTTAAGAGGTGGTTGGCTGGTTCTTCTTTCCTTGTAAAGCGATGGGGATTGAGTGGCGGCACAGCTATTGTTATGCACATTGTTTGTTTACCATTTTTTACAGTATATTCTTAAAGCAAGCATTGTAAATCTTGTCTTGGTTCTCTTGGAGTAAAACGTAGAACTTGAGCATTGATTTTGACAGGTGCTCCAACTACCTGTATAGATACGAGCAGTCCTAGTTTATCAATCTAAATAATGGAAGGCATATCAGAGATTAGATCGATCTAAGCTCGTAAGTGGGGCAGTTCCTGTCAATGTCATGCTACGCTCATCCCCCACCCTCCAGGCCCAGGGCGCTGACATCAGCTGTTTCTGCGCCAATATATTTATCCCTCCTGCCCACCTCCGTGGGCCGTAGGTATCCTAATCCAACTTGATTCTGGACACCCGAGCACAATGTCCCAAGCAAGATCCCACCATGAACCCAGCACAGCCGATGGCTGGCATGGCAAAGTCACCCCAACCGGGCCCTTCAAGCCCCAGCCCGGCCGCTACCACCTGTATATCGGTCTCTTCTGCCCCTTTGCGCACCGGGTGAACTTCGTCCGACATCTCAAAGGGCTAACTGACATTATCGATATGAGCGTCGTTATGCCCTACCCAAAGGGCGATTCAAAGGGATGGCCTGGGTGGAGATTCCCTGCTTCAGACGACGAGTACCCCAATGCTACGGTGGACAAGCTGTTCGGCGAGGACTATATGCACAAGATTTATTTTAAGGCCGACCCGGAGTATAAAGGACGGTATTCAGTTCCGGTACTGTGGGATCGGGAGACTGGGACGATTGTTTGTAATGTATGCACGCCTACTACCACGTTCTGGTAGTACTACACTTAGGGAAGCCCGGGTATAGATACTAACAACCGGCACAGGAAAGCCTCGAACTGCTCCGCTGGCTCCCATCGGCATTCAATGATTTTATCCCGGAGTCAAAGGCTTCAATCGACCTATACCCACCGCATCTCCGTGACAAAATCGACTCCTTGAGCTCCTGGGTCCTGCCTAACATCTGCAGAGGCGTGTACAAGTCCGGCTTCGCCCCGTCGCAAGAGGAGTACGATGAAAACGTCGTTCCACTTTTCGGATCACTCAACAAGCTCGAGAAGATTGTCTCCGCTAATGGCGGGCCCTTCATACTGGGTTCCGAGATGACGGAGCTAGATATCACTGTCTACGCGACGCTCGTTAGGTTTGACACTGTTTATGTCCAGCATTTCAAGTGTAACCTGGGTACGATTAGACATGATTACCCGGTTTTGAATAATTGGCTTAAGAGTGTTTACTGGGGAGTCGAGGCCGCGAGAGATTCGACGGATTTTAAGCATATCAAAGAGAATGTGAGTTTATCTTGCCCGCCGGCTGTTGGGTCAGGTTATTTCCAAGTACTGTTTGGGCTAACGAGGCGAAGTATACGAAGAGCCATTACGATATTAACCCGAAGGCTATTACTCCAATGGGTCCCTTTCCGGATGTGGAGGAGGGTGTTGAGCAGGATTGGGGGAAACTGAGAATTGGAGAAGTGTGGCATCCAGCGGTTTTGGAATTTGAGAGGACATTGAAGGATGCGTAAATAGAAAGTCTTGGAAATGGAATGGTACGAGAACAGGAATTCTGGTTTAATTGGACCGACTGTTACTGAGGGGATTGATAGTCTTCACTTGATATACAAGCTGCAGTTCCTTGACAAGTGAGGGGTGAGGCTGATCGGATGGCGAGCTGTGCCAAGACAGATGGATAATTAGTCAGAATCGGACATGATTAGTCATACTCCGAGCTTGGAACTGCAACCTGCCCCTCTGCCCTGACGGTATCGGAGACATCTCGGAGTGGCTTGGGGAGAGAATGGTTAGAGGGACGTGAGACGAGATAATCTGAAATGCCATAATCCATACAGTGTACCCTGTCTTTGGAAGTCCTGGTGTGCCAGCCACCGGCAGTCCTCATGCCTGAGGCAACGTTCCCGAAGCGGAGCACCCACGTCACGGTCACACACTGTCATTCGCCTCGCCGCTTTCCGCCTTTTCCTTTTAACCCTTCACTCGCCCTCCTGCTTACGAGATCAGATCTTCCTCTCCAGCGTCTCTTGTATCTCCATCATTCTTTCATAAGAACACAGTCAGCAGACAGCAGCTCCAACCTGGTCTCCGATTACCATCCCCGGTCCGCCTGCTTACCTCATCCACGCGCTTCTTTGCGTATTCCCAATTCATTCCACCTCTTCCCCTCTCTCGCGAGATCGCGCCGTATATCTTGAGATTCCGCTTTCCTGCTGGTCGTCTGGCTCGAATTGACCTGTGGTCTCCTGTCGGGCGCGTCGTTTTGCCGTCTAATCTTGTTGTCTCTTCATGCAGCCTGCACTAGCTCCAGCGCCGCATCCAAGCATGCAAACATCTGCTCAGGTAAGCAACTCTGTGCCTGTCGCGGTTTGTCATCAGATCGCCCGTCGACTGCCATCATCTCCATCTATATCCCTCGCGGTATTGACCATCGCTCGTAATGTGGACGCGGTTCGCCGTCTGGGAGATCGCCACGCGCGACCAGTGCGATGACCTCACCGGCGCGTCTGGTCGATGTGTTGCGATGGTCGCGTCGAAATGGCAGCTCGACTTATCAAACCACAATGAAATAAGATATCAAGCTAACTGATGTTTGTCACAGGACCATGCTGACCAAGGTAAGCCGCGAGCTTTTGTCGCGCACGAAATCTGCGCCCTGGAGGTGTTCCGGAATATCCGGGTTCGGCACGTCGCGACAGCGCCGTTGCGACACCTCCACTCACTTAGTCTCTGCTAACAGTTTTGGCCGGTATAGTGCTCCACGATTCGCTGCTAGCAGCGTCTGCGCACCAGCACTTGTCGCAGCACCCGCAACAACCCCGCCCGCAACAGCCAGCAGCTCAACCTCACCACCTACAACCCAATACCACCAGTCCGCGGGACCAGAACAACATTGATCCTGCTATCTCCGGGGCTGCAATGCTTCCGCCCCCAACCCAGCAGACTCCACCGCAGACTGAACCGCCTGGTGATGACGAGTCGCCAAAAACCTATGGGAAGCGACCTCTATCTACCTCGAAGCGCGCGGCTCAAAACCGTGCGGCCCAAGTACGTGGATCTGATTGGTACCCGCGGAATTTTACTAACTGGCACAGAGAGCTTTCCGTCAGCGGAAAGAGAGCTACATCCGAAAGTTGGAGGAGCAGGTGAAGGAGTATGAGGTCATGTCGCAGGAGTTCAAAGCTTTGCAGGCCGAGAATTACCAACTCCGCGAATACATCATCAACCTACAGTCTCGGCTGCTAGATTCGCACGGCGAAGTTCCCGAGCTACCAGGAAACATCGATCTCAGCCAACCCCGGGCCGAAATTTCTATCCCCCAACCGGTTACAAGGCCTACTCAAGGAGGCCAAGCTCCTCAACAAGGCTCGCCGCAGTCTCAAGTGTCTATCCCTAATGATGACATGAACTCATTGAATCGCATAGCGGAGGCGGGACTTGGGATGCGAAAGCACCCGAACGAAGAAGCGTTCCTGAACAACAACTTCCAGCCTCGGCGTGGACGAGGAGACGATGGGCAAGACTCATCAGAGCCGACGAAGACGGAGGGCCAGTCCCACGGGTTGCCACTCGTATCATGAGTGCCTACCGTCACGACCGAATTGTCTTGTATGAATTACTCTAGCTGTTTTTATTAGCTCCTATTTTCGAGCTGAAATTGGCTCTGTTCTCCTATTATTTTTGAGCGTCTGTTCCTTTTTCCTTATTTGCTCGAGTCTTAATCGTCACGGTGTATGGCGCAGAATAAGGGTTCTATGTTACCCTAGGGCGTGGGTGTTGTGTGTTTGTCTGATCGGACAGCGGCTGAGATTTCCTTCCTTCTTGGATGGAAGGTCCTCTTGTCTCGACGTCCTGGGATTGTTTTTCGGCAAGTACTTAATCCGCAGCGCAATTTCCAATGAGAGTCCTCTCCATCTTGTATGTCCATTGGTACGCTGGGCTTAACTGCAATCTACCAGTAGTTCTTAAAAATCACGACTTGTGCCGGGTAGGAACCGCAAACCGTCGTTCTAGCCGGTACTGCGAGTATCTTCCCCTTTGATAGCCCTGAAAGACAGCGGGTAGGAGACCTGGCGAAACATCCCCTTTTGCAATTAGAACTGCACATATGAAGTCGAAAGCATATGTATAGTCGCGTCAGCTTTATCAAGTTATTGGATGCCAAAGGTTCTATTATAAAGTCCGCTGCTTCTTCATTTCAGTAAAGTATATCGCATATTTTTGGAGGTTGACACGAAAGCTTTAAAGACAGATTTTCATGAAATATAGATACAGAAGACCTGTAATAATAGATACTGGCTGATAACAAATGGCTGTTGAAGACAAAAGGCTTCTAATGAAGGGGTTAAATATCATGTCCTCCGGGCCCTTCGTTCCTTCGTTCGACAGGAATGATGAGTGACCACCAGCTCACGCCTTATTAGAAAATTTACGTGACGAGAAAATTACAGTTTCTTATGCTATAAAACCTGGCGATGAACATGTACCAAAGATGAACAGCCAGGGTTTAGGTCGGAGAGCGATTGGGGGATGGATGATTTGTTTATCAACCCCACCACTCTTCCCCACCTCCAGGCTCACGTCAACTCATCCATTTCTCTCTTATCCTTTACCATGTCATCAGTTTTCTTTCACTAAGCGATCACATTCAACCGCTCCGATGGCGCCTGTCCCGTCGGGGGACACCGACCCCGATTATAGGGCGCGGAGCTACCAGTTGGAGATGTTCGAGGCGAGCCTGAAGGACAATATCATCGTTGCGGTATGAAAAAGTGATAACACAAGAGGACGTTTCTAACTTTCTTTCTTACCCTTTCAGATGGGCACAGGAAGCGGTAAAACACACATGTATGCGGCTTATTTGATAGACTAATTTGTGGTGCCGGCTAGCTGACACCGACAGTGCTCTGCTCCGTATCATGCACGAGTTGGAGAACGGCGATGGGACGAAGGTATGTGCACCGCGGATTGCCTCAAACTCAGACAGGCGGGCGCGTTCCCTAATATGAGCTAGTTAATATGGTTCTTGGCACCAACCGTCGCCCTCTGCCTGCAGCAACATCGTGCCATCTCCCAACACATCCCTGCTGCAAAGTCTCGCACGCTCACTGGACTGGACAAGGTTGAGCTGTGGACGGAGCAGGTGGTCTGGGACGCCGTGCTGAATGATATCCAGGTTGTCGTCTCGACCCCTGCTGTACTTCTGGATGCAATGACCCATGGCTTTGTTAGGATTTCCCGCCTGGGGTTGATCATATTCGATGAAGGTCCGTACAAGTTTGACGGTCAAAAGATGGGACATTTTCTATTAACACATACCAGCGCACCATTGCACTCAGAACCACCCAGCAAATAGGGTGATGAGATATTTTTACCATCCAAACCGTGCAAAATCTGGCCCCAACGCTGTTCCCCGCATTTTGGGTCTGACAGCCAGCGCTGGTTCTAATCGTGATGAATTACGGTATGTAACACGGTACACTGTGGCTATGCTCTGACCCTGTAGTATAGAACAATCGAAGACAACCTCAATTCGGTCTGCACCACTCCCCAAGCACACCGTCATGAACTGCTTGAGCACACCCATAGGCCTCACTTGCAGCGTGTCCTATATATGCCACAAGCAATTGAAGGTGCTTCGCTCTGGGGCGGAACTGCAAAGGCCCTCGTTGAGGCTTATCAAAAGTTGGACATAGAAAACGATCCTTACATTAAAAAACTTAAAGCTAGCGAGCCACATGGAATAGCGCTACAGCAGGCGCTCATGACTGGGGAAACTTACTGCAGCGAGCAGCTCAAAAAGTTTGTTCGCAAGGTTGCCCATATTTCAACTGAGCTTGGGCCATGGGCAGCCAACTACTTTATCTGGGAATCAACTCAGCAGCTCCGTGGGGGTGCTTTCAATACTTCGCTCATGGTAAACATGGACGATGATGAACAGAAGTATTTGATTGACATTCTGTCAAAATTGCCCGTCCCCGAGTTTCACATCCACTCTACCAATCCTGCAGACTTTCCGGTGTCACCGAAATTCGAGGCTTTGATATCCTTCTTACTCAATGCCGATGAGTCCGAATTCTCCGGGCTTATATTTGTGCAGCAGCGCGCAACTGTTGCTGTAATGGCCCACCTGCTTTCGGTTCATCCTTCCACAAGGGATCGCTTTCGCACCGGCGGTTTCATTGGAATATCAAACTCTACCAAGAAGAAAGACATGTTGGGTGACATCCTCACGGTAAAGATGCAGCGAGATACATTGGACGATTTCCGACACGGCCGAAAGAATCTGATTGTTGCCACTGATGTGTTGGAGGAGGGCATTGACGTGAGCGCGTGTAGCGTGGTGGTAAGTTACGACAAGCCGCCGAACCTTAAGTCGTTTGTGCAGCGACGCGGACGTGCTAGGCGCCAGCACTCAACGTATGCAATGGTTCTTTCAACGGAAGACGATGCTTTATTGTTAGAAAAATGGCACAACGTGGAGAAAACGATGGAAAAGGCCTATCAAGAGGACAGGAGCCGCTTGGAAGAACTCCGTGCGCTGGAAACCATCGATGAAGATGTCCATGCACAGTTTATCGTAGAATCCACGGGGTATGTTTACAACCTATCTAACGACGAAACCTCTAGTTAACTTAATTCTTCAGAGCTATTTTAACGGCTGATAATGCCATGCAACACTTATACCACTTCTGCTCCACTCTTCCGAGCCAGAGACGGGTTAGAACGAAGCCCGAGTTTTCGTTTGAGAGACACGAGGGTGGTGCGTTGAAAGGCAAAGTGACGCTGCCCAGCTGCGTAGTCCCATCGGTTAGATGCGCAGAGGGGAGGCAGTGGTGGAAGACAGAGCGTGCGGCAAGAAAGGAAGCTGCTTTCCAAGCGTATAAGGCATTATACGAGCATGGACTGCTGAATGACAACATCCTCCCGCTGACCAAGAGTCAGGACTTTACTAAACGCGATCGCCGTTTGCTAGGAGCCATGACAGAGGTCCTGGATCAATATGACCCATGGGTGGACTGGGCATATGCATGGAAGCTATCGAAGATGCATAAAACCCGCATCACTGTTCGCCTGAACGAAGACGAGGTATATATGAACTTGTTTTCTCCGGTTCCAACGCCGCTACTTGAACCGCTCACCCTGTTTTGGGATAACGAGTCAACATATACTCTCGAATTCGGAAGCTCAGAGCCCGTCCTAATGACCGACCAAAGTGTTGAGAGCTTGAGAACTATCACTGCCTTATACCTACAAGCCACCTCGACGGGATGGCTGGCTGATCAGCGCGACTTTACCACCCTGTTTAGCCCGAACTTGCATCCGAGGGAGTGGATGGCCTGGCTAAGCGCGAATCAAGGGTACGAGCCAGCAAAGGAAGTTTTCTCCAGTCAGAGAAATGTCGACCGTATAGGCATCGTCCGAGACAAGTCTCGTTATGACGGTATTCTATTGTTCAATAGATGGGTCAAGGGAGACGACGAGCTTGAGCTTGAATGCGATCCGTTTCCAAAACGAAGGAATCTTCTTCAAAGGCAAAGACCCGCCACAAAAGGATACGACAGCGATGATCAACTAGAATCACCTAAGAAGAGGCGTATTATTCCTGCTGACCAATGCGCAATAAGCAGACTCCCCGCCAAAGAGACAGTATTCGGTCGGTTCATTGCTAATATCCTTAACAGACTAGAGGTCGCACTGATTGCGACTAAGCTATGCGAAACGATTTTACGAGATATACACTTTAATGAGCTACGACATGTAATAACCGCGATTACGACACCAGCTGCTGGGGCACCAACGCACTACCAACGCTATGAGTTCTTCGGTGATACGGTACTCAAATTCAGTGTTGCCTCCTTTCTTTACCACCAACACCCGAACTGGCACGAGGGCTATCTTACCTCAGGCCTTGCAGCAATTGTCGAGAACCATCGCCTGGCCCGAGAAGCAGTTGATCGCGGTCTTGGATCTTTTATCATCACCAAAGAATTTAACGCGCGCAAATGGTCTGCTCCGTTGATATCTGAAAAGATCAACACGAGCCGAGATAGGCGCAATATGTCCACAAAAGTCCTCGCCGATGTTGTCGAGGCGCTTATCGGCGCTGCATACATTGATGGGGGCCTTGTTAAAGCACATGCCTGTATTAGCCAATTTCTTCCAGAGGTTCGGCTCCAAATACCCAGGCCTGATAGTGGCCCTATGTCTCAGGACCAAGACCACCAGCCGCATCTCATCCAGCAGGACACCCTCGAGGAGAACCTTGGCTACACCTTTAATGATAAATCACTACTAATGGAAGCTCTTACCCACGGCTCGTGCCAACACGATGCCTCAACGCAGTCTTATCAGCGCCTCGAGTTCCTCGGCGACGGTGTTCTCGACATGCTCATCGTGGACACCATCCTCAAGCATCCTACCGAGCTACCACAGGGAAAAATGACCAAGATCAAGGCTGCTGTTGCAAATGCTAGCCTCCTCGCGTTTCTATGCCTGGAATTCTCCTGGCCAATGCCATCACGCCGCCCAACAAGTGCTTCCGAAGCAGAAGTCGGAATTAAGTCAACAGAACATGCTGCAGAAACGCTCCACTTATACACCTACCTCAGACACTCTCCCGGCACACCTCTGATAACCAATAATTCGAAACCAGGCTCTCCCGCTAACACTGCTCTGACCCGCTACACAACCCTCCGCCCCGCAATCCTACACTCCCTCCACACCTCAATGACCTATCCCAGGGAGCTCCTTTCCGCTCTCAACCCCGACAAGTTCTTTTCCGACATCATCGAGTCCATTATTGGCGCCCTATTCGTCGACTCAGGCGGGGATCTAACTCCATGCCGCGAGTTCATCCACCGACTAGGCCTGGTGCAATACCTGGAACGCATCATTGACGAGAACATCGACGTGGAACATCCAATGCAGAAGGCGCAGATGGGCTTGCAAAAATTAGCGAGTAAGGCTGGATCACCGTGGAAGTTTGGGGTTTCCACCGTGAGGGTATCAGGCTCGAAGCGGGAGAACAAGCGCGTGTATAAGGCCGTTGATGTCGACAGCGAAGGCGATGTGGCTATAGATGTTGACGCTGACGCGGTTGAAGACCAGAGTGGAGATTTGGATTCATCTGATCCTGGCTCTGGCTCTAGTGCTGATTCTGATTCTGACTCTGATCTCGAACTCGACCCTGGTGGGGGCCCAACGTATACGTGCACGATTCCAGTGAACGGCCTTGGGTTTGATGTTGAGGAGGTTGTTGTGAGAGGTTGCTTGAGCAGGGAGGACGCGGAGGTACGGGCTGCTTGTGTGGTGATCCAGTTACTGACGCAGAAAGGAGTGATCATTGAGGCAGATGATGGAGCGGGCGATAGAGAAGAAGAATTGGAACAGGCCGAGGTAGCGTCATAGTTTGATGTATTTAGCGATTTTCGGTATTTTGGACTACGAGCTTGGATGAGAAAGTAGATAGATCGCATGGAATCTATTGATACGTTTCCCGCTGCCACTTTCAGGGTGGCCTTATGGGACGGTTCTACGCTGCATAGTAGACGAATTTCAATAAGGGAGACCACAAAACCAGCTTCACTGGGATTCAAGTAAACACAAAGAGACGCTTCAAGGATAGATACCAGGGTAGTAAAAATAAAAATAAACTCAAAAACAGAAATGAACATTCCACCAGTTCCAACTGTCCCAGGGTCTCGTGGATTCATTAGAGTCAACTACCCCTTTCGTCCACGGCGCCTCGTCGCATTCTGCGATCTAGTCTTCGGCGCTGGCACTGGAACTGGCTCAGGCTGCACCTCCTCTTCATCATCCTGCTCATCGCCCGCTTCTTCGTTGGGCGTCTCCGCACCAGAGGAACTCCCCGTTTCGATCTGATCTTGGCCCTCCTCCTTCGTCACAATAACACCGTCATCGGTTCCAGACACCGAAGAGGGGTGTTCGACATCTGCCTCTGCGTCAGACACGGCCTCTACGGGACCAGACTCAGCTTTGATATCAGCGAGGGCCTTCTTGGCCGCGCTTTCCTCGCCGTTCCATGCACCGCAGCCTCCACACCGCCAGCGGCCGAGTTCCTCGAGGGTTTTCATTCCCGGTGGTGCTTGGCCGTTTACGAGTCGGCATGACGAGCATATCAACACGATGCGATTCTTCGGTTGGGTTTCGTCTTCGCCGAGGAGGACGTCTAGAAGGCGGTCGTACCAGTGGGACTGCTCGATGTATTGCTGTGAGGCGGGGAAGGCGTTGGGCGCGAATCCGGGCTCGTCTAGCCCAGGTGGAGGAGGGGGAAGAGGCTTTTCAAATTGCTGCTGCTGTTGCTGCTGCGGTGGATACGGTGAAGGTGGTAGCTCAGGTTGTGGAGGTGCAGGGCGGCGGATATTCGCGGTAGGTGGGGGAGGGAGACCAGTTCTCTGAACAGGGGGTTGCTGCTGTTGTTGCTGCTGCTGTCCCGACGTCTTGCGTTTCCCCTCCGACTTGGGTTTCTGATCGCCGTTTTTCGACCGCCCTTGTCCTTGCTTGGGAGAATCGCCGGCGTATTTCTCGAGCAGCTGTTGTGTGGAATTATATTTCGTAGCGACCTTGAGCTTCTCGATTGTTTCGTCGCGCTGCTTCTGGAGACTATCGAGGTAGCGATTGGTGTTGTTAATCCGGTACTCGAAGTACTTGCTGCCTACTGCGCGGACTGCGTAGATGCTGGTTTTGTTATTAGCGGGTTAATGTAGACGGCATTTGGGTCGTGGACGTACATGACGGGACCGCCCAGGATAGCGGCGTATTCTTTCACACCCCAATTTTGCCATCCTAGGACGAGCGCGAGGATAACGGTGTAGAGGAGGTAGATGAAGGAGGTGTAGAGGGTCCAGAGGGCCTTGAAGCGGCGGGCATGCTGGCGGTGAAGGTCGAGGCGGGAGGTGGCACGGGTGATTTTGGTCGAGAGAGTGGAGAGGGTTTTTTCGAAGGAGGCGGGGGAGTTATCTTCGCCCTGTGCGATTATATGTGAGTCTTTTGAGCTTTTGCAAGGGTATGGGTGCCTTATGGCTTGCGTACCCCGAACGGCCAGAGGGACACCATGACGTGTACAGAAGGAGATTGGTATGTAGGAAGGAGAGTTGTTGGTGAGAGAACTAGGTCATTTCGGAAACATAGGAAGATCGGGGATTAAATCCCGGAGACGAAGGAAGAATGAAGCAGAAAAGAGCGACGAGGGGAGGGGTAATGGGTTGTTGAGAGTTGAGAATCTGGAGGTGAAAGTGCAAGTGAAGCCTGGAGCTCAGGTGGAGCGGCCCAATGCGGGAACTTGGTGCCTGAGGCAGAAGTTACGTCAGAGGTTTCTGATTGGGTCCAACACACATCTATATAAACTATACAACTATAACTACACGAACCCATTCTTAAACAGTGTACCGAAATTGAGGATTCTAGAAGGATTAGTCGGATTTCCTAATTAGGTGGATTACTTACCGTCTTGTCAGTCAGGTCATCTTCATACGCATGCTCGAATCCTTCCAGAACCCCAGTAGCGTCCCTGCGACGATTATCCCACAGGCAGATCACGCGGTAGATGAGCACCAGAACTGCAGCAACAAAAGTGGTTACAACGGTGACGATAAATCCCGGCACATAGCGCGGATAATCCTGCTCTCTGAAACAGAGAGGTCCCACAAAATTGCCTACGCAATCAGCTACACTCGATTAGATAATGAAGGGAACATACCAAGACAGTAGCCGATATAGAGCCCCGAAGAAGAAAGGGACCGCTTTGTATAGCCTGCGATGTTGGCAATCTGGAGGCCCATGAGCACCGCATAGCCTGCGCCCATTGTCGGCATGATGTAGCAGGCGAAAAGCAGACCGCCGGTTTCGTTGAGAGGGAGGAGCAGTAGCAGCAGTGATGCAACCATGCTGACCAGCTGACATCCAATTACTAGCCACGAACGGATGTTCTTGGTAGTGAATTTGTAGGAAAGATACGGCATGAGAAGCATCATGGTTCCGCCATAGAAGCCCGAGGGAATCACGAGGAGGAGGGACTGGAGAGTACTGAAGCCAAAGGAATTGATGATAATCGGAGTGAACGTGGATATCGGTGCATTGGCAATCATGGCAAGGAAGGCCGTGAAGAATATCAGCCAGAACTTCAAATCTAGCAGCAACTCAACGACCTGGCCCATCTTGAAGTGGGTATTGCGAACACCCGAGTTGTTGGTTCGTAGACGTGCGACGGAAATGTAGCGCTCACGCTCAGAAAAGCCGCGGGCGCTCACGGGGTCAGGTGGAAGAACGAAGTTGAGAATAACTCCCCATAGTATGGTGAGAGCGCCGGCGAAGAGATACATGTACTTCCAGGAGGAGAGCGAGCCCTTGATGTGGCCGAGGCCATAGTTGACCAGGGGCGAGAAGATACTGACGTATCCGGTGCAACTGTACCACACTGTTTAGGGTTGTCAGTAGAAATCACCAAAGAGAGAAGTAAGACTTATCCCATTCGAAGAGCTTGTTCGTCCTTCTTATACCAGCCACCCTATACACTTCAGCATATCGTCTCCTATAATGGGATATATACGAACCACAATCATCATAAACATTGGGCTGATGCCACTCTCCAACACCCCTAGGAAGAAGCGCTGGGCATACAGCGACTGATAGTTGTGGCACACCGGTGTCAAGATGAGACAAATACCCCAGATTGTAACGGTGAGCGAGGCCACATGGTGGATAGGGTATCTCTGCGCGAGGGCCATGGTAGGGTATGCGCCGACAATGAACCCTAGATAGAAAATGGCCGCAGACATAGCATAGCGGTTACCGACAAGGAGACCCAAGTCCTCACGCAGTCCGAATAAGGCCTGGGCTGTTAGCAGCCGTTGAAGCAAAGGTTAGGGCTACGTACAGCCTGGGACAGCATGGCCTTGTCATAGTACTGCAGCCCATATGTCATGCATAGCAACGGTAACAGTCGCCAGTCAACTTTCCGGACCAGACGCTTTTCATCGCTGGGCTCCCACGACTCATCGCCGGTGTAGCCAGCCAGCACTTTCATTGCCTCATCGGTGTGGGTGGTGTCGATGTTCTCAGGGGTGGTCTTTTCAATATGGTCGACATTGTTTTTCCTGTCCTTGTCGGACCGGCTGTCCTGGGTAGAGGTGTCCATGTCAACAAACGAGACCTAAGGAGTAGTACAACGGTAATAGGGGCAGCCAAAGAGAGTAGCCGGAGGGACAGGATGGGGGAATTTTATAGGAGCAAGACTGGTGTCTTGACAGCCAGCTGGACTCAAGAATTGGTACAAGAAGGAATCCGGGGAAGTGTCATGGACCCGCCAGAGCCACGAGGAGATGGCTGAACCATGAAACCATCGCAACTATCCCCAGCTGCCGCAAGGTTTCGGCCTGCGTATTGAGATTACTACCGGTATAGCGTACTAGTCTACCAGTATTGACAGTTAGCCCCATCTTGTCCCGTTTCCCCACACGCCAGAACGTGGAGGCCGGAGCACTGCCGAGCTGCCTGTCATAATATGTCCAGGAGCCTATGCGGCAGGGCAATCTGTACCACGTCGTAAGTATCATCACAATGACTCAGAATCGACTCTTTGAGATCCCCCCTGGGGATGTTATCACCGTCAAACTGATCAACCCGGTGAACTTTGGCCCTTCGCATCTCAAACGCTTCATGACCCCCCAAGTCCCAGGCCTCGACACCTTCGCCAGGAACCCAGCATTTTCATTCCTGCTTGAGCACAGCTCAGGTCGCAAGCTGGTCTTTGACCTCGGCATCCGCAAGGACTACCAGAACTACGCGCCGAAGATCGCAAACTATATCCCAACAACCGGGTACAATATCGAGGTCACCCAGAATGTCGCGGATATCCTGCACGAGCACGGAATTGCACCAAAGGAAATCGAGGCTGTGATCTGGAGGTTCGTATCCCATATACCTTACATAGTTTTGACCCACAGCTTAACGAGTAACCACAGCCACTGGCACTGGGACCACATCGGCGATCCATCCAGCTTCCCCCCAACAACAGACCTCATCGTCGGCCCCGGATTCAAAGAAGCCCTACTCCCAGGCGCCCCTACAAACCCTGACTCTCCCATCCTTGAGAGTGACTACACGTGAGCCCTACCCTATCTTACCCTACCTTACTACTCTACCACCGCACCACAATCTAACCAGACAACCAGCGGACGCACCCTCCGCGAAATCACATTCAGCCCCGATACCCTGCAAATCGGCAAATTCCCAGCCTTCGACTACTTTGGTGACGGCTCATTCTACCTCCTCGACAGTCCAGGGCACGCAGTCGGACACCTATGCGGACTGGCACGTACTACAAAGAACCCAGACACATTCGTGCTTCTGGGCGGGGACATCGCGCACTATACCGGTATATTCCGGCCGTCGAAGCATCGTCCTCTCCCTCTGCCGGCCTCTATCACTGCAAACGAGTATCCATGGGACTCTTTGAATCTAGAGGCGGGGTTCTGCCCGGGTAGTGCGTGGGAGGAACTGCAGGCTAGTCGGGGACGTACGAAGGAGGATACTCTGTTTGAACCGACGTTTGGACATGATATCCCGCTGGCGATTGAGACGGTGAGGAAGTTGCAGGAGATTGATTGTGACGAGGATGTGTTTGTGGTTATTGCGCATGACTTTGCAGTGCGCGATGGGGTGGCGCATTTCCCGGAGGCGCTGAATGAGTGGAAGGCCAGGGGGTGGGGGAGGGAGTTGAGGTGGGCGTTTTTGAAGCAGTTGGAGGGGTATTGGAGGAAGACAGGAAATAATACTTAGTACGTATCCAGGTCACAAGAGTTAATATTGCTTGGCAGGTCGGCTTTCTTCCGTAGTTTGCTGGAGCTTTGTTGGAGCTGTGTAACCGAGTCGGCTGGTGAAGGCCGGCAGTCTGGATTGGGGTAACCGACGGCTCGGAGCCGGAGAAGAGAAGAGTGTGGAAGTGGAGAGCGTCTGGAGATCGGATAGATTAACCAAGTGTTCACCGGAGAATCTGGTCTCTGGTATTTATTAATCTTCATCTGATCTGCGACATTCCTGCTTCCTAACCATAGCTGTATATACATCAGAAGCTACAGACATGGGCAGCATCGAAACACCGCCGCACCTCCACCAAAACGCCAACCTGGACTATGACGTCCTGATCATCGGCGCCGGCCTGAGCGGCATCTACTCACTGCACCAAATGCACACCCTGGGACTGCGCGCCAAAGTCCTCGAAGCAGGCGGCGGGCCTGGCGGGACCTGGTACTGGAACCGGTATCCGGGCGCGAGATTGTACGTCAAAACACGACAGGAATCCATTCCTGGATAGACAAATGCTAATGCCAGTTCAGTGACTCAGAGTCCTACTCCTACGGTTTCTCCTGGTCCCAAGAAGTCCTCGACGAATGGTCCTGGTCGGAGCATTTCTCGGGCCAAGCGGAGACACTACGGTACTGTGAGTTTCTGGTCAAAAAGTTCGACCTGGAACGCGACATGCAGTTCAACACGCGGGTGACAAAGGCGCATTATCAAGAGGATACAAAGAGCTGGCTACTCGCGGATGAGAGCGGGAAGACTTATACATCGCGGTGGGTTGTGACCTGCATGGGCATTCTGAACCAGTTCACGCTGCCGAATATACCGGGTGTACACGACTTCCAGGGCCAGGCGATTCATACGGCGCGGTGGCCTCATGAGCCTGTGAATTTCGAGGGGAAGAGGGTTGGGATTATTGGCACGGGCGCGACGGGCATTCAGGCGATTCAGGAGATTGTCAAGACGGCAGGCCATTTGACTGTCTTCCAGCGGACGCCGAACTGGAGTGCGCCGCTGAATAACTCCAAGATCACGCCGGAGGAGATGGAGGAGATCCGGAGGCAATATCCCGAGATATTCAAAAAGTGCAAGGAGTCGTACTCGTGTTTCATCCACAAGAGCAACCCGGCGTCGGTGTTCAGTGTGAGTGCCGAGGAGAGGGAGAAGATGTGGAATGAGCTGTATGAGACGCGGGGGTTCGAGAAGTGGCTTTCGAATTTCCATGATATCTTCACGAATAAGGAGGCGAATGAGCTCTATTCGACGTTTATTGCGAATAAGATCCGCCAGCGTGTTAAGGATCCGCAGACTGCTGAGAAACTTATCCCCAAGTGCCATGGGTTCGGCACGAAGAGGGTGCCTCTGGAGTCCGGGTACTTTGAGGCATATAACCGGGAGAATGTGAGGCTTGTCGATGTCAAGGCAGATCCGATTGAGAGGATCACAGAGACGGGGGTCAAGACACGCGATGCTCAGTATGATGTTGATATCCTGATCTACGCCACAGGGTTTGATGCAGTCACGGGAGCGTTTACGGCCGTGGACTTCCAGGGTGTTGGTGGTGTGAAGCTGAGTGAGAGATGGAAAGAAGGCCCAAGGACATTCCTAGGACTATGGGTTGAGAAATTCCCAAATATGATGATGGTGATGGGGCCGCATCAGATGTTTGGGAACTTTCCACGGTCGATTGAGTATGCAGTGGGCTGGGTGAGTCGGTTTATTGGGCATGCGTCTAGCAGAGGCCTCACCTATGCAGAATGCACGGGGAAGAAGGTCGAGGAGTGGACAGAACATGTGCATACCTGTGCAGAGGGTCTGTTGGCGAACGAGGTCGACTCTTGGATGACGGGGGTGAATAAGAACCTGGCACACAAGCAGAAGAGGATAATTGCCCGGTATAATGGGCCGGCACCGGGGTATAGGGCTAGGGCAGACGACGTTGCGAATAGAGGATATGAGGACCTGCGGTTGGCATAGTTTACTCTTATACTATGGTGTTATGGATGGTATTTGTATATGATATTGAATTGACTACATGAACAAGTTCGCCTCAGAGAAATTGTAATCGCCAAACAGATCCTGGAATTGCACCATTGTATCAGGAAAGACATCGTCGAAGAACATCTCGTCTGTATGCGGGACGAGCAGCTTCTCTGCGACACCACTGGTTTGCGCCGTCGCAAAGGGGAAGTATTCCATCCAGTCAACGCCATCCATTGGATTGGCTCGCACAGCTTCAACTTCATTTTCAGGCGCACCCACAGCCGGCCCAGACGCAGAATTAGAAGCAGGAGCAGGAGCAGGAGGCTGCTCACTATTAGATAGCGAAAGCAGCGCTTCTGCTCCGGCTGCACTGGGCCGTAGCCGCTGAAATCCATGGTGGAAGATATTCGCCGTCGGCCACATGGTGCGGAGCTGGTCCACGGCGAGAGTCAAGATATCGAGGTCCTCGTTTGCAGGGGCCGCAAGGCCTTCAACGCGGGTGGCCTGGAGGAGTGCAATGAATGCCATGCTGGTGTACCAGCCCGTGATGGCCATCAGCCAGTGTGTCCCGCCCCGGGCGAGAGTGTCCCGGAATATACGGGCAACGCAGGTGGCAGCCAGGATGGCAGGTGGGTATGCTTCTGGGTGGTGGGGTTGGTATGGCTGCTTCAGATGTAGCATGATAATGACGGCTAGGTAGGGGAGGTGGAGTTGGTGGACGTCACGATTGAAGGAAGTCGTTCTGTCGCCGTGAATAGGGAGTTGCAGGTGTGGAGGGAGGGAATGGACCCAGGTTATGAGCTCCCTGGCGAGATCTGTAGGAAAAGGAGTATTTGTGTCGGTATTCGGCCGGGAGAGATACTTTGCTATCCGGCCGATAATGGCGCACAGTCGCACCCAGTAGATGAAAATCTCAGCCCGCAGGCGCGCTGTGCTGTCATGGATAGCATCAGGGAAGTCATCCAACGTTGGCTCAGCGATATCGCAGTCTGCTGGGTCGATGGTGCACGGTTTACTCTGGCAGATAGCCGTAAGCCTTTCACGAGCAAAGGCCGTCCACCAGATACGGCGGCGTATGAGATGCGAGCGGTGGTTAGCCGGGTGATTATGCTGTGAAGAGGCCGGTCCTGGCCCAAAGGATGGCTGCTGATGCACGCCTAGTTGCTGGCAGTGGCGGATAACGACCGACGTCCACCACCAGGAGGAATGGCGATGCAGGATAGACGGCGGGCGTGGACTCCACCAGTAGAAGAGGGACACGGCCTGAAGAGAGCGCACGACATCGGGCTCCGCGTCATTGTAGAACAGATTGCGCGCGCGCTCGTAGTATGCTGCCGGACCGTCGTGTGGCATGACAGGAGGCCGAACATGGCTTCCCACCACGGCAAGGGCGTTGACTAGCAGCGGTGACTGCGATAGCTCGTCAATGTTGAGGTGATCGCGGTCGAGGACTGGACACCAGGGCAGGCAGTATTCCAGATACGTCTCGACAAAGCTCTGCTGCAGGTCCGCACTGGGCAGCAGACGCACCTCAGGCGGTCGTTGCGCCAGCAGCCGCTGCTCCTGATTCCTCGCATCAGCTTGTATCTCGAGCTCGTAGTACCGCGACGAGAGGCCGCGGGTTTCGGTGTCATCGGTGCGACAGGTCGCGGGCGAGCAGCTTGGGTGGTCTTGGTCGGCGTTGAGATTCAACGAGGAATGTGTAGGGTGGTTGACAGCAGGAGGGTTCGCATTCTCTGCCAGAGTCGAGTTATCGAAGTTCCAAATCCATTCTGGCTCGCGCAGTGAGATAGTCTCTTCAGCACCTGCAGTGCCTTCGTTCTCCTCCGGTTGCGAACGCTGCGTGCGCTGCGCGCGCTGCGACTTTCTCGCCCCACTGCTGCTATCGGGGGGCGTCAGGGGGGTTGGCGCTCGCCGGGGGATGCGCTTCGACGGCCTCATGCGACATTCTTTACCGGCCGAGTCGCAGTTGGTGCAGTTGCTGAGGCCTTGGCCGGTGCGGACTTGGAGGTCGCAACGGATCTACCTGACTTCTCAGTCCATGTTCTTCCAAGCAGCACGGATTGGTACCTTCTTGCCGTGGCAGATGGTGCATGCCAGCTCGGCACGCTTGCGCTTTGGCTGGTGGCCGGTGAATTGCAGCCAGGAGGTCGAGATAACCATGATGGAGCGATGAAGTTGTAAGGACAGAAAGAGAGAGTCGGCACACAGCTCGGTTCTCCAGATTCCGGCAGTCTCGCAGTCTCAGTGTAACAGTCTGGGGTGCGGGGGCTGTGGAGAAGACGCTGGAGTAATGCGTCTGACTCGTTCCAGCAATCGCCCTCCATGCCTGAATCGCGGCGACCCGCTGGATCCTTCGAGCGTAAACCACTGTATTAAGCCGAAAAATACAGTAAACAGCCGGTACTCGCTCCCCAAGGTTGTCCCTTTGGTGCACCCTTCGGCTTTCCCAAAGCGGCAACCCTAAGTCTGCCCTCATCTGCGTCTGCACGGCATCGGTGCGTTCGCACTGCGATAACGCAATGACTGTATGATCTCCGTCTCCTCATATCTCTTTATAAAGTCCGCACGTAAATTCTTCTCCAATTCATAGATCATTAGATTCACAACAAGATGGCCATCCCTACAGAACAACCGCCGACCAACGGCCATATAAACGGCCATACAAACGGCGCCAGCAATGGCGGCGATTCAAACCCAACGCCTCACCCACGTACCGTCCCTTTAAACCCACAGTATGGCTATACTCCTCGCAAACTGCGCGTCATCACCATCGGCGCGGGCTTCTCGGGCCTCCTGATGGCGCACAAGATCCAACATCGCTTCCCAGAGCTGGAGGAGTTTGTCACGCACAAGATCTTCGAAATGCGCAGCGATATCGGTGGGACTTGGCTGGTGAATACCTATCCAGGCGTGCAATGTGATGTTCCTGGTTCGTCAACATTACCGATCTCAGATAATGAATGCTAGCTAATATACAATAATAGCACACATCTATGCCTTCCCCTTCGACCCAAACCCCAACTGGACAAAGTTCTACTCCAGCGGCCCCGAGATCGAGCAATACATCAAAACCACAGCCGAGAAATGGAATCTCACCCGGGACGTGCACCTAAACACACGCGTGGTCGGTGCGCGCTGGCTCGAGAACGACGGAGTCTGGAAAGTCACCGTCGAGCACGACGGGGTCCAACGAGTCGAGTATGCCGAAATCGTCATCTCGGGGCAAGGCGTGCTCTGCCACCCGTCGTGGCCGTCTATCCCGGGCCTGCAGGAGTTCAAGGGCAAGATTGTGCACTCGGCACAGTGGGACCATGAGTTTGATTACTCGCATAAGCGCATTGCGGTTATCGGGAATGGTTCTTCGGGGATCCAGATTACGCCGCAGATGGCAAAGCTGGAGGGGACGGAGGTGGTGAATTATATGCGCTCTGCGGCGTGGATCTATTACCGGGTGCCGCCGTCGAAGCATCTGGGGAGGGACACGGATGAGGTGAATCCGGTTTATGCTGAGGAGGATAAGAAGCGCTTTCAGGACCCAGAGGTTCACCGACAGTATAGGAAGGGGATTATTGATCGGACGAATAAGGCGTTTAAGCTGGTACATCTTCTTACACCTCTTGGGTTGCTTTATAGACACTGACATCGTGTAGTTTCTGAAAGGAGAGAACAACGAGGAAGCAGTCCGCTTCGGCACCGAGCAAATGGCCTCGAAGCTCAACTACGACCCTGAACTCTGCCGCAAGCTCATCCCCAAGTGGGAGGTCGGATGTCGACGTGTAACCCCCGGCCCTGGGTACCTGGAATCCTTCTCACGCCCCAACTGCAACCTGAGCGACAGCCCAATTACCAAGATCAGCGAGAACGCAGTACACACAGCCGACGGGCAAGTCTTCGAATGTGACGTCGTGATCTGCGCAACGGGGTTCGACGTGTCGCACCGGCCCAAGTTCCCCCTGATCGGGCAGAACGGGGCGAATCTCGCTGAGAAGTGGGCGGACGAGCCGGAGAGCTATCTCTCTGTTGCGACGGCTGGGTTTCCCAATTACTTTATCTTCACGGGGCCGAACTCGCTGGGTGGGCATGGGAGTCTGGTCGAGGCGCTGAATTGGACGGGGGATTACTTTGTCAAGTGGATTAAGAAGATTGCCAGCGAGGATATCAAATCCGTTGTGCCCAAGAAGAGCGCCGAGGAGGCGTCTGTGCGGTATGGCGACGAGGTGCACAAGACGATTGTATGGACTGGGGGCTGTAAGAGCTGGTATAAGCGGAATAAGGCGAATGGGAGGGTGACGGCGCTGTTTGGGGGGTCGGCGCTGCTCTTTAACCGGTTGATCAGCGAGCTCAGGCCAGAGGACTTTGAGATTGAGTATCGCAGTGCGAATTCGTTTAGATTCCTCGGCAATGGCTTCCTGGAGTATGAGATGGACCCGGAGGAGGATCTGTCGTGGTATGTTGAGCTGCCGGCGCCATTGAAGCAGGCATAGAATAGATAGTTATGTAGCAGTTATATCCATACTTGTTCGGTTATCCCTTTTGAGCTCCGAGCGGGGTTCTTCTATATATACCCCTTGTCTTCCTATGCTTGAGAGCCCGTAACTGGACTTCAAAATGTCTATTCCAACCATGCACGCCTGGAGAAAGCACAAAGGAAACCCTGTCCCGGTATGGAATCAGCCAAGTTAAACTGCAATAACTGACCGTCCAGGGTTGGGAGGAAATCCCTGTGCCATCCGCACCCCCTGCAGGATTCCTAGTAAAGCTCCTCGCATCTGGAGGTATGTCCACCCTATCCCTCCTGCCTAAAGCATGGCTAACAGAAACAGTCTGCCACAGCGACCAAGACCTGCTAGACATCGAAGACCGTCCCCGGTTCAACAATGTCTACACTCTTGTCCGCACCCCATCACACACCAAATATACTTACGAATCTAACAAACCCAGGGCCACGAAGGGTGCGGCGAAATCGTCCAAATCGGGGCAGACGTGAGAGACGACCGATTTAAAATTGTACCTCTTCTCATCTACCACGTCATTAAGAACACAAATTAATAGGAGACAGGGAACACGCATCGCCCTCCTCGCCGTCCCAGGCTGCGGCCTGCAATCCTGCCCCGAGTGCTCGCGCGATCTCGCCCAGTTATGCCCCAGCGGGCAGCACCACGGAATCGGCCAGGACGGGTTCTACGCTGAATACGTGGCTATTGATGCGCGGGGCGCTGTTATTCTGCCTGATGGTACTGCCCACCAACTAACCCGTATTATTCCTGATACTAAATGGTTAGGTGTGCCCCCCGAAGTCGGTGCAATCGCCACCGACGCCGTAACGACCGCGTACCACGGGATCGTGCGCCGTGCAGAGGTCCGGCCGCACGAGACGGTTTTCCTATTCGGTCTTGGTGGGTTAGGGTTTAATGCGTTGCAGATTGTGCTTAGGCATATAAAGGCGCGGGTTCTTGTTTCGGATGTCCGAGGTGAGAAACTCGAGGCGGCGAGAGAGCTGGGTGTTCCTGAGGAGGATATCGTGCCGATACATATCCAACAGCAGGGGAGGATTGCGGAATGGATAACCGGGCGTGGAGTGAGCGTTGATACGGTGCTGGAGTTTGTGGGGAAGAAACAGACGTTTGCGGATGCGCAGAAGGTTGTTAGGGCTGGTGGGAAGGTGTTGTGTATTGGCACCGGGGAGAGGGTGAATGCGCTTGACATGAAGAATGGGATTAGGAAGAGATTGAGCTTCATTTTCAGTTACGGGGGACAGTATAGGGATCTTGAGGAGGTTCTGGCGTTGATTAAGGAAGGGGTGTTGAGGCCCAGGGTTCGACGGGGAGTGCTTGGAGACTTTCCACAGTACTTGAAGGAGTTGGGAGAAGGGGGAATTGAGGATCGGGTTGCATTGATTCCATAGTTCTATTAATGTAGATAGGTCAAGTTTTATTCCAAGTTATGCGTTTACACTTGCGCTCTTGGGCATCCCGATTCCGACTGCGGCCGTTGTCCCTGCATCGACAGGGAGTATAACGCCCGTCATCCATCGAGCATGCGGACCAGCCAGAAATACAGCTGCTGTTGCACAGTCCCAGCCATTCCCTTCTGTACCGAGTAGACTGCGTTTCCGCCGGGCCTCGCGGGCCTCTTCGCTCATCCCGTTGCCGTACATCATGGGCGTGTAGAGCATCTAACTCGTTAGAACGGAACATGCGGTTTAAATGGCAAAGAAATATTGGAAAAGACATACCCCCGGACAGACACAATTAACCCGGATTCCATCCTCAGCATGGTGCGCTGCCATTGCCCTTGTCATATTCACAATGGCCCCCTTACTCGTGGGATATAGCAGATGCGGCGTGCCCCCTTTCAGCCCTGCGACGCTGCCCATATTCACGATGCTCCCTCGGACTTCGCCGTCGTTCTTCTTCATCGCCGGAATGGCATATTTGGCCATCAGTACCATGGAGTTCACGTTAACCTCCAGGCTCTTTGACCACGCCTCCATGTCCACATCCACCGCTGTCCCTGCCGCGCCGCCAATTCCAACATTGTTAACCAGTATATCGACCCGGCCGTACTTGGATAGGGCATAGTCCACCACAGCCGAGCAGTCAGTGGCGCTTGTCACGTCTGCTGTTGTGGCAGCCGCAGAGCCATAGCTCGGATTCGACTGTGCCTGTTCCTGGATCATGGACACCGTTTTCTCCACCCACTCGCGGTTCAAATCCACACAGATAACATTGCATCCGTCGCTGGCGAGGAGGATGGAGATTGCACGGCCGTTTCCAATTCCATCGCCCTGGCAGCCAGCGCCGGTGACGATGGCGGTTTTGCCCGCGAGCGAGCGCGACGGCGGCGTTGTTGGGATTTCGCTCATGATCTGGATCTGCCTGGAAAATGCGCCGAGGGAGACTGACTGAATTGGATCAAGAGTGGGACAGAAGACGTGCTGATCGGATGCGGGGTATATTCGTTATGGCCCGAGGATGTTTCTCTATAAAAAGCTGCCGGCTTTCGGTTATCCCTTCTGTCTTGTGCCGAGCTCCAAGTCTTATACTGCACTCCAGTCTCGGCATACATTTCTGGAAACATAGTTATTCTCTACTGCACACAATGGACTTCTCCGAGTACACCGGCCCCAGCGAGGAGTGGATCGCCCTGGCGCGAGAGCTGCCCCCCGCGCCCGCGCTCTCAACCGAAGAACTCAGGGCCGTCACCAACAAGGGCCGGGAGGATGTCTCAGCCAGGGAGATGGTCGAGCAGGGTATTCCCTTCTCTGTATCGTAAGTAGAATGCGTATTAACATCTCCAGGCCTCCACTCCAAAGTCTCCCTACGCGACCACTCCATCCCCACGCGCGACGGCGCCACCATCCCAGGACGCAGCTATCGTCCTGCAGGGGTAGACGCATCTCAGTCTCTTCCCATCTACATCCATCTACACGGCGGCGGATTCCTATTCGGGACTTTAGATTCCGAAGACGCAGCGTGCGCACGCCTCGTCGCAACTCTGGCAGAACAGGGCGTCCCCATCGTCGTGGTTAACGTCAACTACCGACATGCTCCGGAACACAAATACCCCGTTGCCTGGAATGACACTGAAGATGCCTTCCATTGGGTGCACGACCATCTCTCCGAGATTGGCGGCGACGGCGAGAATCTCGTCATGGGAGGCGTGTCTGCCGGTGGTTGGTTAACGGCTTCAACGGCTATCGCGCAAGCAACGGGGAATGACAAAAGCCTTGCTGCGAGACCTAGGATTAAGGGCCAGGTTTTGATTATCCCGGGCCTGGTGCATTATGACTGCTATGAGGCGCAGGTGAAAAGGTTGCGGGATCCGAGGGTGTCCAGCTGGGTGGAGAATCGTGATGCGCCGGTTATTCCGTTTGAGCGGGTGCAGTTGTTCTTTGAGGCTCTCGGGCTGAAGGAGGCAAAGGGTCTTGATGCTGATTTGAGGTTGAATCCCGGGAATGTCAGTGCTGAGCAGGTCAAGGGATTGCCGCCGGCGACGTTTGGGGTTGCAGGTATGGATCCTCTACGGGATGAAGGATTATTGTTTGCGCAGTTGCTTGCTGAGAATGGGTATGTTTCTGGTCTCTGACAGTATAGTTTGAGTGCTAATTGTGCAGGGTCCCGACCAAGACGAATGTCTTCAAGGGCGTGCCGCATGGCTTCCGGCGATATGGGGATCGGCTGTCGGCGTCGAAGAAGTGGGATGAGACAATAGTGGAGGGCATCAAGTGGGCATTGAGTAACCCTGCTGCTGGGCCTTTTGAGATTAATGCATTTTAAAATGGTTCCGAGAATCTAGAGATAGCCCGACCACCATGGATGTATCACTTGTCACACCGGTACGCTACGGAAGTTATATAGATCTAATCCAGGATTATGCTTGCCGTGGTCATTCTTGTTGCTATAACATATGACAGCGGAGAGATGCAAGTCGTTTCACACCAAGCGTGCTCAAATGCAGATATATATAGGCCCATGACTTTAGGTCTCTTTCCTTTGCTGTGCTGCCTCGTTCCTTCCATTGAATACTTGTTTACTTATTGTTTGCAACATCTCGAATGGAACCAACTCAGCCTTACAAACATCACAACAATACTCTCGTTTATTTTCATATAATTACTAACAAAATGTCGTCCGAATCGATTGAAATGCACCCTATCCTTATGCATCCACCCATATACCAGTTAACCCTGACCACACGCGACCAGACCAGTTTCGCCACAATCATGCTAACCCCACTCCCCGAGATGCCGCTCTATAGAGGACGGTTCCATTACCCGATCAGAGAAGAGTACATTCGCAAGCTCGCACATTGGCGTGAGAAGCGGTATTTCGAAGAGATCGACTTCATCCTTCGGTGTTGGGAAGACCCCACTCGCGGCACATTCTACGAAGATATCTGCGCTGCTGATATTCCCCCGCTAATGGCAAAACAGAGGTTGCGCTACAAAGACAGCCGTCAGGTTTCGCAACTGTGTGGGTGGAAGGGAAATCGGATGTTTACAGGACTGCGTCTTAAAGAATGGGACGAGGATGAGGGCCAGAGCCAGGGAGCAAGTACACAAGAAAATCGGCAGGACGAGCCAACAAAAACCTACGAAGAGCGCCATAAGGAGGCCGTCGAGGGCAAGCATAAAGCGGACGACATAGACAGTGTCGAGGCGGGACTCGGAGGGAGCTGGTCGATGGCCAATGATACAAACAAAACATCGTGTCCTCCAAGCGCAGGACTACCACCCGGTGTCACCATGCTGGAAGCCAGGTTGTTTATGCGAGACCGGTATAGCATGTGGGCACGCCCTCTCTACGAAAACGCACCGAATATGCATGAGAGCCAGCGACTCCCAGATTCTCTCAGATGCATATACGACCACAGGCAAATTGACCGGAAGAAACCTGAGTTCAGTGGCCTTATCCCAGACTATATCATTGACCGTGGCCGACGTGAGGTTGAGCGTGGCTACATATGGGGCATTCCATACCATGCCTTCGAGACTACCAGAAGAAAAGTAGGCAAGTTCTCCGAAGACAATATCTACGTAGATTCGGGCCTAGACTTGCTCCTCAACATCGAGCATTGGTATCTATCAAAATCCGACGAGGAAGTCGGAAAGCTTGACCCTGACAATATCCTGACGTGGAACATGCCAGTGGAGTATCTGGCAATATTACGGTCGAGTTTTATTGGTGGTACATTAGACAGTTCTCAACATCCAGGTAGTTTAGTATAGCCATGCACTGCGAGGAGTGAGTCTAGCGATTCTAGCATAGTGAATGTATCAATATGTTACTTGGGTAATGCTTGTATCAACCACGCCAGTGGACTCGTACACAAAATAACTATAATTGTTTCCTCAAGGCATCGTGAGTATATCAACGTAACATGTGTTCCTTCAGGACTTGAGCCCTCCCTCTGGCGTCCTCCTCTTACTCCAGCCCTCTACCCACTGATCGTCGATAATCCTCAACTGCAGCTCCTGCGTATCCTTAAAGTATCCTTCAGTGTGATCGTCCATATCAATATCCTTGAATCCCTCTTTCGCAATAGAAGCCGGCGTGATCATCAGCGAGTGGCCTGTCATTGTTAGCATACAGCACTTATATACAAGGGGAATAGGAAGAATAACCATTCATGGTCCGATCCGTAGCAATCCGCATAAAACACTTCGAGACGTCTTCCTGGGGTGCGAATTCGACGCCTTTGCCGATGAGTTCGGCTTCGTAGGTTGGGCTGCGGATGGCACTTTTGATATAGCTGCTCCAGTTAACAACTTCATCCCTGGGAAGATATACAAGGCAGTGAAGAGGGAATAGAGGAAATACCAAGGCGCCACATAATTAATCCTGATTCCCTGCTCCCACGAGTTCCGCCTCGCCACCCTCATCAGTCCCCGGAGTGCGTATTTCGTGCAGGTGTATTGCCAGTTTGCCTGTTAATCACATATAATTATCAGCGTAGTTTGGATATACTTATCAATGGAGTTGACCTACCGGCGAGTCAATCCACGCAACCATACTTCCCGTGATAATAAAACACCTATCCCGGTCCTCGGTATCAGGCTGCTTGCGGAAGTAATGCACCGCTAGTTTCCACGTATACAGTGTCCCTGTGAGGTTCACGTCGACGATGCTCAGGGTTGGTTTCACGGGTGGTGCATTTATATCTGTTATATGTCAACATCTGCCTTCTCATATCAACCTGTTTGGATAGTGGATGAGTACCGTCCAGCGGCCACAACGAGTCCCCACTGGCACGGCTAATGCCCGCATTCGCAATGACGACGTCACAGCTCTTGTTTGGTGAGTTTGCGACGGCTGCTTCGAAGACTTGGACTTGTTCGTCCCAGTTTACGATGTTGCATTTGACGAATTGTGCGTTTCTAGCCTCGTCAGAGATATGCCAGCAAGAGGGAGGGTGGTGTAGCATACGGTGAGAGTTCCCTCGCGACTTGTTCGCCGCGCTCGACGTTTAGATCTGCGATTGTTACGAAGGCGCTGCCTCGGCTTGTTAGTCTTGCTTGCTGTGAGGGCATGGTTGGGTAAGCGTACCCAGCTGCTGCGAACTCGCGGACGGTTGTCTCCCCCATGCCATTGGCGCCTATACACTGGTCAGGATTATGCTTAGTTAGGTTTGAGGAGATCATACCCCCAGTTACGATAACGCTCTTTCCCTTGAGTTTGCTTGGGTCCGGTGGGATCGTGCAATCCACGGGGCCGGTGTATTGGTACGGAGGAAGGTTGGGCATGTTGTAGTTGATATCGCGGTAGACAAACGCAGTGTTCGTTAAACAGTTCAGGTAAAGAAATCGTGTCTTAGTGATTTATGAGGTCCTCGGCCGGAATCGATTAATATGTCGAGCTACCCCAATAATTATTGCGGGGAATCCCCGGTCAGACTGCGAAGAGTGGAAGCCATCGGCTATCCAGATTGGGATAGCCGTCGCTTTTTCTCCGGCTGTCATCGACAGAGTGAGATTTGGCCTTCGACCCCTACCAGCTTTTGCTTTTGCTGGTTGCAGCTGATAGGGCTGTTGATGGATGGGAGTTGGTGGAGAGCTGTATCCCATGATAGCACAGCACAAAAGCTACGGTAGGCTATCTTGCGGTGTTTTGGTTTTTATTATTATCATTATTATGGTATAATAAACATTCTGTTGTCTGTATTATTTTCAAATCTTAAAGATCTGGGAATGCATCAACTCCCTAACTTGGATGACCCTGATGATATATATATTCCATGCAGGGCGTAGTATCGCAATGAAAAGAACAGAATCACCGAACATTGCACGTAGTTCGTATATGATAATACCTATTAAAATAATATTATGATACAAAACAACACAGAGATAAATAGAAATGAAGCACGAAGACCATACCTGGGCGACACCAACTTCTGCCTAAAGGCGCAGGCAGCAACCGGACGCGGACAAAACAACAACAGCATCAACATCGCATCCAACAAACATACCGTGTGCATACCTTTCAAAATGCCTCCAAAGCAACAATTATCATGTCCTCACGACAAAATAACATACACTCCCTCTCCACACGCCACACAGGTAAACTACCACCAACCATCAAAACAAGAACGGCAAAATGCCACGAAACCAGCACCATCCTCGTCATCAAAGCGCAAGCCGTTGATAGCAGCACCGCCTACACGAACTGATATAGAGAATTTCCCTGCCCCGCTCATCCTCCCAGGAGACGATCTGGCGTTGGACCCGGAGTATCCCCCGCAATCGTTCCAGGAGTGGCTCGACGAAGAGGAGCGCAATCCTGTCACCCCGAAGAGGAAAACAATTTACTTTCTTGAGGCTCCTGGTGTGGATAGAAGAATTAGCGAGGTAGAATCCTGGTCAAGGCCAAATGCACTTGGCCTGGATTCGGATTCGCATTCTACAGACGATGCGGTAACACCACCAGCATCAAAGGATATAACCGAATACCTAGCGGCATTCTTCCACGGTCTCCCGGTGAAACAACTCAATCTGCCAAAAGGACAGTGGAAATTTACTCCGTGGATAGACACCCCTCCACCCAAGAAACTAAAGCTTGGACACCAAGTATCGACGGTTAAACACATCGCCCTCACAACACCCGCAGAGCAAATCCGCATCCGCACGCGCGCTTGTCCAGACGGTCTATATGCCAGGCAACTGAACCTGGATGACCTGCTAGACGTGGCTATTGCGATTCTACCCAAGGATGCATATGCGCTGTGTATGCTTGTGAACCACGACCTATATGAAGACGAGGAGGATAGTTTCGTGTGCGGAAGGGCGTATGGTGGCAGCCGCGTTGCTGTTGTTTCAGCGGCGCGGTATAATCCGGTCATTGATGGGGTGCAGGGGGTTGAGAGGGGGCATGCGTGGCCTGGGGCGCATTGTGGGGGGTTTGTTGGGGATGTTTGTACGGAGTGGAAATATTCTGGAGACAGGAGGAAGCGTTCCAAAGTTAGAAGTGGCTCTGATTCTGCTGCCACTATATCTGGGAAACAAGAGGGACCACTTGAAGACGCGATGGACGTTCTTCGCAAAGCTCAAACACACTCTCACTCTATACGAATAGCTGGTGATGGCGAGGGGCAGTCAGCACTTTGGCTTTGGCGGATAATCCGCACGACGAGCCATGAACTCTGTCACTGTCTTGGTCTCGACCACTGCGTGTACTACGCGTGTATTATGCAAGGCAGTGCCTCGTTGTCCGAGGATACGCGGCAGCCGCCGTACTTGTGTCCCGTGGATCTTGCGAAGGTGTTGTGTGCAACGGGCTCTACGGCTGAGGAGAGGGATAGGGCGTTGTTGAGGTATTGCGAGGAGAGACGAGAGTTTATGTATTTAAGGGCATTTGCGGCGTGGTTGAAGGCGTCCTTGGGGATTGGGAATGGGGTGGATGGCAACCAGGTGGTTGTTATTGATGATTGATGCTGAGATTTGACCACTTAAGTGCTATAGAAACAGTATGGCGATTCATTCTATGCATAAATGCGTAATTTACAACTTGAACGAAAACAATATCGCAGATCCAGCAATCATGGACAATAGCAGAATGATAAATACTCTAAAGGGTATACGATTTTTATGTACTGGAATAACCAGATGATTAAGTACATTAAAACACTCGGCGGTGCCGTAATAATGGATCATGCGCTCGTAGATACATAGCTAAGCGTTGATATGGAGGTGTGCGTACGAGATACGCGGTGGAGCTGGGCCCTTTGAAACGGACTTTATGGACGCGATTGCGCCTGAGCAGAGTGGCCGGTTTCCGTAGCTGGCGCTGGGATAGAGCCCACGCCGACTGACCGTACGCCGCTCTATTTTGACAAGGTATAACACCTTGTTATAGCTCCCCCGTAACCGTAGACTTCTCTTTGCGTGTATTGGTGATTGATTATGAAGTCGAGGACGGAAGTCAAGGAGGTGGGTTAGTAGGTTGAGAGAATGTAGACGCATTCGAGGCTGGCCGTCTGCGATCCGAGAGACCCAGACTGTCGACGGAGTTGGCCCACGGGTATTGCTGGAGCCGCTGTGCAGGTGCAGCGTGCGTGACATCGCCGACGATATTGTCTGGATTGACAAAGGCCGGGAACTGCTCCTGCTCCGTGGAGCTTGTATCTTGTCGGTGAGGCTGGACGATCTCGACAAGTTTGCGCAGCACTCCACATTCGAGTTTGAGCTTGATGCTGTACACGGCGGCCTTTAGCGTCGTCTGGAGATACCACAGCCCGATGTATTCAAGGACGAGAAGAGCGACGTCCATGGCAATGATGATGAGGTTGATTGCGAGGAGCTCGTAGAGAACACGGGTGCGGCGGGTGTTCTTTTCCGGCCGGAGCTGCAAGAGTTTGGACGTTTCCCAGATGTAAATCGACGAGATGAGGATTTCCTGCGCGCAGAACCAGGCGACCTGCATTCGCTCCATGACATTGTAACCCATAACTATCGCACGCGAACGGACGTAGACGGTGGAGAAGGTGAGGACGGTGGTCGGAATTATGAGAATTATGGTATCGACTATGATAAGCCACATGACGAAGCGGAGGAGTTTGCGATTTTGGTTGACCAGATGGAGTCGCGAGTAGAGCACAATGGATTGGCCAGGAACCATGAAGTAGAAGCCGATTGTCGATATCGTCACGCCCAGCCATCGAGGGCCGAGTCCGAAGAATTCCAGCAAGTATCCGACGGCGTGCGGGATGACGCCCAAGACGCCGGATAGCAGCATCGTCCAGAAGTACAGTCCATGGTAGCGTTGGAAGGTGAAGAAGATGAGAACGACCAGTTCCAACGCGTTGTACAGAGCCAGGGCGGAAAACGTAACGACGACGATCTTGACGTTGGTGTTGTTGCCCTTGTAGCCTCCGATGAGTCCATCTGGGGGTTGTGTGAGGTCGTTCGTCATGGCAAGACCGGCTCGTGGCGATCGTCACGGCGTCGCGGTCGATCGGAGAAGGGAACCGAAGCAATTGAAGAAACTGAGGGAGGTGAACTGCTTCTTGGACGCATCATGAATCACGCGCGAGGAGACATGCGGGCGGACTGCAGCATGGTCGAGTGTCGAGGTGCTGGCGGAGTACAGGGAGAGAAATTCGATGGCGGAACTAAGAAGGCCGGCGGTCTCCCCAGAAAGGCAGGCCACGCGGAACCAGAACCAGAACCACAGCGGCGGGGTGGCGAGCCGGAGCGAGGAGGCCGTTTGAGGTTTTTCAGTGGCGACTGCGAAGGCTCGGCTGGGGTTCTTAACATATCCAGACAGGGGAATTGGGAAATTGGTGGCGCAAGGACCACTTGGCGACTGGCCGTCAAGAGCGAGAAATCCGCGATCTCGGACCTCGACTGCCTCAGAAGGCAAAACCCCTGCAGAATGTCACTTCGTTTCGCGTCCGAGGGTGGTGGACACTGGTGGACGATTGTGCGCACAGGCAATCTGCTTATGTAACCGCCGGGGAAACGGATATTAAAGTTTGGGGAAGCCGCGCTACAGCCAGATCGGGCTAGGCTGTATCGCACTTGGGGATGTCTCACGTGGGGCGGAGAATTGTCGGACGCCTAACTCCAATTGCTGAATGTACTCTCCGACATGGATGATTGGGGATAATCCCTGTTGTACTCCTTAATCCGACAGCTGCAATGGCCATTCTTGTATGACAAACAGAAGTGTGACACTGTCAGGAGACCGGTCTCCGGAAGGAGGGCGAATGAGATTGGGAGACAGCAGTCATCTCCCTGAACAGTTCGGCTTTATTCCCGGCGAAGCGAGGACGCGTTCGACCGTTCGAATATTTAACCGAGGGGTAAACGCTAATAAGAAGACGGTGGGCCGAAAAAAATAAAAAAGAAATATATGAACCCACGGCGGGGGTCGAACCCGCAATCTTTTGATTAGACTGGGATACTTATTAGCAATTGATTTTCGACAAGCCGAGAATTGTGACATACAGTCAAACGCGTTTCCATTACGCCACGCGGGCTTCACTGAGCCTATTTTTTCAATTTTTGACACTATAAGCCATGAAACATAATAAACCAATAACATTAAAATTGCAACCCGAACCACCGGTTGACGAGGGGGTAAAGCGGAAAGAAAATTGTAATAAAAAAATGAACCCACGGCGGGGGTCGAACCCGCAATCTTTCGATTAGAAGTCGAACGCGTTTCCATTACGCCACGCGGGCATCGCTGGCCGATTCTTCAGGATTTTGACATCATGAGCGGGCGGCAACTTTCCACCATTTCTAGGCTGGCAAGGCCGTTGCCATTAGGGCACATCTCAGTGCCCCCAGGTGTGGTCTTGAATATTTTCACTTGCTTGTTTATCTCCTTTCTGTATTCATCCTGCATCCCTACATCTGTGTACGTGTGACTTTATGCATGCCAGTGCTCATTTCTATACCAACACATGCATCCACCTGATGAATGTCTTATCCAGCTCGCGGAATTTAGAAGCTCCAGTATATATAGTCCCTGCGGTGTTTTTATACCATATGCGGCGCAGGGCACATGCAGTCTATGTACGTAATTCGTAACACGTATATACATCCATCAAAACGTCCCCCGCAGCCACTCGACAAGCGCCCCCTGTGCCATGGCCTGCCCATACGGCATGCTCGTCAAGGGGATCTGCTTATAAAAGTCCAAGCTATCACCCATACCCGTCCCAAAGCTCGTATTCTGCAACTCGCCGTCCTGGTCAATCTTGCCGAGAACCGCCTTGATGGCCTTCTCAGCAACAACCCGGTACTCCCCACTGATATACCGCTTCCGCACAGCCTTCAGGATCCCCCACGCAAAGCCCGCCGTCGCAGAGGACTCAACATACGAGTCCTCATGGTCAAGCAGCGTGCGCCAGTATCCATCCTCCGTCTGAAGCCGCTTCAGCGCCTCCACCTGCGCAACAAGCGTATCAACCAGATGAACCCGGACCGGATCCTCGGGCTGCAAGTCCAGCAGCTCAATAAACTCAGGAATCACAATCGTCACCCAGCTATTCCCGCGCGCCCACCGCGCATCAGCAAAGTTATGTCCAGCTGCCACTGACTGGTCCGTATTGAACTCCCACCCGTGGAAAAAGAGCCCCGTCTTCGTATCGAACAGGTACTTGATGTGGATGAGGAACTGCCGCTTCGCCTCGGCAACGTATGCAGGCCGGTTCAGCAGCTTCCCGATCTTGGCCAGCGGCATCACCGTCATCATCAGCGTATCGTCCCACAGCTGCTGGTGGTGGTGGTTCTCGGAGAGATAGGTGATGTGGGCCATTCCGCCGTAGGGCGTGCGCGGGAGGTCATGCATGGCCCATTCCGCCCACGCATCCAACCAGGGCAGATACGTCTGATTGCCTGTTTTCTCATACACATAGGCGAGGGTGAGGAAGACGGCCATGGTGTTGATGTTTTTTGTTGTGCCCTCAGCGAAGCGCGCGGAGAACCAGTCCTCGATGATCTGGAGCAGGGCGGCGTCGCCGGTGATTTCGTAGTACTTCCATATTCCGTACAACCCGATGCCGTGCGTCCATTCCCAGCCGGCCCAGGATTTTGTGTCGATGATGCGCCCGTCTTCGAGGTGCAGCAGGAATTTCCCGGTGGTGTCTTTTATGTTGACGAGGTTGGTGATGAGGCGGTCGATTGTGGCGCGGGCTTGGGGGGGTGTGAGCGACATGGTGGGCTGTTTTGTGTCAAGTTAGTGAAGTGGAAGTCGAGATAACTTTTATTAAATTGATCTATTCAGCCGAGCGAGAGATCGGTGGTCAATGTCCCGCAGAGCTCCAGGGAATCCCCCTCGTTTAAAGGCAGCGCCCCCTGCGATACGTGGAGAAACCCCAGCGATTTCTCCGGACAGACCGGGGTCGACTTCGGGCAAGAAACCACCGAAGTATCCGCTAAGGACCGGCCAAGAAAGCCACCTGCCTCCTGATTGGCAAGGCAACATGGCCTGCCACGCTCGACAAGAGTGCTTGACTGCTTTCGACCGCAAGACTCGGCCTTCTCGGGCCAATGTGGGCGCTCACCCCGGGCGGAGGAGGGGGCCCGGGGACAGACCCAGACCCTGGAGCAGAGGAAGCTGGGGAAAAGGACGGCTGAACTGACTCGAAGGAGAAGTGCCCGCGGTGGTTCGTCGTTTTGGGCCGATTCATTTCGTTTGCCAAACCCTTCGCGGCCTCGCTAGTTGGCATGGGTGTGGTGGCCTGGTTATAAGGTGAACCACCCTTCCCCTTTCTCGTCGGGCTCTTTTTTTTTCTCTCTCCACCCTTGAAGGACAGGCCTGTTCTTGTTACTTCAGTATGGCCGACAACACGGAATTATCGTCTGTGCCCAAGGACGTCAAGGACGCCGCCCACGTCGAGCGGGTCCCGTCGTACGGCGAGGGCATGAAAAAGGACCATGTCGACTACTCGCGTGTTGACAAGGAGATCGCGCAGTATGCGGGTCAAGAGCAAATCGAGGTCGACGAGGAGACGAGCAAGCGCCTGCGCAGGATGATTGACAAGCGTGTCTTGGTTATCATGATCCTCACCTACTTCCTGCAGGCCCTCGACAAGGGAACCATGTCATTCTCGTCCATCATGGGCATTCGAGAGTACGCTGGTCTTGAGAACGGCCAAAAGGTTGGCTACCAGCCAGGATTATAATATAGTTCACCGCTGACTTTGGTAGTACTCCTGGCTCACGACATGTATTTACATCGCCGTGCTGTTCGTCGAATACCCCACCAACTGGATCATCCAGCGAGTCCCTATCGCGAAATACCTCGGTGTCAATATCATTCTCTGGGGCGCAGTTCTGGCTCTGCACAGTGCCTGCAAGACGTTCCCCAGCCTGGTCGCTGTCCGCACCTTGCTGGGTATCTTCGAAGCCGTCTGCCAGCCCTCCTTCGTCCTGATGTCCAGTATGTGGTATAAGCGCGAGGAGCAGGCCGAGACCGTGACATACTGGTATGCATACCCAATATTATTTAGGGTAATTCTGACTTGCGCAGGTACATGATGAACGGCACCCAGCAGATCGTCGGTGGGCTGCTCGCATACTGCTTCAGTCTGATCGGAAACGACCACGACGTCAAGTCCTTCCACGCCCTATTCATGACTTACGGCTGTGCCTCTGTCCTCTGGGGTGTCTTCGTGCTCTGGTGGCTGCCTGACTCGCCCATGCGCGCCAAATGCTTCAGCGAAGAAGACAAGCGTCTCATGGTCGAGCGTGTGCGATCCAACCAGACCGGTATCCAGAACAAGAAATTCCGTGGATACCAGATTAAAGAAGCCCTGCTTGACCCGCAGATCTGGTGCTACTGTGCGATTCAGATCTTCACGACCCTGCCTACCAGTGGCCTGGGTGCGTTCGCGAACATCATCATCGAGGGCTTCGAGTTCAGCGTCCTGCAGACTCAGCTCCTAGCTATGGTTCTGGGTTTCTATATCATTATCGTCCTCTTGACCTCAGCATGGCTCGTCCGTAAGACCGGACAGAACCTCTATGTCATGTTGGGCTTCATCCTTCCGTATGTTCCTCTCCCTTCCTGCTTAACCAGCCCTAACACTGTCCAGATCTTATATCGGCACAATCGTCCTCATGACGGTAGAAAACCGCAACATGGGCACCAAAGTCGGTCTGCTTATCAGCTACTACATCACGCTGTCATTCTGGTCCGCACAGACCCTCGGTCTCTCAATGGTCTCTCGTAACATCGCCGGCGCAACCAAGAAATCCGCCGTCATCGCCGCGACATTCGTCTCGTGGGCTGTTGGCAATGCCATCGGCCCACAGGTGTTCCTGGACCGTGATGCGCCCAAGTACTTTATTGCCTTTGGGGTTCACCTCGGGTGCTATGTTTGCCTGACCATCTCTGTGATCTTCCTGCGCTGGTACCTTGCGCACCAGAACAAGAAGAAGGACAGGCTGCTCAGGGAGGCGGGTCTGGATCCGAATGAGCAGAACCTGGCACATGCGTTTGAGGATCGCACGGACCAGGAGAATATGTATTTTAGGTATATCTATTAGTTTTTTTAACTGGGTGGTGAGGGAGATAGTTAGTTGAATGATACCAGGTGGCTCCATCTATGGGCTATTCACTTTGTAACTTCTCAAATACAGCAATAGCATCTGCATTCTGAGCCTCGAGGTCGACATCATTAAGATATGACCCAGCCTGCGTCAGATAGCTCTGCATCCTCCCCGGATCAGTTCCAACTTCCTCAAGGGCATACGCATATAATCGCCCTACATCTCTACTAATGCTTATGGCGTTAGTCGACCGCTCCCTCCGGACAGCATCGTAGGCACGAAACACGGTAGGTATCTGGCTGACATTGGTAACTCGAGCGAACAGCGCATTCAGTACGGCAGCATCCTCAATGGCCTGTCCGGCGCCATTTCCTACGAATGGACCCGTGGCGTGTGCAGCATCGCCGATCATCGCGACTCTACCGTAGTAGTACTTTGGTGCTGGATCGTGGTCGTATATCTTCCAGCTTTGCTGTGGGTTTCTGCTGATAAGCTAGTCTGATCAGTATCTTGACAGTATAAATATTCGGAGGGAAAGGTGAATACCTCAGCAATGGCCCTCGCATCCTCGCTATACCCATGGAATGACCCAGTAGTGAATGACTCTGGCTCTCCGCAGAAAGCACCCGGAGCCTGGAACGTGCAACTGAGTATTCTCCCCTTATCAATCGGAAGCGAGCAGATATATCCCTTTGATCCACACAGAATAGCCACATTCCTCGTCCACTCCTCCTTTACGACCTGCCGGGCTTCATCCATAGGAACGGCCCGGGAGTACAGATACCACTGATCGTGGTTCTTCGGCGCTGTAGCCGGATGGTTCTCCCCAAGGAGATATCTCCTCGTGGCACTCCTGACCCCGTCTGCGCCGATGAGACAGTCTGCTTTAGCTGTAGTGCCGCCGACAAACTCCAGTTTGGCTCTACCGTCATCCAAGACAACATTGTGCAACTTCTTCCCAAATGAAATTGTACCAGCTGGAAGCAACCCAATCCACCCCATCACCAAATCCTCCCGCGCAATCGTCTTCCTCCCCCTCGCCTTTCCAAGCTGTCCAATAACCCGTCCGCTATGCACTCCCTCGGCAAGGAGGACCTGAGTAGCGAGTTCAACCTCCTCATCACGACTCATGAGATTCGCGCGGCCGAGATACGTCTTCTTTAGACCTGGGTGTATCAGGTCCATTGCGGCGATTGCGTTCTTGTGCAGTGCTAGTCCGGCGCCCGTGCGCGGGTATGTGCACTGCGACTCGTAGACGTGCACTGTTATTTGGGGGTGTTGGATTAGACCGGCTGCGAGGGAGAGACCTGCTATTCCCCCGCCGGCGATGGCGATGGTTATCTTTGGGGTAGACATTGTGTTGAGTATAGAGGGGACCAAGGGCTGACAGGAATAAAAAGGCTCTTTTAGTTAGTGGATTCTGCAAGGGCTTAAATATGTATATTTTGGCCCCCAGGCTTACACGCGGCTGAGGTGCGATGTGTAACCTTAGTTAAACAATGCATTTCCTTTCTTCCAGGACACAGACAAGACCATCAAGTACCACAGGCTCACAGCCGGTCTAAGCTTGTGACTGATCTGCAATCGAGGCTCATTGGACACTATTTATCTTGGCTGCACTGCGCGAAATTATCACTTAAAGCGGCCCCGCCGCGGCAATACGAGGCTCAGAATCTTCGCCCCTTGACTTCTTAAGCCGCAGTTTAACTGCTGAATCCTGAGGATGGAATGCAGAGAGGAGACTAAAGTAACAGCTGCAGCTGCGAACATGGATGGGCGTCGCGCTCGCCTCCATAGTCGACAGGTTGGTCTTGGCTGCGGCATATACAAGACTACGAGGCAGCTAACATGAACAGCGCGATAAAATCCGCAATAAGCAGCAACAGAAGGAACAGAAGAAGAAGCAGCAGGAGCAGGCTATAGTCCAACGCAAGCGACAAGCGTTAACACCAGAGTCTTCGATAGACGAGGCCCTAGCACCAAGTCTAGCGCAAGAGGCGCTGAACCTGCAAACGAAAGAAGCCTTCCAAGACTTCCTGCTGCACTGCTTCCCCAATATGAATGCGTCCGTTGCTTCGCGGGTCGAAGTCAACTGGATGGACTTTGTGCGCGGGCCGACACCGCTGGCTCCGGCTGTGATGTGGGGTGTGCGCGCCCTGGTTACATACCAGATGGGGTCTATGGGCAAGCAGAGTGAGAGTGAGAATGGGAATGAAGATGTGCTGCTCACCGCGCGCCATATGTATACCCGGGGTATACAACACCTTGCGTGTATGCTAGGAACGCCGGCCGCGTTAACTGATTCAACACTTGCCGCTGCTATTATCCTGTCTATGTTCGAGGTAATGGATGGGGCGTGTGAGGGTTCCTGGCTGTTACACGCCCAAGGTATCCGACATATTATGTCCGCTCGGGGGCCGGATGCACATAAGAAAGGCATGGGTCGGAATCTGTTATTATCGTACCGCCCGTTCTTGATCGGCGAAGCTTTTGTACGCTGCGAGCCCTGTATACTGGGACGGCCAGAGTGGGCTGCGATTTTTGAAGATATCGATATCGCTCTGGAGGATGGTGAGAGCAAAACCAACAGCAGCAGCAGTCCCCTCGGACAAACGATAGATTACGCATTCAACGAGAGCGCCAAATGCCCTGGCTATTACGCAGCCACGCACGAGATTATAACCTCGTGGCCTGTATTTCACAACTCTAGGTCCCTCTCGCAGAGTCTAATGGATGATATGGGGCGCACCAGGTGCAGTCTCCTCCGGCTCCAGGACTGCCTTGACCAGGGCTTCTGCAAGAGTGACACAGAGCTGCAGCTGTTAGCAGGTTTTGCCGGACCGATACCGGCAGCGCGTGTTGCTAGCCTGGTGAAGCTGTCGTCCGAGGGGATCAGCGCTGCTGTTGCGTTGCTGGACCAGCTTATCACGCTTCTGCGGTCTCATTTGCATAGGGTATTCACCCATCAGGTTGGGTATACGAAGGACGTTTATGCGGCGAGTACTGAGAATCCATGGTATGCTGTTACGAATCGATTCCGTACAACTGGGGGACCGCGACTGGAAGAGCCGGATGCCTGTCCTATGGATGGTCAATTGGATAGGTTTTCAGTTTCCATGGGCATGTTAAGTATATATTAGCAATTAAAGAAAAAATCAAGTTCAAAATGCTTGTTGTAACGAAGACAATTTAGTCGCCCCTATAAATTTGACGGTACAACTGATAGCATGAAAGCATTAAAACTAAAAGGTGAAACTGCCCTGAATTATTTACAATAGGAATCAGAGTGAATGTCCGTAAAGCCAGGTCCCGGTGCAAATCGACGACTGTCGGAGATACGGCCAGGGCATAGATATCCACCAGCCAAGCAATCGTCGCAGGCAGAAGCCAACCAGGCTTGGCTACTCCAAAGCAGAGGCAGACAGTGGCTTCATGCCCTGGCAAAGTGGGTAAGTCAAGAAATGCACTGCAGGAACTGACGTCAAGCCAAGCTCCACCAGCGCCAGAACCAGCCATGCCATGCCATCATAGATCGGGATGCAACCCTATAAAGAGTCCAGCCACCCCAATCCCTCAGCCCTGCACCAACCCACTACCAAGAATCATGGAGCGAGACCAGACATACAAACCCACCCCGACCGCGCCCGTCGTGCGCCTCATGGTCCTCGAGACCGACCTGCCACACCCAGACACATACTCCGAGCGCGGCTCCTTCGGCCAGATCCTGCACAACCACTTCTCGCTCGCCGGGCGCGCCCACCACCCTCCTCTCGGCGTAGAGACCGAGCAGATCTTCGTCGTCACCGAACAGGGCGGGCGGATGCCGTCGGCGCAGGAATTTGACACATTCGACGGGCTTTTGATTACAGGGAGCGTGTACGACGCGCACGGCGAGAATCCGTGGATCCTGCAATTACTCTCCCTGCTGAAGGAATTATGGACGCAGAGGCCGGATTTCCATTTCGTGGGCATTTGTTTTGGACATCAGCTTCTTGCGCGATTGCTGGGTGGGGAGGTGGCGCCTGCGCCGTCTAGGGATTGGGAGTTGGGACATTCCAGGATTGAACTTACGCCGACGGGGCAGAGGATTTTTAGGACGCTCGATGACTATATTCATCTCCATCAGATGCATCAGGATCAGGTTGTGCGGGCGCCTACGGCTGGGTCTGCGGCTGGGTTGCTTTCGGCTGATACGGAGGTGCTTGTCTGGGGACGGAGTGAGCATACGGCGGTTCAGGGCTTGTATATCCCGAACCGGCTGTTCACGACACAGGCGCATTTGGCGTTTGATGAGGATATGGTGAAGAGGCAGATTCAGATCCGGGTTGATTCTGGGGGGATTCAGGACCTGGAGCATGCGGATCGCGCGGCGGAGACGGCGTATCTGGAGCATGATGGCGTGGAGGTTGCGAAGGCTGTGCTGAGATTGTTTGTTTTTGATGATGATGAGTATACGGGGGGTGATAGGAAGACTTCATAGACTGCTATGCCACTAGTGCGATGAATACAGAATATATTAAAGTTGATATTGATAGACTACGCCTTCTTAATCCACAGCGACTGCGAGTTACAGTACTGCGTCAGCCCCTGCACACCCCATTCAGTCCCCAATCCAGAGCTCTTATGTCCCCCAAACGGTACATTCGGCGCGACCTCAAAGTGCGTGTTAATCCACACAGTGCCAGCCTGCAACTGATCCGCAATGCGTCGACCCTTCTCCATATCCTTCGTCCACACCGACGCACCAAGGGCACTCTCCGACGCATTCGCGCGGGCAAGGACATCCGCCTCATCATCCCACTTCAGCAAAGGCAGGATAGGCGCGAAGGGCTCCTCCTGCACGACTCTTGACGCCTCGGGCGGGTTATCAATCAGCGTAGGCGGGATGAAGTATCCAGCAGACTCTGAGATCTTGCCACCGAGGGCTGGGTGGAGGTTCTCGGACGCGATGGACGAGAACAGGTCCTTGGCCTTTTCGTACTGCATGCTGTTCTGCACGGGGCCGATGAATGCGGACTCGTCTGTGCCGGGCCCGACCTGGAAGGCCTTGACGGCTTCGACAAATTTGGAGAGGAAGGTGTCGTAGATGCTGGAGTGGACGTAGAGGCGTTTGATCATGAGGCAGATTTGTGAGCAGTTGAGGAAGGAGAGGATGGCGAGCTTTTCTCGTTAGCATTGAGGTTCAAGAGGGAAAGGAGGGTAGGTGGGGGGAGGGTACAGTTGGAATGATCTTGTCGATATCAACATCGTCGCAGATAATCGCAGCGTCGTTGCCGCCTAGCTCAAGGGTTACACGCTTCAGTGTCTTTGCGCAGCTGGCCATGACTCTGCGGCCTGTGACCGACGATCCAGTGAAGCTGATCTTGTCGATGCCCGGGTGTTCGGTGATGCGCGGTCCAAGGTCGTCGCCGCCGCTGAGGGCCTGGACGACACCCCGGGGGAAATGGGGGATCGCGAGCTCAGCGAGCTTCAAGTCGCAGTAAGGGGTGAAAGGAGAGGGTTTCACGATAACCGCGTTACCGGTGTACACAGCAAGCACGATCTTGCCGACAGCAAGCAGGACAGGGAAGTTCCAAGGCACAATGGCCCCGGCGACACCGAGGGGCGTGTACCGCTGGATGATCTTGCAGTCGTCCTTATCCTGGAGGACGTTCTCGGGGATCTCGAGCGTAGACAGAGTGCGGGCCCAGATGACAGCCATGCCGATTTCCTGCGCGGCCTGCCCGAGGGACTTGCCCTGTTCCTGGGTCAGGAGGGCGGCAAGGGCATCCTTGTTGGCGTCGATGGAGTCGGCAAAGGCGGAGATGGCCTTGCGACGCTCGTCGAAGGTAGTGCGCGACCAGGTCTTGAATGCAGTCCTGGCGGCGTCGACGGCGCGGTCGACGTCGTCTTGGGTCGAGAGAGGGACCTCTGGGTTCGGCTGCTTGGTGGCAGGGTTGATGCCGTGGCGAGTCTCAGCTGTAGTGGTCAGCTCGCCATTGATGACGTTGCGGAAGGTGGTGGTGTCGAGAGGCATGTTGAAGAGTGAGATACCGACTGGCAGTTGTACGGCCACACTCAGGAGGGTTATAGAGCGTTATATAGAGCTGTCGGGTGTGTAAGACGGCAGTTTGAGAGCACCCTCCAGCTGCCCCTCCATATCACAGCTTCACGAGTCAGCACTTGCCAGCTACTGCGGGCCCCCGCATTAGACGATCCTTGCACCTCGTGGGATGGCGAATTCCCGAGCTGCGACCCGGCTGGCCTGAGTGGCTGCGATGGACTGGGAGGATCAGCAGAGGATGAACAGGTCTGCCCCGCATCCCACGATAATCCAGACGCAACAGTAAGACTTTGGCAGAGGGCCAGAGGTGGCATGAGAGAGGGCGGGGGCGGCCCCAGTCTGATCCCCAGTTGAGCGTTCATACTATATTTTAGACTATCATTGAGGATCGCCAGATTGGCTGTTCGGGGCGGATTTCGGCAGTTAGATCCAACCAGATACACGGGTGAAGCCGACAAAGATATGTACTTAGGTTCTAGCCAGACTCTTTACTAATAGCTACAGTGTTCACGTTGCTTGTGCAGGCAGTTTGTTCATGCAATGCAATAGCCAATAGAAGCGCCATGAAAGATGCTTATAACCCACTCACTGTCTGCCCCGCCAGCCAAGACACCACGCTGGTTTTTCAGCTCCCCCTCTCAATGATGAAGAGTGAAGAGTCAAGATGGGCGCCGAGAAAGAGGTTCGTCTGGTGCAGGTGCTCCCTGCAGACGCCGACCTGCGCGAGGCCGAGCTGTCGTTCGAGTTCACCAAGGACGAGCATGCCCTGACCTTCTTTGCTGCTGCCCGCCGCCACTGGCCCGCCCTGGCCTGGGGGATGTTCATGAACCTGGTATGCCCCCGCGAAGGTGTAATTAGCTTAAGCTAACAATGTAGGCCACCGTGTTGAAAGGGATTGTAAGTATTCTACCGGGAAATTGATCCGTGCTAATTTAGTAGGACGGCGGCGTTGTCAAGGGCCTTGTAGGGCTCGACGTCTTCAAAGAGACATACGGCTACTATCACGACGGCCAGTACATGCTCGCAGCCCAGTGGCTTTCTGCCTTCAACTATGCAAATCTTCTAGGGGCCATTGTCGGTGCCTTGCTCTCTGCCGTAGCCTACGATCGCTTCGGCCCCCGGATCATGATCGCAGCCTGCTCGGTCCTGTCCATCGCCTTCATCTTCATCCAGTTCTTCAGCCACTCTCCAGCACAGCTCTTCGTCGGCCAGCTCGTCAACGGCTGCATCATCGCTTTCTACCCGATCTGTGCCTCTGCCTACGTGGGCGAGGTCACCCCGCTGGTCCTGCGCGGCTTCGCAGCAACCATGACCAACCTCGCCTTCTCCATCGGGTCGCTCATCGCCTCCGGGATCCTCAAAGGCACTGAACCTATTGACACGGTATATTCGTACAAAATCCCCATCGCCTCCCAATGGGCGCTCCCTTGCATCATGCTCTCCCTGGTCTACTTCGTCCCCGACCCTCCCTACTGGCTCTGCCGCAAAGGCCGCTACACCGATGCCTTAGCCTCGCTGCGCCGCCTCGCAACAGCCCCAGTCGACGTATCCCACAAGCTGGCACACATACGCGAGACCCTCCGTCTCGAGGAAAGCTTCCAGGGCGGCCGCGCACACTACCTCGAGTGCTTCCGGGGCCCGAACTTCCGCCGCCTCACCATCTGCGTCATGGCCTACAGCATGCAAGCATTCACTGGAAACGTCTTCTTCATTTCTTATGCAGTGCACTTTATGGAACTTGCCGGTCTGGATGCGTCTGATGCGTTTAGTATGAACCTCGGTCTGACGGCGATTGGGTTTGTCGGGACTTGTATCTCCTGGTTCCTGCTTTCTTATATCGGCCGCCGCACAATGTACCTCTTTGGCTGCTGCTCGCTTGCTGTTGCTTTATTCGCGATCGGTGCTGTGGATCTTGCGCCGCGAGCTGATAATGCTACCAGGGTCGCTGCGACTTGGGCCCAGTGTGCGCTTATGCTGCTTTGTACATTCGTCTACGACCTGTCCCTAGGTCCGTTCTGTTATGTGCTACTGGCCGAAGTATCCTCTGTGCGACTGCGTGGGTTCACGATTGCACTAGCGACAGTTGCCTGCTTCGTCTGGTCTGTTGTCTTTGCGGTTGTGATTCCGTATGCGATGAACGAGGACCAGGGGGACTGGCGGGGGAAGATGGGGTTCTTGTTTTCGGGGCTGGCTGGGTTATCGGCTGTTTGGTGTTTTTTCTATCTGCCTGAGACGAGGGGGAGGACGTTTGAGGAGTTGGATGTGTTGTTTGAGAGGAAGGTGGATAGTAGGCGGTTTTCGAGGTATAAGGTGGATATTGTGGATGCGCAGGACGTGGACGGAGAGAGAAACAGACAGGAAAGGGTGTAAATGAATAGACATAGAATATTAACTCTTAACTCTTTAACTCTCAACTCTCTCTGTCTTCACTTATGAGCTTTTCATCAACCAACACAATGCTGAACAGAATCAAGCATTTCTTCCACAACAAACCCCCATCAGCATCCCGCCCAATCCAAATTCTCTCCGACCTCCATCTCGAAATCGATCAACAGTACTCATCCTTTTCCATCCCCGCTCGCGCCAAGACCCTCATTCTGGGCGGCGATGTCGGGCGCTTAGTCGACTACGACAACTACTGCGCTTTCCTACAGAAACAAGCCGATCAATTCGAAACCGTCTTTCTCGTTCTTGGGAATCACGAGTTTTACAACCTCTCCTTTGAAGATGGAATCCAGAGGGCGAAGCAGCTCGAACAGGAACCCTGTTTCAATGGACGGCTCATCCTGCTTCATCGCCGACGATATGACATTCTAGACCCGGATTCCGGCTGTGTTACAGTTCTGGGATGTACACTCTGGTCTCATATTCCCGATGAAGCAAGGGATATCGTGCGATACAAGGTATCGGATTTCAGCAAGATTCGCGAGTGGAGCGTTGACAGTCATAAAACTGCTCATGAAATGGACGTTGCCTGGTTACTAGATGAGATACAGTCGATACAGAATGAGAATCAACAGGTCCAGAGCGAAAGCGATAAGAAATCTATTCTGGTCGTGACGCACCATGCCCCCTGTCTCAAGCGGACTTCGGCGCCGCAGCACGAGAATAATCCCTGGAGATATGCCTTCGGAACGGATGTTCTGCGCAACATTACTGATACAAAGGGGATCAAGGCTTGGGTGTTTGGGCATACGCATTATACGACGGAGTTTAGGGAGAGGGGGGTCCACGTCGTCAGTAACCAGCGAGGGTACGTATTACCGTGGAAGACAGAGAAGGTGAAGGATGGGTTTGATGTTGGCAAGGTCATTCACGTTCCACAAAGTGTGACAAGCGTTGCTAACAAACGGGCAGCGTAACCCAGTCGTATTTAGAATTCTTATCTCTGTCTCTGCTACTGCTCCGTAATTCGATATATGAAGGGCAATTATTGGTATTCAAAATATCTTTAGACGTTTATGAGCTTGTCACGAGGTTGTGGCGGTCTGGTTCCTGGATGGACTGTAGCTGAGAAATGGTAGATGGGATAGGCGTATTGTAACATTATTTATATGTGGGCTGCGTAGACAGGTACTGTAACACATCCGTCAAACAATCAGCCCCTTTTCGTCTGTTTGCCTCGAGGGAAACCTATTCCCAAGTTCCATAATCCAGTTCATTCATCTCTTCAGACTTCCAGCAACACCAGACCTTCAAGATGCCCCCCGAAACAACCACGAATGGCCAGCCAAAGCAGTTCAATGTGATCATAATAGGCGGAGGAATTGCCGGTCTAACTCTCGCACACTCCCTCGACCGTGCTGGAATTTCATACACGCTGCTAGAAAAGCATCATGATTTCCGACCACGACTTGGCGGTGTCCTTGTCATTGCGCCGTCGGGGGCACGCATCATCGAGCAGCTCGGCCTATACGAGGCAATGAGCGAGGTTTCAGAGCCGATTACCACGCCGCGGACGGGGTTTCCGGATGGACGGTGCTCGAGTCAGAAGTGGCTGCCTGAGTTGGAGAAGAGGTGAGGTGCTTCGTATCGGGTGGATGGTGCTAATACTGTTAGATATGGGTATCCGGTGAATGTTATAACCCGGCAGAAGATGTTGGAGGTGCTGTATGATGGCCTGCGGGAGTCAGCCAATGTTTTAGGAGGGAAGAGGGTGACGGGAATTTATCACAAGGAATCAGGAGTCGCCGTGCACACGGCTGATGGCGGAGTATATAAGGGCGATTTGGTCGTCGGGGCAGACGGTGTGAAGAGTATCGCCCGTTTGGATATGTTGCAGGCAGCAGGGAAGAGTGCAATTAAGGAGGCAGCTAGTATTTTATAGTTCTATTAACCGGGGGTAGAGCTAACGCTTCAGTATAGGCCTCGCGTCGGAATATCGGGTGTTTATCGGCATGTCGAAACAAATAGCTGGCATACGCGCTGGAGAGCAAATAGTCCGCTGTCACGATGGATTCGCAATATTCATCTTCTGTGGTAAGGATAGTGAAATTGGCTGGTTTGTGGTCAACAAGCTGGATCGACGATATCAATATCCCGAGAAGCCTGCCTATTCCACGACCGACAACGTCAGGTTCTGCGAGAGTATAGGAGATGCGCAGATATGGGGTGAAGTGCGGTTCAGCGATATATTCAATGCTAGGACATCATTTTCTGCTGCACTGGTGGAGGAAGACGTGTTCCAGACGTGGCACGATGGCCGGATTGTGTGCATTGGCGACAGCATCAGCAAGGTAGGCTTGCAAGAAATGACAATGAAAGACACTGACAGAGTAAGGCAAGTCCAAATACAGGACTCGGCGCAAGTATGGCCATGGAGAGTGCAGCCGCACTTGCAAGTCAACTACATCAGCTCGTCCACTGCACGCAAGGAAAGCCGTCTGATGCTGCTGTAGACAATAGCCTCAGCCAGTACAGAAAGTCACACTACCAGCGGTGTCAAATCATTGGATACGCATCATTCGAGGCTATTCGCATGCATACCCGGGCTACATTCATGAAAAGACTGGCGGGTCCCCTCTTCATGACGTCCGAGCGGATGGCACTCCTTTTCCAGTCTATGGTCGCAGATGGCGGAGCGAAGTTGGATTTCCTACCCCTGCCACGGCGTGGCGCTGCCTGGGGAGAAACCAAGCAAGCGTTTTACAGGCTTCGTTCTCTCGTGATGGTGGGAGCTCCGCTTATGCTTCTTTTATTGATCCAGTGCGTCCGGCTGATGCAAGGCTAGCCACGAGTCAGTGATACTACTGGCAATTTAGCTATTGTATGTGCCTGCCAAATGTAGCAACATAGCATGGTTATAGTGTTAGACTAGAAGCCCCGTAGCTGGCTTGGTCTGGAGTAGGAAGCACCTTCCGGGGGCCACAACTTCCCTCAGGAAAATTCATACCAGGAGAGATCGTGTAATTAGCCACATCATCCCCTAAACGCTCCTTCTCCCGCAGATGTTACGGTTTCTGGGCAGTTCATAATTAGAGGGGAGCTCACCCCGTTCAACATCCTCCATACTTTGTTGTTCGTATATTATACATCGTTAATCCAATCTTCCAATCGTTGGCTTAGACATAAACTATACGCCCGAACATGACGTCTAAACTCTCTAATAGGCCAAAAATCAAATATGCCCCGATTATCTGTACCCCCTGTCGCCGGGCGGGAGCCAAGTGTGGAAGACAACTGCCAGTCTGTGGGATGTGCAGTCAGCACAGAAACGGGGGCATAGAACTGTGCAAATACCCAGTTGTCATCAGGGATCAAAACACACGACATGTGTTTGGTGTGGTATGTCCGAGCCCCGTATCCCAATGGACCATCTTAATTCGTTGTAGTATATGGATGACTTTGATGTAACCCGCAATATCCACAGCCCAACACCGGCACCAGACATAGTCCTCTCAGACATCAGCATAGATCAATTCCAGTACGCCCTGATGCAACTACCCAGCCGCGCTGTGTGTGGTGCTCTATGGAACGCCTTCCGCGATTCAGTCTATCCAATCTACCCTCTGATAGACCTGGACGCGTTCCAGACGTGGGAAACTGAATTCTGGGAATGGTACGACAGATCCAGTGACTTTGACGCAGTCAGATCCTTTATATCGATGGATCCTAGCATTATATGCCTTTTCCTCGCGGTTTTGTGCTCCGGGGCCATGGCAGCGAGACAGGATGTCTGGGCCCATCCGCCATTGGGCTCAGAGAATAGAAATAGCGTGATCTTGTCGTTGAAAACTGGTGCCAGAATGGCTCTGAACGCAAGATCTTTTGAGGATTGCCCAAGACTGTATACGATTATGTCCTCAGTGCTCCTGGATTTGGTCCTAGGCAGCCAGGTCGAGTCGTCTGATCACAAGAGCTACGTCAAGTCCATGACCGTAGCAGCTCAAAGGATTGGACTAAATGATCCAAATATCGTTCTGGGCCCCGACCAGGCAACACAACAGCTTTGCCGGAGGGTGTGGGATCATATACGGTGGTTGGACGCACAATGCTGCATTGCTATCGGGACAGCGTCCGAGGACCCCTTCAGGGAAGAACTGATTGCTGATAACCACCGGAAGCCTCCTGATACATGGGACCAGCATGGCGACATTCCAGTGTTATTAGCATACGCCAGAACGGAGGTAGCCGGCTTCGAGCATCGGGTCATAGGCCATGTTCGTGGCACAATTCTTGACGATCCACGCACAGGCACTCGTGCTTACGATGGCTCGCAATTCGAACGCATCAAGACGGTACTGGAAGATACAAAGGCGCGTTTGGACCTATTACCAGACTGGGAACACTTGGACCCTGTCAAGGTTGATGCAAAATGGGCAGAGGACGTGGTAGACATGCTGTTACTTGAGGCTGCTGCCGTCGACCACGTCCCAAAAGCACACAAGAGCCTGAATATTAAGAGCCAACACGATTGGACAATGTAAGTGTCATTTAACGAAGCATAAATTACGATCTAACCAGGGTTACTTTACGAGTACATAGATTCTCCATTGCAGCAAACAAGTACCTGCAAGCCTACCTTGAACTCGCAAAAGACACGAGGTTCGAACAATACAGCTGGTTCCTGTCCCATTATCGGGCCGCCTTTCTGCAGTGCTTGTATTTACTGCTGATTGGGATGTCAATGTGGCCGGCTGATTATAACACTGAGACAACTGTTGAGGATGCGATGCAATATATGGAGAAATGTCAGACCGACGAAGAAGGACGGACATTTCGAAAGGTAAAGACAATGTTCCAGCGAGTCCTGCGTGTCAATTAGGCGATACATGTGACGTAAATAGATATTGTAGGTAGCTCTCTTATCTTTATTGATATTCTAATACCAGCCAGACGAAGAACAATCAACGTACGTATCTAGATACACCTTCCCTACCAGCCTAATCATACTTAGACCTTCCTGTCAACCTAGTTAAGCCCAATCTCCAATGAAAGGTTCAATCCTAAACCCAAACTCCCTCTCTTCACAAGGAATCCTATACTTCTCGAGCGTCGTAGGTCCGCACGCACCAGTGCCCACACCACAAGTCGCAACATCAAGCCTCACCCTAACCTGCGATTCAGGAACCAGCTCGTTCGCGTGAGCAGCCTTTTCAATAGCCTCAGGACTGTACCTGGTGGCAAGCCACTGAAAGAGTTCATCTGACGGAGAATTAGAGCTAGAGCCTGCCGTATCCCGAGTAACGCGAACACCCCATCCGCGCCCATCACCCAGTCTCAGCCACCGCGTCTCCATCCTATTGCCACCTTCCTGAGGGACCTCGTATGGGGTATGCAGCTCAGATGTAGTGGCAGAGTAGATACCAATCTTCTGAGAATTCTTCTTATCGGGATACGCCTCTCCAGGCCCAAGACCAAACCAAGCTGTCTTGTCCAGTCTATCCGCGAGATACAGATCGTATCCAATCCTAGGGATGTCTTTTGGCTTTGAACCAGTGGGTTTGATATGGCTGTGTACAGTTAATGCCCCGTCGCCGGTGACGCGGTAGGTTGTAGTTGTCTGGAACCCCCAGGCTAGAATCGGCGGGGAGATGAACGTATCTGTGGCGATTTCGATTGTAGAATCATTGATTTCTTTGACTGTGAGATTGCGGAGAGTCGATGTTAGAGTATCGAGTCCGTAGCGTCGCCATTCGCCTAGGTCGTGGGGGATGTCGTTGTCTGTTGGAGGGCGCCAGAAGCCAGGGGTTATGGCGGGATGAGCGGGCGAGAGGATGTCTTGCTTGTGGATGCTCCAGTTTGTGAGAGAGCCGGTGGTGCGAGAGAATGAGATGGTGAAGTCTGCTCCGGTTATGATGTGCTGGGCCTTTGTTGAGGTGAGGGTTAGTGGGAAGTTGGCTGTGGGAGATACCCAGGTCAAAGAGGACGAGTCAAGACGGTGCTGGAACCAGGCGATTTCATAGTTGGCGTCGGTCCAGGCTGAGGCGTGCTTTGTGGTGAAAGTGACTGTCAGCCATAACTCAGACCCGGCTACCTTAGATGAAGGTATAGAAGGCAGAGGAACTGTCCCTCTATTGCCAGGTTGGATATCCGGTACGTCCAGAGTGCCGGCGGCGATGACCCTCGACCTGCTGTTATTAGCGAAATTCAAGAAAGGAAAGGTATACACGTACTGTTCGCCCAGAGACTCGATCTTATAAGCTGCTTGTAGCTCCTCCAACCCAACAAAGTCATGTCTGTTCTCAAAATGAAGCAGACCCCCCTCGACCCAGCCATACACAGGAGCATACGCCTTCCTCAGCTCCACGAAGCCAGGCGTAGGCGTATGATCACTGAACAGCAAGCCATCAAGGACAAAGCTGCCGTCATTAGGCTCATCCCCAAAGTCCCCACCATACCCATAATGGCCCTTTTCTTCATCCCAGAGCCCATGGTTGGCCCACTCCCAGATCCACCCTCCCTGTAGTCGCCGATTGCCTCTAAAAGCCGCCATATACTCCTCCAACGCCCCAGGCGCATTCCCCATAGCATGCCCGTACTCACAGAGCACAATCGGCTTTGTGAAGTTATCCCCTTCCTCCACCGCCAACCTCTCGATCCGCGCCACACTCGGATACATATACGAATACATATCCGCCGTTTTGGCCTCCATATCACCCTCATAATGCACCGGTCTCGTCGGATCCACGCTCTTAATATACTCATACATAGCCGCATGGTTCTGTCCATAAAACGCCTCATTACCCAACGACCAAATCACAACAGAAGGATAGTTCCTATCCCTCGCCACCATCTGCTCCGCACGATCCAGATACGCCTCTTTCCATTCTGGATTGTTCGACGTAAACTCCGCCGCCTGCGCAAATGTCAGCTCCTTGCGCTGGTCGTAGTCCATGCTCTCGGGGATATCAAGCGGTCTGGCCACGGCGTCGTAGAACCCGTGGCATTCGAGGTCTGCTTCGTCCATTACCCACAGCCCCAGCTCGTCGCAGAGGGAGAACAGTGCCGGGTGGGACGGGTAGTGACAGCAGCGCACGGAGTTGACGTTGTGCTTTTTCATGAGCAGGAGGTCGTTCTTTAAGAAGGAGAGGGGCACGGCGCGGCCGTAGACGGGGTGGTGGTCGTGGCGGTTGACGCCGCGGAAGAGGATGGGTTTGCCGTTTACTGTTATATTGCCGTTGATGAGTTCCACCTGGCGGAAACCGACTCGGTGGGTTATTTTCTGGATTGGGGCTGGGTTTGTGCTTGTGTGGAGGGTGATTTCGAGATCGTACAGGGAGGGTGTTTCTGCTGTCCATTTCTTGGGATTGCTGACGGGGAGAACGAGGTCGAGTGTTCCATTGGTAGAATTGACTGTTTTATCCTGTGAAATAAGGATCTTATGGCCGTTGAATGGATCGAAGAGAGTCGCAGTGACTTTGCTCTCCTCTGTCGAGGCCAAATCAACAGACACTTCAAGCTGTGCGTCCACATAGTCCTTGTCAAGGACTGGTTTGACATGGAAGTCCTCGATCCGAGCGGCCGAAGGAAATGCGATCACAGTAACATCGCGGAATATTCCTGCTCAAGTTAGATTACAGATGGAAGCCAATGTAGGATGTAGGTACACACCAGACAACCACCACTGATCCTGGTCTTCAATATAAGACCCATCCGACCACTGGTAAACTCGGACAAAGACCTCATTCACCTTGCCCCTCTTCACAATAGCAGAGATATCAAACTCAGCCGGATTACGACTACCCTGGGCATAACCAACCTCAACGCCGTTCACCCAGACATGGTAAGCACTGTCCACGCCGTCAAAGCGCAGGCGGATCTGTGAGGATTCATCCCATTCCGACGGAACACGGAATGTTCGCTTGTATGTCCCAGTCGGGTTCTCACTCGGTACATATGGGGGATTGACGGGGAATGGGAAAATGACATTCGTATAGTTGGGGCGGCCGTAGCCCTGCAGCTGCCAGTGTCCGGGAACAGCTATGGGCTTCCATTCCACGGCGTCTTCTGCGATATCTTTCTGCTCGTCTGAGTCTGATGGTGGAGGGGCGAGGAGCGGCGAGGAAACGTAATTGAAGTCCCAGTTCCCATTCAGTGATAGCGATGTATCAGGGATCCAGTACGCGCGGGGCTTTAGGCGATTGCGCTGGAAGATCTTGGGGTTTTCCCAGTCGTTGGTAGATTCTGTAGTCATCTTAGTGAAGGGGGTATCAGATAGTTGGTATATATGATGTGAGTGGCGTGCAATTCTGGAATTAATCCGCCAGCTCTAACTACTTAATGTCCACGACCTGGCCTGATTTAAATCCATGAAGCTTGGGGAATATTCCCCGCTGACGTAGCAAGCAGCTGCATCTCCAACACACCCAGCGGGGATATCGGATGGGTGGACGGAGAAATGGAGCCACGATGGCATCAATCCTGCAGTGTACTGTATACGAGACGGACCAGGGTCCGCCGGCTGTTCCTGTTTAGGGCACTCGGGGGTATCGGGGCCGGAGGATGATTCTGTTTGCGGGGTCAAGACACACTCCATGTTCCAGAATAACTACCAGGTTCTTTCATTTGCCCGGGTCGGCATTTTTGTGGCTAGTCTACCAGCCATGTGCGGCAGATCTCATTCTGAACTGGCCGTTATGTGCAATACCCAACCAATATCCTGGTCAGGTACCATATTACCCCGATTGAAATATATCCGACGTGAAAATCATTGAGGCCTCTGAGTGGAGAAGGTGTGATTTTACTGTACTTTGTGCGATCCACCAGGTCGCCACTCGCTGAGCTCCCGAACCTGCCTTTCCCTGCTTTTCCGGTCGCGGGACTAATAGACACCTGGCGTCGAAACAGCCTGTCTCCCTCCCACATAGCCGCGGCAAAGATGGCAGACTCGGGCACGAACTATCGGAAGCGGTTACGGACTTCCCATGCTGTTAGTGACTCCGGCACCCCCGGGCTTGTCTGCTGACACAGACCAATATCAACCAGTGCGACATTTGCAGAGTGCGTAAAACACGGTATTATACCTCACTGGGACTAGAATCAGGCAGCTAGGCGTCCTTCTGACGAGATAAAACAGATGCGATGGCAGAAGGCCCTGTGGATCATGCCAGGCATCTGCACAGAGCTGCTGCTATGGCGTCGAACCGTTCTCGTAAGTGACAAGACAGAATCTTCTGCTTGCGGTCCGCAGAACTAATTCTCGAAGGAGAGGGAAGAGTGATCTAATACTGGAAGGAGTGGAACAACTGGAGGTTCTTGTGAATCAGTTGAATACTAAGATTGTGTGTCCACCAGCTGCAGATATTCTATTAATTCTACAGACCCTTGGCTATGGGATTGCTCATGCTTCATAGGATTCCGGCCTTTCTGCACTTGCGCTTCTCACGCCCCCTGTGAATGCCGGCACACCGCGCGCGGCTGGGAATGGCCCCTGTGGCCAAGTATCGCCCTCCAGTGGAAGCACAGAGACCATTGACAATGCCGTTCTGAGGCTACATACATCGACCGCGGAGTCAATTCTCGACTGGCCGTGTCTCGCGACGTTCAATTCCTTGCGAGATGGATACACGCCCGTCTTCCAGCTCGAGCAATCGCGCCAGCCATTCCGGCACAAGATGCGAATGTCTTATCCCAGGCTCCCAGGGGAAGACGTTGCCAGTGTGGTAAACGCGTTTTCTCGCACAATCAACTTTGCCTTTCCCGTGACTTCTGTGGACCAGATCGCGCGCTGCTCACTGTCGATTGCGGATGCTACTGTCATGCAAGACGACAATACGGATGCCTGTCTGAGTCTGCTACTGGTCGCGTTAGGGTGTGCAAGCCAAACCGCCTCGCGCCTGCTTAAGCCCGACTTCACCGTAGAGGATCAAGTCTGGTGTGCTTCGCGTCGCACGTTGGGTGATCACTTCTTTGACTTGGCGATGATGAGGCTGCCGTCCGCCCATACAGATACAACGGGCACAGCAGTTCACTGTCTCTTCTTTGTCGGGTAGGTCGGAATGCCTTCATTCTTTGTAGTCCTTTCGCAATAGGGAGACTGAGATTCTACGGCAGATTGTACTTTTGTTATCTCCGTCGACCTCTTCAAGCCTGGGAGTACATCAATGCTGCCTCCGCCAAATGCCTCCTGCTCCTGAACTTTTCGCACTCTGCATTGTCAAACGAGGGACTTGATCATTTAAGGCGTATATTCTGGGCCTGTTATATTATTGAAAGGTATAGTGGATCCCGTGTACTTATTATACATCCGATTTAATCCGCCTCAAGTGACTACATTGCAGAGCTGTCGGCCCTGCCAACTTCGGGCATCGCATCGGTCGAATCCCAGGTACCTCTTCCCGGTAGATATTCTACACATGAAAGCCCGGATGAGCAGGAACAATCGTCGCTGTATTTCCTGGCTTGTATATCGATCCGCAGGCTTCTCAACCGCGTCCATCAACTGTTGTATGACAGCGTAAATGGCGTTGCCAACCACCCTGACCGATTTCCCCAGGTCGTGGCCGAGCTGGACCAGCAGCTCAATGGCTGGCGGGAGGTTCTGCCGGAATCAGTATCGTTCACCCTGGATGACTCGAACGTCCGCGATGGTAGTATAACCGAAGCTGCAGGTTTCCTGCGTCTGAGATACTTGGGTTGCCGCAGCGTTATATATCGGCCGTATCTGGCGTCAGTGCTTAGTGAGGAGGGTGTCGATTCGGCCACGGGCCAGATCAGCAGTATCGTTTGGGAAGGGAGTAAGAATTGCATAGAGTCTCTGTCCTTGCTGGTGCAGTCGTTGGATAGTTTCTCGCACCAGGTCCTCATTGATACCTGGCAGTCTTCGTTATCGTGAGTTAGCCTATGCTGTGGCTTGCAAGTAGAGTTGATTCCGTTAACATGTACGCAGGTTTGCCTGTTCCATGCTGATCCTTCTGGCTGCGGCTAACAATTCGCATCTGCGGCCGCTTATTGACGACGGAGTTCTAGCGGCTGGGAAGCGTCTTGTCGCATTATATCAACAGTGGGAGAGTGCTATGGGAGGTCCGAATTCGCCGAGCGTGGAGCAGAGCGTGCGCCTGATGGGTCATGTCGACGTGTATATCAATCATATTTCTAGTTCTTAGCTTTAAATCGATGTTACTCCCAGCGGAGACAAAAAGGATGAAATGAGTGACTTCAGCCCATGGCAGGAACATGTCCAAGTCCAAATTGTGGCGGTTGGCTACTAGTAGTCCATCAGACGGGGACAGTAGACATGCCCTGGCACTTGGATGTAGCAGGGCTGGGCTTATTCGGTTTATCTCCACTTCTCCGCTGTCTTATCAGGCCCGCCCGCTAAGTCTGGCGTGCATTGAAACAACGCGCCGGGGGGTTCGGAGCCGGCTGTGGAATATTCAGTGGACCTGGACTCCAAATCCGCTGCATATGCGGCAGTCGGCCGGTGAAGAATTCTCCTACTTAAGAGTCTCTCCATTGCTCAACAATGCAAATCTCAATCCGCTTCACGTCCAGAATCCTCCAACATGTTTGGCACTATGAGCTCGTTCCCGGAGGAACTCCCTGACTGGAACAACCTCGCTGTCATTCATCGTAATGTGCTTCCAGCAAGGGCGTCGTTTTTTAACTATACCTCAGCAGAGAAGGCGCTTAGCTACGACGAGAATGTGGCTGAGAAGGTCAGCTTGAATGGAGTGTGGAGGTTTCACCATGCCGACTCTCCATTCGAGGCTCCAGAACGCTTCATGCAACCCACATTTGACTCCTCTGGGTGGAAGGACCTCGTGGTACCTTCGTCGTGGCAGCTGGAAGGGTATGGGCGTCCGCAGTATTTAAATTCCAATTATGGTATCCCCGTTGATCAACCGAATGGTTAGTTTCGGGCCTCTGCAAGCGCCGCTTTCTTTCCTTTCATTCTTCTATTTTGATGTTTTTTCTCGCTAACGCACGCTTGGGCTACAGTTCCGTTCGAAGGGAACCAGACTGGGAGCTACATTCGAAGATTCACGATCCCCAGCGCATTCCAGGGTCACCAGCTACGTCTCCGCTTCGAAGGCGTGGACTCGGCCTTTCATTGCTGGCTAAACGGCACAGAGGTTGGATACTCCCAGGGCGCGAGGAACCCAACCGAATTCGACGTGACGCACCTCGCCCGGAGTGAGCATGAGAATATCCTCTGTGTTCGGGTGTATCAGTATTGCGATGGGTCGTACATCGAAGGCCAAGGTATGGAAGCACGGCGTCGATACAGCACAGCCACCTTGCTACCACCTACGTGCTAATGGATTCATGCCAGATCAATGGCGACTCTCCGGTATATTCCGCGATGTAAACCTGGTGGCCTTTCCCCAGAACCACATTCAGGATTTCCACGTGCGTACTAGATTTGATGACCAATACGTTGACGCGGTGCTGGAGGTGACAGTCCAACTTTCTACTGGGATGGTCCCCCTGGCCCATGAACTCTCAGTCGAGCTTTTCGACGAGACCAAGAGGGTGATTATCGCGCAGGCTACACAGACACGGATGTCCAACAACACAACCATTTTCATACCCGTACGAGCACCAAAGCACTGGACCGCGGAAACGCCAAATCTATACCACCTGATATTACGATTCGGAGCCCAAGTTATATCACAGCGAGTGGGGTTCCGCCAGGTGGAAATGAAGAACGGGCTCCTTGTCGTGAATGGGAAACGCGTGCTGTTCAAGGGCGCAAATCGCCATGAGCATCACCCTCGTTTTGGGCGCACTGTTCCCTACTCCCTCCTCCGCCAGGATCTGCTCATGATGAAACGGCACAATCTAAATGCTCTCCGGACCTGCCATCAGCCAAGTGATCCGAGATTGTATGATATCGCCGACGAGCTTGGCCTTTGGGTTATGGACGAGGCGGATCTGGAATGCCATGGCTACGACACGGTCGAGTCGCGGAATCTCTCGCAGACAGAGAGGCTGCTGACACCGCAAGAACAGCATGATCTTGCATTTAGTCGGGCGGGGGAATGGATTTCGGATAATCTGGACTGGCAGGAGGCATACCTGGACCGCGCCCGCCAGCTTGTTGGCCGCGATAAGAACCACCCATGTGTGGTGATCTGGTCTCTCGGGAATGAAGCATTCCAGGGGAGGAATTTCCAGGCAATGTACGACTGGATCAAAGCCTACGACGGGACAAGGCCGATTCACTACGAGGCGGATATCAAGGCCCGCATTGTAGATGTCGTGTCGACCATGTACCCTTCCTTGGACAAAGTCCGGGCCTTTGCAGAGGACTGGGACGGAAAGAAGCCTCTCTTTCTGGTTGAGTTTATGCATGCGATGGGAAATGGCCCGGGAAATATCAAGGAGTACTTCGACCTCTTCTACGAATATCCATGCCTGCAAGGTGGCTGGGCATGGGAGTGGGCAAACCACGGTCTCCTAACCCGCACCGATGAAGGCCAGGAATACTTTGGCTACGGAGGCGATTTCGGAGAAACTCATCATGATGGACATTTTATCATGGATGGACTATTGACTTCCGATCACCAGCCAGGGCCAGGTCTCCTCGAGTATCGCAAGGTAGTGGAGCCTGTCCAAGTGGTGCCTGGAGCTTCATCGATGAACTCGGTGCAGATAATAAACCGTTATGACTTCCGCGACCTCAACCACTTGAGCTGCACGTACCAGATTGTGGGTGATGGGTTTCACGTCCAAGGGGGTGAGCTCCCTATTCGCACTGTCCTTCCGGGGCAGGTAACCGATATAGACATTCCCATGTTACCATTGGACACCATTCCAAAGACGAAAGACGCCTTTCTCGAGCTGACATTTGCTGTGAAAGAGAGGGACTTGTGTTGGGAACGCGGCGAGGAAGTCGCCTGGCTGCAGATTCCTATTCAATCAGCTGCCAGTGCTGATCAGCCTGCACTGCTGCATACTGAGAATCACTCACCAGTTCAGATTAAAAAGGCCTCGCAGACCGTGTTAGACATCCAATCCACCAACTCGAGATGGGCCTTTGATCTGCTGCACGGTCAAGTTACTTCCTGGACAACAGGAACCGGCAAGATACTTCATGCTGGACCTATGCTGACGGTTTGGCGCGCCCCGACGGACAACGACGTGACCGTTGGGAAAGATTGGGCAGAGAAGGAAGTAAAGCATGCTCGTCCACACACGCGGCATGTTTCGTGGAGTGTCGACGAAAGTGCCAACCTGGCGGTCGTTCAATGCACGCAGCGTTTCGCTCCACCCTTGCTCGAATGGGCCATTAACACCACCATCACATACACTTTCTCGAACACTTCTGTGCTTATCAAGGTGCAAGGCAAGCCCCAAGGCCGCAACCTCCCGCAGACACTGCCACGTCTAGGTCTGACTCTTGCCCTGCCGTCCGAATTCACGTTGGCAACCTGGTTCGGCCGCGGGCCTGGGGAAAGCTACAGAGACAAGAAAAGCGCGCAGAGGTTCGGTCTGTATTCATCGGATGTATCCAATTTATCAATGGACTACGAATACCCGCAAGAGTCCGGCAATCGAACCAACACGCGGTGGGTGCGCTTTCACACCTCAGACAACAAGACGACGCTTGAGGCCAGATTCGTCGACCGCCCCGAGGGGTTCGATTATCAAGCTTCTCATTTCGAAGCAGGCCATGTTGAGCAGGCAGGGCATATTTACGAGTTGGAAAAGTTCCGTCGTCCGGAAGTTATTGTACGCCTGGATGCTGATCATCATGGATTGGGCAGTGAGAGCTGTGGTAGGTTTACCAGCATAATGGATATGAATCTTCGCTAATGTGGACATAGGGCCCCCTGCATTGCCTGAACACACTCTCAAATTGCAACCCTTTGAGTTTTCGGTGCTTCTCACGGCCGAGTGATCTGTTATCTGTTCGAAGTAGAATTAAGTAGAATTGTGACGCTTGCCTCTTTCCTGCTGTCGTTGCGTGACTGGGCCTTGTATCTTCATATAGACATGAAAATGAAACTTCACCGTGTTGTGGTATAAAGATATCGAGTATCTCTCTTCACCTATCGGAACCCTTGGTCGCGTACGGGCACAATCGATATCGATACAGGGCCCCTCCAGTCCCTCGTCGTGAAAAATGGATATGGAGCGTTACTTGGTCAGTCTCAGCAAAGGCAATATATAATTTAACATTATAAGACATCCGGCACGGACTGCCGTACAAGAAATATAGCTCTGAGGATAATGTACTGCGTAGTATTTTAATGCAAACCAATATCCAACTGTCCACTTCTATTGAATCCAGAATGGAAGATCAGAATTCTCGGGATATTCGCCATGTCTGTAGCAGCCCAAATGTAACTAGTTATATGATATAGATAGCATGCTCAATGACGAGCCTCCAGCACAGTGTGCACAGCATTTACCGATGGCTGTAGTTGTAACGACTTTCTAACCGGCTTCGGATCTTCGAAAATATCATTGATCTCCTCGAGGGTTCGGCCCTTTGCCAGAGTTAATAAGGTCTGGGTCCATGATGATGATGGAGAAAGGAGGCAGGCTTACCTTGGTCTCTGGGAAGAAGAAATACACCACCAACGTTTCAATGCAGTCCCAGAACACGAAGACAAGGTAATAGTAGTATCCCAGCTGGTCAATCGCCACCCCGGTTGTATATTGCCCAACGATGCCGGCGATTGAGGCCACAACCTGCGCGGCAGCGCCGCCCTTGGCTCGAGTTTCGAGGCTAAGACACTCAGAGATGTAGAAAGTCTGCAGGGGTGTTATGCAGAACGAGAACACAATGCTGAATAGGTAGATGAAGGCAATGCCAGCATGGCCAGCTGGCTGGCTTCCATCCACACTAGATGCCTTTGTCAAGCCCGTGACGACCGCGAGACACATCGCGCACCCCGAGAATCCTGCAAGAAGTAGCGGTCTGCGGCCGAGCGTGTCGCTGAACATTGCCCCCGTCATGGCAGAGATCCACGAAAAGACAGGGTTCAGCGCGTTCAGCAATAGCTGCGTGTGGGGATCACTGATTCCGGCCTGCGACACAATGACGGGGAAGTAGTAGCTCACCAGGGCATTCCCCGAGTACTGCCCAAACCACGCAAAGGCAAGGGCGCAGAGTACGCGGCGCCGGGCAGGGCGCGTCATGAAAAGCGAGCGGTAGTCCCACCATGCTGTGTCGAGGCTGTTGGGGGAGATCTGCGCCCGCATTTCGGCCATCTGTAGGCGCACAAAGGGATTCGCTTGCGAGCCTTCGCCGTGGTACTTGGCAAGGGTGGCCTCGGCTTCCTCGTACCGATTGTGGGCAATAAGCCAGCGGGGGGACTCGGGGCTGAAAAACACAGCCAGTGCAATGTATCCGGCGCTGACCAGTTGCAGCCACACGGGGAGACGGAAGGAGATTGTACCAGCCAGGTATGCGGTGCCGTAAGTGACCCAGGACGCGATGATGCTCCCTGCAAAGTAATTTGTTTCGAGGAAGCTGCACAATGGCCCGCGCCAGTAGGGATGTGCCATCTCTGTCACGTAGGTAATGCCGGAGACGTTGAGGAAACCCTGTCCGAACCCGACTAGGAACCGGCCACCCAGGAACATCCCCTTGTTGACGGCTGGGGCTTGAATACAGGTGCCGATAATGACGAAGCAAGCTCCAGTAAACATAGCCCAGCGGCGACCCCAGGTGTCGCTTAAGGGGCCGGTGAAGGGGAGTGCCGCAATCGCACCGATGTTGAACATGACGAACACAAGGCCCGTCGAAGAGCCTGCTGCCTTTCTATACGAGGATGAGCACGGGCTAAGGTTGGGAGGACGAGGGAGTACGGACAAACCAAAGAATTCCTGATACTGTGGCATTGCATTGATTGCCCCCATCAACGAGCCGTCGAAGCCTTGGAGAATGATACAGAAATACCCCGGCACCAAGACAGTGAACAGCCGGAGCATTGGGAGTGAAAGGGCCTTGGGATGGGCATCTTGAATCTCTTGGACCAGACCAAGGACTGACTGCTGTTTTTCAACAGAGCCGTCCGCTGTAGCTGTCTCGACCCTTTCCTCCGTAACCTTCGGGTCAGTCGACATCTTGTTCAGTTTTCAGTAGAAAAAAGTCGTTATTTGGTTGCTGATGCTGCAAAGCGCAAGACTTCCAATCGAAGCAGACATTTGCGCTGCATTAATAGTCAAGGACCGATTGAAGTTGCAAATTCTGTCCTTACTCCCCACGCCAACTCCGCACACATTCCCCAGAACCTAACGCTCCCTCGTGTGTGCGCCACTCGGAGAAGGTGACGGAAAAGCATTTTATAGGCCAGTTATAGTGTATGGATCACTCAACGCTAAACTGGCGGGTCCACAGCGATCGTACTTGGTCCTGGCAGAGGAATCTGGATTAAGCCGATACTACTAATCGCAATGCTGTCTGACGAGTTGAAGGCTGCTTTCTACTCCCAGTCGGTCGGAAGTAACTCGAGCAGCAGTAGACTGGATGGCATTCGCGGTTACACGATATTTGACAAGGAGCTGTATTAAATTGGTTTACTTCAAGGCTGGAACAATAGATAGAGCAAGGTAATGCATTGTTAAAGAATGACTATGAGTTGGACACAAGTATAACATGGCCTTCAGCTGCGATACAGGATAGCAGTGGCCTTCACCGGTAAGACTATCCTACACATCTTCCCCCCCTACAATCCGATTGAGAGCCCCCGGTCAAATAATTCACAAATCCCCAAAAACAGCCACACTGTCGCGAACCTGCCCATCGCTCTCGACCAGCAGATTATCCTCGCAGCTGGACCCTAGTGCCCCGTTATCAATCCACATGGGCTCCCAGTAGTACAGTCCAACACCCCCGGCAGAGCTGACAGCATTTGCAACCTCTGATAAGAATGTTGTCTGTCCATCGATCGAGAAAGGGATCGGCTGCAGGTCGGCCGGGAATGTATATTCTGGGTTGGGACAAGACACAGGCCAGTTCGTTTCCACAACGAGGACATCGTGGTTGTACGTTGATACAAGGCTGGCTATGGTGCTTTCCAGGGATGACAAGGTGGCCTCTTCGTTGAAGAAGGGATAGTACGAGACACCAATAAGGTCAAAGTCCGACGCCTCTAGTATGCCTGTAGCGAGAAGGGAGTCGTAGAAGTACTGCTGTTGGTCCCAGCTCCAGCCATTGTCGATGTGGATCATGATCTTCGGGGTCTCAGAAAGGTGCGAGGCCTTGACTGCGGACGAACCGGCGTGCAGCAGTTTGGCAACATTGTCAAAGTTACTAATGTCACCAAGGGGCCAGAGTAAGCCATTCCGGATCTCGTTGCCGATGGAGATAATCTCGACTGGGATTTTGCTTGCCGCGAAGGTGTTTAACACGTTCAGCGTGTAGTTATAGACCTGGCTAGAGAGGGAGTTGATATCCGTGGTCGACCAGCCTGAGGGCGTGGTCTATATGAATCTGGTCAGCAATCGTGGCTCTGTGTCGCTGCCAGGAAGAGCCTACCTGATCGCCCGGGTCTGCCCATGTATCACTCAAATGCAGATCCAAGTAAATGCTGTGACCAGCTGCCTGGCTGCGTTTCGCAAGCTCCACGTTGTAGTCCAAGTTGTAGTTCCCATCGCTGGGGTTCACCCACAGACGCTGTCGGATTGAATTGACTCCATTGTCAGCAAGGATGGCCTCCAGGGCCTGGGCTTCGCCGTTGAGGTTCTTGTACTCGATCCCGGCGTTTTCTTCGACCAGAAGCGAGGAAATGTCCGCCCCTCGATAGGTGAGGGCAGCATTGGCAACAACTGGAAGCGCGAGAAGAGTGGAAGTGAAAAGCATGGTGTTTGTCAGGGAGGGCAATGCTGGATGATAGTAGGAGTTGCAACCCACTGTCTGTCCCTTTATACCATCTTGAAGATGATCACCGTCTGACCATATCGTCGGATCTGCATTAGCCCAGAAATTCCAGGACTCCAAGCCCCACGACAGGGATAAGCGCAGTGCATACGCGATCTCCCCACCCGGGGATGATGGAGCCGGGGTGGAGTCGTGGGCAGACCGCGTCACCATCGCTGGTTCTCTTTAATCCGTGCTTTTCCGCCATCGCTGGATTCACCCGGCCTGCAGTCACGATGGCCCGGTTTCGCGTTACCCGGGCCTGCGATAGATGCAAGAAGTAAGTTCGCGTGCCGATTTTAGATTGCTTCATTGCTGCAGTTTGATTCATCCCCCGCAGACGAAAGATCCGGTGCAATGGACTGCAAGCGTGCGAGACATGCGTCGACCGCAACCACTCCTGCACGTACACTGCCCCGTACTGTCGAGGTAGGCTGCCTCCACGGATTCAGGATCATCAGGAGAACCGACCGCCATGTCCTGCATCGGTCGAGCTCGCGCCCACTGATCTCGATGGCCATTACTTCGGCCCAGCCTCTGAACCTGCGTTTTTGCTGCAAGTCCAGAGGTCCCTGAACCCATCCCCGTCGGTATCGCGCGTCTTGTTGACGTTTTCGTCATCCGATGATCCATTGCCGTCTCTTGAACCTGCCCTAGAGGATGCCATGACCCCGGAAAAGACGGCCCAGATGGTGCAGCTCTTCTTCGACTGCGCTATGCCGGTTGGGCAATTCGTCCACCGTCCAACTGTTGAAAGCTGGGTTGCCAATCCATCATCGGACTCACAGTTGCGCTCGCACCCACGCAGAGCTTTACTACACTCGATGTTTGCTATTGTTGAACAGCACATGAACCCGGGAGATACCAGTGCAAGGTCGGTCAAATTGCTCGAGCCTTCTCTCGGGCTCCCACCCTGTTGCTAATATGCTTTAGTCGGGGTCACTTTGCCGCAGCACAGCTACAGCATCAGATTCCCATCACCTTGATCAACATTCAAGCCCACCTGTGCCAGTGTATCTGGCTTCTTAGGGAGTCGCAGATCAGTCAATCTTGGGAGCTGCTAGGAGTAGTTGCCCGGCACGCTCTCGCTATCGGTCTCCATCGAGCCTCTTACCTCCGTGACGCTTCACACTATCATCCAGTCAGTGCCGAGTCCTGTCGCCGGACCTTTTGGTGCCTTTATTCATTAGACAATTGCCTTAGCATAGCCCTCGGAAGACCAAAAACACTAAATGATCTTGATATTGACCAGGAGTTACCGCGTTTAGAAGAGGAACTAGGAGACGTCGAAAACCAGCCGTCGCTCTCTTTGGAGGACGGAAACGCTGCCCTTCTCGCAACCGTCGCATATTTCAGGTATAACACCGTACGTCCTCGGGTATTATCAAAACTGAACAGATTTACGTTCCCAGGCTGGGACGGATAATTAGCAAAGTACTTCGAGACTTCTATTCGTGTTCCCCACGCTCCGTCACTGAGCAGATGGCCCTTGTCACGGAGCATCTACAATCCCTGCAGGACTGGAGAGAGGAATTCTGCAAGGTTTCCATTCCACAGCATTCTGACCCGGGGGCGTCGGATCGGACTACACTGCTCCTGAGGGACTTTCTAGATTTAGTCTCGTCGCACGCAACTATCCTAATCACACGGCCGTTGCTGCTCGAGAGTTTGGCTTCATCCCACGCCGCCAGCCGCACCCACACCCACACCGTTGACAAAAAACGAGATCTCGAGTTTCGCGTAGGCCAGTGTGAGGCGGCTGCATTGAACATAACGGATATCTTATCCGACATCGATTATGCAAAGCGCATGGCCCGCGCATTTTGGGTTTGCTACTCACACCCCCCAAGGTCCATGGTATGGCCAGCTAACATCGACGTTCCAGTTCACCCCATTCATTGCATTGTCGCCTATCACCGTGCTTTACTCCTGCTCGTGTAGAGGCCTGGCGCTTGCGCAGCCTGTCACGAATCACCTCCCGGCAGCGAGTCGCTGTCAGACAGTGTTGTTAAACATCGTCAGGGAGGACTCGTTAGCGGCAAAATATGCCTTGTTGGTAGAGGATATACGGCCTCGTGTCTGAATAGTGGAGATATATTCTGTGTCACGGGCTTGGATTGTTTTCAAGGATGCATCATATAACTCAGTAGCAGATAAGTGCATGTGTACGGCAGTATTCAGCCGATTACTTCGGTGCCAATACATAAATCTACGATTCCCCCTGGAAAGGCTTAACATCCGGCTGGCAAGTGGTATTAGCTGGAGGTAGCTCTTCACGCAGAATATATTTCTGAAGCTTCTCGAGCAAACACGTGGGCGCACTAGCAAATATAGTATACCCAGGTGAATTTTGTGACAGGACTGTAGAGCCTGAGAACACGGAGGCCATTCTATATACCCTATAAGAATAATATTAGTTAGCGAATACAGATATTAAGGATTTATTAAGGAGCATACCCTCTCTTAGGCGCGACGGGATCAATTTCTATAGTGATAAACAGGATCAGGTTTACAGTATATCTAGTTGCGAGAATAGACTCTACAAGGCTGCCAGTCTTTGGAGGAGTCACATCGAAGGACCTATATAAGACCCTGTTTACATTAGTTAGCTAGACTTTACTAAAGAAGCTACTTTACTTAGTTAAGTCACTTATATATAGCCTATACTGGCTGAAGGTCTTGGGAATCTGATTATAACCCGGGCTGGCTCCCTTATCAGCACATTTAATCAGTATTTGGATATCCTTTATGCCTGTCTCCGGATAGTTATAGTTGCATGGATCTGCCGGTATTGAGAGCCCGGTTACAGCAGCCACGTACCCTATAATGTTACCCTTCTCTGAGGATAAAACGGTATCCGCAACCTTTAGGAATTCTTAGAGTAGTGTATACATTACCTGCACCATGTATTACTTTAGATCAGAATATATCGCCAGCAGTGGCAGTAGACAGGCTTTTAAACAAAAATAGGGATAGGATTGACTTTCAAGCCCTGCAATATCGTATCCAATCTGGATCTGATCTTCCCTGGACCATTGCTCCAGAATGAGCAGTTATTTAGCCCAGCCTCGAAGCAGGTATCAATAAATGAGTCGACTGCCTTGTCCGCGTTGTACAAGTTCGACCTCCACCCGACGCCATAGTAGTCTTCTGCATCGACAACGCCATCAAGCTTCATCCTACCAGCACGCTCTGGGAAGAGATGCGCGAACGTACAGCGCTCCAGTCGTTCAGTGTGATGTTGGGGGACTTTCGTGAAGACATCGCAGCGGCCTGGGCGTATGCGATGACTGCTGTAAAATAGAGAGCCTTCATTGTGTACATGGCTGAAGGATTATGGAGGAAAGGGCTTATTTCTCTTCTGTCGGGATGCCAAGGGTCAAATATATAGCATGTTGCTGGTAGGCACCGAATGCCGGAGGGTCTAGCTTCAATATTTATCATGGAGAAGTAGTATAAATTGAACTCTACTACCAGCGTTTAATACAGGCTAATTGCATTTTCAGCTTAAGATGCAGGCGCAACATTCTTGTAGTAATACTGCGCAGCAGCATCCATGAGCGCCTTGACTCTGGCCGCAGGAACCTTCTCCCTCCGGTCATACGAGTAAAGCCCGTTGACTTCCTGTTCAATATCGGAGCTGAAACTGTTAGTAGGATATATACTCGGGGGAGTGTAGAGCTTACAGCTGGGTGTAAACAAATCCGCACGAATGCCCACCCTCCACCACAGCCATGAACAACTTCTCCAACCGCGCAAGCAGATCATTCGGATCAGCTGCAGTCGTGTATCCCCAATCCCGGTCGGACGCCTGAGCCCCCTTTGCCGGAGCGATATTGACGCCGCCCATTTCCGAGCAGATCACCGGGGCGCCGGGCTTGTGTTTCGAGCCGGGATCGATGACGCTGGATCCTTGGGTGATTGGATCCAGGAACATCTCGCCGTTCAGCTTGCGAGCCAGGATGCCGCCTTCCATCTTGGAGCAGATGTTTGCGAGTTCTGCGGAGTCGCTGTAGTCGTGGTATGTTGTCAGGTCTGTCTGGACGTGTTCCCAGCCGCAGTTGTCGTTGATAGGGCGCGAGGGATCGAGGGATCTGTCGTTATTAACACCTGCTTGGTCAGAATACGGTGGATGACTTACTTTGTGGTCTTGTAGAGCGACCGAATATGGCTCCGTTCCTGCGCGTTGTCCTTCAGGTTCTTGTATGCCCAGCTCTCGTTCACTGGGGTCCAGACAACAATACATGGATGGTTTCGATCGCGCTGGACGACCTGCGCCCACTCGTCGTTGAACCTGTCGACGTATTCTGCACTGAATTCATACGCATTCGCGATCTCACCCCATACGAGGTACCCAAGTCGGTCCGCGTAGTAAAGGAACGCCGGGTCTTCGACCTTCTGGTGCTTTCTACACCCGTTCAGGCCCATGTTCTTCGCGAGGATAATGTCCTCCTTCAATGCCTCTGCTGAGGGAGGCGTAAGGCCCGTCTCGGGCCAGTATCCCTGGTCCAGACAGAGCATCTGGAAGTACGGCTTGCCGTTTAGTCGGAATGTCCCATCCCCATTCTCCCACGTCACGCTTCGCATACCAGCAGTGGTCTGCACCTCGTCAAGTACAGTTCCATCTGGACCAGCCAGTTGCAGAACGACATCATATAGGACCGGATGATCAGGCGCCCACAGTGCGACGCCATTATGCCACACCCCGTCACCAGAAAAAATCCCTTCTTTCGGGACTGCACCCTCAGCAACACGCACATCCACCTCAAAGGCCCCTGATCCCTGGTTAACCGGAATATCGACCTTTGTCTTCCCAACAACAGTCCCAGACAACGAAGTGGTGACAGAAACAGTAGATCCACCACTAGCTGGCACTCCAGAAATCGCAATCTGCCCCCTAAGCTTCCCACTCTCGACATCATCCCCCCTCAACACCGTCCCCGCACTGCTATCCCCAATCCTCACACTAGGGACAACCTCAAGCCAAACATTCTGCCAGATCCCACTCGTCGGCGTATAGAAGATACTCTCCGGCACAGGCCCCCAGTACTGCTTCCCACGGGGCTGGGTAAGATCCGTCGGCGAGTCGCGAACACGCAGCGTCACGCGAGCCTCACCACCGGGCGCAGATATCGAATCCGAAATATCTACATCAAAGGGTACATATCCGCCCCTGTGCTTCGTGACAGTAACCCCATCCACCCAGACTTCAGACTCGTAGTCGACTGCCCCGAAGCGGAGGAGGAGGCGGTTCCGTGCTGCGCGGTCGCGCTCGGTGCGGATGTCTTTGATGCGTCGCTCGTACCAGATGACTTCGTGGGCTTCTTGGAGGTTTATTCCTGAGGCGGGGGTTTGGAAGGCGTAGGGGACGGTTATTTTGGTGGATTGGGATGGAAGGCCTGTGGAGGGCCAGTTCTGGGAGAGGCCGGTGTTGGTGTCGTCGAAGGTGAAGGACCAGGGGCCGTTGAGGGAGGTCCAGGTTAGGGATTTGCGGAGGAAGTCGGGGCGGGGGTATGTTTGGGACATTGTCAGAGATAATTGTTCATTCAGGTTAATGATTGACTTGCAGTGGAAGGTAGTTGCTGTTGTTGTTGTTCTTATGAGGGGGAGATACAGATACCCCGCGGATGACGTACACTCCGATCCATACTTGATGAAGTAACTATATTTATAGAACACTATATTCACGACATACACTATATTATGCAAGAATATCACGCAGTGATTCACTTGCATCTTCAATTAGTCGGATACTCTGCATCACACTCGGTGACACCCCATGTCCCGGCACCCGCATCCACTGCGTCAGGTACTTTCCGAGATGAGGTCCTATCTCTGTCATATTTTCTGGAAGACAACTTTGTAGGGAGCTCTCTCTTGCAGTCGCCAGGGCAATAAGCATGACAGACGCCATCCTATACCAATCAGCAAAGGTGAGTGAATGGGAAGGCGGTAGGCATACGAAAGGGAACAAATCCACGTATCAACCATGATGGTCTGCGGAAACCCATGCAGGTTCTGAGCATGCAGACAGCAAGCCTGGATACACGTTTTACATCCTTCATATACGGCTGGAGATACTGTTTCACCTCGCGTTGTAAGTGAGAGTGCCCAGGTGAGGTACGGTCGGTATATCACGCTTTTACAAGTTAGGTACCGCTGGCGCAGGAAGCCAGCTTCGGTGGACTTTGCTGGTTCACAGTCCTGGGTGAATTGGAAAGGCGGCGGAAGGAGGTCTTTCCATTTCTCTAGCTGGTGGTCGAGCTCTGCGACGACGGACGGGAATTGGTATATATCTGAGGCGACGCCGTTGTTCCGTGCGTAGAGAAGGTCGTGGACTCGGTTGAGAAGGCGGCGCATGGATATGCAGGCGAGGAAGTAAAGAGAGGATTGTTCTTCTGTTGTCGGATTGGTGTGAGTGTGATATTCTCCTGGTAGTGGGATGGACGATTCGATATCGGCGATTCCCGTTTGAGGCAGCGCGGCGAGTTCGGCGAGGTAGTCACTAGCCGGTTAGAGAGGCAGCCTAGATTGAATGCAACTAACCTTTCTAAAATATAACAGGACCAGAATATGCGACGGAGGCACTCGAGATGTTGTGGTTTAGCGTCGGAGGTGGGATATGAGAGTAGTAAGCGGCATTTGACTGCGGCAGCGCTGATGAAAGACCACGCTTGTATAGGCCGTTGCAGGAAGGCGAAGAATAGGCTACAAAGTCAGCTTGTTATGGCAGGCAAGGGGAGTACTTACGCTGTGAAGAAGAGGCATTGTACGGCCTCTGTAGTGCACTCCGCCTGGGCAAGATGAATCTTCCTGAAGGAAAGGTCAAAGTATAAGCCGCTCATAAGCTGCCATCGATGTCGCTGCTCCAGCTCTTCAGCACTCGCCATTGTATCTGAGCCAAGAGAGCGTATCAATTCGCTAGCGCAGCCAAGGGCCATAACGAGCAAGGCCAGACAAGAGGCGATGTCCTCATCTAGACTGTTTGACAGGATCTGGATCTCCACCTCGGTACTCCTGTTCCGGGATAAGGTTGGGTACCAGAAGTTGACATTCTGCTCAAAGCTTCGAAGAATGACATCAATCTCTGATTTACCTACATATGGCAAGGTTGCAGTGGACCGATGCTTGAGCGGGGAGCGCTGGCTTTCCAGGAAAAACACAGAGCCCTGATAGTTCTGGCGCAGCGGGTGGAAGTCTTTGAAATGCGGCCAGGCCAGGATCGACTCGGTCGTTGACGAATGGAATTGCGAGAGTGTCGCATTGGAGATCTGGTCAGGGGATGTGCCAGGACGATGGGAATCCACTGTCGGAGGGGAGAAGAATGCAAGGGGGGACGAAGCTATTCGGGGGTCTACGGGGGTGGTTGGGGCCAGAGCAGTCTGCTATGATACAGTTAGGGCTGCGATTATGGACAGGGAGTCTTACCATATGGGCAGACATCTCACGCAGCAGATTCTCTGAGCGGAGAACCACATCGAGGATCAGATCGGACTTGCTCTTGCTGCGTTCGTCAGTCAAGTCGGGAATAGGCTTGGACCTGGACTAACGGTATTGCTTCAGCGCCGTAGAGACAGTCTTCGCCTGTTGCCGAACAGGTTGCACATGGCTGACGGCCATCGCATCTAGAGATGTTAACTCGGGGCTCTCGGGAGGAATCAACTGCATACCGGACTTTGCGATGGCGGCACGCGTCGCACTGGCTAGTTAGTCTCTATTGCAGTTTCAGATTCAAGACAATTACCGCGTGAGAAGTCCTCTTTCGCTTCCTGGAATCCAGATCTCCATCCATTATTCCAGCAATGCTCACAAGTGAACGATCGCGTGGTCGATGTGAGTTGGACCACACTGAGGTGCTGAGGCAACACACTAATATAACTAACCAATCGCGTGCAGCACTGTTCGTCCATTAAAGCGGGGGATTTCGTTCGATTGACTCGCTTCGGTACCGACATCCCCGAGACGCTTTGACGGCTCTAGCTGGATCAAGAACCGCAGCCCCGTGGGGAAATTGCCTAATCCTGGCTAGCGACGAGCAAGGGGCTTCTTTTTATCCCGTGCCTGCTGCTCATTGGATATCTCTTTTGCCGTTATTGGGTGGCTTCGTGTGTCGGCATAATGCAGAAATATAAGAAGTCCGCGTGCTGGTCAGAGACTGCCAGATTCACTCCAGATCCAACTAGCATACCATCATGGTTGAGGAAAAGAAGACATCCGAACATGGGGAGAGGGAAGAGACCGCGGGGGAGGTGGAGGAAGTCAGGGTTGCTCACGATGCTCTGAACATGAAATACAGCCCCTTTACGCTGTCAATGTTTCGACTTTACCTGTGTCTTATTATCCCATATCTATGCGGCTGTCTCAATGGGTACGATGGCTCATTGATGGGAGGACTGAATGGGATGGACTCATATCTGGCCTTTTTCAACATGTACGCAACCAAATGTCCACCGCTCCTCCATCTCTAACGCGACTAGGAAAACCTCTGGTTCGAGCACTGGCATCGTCTTTGCCATCTACAATATCGGCTCCATCCCCGCTGTCTTTTTTACTGGGCCGGTCAACGACTACTGGGGGCGTCGCATGGGCATGTTCATTGGCGCCTTGATCATCGTTATAGGAACCTGCATCCAAGCGCCGTCTGTCAATAGGGGCATGTTCCTTGCAGGTCGATTCATCTTGGGATTTGGTGTGAGCTTCTGCTGCGTTTCTGCGCCGTGTTATGTCAGTGAGATGGCTCATCCAGCGTGGAGGTATATACCCCCTCTATATAACGTATACCCGCTAACATATTTATAGAGGCACAATTACTGGTTTGTATAACACGACATGGTAGGCACATCTAACACCTATGTGAAATTACGCTGACGTTATAGGTATATTGGGTCTATTCTTGCCAGCTGGGTCGTGTACGGGTGCGCCAAACTCGACAACCCAGACTCGTTTCGCATTCCCATCTGGTGCCAACTCATTTCATCGGCCTTCGTTGTCCTCGGGGTCTGGTTCATTCCAGAGTCACCGCGCTGGCTGATGGCACAGGACCGCAGTGAAGACGCCGCCAAAGTTCTCGCAAAATACCATGGAGACAAGGACCCAGAGCATCCCATCGTCGTGCTGCAACTCAAAGAAATGCAGCAAAGCATCGCCACTGACGCCTCCGACAAGAAGTGGTGGGACTACCGTGAGCTCTATACAGGACACTCCGCCCGTCGCAGACTTATCTGCGTGCTCGGTATGGCCTGCTTTGGACAGATCTCTGGTAACTCGGTCACCTCGTACTATCTGCCTGTGATGCTTGAGAATGTGGGAATAGTTACGGAAAGCCGCAAGCTGCTGCTCAACGGTATATACCCACCTTTGTCATTTATCGGTGCTATAACGGGTGCAAGGATGACCGATACAATCGGACGTCGTCCACTACTCATATACTCTCTGTTGTTCTGCTCTATCGCCTTTGCCATTATGACGGGCACATCAAAGCTGGCCACGGATGATCCTTCGAATACAGCCGCCGCGAACACCACTATCGCGTTCATCTACTTATTCGGGATTATTTTCTCCTTTGGCTGGACACCGCTGCAATCCATGTACATCGCTGAATCCCTGACAACAACAACCCGCGCCAAAGGCACTGCAGTTGGTAACCTTGCGTCCTCGATCAGCGGTGCCGTGATCCAGTACAGCTCGGGTCCGGCATTTGAAAACATCAAGTACTACTTCTATCTGGTCTTTGTATTCTGGGACCTGATTGAGATTGTCATCATGTGGTTCTTCTTCCCTGAGACGAAGGACCGCACGCTCGAGGAGCTGGAGGAGGTCTTTTCTGACCCGAACCCTGTCAAGCGCAGTCTGATTAAGCGTGATGAGACGACGGTTCTGAAGACGATGCATGTTGAGAATGCTGAGACTAAGGAGATACAGGTATAGTACCATGGTAGCTGCAGTGATGCGGTGTTGTATTTAATTACATATCGGTAATGGATTTACATTTATGAACTGCTTTGAATATTATATATTAAAGAACACTTGCTTTGCTGGCTACATACAAATCCGACCGTATAATACACCCACTCCTATGCTTAAACCCTAGCCCTTTGTAATTCCTCGCTCGTCAGCGGAGCCTGACAGCTTATACACCTCGAGGTACTCGTCCCGCTGTCAAGTTCTGGCCACTGGTCTCTTCTCTTGTTGTAGACCGGGCAGGACCGGGTGGACTGCTGCCGGCACGAAACGGCCTCGCTGATGCTGTTGGTGCAGGTGTTGATGACGCACTTTTTCACCGATAGGTAGCACATTGCTGATCAGGTTAGTTTTCCGCGGTGGGCTTTAGGTATCTGCTGACTCACTGTTAGTGCGATGGTGAAGGGGTGATATCTTGGAAGGCTCAGGATGCGACGTTCGTCCAGCAATGTGAAAGCGCAAGAAGCGGGGAATATCTGGTATTTATACAATCTGGATGTCAGCACGATTGATAACGACCCCGCTCGTTGAGCTCCTGACTCTTGGGACTCAGCCCTCGTATCGTGGCGGGCAGTGATTGGAGGCTTCTTCGTTATCGCCAGTCTTGACCATTTATATTATACCCATATATATTGCAGCCTCCCGTGAGAGCTCATCGATTGGCGAGGAATATAGATCCATCATGTGATGACATCGTTAACAGGAAGAAGGGTCTCATTTCCAACGTTGCTAGCGATTCCCTATTCGCAGCATCAGATAAGCTCAAGCATGAGGAAACTTTTCCAGAATATCCCCATATGTTAACGCGAATGGTGTCCATACCGGTCGAAATGCGATTGAGATTCTCTGCATAAAAATACAGCGCATAAAGTACTCCGAGCGCTCAGCTGTGGGGGATTGTCTATGCATGTAGATCTTTGCAGTGGTGGCGCTGATGGTATGATCGGTTCATAAGGGGATTATGGATACGGGGGTTCAATTTAAACATGATTATACGGTGTACATACCGGGCTGTACATTGCTGCCTGGCTAGGAAGCTCGATGGCAGGACAGCACGCTTATGTATGGGCTAAATGCAGGAGTGGCGATCGCCACGCCGTTGATTTTGCATGAAGAACGGATCACTGGCTTAGCTGGTGTCATGAATTGCTTGGGATGGAATTCCTTCTCCAGACTGTATTTATTGCTGGACCGTCACTGGTGCTTTTCCAGGCCTGCTCGTGTTCAGCACAACAACCTTGTCCATCAGCGTTGATCTGTCCCTAACAGCAGCGCCAAGTTAGCCCCCAAAACTGTGATTGCCTGCCTCATTGGCCCAGTGTTTTCTCAGCCTGTCAAGATGCAGATCAGCGCAGAGGCTCAGACGGAATGAGACCCTTTCGAGGAGGCTGTGTGCATGCAGGGCTGTTGGTTTAAACTCAGGCACCGCCCATGTCAGTTTCTCACGCCGTGCGCTGACTTCGCTGGATGGGCCGAGCACGCACTCAATCCACTCGCAATCATGGGGAATCCAAAGTCCCTCGTCCTGTCGCTCACTGCCCCGCAACGCCACGGTAGCCTGGGGGATGATGTCGAGAAGGTACCGCAGCCCAGGGAATCTCGCGCAGGCAGGGTGGAAAAGTGGAAGCGCATGCTATATATGGGCTCGATGACGTCGGCCACAGTCCTGGTGCTCAACCTGGTCATGGTCCTGTGGGCGAGTCTTCGCCATTCCGAGCATGGACAGGGTATTCTGCGTGTGGACAATTGCGACCGTATCAAGCAGCTCAGCACCGGAATACATTTCCTAATCAACTTTCTCAGCACGCTTTTGCTGGCTACTAGTAACTTTGCCATGGTATGACTCCGTGTTCTCTTTATTGTTCAGCATGGTGTTGAGACGACTTCTGCAGCAATGTCTGGCTGCACCGACCAGGAAGGACGTGGATAGGGCCCATGCGCGAAGCAAATGGCTTGATATTGGCGTCCCCAGCGTACGCAATCTGTGGCAGATCCCGAGACTGCGCATGCTCCTCTGGCTTTGTCTTGCTCTGTCGTCTGTGCCTCTGCACCTGTTGTATGTTGCATCTAGCCATGTGGTGATCGCACGCTGATGAAGCAGTTACAACTCCACGGTCTACTCCTCCCTTTCAGTCAACATCCCCCATATCTTCGTGAGCAACTCGAGTTTTCCTTCCTTGACTGCCGACGAAATCACGACCACATACGATGCACAACTTAGAAAGGCGAAGGGTGCAGACGCCCCACTACCGTGGTTTCTGAATCTTCAAGCCGCTCTGAGGCTCCTGCGGATTTCGGGCTCGCTGGAGCGCCTCCCGCCAGAGGAATGTATCTCGGCGTATGCTACCGACTTTATATCCAAATATAACAATTTGATCCTCGTCAGCCCGGAGTTCAACGGATCGGTAGTACCCATCGAATATCTTACTGCCCAGATCCCCCCGAGTCCCATCCAGTATACTGACGTCGCGTATTATTGGATATGCAAGGACGACGCCAATTGGTACGAACCGAGCTATTGTACGGACAGCAAGCTTTCTGAGATTCGCGCGCAGGACGACTGGGTCGTGGAGGGTTACAAGGTGGACTACTGTCTGGCAGAGAAAACGCAAGACAAGTGCCAGCTCGAGTACAACATGCCGCTTGCTATAGTGGTGATTATAGCCAACCTGGCCAAGGCCATCCTGATCTGTCTTGTAGTGTTTCTACTCGAGGATAATCCTCTGCTAACAGTCGGTGATGCTGTGGCTTTCTTCCTGCGGTCTCCTGATGATGCGCAAGACATAAACTGCCTCTTCGAGCGTCCGATGCTGTCTGGCATACGTGGGAGACCTGTCCCTGTCGATAAACCGCAAGCATATATTGCGAAGCCAAAAAGGCGGTGGTCATCCCTTTCTAGGGCTCGCTGGGCTAGCTTTCTCTCAATGTGCGTCACCCATCTCACTTCAATCCACAATAGCTAGCTAAAATTGGTTGCTAGATACATTTTGTCTTTAGCCGTCTCGCTTGCCTTCATAGTGCTAGGGCTAACCAAAATGAAATACTCCGAGAACATTTGGAGCTCTGGCCTGGGAGCCATTCAGTCCAATACAATGGTCTCGAATAACGACTGGCCTGGGGAACTGATTCCCAACGTCCTCATGGCAAACATACCTCAGCTCATATACTCCCTCCTCTACGTCCTGTCTAACGGCATCCTGACAAGCATGGCTCTCGCGGACGAATGGAACTCCTTCTCCCGCCGCAGCAAGGGACTACGCGTGTCAGCATCTCCCAGGGGCCATCAACAGTCGTCGCGCTTTCTATCTCTGCCTTATCGCTACGGAATACCGTTCATTTTCTTTTCAGCATTCCTGCACTGGCTTATCTCCCAGAGTATTTTCCTAGTGCGAGCCAATGCCTATGATGACAAGAATATGAGGGCGTCTGATCACGACGTCATGACACTGGGCTATTCACCGCTCGCAATCGTTATTACAATCTGCGTGGCTGTACTCATGCCAATCGCGTTCTGCTTCATGGGCTGCAGGCGCTTCAAATCAGGGATGCCGGTTGCCGGGAGCTGCAGTCTTGCAATTTCTGCGGCTTGTCATCCGCGGGCTAAGACTGACGATGCCAATGGCAAATTATACGGTATTGAATATCGTCTTCTGCAATGGGGTGCTGAGCCTGGTGTCCCAGGGGATGGAGAGATTGGGCACTGCACGTTCTCGGATGGCCATGTTACCATGCCAGAGGATGGGGTGTTATACCGATGAACTGATATACCTTTGTCCCACGTATCAGAAGCAGCCCCGTCAGCCGGCTTATCCTGCGCACCAACGGGGACTCGGCGGACTGGAGGGTTTCCCCAAGAGGGGAGCTCCGCCCCTATACTTCCGCTGATATACCGCGGGAATCCGTAGATATCCGCCGATAACAACCCCATTAACTGTTCATTTGCCACTGATCTACAACACGAGGCGCTCCGGTGCGTTCCCATTGAATATAGACAGCGCATCTCCGCACAAGGCTCTCGGGTGTGGCATGTATTGATTGGGGCTTACCAAGGCATGTGACCACCTGCTGGGATGACGATGCATCAATGTATGGACGATCGGAAATCTCACCCTCTTCCCCTCCTGCTCGCCCCCAGGAGCGGAGCGGGGATATGTAGCGGAAATATTTATTATCCTCGTCTTCCCAATTGATTTGGTGTTCGTCAATTGCAACACAAGCCGCGCAGAATTCGGTGTTCAAAATGCCCCGACGTCCTACTATCTCCCCGGACGACCTGAAGACGCTTTCATCTCTCGTTGGCGACGACAAGAGCCCAAGCCTTGCCCGGACTATTCGGCTTGCTGTGTCGACTATCAATGACTTGGAAGCTGATCTGCGCAGTGCCGACCAGGCATGTGAACAGCTAACGTCTAAATGGGACGAGCTCTATAACGACGGGCGGGAACTCAAGAGTAATAATGTGGCTCTGCAGAGGGCCATGGGAATGTTGGAGGAGAGGCTGAAGAGGCTAGAGACAAGCAATAATTGTTTAACAGCCGACCATGATGCAAGTGAAAGGCAGCTTGGTGAGCTGCAGGACAAGTACGCCAAGCTGCAGGCAGAGCACAAAGCATTGGAGGCGAGCAATGCGCGAATTCATCTGCAGCTGGGTAAAGCCATTAGGCTTCCTAACGCCAGCTGGGACGACTGCCTAGGTAAGAGAGCTGCCGTATCGAGGCATCCGTATAGTTAAGGAGTGCGGCTGACAACGCTATACACTACAGCGCGTACCGCAGAACTTGCAAATTCCGAGAGGGACCATGCGCCCTGCAACGATCAAATAGTTAGAACACAGGAACAGGCGAACAACAGAATCTCCGCCGCTAAAGAGCAGCGCGACCATGCGAAAGCGGAGACTGCTCTCGTTCAAAAGCAAAAGGCGGATGCAATGAAGCTGTAAGACCTTCACGCTTTGTACATTACTGGCCCCCACTAACCTTTATCTTTCTCATGCAGGATCCAGCAGTTTCACAGAGTGTGGTATGCGTTTGTGGAAGCCTGGAGTGCCTGCCTTCCTCCCAACAGCAAGGTCTGCGGACCAGCCATATACCAGGCGTGGGGGCATCTATGCCGCGAGTTTTGGGCTCCTGGTAGGTTTGAGCCGAAGAGTCTTTCGGAGATCAAAAAGACTCTGCTCCAAGGCAACCGTGCTGTCGCAAACACCACGCTAGACTCGGCTTTGAAGGACATACTGTTCGAGGCCGGCCAACTTCGGAAAGCCATACTCAGCAGCCAGTTTACAGTCCATATCGACCCCGAGGCAACGCAGCTGGATAAGAAGGAATTACACCCGCCATTGCTTGTTGTGTCCACTGAGCACTTTGGGGATGGATGGGAAGGACGTGTCGCTTCCCAGATACCAGCAACCTGGATGTCGCTTCGTGGGGAAAGGTTCCGCTCAAAGGCTGGGCTGTAGCCCTCTCAAATATAGATCATGTAAAAATGTCGTTTCATCTACCAAGGCTTGTCTGCTAGACTGTGGGTCACGGGTGCCTGTCGCTGAAACAGCAATTTATGCAGATGCGCAGGAAATTAAGGAGCGCCAGCGCTTCGATTATATTATCATGACTCGTTATGTGACATATAGACCCGTTTATTATGCAGTCACCCACAGCATTTCGTCGCATCGCCCTCCACTTCAGCAGCCTTGGCCTGTGGTGGCGGCCCCTGCGTCTGGCCCAGAACGACTTTATATTGCCCCCAATCAAAGAACAACTTGCCCAGAAACGCGCCAATGAAAATCGAAATAATCATATACCCGTTGTAATACATCGCGATCAACATGGTGATATACGCGACCGCAAACTGCGCCACGTGCAACACCGCCCGGATGATCTGCTGGATGGGACTGGCGCGGTAGGAGACGACGTTCGCTGTACCGCCGCACACTAAGGGATCGTCGAGCTGGGACATCGCGTGTCGCTGGAACTGCCGCTGCAGACCCTCTTCGTAGTCTTTGCTGACCCGGCGCAGGAATTCGAGGGAGACGCCGAGCAGGGCGACGCCGATGCAGGAGACGGCGAACATGCCCTTGGAGGTGACATGCCAAGAGGAGGCGAGGAAGCATGAGTCGATTGTGTTCCAGTTCCAGAGCATCTATTGAAATTACCTTTTAGTCATGCATCGCGTGTTGGATTGGAGGGTGGTGATGTGGTACCTCGACGGAGCAAGAGTTGTTGGTGGCAGAGCTGCCCATGTCCATGCCCGCCATGCGCGGGAGGAGACTTGGCTGTTCCATGGTAATTGACGGTGCAGGATAGCAGGAGTCTCTGGCAGCGAGAGTGCTCCGTGCTGAGGCCGCTGCATCTCCATTTATCAAGCCGGAACTGCCGTCGTCACTGATTGATCAAGCACATTTGAGCACATTTTGGCCTTGGCGGGCTTGGCAGGGACGGCCTGGCCAATGGGCACCTCCACAATCAGCCCTAATCTGCTCAAGTGTGGACATGATCGTTCTCAGGTTGATGATGCCATGGATGAATGCCGAGAAGGTCCACTGCTGAATGCGAATATAACCTGCCCCTCCTGTCAGTTGCTTTCTGTCTGTCAGTCAACAGCTGCGCCAACGCCATGAAACGACACATCCAGGACTTCAGCCAGGACTCCGAGCTGGAGTACCACTGGGGCTATGCCTCGCGCCAGGTTCCCTGCACCAGCGATGCAGGCGCTTGCGCATACCTCGATGCTGTCTACCATGAGCACGACCTGGGGATGATCTATACTTTTATCCTTTGGGCGGTGATCTGCGGGAGCTTGCTTCTGTGGGTGATTGGACGACATCTCTTCGCTATTGCTCGAGTGGCCGGTGCTTCCAAGGAGCAGGTCTCTGAAGGCTCTCGCCCTCGACAGAGTGGCTGGCACCGGTTGGTCACTTCAATAAAGGCGTTGAGTCGACGACACCTTCTTCCAGAGAGCGTGACAGCTGTCTTTGGGCATACGACCCGCCTGCAGATCCTGATCCTCGCCATCTTGGTAGGATACCTGACTGTCTTCACCTTCGTGGGAATCACATACAAAGTGTGGTACAGTCCCGTCGAAGGCTCGCCCGGTGTATATAACACCAGAACCGGCCTTGGACCCTGGTCGGACCGCATCGGCATTCTTGCCTTTGCATTGACTCCTTTATCGGTCCTTCTGTCAAGCCGTGAATCTCTCTTGTCCATGATCACCGGCGTCCCCTACCACCACTTCATGTTCCTGCACCGCTGGACCGGCTATATCATCTACATCCAATCTGCCCTCCACACGATCGGCTGGACCATCATCGAGGGCAAGCTGTACCAGCCCCAGCCCTCCGCCTGGAACGAATGGGTTGCCCAGACGTACGTCATCTGGGGCATCGTCGCCATGATCCTGCTCTCGGTGATGGTCGCCGGCAGCACAAAATGGGGCATTCGCCTGACAGGATACGAGTTCTTCCGCAAGTCCCACTACGTCCTGGCCATGGTCTACATTGGCGCCTGCTGGGGCCACTGGCAGCAGCTATACTGCTGGATGATCGCCTCGCTCATCGTGTGGTTCCTCGACCGCGGCATCCGCCTCGTCCGCACCTTCACCCTGCACCACTTCAACACCCCCAACACCTCGCACTCCTTCGGCATGCACGTCCCCAACGCCCAAATGACGCTCTTCCAGCGCGCCCACGACGGCGACATCATCCGCCTCGACTTCGAACACAACCACGACGAGTGGAAAATCGGCCAGCACTTCTTCCTCTGCTTCCCGGATCTGAGTCTCTGGCAAAGCCACCCAATGACCCCATGCAGCCTGCCCGGACAGAGCCAAACCGGCCAAAAACATACATACATCATCCGCAGCCGCAAAGGCATCACCAAGCAACTCGCACACCTCGCACAATCACAATCCACTCCCTCCCCAAATACCTCCGTCCTCCTCTCCGGCCCCTACGGCCAATCAATCCTCTCCAGTGACTTCTACGCCCAGGACGATATCAACGTCTTCTGTGTCGCGGGCGGCACGGGCGTGACCTTTGTCCTCCCCGCCCTGCTTGCTCTAACGCAATCCCGAAAGTCCCAGCGAAGAGGTCTTCTCGAGTTCGTCTGGGTGGTTCGCCGCAGGGACGATCTGAAATGGATCGAGCCGGAGCTGAATACGCTTAAAGAGGCTGCAGCGTCCATGGCGAATTTCCGGATTAGAATCTTTGTTACGCGCGGGACGCATGATAAAGAGGCTACCGGAAATACAACCTCAGCCTTGACAACATCAGAAGTCAAAGAGTCAAAAGAGGTTATCATCGAGCAATCCTCATCAAGATCCTCCTCTCCACCCCGGATCACAAAACAAGATACATTCGCCATCCATGAACCGTCCTCTGCGGCGTCGCTGTCAAGCGGGAACACGCAGCATCCTCCGCTCGGGACACAGCTTGCTGAGTTTGTGGATCGCACTGTTAGTGGTCCGACCCGGGTTATTGCCAGTGGGCCGTTGTCTATGGTGAAGGATCTGCGCAGTGCTGTTGCGCAGTGTAATCAGCCTGGTGCGGTGTGGAAGGGCGAGGAGAGGTTTGATGTGCAGCTTGTGCATGATGATCGGTTGGAGTATTGAGCTGGGCTTGATGATTCCGTTGTATGAAATACCCTGTATATATGAAGAATTGAAAACATCTTAAACTATTAAAGCTTCTTTCTACTGAGGGGTTGATGTAGTACGTTTCGGAGGCAGCAAGTTGATGTCTACATTGATGTGCTGAAGCTTGGATAAACCGCAGAGTAATCTCGTATGAATTCATGCAATAGTAGATCCCTCGTATTCGCTTACCAAGCCATTATAGGCCGCTAAGGATCATCAACCCACTTGCAAGTCTGTCTGCCGAGATACCATTTAATCCACCTTCATTTTGGTGCAAGTCGGGAATGTCTCTGCTGCATTTGCCAACGGAATTACTGCTGTTGTTAGCGACATTCCTACAGGCAGAGAGAGATATCAACGCACTCTGTCTAGCCAACTCCCGCATCTACAGTATCCTAAATCCATACTTATACCAGCGAAACTCGCAGAATTCCAACTCCTCGGCACTCCTCTGGGCAGCTCGTCATGGGAACGTCGCAACAGTCCGAAAGGCCATCCAAGCAGGCGCAAGCCTAGACGCCACCGATACGCTGGAGAGCACAGAATCACGTAGGTTTGAAACGAGGGCAACGGCGTTCTCGCGGGCCGCGGAGTTTGGACATTGCGCTGTACTTGAACTGTTGCTTGCGACTGGGCCGGATGTCGATGTCGAGGCGAGGGACAGCTTTATGTCCACACCTCTAATCCTGGCTGCGGAGTCCGGGCATCTGGCTGTAGTTCAGATGCTGCTTGATACTGGCCGGGTAGATCTAGAGGCTAAGGACCATCTGGGTTTGACGCCATTTGCGAACGCGGCATCGGCGGGGCATGAAGGAGTGATTAAATTCCTACTTGAGACTGGGCGCGTGGATCCGGAGTCGAAGGATGAACTGGGATACACGCCAATCACTCATGCTGCAGATGCTGGCCATGAGAAGGTGGTGAAGTTGTTGATTGATGCTGGGGTGGACGTGGATGTTAGAACCTACTACGGATTCACTCCATTGACTATGGCTGCATGGGAGGGCCACGCGGGGGTGGTGAAGCTATTGCTTGAGACTGGTCGGGTGGATGTGAATGCAATGAACTTTGAGCGACGGACACCATTGTATCGTGCTGCGGAAGGTGGGCATGAGGCTGTGGTGCGGTTGTTGCTTCGGACGGGCCTGGTGGATTTGGGATTGAGGGATTGCGAGGGCCAGAACGTATTGTGGCCTGCCAGTCAGGAAGGACATGTGGGAGTTGTGCAGCTGCTACTCGAGACTGGGATACGTCTATAGTATGATAGCATTTCTCTCCTGGTAGACGCCAACAATATCAAGAGCTGGAAGGTGTTGCATTAGGCGGCTGCAAGTGTGTGTAACTGATGGCCAATCAGATATGGTTATTAACCGATTTACGGGTCCATTTAGAATTTCCACCTCATTCCTGGTCAATTCCACGTCCTGCACGTATCGAGCGTCAGCATATTTACGACTGTGTACTGTCTATTATGACTTTTTCCAATTGTAGGTTCCTGAGTAGTATATGATGGTGGTGTACGGGTAAATCTAAATTTGCCTTTTTGCATGTTTTATACAATACATTGCGGCGAGGAGGGAAATGACCTGTTCGTTGAACTATTCACGACGCCTCGGAACATTATATATATTTACACACGAGCAACAACCAACAAAATATTCAAGGTTATAAACACCACCAAAGGTCGACAGTAGAACTAGAAAACGACCCAAGTGAATGCCCCGCGTTTTGATCATTATTGGCCATTACAGCTCTGACGTGGCACCACACAGTTTAAGCGAGCTGCAAGGCTGAGGCTGAGGGTGATCGGGCCCCTTAATTACAAGTCGCAAGGGGATTCTCAACGGAAACTTGATCTTATTGCTAAGTTATTACACGCGTTAACCTACCAGCACTTGATGCGTACGTAGGTGGACACCATGGCGACGAATTGTCTCCATCAGGACTATACAGTGGCTTGGCTTTGTGCCTTGCCCTGCGAGATGGCTGGCGCAGAAGCCATGCTGGACGAGAAGCACTCTGACCTACCAACTGCGACAGAAGATGATAACACCTACATCTTGGGTAGGGTGTACAGCCATAACGTTGTGATTGCGTGCTGCCGATCCGGGGTTTATGGCACGACGTCGGCATCGACATGTGCCATACAACTGCAAGCAACGTTCAGGTCGATCCGGTTCTTTCTACTCGTCGGTATTGGAGGAGGAGCCCCCACTGACAAGGCCGATATTCGACTCGGCGATGTGGTGGTAAGCAAGCCGACAAGGGAATTTGGAGGGGTGGTGCAGTACGATTATGGCAAGACGATGAGCCGTGGTCGCTCTGTGCGTACTGGACTACTGAACAAACCTCGATCAGTGCTACTCACTGCACTGGCACGGCTGGAGGCAGCACATAAACAAGCACCTAGCAAAATACCTGCTCTGTTAGCAGAGATGGTGGAGAGAAACCCCGGAATGGGGGAGAAGTTCACATACCAGGGTAAAGGCCAGGATTTCCTGTTTGATTCGGAATATGACCACGATGCCGAGAGTGATACGTGCGATGACTGTGACACGGCAAGGCAAGTGATTCGACCTGATCGACTGAATTCCGACCCTGTTGTCCACTACGGGCTCATTGCATCTGGCAATCAAGTAATAAAGCATGCTCCCACAAGAGACAAGTTGGCCCGAGAGCTCGGCATCCTTTGCTTCGAAATGGAGGCCGCGGGTGTAATGGACGATTTTCAATGCCTGGTGGTTCGCGGAATTTGCGACTATTCGGACTCGCATAAGAACAAGCAGTGGCAGGAGTATGCGGCAGCAACGGCCGCTGCGTTTGCAAAAGAGCTTCTTTCTGTGATCCACGCAGTCCATATGGTGGATACACCGCCAGCAGGTAAGTTAGATGCGATCTACTACTGGCAGCATGTGTAACAGTTATCAGTATCGCGATATCGTGGAAGTGCACCTTATGGGCGTGAGCGAGCCACCACGGATATGATATCGCGTGGAAGGGGTGAGTTCTCCGCAAAGTCTCATAGGAGGAAGCGTAGGCTGATTGTTATAGATATTGGAGGCCTTGCAGATTTGCTGCCGCGGATTTCGGACTATGATGAGAAAAATGTCCACAGAAGGCTTCTGCAAAAACGCCTCGTTGGCACCACGCAATGGTTTCTTGATCATCCAAATTTCAAGGCCTGGTTTACAGACAGAACCATATCCAGTTTATGGTGCTCAGGAAAGAGTAAGTGCTCTGGCAAGGTGTAAAACACCGTGCTGACTGTGGGACCTTCCCAGTTGGCTCCGGCAAGACAATGATAGCGTTAGTTCCTTCCGATAGCCTGCCCTGTTCGTCAGCTAACACCCAGAAGGACTACTGCCATAGAGGCTGCGCTGTATCGCAGTGCTGAGGATCGATCACCGACTGCCTTCTTCTACTGCGAGAGTGAGCGTCCTGGAACATTGGCTGACACATATATTCTGTCCAGCCTCATAAAACAACTGTGCGGATTCTTGCATCTAAACGACATACAGCTTCCGGAACCCATTTTTACAGAAATCCGTAAATTCTTTGGCCCTGAGCGGATTCAACCAGACTGGAGTGACCTAACGCACATCTTTGCTTTGTTGTCTGACCTCGTGGCAGACTCCATCTATATTATTGACGGACTAGATGCTGTGGACCAACAATGTAGCAAATCCTTGTTGGGGCTTTTCCACTCGGTATTCAGAAAGTCTAGAAGCTCAAATAGACGACACCTTCTACTATTCAGTCGGGACCAGGTTCCTGGATACATAAATATCGCCACGTTCATACCTGGGATTCATCATATTTCGACATATGCTAATGTCATGCGAGACATCGAGTTATATATCGAGACAAGCATTGCAGATAAGAGCTTGCACAGAAGACTTACCGATAACGCCGAACTATTGGGGCAAGTCAAGGAGACACTGCTCGCCGAGTCATCCGATATGTATGTACCCTACCTCGGCTACGTAAAATGCCAATCGCAAACTGACCTTCTTTAGGTTTTTGTGGGTGTACCTCCAACTGGAAATCCTTTGGGATACGTGCCATACAGATGCTGAAATTCGCACAGCACTGGCGCAACTACCGAAAGGACTGGAAGAGGTATACAGTCGGTGTATCGACAGGATAACTCTGCGCCACAGCTTTGCCCCCAGGGTGCTGAAGTGGGTTAGCTTTGCAATCCGCCCGCTCCACATTGACGAGTTGAGAGAGGCCGTCTCATTTGGTCTGAATGATACTGAGTGGAATGAAGAGGGAATGCCACAGCGAGATGTGTTGGTTGCTTGCTGCGCAAACCTTGTCATTGTGGATCATACTGATGACTGTGTGAGATTCGCACACTCCTCTGTGAAGGACTATTTGCAGATGCATCTTGCGAAAAAGAATCAATGGAATCGTGACTTGGGTTACCCAACGACAGAGAAAGGCGATCTCGAATGCGGAGAATTATGCATTACATATCTGTCGTTCTCAGATTTCAATCTTCAACTCATCAAGAGGTCAATGGAACAGGTAGCACTTCCTGTACCATCCCCTGCTTCCTTAGCACAGCAAGCCCTGTTTGGGCATTCTAGCACCGGCCGCTTTCTGTCGCGACTTTGGCCTCGGAGCCGAAAGATTCCCATATCACTCAATGTGGTGCGCCCCCCGTCGCCGCCTAATCTGACACGATACAGGTTTTTCAATTATGCTGCGAATCACTGGCCGTCACATACAAAGAATATAACACCCGAGTCCCCTTCTTGGACCAGGTTTGGCGCTCTTGCGACTAGCTTTAGTGATACCTGGGACTTCCACCCTTGGGCTTCTGGTGACCGGTCAGCTCACTCGCGTTTACATGGGCTATTCGGCTGGGCAGTGAAAGAGAAACATGAACCCCTGCTCATACTTGCAATGGTCGCCGGGAAGTCCTTGCAGCGGGTCTGTGATCTTCCGCTGGTCGGGGAATCTCTCCCCGCGCTCCATGTTGCATGTAAACTCGGGCATGTGAGAATCACGCAGATGCTCCTCGACATCTGCACGGTCAACCTTCCAGATGTGCAGGGATACACGGCTCTACATTATGCCGCCAACGGAGGGCATGCTGAAATCTGTCGACTGCTCCTGGAAAGAGACGCGACAATCGTGAATGCGGGATCGAGGTCATCCCGCACGCCACTGTTCCTGGCAGCCGGAAGTGGGCATGTGGAGGTGGTTGCCATTCTCATAGACAGAGGAGCAGATCTTTTGTTGGGGGGCTTTCCAGAGATTGGGTACGAAGGCTCTTTGCGGTGGCCGATTCACGAGTCCGCAAGCTCGGGGCATCTTGCTGTTGTTAACCTTCTGATTCAACAAGGATTCATAGTGGACTGGCCGGATACATCTAGTCGAACAGCTCTTTCGTTGGCAGCAGGAAATGGGCACGAGGCAGTGACAAAGCTACTCCTTGATAGCGGTGCCGATGTAGAGTATTGCGACAGACAAGGGCGTACGCCGTTGTCATACGCCGCACAGAGTGGACATGCATCAATAGTAGCCCTATTACTTGATCGTGGTGCTAACCTGGAAACCACGATTCGAAATGGTCTAACACCGTTATTATGGGCCGTGGACGGGGGGCATCAAGAAGTGGTGAATCTGCTCCTCGTCAAGGGTGCGGACATAGAGGCCAGGGATCCGGAAGATGCAACGCCATTATGTTACGCTGCTAGACAGGGAAACACCAACTTGGTAGAGCTACTGCTTGACCGGGGTGCTAAGATGGACGGTGTTGGCCATGGTGCAAAAACCCCTCTATCATACGCTATGGGAGTCCGTCACGAGGGGGTCGTTGCGATATTGCGCGAAAGGGGCGCATATTATGCCGCACTCAGTGATGATGGTGGGGGAATGTACTGATTGAGAAGCGATATCCGGAACTGTTCTATCAGCCTAAGATGATCATTGCCGATCTCTGCCTGAGCATGGGCTGTGCATGGTTTTTGGTCCAGCGGCGTGGCGTCTCATTACTTATAAATATAATATCCATTCATAACTGATTTGTTTGAAACCCGTAAATCATAGCATTGTTTTTGTTCGAGGTGTTATTGACAGATGCAAAGCAAAGTAAATGCTCACAGCGCGATCTCCTCCTTGCGCCGTCTGATGGCAATCTTCGCCATGTAATCGGCATTAGCACCCAGCCCAGACCGTCTCACACTCGGCTTAGCAGCCCCAGGCGCCACTTGGAAGTCATACTTCAGCAGGATATGTGCAAGAGCGATCTTCACCTCATTCGCCGCAAAGAAACGGCCTGGACAGGCATGGTTGCCGTATCCGAATCCGAGATGTTCGGGCGAGGGAGATACCAGCTGGGCAGATGTTTCCTGGCCGGGGGTTTCGCGTAGTTTCAGGAATCGATAGGGGTCGAAGGTCTCGGGGTCGGGATACACGCTTGGGTCTTGCATTCTGTCGCCGGATACGAGGGTGGTTGTTCCCTTGGGCAGGAATGTTCCGTCGGAGAGCGTGATGTCTTGTGTGACGAGTCGTCTCATGGAAGCTGTAGTATTCCCAGGTTAGCTCTGATAAGTGGGAAAGAGACGATGACTTACCAATAGCAATGGGCTTCAGCCGTTGGCTTTCTTTCAGGACACTGTCCATGAGTTTCAATTTATATAAAGTCTGCTTTTTCCATCCATCTTCACTGACGACTGCAATGAGTTCGTCGCGGAGGGCTTGAACGAGGTCCTCTTTACCGCACAGATCATAGATGGCTTGCGTCAACATATCAGAAGTCGTATGGATCGCAGCGAGGGAGAACGACATTTGCGCGACAGCAGGGTCATACGGACGACCCTTTGCAACATCATCCATCCACTGCATGGCATCGTTGAAGCGTTCCGTAGTTTCAGAATCCTTCGCCTCTCGTCGCTCTTCCAACACCGGCTTTATAATATCTCTTGCTTCATCGAGTTCGCGTCGAACCTTGCGGCAGGAAGGTAGGAAGCGGGCTACCAGGGGGCGTATCAACTCAGGCCATTGTCTCAGATCCTGTGCAGCGAGAAAGGCGTCGACGGTATAGCTAACGGTGATGCGAAGCCACTCTGGGTTACGGCAGATTTGGTCGCCGAGGAAAACCCTGGATGACAGCTGTGCGACGATTTTAAGGATGCTTGACTTCAGGACCATGTCGTGCCATTCTGCAGACGTTACTACCCTGTACTTTCAGTGAGCTCCAGTGGGTAACTCACCATTGTTGTCTGTCCATTCCTTCTCGAATGCGATGGACGCCTCCGCGGAAAGAGGCGCTGTAATACCTCCTATGAAGAACAATAAGCCAAGCCCGGCTTCATTAGATGTTCCACTTACCCAGTGACTGCGTAAGCTTCGTCCGAACGGCCGTTTGGACTAGCTCGTCACTTCGCGTCCCTGTTTTGAACGGCTCAAAGCCGCGGATATGGGCGTGGAAGTCCCTCGCGATAGGGCCGTTAAAGTCCAGCGCAGGATGACTTCGGATTTCTTTAGCGTATTTCGGCGCAAGCACAATAGTTGGTCCATTATCAGAGATGAGGCGGAAGACATCAGCCTGTGGTGGTTAGGCGGAGGGAATCTTGGAACAAAGTGATGGTGGTTATGTACCTTGCGCAGTCCATCTTTGATCATCTGCGGGGCATCGCTCAAATACCGTTTCTTGCTGGCACTGTCGGAGAACTCAAACGCTTTTCTCCCATTGATCAGCGGCAGCTGTTGCCCTTTGGGTGCGGCGACGATGTATAGCACTACCGGCAGCAGGAGCACGGCGAGGATTTCGACCGTGTCCAAGCCGGACAGGGATGAGAGTATGGCGGATACCATGATTGATGTAGATGATACTCCCCGTGCAAGGAATAGCAGCATGCGAAAGGGAGGAGCTTTATAGGAGGTGTCCCTCCATAATGCAAGCACAGTGATTTGTGCACCCGAGAATACGAAATACGCGGAATACGCATTTACCCTTTCCAAGTGTTGAAGCTTGTCGATCCTACAAGAGCTTTAGTGTACGAGATACGGAGTGGACCGATGAATCAATGTGGGCCATATACCCAATCAGCCAAGTTAAATCTGGTGATCACTGCCAAGTCAATGGAGGCAATGAATAATCGCACAAGCGAGTGGTAAATGGCTATTCTTGAATGGCTGATTCACTACAATTTTAGCAAGGTCGAGATTCTCCAACGCAGATCAAAGCTCAAGCAAGCAAGGCAACACACCGTTACAATGATTCCACTATTCTATATGAAACGATTAAACCTGCTCAGTACTATTCGGCGGACCCAGCCGGAACCGGATGCTCTCGACATCCATGCCTTCTAAAAGCTCCGGATACCGTTCTATAAACTCCGACGTCAATCCCCACGCACTCTCCCTGGTGAACGTCTCGAAATAGTCTCCACGCATCTGCAACTCATCGTCCTCATCACGCTCTAGAATGGGCTTCCCCCACGGCCACCGCAGCTTCGTGCAGCAGCTCATATACCCCATCACATCCACAAAGTCGTAGCTGGTCCAGTTCTTCAGCAGATTGGCGCGCACCTGCGGCCAGAACACCAGGTCTATCGCGCGGGGGTGGTCAACCTGGAGCTGAGGTCTGATAGGGCGTAGGTATTGCGATATCCGGGCGAATGTCGTTGGATCCGGCATGACGAGCCATTTGCTGAAGTGGTATAGCTGCCACCCGATTGCTAGGCATTCGGCGTCTCGGATCGCACGCTGCCGAAGGCTACGGTGAATCTGGTCGGCGAGGAAGTTGCGACGAGTTCCGTGGAGAAGATCGAGGGGTGATGGGTTTGTAGGGCATGCGGATATGAGATCGGGATATTCCAGCCACATAGAGTTTCCTGGGAATGCTATTTGGTTTGCCTGGGTTGTGCTCATGGGTACCAAGTACCATGCCTCCGGGGAGAGTTGATCTCCAGAATCAGTATCACTTGAATGCGCCTCAGGTTGAGATGGGCTCGTGGCCAAGTCCGCAATTTGGTCTGAATGTCTTTCTGGTTCGCTTGATTGTTGGGTTGGTGGGAGGGATATAGACAACGTAGCAGGCTCAACATTTCCGATACTCAGTGGATGGCTTGATGGATCATCCATGAGAACTGCACGCAAGCGCTCATGTCGCGCCCGAAGGGCTTCATTCTCCCTGTACAGCTGGTTTACTACAGAAATAAGATTGCCCGTTCTGTCGGCGCCATGATGCTGCTTGCAGGTGGCCACTTGTCGCTCCAGCGCTTGGATATGGCTTTCACGTTTCTCTCGAAGCCTTTTCTGGCCTCTTCTATCGCGAAGACGCTTCTTCTCGGTCGAGGAAAGCTGGTCCCCAGTTACCATTTTGGCGAAGGATGAAGCATAAATCCTTCGGGAGTCATGGAGACCGCCTCTAAGCGAAAGACGCGGGGTGGAAGTGGGAGGCCTCCAGACTGCAAAAGGCAAAAGAACAAAGACGGATAGAACGGACGCTAACCTCGCCAGGAAGTGATAGTCTGGATCCGAATAAACCGAGACCGGAAGTATGAGAACCGGAGCCCGGCACCAACAGCAAAGGTCTCTCTTCCTATCAGATTCACGGGCCATTTCAGGTTATTCGCAGCTTACAGATGTCTCCTCCCGCCAGTTGCAGTCATTTTTTAGGCACTTGTCCATTGAGCCAGGACAGAAATCCGAGAGGTGCCACCGCAGCCCGTTCTGAGGGGTTGGGTTGTGCTGCGGAGGCTGTAGGGATACCTATATGTACCACTACTTGGGGATGCGGAGAACAGTAGATATTTTGCTTTATCCAATATTTATGTTTGTCCTCTTTGACTGCTCTCGTATCCCAGAATAGCAAGTAGCGATCTGCGCTGACCAGAGACGTACCAAGATTTTATACGAGCCAGGACTGGTGGATTATATACAAACACATTCTATAAATTGCCTATGTGCAATAACAGTACACTACCTCTTCAATCGCAACTCTAAGGGGGGGTCATCCCCCCTTCGGACGGCCTTAACATATCTAGTCCTTATAGGACAAGATATACCGCGCACCATCATACTCAGTAACGGTATAATACTCCTTGCGTACAGGGTTATAGCTCAAGTCCTCATTCCCAGCCATGAAGAACCCAGCATGCTCCGTCGCAGTCTTGCCCTCCTCCCAGGTAAACAGATCCCCAGCCTTGGGGCTGCGACCATTGCTGCGCGAGAAGTAGAATTTCCCATCGTGCGACATGCCGCCCTGCACCTTGACGATGTCGATGCAATGCGCCCAGTTCGCTGTGGCGATGCCCTTGTCGTTCGTGCGCAGGCGACGGGTCTCCGAGTCGAGCTGGTACTTGACGACTCGGATGGGGACAGGGTTGTTGTTGTCGTCGACTTCGCCGTCGCGCACGAATTCGCCGACCATGAGGGTGTCTGGGGTGTCGCTGCGGTCGAGGGAGATCCACGAGAAGCGGAAGGGGGAGTCCGAGCCTGGGGTCCATTTGTACCAGCTGGTGTTGTTAGAATAATGAACACATTCTTACTTTGGGGATGTCAAGTACATACCGAACTTGAGGCAGGACGTATTTATACCCAGCAGCTGAATACTTGCCATCGCTCGTCTTGCCAACGCCATCTCCGCTTTCAACCTCCCAGATGTTATCCAGGTCGAAAGCCCGGATGCCATTGCTCGTGTCAACCACGTACAGTACGTTTCCATACCACATAATGCCGCCCGCATGGACAGTGATGGACTTGAAGTCATCATCGGCACTGGGATAAACAAGCAGAACATGGCGATACTCATGAGTCTTGCGATCCACAAAGCTAAGCCGGACATTCTTATCCCCCTCTGCCTGGTACCAACTCACAACCCAAGCCTCGTGGTCATTCCAGTCCCCCTTGCCGAGCGCATCAGCCGAGCTGGTGATTCCCTGCGGCATCCACTTGGTTGTCTTGTAGTCCCCGGACTGCCAGGCCCAGGCTTCGATGGGGTCTCCATTACCGGAGGGAGGGGAGCCCTTGGTCATGGCGCGGTTGGCGGAGGAGAGCACGGCTGTGACGCTGACGTTCTTTCCGGCATCCTGAAAGTGCTTGGAGAGCGCGGCGAGGTGGGAGTTGTCGGCTTGTTCTTCGAGGGTGAAGTCCTTTGCGTCGATGACGTTGCCGTCTGCGCAGTAGCGAGGGTCTGCTGCGAGGGCTGGAATCGAGAAGGAAACGAGGGCCGCGGCCACCTGAAGGAGTGAGGAGTACCGCATTTTGAATTGATGGGATAGAATAATTTAATTCTCCTCTGCCAAGTGGCGAAATCAGACCTTCCTTATATACACGAACACACAGCAGCACTGGAGGCTTAAGCGAGGCGATACGAGCACCGATCTGCCTCCTTTCCATTCAGAGCAAGATAATAGCGAGCGCATGGACCTTCATCGTAGCGATGTAGCTTTTATTATCTCGCATTGTGATGGAGATCATCGCGATCATCGGCGATACGAGGTTTGACGAAATGTTACGGGCTTTCAGACTCCCAAAATAGACTGAAACGGGGCAACTGTGGGGATCTCGTATCGTCAGCCCAGTGGCACAAGTAAGCTGCACCGAGGCGATTGCTTGATTTGAAGCTTGCTAGAAGCAGAGTGAACTGGCGAGGCGAGAGAGAAACCTGTGGATCAGAGGTGCGAGCACTTGGCTAGTGAAGCAGGAGAGCAATCCCATGCACCACAAAGGTGCTAAAATTATCAGTTCTCGGTGCCTTGCGCAAGGGATAAGTTGGTAAAAGCTCGTTAGATCTGATATAACTTAAACATCGCAAAGGGTCACCACAGAATGGACACGGTGGCTGCATGCCATCGAATGGCAGGACAATGTTATTTCAGCGGAATGTGCATCCCTTCGGTAAAATGATAAAAGCTAACAAGTTACTCTCTTTTAGAATACAAGAATAATGCCAGAATCCGTGGTGAATATTGCTGTAGGATCGATAATTCTCGAGACAGTGACTGCTGATATACATGTAACGGAAGCCAGTCCGACGATATTTCCACCAGTCTGTAGTGATCCCTGCAATCTTAGATAGGGGTCTGCTGGTGAGATACCATCTCCCACCGGCCATCCTTCTCCAGCGGAGTTATTTTCCGCCACGTACTCGAGCACAAGGCCTGGAAGACTGTCGGCTTCTCCTGCCCGGGCCGTTCAGCCACCGCGCGGTACGTGATAAGGGCAGCAGTGGCGTGGGAATCGAGAAAGCGGACCTTATCTTCGGATATTGTGTATTTCTGCCATGGAACAAACATCTCGCTGGTTAGGACTGATTCGAGGCTAGGTGTTGAATGTCTGGACAGCATCATTCCTCCAGGAAACAGCATGATGCTGTCCTCTGCCAGGAGAGGGATCAGGGAGGATCCGGACTTGCAGAGTGCGTCCCATGTTTTGTGTTCGCAGGATTTGATCTCGGCTGGATCCATGGCGAGTGGTTTCCTTCATTCAACTATCAGGTTGAAGCGTTGTATTTGGTTTGATGTGAAATCACAGCTCGACCAAGCAGGCTTCCCAGCCCTGCACGAGTAATTACCTGCGGTAGGTTCCCGTTGCGACCGGTAACGAGTCTTAACTTCTTTGGATCTGAATGCTGGAGCTGCGTGGCGACGTGGAATGCGGGGACTCTAGCTCTTCGTATTCCCCCACAGCCAACATTTCTCTGTCAAGGAAAGTCAGTTTCTGTCTCCTTCAACCTCTGTTACACAAGCCGGCATGATCTGGCAAGCTCTTAGTGTAACCAGTCAGTGAGCGCAAGCTCAGGAGCCCAAGCAGCGGCGGCCGCCACCAGAGACAGCATCGGCGATAACAGCCATGGAGGCCCATGTGCAACGTCATTGCTCGTATTGAGTCCAGCTCAAGCAAAAGGAGCTCTCCGATTGGCAAGGAATCTGAAACCAGTCCAGGCGGAATGTCCTCGTCCAATCCCGACCTATCTGGAAAGGCAGCCACCCATGGCACATACCCAGTGTCATTCTTCAGAACGCCTTCCACGGACTCTTCAGGATTCCACCAGATCCTCATTTTGAGACCCCTTGGTCTTGTTTAGGCTTGGCTGCCTTATGCGGTTGCCTGTGTGTCAAGATGATGCTGCTCTCGTATTTATCTGATCATCTGCCAAGTTCTTGCCAATAGGGTTGGGGCGGCTGAGACATCAGCATCATTGCCTTTCTTGCTATGCTATAAAGTCCGTCCTGTTGCCCAGTGGAACAGGTCTTGCTAATATTGGATTAAGATATTCTTGCCAATTTAACCAAATCCTGCTACTGTCACTCAATATGCTGCTGCCCAAACCACTCGGTGCTGTCCTGGTCCAGCTTGCCGTGGCCTGTATGCACCAGGAACATTATCAGATGCCAACTGCTAACTTTGTATAGCCGCGGCTGGATGCGGCGATGCCGACGCCTGCATTGGAACCGAGCATTGCGTAACCAAAACATTCACGACCCCCGTCTCAACAGTGGTCACCACTTGCGTCCCAACCCCGACCTGCGTCGGTGTATACGGTAGGCCTTCACAACACATATATCTCAACAGTATCTTCTAACACCAACCAGGAAGCTGCGATTCCGGCGGCTCCGGTCCCCTGTGCTGCTCGACCTACTGCGCCGCGACTAAGTGTCGCAGCACGGACGACGACTGGCCCAACTGCTCAGAGGACATGGGACCTTGCATTGCGGACGAGAATTGCTGCTATCAGAACAAGTGTGTTGAAGGCCTTTGTGTGCGCCCTTAGTCGTGTTTCCCGCCTGGTCAGTAGTTAGTGTTGTGTGATAACTATCTTTTTACAATATAATATTGTCCCAGTATATATGACTTTATGTAATCTGTGCTGAATTAATTCCCCGTATAAAGAGAACTATGTCCTGTAAGGGAAAGAGCGACTGTTGTGCATTACCAAGGAAGGAACAAGGATCCCATCGCACCTTCCTATATCTCACGATGTATTTGAATATAAAGTGGAAGGTACGACCGTCCAAGCAGGAAGGAGCTATGAGTGCTGTTGGCCGCGCCAGCCTTTAAACCACGACGTCGATCAAGTTCATAGAGAAGCAACGAGTGCGGGGGAGTAGGAGGCAGCTACCCAGCCTACCGAAATACTGTTTACACGGTTGACATGATAGCATGATGAATGCGCTTTCCAGATGTATCTCTAAACCTCGACAGCCAGCAGTTGCATATTAGGAGTCAAGTAAAACAGTACCAATGTAGCATATATATCTAATAATGTGCACATATGCAACTTCAATGCCAGCTTGAAGGCTTTCAGTTTCCTTTCAAACTCGGCAGGTGATCCATCTAGAATACCCTTGTCAACGCCAGTATTAACGAATGCTGCGAATCGGCGACTCGGCTCGATACGGGTGTATTTTCGCTGATATTCCAAAAGATAGGATCATCGCTGTTTCGAGATCGTATGGGTCAAGGTGTATGGTGTGAAGCTGGTACCATACATCGTTTGTCTGCGATATATACAGCGTAGGGCCCAAGGGGGTTCTGAAAGCCGTACTGGGCGGAGGACACATCGAGAACCCACGGTTCCTTGCTCGGGAAAAGGCTGACCTTTAGAGCACCGTGATTTCCTTTAGCGGCATCGAAGTTATGTACGTAAAGGGAGTCTGGGTCGGGGATGGATTGCGCCTGGAAATGAGAGCTGTCGAGGAGATGGAGAGAAGATGAAGGAAGATAGAGACAGACATTCCGTGAAGAACTGGAGTAGTGAGTGAGCTGTTGAGGGTTGTGTTATGCAAGGCCTCCGACCACAGCTGCAAACTTTGCAGAGACAAAGCTTGGAATTTATTCAGTTCGATACGCATTCATGCTGATTCTCCAGAGAGAGCAGATCTAAAATATATCGATAGCATAGGGCTGACTGATAGGATGTATATCGCAGCAGGAAATTCGCCATATCTAGATACCTAATATCCTACTACCTGACCTCTACTGAGTCCATCCCACAGCTTCTTCTAGTCAAGCATTCATCTTCCCTGAGACAGCATTATCAGAAAGATAAAGTAGACTGTCACTGGCCAGCCTTGTCTAAAAAGCTTTATTACCGTAAATTTTCATCATCACTTATAATTTATCCATCTCTTACTGTCAATAGGCATGCTTCGCTACTCATCAACCCTAGTAAACAGAGATTATAGCATAGTAGAACAGAGTCACTTAATAACCAAGACTAGCAGACTGGTGACATAGTACATGGTAGCACTGCTATACATATGGGGATACGGGATACGAGATTCCGTGGGAGATGGTTCGAGACAAGAGTTGGAGCCATGGCCCTGCCTTCTCTTGTAGGTTGAGTAACAGAAACACCACAATAGCTATGTATTTTATAATATTAGTCAAAGGGTTCACGATGTAGAAGGGTAAGAACAGGACCAGAGATCCGTTCTATTAGGTAAAATGTCCCTTATCTCGGCAATAACTCGGCATCAAAATCGAGGAAGCTCCATCGACTCGTGGCTTGCAAACCTCAAGCCGAGTCTTGATATTAACTTTATGGAATTCGCAGTCCATGCATGACGCAAGGATGTCAGTCTGCCCATCATGGCTACATCTGTACCATGATAGATCGTTGGGAGAGGCTACTGTGCGCCCTGCTGCAAGAACACTTGGCAGACGGCCTGGACTGTATGGAAAGGTTATTTGGACCAAGGAAGCAACTAATTTCGCGAAGTGGGCACGCTAGAAGACGACGTTGTATTCATTACGCCTAGAATTGAGCTTCTCGAACACTTGCCCTGATTGTCGCCGGTGAACAAGCACAGGACCCTGCCGTGGATCTGCTGGGCATCTGCAGCGATCATGGCAAGTGCAGAATTGTTAAAAAGACAGGTATGTAGGCCCTCATTCACCCTGACTCAGGGAGAGTAAAATGTATCCCGCAGCATAAGCAGCTAAGGAACAAGACAAATCCGGCGAAGAAGGACTCCCACTGGGTGACAGCAGTGGGCCGTGCATCCCCGGGCATTCCAGGGCCATCGGGCACCCCAGCCATCTCCAGGTCAATCTCCACGAGTCGAAGCAGGGCCCACGTTTCGCCCCTTACTTTGCAGTGCAACCCCCACATTTCACTCACACTCCATACGGGCATATCGACATCAGGTGTTGGATTTGGGAGCGATACCACTGCAAACTTGGATCATAGTCGCGCCGTTGACATCATTTTGATATCAGGCGCGCCGCAACAGGTCGAACCCGGCAAGCGCTTCAGCCACGCCAATGCTTCTTTCTCGGCAGGATCAAGTCAACCGCGTCAAATGCGAAGTCAGAGTCGCACCAGGCTCTGTGTGGCTAGCGGGGCGTCGGGAGAGTTTTCGTTAGCCGGGGGTCGGATCCTGTTTGCAGGACAGGGGAGCGTGCTCGGCGTGGCCGGTTCCGAGTCTTTAATCGTACGTTGTCAGTAGACTTTGCCTCTCTCAGAGTCTACAGGATTCATTAAATAGAGGATCTGCTGTTTCATTTCCATCCTCGTTGCTCCACGTGGAGCTGTGACGGATGGAATCTCTCTGGAAGGTGGCCAGAAAATTCCCAAAAGCCCAGAGAAAAGACTGCTGCAGGATTCCCTTGCGTTCTGTTGATTCAACAGCAAAAGGCCAAGCTGGGGCAAAGGAATCAGGATACCAGCGCCGAGACGAGGTGGACCAGCACCGTGCGACCAGGCGACAAACTCTGCTCGAAGCCGGTCATGATCAGCACCCAAAGCATGAAAAAAGCAGAAAGGCAGAGCAGAGGCCTTGGAGTCATCGGCTTGGGGCCCCATTCTGCCCCAGTTCTGCTTCAATCCGGGGCTGGTGAGTGGCGGGTGGATCTGGGCGCCCAGACTGCCCAGACCCCCGACATGCTCAATCCGGATGCCACTGGGCTGGGACTGCTGGGCTCTGAGCTGCTCAGGCTCGTTATGCTGATTCTCGGCCTCTTCCATAGTGCCGTTTGTAGTCGGGATTCCTTCACCTGCTCGCCTGCGATGGGCAGGCTCTCGGCATCACGCCACAATGACAACTCTTACGTATATACACCTTGGCACTAGTTGATGGTTGCGGTATTCTTGTACACCCTCTACTCTGGTATATTCCGGTATGACACCAAGGCCTGACGGGATCTGGTGTCGGGCCTCGGACAATGCGCCGATTACCTGCCATGAAGCGGCCGGTTTTTCCATGTTTGATATCTCACGGCCGGCGATCCTGCACTGGGGCAACGCGCTCCGAGCCGCCTATGAAAGCCTTTGAATCAAATGCATCCCGCCGAGAAAGGTGCCGTGCCGCTAGCAGGGTGCTCATCTGCAGACCGAGATCCCTCCAAGCCCCCCACCGCTGCCTTTCCTGACGCTCCTGGCCCCTTGGCACAGCCCCCAGTGGACAGCCGATAAGGCATGACGCGCTTTTCGCCCAGCACCTGCGACGGTTCCGGGGCGCATCCAGTCAACATGCGGAGAGGAAGTCATATCCATAGCGCCTCGCTGCAACCCTGTCGTCTTGACTCCTTGGTTCGTCGACACTCGATGGTGGGGACGTGCGACTTTTTTTTTCCCTTACAACCCCCCAGCTAGCGGACGTTAAAAGGCACCGTTCACCCCGTGGGGATCTCGTCTTGACCCAGAATTCTCGTGTGACTCTCTTTTTATTTGCTCAGGCCCCTGCGTACACTGCGCGCTTCACGTGGTGACCTACTTGGCTGCAGCGCACTAAGTCGACAGAGTCTTATACACAACACCTACCACCATGGGCGAGAAGGACGAATACCCCGGGGCTCAGGTCCAGGATACCCAGCATGTCGAGACATCCAGCTCTACCGGCCCCACTAAGGAGGATGCGGAACTTGCGAAGGAGTGGTCGCGCGACGTGAAGGGGGATGAAGAGTCCCTCCCTGCCTCGAAGAAATTGCACAACCCCTTGGCTGGGTTGACTCGTGAGCAGCTGCTGGATGATGTCGAGCGGTTTGCTGCTTCTAAGCAGCTCGAGCATATCCTGCCGGACTTGAGGAAGGGCGCTCTCATCGCGCAGGACCCGAAGTTGTTTGAGACTCTCGACGATCTGTCTGAGGAGGAGAAGGAGTTGATTCGTCGCGAGAAGACGCACCGCTGGTCGCAGCCTTTCATGATGTACTTCATGACCAGTATGTATTTCTTTATTTAACTAAACCAACGTCTAACAGTGATAGTCCTCTGTGCTGGTTCGGCCATTGTGCAGGGAATGGATCAGACGGCTGTCAACGGAGCGCAAGAGTAGGTTTATCCCCTTACATTTATTTGGACAATGCTAACTCGAGCAGATACTACTTTGAAGAATTTGGTGTCACCGACACATGGATCCAAGGCCTTGTCAACGGGGCTCCCTACCTTTGCTCGTGTCTCATCGGATGCTGGACGACAGCGCCTCTTAACCGGCACTTTGGTCGTCGTGGATGCATCTTCATCTCCTGCTTTGTTTCCTTCGCCGCGACTTTCTGGATGTGCGCCGCGCATACCTGGTGGAACCTGTTCCTTGGCCGGTTCTTGCTTGGTCTGGCTGTCGGTGCAAAGTCCACCACCACCCCTGTCTATGCTGCAGAATGTGCCCCGGCTTCGATTCGAGGAGCCCTTGCTATGCAGTGGCAGATGTGGACGGCTTTTGGAATCATGCTTGGTAGGTGGCTAGTAAGGTGTATACGGCAGTGTGCTAATGGTACCAGGTTATATCGCATCTGTTGCTTTCATGGATGTCCCCTCGCCGGCCAACTTGCCAGGTCTCAACTGGCGACTGATGTTTGGCGTTACTGCAATTCCGTAAGTTCATTCCATGGATCCACTCGAACTGGCTAACACTGTAACAGTCCAATGCTCGTCTGTGCTCAGGTGTACTTCTGCCCCGAGTCTCCCAGATGGTACATGATCCGAAACCGCTACCAGGCTGCATACGACGCCCTGTGCAAGTTCCGGCCATCTAAGCTGCAGGCTGCGCGCGATCTGTACTACATCCACACTGCCCTTATAGCTGAGGAGAAGATGCGTGAGGGCAAGCAGCTCTGGCGTGAGATGTTCACGGTCCCTCGCAACCGCCGCGCAGCACAGTCGTCCTTCTTCGTCATGTTCATGCAACAGGTGCCTACGCCAACCTTATATCTCATATAACGGAGTACTAACAGTTCCTAGTTCTGTGGAGTCAACGCCATCATGTACTACTCGTCCTCGATGTTCAGAAACGCCGGTTTCGACCTGCGCTCGGCCCTGCTCGTCTCGCTGGGCTGTGGTATCACGAACTGGATCTTCGCTCTTCCAGCTGTATACACGATTGACACCTTTGGCCGACGCAACCTACTGCTCACAACCTTCCCTCTAATGTCTATCTTCCTCTTCTGGACCGGCTTCTCATTCTGGATCGAGGACCTCCAGACCCGTACCGCCATGGTTGCAACGGGTATCTACCTCTTCATGATAGTCTACTCGCCCGGAGAAGGGCCCGTCCCATTTACCTACTCCGCAGAAGCATTCGTATGTCATCCCTTGAAGTCTACCAGTACCTCTCTGCTCAACTCATACTAATATTTATTGTTTAGCCTCTCTACATTCGCGACATGGGCATGTCCTTCGCAACCGCCACAACCTGGGGTTTCAACTTCATCGTCTCTCTCACCTGGCCATCTCTGAACGCCGCATTTACCTCCCAGGGTGCGTTCGGCTGGTACGCGGCCTGGAACTTCTTCGGCTGGGTCACGGCTTACTTCTGTCTTCCTGAGACCAAGGCCCTGTCTCTTGAGGAGCTGGACCAGGTCTTCTCTGTGCCGACCCGGACCCATATCAAGCATTACATGGACATGTTGCCGTGGTACTTCAAGAAGTGGGTGCTGAGGGCTGATGTGCCTCCGCAGAAACAGCTGTATGAGTATCATCATTAGGTGAGGTTGAGGGTAAGGAGGGTGTGGATTGGTAGGGATCGGAGTGTGGAGAAGGGGTGGATCCTTTTCGGGTCTCATGCTTATACGTATTAAGTTGTTCGACTGGAATTTGGGGTATGCAGTATGCAGTATGCAGTAATGCCTGAGATGTTGGGCAGGGGAGTTGTATAATTTTCTTTAGATACCTAGCTCTAGCTTGCTTACTTTTGTAATTTGACATTCTAATATCAGGCTTTCTGTACATCGCCACGGATATTTTGTATACACCAACAAAACCTTTGGTTTCATTTGTATAGCTTATTGGTCTTGAATTCAGGATGTATCTTTACTTGTGACTGCTTAGTTATAACAGGCAGCCTATTCAATTCCGAGTGTTTGCAATTCATTAGATAGTAAATAGTCCAGTTAGCCCGACAATTAACGAGTTAGTCTGCCTAAAACTACGCTACTCAGGTGTAACATGCCAGATACGCGTCTCTTCAGATGATATTGAATGCAAATATTGCCAGTATTATACACTATGCATGCCCCTGATCGCTGCCATCTCCGATGCTCCTCTGAGATGATCTGACAAGTCAACAAGGCGGCGCTAAGCTCAGCCTCGCCCAGTGGTCCTGGAGGAATGGGGCCAAAAAGAAGCAAATCTCCGTGCTGGAGATTTCACGGCCCATCGAATGAACGCACGCATGTACATAGTTTTTGTGGGTCTGCAGGGTAGGACAGGGACCGGGCAAAGGGATGGAAGGTTAGGGGAGCCTTTTTCCGAGTGTCAATTCATCTGGAGGCTCTGCCTCGACCTTGACATTATTTCCTTCCCTCGATCGTCTTGTCTTTTTTTGAGCACACACCCCTCGGCTCGTGGTCTGGGCGTGATTCGATCATGACCGGAACAATCACCACACCGGGCGCGGGCCTGGTATTGCTTCTTTGTCTCCAGATTCTTCCCTTTCTGCTCCCAATATCCGTACAAGCCAACGAAGCGACCCCTTGCTACGCCCCCAACACCGAGCGCTTGGACGACAGATTCATGCCATGCATCTCTATGGAGGGCATGGACTCCATGTGCTGCCGGCTCAACGATCACGACCCGGACATCTGCAAACCAAACGGTCTCTGCTACTGGGAGAATGTAGACGGGGGCGGCAGAAATGGATGGTATAGGGGCCTCTGCACAAGTCAGGACTGGGATACGCCGAACTGTTTACCGAAGACCATCTGCGCTGATGACGATGTACGTTGACTCCGTTACTGTAGTCTACCGCGTCAAATGCATAGATACCAGACCATACCCGACTAACCGTAGAACCCTGCTTCATATTTAGGCCGGCGGGAATTCAAGCTACACATCCCAGCTGAATGACTGTGAAAACGGGAATTATTGCTGCGGGAGCAACAGCACCTGCTGCACCGACGATAAGATGTTCACCCTCAGCCCGACCTTAGTCCCGATCGGATCTTCTGCGAGCTCCAGTGCCGCCGCGACCGTAACAGCGACCGTCTCGGGGAAGGCAGATTCGTCTACAAAGACTGCGATCGGGCTCGGGGTGGGTATACCACTAGGTGTGCTTGCGATCGTGGGCGCAGGGGGCGGATTTCTATGGGGGCGACGGAGCATGAAGGCAAAATATGCGCGGATTCAGAACCAGGGGGTTAATATGCCCCTGGGCGTGTTTGGTGGAGGGGCCATGGACCAGGCGGATTCGAAATCTGTTCATGAGGCCGATGTTGTGCAGCCGAGGCCGCAACCTTTGGAGCTTCCTGCTGGGAGGGATGATCGTTGAGGAGACACGTATATACAAATTTTAGTAATTCTAGACCACTAAATGAGAGTCGAATATACAGACACGATGGGCATGATCGAATGGAGGGAGACAGGAGATGCGGCTCAGGGGCAGCGCCAGCAAGACAGCCTTACTCCTCCAGCAAGGGAACTGCGGATCATGGGCAATTACATGCCTCTCTGGTAACCAGACTGATGAGCAATCTGATGCGGGCGAAGTTGGAATATTTTTATTCTTCTTAAACGATATTAACTTAACTTCTTTTGAACTTTTCTCAATACATCACGTTGTTTCTGTAGTTCATTGTATAAATTTATAAGGCTAGGTAGGACATACATCGAGAGCAAATATATATACACGCCGACAACAGCATTCCAAATCATCCAACACCAGGAACACCCCATTCCACCGTCCGGACATAAATAGATATAATTTTCTAATTACCTGTATTTAGATTCTATTTAAATTGCTTAATATTCCTACTTATTCAATGGTTTAATATTCCTGCATATTCAATCGTTGTGCTGGTTATTAGTCATCAACCCTGATTCCACCGGATCCGTGAATATACACGTGATTGATAAACTAACCGCCATGTGATTGGCTGACTTGCTGAGTCAGCTCTATATTTTTTCCCTCGGCCATATCCATTCTGTTAGGTAACAGGATGAAGAGTGGAACTATGGGGACAGCAGACTTTTCGATGCAAATTTCCGCAAGCCCGGGGTAGCGATGTGTCATCTGCAGCTGCTTCTTGTTAGTGAGTTGCTAACTTGCTATTGCTGCTGGTCTTGTTGCGGGCGACTACATACTACCGGGCCGTCTATACCAACAGCGCTGCTAGCTTCAACTTCACTAGGACAACGGCATCCCATTGCAGGATAGTTGCACTAGACTATTGCATGACTCAATGGCCTCCCATTCGGTGTACTCGCTGGAGGATGCTCCAGGGCCGGATCACGGCCGCAACCCTGACGACGAAGAGAAGGTAAACGACAAGAAGGCTCTCCCTGAGGATGTCTTTGGAGACGAGGAGAATGCGGAGATCAAGTACAAGGTGCTGAGCTGGTGGTATGTTTCCCTGTTTACCCAGTGTATACAACTGCTAATACACCCCAAGGCAAGCTGGATTCCGTGAGTTACTTGGGTACAGGCTCCGCAAGGAATCAGCCGCTAACATCCGCAGTCATGGTTGCTGAAACCGTGTCAATTGGTATTCTCTCATTGCCGTCGGTGGTAGCTACCCTGGGCCTTGTTCCGTGAGTCACTCCCTACCATGTCATTGACCGTTGGCTAAGTTTCAGGGCTGTTATCATCCTCGCGGCAATCGGGATCATGTCTACCTACACTGGTTATGTGATTGGACAGTTCCGTTGGGCATACCCCCATGTCCAGAGCATGGCTGATGCCGGAGAAGTGCTGGCTGGCAAATTCGGCCGCGAGTTCCTCGGAATGGGCCAGTTGATTCTCATTATCTTTATCATGGGAAGCCATCTGCTCACCTTCACTGTTGCAATGAACACGCTCACCGATCATGGAACGTGCTCGCTTGTCTTTGGGGTTGTTGGCCTGGTTATCTCCTACGTGCTGTGCTTGCCGCGATCGTCTGCTAATGTCTCGTACCTCTCTGTTATTTGTGAGTACCTGCTTATATTGCTATTGTGGGGACGGGCTAACTAGAGTAGCGTTTTTGAGTGTCTTCTCGTCTGTCTTGATTGTCATGATTGCAGTCGGCGTGGAACGCCCATTCGATGGCACACCGAAAGCCGTAGAAGAGACAAACCTCTACCACGCTTTCCTCGGTGTATGCAACATCGTCTTTTCGTTCTGTAAGCCATGCTATCCTATAACTTAGATTAAGCTTACACAATCTAGGTGGCCATGTCGCATTCTTCAGTTTCATCTCCGAGCTGAAGGACCCAAGAGAGTACCCCAAATCCCTCTTCCTCCTCCAGGGCACGGACACAATCCTGTATATTGTCAGTGCCGTCGTCATCTACTGCTACGCAGGACCAGGGGTTACTTCGCCTGCACTGGGCTCAGCCAGCCCTATCATTGGAAAGATTGCCTACGGAATTGCGCTCCCAACGGTATGCATCCTGTGACGTTCGAAATACATTAAGCTGATAAAGGGCATAGATCATCATTGGCGGCGTTGTTAACGGCCACGTCGCTAGCAAGTACATCTACGTCCGTCTCTTCCGGAAAACAGACCGCATGCATAAGAAGGACTTCGTTGCCGTCGGCTCCTGGCTTCTTATTACCTTTTGCACGTGGGTGCTGGCTTGGATCATTGCATCTGCTATTCCTGTGTTTAATAACCTCCTGAGTTTGATTGTACGCTGCCAATACCTATAACCCGGGACATGACTGACGGATGTTTCTAGGCTTCCATATTCGCTAGCTGGTTTACCTGTATGTCCTTTTCTATATTTATTCCATGCAAGAACTAACAGCTGCAGACGGATTCACTGGCATGTTCTGGCTCTACCTCAACAAAGGCCGCTTCTTCTCCACACCGATGAAGACTTTCTTGACCTTGCTCAATATCTTTATGATCGTTATTGCTGCCGTTATTGTGAGTTCCCTTCACAACCGTTATCTTGCTTCGCTAACATGGATATACTACAGTGTGGATTAGGTCTATATGTATCTGGAAGAGCACTGCACGAGGACTCGAGTACTGCCAGTTTCTCGTGTGCGAATAACGCCTCATAGTGGTAAACAGGAAAGGATGTTGGCTTTGTCTGGAGTGTTATAGCTATCAGTTTAGTGTGGTAGTATCAAGACTTATGCTGCTGTAGCTGGGGTCAGTATGAGTATATCTATCTGTACATTATCTCAATATACTCGGTCTACAATTATCCCAAATGCTACTCAGAGTAATCCTTTAGCCAAAAGAAAAAGCTACATCTCCAACGCTACAGAAAGATACTGATTAATCCAAGACTCATACCAAGCCAACCACCGCGCCCCAAGGAACCGTTCTCGCTCACCATCCTCCTTCAAATCCTTCAAGCTGTCTTCCGAAATCCACTCCGCCCGACTCCCAACAACCGACTCCGCAAGCGCATTCCTCTGCCCAAAGTGCCACGACATCGCCGGATCCAGGTCCGTCGTCGCATACTGAATAAGGAGTGCCTGTGCCGCTAGAGCCTGCGCCTCTTCTTCTGCTGTTGCGCGCGACGCGGGACTATCTGATATGGTTGCCAGGGCGCGGCATATTTGCATGAGGCTGTAGAGAAAGAACCCGCGGAGTCTGATGCGGTCTGGTGATTCCGGTGTGACGGGGAGGTCGCGTAGTGATGGTGAACCTGCTTGCTGGGATCGAGTGTGTATCTCATGTAATCTATCGTGGATTTCCTGTGCACGGCCCAGTGTCTGGGCCTTAAGGTTGTAGTATTCTTGTGTATAGGCATGGCCGTCTGTGGTTGAGTTCTGGAAGAGGTCGAACATGCTTTTCATGATGCCGGTGACGAAACTGATACTGCCGAAGATCTCCCACCATAGACGCATATCTGGGTCTGTTTCGCTGCGGGATGCATGGCTGAAGAGGTTCTGCCAGGCTGGGGCTTCGAAGATGGAAGTTTTCCTTCTGTATAGTTCGTCTACTAGCTGTGCAGGCGTCAGCCGCCTACTTTCCAGTGGGCACTGGTTTGAATCTCACAATGGAAGGCCCCTGGCTCTTTAACAACATCCAGTCAAACCTGGTCGTATGGTTATCCGGCCCTCGAAGCTCAACCAGCTTAATCCCTCCCCGGTTATGCAGAACCCAGTGGTTCGCTTCAGGCAGACCGATCAACTACTCCAGCAACATTACAACCACAGCGCGAAATAGGTCAAAAGAGTACTTCGACTCACCTCATACAGCGTCAACAGGCGAGTCGCACAGTAAACATCAGCGCCCAAACACAGCCCGGTATCAGTAAGCGCGCCCTGCAAGCTCTTCAATGCGCGAGCGTACAGCGCAGAAATTGTCCCCGCCGTGACATTAAACCCGAATATCTGACCCGCTCGCGCGGCGAGACAGTGCATCGCGTCGTCGAGAACTGCACTCGCCCCGTAGCGACTTGGCAGGTAGCTCAGAAATGACGAGGAGGACTGCTGCTGCAGGAGGCGGGTGAGGTGCGTTGCCTGTCCGTCTCCCTGTTCATGTAAGAACAGCGACGCGGTTTTCCCTAGGTCCACGTCTGTGAAACTGGTTAGGTACGTGATGTCGAAGTTGTATTTTACCCGCAATGCCTCGTAGCCGGAGAATGAGGGCTGCGTCGAGAGGATTAGGCTGTCTCGGGCTTGGACAACCTGGAGCAACGCGGGCTCTGACTCCAGCCCTAACTCTTCACTGCCATCCTTGGAGCCTGCACTCTGTAAACGCTGACTTTTCCGCCCCGACCGCGCAGCCTGTCGTCTGATTTGGGCTCTGGAGACCTCATCCTGTGGTCGTCCCGATCGGTCATTGAGGGCATCAACAAACACGAACGCAGGCCCGTTTTTGGCGCGACAGCGCGGCTTTCTGGACGACTGGCTGGGGCGCATTGGCGGGCTGCTTGCGGGTGGTGACTAGGAGCATATTCTATTCAACTCTTGGTGGGATGGATGTTGTGGTGGTTCATTTCGAGATTTTGCGATTGCGATTTGGAGTCTTTGCTGCTGACTAAGGAGCCAAGCGAGCCCCTCCTCGTGGACGATGCTATGTAGTTCATGGTGATGGTATTGTGATAGTTATCCTGTTGATACTGTATGCTGGGATGTGACAGTGCCGGAATTCTGGAGGGATGAAACAATACACAATAGCAGCAACTGGATACTACCCGAACCGTAATTCCAAACTGGCCCGACTGGCAAGGCTCCACTCGATGGGATATGGTAAACGAGTGTGCAATAATGCTGTGCGGCCATTGTTAAATGTTTTTCATTCACGTTAAAAAGGGCAGGCTCTGGTTAGGAAGAAAGCTTGGGACACCCGTATATTTAAGCCCTAGTCAGGCTGGCCAACTGCACTGGCTGAGACTTTAGAACAGCGCCAGTGTGAGCCCTATAGCACTACTAGCGGGAATAATGGACACAGACAGGGATGCGTGCCTCAGCATTGGCCGGATTAGGAAATTGACAAGGCTGTCCTATGGACGGCCGCAAGGCTGAAGGCTGTAACTAACCATCAATACGCCACTGTCTGCGTGGGGAAACTCTCATTGGCTTGACGCCATTATACGAGGAGTAGTAGATGACTATGGCTGAAACATCCAAGTGTAATTTGCTGGCTATTCCTCGTACAATATACTTATCCTAGAGCAACCATCTAAAAGCCGGATGGCGCCACTCCAAATCCTCAATCTGACGCGCACTCAGCCCATCAAGCCTCCTCCCACCCCTCTCGCCAACCGCCTCCCGCCGCCTATTATCCCACTTCGACCATATCAACATCCCAACCGCAATAAGAAGACTAGCCGAACCTGTGGCAAGATTCAATCCATTCCCGATTGGATAGTCTGGCCCGTCAAAGGGGAGGAAGGACCACGTCGCCACAAGCCCGCCGATATTCCCCATCATCACGACCGTCCCGATAGCCGCTGCGCGCGAGGTATCGGAAACGACGTTAACTGATGCGTGGGCAGTCGTCAGAACGCCCATTGGGAACGACCCGAAGGCGATCAGGAATGTCGCTCCATATCGAGCGCGCGGGTTATCAGTCGCTAGGAAGATGATATAACCCACCATCATGAGGATAGGGGTACATATGAACAGGCCGATACGTTTATTGAACCGTCCGCTGAGATACGGGACGAGGATTGTTGAGAATGCACCGACGATATAAGGCGGCACGGTTTGAAGTTGTTGCTGGATGGTGCTTTTCTCGGGGTATATTGTGCGTACGATTGTTGGGGCGAAGAAGGCTAGCCCTTGCACGGTGACGCAGGTGAAAAGCATGATCCATGATGTGGCTTGGACGATAGGGTTGAAGATGCCGCGGGAGAGTTTCTTCTTGTCGAGTTTGTCGAGGACTTCGCGTGCGCCGGCGTGTTCGTATTCAGAGCGGACGCGAGAGACTGCGAGCTCTTTTTCGTCTTTGGATAGCCAGACAGCAGTCTCTGGGCGGTCGGTTAGGGTGAGGAAGGCGAGGGCGCCGATTCCGACGGTGATGATTCCTTCAATGGCGAATATCATGCGCCAGGTATGTAGGCTTCCGAAGGAGGACAGGCTGAGGATTCCCGAGGCGAGGAGGCCGCCGAATGCTCCTGCTAGCGGGGCCATTACGAGGTAGATGGAGAGGCGGAGGGCGAGTTCAGCTTTTCGATACCACCGTGAGAGATAGTATGCGATTCCGGGGAACATGCCTGCTTCGAAGATTCCCAGGAGGAAGCGGACGCCACAGGCGCTGTTGAAGGACTGGACAAAGGCGGTTCCCACAGAGCAGATTCCAAAGGCCAGAGTTATGGCGGGGAGGAACCAGCCAGGGCCGATCCATTTGCAGGCGATGTTGCATGGGATTTCGAAGACGATGTAGGAGATGTAGAAGACGGAGAGGAGGGTGTTGTAATCGTAGCCTGCCATGTCGAGGTCGTCTTCGAGGCCGGCAAGTCGGGCATTTCCTGCTACATTAGTATCTGCTTGTATTTCTGTAGTCATGGGATGTGTCTACCGATGTTGGCTCGATCGATGAAGCAGAAGAGGTACATTAGGGAAACGGTAGGCACGATATACCAATCGATCTTTCGACGCAGCCGGGCTTCAGCTTTAGGGTCGAAGTAGAATGCCGTGTCATGGCTGTACATGATTAGCACAGATTGCAGAATACCGAGAATACATACTGGTCTTTCTCTGAAGAAGACTCCGTAGGAGCTTGGTATTGGCTCTCCACATGCTCAGCAAGGCCCTTTTCTGCCATGGCGGGTATAAACGAAGGGCAATTGTGTGACTGCTGTATTCCTGATGAGAAGGACAGACACTGATATCCTTCATGCTAGTAGCAGGAGCAGCCGGTTATATTGGCAAGATATCGGGAAGCAAGCCCAGCGCCAGATCCGGGGAAGGCCAAGCTGCGGGGAGCTGTGCACTGCTTCATTGACAGAGCAACTGGTGATAGGCAGTCATACAGCGACACGCACCACTTACAAGACAGCGGAGGGCCCTATCCCCTGTCACTCTACTTGGCACTGGGGAGACAGCGGCTTGGCAGGCGAGATTTCGGCAGATGAAGCCAGCCGTGAACTCCCGGATGTGGTGCTCTCTTGTGGGGATCTATACAATAGTCGTTATAGCTTAGGGTTGGTATACGCAGAACAGTTGTTCCTGATGGTAGGTGCCAGACCCCTGCCTTGAGCAGCAGTTCACACTCTAACACAATCCACCGCGTAAATAGTAGGACACAAACCTGCCCTGTTAAGAGATAGACGGATATACTCTGAAGTTTCTGGTGACAGCGAACATGCGACCGAAAACGGCAGCGAAATAGCAAATCAAAATACTTGTATAGTATAAGTTTGAAAATACTAGAACTCTTGTAATACAAATTATTTTTTTAAGGTAGTTTGTTATTATAGAGATACTTACTAAATTAATATTTGACGAGGGGAACCGAAACCACCTATTAACAGGCAAAATTATGGCGCGGACGTCTAGACATACCTGCATCAAAGAGTTGATCTGGCATTGGTATCCAGTCAAGTATTCCTGTGATGGATGAAAAGCCCTGCGATCGACCGTTGGATATGTCTTAGCCAGATGCAAGGCATAACATACCGCAAAACAAGGCATCATGATCGACACCATGCGCTGCCTATGCGAGCTGACGATCAAGCCATATCTCCCGTACGAAGCTCATATAACATTCCAGCAGACCGCAAACTGGGCTGTTCGCTTGGTAAACACAGCTGCTCCTCTTTTACATTCCTTCTCACTCCGGAGACTTTTCTTTCCTTGCCAAACTCACTATCGTCTATTCCACTTCCACCTGAATTTCAATGTCAACAACCAACTCCGACGGTGTTTCCGTCACCTTCGCCTCGCATCGGACCGGCGCCCCAGATCTGCGGCTGATCCACTATAACGATGTCTACCATGTCGAGTAAGAATCACCATGCAATCCCATATGTGCATTCAAAGCACTAATTGGCTTCTGCTTGTTTAGGCCCGGATCTGCAGAACCAATTGGCGGCGTTGCTCGCTTTCAATCCCTTGTGAGCTACTACCGTGAAAGCCCGCGCTTTGCCGGCCAGCCCAACATCCTTACCCTGTTCTCCGGCGACGCGTTCAATCCTAGCCTGGAGAGCACCGTTACAAAGGGAACACATATGGTCCCTTTCCTGAACAAAATCGGAACTGACGTGGCATGTGTGGGAGTGCGTACCCCGGGCGGATTGGTTGAAAGTATCAATATTGCTGACATGGGTAGAATCATGATCTGGACTTTGGCGTCGAACGGCTCCACTACCTTGCCAGTCAATGTCATTTCCCTTGGCTCCTGGCCAATGTACTCGACCCTGCTTTAGGAGATGGAGTTCCGATCGCGGATTGCGGAAAGACCTGTATGCTGACCTCTTCAAATGGTATAAAGATTGGGGTGATAGGCCTAGGGGAAAGGGAATGGTAAGGCAGCTCTAAAGGACGCACCCTGCATAACTTGTTTTGTCTTACCTTTCTAGTGTTGACATATTCAAGGCTGGAAACAATCAACTCTCTCCCCCCGAACTTGACCTACAAGTCTGCGACGGAGACTGCCAAAGTGCTGGCTCCGCGACTTCGTGAGGAGGGAGCAGAAATGGTGGTAATTGTCTCTCACCAACGCGAGCCGAACGATGTTAAGCTCGCAACAAATCTGCCGTCCGGCGTGGTGGATATTATTCTCGGCGGCCATGACCATTACTATGCCCATAGCGTTGTCAACGGCACCCATGTGCTTCGATCTGGCACCGATTTTAAACAGATAAGCTATCTGGAAGCCTTTCGCAAGCCTGATGGTGCACCCGGATGGGATTTTAACATCACTAGGCGAGATATTGTGCAGTCTATCCCGGAGGACCCCGGGGCACTCGCACTTGTTGATAGCTTGACTTCTAGTCTCAGACCAAAGCTTGAAGAGCCAATCGGATATACTTTGGTACCTTTAGATAGCCGATTCTCTACAGTAAGGCAACGTGAATCGAATTTCGGGAATTTTGTCTGTGACTTGATGCGCCACTACTACGCCGCAGACTGCGCGATGATGGCGGGGGGCACTATGCGTGGTGACCAGATATATCCCCCGGGAGTGCTGCGTTTAAAGGATATTTTGAATTGCTTCCCCTATGACGATCCAGTGGTCCTGCTACGACTTAGTGGACAGGCCCTGCTCAGTGCTCTGGAGAATGGTGTAAGTGCTCTTCCTGCGCTTGAAGGTCGCTTTACCCAGGTATCGAATATTTCGTTTGGGTTCAAATGCCATGCACCCCCTGGCTCTCGCATTACCTTTGCTCGTGTTGGTGATCGGCCGATTGAACTCCAGCGAGATTATACTCTTGCCACACGAGGCTACATGGCTCGTGGGAAGGATGGGTTTTCGTCCTTGCTTGTTCAGTCCGAGGGCGGCCACGTAGAAGAGCTGGTATCAGAGGAAAGCGGAGTGTTAGTTAGTACCATTCTACGCCAATACTTCATGAGTTGGAGAGTTCTCGGGAAATGGAGTCGCCGGATTCCCAGCCTTCACCGGCACTGGGTCCAGCGTCCTTTTGATACTGCGTCACCGGTCTCAGAGAAATCACCCAGCCACCTGCGGACCTTGTGCCGAGAGACGCCTAATCATGGGTGCATCCCGCATAATGCAAACGGGGGCAGTGGGAGCAGCAGTGATGCCATGGATTCCGATTCAGACGAGAATCCTGATGCTGTTATTCTCTGTTCGCCCACATTAAGGACTCACTCGGTCACCCTCCCTGCGCGGTCAGCTGTAGAAGGAGATTATCATCTGCAGCTGGCACGTCGGGTTCTTCGTAAATGGATGCGACATGCCGGCTTGAATCCCGACGTTTTAGATCCCATGCACGGTGAGGGTGAATTTATGCCTCCCTTGACATCGGGGATTTCTCCTCGACTTGAAGGTCGCATTGTGATAGAGTGAGACTAATCCTATCCTATGTTTTTTTTTTTTTTTTTTTTTTTTTTGGTTGGTATTCGCGTCTCATCTCATAGAACTATACACCTAGATAGTTGTCTTCCATCCAGGATATATGATCTGCCCAGTGCAGATACTTTCATATCTACAACATCCCTGTTCCTTCTTTTGTCAATTTGTCTTGCTTTTGCCGTGCTGCAACACGGATCTTGAGTCCATCTCTGGCGCACAACGTAAAGCTGGAAAGATAATCCATCTGGTAGCCGTCGTCCAACTGAAGATCATATCGGCGAAACAACGTGGCCAGAGTCAATGTGACTTCAAGGATAGCAAGCTCTTGACCTGGGTATATATGTTAGGCCTCTCATTAACAAAACGGAAATTTGACCAGATCATACCTAAGCAGTTTCGTGGCCCGTATGAAAATGGGAAGTATGACCCTTTCACAGGCATTCCATCCGATTTCCACCTGTCGGGATTGAATTCGTTCGCGTCATCACCCCACAGAGTTGAATCTCTATGCACTGTATCTAATGTTAGTCCAAATGGTTTAACATCTCGGATCACTCACCCTGGGGGTTCCAGAGTGCCAGAGTCGTGTTTGCAGGAAGCTTAACCCCTGAAACAACGGTGCTTTCTGGACAGTATCGAAAGGTGCCAAATCCTGGTCCATTATATCTCAAAGTCTCCTTGACAATCATATTCAGATAGGGCAACTTGGTTTGCTCTAGTGATGGCACTTTGACACCGTCGGGGATCGTCGAGTCTAGTTCGGCACGAAGCTTTGCTAGAATATCAGGATGACGAAGCTAAAGGCCCTCAGTAAGCATCCAATTTTCCTTGTCAATCAAACACTTACAATCTCATAAATGGCAAACGTGATCGTGTGAGCTGTTGGGTCGCCACCAGCAACCAGGAACGTAACTTGCAATGTGTATCAGCCATGAATGGAAAATGAACTGGAAATAAGCTTGAGATGTCTACCATAATTGTCACACAGTTCTTTAGAAGTAAACGAATACTCCCCGTCCTCGTCTCGTTGCCTATCGATGCGATCATGTTGGTAACAAGGCTGTAATTAGCAGGCAATCGGACCCAACTTACTGAGCAAGCAGTTCGTAGATTCGCTTGGTCTTAGTATCATTATGGCCCAAATTATCGTCCGCTCGCGCGTTTTTGATTGCCTCTTGCGCCTTTCCTCTTAGCTCAGCACAGGCCTTGTGCATGTTCCTGGTGCTCTTCAAGACGGGGACCTTTGCCCTCAGCGGAAACAAACCACACTTCATCAGCTCGGGGAGGATAATGTCGAATAGTTGCAGGATGCGACAGTTAGGTCCTTCGTCGAGAGCATGAAGGTTGGTGCCGAAGGCAACCTCACCAACAAAATCCAGAGTCAGCAACACGTTCAGCATTGACATATCAACGTGATCGTTCTTCAAGGCGGCTTCATCCAGAAGGCTGATGTATTTCTGTGTCAAGGGTTAAAGTAACATCTCGGATCGCAAGAAAGTGATACGTGCCTGAATGTGCATGATCAAGATTGGATATTGACTCTTGACCACGGCTGGTTGAAAGGCAGACCGAAGACTTTTCCTCTGCTTTTGCCAACGACGATGATGCATTTGGGCAAATAAAGCGTCACCACTCAAAGGTTTGAATCCCTCGTATTGATTTGGTGCCTTTGGCCAATTCTTGGTAGCAATTTGTGAGATGATTTCCGGGTCTCCTATAAACACCGTGCGCGAAAATAGTCCGTTCCACTACGCAAGAGACACAGTTAGTGGACTTTTCTGAGATTGAAGTGCTGCTAGGAGGACTGCCTACTGTTTGATAGATCGGTCCATAAACATTGTGCCACTCCCTCCACTGGATTTGTTAATTGTGCTATCTTATTTGTAAAACCCTAAGTAACTCGAACCTTTTCATGGACATTATCAGCTAGTGACTGATCAAGATTGCCAAACCAGATACTCTTGACTGGAGGCCCGGGGAACTGCCGGCTGGCAATCCGGTACCAATGGGCAAACTTCAATATTATGACCGCCGGTATAAATAGTAAGAAGTGGAAGGGGTAGTGCGCTGCTGCTCTGGATAGCTCCCCAAGAAGTTCCGACAGCGTGGTGAACATTGTATCCCAATACGACTCGTTGATGCATCTGGTAAAGCAGATACAAAGCCACTGTGCGCCACTTATTTCTTATATATACTGCTACAGACTACAGCCACGTTCGAATCCTGAACCTTAATATCCTACAGTGGAGGTCTGAAGCGAAGGAGGTGGCACAAACATTCCTGGTCCAGTATGGCTGCCTTGTGGTCTTGCCCGGTTATGAACTGCTCCACATATGACGAGACTCTCAACGCCAATTGTGGTATATTATGCAGCAAGGGAACAGTCGAGCGGTTCTTTAATGAAGTTAGGGGTGAATATGGATTCTACGATAAGAAGTAACTCTCTCACATCAGCCTTACGTGTTGTGCATTCCATGGCCTCTGTTGAGTCGGGTTATCCCTTGCGCACTCCATGGCACTGTCTCACTCCCATGCCTTGGTAGGGTGGAACAAGAACGAAAGGGATTTCCCGGAAGGCCTGTTTTACCTTTATTCCGATTATCATTGAGCAATATAACCAGTTACTCAGCGAATTGTTTCCCTAAAACCATCAAAATCTTCACCTACTGGAAGTAGAGGAAAGTGACTCCCAGCGGTGCCTGCGGGTTTACGAATTGTCAGGACCGTCTCATGGATTATACCAAATGCATAACCAAGTGCCTGACATCAGCAAAACACGGATCATGCCCTGGGATACTGCATTTGCAATTCCATAGCTGTCGCAACCATCCTAGGAACACGCCTTACAGTTCCCGCCAATCGTCATACAAGTAAGGGACAAATTGGTAGGATTGTCCGCTTTTCGGATCACCCCTAGGATTGTGTCGTGTTTCTGATTGACTACTGATAATTGCTCGCCCTGTTCGCAACCAACCGCACTTGTGGAATTTATCGGAGCCGAATACTCCTCTTGATTAGCATGCGTTCTGCGAATATAGAAGACCAGGGCGAGGAGAGGGGATCAAATCAAAGCAGCAGCCCAGAGCCACTAGCTATGGTAGAAGGATCATTAGAGGGATGTATGGCAGTATTCGGCTCCTTTCTTATATACTTTGCTACGTTTGGCGTCATCAACAGTTTTGGGACCTTTCAAAGCTATTATGAATCTGACTATCTACACACTTCATCATCAACTGCCATCGCTTTCATCGGAACCCTTCAGATCAGTCTGCTGTATCTCATCAGTCCGCTTAGCGGCGCTCTGTTCGATTCATATCCCATCAAGGTTAGTACCAGAGTATCCCCAGTAAAGGGACATCCCAGGTTCACCTTCTATACGCTGGTTATGGATTTAACTTACACATTGCCCAGTACCTCTACCTCACCGGTGGCATCGGTACCACCCTATCACTCGTGGCTCTATCATTTACTAAACGGGATCAATTATGGCAGCAACTACTGTCTCAAGGCCTACTTTTTGGCCTGACCGTGTCGTTTGGCGCCCAACCCGCCATTGCCATTGCTGGGCACTATTTCAAAAAGCGACGCGCTCTGGCAATGGGTATTGTAGCCGCAGGAAGTAGCGTGGGAGGCGTGTGTTTGCCCATAATGCTCTCGAGGCTCTTCAAAAGTGTGGGATTTGGTAAATACGCCATTCAGTTGAGTTGTCGCTGAGTTCCTGGCTAACCTGGATTTGCTTCCCCACACAGCATGGGCCGTCCGTGTTCAAGCACTACTTGTGATGTACGTAGGAATTTGATAACTCGAACTCTTCTGACTTTCACTAACGAATCCCTTTGGCAGAGCTTGTTACGGGTTAGCAGTGCTTGTCACCCGAGCCCGAAAACCGTTGAAACCTCCCAAAAAATGGAAGCAGCTGCTCGACTTTCGCGGCTTTAAAGACAGCCGGTTTTCGATTCTTGCACTTGGATCCCTTCTTTCTAACATCGGACTTTATTTTCCATATTATTACATAGGTATGGTGACATACGCCTTTAATATCCTGGCTCATCCGATTAGCTGACGACCTTTAGAGAGTTATGCAATCATCCATGGCATCTCCGACTCTATTCACCCGTATCTCCTCGCCTGTATCAACGCGGCCAGCTTCTTTGGACGCATTATGTGAGTGAAAACATACAAAGCATCCCCTCTTGGTCTACTTTGACTAACATGTTTCGATAGCGGTGGGCAACTCGGTGACCGTCTCGGCGTCATAAATATGCTTTACCCAGCAACTCTATCATGTGTTATCTTAGACTTGGCTATGTGGCTTGTTGCAACCAATGGCGGTACAATCATTGCATTTGCCTGTATCTACGGTATGCCCCCTTCGTTGACCAAGCCGAGTCTCACCTATCGACTGAGACCTTGGCTGGACTTTTGCTAATATTCCCTGATGTAGGTTTCTTTTCTGGCGCAATCATATCCATAATATTCCCGGCCGTCGCCCAACTTTCACCGGCCGAGGATCTAGGCGCATACATGGGGGCATTTTCCACCGTACTATCTGTTGGGACGTTAATCGGCACTCCTGTTGGTGGTGCGTTTTTGAATAACGATAGCTCAAAAGATGCATACAAGCATTTAATTATCTTTGGGGTAGGTTTTTCTGCGTATATCGAACATTTGTCGTTGCTGATACATGGATTGATTGCTTTTTTAGGGTTGTATCATGTTCGCCGGGGCTGCAGTTACCTTTGTTGCGAGAACGAGATGCAGTCGCAATTTGCTAGCAAAATTTTGATTCTCTTACGTCGTGTGAAAATAATTTTACTGCGAGGAGTGAATGTTGTTATGGTATAATTGTCGCAAATAATGGGCAGAATTCTTGGACGCAGCGTCTCCACTAGCCTGTATACTGAGGAGATGCAGCACTCTATGAGAGTTCTCGGCGGCATACACTCAGCAACAGGCAGTAGCAAATTAGGTCTTGGTAACAGAACAAGATAATTAATATTAATAAATAAGACACCTCAGGTGTCCAGTCCCAGTCGGACCAACTCCGACTACCGAAACCCCGCCATCACCACGACTGCAACGGCAAACTCATACTCTGACTAGACACCTGTCCAACAATGTCGCTCCAAGGCAAGGTCTACGCCGTGACAGGCGCAGCAAGTGGCATCGGTCGCGCAACAGCAAAACTCATATCCGACCGCGGCGGCATAGTCTGCCTCGCCGACGTCAACCGCGATGCCCTGAGCGAGGTCGAGGCGTATTTCGCCTCCAAGACACCTCCTGTTCAGTATATGGTCACCCAAGTGGACGTTTCAAACAAGGAACAGGTGGAAGCCTGGATTGCCGAGATCAAGGCAAAATTCCAGCGCTTGGACGGTGCAGCGAATGTTGCCGGCATTGGCGGGAAGGACCATGGGACTAAGACTGTCGCGGAGACTGATGACAGTGAATGGAATAAGATCATCGGTATCAATCTGACGGGGGTCCTGTATTGTCTTCGCGCGCAGCTGAACGTCATCGAGGATAAGGGGTCGATTGTCAACATGGCTTCCATCCACTCCAAAATAGGTGAGTCTTGACTACTTGACTTTTTGAACCGTCCTAATTCTCACCAGGAATGGCAAATTACGGCGCATACGCTGCGAGCAAGCACGGTGTACTGGGTCTCACTCAGGCTGCTGCAAAAGAGAATGGCCACCGAGAAGTTCGCGTTAATGCTGTTGCGCCAGGCCCAATCTACACGGAAATGATGCAGGGGCACTGGGATCGCATTGGCCGACCTGCCGATGCTCCATTTGACGACCCTATTGCGTTTCAGCGCCAGGGGACTCCTGAGGAGGTGGCGAATGTAGTTCTTTTCCTGCTGGGGCCGGAGAGCTCGTTCGTTAGTGGAAGTTGTTATTCGGTTGATGGAGGTTGGCTGTGAGGATTGCATCAGTGGACATGAAGTGTACAAATATACCATCAGATTGTTTAGTCAGAAAGGAAATGGATATTCCCTAAAAGAAGTACCTCTAACGCCACTCGAGAGACCTCTGTCACAATGAGCCAAGTACAATTTTGATAATTAGCTTACTACGAGAAGCCGATGGTTGGGGGACAACGACCCCGACTCCAAGGTATCATTGAATCCAGGAAGAGCACAAATGATAGACAAGAAATCCAAGTTTATAGGGAGTAGCTCGCAGTGATCGGGAATCGGCTTCTTCATGCCCGTCGGACAGCACGTTGATATCCACCACGCGCCCAACCAGGACGGCTACGATAGAGCCTAGTCCGTGAAGGCGCTGGAGGAAGCCCAATCAGTTAAGAAATCAAGACCCGCAGTCGACATGTGGAGGAGAACAAGACGAAAGAAGATATTGCTCTGCTCAATCCCGATTACCTCATCGTTTCCGATGTTGATCGCGGAGTCCGATCTGATGCTCTCTTCCGCTTAGTAACGCCCTAACTACAGGTGCTTTCTCAGAGAAAAGCTGAAGAACGGGTTACCCGCGATTGCATATCATGCAGCTAGTAGAGTTTGGACGGCCTGAAGCGCTTGGGGTCCGTACACCGGGTGTTGGCGGCCATATAGCGTCAAGTGTTTGGCAATGAACATACTTTGGATAAGACCATACACTCCACACCCCCGCCAATGGAGCGTGAAACGGAAGTTGATCAAGTGGAGTGGCGGCCGACTGGTGCCGTCAAGAGGGATATAAAAGCCGGAATCCTAATTTATGTTGCCCTCATACTCATTGCAGAATCCCGAAGACGAGTGCAGTGTGGATAGAAACTCCGTCATGATTTCTGACATTGCAAGTCAGCCTCTCAGTGTGCCGTTGCTCATCTCGGCCTCTGGTGCCCTTCTATTCCTGTATTACCTAGTCCCGGCCCTTCTCAGCCCGCTAGGTGATGTCAAAGGGCCAGCTCTTGCGCGATATACTCGCCTCTGGGAACTGTACCATAACTGGCAAGGCCAGCTGGAACATGTCACAATCGCCCTGCATAAGAAATATGGTACATCAGCAGCTCGTTCTTTGGAAACACTTGCATACTGACTTCATGTTCCTGTAGGCCCCATCGTCCGGTTAGCACCCAATCGATACAGCATTGGGGATCCCTCCGCCATCCGCACGATCTATGGCCCCGGTTCCAAATTCAGCAAATCCGAGTTTTACAAACCGTTTGGTGGTCCCTTCACGCACCACAGGGATGTTTTCTCGGAGACTAGCAATGACAAACACGCGGTCGAGCGGAGAAAGACATCCAACATGTACGCAATGAGCTCGCTGGTATCCTACGAGCCATTCGTCGACAAGATCAATCGCGAATTCATAACTGCATTGGAGAGTCATGCAAAAAGCGGGAGGGAATTTGACCTCTTCACTTGGATGCAGTTCTATGCATTCGACGTCATAGGCGAGATCACCTTTGGCCAGTCGTTTGGCCTGGTCGGGGAGGGTAAGGATGACAGCGGGCTTTTACATGCTGCTCACGTTGCTTCCATAGGATACGGCTCGATGGCGGGCCTTGTCCCCGAGATTCATCCATTGTATCTTTGGCTTCAGAATGTTTTCCCAATTGAGAGCTATCTGAAGACCCTCCAGAGAGTGATAGGACAGCAGATTGCCGCCCGGATGAAAGGAGAGAGCTCCAGCGACCGCAAGGACTTCTTGGCAAAATGCATTGAATTGAACAAAGCTGGCAAGCTGGAACATCTAACCATGAATAATGTTATTGGGGCGAACGTTGGCGCTGGCTCTGATACTACTGGGATAAGCCTGACGGCAGTCATTTACTACCTGATGAAGAACCCGCATTGCCTGCAGAGGCTCCGCGATGAAATTGATACAGCCGTCGAGGAAGGCAATATTTCGAGTCCAGCGACCTTTCAAGAAGGACAGAAGCTTCCATACTTGCAAGCTTGCATTAAGGAGGCATTGAGACTGCATGCGGCTGTGGGCCAGATCCTGAGCAGAGTCGTTCCAGAGGGCGGTGCACAGCTCGCCGGTAGACATTTTCCAAAGGGGGTAAGTTTCAATCTATGCCAAGTTGTTTTGTAAACAGCTACTGATTATAGGCTCCGACAGACTGTGGTTGGCGTCAATGCGTGGGTGGTCCATCGCGATGAAAGCATCTGGGGCAAAGACGTGCACCAGTTTCGCCCAGAGCGATGGCTGGTTTCGAAAGAGAAACTTGCCTTTTTAGAACAGCATTTCCTGGCAGTAAGTGTTCACAAATGTCCACTGGATGGTGAATCTGTGCTGATGCAGATACAGTTTGGGGCTGGGGCAAGAACCTGCATTGGCAAGAACATCTCGCTTCTTGAAATGACAAAACTGCTGCCACAGCTCGTGCGGAGGTTTGATTTTGCCCCTGTGGATGGTGCCGACTGGACAACGAGCAGTGGATGGTTTGTCAAGCAAAAGATTCAAGTCAGAGTCACTGAGCGAACGTAGGCCGCCTCAGTTCTGGATCTCCAAGCTGGCATGGCTTTGAATATCCGAGTAGGTGACAAGTCCGACCACCCGTCAGTTCAGGAAATATTGTTATTCATCATAGAGTGGAAGCTATATTTAGCCGAATTTGGTGTTTGCGCAGCATACTTCCCAAAGAGGTCGTCGAGCAGACGACCAGTTTAGTAGTATAGTGGGTGCGTGCAGATCAATAACAATCAATTCATTTCATCAACACTTGTACCCTCTGAAGACAGGTTCTCAGAGTGGCGATGAGCTTGGTTAAGTGGGCCAAGATGGATTTATGCCGATCGAGCATGCACTCAGGGTCCTGCATGCGCTGCCATCGTGGCGCTTCTCAGTGATCGTCAGGCGTTCCATTGTTAGATTTCTTGGGGGCAGCTCTGCATCCAATCCGCGTGCTCGATCAGACAATTGTTGGAACTTGTGAGGCTCAGATGCTCAGCCATCCTCGTAGGGCTTGGCCGACGTAGCCTGTGGACACGCGATACGAGACTTGGGATGAACAGTCTCAAAGCTATATCAGGCCTCGCTGCCGATGTTGAAATCAATATTCAAGTTAATCTCATCGACTACTCTATAACCGCTCTTCGCACTTCCCTTTAGCACAACTCAACATGAACAACCCATACTACGCGGACGACAGCCACAAGGCCATCATCGGCCTTCGTATTCTGAGCATTATCACCACTCTCCCCGTATTCCCTGCGGTGGCATGGACTATCCCCGCTCACGCCAAGGTCGTCAACGACGGTGTCGACTGGGGCATCAACCCCGGCGTTCTCGCAGCGGTACGCAGCTGTCCCCAGCAGGCTTCAGCCTACCTTTATAGTAAACAGATCCCCAACTTACTTCTCAAAATAATAGAGCGCCTTTACATTCCTCTGGACTACGACTGTCCTTGTCCTCCGCCTCGCCTTGAAGAAACCCATCCACCCAGGCGTCTACGTCAGCTTTGATCTCCTCTGCTTCCTCTCCCTAGCCGCCGTGTCGATTGCAACGGCCGTCCTGATCGAACCTTTCTTTGGTACGGATTATACGTGTCTTCGAGGTAGTGAGTGTGGTGGGTTTGTCCTGGCCGGCGTGGAGTGGTATGCGGTCATTATGTCGTTGATTTGCTGGTGCGTGCGACTTCTTTCCTTGGCTACAGTAGCTCCCTTTACTCGGCCGTGCTGACATGATGTTATTTCATAGTGTGACAGAGTTTATCTTGCTCGTCTGGGCCTGCCGGGCGACGGACAAATACCGCAAAAGCAGGAAGCACGCCGCGCGCAAGGAAAACGCGGTCGCTGCGTAAATGATTTATGATGTGTCGACGACTTAGAGACTTATATGTTTCATGTGAGCACGGGACTGATGATTATAATAATGGGACAGACTCGGAGGAGAATACCTCGGTATACCGTGATATGGTCCGGACATGGCTATGGACATGGCTATGGACACGGACACGGATACGGACACGGGGTGGAACGGACTTGGAGGAATATATTCCTCGGTTGATAATACCTAATGTTTAATATTTAATATCTAGACTAGTTCTGATTCGCTCGCTGATGCGGCGAAACCTGACTATTTAATATCTTCACTACTCAACCTAATTATGACATCTCAGCCCTGGCAGTACATACAGAATTCAGCTCTGGTCCGTTCTTGCTCGCTAAGCTTGTCTTTCTGTTGGTCGCGAATACGAGGCGAGGTAGTGTGCCACGGGGTGAGGCTGACGTTGGTATTTAGAAGGCTTAACTGGAGAATTATAGTTTGTTGTCTATATAAGGCCTTGCCACGCTCGCTTCTGGGTCATGTTTCTACAGAACATATTCATCGCTAAAATAACTCCATTCAAAATACTACACAGAACATGGGCAAGCTACAGAGCCCGACCAAAGCGCCGTACAAGAACTGGCCGAATGATGCTGCTGTACGTCCTTTCAATGGCCTTGGCTGAATATATACTAACTCCCCCAGTTCGAAGCAACTACCTCGACAGAGACAATCGAGCTCAAAGTCATTGGAAGGTTCCCGAAAGAGGTAGCAGGGACTCTCTACAGAACCGGACCGGGGCAGTACAAAGTCGACACACCGAAAGGAGAGTACAAGCGCAGCCACTGGTTCGACGGATTCAGCCAGATCCACAGGTTCCAGATCATCCCTGACACGGAGGACCCAGGAACCTGTCGCGTATTGTACACGTCTCGAAGCCAGGTCGACGAGTTGCTTGAGGAGGCGCAGAAGGGCGGGAATATCGACAAATACATTACCTTCGGGCAGAAGAGAGACCCATGTATGTCGTATTTTGAGAAGGTCAAGGCTAGTTTCCACCCAGCGGTTCCGAGTAGTGACCACCCGGGAATGGCAAATATGTGGGTTACGGTGAGGCCCGAGATGCCGGGGATGCCGGAGGGTACGGTGACAGCTTTGACGGATGCAAATATAATGCAGACTATCGATATGGATACTCTGCAGCCGGTGGGTGTTACGAGGCAGACAAAGCTGCATCCGGATTTGAAGGTAACCACCATCTGCTGAATATTGTTCCGAATTCTAACTGGATAGGGCGACATGTCCTGTGCGCATGCTGCATACGACCCAGTTACTGGAGATCTATATAACTTCAACCTCGAATTCGGGGCATCAGCCAAATACCGCATTTTCCGCACGTCAGCAAAGACGGGGAAGACTGATATTCTCGCGACTATTGGGTCCGGGGTGAAGCCTGCGTACATCCACTCGTTTTTCCTATCTGGGGACTTTCTTATTCTCTGCATCTGGCCGCTGTACTTTAATGGATACGGGGTATCGGTGCTTTGGGAAAGGAATATCATCGACGCGCTGGCATTCCACCCCCAGGGGGAAACGAAGTGGTTGGTGATAGACAGGAAGGGGAATAGGGGCCATGTCGCCACATTCACCAGCCCTCCCTTTTTCAGCTTCCACACGGTGAATGCTTTCCAGGAGGATCGTGATGGAACGGTTGATATTATGTGTGATATCATCCAGTTCCAGAACGATGGCATACTGAGGAATTTGTACTTTGAGAACGTCCTCTCAACCGGCGAGGGCAAGCCGCCTCACGACGAGAACATACCGAGTCTGGTACGGTACAAGCTCCCTGGTGTTCCGACGAAGGGCATCAAAAAGCAGGTGGCAGCAGCAGAGGTCGTGACGAAGATCGATAGAGCTGGGGAGCTGCCGACCATCAACCCAATGTACGCCACGAAGAGACAGAGATATGCGTATGGAATCATTGACAGGGGCCATTCATCGTTTGCTGACGGGCTCGCAAAGACGGATCTGGATACGGGGAAGCTCACATACTGGGGTAAAGAGCCACGGCCCCATACTCCAGGAGAAGCCATATTTATCCCTGATGGGACGAACGAGGCTGAAGATGCAGGATACCTGCTGAGCGTTGTGCTGGACGGGGAGACTGGGCGGTCGTACTTGGTGTGTTTGTCGGCGAGGGACATGACTGAGATAGGCCGTGCAGAGGCAGACCATGCAATTGCGCTTGGGCTGCATGGGCATCACAGTGTTGGTTATTCAGAGAGTGGTTAATGATATGGTTAATACATGATTGTTGGAGGAGAGCATAAGTTATGCAATGCACATTAGTCAGCTAGTCAGCTAAGTGACAGTGCGATCATCTCCTCCACTCGGATCTTCACCACAACCAGAGAACGCGACATGGCCCCCGTCAATTTCACTCGGCCCCCGGATCTCTCTGGCCGCACCCCCATCTATCGCCTCAGCAAGACCGCCCCTCCTCCGCCCACGCCCTCTCCCAGCCAGCCGAGTCCCTCGTCCGACCCTGTCGCATGGCAGCCCCCTTACACCTCCCCCTATACTGCTCCCCAGCCGCAGTCCCAGCCGCAGTCCACTCCCCACGATGACAAGGAGAACCAGGTCGCCGAGTCGCCGCAGCAGACGCAGAGCTCACCCTTGACCAAACGTCGGGGCCGCAAACTGCAGGAGAACGAGATCCTCATCCTAGTCAACTGCTGCCTGGAGTTCCAGAGCTTGTACCACGGCAACCCGTCGCGGTTCTGGTACTGCGTCGCGACGAGCCTGAAGCGGCAGATCAAGCGCAATTTCTCATGGCAGTCCTGTCGTCAGATAGTCGAGGAGCTGGTGTCGGAGCGTCGGGAGCGCCGTCGTGATGTCGCGGCGGGCAAGGTGAAGGAACAGCCGCTGACCGAGCTGGTACTTGCGACGGACAAGTGGATTTCGTTTAGTGATACTCTGGCTGGGTCCCCTGGTCTTGTATCGCCGGCGCAGTCGTTGAAACGTCCTGGCGACGACGGGTCTCCTGCGACTGATGCCAGCGCTGCGAAGCGACCGAAACAATACGAGCAATCATCTCCTATGCCACCTCCAAGTTCCCAACAACTGTCGCAGCCGGTCGCTCACTCTGTACCGGGACATCCCATACCGCCGAACGCCGTCGCATCGATCCCGAGCGGGCCGACGAGATCAGAGTTCCAAACATTGAAGGTGGATATTCAGAGCCTGCGGATGGACGTGCAGAGCATGCGGCGGGAGATGGTGGAGGCCAGGCAGGAGATGAATACCCAGCTGGGCTTGATCCTGCAGGCTATACAGCAAGTCAAGCAGTCGGATCCGAAGGAGGAATGAGATGGGTGGAGATGATGGACATAACCTCGGTCACCACAATTCGTATATTGGCAGTGCGCCGAGCTGTATTCACATTCTACACACAGCGATCGACGTATCAGTCAACGCGCCCTACAAATATCACGCGCTCGGCGTGAGGAGAATCAGATATCTCTACGGCGGATTACCGTTCCGCGACCGATCTCCCGCCCGGAGACGACGGCTTGTCGAGGATGCGAAGATTGACTCGGCTGCGAGCCGAACAGACCGGCAGTTGAAGCGCGGCAGAGATGGAGACATTCGATATATCCATAGCATCATACCCATGAGCAGTGTACAATTGAACCGGACATCACCGATGTCTCACCATATCCTGCAATCAAGTCCCACCCTATTTATTGCTCAGCGTATGTACGTACTGTAGTGCGGCAAGCTCGGGTGTTCCCCCAGAGCTGTCATGTTTCGCAGAAAGTCAGATAAATCAGTTGATCCCCACGTGTGAAGATCGGTGGCTGCAACAGTCCGACATCGCCAGCGATCGTCGTCAGCGCGGGCTCCATCCATGGATGGATGATCCTTGGTCGTTTCGCTTATACGAAACGCGATCGGACCTGCGTCTTTCCGTCTTGCTGCCGTGCATTGTCCAGCGAGACAGCAAGATAAATTCCGAGATCACCGGCCCTGCCAGATGCCATCTCAATCACTTTCATCGTCACTGACTCGCCATGCGCTCCACCCTGGCTCTCGCTCTGTTCCCTCTGGCCTCCCAGGCCGTCAACATCATCTCGTCCAACGACGATGGATGGGCTGAGATTAACATCCGGTCCCTCTACAGCGCCCTGACTTCCGCCGGCCATTCCGTCGTTGTGTCTGCCCCCGCTGAGAACCAGAGCGGCACAGGTGGGAAAGACCTTCCGCCATGTTGAACTCAGCTAACGTCTCTACAGGATCCAGCGACGAGACCCCCGAGGACAGGACCGACGCATGCGAGTTTGATAGCTGCCCAGAGAACAGCGGTCCGTACGGCGCCAACGAGACAGACCCCAATCTCAACTGGGTGAACTCGTACCCGGTGACTTCTATCAAGCACGGCATCGACACGCTCGCCTCGGAATTACTCGATGGAGAGCCCGATCTGGCCGTCTCCGGTCCTAATGTCGGGAGCAACCTCGGCATCGCCATCCCCTTCTCCGGCACTGTCGGCGCAGCGAGCTATGCTGCCGGGACGGCCAAGATCCCCGCGATCGCATTCTCAGGAAAGGATGGCGATCCGACTGCTTGGGATGATCAGGTCCCAGAGTACAGCACCATCTACGCTGAGCTCGCGACAAAAGTGGTCGATCGGATCGTTGATACCGGCACGCCGTACCTCCCTGACGACGTCTGGCTGAATGTCAACTTCCCCTCCGTGGATGGCTGCAGTAGCGCCGATGACTTTAGCTTCGTCCTGTCGAGACTCTTCCCGGCAGTGCCGCTCGTCACGGACGACGATGTTGAGACCTGTGGGTCGAACCGTCTGCCAACAGAAAACGCCGTTATCGACACGGACGGGTGCTATGTGAGCGTCTCGGTGGGGACGAGCGACAAGAGCGACGCCGATGCAACATTGCAGGGGGGTGTGTTGCAGAAATTGGGCGATTTCCTGACTTGTCTGCCGTAGACTCTAGCATAAGTGCATAACTAGCATAGACTAAACTCGGAGAATGCCTGCACTGGGGTATATCTCCTGCGGAGTAGCCGCAGCTTCAACTCAATATAACCAGCCAGGTTACACCGGGATGGGGGCCAATATAAACCGTTTCTCCTTTTATTCTCCGTTCCTTAGGCACGTTTTCCCCTGGCCTTCTTGGCGGACAATCTTCGGCCGTCTTGTCGACGCGTTCCTCGACTAGGGCTATCTAGTTCATCTCCGAAGCCGTGATCGACAATTCCAGCTCCACTGCTGACGAACTGATCCGGATATAAAAACGCTGCTCTCCGTGCTGAACTCCTCCCCCTCAGCCAAGCCAGATATACCCAAGACAAGACAAGACAACATGGCCGCTCGCGCCCTCATCGCCTCCCTCGCTGCCACCGCAGCAGCCACCCCCCTCGTCCCAGGCGCAACCAAACTCGCCGCTCGCGATGTGATCGACCATGACGCCGTTGTCGGCTTCGACGAGACAGTCCCAGAGGGCACAACCGGCGAGCAGTACCTAGCCTACCAGCCGTACCTATACGTCGAGGACGGCTGTGTTCCATTCCCAGCCGTTGACGCCGAGGGTATGACGTGCACCCATTGTCTCTTTTAAAATACAGTATTCTAATTAAAATAGGAAACACAAGCGGCGGCCTCGAACCCTCCGGCGGCTCCTCCAGCAACTGCGACTCCTCACCCGGACAGGTCTACGCCCGCTCCACAATGTCCGATGGCTCAGTCTCAACCTACGGCGCCGCCATCATGTACTCCTGGTATATGCCCAAGGACTCGCCCAGCACCGGCCTCGGCCACCGCAATGACTGGGAGGGGGTGGTCGTGTGGCTCAACGACGAATCCTCCACGGCGGTGGATAACATCGCCGCTGTGTGTCCGAGTGCGCACGGGGAATGGAATTGCGATACCGAGTTCACCCTTGATGGGTCGAGGCCGCTTATTAAGTACTCGAGTACTTGGCCGGTCAATCATCAGCTAGATCTTACTGATGAGATTGGCGGGACGCAGCCGCTTGTTGCGTGGGAGAGTTTACCTGATGTGGCCAGGCAGGCGCTGCAGGATGCGGACTTTGGGGATGCTACTGTGCCACTCAAGGATGAGACCTTTGGTGGCAATTTAGAGAGTGCGACTTATTAGCTGGTGGCTAGTTTATGACTGTCTTGTCGAGGTGGCTTGGACCCGGGCTGTACGCATGGTTTATGATTTTCATGTATGATTCTTATACCAGACCAGTACCAGTCCATGGTATAAATCTTGTGCTCGCCAGCTTGAATTCTTGGGCTTTGTTGCGGCAGCTGGTCTGTCTCTTGGTTAGATCTAACCTCAATATATATTATATATATATACTTCCGGTGCTGATGGCGCCATTTCTCTTCGCCGTTGTATCTACCCCCACTAGACACAGATTGGTTCTCTCGTCATTAAGGTCCCATGGAACATGACGAGTCTAATTTTTCCATCTGAATACGCTATCTGACAACACATTCCAAGCACGTGATATACTTAATATAGTAGAAATCAACTAATACACAGCTCCAGTCTCTCTCCATGTACCACACTGTATCTCCTATCTAAGCAGGGACGCACTGCGAGTAGTAAGGGTTAAACTTCTTGCACGTCGTGCCCGAAGGACAGCTCGTGGTGCCCGTCCAGTTGGAACCACCGCACTGCGCGTATACGCCTGCAGAACCCCCGGCCGAACCACTGGATGAAGGAGAGGGAGGGGTGGATGTAGGTGCAGCAACACTTGTAGTGGACGGGGCAGGGATAAGCGTGGTGCTGCTTCCGGGTGCAGATGCGCTGGTGCTGGGGCTGGAGCTCGCTGCCTTGGCTGCCTTAGCGCTTGCAGCAGGGGTTGTTGTAGCTGCTGCTGTGGTAGTTGGTGAAGCAGATCCAGTGGCTGAAGCAGAACCACCACCACCACCTGCTGCGACGGCAGAGCCAGTGGAAGTAACAGTAGAAGTGGCTTGGGTGATCGACGAGGCACCGCTGTACAAAGTCGGTCCAGGGATCTTGTAGCTCGACAGGCTGCTGTAGATGTTCACCAGGATACCGGCATCATCTTCAGTGTATAACTTCGTACCCACAACACCAGCAGGCTTGTCAGTGCCAGAACCGGTGACCTGCAAGCTGAAGCACTGGGGGTAGTTCTGGGCGCCGCCCTCAGTGCCGGCACCGTGCAGCGCAATGAGTTCGTGGCGCAGAACGTAGTTCCCTGGGGCAATGGACTCGGGGATCTGGACCATCCAGCTGTTGTTGTTCTTGATGAGCTGGTCGTCGCCCCATGTTCCGGGGACTTCGGCGCCATCGACGAGGCCGACGCCGTCGATCCTGAAGAACTCGAGGGCGGTCTTGTCAATTGTTTCGCAGGAGTCACCGCATGAGGCGAGGTAATCGACCACTGGAGTAAGGGACGTCAGCTTGGCCGTCTTGAACAGGGAATAGAGAGACATATCCATGATGGGTATCAGGCCATTCGGTCCACTGCAGGTTGAGCTTGTCGCCGGCAGCAACGGGGATAGAACCCTTGGCGTTGGTGGCGTTGAGACTGCAGATGATATCGGTGTTGGAGTATCCCTGAGTGGTCAAGTCGACAGGGCCATTGCCAGTGTTTGGTGTTCCCCAGGCTGCCACGACCGGGGGGTCCTCCATGTAGGGGAAGCTGCCGATGTCCCAGCCTGGGTAGAGCACACCGTTGACCACGACGCCTGTAACGTGGCCGTGGGCTGCCACGGAGGCAACAAAGGAAGCGAAAGCAAGAAGGCTGCGAGACATAATGAATTGAATATTAAAGAATGAAAGCGACCAGCGCAGGTGAGCGAAAGAGAGACAGGCTTCAATCAATGAAGTTGGGTTGACACTCCAGTTGGAATTCCGGCGGCACGCCAGCACACTTATATTCCTTGAAGAGCGTATCCACTGTTAATTGTCGGACCATTACTGGAGACTCCGGGGTTCGTTCGCTGAGGTATGCCGAGCGCCAACTGTATTGCAAGGCTCTGGTGGTTTGAGGTTAATGTGGCTGTTTGAGATAGAGGCCTGCCAGGGGCTGCTCCACCAATTAGGGCATCCACCGTGCTCAGTAAAATGTGCTTGTTTCTATCTGTCACTCAATGGAGAAACTCCGGCTGCTATCTGTGCCTCAAATAAACAAAGTTGTTTCAGGCAAGAAGCTTGACTTGGTTTTGCCAGGGGTTTATTCCCGGTGGCAATGAGCTTCTCTGTTCAACCCTGCCAGCCAATTTGAACCGACAATCATCATTCCACATTTCATACGCTGCCGTAGATATTGATGGAAATATCCGAATTATCAACGTGGAACAGTGTGGAGAATGAATAATTCCTCGTGTCTGGTGCAGCCGAAGTCTCCTACCTTGATCAAGTTCTCCTACCTTGATCAAGTGCGAAATTATCATTAAAGAAGTTCTATTTCTATTCAGTCTATCAAAGTAAATATGTATATATCTAGCAATTAGCGATTTAAATGTCTATAATTCAACTCAGAAGCCAAAATTCACCCTGGCAAGGTGAACTCCCCAATATGCTGTATACCAGCGGCAGTGCAGACATATTGACTATCAACGAAATCATTTCAACAAACCAAAATGACGTCTATTCTATCCACTCCATCGAGTGGCCTAGATGTTTATGCGAAGTTAGGATCTTCGCGAACGATCAACCTCACTCGGATCGAGCTTCCTTGGTCTTCTTCGATCGCAGCTTCATCATCACAAACACAAGCATGTACGACGTGATGCAGAACAATGCCGTAATACCAGTCTAGTGCCGTTAGTACACGATCATATAGAATAATATAGGCAACTCACATCTCTCCAACCATAGTACCTCTCCAGCTTATTAAACGTCCTCGCATAGTCCGCCCCAGTCGAGTACTCACAGAACGAACAGGTCCCCGTGGCATTCGCATTGAGAAGATATCCAGGATTCGAAGACAGAAAGTCCGACATGTAGTCACCACAGGACTGGCCTGCGGGCGCACTGAACTGAAGGTATTCAGACGGGTTGCACTCGACTTTAACATCCCACAGCACTGGGGTAAGGAGACCACCGACGAGGTAGGTGAATGGGTCGAGGTAGTACATCCAGTATCGCCAGAAGGGCTGCATGGCGTCGTAGGGGACGACAACACCGCAGAAGGCAATCATCCCTGCGCCGAGAACAATGGGGTTCATGATTGCTGCGAAGTACTCGTTTGGTGCGTAGGCGGCGATGGCTTGGCCGATGGATGTATACAGGAATTCATAAACTGCTCTCTTAGCGCTGGACCTTAGGATGGTGACTTACTGCACTTACAGATCATTTGCAGGTATACGTGGCCGGAAACGTTCGCCTCGACTGGAAAGCCGGCAGTGAAATACCAACAGGCGAAGTAGAGCGTGGCGCAGATAATCAGGTATGGTATCTCGGATACGGCCTGTGCGGCGATGAATGCCAGCCAGTGGTACGTCTTGGACTTCTTCTCCCGGGTCTCGAAGACGTCGCGGTTCTGCAGGAAGAAGGGCTGCATTTGGTTGATGCACCCAGGGGCAACGAAGATGAAGTTGACTGTTCGGTTAGCTTGGCCTTGAAGAATATTGCCGAGTGCTTACAGATAGCAAACAGTCGCAGCTGCATGTCGAAGGTGCCATTTCCCATTTTCCAGAATGTGAAACCACTGAACAGGGCTGCAAAGATATGCAGGATGATCTTGTTCCACATGTAGTCCTACCAATGTCAGCATGCCTTCCCCAACCAGGTGGTGGTACTCACCGGCTCTCTCCATAGCTTGATCATGAGGCGGCGAAGGACGAGTTCGAATTGATACCATCTCGAAGTAGCGAAGCTGGCCTTGTCCTCCTCGCCGGGATTAGCCTGGCTGATGCGGTTCAACTCCTCTAGTTCAACGATGGCTCGTTGGCGTTCGCCCGAACGGTTCCACACATCAACCCAGTCGACCTTTTGGCTGCCGTTTCCCTGGATGACTTCAACGATGTGCTCTGCTGGGTTCGTATCAGGAGGGCATGGGGCTCCATTTTGTGCAAAGTAGTCCAGCACTTGCTGAGATTCGTTACCAGCTGTCTTTGGTTAGAGTAGGTATGTACCACGGAGTTTGGGCTGCTTACTCTCCCCAAAATACGCCATCTTTCCGCCTTTAGCCAGTAGAAGAAGCGAATCAAAGGCGTCGAATAGTACAGCGGAAGGTTGGTGAATCGTACACTGCAAGAGTTAGTATATTCTTGGCTGAAGAGCTTATATCACATACCAGGACTGCTTGTCCACCATCGACTAGCTTTCTCAGGAAGCGAATAACTATTTGGTTAGCTACTATAATGTCAACATATTGGGGTTCACTTACTGTTATAAGCCGACTGCCCATCGAGACCCGAAGTCGGTTCATCCAGGAAGAGCAGGGTTGGCTTTGCGACTAATTCAACACCAAGGGTTACTCTCTTTCGCTGCTCAATGCTCAATCCAGCACCGGGGACTAAAGCAGTCAGTATATCTCTCGTCAACGGAGCTTGGAAACCCACCTCCGATAAGCGCGTCACGGATATCATAAAGCTCAAGCAGGTCGATGATGTGATCAACATAAGCAAGCTTCTCTTCTTCAGACACACTCGCCGGCTGGCGAAGAAGAGCTGAGAATATCAGTGCCTCCCGTACAGTTGTCGTTCTTTCATGGACGTCCATTTGCTCGCAGTACCCAGTCAACCTCTGGAAACTGATGCCCTGGGGCCGTCCGTCAATTAGGATAGAGCCGTACACCTCACCGCTATCTTTACGTTGAGCTAGCACATCGAGAAGCCTCAATCAATGCGTCAGTTGCGTCGTCTTTGTGGTAAGTGTTCGACATACGTTGTCTTTCCTGCACCCGAACATCCCATCAGGGCGACTAGATTTCCAGGCTTCACGTAGCCAAAGACCTGGTTCAACAACTGCTTCTTCTGACCGTGGAACGGAACATGGTAGTCAAGGTTGCTCCATGTAAAGGTCGACTGTTTACCAGACTGAGCGAGAGCCATAGTATTATCCTTCTGAGCTGGTCTCTCTTGTTTCGTACTCGGTGTGCTCCCCCGTTTGTAAAGCAGTACCGACGACCCAGATTGACTGTTGCGAAGTTCAAATCCAACCGCTGTCAAGAAGATAAAGAATAGCCAGAATCCAACAATCACGCCGAATGACCGCCAGATATGGCCGCTTGAGTAGCTGTATTGCTCGCGGATATAGTCGGCTCCAGATATCATCTTACCGTTACTCCCTGGCACCGAGCACCCCCGGTATGGTGAGGCTGAGTCTGGATAACTAGGGCCGTATGGGATATAGTTTGGTTCCACGCAGTCTAGCTGCAGGCCGGTGAATTCAGAGGCCATCAATGCTTCGAACGCGTATGACGATGGGTTCAGATAGAAGATCCAGCGGAACCAGGGGTGCATCTTCTGAAAAGGGATCAGATAGCCTAGAGATTGTTAGATTGCTTCGGTTTCTATAGTGGAGTTGTGTGTTTACCTCCATATACGAATCCCACGGTTGAAAGGAATCCAGTTATCTGAGACGCCAGTCCGAATTTCTTGCATAGGGCTCCCACTGCGCGGAACATCTGCATGCAGCACAAAGTGTTCACGATGATAATGATCCAGAACGTGAAGAACTTCCCTGCGTCCATTTGCAATCCGGACATGAAATATAAAATTAGCGAGAAGCAGGTAATTTGCAATATGGTTATAGGGATATCTGTAATCGCGTTGGCAATGCAAAAGGCCGTTGGTCGATAGAAGCCAAATCGCTTGTGACGAGAGAAAATGGGTCTTCCCATGAAGGAGCTGGTGGTCTCGGACATTGACTCGAGGAGGTAGTATAGAACTGGGAAGAAGAGAACGCCAGGTCGCAAAAAGATGGAGGAGCTGTCCAGCTTGAGGTTGTAGAACAGACTGCCGCAGACCAGGGCTTGGAGGATCGATGACACCATTTTGATGGTGAGAGAGAGTTTGTCGCCGGCCATGATTTGGAATTGTCTAGATTGTCAGCATATGTTTGAGGGTACGGCGAATACTACTCACCGAATGACGCAGGCAATAACCTGATCCCATAGTCCAGTTGTATACACACTCTGGGGCCGCGGGATATGGCGACGTTTCTTTTCACGAAGCACTGCAGCTGCTAGGTCTTCTTCCTCAGATCCCAGTTTCTCCGGGGCAACAATAGAGTCCATAGCGTCTTGGTAGATAGAGCTTGCCCGGTAACGAGCCTCAAAATCTTGAGGTGTGTTAGGAACCTTCTCCTCCATCCCAGGAGCAACCACCCGCTCCGTCAGCACAGTGACAGAAGTCAAGAAGTCCGCAATGTTGGCTCCCTTCGGGCAAATGAATCCTAGGTCCTCAAAGTAGGCCCGAGCCTGACTTCGTGGTCCGTAGTAAGTTACCAGTCCTTCAGCAAGAACGAGAATCTTGTCGAATTGGTTATAGATGTCGTTCCCTGCTTGGTACATTGTGGCTACCATAGTCTTGCTACTCTCGTCAGATTCTCGTCGAAGCATTTTCGCAAACTCATAGGCCGTTTTCGAGTCCAGACCTCGAGTTGGGTTGTCCCAGAATTGGACGGGACTCTGTATACAGTTAGAACTTGACAGATGAATGCGTATAGAGACACCTACCTGACCAGCCATAAGCTCAGCAAGTGACACTCGCTTCCTCTCTCCGCCAGAAACGCCACGAACAAACTCATTGCCCACCAGCGTCTTCTTCGTATGTGGGATACCCAGGGAATCCAGGATCCCGTCTCGATGCTGCTGCACAAACTCCTTCTTTCCACTTCCATTCTCGCGGTCTTGGGGTATTTTATTTCGCAGCGCAAACTTCATCGTTCGGTTCACGGTCAGAGTAGGGAAATGAACGTCGTCCTCGGTATTGAACATAATCTGCTGTCTGTATTTCTTTGCCGCATCGGAGTCCATGCTCCCATACCACGTTTCTCCTTCAACCCTATCAAATGATACTCTGTCGTTCGATAGGACTCGCAGGAACGATGTGCAACCTGAGCCTGGTCGGCCGAGAACAAGCATCTACATCACGCACCCGTTAGCAAGCTCTAGTCAGCAACTATCTATTAATACTTACCATCTCCCCTGGCCGTACTTGTCCTGTCAGCTCCTTGAGGATTGTCTGTAATAATTAGCGACTGCATTAAATATACATCCGGCTGTCACTCACCCTCTTCGGCGTGTTATCCTTCCGAAAGAAATCCACCAACTGTCTTGGATCGGCCGCAGACAGTAGAGTCTGCCCGAGTGCCGCATCAGCGGCTCTGACGTGCACGCTTAAATCTCGAAATGTCAGGGTTATCCTTTTCGAGATTCCAGAGCCGCCTCGCTCCAGGTCGATAGTCCCGGAGGACGATGACGGTGTTTCCATGGTGTGCTAAACAAGGAATGAAAACGAATCTAATAAGTTTATATTAAGACTTGGACGTTCTTAGCTGGGTCTATATATCTCAAGAAAAGATAATAATATTATCTTTTCTCCTATCTCGGATACAGCTATATCCGGAGAGCCGTCGCTTCTATTGCCACAAGATACTGAGTTGCAGTTCCGCACACTAAGCCACATTTGGTCAGAATAGTAGCATCGAAGGCGTGACATTAGTGTCGTGGGTCGTGGGTCTAGCAGACAGCCCTGCGGATATAGATTATATCCGTAATTCCATAATACATCCACAGGGCGGAATTAGTCGAGCAGATTGCTTACCAACAGCACAATAGCACCCTCTGCAACTATTTAAAGACGGTTTCGATTAGTCTGGATTCGGAAAGCCCGGCACAGCTACGATTCCAGATTCTCGGTCGGGATGAACGGCATATAAAATATAAACATCTACACTACAGATCACCCGCTGAGGCTGGCCTGACGGTTCACTGGGTGTGGGTTCACCGGGTATACAGAGCTCGTTTACATGTGCCTGCTAAAATTCGACTGTGTAGAGGGGCCCGATTCTGTGTCAGGTTCAAATAATGCTCCTGTACCATTCTCCTACGCAGGGAAATACTAAATAAACAACATTTCAGATAAATTACAGGCAGTGCCTCACAATGACTTCTGTGCCCTAACTTATGGCTACTGGTGACAACTTCATGAAGCACTTAGGAACGATATCAAACAGCGACCTGAGCACATGAACCCCCCGGCTGATGATCAGGAGTCCGATTATACAGTATTATCTCGTTTTCTAATCCGCACCGACATAGGCAAAGGCTTGTTGAACCAATGGTTCATAGATCTGAACCCCTCTTCAGGATCAGCCAGCCTTATTTCGTACAACCGGACAAGCTCCGGAACTAGCTTATGAATTTCGCATAATGAGATCTGTCCGAGTGGGTTAGTCCCTTGCATTTGGCAGATGATGGTTCAAGGGCAGATGCGGATCCCAGCAGGAAGCATGAAACTTACATTTTTACCTAGACATGTTCGTGTCCCTCCTCCAAACTACCATCGTTTGATTATTAGTTAATCCACGAGGGAGAAAAGGAGCAAGGACGCACCTGAAACATGTGTCGCTCCATTTGAGCCGCGTCTTCACGCAACCACCGATCCGGATTATAGGTCTCGGCGTCTTCACCAAAGATGGTCTTGTCGAAATGGATAACTGCAGCATTTATGCCAACACGCAGTCCTCCAGGAAACCACTTGCCTGCGATCTGGCACCCTCCTGGAGGGACAACCCGAGGAAGTGTTAACCCAACACTGGGGTGCATCCGCATCCCTTCCTTGCAGCACGCCACCAGGTACGGGAGCTGCATTGCTTCGGCGTATTTGATGCGTGGATAACTAAGCCTGCCCGCAGCTGTTGCTCTATCTATCTCTTTAAGGAGTTTTTCATAAACGTTCCGGTTTTTCATAAGGTAGTACAGTATAGAGGAAAGGGCCGCAGCTGTCGTGTCACTACCAGCAAACCTGGATGGGCGCCCCAGTGATAAGTATACAGATGCTTTACAGGGAAGAAACAGTCCTATGACTTACAGCCCACCATAAGCTTCTGTCTGTACATCCGTCATCATGAAGTCCTGCTGACCACCCTTATGCTTGTGGATTTCAAGTAGTTTGTTAAGGATATCTGCTCTCGAATGATCCTCATCTGACCTGGATTGCAGTCTTTCTCGGACACACGTTGCCGACGCTTGTTCAATATTGGTCAAAGCCTTCAGTACTTTCCTTACCGAGCTGAGCAATACCCCCGAGGCAAGGAAGGGCGTCCGGGCATAGGCTGGCATCACGCTAGCACTGCATAGAACAGGGAGCAGTGTGTCGAGAGAGGCAATATAATTTCGAACGTCGCAACGGCCTCTCATGAATCCGAACATCGAGCTGAAGTATAGCTCGCCGATAACGTCAAAGGCGTACCACTGTACCCAGGTTGCAAGATTAACGGGTTCTTGTTGTTGGGCAAACTCTCCCATTCTAGTCATGAACAGCTCAGTGCATACATCAATAAAGTGTTCGAACTTTACAATACTGCTCATTGAGTAAATACTATTGACGATTCTTCTCCGTTCTTTGTGGATAATCTCGTCTGTTGACGTAAAATGATCGGGAAAGCGAGCTTTAGGCTATTAATCTTCTTGCCCAAAAGCATAATCAAATATAGCACAATATTCTCACCAAAGCTGGGTCTCCAGGGAGTGTAGAAGTCGGTCTACCCAGATCAACACTTGTAAAGAGGGGATATGATGATCTTCAAATCCTACCTTGCTGAACCCTGAATTAATTCCATATATCTCTTTGACTGATGCGGGATCCGAGATTGCAACTTCGTTTGGGGCTATACGTATGACTGGGCCTTTGCTAATGTTAGCATTTAAATTGTTTTAACCCGTATAACGAGTATATTCGTTTTCATGGAAGTCCAGTCAGTGTTGCTGAACAAGGAAGTGGCAATACCGTGTTTCTTGTGCAGCTCCGCCTGTGTCTTATGTGACTGTCCTCGGATAACCTCCATCACAATCCAGGACCGAGAAATTGATGCCAGGAAGGGACCTGGATATTTGGCATAAGGATGGAGGGTGCGGGCGTATATAATCCACAGAATCCAGTAAAGTCCAATCACACCAACTATGGGCAGCATTCGGTCCCCGAGGGAACTTGAGGTGTCCAGGAGCAGCATCTCTGGGGCTTCTTGGTCAGGTTTCCTGATACAACGCAGGATGAGTGAATTCCATGAAGACCCTATGCAATGGTACTCACTCCCCCTTGATATAGCCCTTGCCGTGACTGGAATATCTACTGCTGCCTGCATCATATTCCAGTGCCCCGCCCCCACGCCGTGTGATCAAGTGTACAATCTGCCGCCGGAGTATCAACACGCCTGAAAATGCCCCCAGAACCTAAGTAGGCAAGGATATGCTCAGTATGCGATCCGTACCGATACGCTAATGCACGATCCCCTCCTCTCCTCTCCTGCCCTGCCCCTGCGAAGATGTGGTCACCCACCCCAGCTGCATGATTATACGAGTCGTGCTAACCACTGAAATTCGGAGATTGCCCTTTATTCTTCTTGCGGGGAGAATCACCAGATCTATGGCTTTTGGCCATAAAGTTTATGACATGTGGTTTTAGTTGCCCGCATTCACCAGAGTCCTCTCCGCAAAGCAATCATGGAGCGGAAGGTGCCCACATTCTGCAGGAAGTCTTGCTGCATGGGATATTGTACTCCTGTGATCTTTCAATCATAGCCTGTTTGGGACGATCGTCAAATAACTGCATCCGAATATTTCTGACCGACTGTATCTGAAAAAATATTTTTATTGGCTGCGATGACGGAGAATCTGCTTTAGACCGCTTACTGGCTCATTATGTTCATATCTTGCGTCTACTCGGGAACTTACAAGCTGTCACATACATTGCGAAGGTATTGTAGGCAGCTCAGCTCTGTTCTGGCTTCCTCGTCCGGATAACTGCGGCTTCCATGTTGTGATGAGACTGTGGGCGCCTGAGATATCCCAGCGGGGCCTCTCCAAGTTCCAAGCACAGTACTTATTCCACGATCCGGGAGGTCCGTACAGGCAGTTGTGATATTAGGTATCCACCATTCCCCAGGGCCCTGGGAGATCAGCTGTATTTTCTAGGGTTGCAATGCCCCTAGCATAAGCAATTCGACCGACAGCTGATGCCCTATGTAGTGAAGGCGCGCTGTCCAGAGATTCATGGTTTGTGATAGCTTAATATTTCTTAGATTTTGGGAATACTGATATAGTATTGTATTATATTAAACCACCTTTCTACTTATTGTGCCTCCCTTATGCTCGGAGGGCAGAAAAGGAAGAAATAAGCTGGGCTACGGCGAACCCCGATTACTCGATGGCCTACGCTGACTGTAGTGTTCGATCTCTAATTATTACTATAAGGTGCGGATTTATTTGACTTTAATTCTTGATGTTTGTCGTGTTATTATCTCGTAGCTTCGCAATGGTTAGATACTCTATGTCGAGAATAATAATCGAACGCTATTCCCAATTATAGCTCAGCTGCTAAATCATCCAATGGAAAAGTAATTTAAGATCAGGCTAAAAAGCCTTATGATTAAGCAGGTTTATACTTAGCGCCGTGAGCCAGCTGTAAGCGGGCCGCATGTTATATTACTACTCCCTCCCCTCACCATTTCCTCATTTTTAATCCAAACACACATGAATATACGTTATCAGCATGTCAAACTTTGGGAAGACCTTTCATCTGTTTCCCATACTCCCCGCTGAAATCCGACTGGCGATCTGGCGCCTCTGCCTCCCGCACAATCGCGTCATGGAACTCGACGGCCAAACCGAGGACCTGATCTGGGAAGAGTGCCCATGCAGCAAAAACTGGCAAATATCATGGACAAATCGGGCTCCGCCTCTCATCACGCGCGTATGCCACGAGTCGAGAGCTGTTGCATTTGAGACCGGCGCCCCGCAACAACTGCCAGACCACACGAACCCAGATACAGAGCAGTTCAGCAATTCTCAGATTGATAACCCTTGGCTGGACATCGTCCACGACTCAGTCCACCTTAACTGGGAGCCTTGGGTGGATATCGATTGGCAAAGCTATGACTGGGGAGATCCTGTGCGCTGTCTTATAGCGACTGCAGCGCGGACCCGCTCCGGCAGGGCATCTATCATGTTGAGTCTGCTGCAGGTCTTTCAGCATCGTGAGCGTCCGGAGGAGTCTGATCCGCAGTTCAGGTGGACGAGGTGTGGCCTTGCAGGCCTGATGCGCACCCGGGAAAGCTGGGACGTGGTGATCTTGGAACCTGTTATTATACATGCTGCTGTGGAGGCTGCTGCGGGCCCGTTTGGACTTCTGGCGGACGCGCGAGTGCAGCTGGTTGACGCGGATGATAGTGAAAGAATTAATACATTCATGGACCTTGAGAAGATGCCAGGTGTTACTATTATGCCTAGGCTTGGGCAGGAAGACCTAGCTACTGGCAAACAGGAGTTAAGAGATGCCGTCAGGGCAGTCTTTGGGTCAGAGGATAAGGCTCCAGTACTGCGTCCGGTTGTCATGTTTCGACTTTGTACAAAGACATGTATGTAGTGCTATGAAGGATGGTTGGACTAGAATACAACAGGTTCCTCTCATCCACTCCATCTAGACACGGCCTTCGAGTGGGAGTCGCGGCCATGTCCTCATTTTTTGCACGTCTTGTGAACTCGGCTCGAAATCCCCTGGACGCCGCGCACAGCATTGTAATGCATCCTGACTTTATTCTTGGGATTCTTGCGACCCTTCTGCTTATCCAGCCACTGCGAGAATCCGGCCCAGTGCTTCGGAAAGTCTTGGTCCGCCGCCTCTGTCTTCTCCATATCAATTGCGTTGTACTTGTTCCCCTCCATATCCGTCTTTTGGTCCGTGGTCACCTTAGTGCTAGACTGCTTCTCGTTCTTAAGGTAATCGTTGACCGTATTAATATAGTCCTGTCCCATGTCACGGATTCGTTGCTCTTGAACACCCGATATGGCCATCTGCGCGTTTTTCAATGCATCCCCAAGAGCTTCATCGCCAACCTTGTTCCGGGCAGCATCGATGCGATCGGTCACATTGTCCAGCAGATCCTGAAGGCTGTTCATCGGTTTCGTGGATTGGCCTGGCTTGAAGAGTTTGTCGGAGTCAATGTTGCAGACAAACGCCTTTGTGCCGCCCTTGGGATCTGGGCTTTTTAGTCCACGGATTTCCTTGGCGGTTTTTGCCACGTCCGGGGCGAGCTCCTTTCCGACAGATGTGTGCTGTCCGGGGGCGAGTCCCTGGCCTGCCCGTTGGAGGCCGTCCATGAGTTCGTCGAAATAGCAAGTCCCGTCGGGGGCAGATCCCTTAAGACCAGACGCAATTTGGTTGGAGCCTGCACCAAAGGCCTCGATCTCCATACGGTAGGCGTACCAGATGTATAAACTCTGTGTTCAGGAACCAAATTAGGATGTATCCGTCTGGGGGAGTATCGCAGAGGAATTGGAATAGCCAACCTGATAGGGCCCTGCAAGTGCGTTGGCGGTCACATACTGGACGATTGCACTCAACAACAGGATAGCCCCGAATAGCATCTTGCTGCAATGGCGATGTAACAATCGCCTTGGAATATGAAATGGATACAGAAAAGACTTGGCTATTATTGAATACCTGAGAGGGTCATAATATTTTCCAATTCCAATGCGCTGTTTATAGACTATATACATACTATACTGGCCGAGAGACCCTACCGCAGGCACAACTGCATGTTCCAGGTGTAATCGAGGGTAAATTAAATCCAAGCAAACAAGATGCCATTTGGAGAAGCACCCATGCAGGGGCAGGAAATTCTCCGGGGGCTAAAGCTTTCTACATGAGACGGCGGGATACGACAGTTCCCAGGGCGCAGCCAAAGGAAGCCAATCACCAACAAGCCATAAATTTAACCCATGCAAGATCCTGCGAGGCTCAGCAACTGGATATTCTAATAAATCTCGGACCGGATTGTTTAGGGTTAGGCGCCGAGCTTGCCCATTGCTTCCCTGTAGTATACTCTGGGTCGAAGGCCGCCACTACCTAAAGCCCGAGTAGAGCCCCTGTGAATATGGGAAATAAACTGACTGACCAAATCATCAAGCAGAATTTGGTGCTAATTTGGGGGCTAAATGTAACCTCCTAGATACACCCCTCCGGGATCATATTATGTTGGCCATTGCTGCACTTCTCATTGGACTTAGGGCAAATTCGACGGAGGCCTGGGAGGAGCACACCGTACATCCGTGTCCGAAAAGGCGAGACAATCCTCGCACTTGAATAAGAAGTGGCGTTTTAATGTCAATTTCGCTTCCAGGCACTGCCCACCTCCCGCGGACAAACTCAGACAATGTTGTGTATGAAGATGTTGTAGAGAGCTACTTCCTGGAACAGTTTTCAGTCCATATAAGATGTACCAGTCCCACGCACGTTCAGTCTGTCTCTTCAGTCCAGTCAAAACATACCAACACTGTTCTGGTCTTGAGTCATTTCAAACAGGATGAGTGACGTTTGCAAGTACATTCAAGTCGAGGCTGATGACGGCTGTTGGGCACTGGCTGACCGCTGTGGCATCTCCGAGGATGACCTTGCCAAGTATAACCCTGGGAATGGCTTCTGTGATAACCTCATCCTTGATCAGTATGTCTGCTGCTCGGAGGGAGATCTTCCAGACTTTTCCCCTAAACCTGATGACGATGGCAACTGCTATGTTTATGTCGTTCAGAAAGACGACAACTGCGCTGATATTGCCAAAGCAAACAAGATCAATGACTGGAAAACGATCGAAGACTGGAACACACTTACATGGGGCTGGATGGGATGCGACTCGCTACCGGAAAAGGCCAAAATCTGTCTGAGTGAGGGCGATCCGCCATTTCCATCCACAGTCGATGACGCTGTTTGCGGTCCTCAGGTTTGTCCTCATGATACACGATGTGACAGAAACAGGTACTAACCGCCAACAGAAAAAAGGCACCAAAAAGCCAGACAAAGGCAATGCTTGGGACTGGGCGGACCTGAACCCATGTCCCCTCAACGCCTGCTGCGATGTCTGGGGTCAATGCGGCATCACACCGGAATTCTGCACCAATTCCACGATGGACGGCGGGTGAGAATCCCCTCTTTAGTAGAATTCCAGACCCAGCTAACACATCACAGAGCACCAGGCACGGCCAAGAATGGCACCAACGGCTGTATCTCCAACTGTGGCACCGATGTCAAGAGCACACCCACCCACCCCGGCAGGCCGATGCGAATCGGCTACTTCGAGGCGTGGAATCTTGACCGGCCCTGTGCCAATATGGACATCTCCAAAATGACAGATGGTGACATATATACACATGTCCATTGGGCCTTTGGCAACATCACAGAGAGCTGGGAGGTGGACGTCAGCGGTCTACAGGAACAGTTTGACGGGCTGAAGGAGCTCAAGGATATCCAGAAAATCCTAAGCTTTGGTGGCTGGGGGTTCTCAACTGAACCCTATACGCACAATATCTTCCGGGAGGGCGTCAAGGACGGCAATCGACAGGTTCTGGCTGCCAATGTTGCCAAGTTTATTAATGATAATGACCTGGACGGGGTGGACTTTGACTGGGAATATCCTGGCGTAAGCTCTTCACTGCAGATCCAGTGGTTTAGATTTGGCTGATCCTCTTCCTAGGCGCAAGATATTCCAGGCATTGAACCAGACAGCCTTGACTCGGGCAAGAACTATGCCGCATTCCTGAAACTTGTTCGGGAGGCATTGGATGAAGACAGGACGATGTCAATGGCTCTGCCGGCGTCTTACTGGTACCTTAAGGGCTTCGATCCACTGACCCAGTATGACGAATACATGGATTATTATGTTTATATGACATACGATCTTCACGGCCAGTGGGACTGGAACAACACCTTTGTCAAGTAAGATCTCGTCCCGTCAACATCTGTTTCGGCTAACCCATACTGCAGCCCTGGTTGTCCGCTCGGAGACTGCCTCCGCAGCCATGTAAACAAGACCGAGACAGAGTACGCCCTGTCGATGGTGACCAAGGCTGGACTCCCATCCATCAAAATTGTCCCTGGTCTTGCCCTCTACGGGCGCAGCTTTGAGATGGTCGATCCGGACTGCAAGGGACCCGAGTGCAAATTTACCGGGAAGGAATCTGGCGCCACCAAAGGTTCCTGTACCGATACGTACGTCTGCTCCAGCTATAAAGATACATCTTAGTCCATCTAACAGAGGCTTGCAGTGGCGGATACATTTCGAACATTGAGATTTACAGCTTGATCAGCCAAGCCTCCAGCATCGACGAGGAAGACCCTATCAACATTGAGGAGTACGAGGACGAAGGCGATATCCTAGTACGTGTTATGCCAGTCCTCTAACTGACGGGTCTAACGGGAATTGCAGATCTACAACAACAACCAGTGGGTATCCTGGCTCAAGCCCGAAAGTTACAGTGCCCGCCAGCAATGGTACGACGAGTTGCACTTCGGCGGCAGCGTGGACTGGGCCAGCGATCTCAACAGGACATATAGCAACAACGGCACAGGCGACCTGGAGGACACAGGTGACGGTTGGGAGAACCTTGAGCCCTGCCCATCTATTGTCTTCCCATACCTCGAAGGGCTCCAGACAGCCCTTGACAGCGGTGCCATCCCTAACTACTGCATCGCGGAGATGACCCTGGACACCCTTATCTGGATGCTTGACAGGGCATACGGAAACTATACCGATGTGAATAACGGCTACGACGAGATGTTCGACTACTACGTCAAGTACATCGAGAAGATCGTCCCCGCCGTGCTGAACAACGCCTTCATGCTCAACATGAGCACCACAGGTGAGAATGCCCTGGTCCCCGATGACGGCTATGGGATGCAATACTTCGACTGCCGATTCCCTGAACAAGACGACTGGGTCTCCTGCGCCGAGTGGGACGATAATATCGACCCGCTCTACCGATACCTCGACGCCACTGATCTCAAGCTCCGCGATGAAGATGGCTTCGACAAGGCCCTCGCCACTGCTGGTCTTATGCGCGACTGGATCGACTTCGGCGAGTGGTCCATCACGCGTCGCAATCTTGCTGTTCGGCCGCCGGCGTCAAACACCCTCAGCTTCACGGGTTGGCCTATAAGGAATGAGTCCATGGTCGTTAGTAACCCCAAGGATATTGTTACCAAGGGGCTACCGGATATTCCAACCTTGAGGGCCGAGATGCAGGCGACCAGAATGGAGATCATGGGCGGGCTCTGGATTGGTGGTGATCCAGATGCTGCTGCCGTGGCGTATACGCCTGCTGTGCTGATGCTGGAGCAGGGAGTTGACAGCATGAAGCAGGCCAAGGAGCTCGGTGAGAAGGAGGAAGAGGAGGAGGAGGAGGAGGAGCGGAAGCGTATGGAGAATATCATCTTGCTTGTTATAGGGGTCGTGTTGATGTTTGTCCCGGTGGTTGGCACTGAGGTGGCAGCTGGACTGGGCTTTGCCAACGTGGCTAGGGTCATTGCCATCGCGGGGGAACTGGGCAATGCGGCCCTGGCTACGTATGAAACCGTCAATGACCCCGCGGCGGCGGTTGTTAATATGCTGGGCATGTTGTTCGGGGCAGGCAATATTGCAAAGGTGTCACGCGATGCAAAGGGTCTTACCAAGGTGGCGGACTGGAGGAGAAGTATGAAGACAGGAGAGATCTCCTCCATGGGCAAGATCTTCCAGGACGGCGATAGCAAGGTGCAGGCCATCGTTGGGAAGATGTGCAAGGCGTGATCCTGGAATGAGTTGATCTAATTGAATCTTGTTGTATTGTTCTCGAGTCGCGGCCACACATATACCGGAGCCATGGTATTAGGGACCAAGTACATTCATATATCGAGTAGGCAAATAGACCACTGTGCTTAGAGAATGTACCTACATAAAAAAAAGAAGCCATTAGTATACGAACTCACATTATATGTGGTAGATGGCTGTTAAGTACGATGGCCCAGGTAAATGGAAAAATAGGACAGGAACACGGGGAGCCGTGATATCAATGGACTCATGAGGGTATCAATTGGTAGACGTCTATTAAAAGCAAATATCTAGCTCCCGGTGCAGCCATTTTCGTCGAGATAATCCAAGCAAACTCCTTGCTGAAACCGATGTAGAGTCGTCAGTCATTATGAGATGTTTAGCTTATCACCACGAAGACAACTGGGACGCATGGGAAACAAATTCGGCCAAGCTTTGCCTCGATTCGCCAGGCCAAGTCTCCGACATTTTCGGTGGCTTGCTGCCATATCCTTCGCCCAGGCCTAAAAAGTGTGCTTTAATGGAGAGCTCCTCTCGAGACAGGCTGACAATCATCTTTCTCCTGTCATCAGTGGGGTCCCGGAGCTGCCCATGGTGGGGGAACAAAGTTTCCCAAGATATATCGCCAGTGCCCTGCTTATCCGACTTTTGAGCAATAGCGGACACGATATCCAGCAGGCAATAATGTGTAATCATTGAAGAAACTTCATCCTGTAGCGCAACACGGCCAGGAGATAGCACATCAGGAAACGGCGGATGTTTGAATGAGATGTCATAAAAGGTACCAACGGGCGGGATAACGGGGCTAGTCCGAAGCCGAACCTGGAACGAGCTCTGCGTATCAACCAGCGTTCCCGAAAAAGTTGACTCAAACGGTGCCAGGAACACCCTCGCCAATGCTTCAACTTTTGGAACTTGGATGCTAGGCCGCAACGCGCCGATCGACGAGAACTGGGCGGCGTGGAATTCACACTTAATGCCGGCTGATTCAAGTACATTGCGTATATCTTCCATGAATGACTCCAGCCATGCTAGGTGGGATTTGTGTTGTAGGTAGGCCATAATTGGTCGGAGGATGTGATATTCAGGAACAGGGCGGCGCTTAGGCGTCGACGGAGGTGGGGGTTGGGTCCTTCGCCAAAGATTTTGGCGATGTGCGTAGGCCAGGAGAATGCGAATGGAGTGCGCAACTGCATCTGCAAAGATATCTTGCTCGCCAGAAGCAGCCACCTCCGGGTCATGGTCCTGATCCCAGTCAACTAGGTCCAGCAATATCTCTTGCTCCCCAGATACAGGAACCTCCACCAGGTTCTGTCGGGTTGTTACTCCTTGGTTGCCTAATATTCTTGCTTCGCGCATCATTTCGTAAAAAAGCTCCTCCTCGAATACTGTATCGCGGGCTTGTAAGATGCGGCTTTCAATCGACTCGGCGACCTCTGGCGGTCGGCACACTTTCGAGCAGCCAACGATGCGACTACCGTGTTTCACCCTAACGCGTACTCCTTTCGCCTTTGCAGGTACCAATCCCTTGTCCAAAAACAAGCTTCCGTCGTCAGTCCTTCGTAGCGCGGCGAGCCCTCGGTCGCGGAAAATAGGCGTAGCTGCCATTGTCAGTGGGGATCCGGCGCGTAAAAGGAGTAATCTTACCCTCCATGAATCCATATTGTACCCCAAGAGCTTGCCCCTCCCTGGGAAGCCTGCTGATCTTCCATCCCTTCTCTTTCACGGCTAAGACCTCATTCCAAAACTTTGTCTCCGAGTTGACCTCTGTTTCCAGTCTCGAGCCGGCGTTCAAAAGTTTGTTTGCAGCGGAGCTGAAGTTCTGTAACCGCCATCCTCTTGATACCGATTTTATGTCTTTGAGGGTAGAATCTGGTCTCGGGGGTGGGTTGACGACTTCGGCGCTCAGAGTTCCAAGCGGTATGGCGCCCTTTAAGAACTGCGACATGGACATCTCAGCCTGGCGGGCATTATGTTTGGAAAGCAACAGAGAGATGAAATCCAAGGCAAAGGCGGTTTCCATGTGAGCCTGTCTACGAAGCATAAGCATGTCACCGCGATTGAGGCGAACGCGCAGCTTACAGAGCAAAATTGATAATCTCAGCACGGCGTTTGTACAGCTGGTCCTTCTGCTCTGACGCATCCAGATCTATTGCATCCTTGTCGCCAACATCGTCCTCTTCCCATGGATCCTTGTTTTTATCCTCCTCGATCCTCTCCCGTAGCTTCGTCTCGTTGAGCTCGCGGAAGGACCCCCATTGCGCGTTGATCTGGGCGATATCGCGCGGCAATGAATCCGGACGCTCGCGTTTTTCGATGATAGGGCGAAGTGGGAGGCTGAAGGAGTCTGACATGATGCGAGATGAGCCACTCTGCACCGAGTGGCCCCATGAATCAAGTGATGAATTGGAAGGGATCGGGTGAGCCGCCGATAGCTGGAGCTTGGACCACAATTGAGTCACGTGTCATATTCCACGTGATCACTACTTCGGGTTTCCATTCAAAATCAACTTACGCATGTCGTTTGTTCCAGAGAGACTGGGTTTGAGGACAATGTTAGATTTACGAGGCTGTGCTGAGATAATTTACCGAGAAAAGGTTTGACCACGAGTGCGGGAGCTATAGCACAGTCGTGTTTATTGTTGGATATATATTTCTGAGCGCCCGGGGGGGGGGGCTTCGGGAACCCCCGCACCAATTTACGAATAGATCCTGCGCCCCAAGCCCACCTTATTCGCAGTATTGAATGTAATGTATCTATCATGCCATTTATCCTGCAGCCCTTGTTATCCTTGTTATGTTATTCTGCGTGTTGCCAGCCAATCAACGCGTCACATGGGCGCGCAAGCCCTGCCCTAGACATATCGCACGTGACAGCCCACACGCTAAACCGCAACGGGAGCATGGAGCCACCTCCCTTCGGGCTGGTGACATCAGCAGATCTTCTTCCCTTGCGGCGATCAACTGTATACAGTGCAGTCTTCCGATCCTTCTTGCATGAATAAAAGGGCGGGACTCGGATCCGGTTGGGAGAGCACTTCAGATTAATGACCCTGGTCGTATGCTAATATCTGATACCAGAAAATTTAGGCTCGAGAACGCCCCGCGGCTGTTACTCCCTTTACTGTGACAGGCAGTGTGACGTACCTTACCCGCAGCCCGCTTTTTCTCACCGGAACCCCCCACCACGCACCGAGTTGTGTCTTCATCAACTCACTCTTTCGTCACTGCTCGTTCTTTTCTCATTTATCTAACCTGTAGCTGCATTGCTTCGAGCTCTCTCGACTGAGCTGCCACATTTCGACCTGGAGATCAATTTGTCGCAGTTGCCGTCGTGATGGCTCCAACAACACTTACTTCGCAAGCCCCTCCTCCCAAGCGCCGCCGCATCGGTGTCTTGACCTCCGGAGGAGATGCCCCCGGTATGAACGGCGCTGTGCGTGCCGTCGTCCGTATGGCGATTCACTCCGACTGCGAAGCCTATGCCGTGTACGAAGGATATGAAGGTCTGGTCAATGGCGGGGACATGATCAAGCAATTACACTGGGAAGATGTTCGGGGATGGCTTTCCCAAGGTGGTACTTTGATCGGCTCCGCTCGTTGCATGACTTTCCGCGAAAGGCCTGGCCGACTGCAAGCTGCCAAGAACATGGTCCTGCGTGGAATTGACGCATTGGTTGTTTGCGGTGGTGACGGTAGTTTGACTGGTGCCGATGTCTTCCGCTCCGAATGGCCTGGCCTGCTGGAGGAATTGGTGAAGAAGGGAGAGTTGACCGCGGAGCAGGTCAAGCCTTACACAGTATTGAACATTGTCGGCCTTGTGGGATCAATTGACAACGACATGTCCGGGACAGATGCTACAATTGGTTGCTACTCGTCATTAACTCGTATCTGTAACGCTGTTGACGATGTTTTCGACACTGCCTTTTCTCACCAGCGAGGATTCGTTATTGAAGTCATGGGCCGGCACTGTGGTTGGCTTGCCCTGATGGCTGCCATTGCCACGGGCGCGGACTGGCTGTTCATTCCCGAGATGCCTCCCAAAGATGGTTGGGAGGATTCCATGTGCGAGAACATTACCAAGGTAGGACATTTGACAACAACTTAGCGTTTGAGAGCTAACGCTTCTTCTTGACAGAACCGTAGTGAGCGCGGAAAGCGCAGAACAATCGTCATCATCGCCGAAGGAGCGCACGATGAAAGCCTCAACAAGATCACAAGCGACAAGGTTAAAGATATCCTTACTGATCGCCTTGGGCTGGACACCCGCACAACAGTTCTTGGACATACCCAACGAGGAGGATCTGCCTGCGCCTACGATCGCTGGTTGTCGACCTTGCAAGGAGTGGAGGCCGTGCGGGCTGTTTTGGACATGACGCCGGAATCTCCTTCTCCAGTCATCACAATTCGCGAGAACAAGATCATGCGTACGCCATTGATGGATGCCGTCAAAGAGACGCAGGCTGTTGCAGCGCGTATCAAAGAACGAGACTTCGTAGGCGCGATGGAATTACGCGACCCCGAATTCAAAGAATACCACTATGCTTATAAAAACACGGCGACACCTGATCACCCGAAACTTGCCCTTCCCGAAGGAAAGGTAGGAGAAGCCCGCTCTTTAATCAAACAACCTGGCTAATGTATAAATAGAGAATGCGAATTGCCATCGTCCATGTTGGTGCCCCTGCAGGAGGCATGAACCAGGCTTCGCGTGCTGCCGTGGCATACTGTCTAAACCGCGGCCACACACCGATCGCCATTCACAACGGATTCCCCGGCCTGATCCGGCATCACGCAGATAAGCCTGTAGGCTCAGTGCGCGAGGTCAGATGGGTTGAGACAGACCCCTGGGTAAATGAGGGTGGTTCAGACATTGGCACAAACCGTGGCCTCCCGTCAGAAGACATCGAGACCACCGCCCAATGCTTTGAAGCAAACAAGTTCGACGCGCTATTCGTCGTCGGTGGGTTCGAAGCCTTTACAGCCGTCTCCCAGCTCCGCCAGGCGCGTGAGAAGTACGACGCCTTCAAGATCCCCATGGTCGTTCTGCCGGCCACCATCTCCAACAACGTCCCAGGCACAGAATACTCGCTCGGAAGCGACACATGTCTGAACGCTTTGATAGACTTCTGCGACTGCATCCGGCAATCAGCCTCGTCGTCGCGCCGTCGTGTCTTCGTCATCGAAACCCAGGGCGGTAAGTCCGGTTACATCGCCACAACAGCCGGTCTCGCCGTCGGTGCCGTTGCAGTATACATCCCGGAAGAAGGAATCGACATCAAGATGCTCGCCCGCGACATCGATTTCCTCCGCGACAACTTCGCCCGCGACAAGGGCGCCAACCGCGCTGGAAAAATCATCATGCGCAACGAGTCCGCTTCCTCCACATACACCACGCAGGTCATCGCAGACATGATCAAGGAAGAGGCCAAGGGCCGTTTCGAATCTCGCGCTGCCGTCCCCGGGCACTTCCAACAGGGTGGCAAGCCCTCGCCCATGGACCGCATCCGCGCGCTGCGCATGGCCATCAAATGTCTGATGCACTTAGAAAGCTACTCCGAAAAGACCAAGGACGAAATCGCCGCAGACGAGATGTCCGCCACCGTCATCGGAATCAAGGGCTCCCAGGTTTTGTTCTCGGTTATGGGCGGCGACGCCGGTCTTGAGAAGAATGAAACGGACTGGGCCCGTCGTCGACCCAAGGCTGAGTTCTGGCTCCAGTTGCAGGATACGGTTAACATCCTGTCTGGGCGCGCAGGTGCAAAGGATACCTGGTCTTGTTATGAGGATGATGATAAGGTCCATGCGCGGTCGCATGTTCCGTCCCCTTGAGGATCAAGTGAAGCGATGTGGATGGGGAAAGATGTAACAGCATGATAGGTTTTGGGATTCATTTTGGACGAAGGTAGCCTTAATCCCCCTTACGAATGATAAACATGTAGTGAATGAATGGATTCAATGTTCTAGACAAATACGAGATATCTACCTAAGCTATGGTGCTATAATTAAGTATACCTATTATACTTTCAAAGGAAAGTTCTCGACACGTTATCAAGTACGGATAGCCATGAATCAAATCATCAAATACGACAAAATCTCCCTGGTGTGAGATTATGGCAGTGATTTCTGGATACTTGCCAGCTCGTCGAGGAGTTGTACCGTTTCAGCTGGGCTGGCGATCCACGCTGTCGTGGAAGCAAGACGGGCCTGCACATGTCAGCATAACATTCCATTATAGATACACATAAACAAACCTTGAAATCATTGGCACCGGCCGACAAGAACTGATCACCGACATGCAGAGTGCGCGCGGGGTCAATACCGCCAAAGTACTGCTGGCAAGCACGCACACCCCATGATTTATCGCCGATATCAACGAAGACGTCGTTTCCACCTGTCGATTGGTATTAGCATACACGCAGATATTGGAACGGGCTTAGACGCCGCTTGGAGATGGAACGGGAGAGAAGGGGAGCAACCGTTGAAAGCACAGAACGGGAGTCGAGTTCCGACCTGGGACCGCTCGACTGTATTCTGCACAACAAGAACAGTCTCCTCGAGTTGTTCGCGGGACAGACGGCCTTTATTCTGTGGGTAGACCCCAACCGCACGATCCTTTCGTAGGACCGAGACTGGGAGACTAAGGTTTGTGACGCAGGCGCGGAGGGACGATTCCGCGATGTTTAACAGCTCGGTGATGTCTTCTTCTTTCCAGGTGGCCATTTCGCCGATGACCCACTGCTCACGCGGGACGTAGATGAGTTTGTGTGGTGAGGATGCGTCGTAACGGAAGAGATAGTTGCTTTCGCCGCCCATGACGATGAGGCCGGAGCGTTGTGAGTCGGTGAGATCTGGGGAGCTGTGCATGACATCGAGAAGACCCTGCAGGCGCTCATAGTATTTGGCTTCCTCCGTGTATCCAGCGGCTGTGACGATTCCAACTTTGATGTCCTGCTGGAGAAGGTGGATGATGCGTGGGATAACGGCGTTATCAGGCGCCATGTTAGTTCCGTCGTCGTATAGAGTGACGTCTCCATCGAAAGTGACGAGTTCTAGGCCCCGGGTGTGAACTAAGCCAAGGATCTGGGCGGAGTTCAGAATCAAACGGACATCGTTGAAAGAGGGAGCGACGAAGCGCCGTCTGCTGATGAAACGCTGTTGGTCTTGGTACTTGAAGGCGTCCTTCAAGTATAGCCTGGTGAAGAACAAGCCAACTGTGGGAACAAGCAGCTTCAGCTTTGACTTTCCGGCAGCACCGCTGAGTTCATGTTCAACTGCTACCGTTAGTAATAGCTTTACAGAGGATAGGTACAAGTACTGTGATCGTCCATAAGACCCTCGACATCTCGGAAGATTTCTGCATAGCGCTGGTGGGTGTCGAGTGCAACCTCTGTGAGCTTTTCGCTGTGCTCTTGGTAGACGGCGGTAGGCTGTGAATGTAGCACAAACGGAACAGCCAGGAGGCCCTGATGGTTTATTAGGATACCGAAGCAGACGGGTTCCACAGAGACGGACCTTAATCCATTCAATCTAGGACCAGGTTAGTAGGAGAGCGAAACCGGCATTGATTCACCTACCAATTGATCTCGACGGTGAGACTGAAGACAAATTAGCAAGAGGTATTTGGTAGAGGTATCCGTACCAACATACCTTGAGGGCATCTGGAAGACGTTAGCAGTGGAAACGAACAGACTCGGGGACGTACATTCAACGCGATAGCGGGTAGTCATGGTGTATTAGAAGTAGTAAGTAATAAAGCTGGGATGTTCGATGATGAAGAAGCGACCCTCCCCTTAAGAGTTGAAGTGAAGTGGACAAGCAAGGGAGAGCAAGAGCAAGAGAGAGCAAGAGATGGATCGACGCTGCAGCTGTCACAACAGAGAGACGCGACGCTCTCTGGTTGGCTGGCCATCCCTGCCTCAGGCATCGCGGGGAGAGCTTATCAGCTGACGGCGGTCACGAGATGCGACCTGTCTTAAAGCAGACTAGCGTGGTCGCACCTCGCCGAAACATAGCCTGAATAATAAGGCATCAGTGCTGTCCGCCGGCGAGACGCGATTATGAGAGAAGAGATAACAGTCCGGATGGAAATTGGAGACTCGAGGTGGCACAGACAAAGCCCGAGTGTGTCTGGCTGGGGCGACTGCACCAATAGCAGGCCTCGGACGATCTCCGTTCTCCCCATGTGGAGTCTCACGAGGCGGGGATAATGAATTGGTAATCCCAAGTGCTCAAAGGTGACTCTACCTTTCAATAACTGTTCTGGACGACATTTGAATCTGTACAAAAAATACTGGAATAATGGCCAAAAACCGAATCTACCCACTCGCCAAACCCCCCGGGCACAAACCGCCCATGGAGCGCTGGAAGCTGGACTTCCCCAGCAGTACTAGCCCTATTTACACAGCATACATAGGCATCCAGCGGCACAACTCCACCCCAGACACCCAGACCGCATTCCAAAAAGCCACAGACGCTATCCAAGACTGGCTCAGTAGCGCCAAAAGCCAGGAAACTGCAGTGGAGAAATTCACCTTCATCGAAGGCGACGACGCCCCCTCCTCCCTAACATGGGTATGCTACTGGTCCAACCCAACCCTCTGCGCAACGCACATGTCATCCCTGAATCTGGGAAATGTCTACGATAGCCTAGGCAAACCGACAGCTATCGGCCTGTGGATAGAAAAATTCACAACCCCAACTTCGCGCCTCGAAACAAACTACTCGGGGCTGGATTACCTCCCCGGTCTGGCGCGCCTGCCTGGGTCCCAGACCGTCGGCCACACACTAACAGCGTACTGGGGCGCCGCGCGAGACCGGATCCCCGACTCGGCGGGGGACTTGTTCGGCCGGGCTGCCGGTGAAGGGATTGATAGCGCGGATCCTTCGCCGACACCGGCAGGATTACGGCAGAGATTAGCAGGTATCAACCGATTCGACAATCTCGTGCATATCCGCTCGGGCCAGTTCTGGGGGAATTGCGACGATGTAGAGACCGAGGCGTATGAGGCGCAGCTGGAGCCGAGTCTGCGTGCGGGATTAAGGTGGGTTTGGGAGAATCGCGATGAATCTGGGGCGATGGGGTTGCGGTTTGTTCGTAATGTCCCACTGGCAAACCCGGATGGGGATGGGTCCCCCGCAAGAGAGACCTGTGCGGCGGGCTTCTTTCGGAATCTGGAGGACCTGGAGCGCTGGGCGAAGCGGCATCCGTCCCATTTGAAGATTTTCAACGGGGCGATTCGGCATGCGAAGACTTTTGGGGATGCCAGAAGGTTCAGGACGTGGCATGAGGTTTCTGTGCTTAAGAAGGGCGAGGCCGAGTTTGAGTATGTGAACTGTCTTCCTGAGACGGGGGTTATACGGTTTCTTCCTCTTGATGCCGAGGATTTATAGTTATAGCTTTATACGGTGATAATCATAGAATTCCACGTCAAGTATATACCTAGCCCTACTCTTGTCTTTGTATATCATCAGTCATCCCATCATGAATACCTCCATACATTTCAATCCCATTAGACATTCTCCTTACGCTCCTCCCTAGCCTTCTCATCAACATTCATACTAGCCACCTGCGCAGCAGCCATATCCCGATCCTCGCCCATCTTCTCCTGGACCATATCCCTAGTCTCGGCATCCCTGTTACCATACAAACCAATCTTGTACCACCTAAGCTGGAACAACGCATCCATACTCTCCAGACTCCGCCCGGCAGTCTCGGGGATACTAAACAGCACCCACAACCCACCAAGCACAGTAACAGCGCCGAAGCACCAGAACGTGCCCTTGGGGTCGATACCACCCTGCGCCGTGGGGAGAAGCATATTCGGCACAGCACGCGCATTGCCGTACTGGTTGGCGAAGTGCAGCGTCATAGCGGTGGAAGTTGCCAGGGCGCGGATGCGCAGAGGGAACAGTTCAGCCGTGAGCAGGTACTGCATGGAGTTCCAGCCAAGCGCCCAGCCTACACCGGAGATGTAGATCATGGCGATGGCGCCGCGGGAGGGACCGGCTTGGCTGGGGGAAAGCTCGAAGTCGTCGACGACGCCGAGCTGGGGGACGGCGGTTAGGAAGCCTGCGATGTAGACCATTGAGATGGCCTGGAGGGTGATTCCGATGAGGAGGGCGCGCTTGCGGCCGATGACGTCGACGAGGAAGAGGGCGCAGATGACGGCGGCGACGAGCTTGACGATTCCGAAGACGGCGGTGACGAGGAGGCCCTCTTCAGAGCCGGTGACGCCGAGGAGGGAGAAGAGCTGGGGTGCGTAGACAGTGATGGAGCCGGCGCCGGACCATTGCGAGAGGATCTGGACGCCGGTGGCGAGGTAGAGACGGTATAGGTTGGAGGGGACCATGACGGCCTCCTTGACGACGCCGAACCAGCCGAGGCCGTGGGTGGCTTCCATTTCGGCCTCGTGGGAGTTCTTGATCCCGGCCAGCTCTTGCACGACGTAGGGGTGGTCAGGGGGGAGGTTGCGGATGCGCGAGAGGTTGTGCAGAGCCTGCTCGTAGTTGTTTCTCTTGATGAGGTAGCGCGGTGACTCGATCTGGAGGAAGGAGAGGATGAAAATGATGCCGGCGAACATGATGTGCAGACTAGTAGGGACGAGCTGGGAAAGTTAGTTAGCTGTCTTTCTTTTACTAAATTCAGGGTTAACGTACCCAGCGGTCATGCGTGTTGTCTCCCATGTTGACCTCGCAGCCATAGTTGGCGAAGTAGGCCAGGACGATTCCAATGTACACGAAACCAGTGAAGATACATGTGCACAGCCCACGAATTTGCGCGGGAGCCTGCAACAGTTAGCTTGAATCACAAGTGGAAAGCGGACATGGCGTACGATTTCACTGAGATAGACCGGTGCCACCACGACAGTAGCACCAACACCCAGCCCAGCAACCAGTCGTCCAGCATAGACCGCAGCGAGGTTTCCGCCGTGGCCCATGAAGATGGCAATGCCCACAATCCACACGATACACAGACCACGACAAGTCCAGAGACGGCCGAAGATGTCACAGAAGAGGAACGCACTGGCAGGTTAGCAGTTGCAGTTAGGGTTGAGGCAGCGAACACTCACATGAGAGCACCACCAACACTGCCCAGCTGCACCATGGCAGTGACGTTTGCGCGGATGTTGGTCTGCTCGACCTCGCCGTACGACTCGAAATTGATAGTGCGCTGGAAATCGACTGAATCAAAGGCTCCAGTAATCAAACCCTCGTCGACACCACGGGCAGCGCCCATAAGGCCGAACGTGAGCACCGCAAACCACAGTCGCCAGTTCAGGACCTCCCTCGGCGCGCCGTCCAGCTTGAGCCGGAAGACGTTGAGAGGCTGCTTTGGACCGCCCGCCATTTTGAAAGCACACACACGGAGAACAGAAGAACGCAGAGAGAGAGGAGGGAGGAAAGAGGGAGCAAAGAAAAGAAGCAGCCTGACCCCCCTTACAGCTGGACAGCGGAGGGCTGCATTTATAGAAAGAATCAGCGGCAGCGTCACATCGTCGGTGAATGAGCCAGCTTCTCCAACGACGAATCAGTCAGTCCACCTTTCGGACGTTGTCCGCAAACTGGCGATTCCGGAGACCCCGAACAGTGAAGGCACAAAGCACGGCAGGGGCCAAAGAGCTGGCCTGTGCCTCAGCAAGCCATTAGCAAATGCCGCGAGAATGATTGGGCCCAGGGAACGAAATGCGGAGACCGCGAGGGCCGATCAGCGCGGGGGCTGGAGAGTGATGGAGGGTGAGGGAGAGTTTTATGGGGACTGGGAGTGTGGGTGCTCGGAGATGACCCGGAATGGCGAATCTGGCGAATCTTGGGCGAGCCAGAGAGCCATGTGGATAGAATCATGGAACATGAGCTGGTCTGTTCACTGGAGAAAATGTCCGAAATCCGGAGTGCAGCTGGTCCCATACCATCTGTAACTTCTCCAGGATGCCAACCCCAAGGCCCAGAAAGGCCCAGCAGGCTTAGAAGGGCCACGCCGGGCCTTGGCAAAGCTTTAAACTGTCTTGATTTAAAGTAATGCCAAGGGCTGGAACAGAATAAAATAAGGGCTGCAATAGCCGATGTTCTACCGGGGGAATGGGCAGTTGCCGTTACACTGATCAATATTAACAATTAACATAACATAACATCTGCATTATGACTGACTTATAATAACCACTACTTCCACTAAGGTCGCCACTTGAACGCCGGATTGCGCCAGTCCAGGTCCTGCACCTGCTTCTGCGACAGCCCCGACAGCGCCTGGTCCACGTCCGTGTGCGCGCGCCGCCGATTGTCCCACTTCATCCACGCCCACAGCGCCGCGCTGAGGATCAAGCACATGCTGCTCGTCGCCAGGTTCAGCCCATTGCCGATGTGGTAGTCCGGCTTGTCGAAGTCCAGGAACGACCACGTCGACACCAGCCCGCCCACGTTGCCCAGCATCACGTTCGTCCCGATCGCGGCCGACCGAGCAGTATCGGAGACCACGTTGTTGCTGACGTGTGCGTTGGTTAGCGCGCCGAATGCAAAGGCGCCGCTGGCAATTAAGAATGTCGCGCCGTATCGTACTTGTGCGTCGGTCGATGCGAGGAACATGATATACCCCGTCATCATGAGCGGCGGGCCTGCGACGAAGAACGCCAGCCGGTTATCCCACCGCCAGCTGAGGAAGGGGAATAGCACGGTGAAGAACGCGCCCACGACATACGGCGGGACAGTGTGCAGCTGCTGGCTGACGACGCTGGCGTCGGGGTATATAGTACGGACGATGGTCGGTGCGAAGAAGGCAAGGCCCTGCACGGTGATGTTGTTCAGGAGGAAGATAAACGACGTAGCCAGGGTCACTGGGCTGAAGATGCCCCGGAGGAGCTTTGTAGTATCGATGCGATCGAGCACTTCGGTCGTCGCGACTCGCTCTGACTTGAGGCGTGCGATGGCCAGGTCCTTCTCTTCCTGCGTGAGCCACTTTGCTGTCTCCGGTCGGTCGGTCAGCGTTAGAAAGGCGATTATTGCCAGCGCAATCGTCACGATCCCTTCGATAGCAAAAATCATGCGCCATGTGTGTAGACTGCCAAAGTGATCCAGGGTCAGAATGGCAGAGGCCAACAGCCCTCCAAAGGCCCCGGCGAGAGGCGCCATGACGATATACAGCGACAGCCTGAACGCAAGCTCACTGCGGCGGTACCAGCGACTCAGGTAATACGCAATGCCAGGAAGCATGCCTGCTTCGAATATCCCCAGCACGAATCGCACCCCGGCGGCCTGTGCGAGCGTGTCTACAAAGGCCGTCGCGACAGAGGAGACTCCGAAGAGCAGCGTCGACAGGGGCAAGAACCAGCCGGGCCCAAGCCATTTGCACGCAAGATTGCACGGAATCTCGAAGACAATATATGAGATGTAGAAAATTGACAGGACAACATTGTAGTCGTTGCCAGCGAGGCCCAGGTCGGTGTCGAAGCCTGCCAGTCTCGCGTTTCCTGTAGGAGCATATGGTCAGTCGGGACAGTATTCAAAAAGGACCATTAAAAAAATACCAATATTCGCGCGATCGATAAAACAGAATAAATAAAGCAGCGACACGGTAGGAAGCAGAAAAAAGTCCATCTTCCAGCGCAGCCGCGACTCGGCCTTCGGGTCGAACTCGAACAGCGCGCGGCCATACTGATCGGTGGCAGCCTGGCCTCGACCAGCCAGCTGCGTAGGATCGTCGACCTTCAAGTCTTCATGGTGCCCGCCCATGGCCTTCTCATCGGCCGTGCCCGGCTTCTCGTTGACTTGCATGTTGACGACAGAGGGGATGGATCGACTGAGATAGAATCCGGGGGATCAGAGCTCCACCGCGTCTTTATACCCCAGCGCGTCGGATCGCGCTGCACTCGGATTTACCGACTGGGATCTGAGCACGGCAGGATGCCTCGGAAGAGCTGCTCGGATCCTCCAGAAATGACAGTCTGGGGTATCCGACCTGGGCGCTGTGGGGTGAGTGGCAGCTGCTATCTGGGGTGTGAGACGTCGAGCACGGGAATTCTGCTGCCAGACCACGGCATTTACTCACTGCAAGACTGGACGAGCTAACGAGCCAGAGAGTGGAAGATGGTCTGTGGCTTTCTGGCTCGGGGACTTGTCCGCGGTTGGCTGGTCTGGGTTGATATCGGCTAACTGCATCTACTATCTACTCGTGCTTTCCGTCCTGCGTTGATCTTCACCTTCTAGACTGTATATTATGACAGTTTACTTCAGCTTACACAGCTACATGAGTCTCAACACTCAAATCCCCTTGCGACTGTCAAGGAAGTGTCGACTGTTGCACCGTTGGGGACAGCCCAAGCGACTTGGCGTGTGACAATTCGTTACTGCTTCAGGCACTTTCGCCGAGCAAAGGATGCTCTTGGCCAGCTGCCAAGGAGGATTAATGTCGGATTATCTGCTGCATGACTGGCTGCACGGGCCAAAGTCCAGCCACCAACTCTCGTCGTATTCTGGGACCAATGGAGTCACGCTGGAAGCGTCACCAGGAGCAGTCAGCATGAGAGGCGAACTGCGACGGATGAAGAGTGAACGAGTCAAGCTCTGAGTCTAAAGGTTCCAATCTCAAACTGTGTGGAGATATGGGTGACCTTTGAGCAGAGAAACTCGGAAGAAACAGCCAAGGCCCTAAGTCGACCCCCCGCAAGGAGAATCTCCGCAGTCTGGAGTGCACCGTGGGACTGCCAACCACGGTTGAGATTGAAAGCCATTATTGGGCAGCGAATAGTCTGAGAAGTGGGAATTGCCACCCAAACCCTCTCGACAGTTTGGAGTTTGTGGGGGTTGCTGCTGCCCTGCATCCCTGGTGACTCCCCACAAAGTTGTGACAGCTAAAGCTGATAATGGTGACTATAGAGATCGAATTGTAGCAGCATATTATAGATAGATTGTTAACTAGGCTTCGGATGACTCTACCATTACGCACGTAGCCGGCCCGATAAATATTTGTCCATTTCTGGTCACATCCAGTATACACCGTCCAGGCCAACACCAGGAAGGTAGACCGACGATAAAAAAGCTCCTGGTAAAGTACCGGCAAGATCAACTCCCGAAAGCCTCCTTAAACCTTTAACAATGCCGTGTTCCCTTCCCAGCTCAAACTAAGCACGCGCCCAGCGCCATGGCACTTGGCTCTCTGTAAGCACCTTGCATCATGACTCGAGAAAAAAGAAGGAGATCACGTTGAAGCTTCTATCCACATATCGGGAGCCTTCATCCGAAGTCGGATGTTTACATGTCTTACTCTTGATATTCGGAGGATAGAGAGGAGCGGAGCGCGATTTTGATGCTGATGCCCAGCTTTGCCAAGTAGCATTGGAGATGAAGTTGGGGAAAACAGGGGAAAGCAGGATCCCCAGGTTGCTGGGATTAGTCAAATTCCCGTAGTTTGACTGACCAGTGGATCTAGACTCCCTGTGTCTGACAGAATCGCACCTACTTCGCGTAGGTTCTGGCCTTCTTCCTTGTCTGGTGAAAGGACCTGGCCGATGCGCTCTGACCAGTAGCCGCGTATGGAGAGAGGCAAAGTCTCATCTTGACTTCTATACTCAGTCAAAAGGTCGGTTATGAGCTGCTCGTGCATGCGGTGCAATTTGGCCTCGGTATATAAGAGCTCTGCGATCTCATCGTCAGGCTAGCCCATTGCCCATGGCAGGTGCAAGTGTGGGTAATGTGAAGGGCGTGTGACGTGATAAAGCTAAGCACATCAGGGGCCATCAAATCATAAATACTCCCGGGACATGGGGGAGAAAGTACGCTTCTAATAGACTCTAGAGCTGCTGCGAGATGATCAAAAATACCGCTCTCATCATCGCCATAGATATTGGCGAGAAACCCGTCAAGGAACTGTGTTATGCCGCTGCAGCCATATGAAGAGTAAGAGCAATTACACGCACCTCGATAAGGGTCAAAGAGTAAGGATTTCATGAGCTCAAGGCACTGGACACTCAGCTACCGCAGTTCCATGCCAAGGTTGGCATTTTGGGTAACAGAGTACGCGGCAAGGCCGAGATCGTAGCATATTAAAAGGCAGCTGGGCAGTATTGCGGTCCTGATGCGGATATCCCCCGTTCGGATCTGCCCCGTTGCGGATGCCCCGTTGCGGATGAGCCATTGCGCCTTTTGTAATGAAGCAGACGGGCCATTCATATGGTCGTACTTGTCTTTTAGCCCCATAAGGCAGGTGAAACCATTATGATCTCTCCAATTTGTATCGCGGAAGCCAGCCTCCCACAGAAGATCCGCTAAGGTCAAGTTATGCGATATTTGGCGATAGACCAGCCAGGAGGTAGCATGCTCTAGGAGCGCAGTATCGATATAGGAACCCTAGCACTTGAATGCATAGCCACTGGCGCAGTAAGATGATCGTCAGTCGCCACCAATGGACTGCAGTGTTGATGTGATGACTTGGGCTGATCTGTCCAGAGTATTCGAGCAGGAATGATATCCTGACCACGTTTGGCCCCTCCCAGTAGATGTAACAAGCAGTGGTACCCAAAGTACTTTTATATAACATAGCACAGCATTGGGAATGGAATAACAAGTAGACTTGCATTCAGAGGATCTACCAGGCCTAAATAGTAGCACTGGCCACGAAACAACTATAATGTGGCATTTCTATGGTACTTCGACAACGCGACTCATCTTACAAGCTGGCACTTAGAGCAGGCTACATGATGGCACACTTGGCATACCGGATATTTGGTGAATATCTTTGGACCATCGCCGCAATTACACTAGGAGAAATAGTAGTCGAGAATCAATACTTGGTTGCGCTAGTTGGTAAGAGGTGCCGAGAAAGCTTACACAAATCCACACAGTCACTCTCTTCGGTGTGCCTGCGCTTGAAGATGAGCCATATCGGAGATACATTGTATTGCTGGGCGCGAAGCCTTTCTGGACATGAAAGTAAGAGTGCGTGAGATGCCTGATATATGGGCGGACAATATCTGGGCTAGATGATATGAAGACATAAGACACTGCTCCTGGTGTGCAGGCGGGGTTCTATCTGCAACGTGGGTGTTTTTGAATGGCTGCACCGCCAGCCTCGCGGCGAGGCACCAAGGCTGGGCCATGCGTATGCATTATCAGTGAGAAACCAAGACTGCTGGCAGCTTCAGTAAGGGGAGACTAGTAGCCTGGGGCTGATCGGTTGGTCTGACAATCGAAAGTGTATAAGCTATCAATCAAGCTATTTGCCTGCGGTGTTGTCCACGCCAGGGCCAGTTAAGGTGGGTTTATTCATGAAGGATTGGTTGCCACCATGTCGCGGCGTGAGAGCGGGTGAAGACTACTGAATAGAATTACTGTTGCAAGTAAAGCCAAAATGTGACCGATTATAGGATTCAGAAATGAGGAGGAACGATAGGTCGCGTCAAAGCCATGTTGAATATAAGTGTGATGAATACCTGACTGACAGCCCCATCTGGCAGAGCAAGGCAGCCTCTCAGTACGATAGGGTTCGCAGAGGCTTAAGGTTAGACAAATTGCTATCACTCAGAAAGAACCATCCAAAGGCTCGAAAGGCCCGCTGCCGACGCTGCCCCAGCAAATATGCATGCCCCCAAGGGGAACGGGCTCAACATCCAGGATGAAGCCAGGTATCGTGCTAAAGTGCCTCCGACAACTGCCATCCAGGTGATGAAAAATCCGACTTCCCAAAATCGAACGGCCCATCTGGAATGCCTGCTCACTTCCTTCTGAGAGCGCATGGTTGTTCCCCAGGAGTCATGGAAAACCGTCAAGAAGCTCCAAATCTCGATAGCCGGCAAAGGGATGTTATAGAACGCAGCGGCAGGAAGAAACCAGAGCCAGGTATTCAGCGAGGGTCGATAAGGGTTTCGAAGGAGGAGGTAGAAGAATATTATGGTCTGACGACGGACGAGGTCCTGCAATGGGATGCCGTCGAAGACCAGAATGCCTGTGAATAGGTAAATCAATATCGTTGTGGGCACAAGGAAGGCTGCTGTCTGCCTTCTCAGGGAGGCGAGGAAGAGGATGGGCGATTGCACGAGATAGACGGCCGGGCGATGGAGGCTTTCAATGTGCACTGCGCGTGCCCAGCGGACCTGTTAAACAGATTAGACGGACACTTTCGGATATTAATGCAAATGGTTACCTGTTGCAAAAGCCATCTTCGTAGTGTTGTTGGAGTTTCGGTGGCTGTTAGGACGTCGCTGGCAAAGACCACTCGCCAGCCTTTAAGGAGGAGACGAGTAGTCAAGTGCCTGTCTTCGTTCGTAACCTTTTAAAATTGTGTTAGAACGGCAGTGCAGGTGTAATCAAGGAGAGCGTACCATCCAATGGCCTAGAACAGTCTGCTTGTACCAACCCAACAGCTCATCACGGATGGCAGAGATGCGAAAGGCAGCAGAGGGACCGCTCTGGCAGTCGTTGGCTGCAGCCGAACCGGTGAATGATCGGGCCAAGTAAAGCTCGTTCAGATAAACTCCGCTTCCGAGTTTAGTGATTGTCGTTTCGTTCCTGTTGTGAATATAAAGCGCTGTACTTGCACCGCCGATAGTGCCATCACTGAATGTTTCCATCGTACGCGTTAGGGTATCGGGGAGCACCATCGAGTCTGAGTCGGAGGTCCAAACAAATTCTATACCTAACATGTCCGAGACCACGAGGGATATGATGAAAGAGGTAAACATTACGCCTTTCTTATGCATGTGCGGCTGGCTCACACAGAGGCGAGTGATTGCACCAGGACCGGACACATTCACTCCCTTCTCATCCAATGCCCCCCGTGCAATAGAACAGCATCTTGTTATTATGTCGGTTTGGGAGAGGCGACCTTCACTCTCTCTTTCCAACTGCAAGGCAATTTGGGCGAGTGGGACGTCGAGATGGATGAACGCGGCGTTGTCTTTGCACACCTGAGAGCATCCGTTGTCAGCATGAGAATAGAACTGGAGCCGAAGTCATACCTCTCTGAATACGTCTATCATTTCTTCATCCTCATCCGTGTCCCCGTCGATACTGACGAGAAGGAAGCGGCAATCCTGCGCTTGTAGGTAGCTCTCGAGCGCTTGCTTGAACAAGAACGGATCTTCTCGATACCCAACGACTGCAGCAATCATTCCCGGGCTGACGGTTTGCTTCTCTCCCTTCTCGACGATGTCAAGAGAAGCGCCAGCCTGAAGGCGCGCAGTCGAGATGTGTCGCCGTCGCTGGTTCGTCCATCGACACAGCTCTGCCAGGAATATTGTCACAAGGGTGTCAAAGGTCAAGAGCTTTCCAGAATACTTGAGAAGATAAGCATAAATGATGGCAACGAGAATGCAGCCTGCAAGATTGAAGACTTTGTTCCATATAGCGGTCAACATGGTGTTGTTTTCTTGTCGCTTCACGCCGGTCCTGGAAAGTAAAATAATGATATTACATATTGGACGCCTTCAGGCTTAGGGTTTATATCTATTACCTTGCATATTCAACCGCGGATGGCGCCCAATATCGGATTTGGCATTTTCGCAGACCTATACTCCGACCTCTCAGCCCCAATGACTAGTTAGCTGTTGGTTATTTACAGAGTACAATGATAGTAGAGGGAGCCAATAAATGACCTTTTGGCACGCAACTAGCAGGGTTTTCTGTGCTCAGCCGCAGCCACCTCGAATAAGCTGCAGGAACCCTAACATCCCGGTTGCCTTTTATGGTTCTAGATAAATACTCTGGGTTGATTTTGGACGACGGCTGGCTGCCGATCCCACCGGCTTGTCACACAATGCGAGTCTTCTATTGGGCCATAAGAGTGAGAAAGCTCGAGCTAATGCGGCCTTAGTTCCTGTCAGACTGACGGCTGACGGCCCTGACACAGCCCTGACTCGCTGGCGAGCTGAATATCTCTTATGCGTATTGTTTCCATCCCTGAAGGGCCGTTGATTACGTGGCCTGGGCGTATCTGGCGATATCGCGTGCTATTCAGCGACGCCATATTTAATGCCCGCAGGATGACTTTCAGCTGAGGCCGTCGGTCTTGACGCTAGTTTATGCCCACTGCAGACCCCAAGAGTAAATGCATGTGCGATATCGGCACGACTAATGCACGGGCTTGCCAGCTATTTGCCAGGAATTCCTCAGGATCAGGACATGCTCAGCCGCTGCTGACCCTTTCGTTTATCATTCAGTATGCAGAACGTTTACGCGTTGCCCAATCTATACTCCGGATTGGATGCAGCTGTCTGACAGGAGCCTGTACACAGCCGGGCCAAGACATGTATCTTGTAAGGATGGCCAGCATTAGCCCGCCAGGGCCTTCAAGATGACGAGGTTTTGGTTATCTCGCCTTCGGACCGAGGAAAGGAGTTATCAAGACCCCTGGCCTCTGAAATGCTATTTATACTTGGGTTGTCAGACTTCGCTTCCATAGGTATCTTCAGACACCACTGCAAATCCCAAAACCATGTCTATATCCCAGGAGAACAGCTATGTCCCTATAGTTATTATGATCCTCTGCACCCTTTCGATCTTATACTTTCTCAATACCGGATCAGCTGTCTAATTGGCCTGATCTCCTACCCCATTCAAGATGATAGCAGCAAGCATGGACACCCGGCAGCGCTGGCTAGACGGACTTCGCGGTATCGCAGCAGCGATAGTGACCTGGTTCCATTTCACTGTTGGCGAAATGCATATCCCCTACCGCGGCTTCACCGATACGCCTGCTGAAGAAAACCGGCACTTGATTCAACTCCCCCCATTCCGCACGCTTTTCGCAGGGACGGCTATGGTCCCCCTGTTTTTCGTTATCTCAGGATACTCGGTGCCTCTAGCGATCATCCGGCTGCGCGGCCAAAATCACAACGCCGACTGCTACCGCAAGCTCACATCTTCTGCCCTCCGTCGGGGATTTCGCCTGTATTTTCCTGTTCTCTTTATCTGTGTCATATCCCAGCTACTTTTCTTTGCTGGCGCCTACTCCTCTTGGCGCTTTCCCGAGACCGAAGGCTGTCCTGGTGCTGAACCGTGGTCCTCAATCTGGCCGCATCTGAAATGCCTTTCGTTGAGTCTTGTAAGTGCCCTTGGACTTGTTCCTATCGGCGGCACCCAGGGGCTGAACTCACAACTCTGGACGATGCTTGTCGAACTTCATGGGTCTTTTTTATTGTACCTCACCATCCTTGCCTTACTATCTGCTACCCCCCGAGCTCGCCTCGCAACAATAGGAGTACTGAACTTTGTATTGTTCTGGTTTGGGTTCCACGAGTTCTTATGTTTCTTCTCTGGGTTGTTATTCGCAGAGCTCGACTTGGTCAACTACATGTCAATAAACCTCCTGCCTCCAGTTACGCACAAGTCCAGCTCTAGGCGGTCCAAGCTGTTCCTTATTGCAGTACTCGCTATTCTCGCCGTCGGGATCTACCTCATCTCCATGCCCCTCAGGGTAGATCATTACGACGAGTACTGGTATTCATCCGAAATCAGCATTCTCCCCTTCTGGAACTACCCCGTCAAACGGATCAACAGCTGGTACTCGGTCGGCGCAGTGCTCACCGTCTTCGCAATAAGACATCTCCCTTTAATCAGGAAAGTGCTCGAATCGCCTATCCCCCAGTTCGCTGGTGAGATCTCGTTTTCGTTGTATCTGATTCACCAGACGTTTATCCGCATCTTGCGCAATCTTATTCTGGAGACCGTTTGTCGGACACTGTGGGGGAAGGGCTTTGCGGCGACCAGGGATGATGAAGCTGGTAGCCATGTCTATTATTTGTCCTGGATGGTCGCGGTGGGCGTGGTCGGTCCGTTGCTTGTTGTTACGGCGGTCCTGATGACGAGGACCGTTGACCGGCGGTCTATTGCATTGGCCTATAAGTTAGAAGAGAAGATGTGTCGTCAGTGATGAATTTTGTGATATACGATCTTAAATTGGGGGCATAGCGAGAAATAAATATTTTGATACTACTTAACAGTTTAGCCCAAGGCTAGCCCTCTCGTCCGTGCGTTGATCATGAAACGGTTGCGCTGTAGGCTTTCTATGCCTCGGGATGTTACCGTGCATGTTTGGCTAGGAATAACTCCTCTGGAGGGTTAAGGTCCTTGAAAACAGCGTCCTATTCAATGTCAGAGCCACGCAATGCACTTGAGCATCTGCAGCACGGAATGGAACATGGCGAATTCGGTGTGTCCGAATACTGGAGTCGGTAGCCACCGGTAATATCAATCTGGTCGATCTTGGATTACCAGTGAAGATCAAGAGTGAAGATCAAGAGTGAAGATCAAGAGTGAAGATCAAGAGTGAAGAGTAACACAAAACAAGCTTTCCACATTCAATGGTAACATAAGCATTGATTTATCCCTCAATGGGATATTGTATCCTGTTGTGTTTTGCTCTCACTTTCACCCGCCCGCTTCCTCTTATCCTCTTCCACCTTCCTACACCTTTCCTTCATCTCGAACCTCTTGATACGTTGCCATCTTAGAAGTCCCATAGCTCGATCCCTGTCTACATTCAGATCCCAAATCTATAGCCCCCCTACCAAAACAGCATCACTTGTCACATCATTGCCATTGCTTGCTCTGATCGCTTGACTGTAATAGTTGAGCTTCCGGTGGGCCTCCGGAACACCACCACAAGGAGCCTCTGGCATTGACATGCTACAGCTCTTGAAAGCCTGTCACTACAAGGTATCTCGCTAAGTTCCTATCGTGTGAGGATCTACTTTGATCGTATGCCGGTATCCTTACCAAAGAACAGCAAGCTAATGTTGGTATCGAAATAGGCAAGGGCAGATTCAACGACAAAACACATCAACACAACACCTCTATCCGCGTCCGGTGAGCCCATATAAGCCCCAACCATCGCCAGACGGTACATAGTTATTTGACATGGATCTAACCAAACCAAACGCAGATCAACGACCATGGGCGACAACCAACCCATGTCCACGGGCACGACAGCCCAAACAACAGCCATGCAACTAGCATGCACCAAACTAGGTTCCAACTCAGCATTTGCTCAGACACCACTCCCCGCAGAGTCCACCATTGGTGGTATTCCAGTAAAGACATTTGGGGATCTTCTGGGCCAGCTCAAGGCCCAGAGCCAACTACTCCCAGAAGCAGAGTTCCGCGACCTTTTTGCGTCAGCACAATCCATTGCTGGAGTAGCATACAGCAGTCTGCAGGAGGTATCCGGTACTGCGTTAGCTGAGCTGTAGGATATAGGCACTACCTATATTACAGGATTCAAGAACTTCACGCAGACTCTGGAGTATGAGCATCGGTTTCCGGAATTTAAGGAAGCCCGGAGCTTTGTTCATCGAAACCAGTTATTAGGCGAGAATGCTAGGAAACAGGTTCCTAAGCAATATCTGCGTTATGGAAGAGCTCTAGAAACCTACGTTGATAAGGCTTCTTATTTGAAGAGACAAGTGTCGGGAAAGAGACATGGTGCTCTTGGACCGACACTGGACAGTACAAGGGACAAGACAGCAAATGTTTCCTTCCATCTTGGACCCTGATTCCAGTACCAGGCTGGTCACTACTAGAAACTTGCGGTGCCTGCTGCAATTGTCTATAGGACGCAGGCATCTTCAACTCATAACGACAGATGATAGTCAAGGTTCGCTGAGATCTCTGAAGACATTAACGAATCAATTTCCTAACGAACTTGATGGAATAGGTGCGATCAACCGCGCTACCACACACATATTCCCGGCCCGTGCCAGTGTCCTGGTTGCGAAACCAGAGTGACCTACCAAACTCCCGTTCAATATCAACTCAAAAAGTCTTCTATAGGCTTGTGGGTGTGTAGTGTATGTTTTCAACATGACTTGGACCATCCTGGAGAAGTCCATCAAGATCACCACATGATCTGCGCTTGTCCAGACTGTGTCACCCCAATCGCTGGACCCGATGCAGAGCCAAACGTCAAGCGTCGACACTATGGAGAGCTCTGGTATTGTGAACGGTGTTCCCGCCCAGATCACAACCACCAACTCGGATATTGCCAGTGCCCAGGTTGCCCCACATTCTGCTGTCTCAGGACACCAGCAGAGTTCCGACTCCAGATGGCACCCTCTGGAAAGTGGCTTTGTCCGAGATGTCTGGCCTTCGTGGTGGCTCACCCCGACGATCCCCATGAAGACCATTCGCAAATATGCGTTACTAGGGGTTGTAACGCCAAGCCGAGGTACCATACCGCCAAGGGAATGATCTGTGACTCCTGCAGATACAGACAGAGGCGCGCGGCTGCTTTCGAGGCGCAAGCCCAAACTACTGGCATCAAAGATTTCTTCTCACCCACAGGTTAGAACCCGGTATGCGGGTTGCTTTTCTCATGCTGTTATGTCTATCTATGTTTGATCCTATCAATGTTATTCCTCTCTGTACGAGTATTAAGTCGATGTCTTTGCATGCTCTTATAGGAGCATGGTCTTGTTATTTGCTATCGCGCAGTACTTTCAGCGACGAGGACAACTGCCTTACCCAGTTGAAAAGGCAAATGATAGCCCATGTCACATCTTAGCATTAAAATATATTACTTATAGCTATCCTGGGTAAGAATAAAATTAAAAATCAATTGAGTCGCTCCAGTGGTCAAAGAACGTTCATGCCCTGGGCCATGGACAGCCTTGCCCTCAATCACAATTCTCACGCCCTGTCATGATGCAGGTATTGTTTGGAATTTATACATTGCTGTTCAATTACCTTTCACTGGAATTCTTGATTTGTTTTAGCCCAAACCCGGGTCTGTCTTGTCTGCGGGGTGCTGTGTACTTTGTACGTACTTGGTTGGCCATGCCGAGAGTAATTGCACTTATCTGCGTGTTGGAGACGCTGAATATTCACCCCGATTGGCCCTGGAAAATGCAGCCGCAGGCCATTAAGAGGTGAGTCAGCAAGTGGTGATATCGTGGTGATGGTGAGATCGCGACGCCGGGAATGGAAGGTTGCATCCCCACTCTTCAATCCATCCACCTTTTTTCTTCCCTATTTTTTATGGCTGTCTATTTTTATGGCTGTCTGTCTGTACCCGTGCTCACTTATAGTAAAGCCTTTCCCTTCGATGGTTTTGCAGCAAGGTTCTCAAAATGACTGACAGAACGCCACCGCAGGCTGGCAATTGCTCGGAGCCGACCGCAGCCCCCCTTCGGCCGGTACCAGGCTGCGATCTGGATCTGCTGCGGCGAATCATGGAGAGCGGAAGTTGCCTGCCATTGGTGAACCAGACTTTGGTCTGCGCGAGCTTAACCTGGGTATGGGCTGGGCCCTGCTAGGAACTCGCCTTACAACCGCAGAGCACGACTCAGCGCTCAGCCCGATCCATGGATCACCTCTTGCAAATGGGTGCGCCACTACTATTTCGAATGCGCTTGTAACCTCCGCTCGTGCGACTTCTGATTGTCGCTGTCGAGGATTCCTGCTGCGCTGCACGATCAACCCCATGCGAACAGGAAATGGCCTACGATCCTCGCGCGTAAGTTCTACAGTGATGCGATCACAGCGGCAGCATTGCTAATATGGTCTTCGACAACAGTGAGAGCCTCCGCCCAGCAGCGGGGGCTGCCGACCTCGCCGACGGTGCTGGCACAGTACGCGATAGCGCCTACGCCCAACGCCAGCTCGATGCCTTGATGATCTTTGTCAAGGAGCACAACTCATTCCGAGAGCTGAATGGGGTCACAGGTGTCTTGGGCAGCAGTGTGAGCCGTCTCCGTGCACCGTCTGTCCCGAATATCGGGCATCTGTCTATCGCGGACTCAGGCTCAAGGGCGCGGAGTCCAAAACGTTCGCCATGGGATGGCCCAGCGCATCTCTCACCTTCGGTATCTCCGCGCCAGGGCGCATTTTCACACGCGGATGTCTATAGACACGCTCGAACCCAGTCTAGCGGTACTGGTGATCTGTCTGTGTCCTCTATCCCTCGCGAGTCTTCATTGCTGTACTCAAGGGCCAGCTCGCTGCTCCTGGAGGGCATGGGAACGGACGGCGTGCTCTTCCTCAATGCCCCAAAGAGCAACTCTAGAAGTAGCTCTAGGAGGTCAGTCTAGCTTGGTCTTGCTTTAGCACCCGTCTCTAATCCGGCTTCAGATCCTCATGTGTCACTCCCTGGGAACTCAATGGAAGGTCGGAATTTCCCGGTGTCCGCCGCGGGTCTATAAGTCTTTCGTCCGATGGCGAGTGGCATGAAAGGCCCTGCGAGGTACTTGGGTCTGCTACCTGTGAAAGACTTCAGAACAGTTTCGATATGGAAACCTGTTCATTAAGCAAAGGGCTCCTACATGACCTTTGCATGTCTTTTCCACAGGGAAAATTCTTCAACCCCCTCTGCAGCCCGGCAGACAGCGTCATCAACCCGCTCATGGTGGAAGGCTTAGCACAGAGCATTCCAGATGCACGTTCCATCCTATTCCTGCCCCTCTGGCACTGGGACAAGTCTCGTTGGATAGCTGCTGCCGTCACTTGGAAAAGCCATGGCGATTTCACAGAAGATGACCAGTACTATTTGCAAGCCTTCGGTGATGCAATGGTCTCGCAGCTAGCGGAGATCGACCGTGCTATAACAGAAAGGACAAAGTATGACCTGCTCTCCTCGGTGAGCCATGAGCTTCGGTCGCCTTTGCATGGCATGCTCGCCAATTCCGAGCTGTTGCAGTCGAGCTCTCTAGACCCGTCTCAGCAAGAGATGCTGAATATGATCAAAACGTGTGGAAATACTCTATTGGATACAATGAACCATCTGTACGTCCTCCTCCCACTTGGTGTAAGACATATCTAACCGCCTCGCAGACTTGATTTTGCCAAAATCAACAACCTCACCAACTCAAATAAACTCCCCTCTAGTGGCGTCCAAATGGACGAGATGGCGTCGACTTTCGATCTTGATGTCCTAGTAGAGGACGTGGCGGACTCGCTGTACACTGGTCATCGGGCGTCTTGTACGGGGGCTGAGACCTATGGGTCGCATGCTTGTCGCGATCTGACTGTTATTGCGCGTATCGAGCAGCGTGATTCTTGGAAGGTCCAATCTCTCTCTGGGGCGTGGAGGCGAATAATTATGAATGTACTAGGGAATGCATTCAAGTTCACACAGTCGGGACTTATAGAAGTTTCTCTGACCCATTCACAACGGCGTCGCAACGGATTGAAATCCAGCTTTGCCGTCATACGGGTCATCGACACAGGCTCTGGGATCTCTCCAGACTATCTTGACAACGGAATCTTTACTCCATTCTCCCAGGAAAACATCTTAACTGAAGGTGTTGGCCTTGGGCTCAGCATTGCACACCAAGTGATTACGCATCTGGGCGGCCAGCTCGACGTTAAGAGTGAACCTGGCGTCGGGACGAGAGTTGAGATTCGGGTTCCAATTCAGTTTATGGAGACAACTCCCACTCTTACACCGAATAATGGCTATAGGGGAACGTGGAAGAAGAAGCGAGTCTGCCTGGTGGGAATGAACCCAGACATCTGCAGCGGGGATGCAAAGAACGAAGCAGAACGCAGGCGGAAATTTGCGATTCAGGACGCCATGGGCAGCGCACTTCTACGCCATCGCAGTTGCCGGCTTTCATTTGCCGATGCTTTGGACCATGCAAACGGGGACATTGCCGTCATCGAGGAAGCTCTGCTTGAAAGGCTTGCTGCAGCTGGCGCAGTGGAGACTACATGCCAGTCCCTTATTGTGCTTGGAAAGTATGGCAGCTCAATACCGATAGATCAGGCATTTGAAGGTGCAGTTAACGTGGTCTATATTTCACAGCCGTACGTATTACCTTACCAACATACTCGTGCCACTTTCCGTTGGGCTAATGATATCCAGACTCATACCGCGAAGGATATTCCAAGCACTGGAAAGGGTTGGAGTCTTAATCCCCAACAGCACTCTAGATGGGACCTTCCTCGACTCCCCATCCGACTCCAGCCGGGAAAGCTCCCTGGCTGAGGCTTTCAGTTTGGCCAAAGCCCTAGAGTCTCCGCCGGCGGTTAGGGAGAATATATCAGAATATCCCTTCCGCCCAGCCGAGCCAAGGGAGAAGGGTCTACACGTTTTGATTGTCGATGACAACGATATAAATCTCAAGGTATCAACCTCTATCATGGATTTAGTTTTACAATAGCATACTAACAATCCCAGGTCCTGTCTACGTTCATGCGCAAAATAGGATGTCCATACGAGACCGCGTCTAACGGGCAGATCGCGGTTGAGAAATATAAAGCAGCCCGCCCACAGTTTGATTACGTTCTAATGGGTGAATACCCCTATATCAGTGCTTCTCTTGCATAGTCAGTCCCACTAATCTCTTCAGATATATCCATGCCGGTCATGGACGGGATCGTCGCGTCGAGTATCATCCGTGACTACGAAGAAGATGCCTGTCTCCCTCGGTCAACAATCATGGCTGTAACGGGGGTCGGCTCGAGCGAGGTACAGGAAGAAGCCGTTGCAGCTGGGATAGATGAGTATCTTGTGAAGCCTCTGGCGCTTCACGATTTGAAACGAATCATGGGCATATCTTGACGACGGCGCTGGGTGCCGTTGTATAGATTATAGGGTATTTAATGTTAGGAGTCATTACTAGACATAGTATAAGATATTAATTGCCAATTATCTACCCCATGCAAGATTATTATGACGCACTTTTTGCGTATTTGACGTATATTTCGCCTCGGACATCCATCGTCCATGGTCCACAACTGGAATGAGGGCAAACAACATATCCATCTAAAGCTTCTTGATATATTTTTTTACCATGCAGACTGCTGTATCCTACATGAATGTTGCCGTATTGTGCCGTACTAATAGCCTCTTTATCACAGCTTTGCCCAAAATACTGGCATAATGCTCCTTTTGCAGGATATATGCAGTTTAATGTTACCAACGCTTCTCAACTCAAAGCCCGGTCAATATATCCTCTCTTCCACTCCCATCCTTACCTATACGTTCTGAATGAAGCATTCACGACTAGCTGATCTCCCCGGCCCGAACCAGCGCCAGATCCACCGCTCGGGCCGAGCAAAGGCAGGACACAGCCAATGGCGTTATACAAGGGCAGGACGAACTCGAACAATTGGTGACCATCAAGCTGGACGATGCTTATCTTGTCTCCTCGCGAATGGGGTATTTTCCGTTGAGTATGAGGATTTAGAGCCTGCATCGCATCGACGCGCCGAGATCGAGGGAGCCGGCGCGCATGAACATGTCTCGGGTCGGATTCGGGACGGTATGCAAGGTTATGAAATGGACATGGGTACCCGGCAGATGCTGTGAGGGACTGTGGTAGTATGTTAATTGATACCTGTATTGCTTGTTAGTTGGTAGATTATTTTCCTGAATGCGTAGCAGCAGAGAAAGATTTAGTGGCCAGTATTTCAGTTAATGTTCGTCAGTTGCCGTCTGATTCTTGGATTATAGGCGATAGTATCGAGTATCCCAATAATGACAATTCGAATGTGCTTTGATGAGCGATAAGTGAAGAGTGTTCCAGGGAAGAGGGAACAACCACGGCATCCCCGGTCCATCACGAAAGAAGTAACCGAGAAGCCTTCTCGGGTGAGAAGAAATCACGCCAGGATGCGGAGACGATCCGTGCTCATTTCCGATTTCTGCAGGTCCTCCCACAATAATAATAACAGCAATAATAATATCGGCGTCAGCAGTCGACCCCTCCATCCTTCCAGTGCCACAATCAGGCACGCACTCGCTTGCACGCACGCCCACAGCCTCGTCTTTCCACGACGGAATGGCCAAGGACATGCTAAATCCTGGCCAAACCGTTCTTGTATTAGAACCTGAACGGTGGCGAATACGGGCCAATTACATTGGGGCTAAAGCGAAGAATAGATTGAGGCACACCTGACTCAAGATTAATATATGCAAGCACGCAAACGTCATCAGGGCGGTCTCTGACTGAGACGTGGATTACATGCAGGTCTAGACCGACTATCCATGGTTTTCGTCTGGACGTTTCTCCAGGTGGATGGTCGCCGTGGGGGTGTACGAGGGCACCTACTGAGTCATGACGTATTAAAGGAGGGTGTCTTATCTGTCGCAAACATTTCATTTCGTCTGAAACAGTCCATTATCGTCAACTGCCCCTCCAGGATTATCATCAGGTATCAGGGTCGAACTCCGCTATCATACATGCAGATGATGACCACAAAAACTTCCCTAAGCGTTCTCTTCACCGAGGAATTGGCCTGGGCTATCCCAAGCCTACAGCACCACCGCTAGTCCTAGCAGGCCAAGGGCTCCGGCAAGACTAACAGCGACCTCGCCGGTGGCATGTGCAGCAAAGCCGGATGATGTTTCAGAGGCAGCACTGCTGCCATCTTCGTCACTGTCGGAGTCGCTACCATCCGCAGACGATGACGAAGTAGGCGCCGGAGTACGAGTGGCGTTGAGATCCACATTCCCTGCTGCGACTTGCGACTTCATGGCGAGGACGTAGCTCTTGACTCCCGTAGGTAGCTCTTCATACCAACTCGGCGTGTTTCCGGCCTTGAACTCGGACGCGATTGAGCTGCGGCCCGTAGGGAGCATTAGCTGGGCGAGGACTGTTGGAGGAACGGCCGTGAAGATCTCCTTCATGAGGGACGACGGTGGTTGTAGCAGGTTTCCTCCGGGGGCTGTGAAGTTTGCTGTGTATGGAGTGGCGCTTGGGAACATTGATAGGAGGGTTTCTCTGTATACTGAGGTTAGGCTATACTGCGTGCAAGACGACAAGGCTAGTTCTCTTACGCAGCATTTTGCACTTCTGTCCCATTGACAGTGGCTGTAACCTCATTTCCTCGAACGCCGATGGCGCTCATAAGGCCCAGGGCAATGTAGCGAAGGAAATGCATTCTGGAATTTTGTCGTTGTATGGAACTTGACGTTGAGAAGTAGCGAAAGGCCGTCAGAGGAGTCAGTCCAAGGGCAGCCTCGTTCTCTACATAAAATGAGCTACATTACGCCCTTATATCAAAATGCGGGGATGCATCGATCGGACGGCGATGGATCAGGGTGCCGCCGAAAACACGGGCGAGTCGACTCAGGGCTTTTGACACCGTTAATCTGGGATGGCGTACCAGTATACAGCTTCTGAACGCCGAAGCCGTCGTCAAACCTCGGACATTTCTTCGACATGGCTGAAGACGATGGTTGGAATTGGGCCGTATAGGGTTGAAGTATATCTGACTCGGCCCGTATGAATCAGGGTTTGCGGAGGAGACCCCGAGCGGCCAACGGCGATGCCTCGATGCATGTCACTTTAATTTTAGATGGTCTCCCAGATTCACCAGATACCAATCGGACGACACGGTTAGGACCGCTTGTGTCGACCGAGGGTGGCGGCTTATTCTCCGCCGCGATGGGGTCTGCAGTGAGACATCGCGAGTTGTCAATCCAAGCCATGCCATGTTTGCAACGGCGAACAACACAAGATACAATATTGCGTCGAATGCTAGAGACTTTCGGTTGCGCGGACCATTTGTATAGTAGCATGGGTTCCAGTTTCAGAGCTCTGCTGCCCCCATCCTGCACGTCAACTACCGATATATATATCACACCAAGAGTTGATATACTAGACACCGGATCCAGCCCTGCTGAGTATATAAACCCTGTCTTAGGGCTTAATACGACCACGAGTCAGAGGTCATGAGTCGAGCCAGGATTGTAAATACCTGAACTCCATTTCATGATCCTCCAAATTAACTACGGTGGCCAATTCATCTAATACACCCTGGTCTGGCCCTGTACCCCGCAAGGTCATCTCCGCAGCCGCAGGGACTGCCTTGACGATAGTCGATCGGGATATCTGATTTCGAGAATGTGACAGCCGTTAAACGAAGCGGAGGGGGAGACGACGGCACATATAAGAGGCTTAGACGTCTCTATGGTGCATTACTCCCCAGACCAGGTTCTCTCTATATTGCAAAGTCAGCACAGCAGTACTGCCATAAACTTCTACCACAGCACCCTCAAGTTCCATTGCAATCATGAAGTTCTTCCAGTACATCACTGCGGCTCTGCTGCCCGTGACTGTGTTTGCCATCCCTGCTGCAGAGCCTGAGCCCAAGGCTGTTGCTGCCCCTGCCACTATCACAACTGAGGACTTCCACGTTCTCATCAAGCGTCAGGACGATCTCGGCAGCGTTATCGGCGACCTGACAGACTCACTGGGTTCTATCAAGGAGCTCCTCTCCTCAGACTCCTTAAAGAATATCAACATAGTCGTCACCCAATTAGCTGCTGTATGTTCATCACTCTTCTGAGTCCCCTGCCCACTTGATCTGACTGAATCTGCAGCTGCTTGGGGATCCCACCACCAAACAAATCAAGAGCTTGGTGTCGACTGCCTCAGACCTCCTCAACAGTGACGCCGCCTCGAACCTGATTGACCAGTTGCCGTCTCTGCTCTCTAGCGTCAGCGGCTTGCTCAACAAGGAGACGCTGAACAAGATCACGACTCTGCTTGATAACGCAGCCCTCTTGCTTACTAAGGAATTCGCTACCAACACCCGGGATCTCATCAACGACATAGCCCCTCTCGTGTCTGCTATTTCCCAGGTCATTTCAGCGCTTCTGGGATCTCTTCTGGGGTAGATGGTGGACGGTATGTCGAACCATGGCCGGATAGGGCAATGCTCACACGTGACCAACTTTCAACTCTCCCGTGACCCAAGTCGGTTAGCGTGTTTGAGGAGGGAACATGGTCGAAGGAACATGGTCGAACAGCGAATTTTGTGTCGATGTTAAACGGGGTATTGTTTCGAGTGGCAATATTTCTGTGGATAGGCAGGCTGTTGCCACGCACGATAATTAATGAATCTGAATGGTCAATCAACCAGGTCTTTGCGTAGTCGTAGCGAGTCATGAATAATTGCCGGTCTCGACCGCCCTGGCTTCTGCCGGTAGAAGAGTTTTTCCCCTCCGGCTGTTGACATTTCCATCTCCACCAATTGTGCACATCCACTCGCTGCGTCTCCCCCTGTCCAGGTGCCACTGGTTCGATGCCATTTTGATTTGGGCCAATAGAAGCCCTGCGACTCCTGCTCTTCTCGACGCCCCCGGTCCCCACGTTCTCCTCATCCTCAGTCCCATCTGCGCGCCGGTCCCGTTCCCAGTTTCTCCCCATCAGCAGCCCCGGACCTCGTTTCCCCGCTCCAACTCCCTTTCCTCCGGCTTTCTCATGATCGCATCCTGCCTGCAGCTGTCGTCTCCCCACTGTTTCACCATTGGTGCGCGACAACTGTTATCCGTCGGGTATTACGACACTCTTCTGCGGTGGAACCGGCTCCCCCCGGGGTTTGCATCACTGCCACGCGTGAATGGGCGGGGGCGATCCTTTAGCACCCTGTCGTTAATCTAAGTCTTTAAACATCGCGGAGAAGGAGATCTCTTAACGCTTGAGCGATCGCCAGTTCTTAACGGGCCTGGTTGGCATGTGAATTCATCTTTCCGTTTTTCTCGTGGCTTCACCGTAGCTTCACCGCATCTTAAAGCGGGCAACCGAGGATCCATTGCCGCTGCTGCTTCTTGCCGACAAAGGAGCCTACCGCTCGCTTCCCTGCCTCCAGACCAGGCATCCTTGTCCATCAACCCATCCCCAGGATCGCGATGGAGACCACTCGAAAGACGACGCCAAAGACAACAAAGCTCACCGGCGATCGAGCTGCTCGGAAGCGCGAGCAAGACCGACAAGCCCAAAGGAGCGCCCGAGAAAAGACCAAGAAACTTATCGCCCATCTCGAATCGCGGATCGAAACGTTGACCAGATTCCATAACAGCGGTAATGTCCAAGAGCTGATAGATGAGCTGGAGGTGCAGCGCAAAGCGAACGAGGCGTTGCGGACTACGCTGCGGTCGATTGAAAAGGCAATTAACGGTGGCCTTGCTGAAGCAAGTATGTCGACTTCTGATCTTGAACGACTCCTGCTGACTCTCGTTTGATGGTAGACACCGCGCTCAAAAATTGTAACACGAAGACGGCTCTCGAAGATGGATCAACATCCCCAAGTAGCGAGAATAGCAAACAAATAGGGACGAACGGAGGAATCCAAGATGTCGCACAACAGTCCAACCTCCTGGCGCCTGGCCAGGGTCATATTGCCCAGCATTCCGCGAGTCCAGCCTTCGACGAGTCGAGCATGATCGACAAATTCTCTCCCAATGGCTCGTTTGTCAACATGCACGACGGGCTGCCATTGCCCGGGAAAACTTCAGACGAGATTCACGTCCCTTTTAACAGTACTTTACACACATTTCCGATGGACATGCCGATGCCTATCCACGCGGTTGTCCACTCAACAGAACCTCTATGTGACTGCTGCAAACAGTTACTATATATGAACGACATGCTGGGCCGGTTTGCGCTTACTTGCACACGAAATATGGCCGATCAACGAATTCGCGATGCTGATATTCCGATTCGCGCTGTAGTCCACGGATGGGATGCTGTCACTCATCTACACCCGCTCGACCCGATCTGGACGATGCTTCGGACGGCGGACGAGAGCGTCTGGCGTACGTGTGGGGCGGTTGAGCGAGTAGGGATCTTGCGAGTGGTCAGCTTGATGCTTCGCGTATGTTCTATCTTTGTTTTCCCCCGACGTTGGCTAACTCTGATAGTACCTGTCCGATCCGTCAGAACCCAGCCTGAGCCAGCTGCCAAAATTCATGCGGCAGCGGCCGTCACAACACCGGATCATACACAAGCCTCTCATAGACTTCGTGGTCTGGTGAGTTTTCCACCGAGCATCTATACTTTCCTGAACTAACAGAGCCAGGCCTGCACTACGCGAGCGATTGATTCTATTTCCCCACCAGCATTGCTCTGAGAAGTTTTGGTCAATGTTCTGGGTTTGTTTCCGGTTTAATTGGCCATACCGATTGCAGGACTGCTTCTTCCAGCAGGGTCAAACTGGACTTTATCGCTTCTCAGATGCGTTTAGCAAGGCGTTTTACGATTTACAAAACTGGGGCATGACCCCCGAATTCTTTCGCGAGTACCCTGACCTGGAGGCAGACGTGAACATGATTCCAACCGCTGCAGAGCCAACACCAGTCACCGTAGGCAGTGACACATTAACGCTGGGTAATGGGGGGATGGGCCACGAGAATGTATCGCGGCTCGATCCAGTCACGGCGAATATGTTCACAGCGTTCCCGGCGGACTGGTCAACGCGAAGTCAACTGTTTTGAGAATTTTGAATTTAGCGAGTCTGTATATTAGCGGCATACCTAGGATATCAAATCTGCTGTTTTGTTTGGTAACTGATGATGAACGATGACGGCGACCCCACGTGACCTTCATCCGAGATTTCATCCGCAATTCCGAGCGACGACCAATCTCCAACTACTTCTCTCCAACCATCTCTAACATATATCCGAAACACCTCGCAGGCTTAGCTAGGCAATTGCCGACCATGGCTGACAGCGAGTCTGCCGCTGCGCCCAATTGGCGTATCCCCAAGGCTTGCCAAGAGTGTCGACAGCGCAAGATCAAATGCAATGGCGAGAACCCATGCAAGACATGCCAGGTACGCCGAACGCCATGCATCTACCGGGAAGTCATCCGTCAGCGCCGGAAGAAGAATCACGATCTAGGACAGAGTAGTCACCCCGCTAGGGAAAGACTACGGCTCGATGCATCGTCTCGGCCCGAGCCCATGCACTGCCAGGCCCACCGGGAAGAGCCTCCGCTTAGCTTCAATAACAGTGTCTCGGCTACGCATATGACGTCCCCCTTGAATAAGGTCCAACTTTATTATGGATCGACATCTCATTTCGCGCTTATGCATGAGATCTACCGAGACCTCACAGCTCATCAAACTGGCCAGAGCGACCATGGACCGCACGGCCGGGTCGAAGAAGCTGGGGCCGGACTGGATATGCTCAGTTTCCGGACTATTTTCTTTGGTATCCCTGCCCATCCGCATAAGGATTCATCGAGGGGGCCTAATGGCGCGGACCCGCATATCATGTTCCTGTCTTATGACATGGCACGCAGGTTTCTTGATGCGTTTCTGTCGACGCTTTATGGCCTCTTGCCTATCTGGCCGGCTGAGCAGTTTGCGCGTCGTCTTGGGCATGTATATGGACCACAGCCGCCCTCTCGTACGGATAAACATCAGAGTATCCTTATCATGGCGCTGGCGCTGGGCTCACTGATCACCGAGGATAATCGTACCTGGGGCGACGTTTTGTATGAGCAGGTCAAGGCGTCCTGCAGTCCTTTTGATGATACTGTGAATATCCAGACGGTGCAGCTATTTATGTTCATGATAAGTGCCTCTTTCCCTGATCCTGGCTCTGGCTAACCTAGAGCACGCTCACTTCGAGAACGAGGTTGGAAGGCCAAATGCATGCTTTCTCCATCTTGGAACTGCCGCGCGAAAGGCAATTTCTGGTGGTTTGCATAAAGAGTCGCCCCATGACAGCGGGGAGACCTGGGAGATTACAGAGGAGAGACGACGGACGTTTTGGTATCTTTATATATATGAGAAGTTGGTAACCTCCTCTTACATACCTATAATCTTCTAACCGTGTTGCAGCTGGATATGCTTTCATCTCGGGCGGCCGAGCTCACTATCGCGGAGGGACGTTGGAATTCCGATTCCGGAGGACCCGTTTTGTCAGGCATTGATTTTTCTGTCTGATGCGATTTGTCGCTCCGCAGATGAACTGTACGGGCGACATCATGAGTCGTTACTGCAGATGTGGAGAATTGCAAAGTCGATATGGGACGATTTGAGGACATTCGACTCCAAAATGCAACGTGCACTTGGATTTGGGCTTGATAAGCGGCCTCAGCCCGGTGGTGTCGGGGTGCAGCAGACTATGTGCATTACTCGTGAGTGCTCTGGACTCTCCTTAGAATCCAGGCTGATATTCCAGTTTATTATCATACCATTCTCCTTACATTCCGACCCTTCCTTATATTCCGTGGTCGCTGGAACCAGGATATTAGGGCAGGCCAGGATCCAGATAAAGGGCATACGAAGCGCGAGATACCACCTTGGTTGAATGAGGCATGCGGGTATGCCCTCAGTGCTGCGTGCCGGACCATTCATTTTCTATGCGAGTCATATACAGCCAACGACCTAGTCAAGGTATGCCCTGCATTGCGAGTCAAGGATAGACAGCCTCAACTAACGCCCACAGGGCATTCGATACCACGGTTTCTTCTTGACAAGCTCCTCCGCTGCTGTCGTATTCGACCTGATGCACGGGAAGGATCTTGTCTCATCCCATCTCCCTTGGGCCCACGCAACCTTGAGAGCTCTCACGAGCATGAAGCAGTCTGACGCAGTTGAAGCTTCTATCCTCGCTCTCCAAACTATTCTCAAACAACTCAATCCTGCCTACGAATGGGTCCCTGAGGCGGAGCAGTCCAATACCTCTACCACGCAGAGTGCGGCGCCAGCAACTACCAGGCCACCGTCATACACTGTGCCTACCTCCCGAGAACCTTCAAACATGCCACTACTACCTAATGCCACCGTTAATACCACCCTCCCTGTACCTCCTAAATCGGAGCCGCTGCTCTACGACTTCCAAGGGAATCCGCTAGAACAGAGCATGGACATGCCAGCCACCACTGGGACTTCAGGCAGCGGCGAGGACCTCCTCGATTTCACCTTGTCGGATATGGGCTGGGACTTTGATTTTTCGACTATGGATCTCGAGACGTTCTTTTCTGTTAGTCCGGCTTTTGATGCGCAGGGGGTATGATGTATTCGTAGTGCTGGAACTATATGGCCGAAGGATTACATTTTCTCTCTTTTTGTGTGTGTATATATATATATATATATATATATATCCCCAGTGCCTCCAGTATTTGACACAACTGTCCCGGTGTCTAACCCACTCATACACAATCTGTAACTCTGGACACAACAGGCTTCTGCGGGTATCATGGCGTGATTAAATATGCCCATTCGAGTCAACGCATATAACTAAACGTGACGAATATTCGATTATATAGTCTCTCGCTTTGAGTAAAACGCTAAAGTGTCTACCGTAGACCTCCTTCCGCCTTGGATACATAGCACGGCCACCCATATGGCACTGCCGTGAAATATGCCATATAACTCCAGCTATGATCCGGATTCTGCTGGCGGATATCATAATCTCGAACAAGCGTCGCAATAACCTTCGAGAGCTCGATAGTTGCCAGGTTGCGTCCGGGACACGAGTTATATCCAGCACCGAACTGTGCAAGCAGTATTAGTTGCGTCCTGTACCACGACCAGAGAACATACCGCCACGAAATACTTCTCGATAGCCTTTGCCTGGGGCCCGATCCACCGGCCGGGGTTATATGCTTTGGCGTCGGGTCCGAAGAATTCTGTCGAATGGTGGATGACCCAGGGGTTCACGCTCAACTTTGTCTGTGCCTTGTTAGTATAGCAGGTCCATGGAACACTGGAATATCATTAAACACACCCCTTCAGGGAAGAAGCGATCCCCGATTTTAAGGCCGCCCTTTGGTGCCAACCGAGCGAGGCCGAATGGGACTGGACCGAAAATACGAAGTGACTCTTTGATCTACGGAAAGTTAGACACATGGATAAGAGAATATACGGTCTGACCTACACAGGCCTGTAGATACTCCATGTTCTGGGCATGTGCGTAGGATACGACAGGATCGTTGCACCTCCCCTGTGCCCTCTCGCTGTTGATCTCCGCGCGCAGCGTTTCCAGATGTTCAGGCTTCCGAAGCATATGGTATACAAATGACTGCAAAGCACCGCTGATTGTGTCTGCTCCGGCGCCGACAGTTCCCGTGGCCGTAGCCTGTAGGTCGATGATCGTCATGCGCTCGGGATGCTGCTCCAATGTCTTCTTCCAGTGTTCGATCATGTCGTTGCGAGGGTTCGGGTTCGCCTGCCGGCGTTGCAGAGCAGCCATGGTCGTGTCGAAGAGGTGGTTATTCGGCATCAGGTTGTATTTCGACAGCAGGGAATTGCCCAATGTCAGATTATGCAACCACTGGAAGTACCCAGCTGCAGCGATATAAGCATTGAGCGCACGAGAATTGCCTATTGACCCGCCGAGATCTTTCCCACTGTCTAAGAACCCAAAGCTCTCTGAGAAGACAACCTCGCCGATGATGTCGAACGCGAGGAAGTTGAACCAGTAGTCCAGCTCCACGGGCTCTTGCTTCTCAGCGAATTGGTCGAACTTGGATAGCATCAGCTGAATCATGGTGTCCATATACGACTCGGACTTTATCAGGCTGGACAGAGCATACGCAGACGCGACATTTTTGGCTCGCTCGACTCGTCGCTTGGGATCGGTTTCGGACATGGGGGTTTGGAAGCGCCGGTCCGGGAGGGCTAGAACTTTGTACCATGGTGCCTGGCGTGGACTATGAGGATACGGCTAGGACTAATGGGATGAAGAATACCTTTGGGATTGGATTCAGCAGGATGCTGCGGATGGCGTCCGGGTGGCAGACGCTGACTTCGTCGTGGGCGATGCGGACAAACGGCCCTGGGGATTGTTATAAGGTGTTCCTGTGCAACTGATGCTGCCATTCATACCATGCTGCTCATGCTCCCTAATGCTTCGGACGTTAATGTCGCCGGTGAAAATGCGGATGACGTGCCACAGCCTGGTGCACGATGCAAGGAAAGGGCCCGGAATGTCGCTCAGCGGGGATTGATAGCGTCGCCACAGAAGGCAACTGAGCAGAGAGACTGCCGTGCAAATAGCTGCAGTAGACGGGTCGAAGGAAAAAATTGCAGCCATGGTGAGGCAACTGTTCCTGGGCTGCTTGGGAGACTGCAGAGGTCTGGATTCCCCTCATCGCGCAGAGCTCTGGAGGAGCGCCCAGCAAGGTACTTTGGTATGATCGAGGCTGGCCAGTCATCGCGTTAGCGTTTGACAGCAGCAAGGCCAAGTGTTCGGGATTGGTTTCCTGCTGGGTCTAGCTGGTGACGCCGTCGAGGAGCTAACGACGCCAAGTGTAAGCCAGCGCAGCTTGGGACTTTTGTTGCGAAGACAAGTCACAGAGCTCTCCATCTTTAGCAGCTCACCTCGCCGGGAGGCTCGTAGGAAGGACAAAGCTCTTCTCGTGTTGTGAGTCATATGCACGACGACGGTTTGTCCCTGTTCTCGACGTTAACATCGAGACCTATCAAGACTTGCCCAACGTCGGCTCTTCTTCGGTGGACACATTTATGGATACCTCCTGCAGACTCCACCGCGGTTCGGCTCACTGTCTCAAGCAGCCCCAAATGGTTCGATCTGGGTATTCAGATTGGGTGGCGGCTCATATCAAACGTCCCAGGCACCCACAAGGATCGAGATCCCGGCTTCAATTCCTGTCAAATGGATATCAAAACGGCACTTGCTGATCCTTGCGTTTTCCATTCAGGGCCTGACACTTCCCGGAGATCTTTTCCAGTCGTAATGACACCTCCGATCTTGGTGGCGCATGCAGCTCGATGAAAGGGATCTTATATCGCCCATCTCCCCTTCGCTCCTCGCACCTCCGTTGTCGCACTCTGTACAAACGAAAATCGTGTCATGCCAAATATGGTGGTGTTTTCCATCGTCAACAATGCCCAGCGGGCGATTATCGGCGTGGCTGCTGTGTTCATGGTGCTGCCTATCGTTGCAGTTACTTTGCGCATCTACGGCCGTCATCTGAAGGGAGTTGGCCTCGACCTAAGTGACTACCTGATCATGGGTGGATTGGTAGGCTTCTGCCTTTTGGACTCTGGCTGATGCTGACGGTGTTTAGGTGTGCTCCCTTGGTTTCGGTGCAATCGATATATCCTGTAAGTGCCTTGTGTAATGGCTAAGGAACGCCCTAACAAAGCTCTAGGCGTCGTCAACTGCGGAGTCGGCCACCATATGGCAGAGGTCGTGGCACAGTACGGAATGGGCCCGATAATGCTGTTTATGAAGGTTTGGAAGGTCCCATTCTGCTGAAGGCTAGCTGTTAACCTCAGTTAAGGAACTCGTCGCCATCCAGATCTTCTGGGCCGTCGGCAACTCCTGCGTCAAGCTCTCCCTCCTCTCCTTCTACTGTCGCGTCTTCTCCTTCCCTCGCTTCATTATGACGGCCCAAATAACGGCCGTATTTATACTCCTATGGGCGCTCGCCGTCATCCTGGGCGGGTTCCTCCTCTGTCAGCCATTCGCGTTTACATGGGACCAAAGCATCCCCGGCGGCCATTGCGGTAATCAAGTCCTTTCATACCAGATCACCGGCGCCCTCAATTTGGTCACAGACTTGATGGTGCTCACCATGCCAATGCCGTATCTCTGGAAACTCGAGATGCGAGTATCGCAGAAAATCCCTCTCATGGCGGTCTTTGCTGTGGGACTATTGTACGTACCTCTCGCCATCTATCTATACTACTTACGTTGGACTAACACTTCCAGTGTCTGCGTCGCAACGATAATGCGCCTTGTCTCCCTCTCCCTCCTTGACTTCACCGACCTTACCGATAACATCACCGAAGCCATGATCTGGGGAACAATCGAGCCTGCGCTGGGCGTCACCCTAGCGTGTATCCCCTTCATGAAACCCATCTTCCCATTCTCGCGGTCTATGGCAAACTATACACAGTCCGGGCAGACAGAGAGTAGTCATGGAAAGATGTTTAGCAGGAAAGGATTTCGGCACCCATATGACCCATACCCCCTGGACACCATGGTTAGTACGGCTGGCGCGCAGGAGCCGGGTCTGCAGACGAGGCCGGATAATGCGTCAGATCAGGAGCGGTTGGTTTCTTCGGAACAGGGGAAGGGGATGTCGATTGTGGTGCAAAAGGACTTTGAGATGAAATGAAGATGTCGAGTACTATGTAGACGGCTAATCCATCAAAAGTGCGGCGCAATAAAATTATTTCTCGGGATTCTAGCGGTATCTGCCATGCCGTATAATCCTGAATTAAGTGCTGTAAACCTAATGTACAAATGGGCATACAATGTCCCAGTAGGCAATATATTAAACGCATACAGATCTATCATACATGGAGAGTAGATTGCCCTAACACTGGATAAGCAACTCCACATAGCCTTCAGGAGATTCACATATGTGGAAGCCACGCCACTCCTGTAACACAAGGTTAGACCTTTTTCCAGAGGCTCATATTGTGGACCTTAAAGTATGCATCGTCAATAGTATCGGCAGGGGCCTCTGACTTTCCAATTCTCCGGGCCTTCCACACTCGCAGTAGTGCAGAGCAGAGAGCCGCTCCGATATACATGAAGCCGGTAAATAGCTGTGTGCGGAGGTATGGCCGGTCTCCTGAAGTGCGCAGCTCGAGACCAATGGCTTCGCCAACTATTGTCCACAAAATTCATTAGTACTGACTTTATAGGGATAGTAAAGGATACTGTACATGTCGCTGGAAGAACGCAAACCAGCCACATGATTGTCAAGCACGACCGGACTTCCTTGAGAGACACTACCTCTGCACTGAGAGGAGCCATGACCTGCGATACATGATCAATATATGAGCTGCATTGATCAGAAAGCATGGGATATACCGTCCAGAAAGTCCCGAAAAGGATCCCACCAAAGAGCGCGAAGCACAGGATGGCAGCATACGACTTTGCACAGACCCAAAGCGACAGGCAAAGCACACCACTGACGAATGTGGCAGCAGTAGCAATATTAATACGCCCAACAGCATCACTATAGTATCCCACGAGCGGACGTCCGACAACCTGTCCAACATTCAGCAGAGCCGTGACAATCGATCCCTGCCCAGCATCCAATCCGATACTCCGAGAGAAGGTCGAGAGAGAGAACCATATCACCATGAACCCCATGACACTGAAGAAGCTCCAGCCTAAAAACAGCCAGACTTCATATCGTTTACCGACCGTAAAATTGATAGCTTTCAACTCACGGCCTCGAACTTGTGTGCCATTAAGATCATTATCGCGCAATGCCAGCACGCACACTGAGCTCACAACGACTTGGACAATTGCTATCACGCGGTACGTCCAGCCAGGTCCCCAGCGGGCCAGCATAGCATTTGCTGCCAGGGAATAGATAAGCCCACCTGTGCCTGTGCCAGCAGTTGTTATTCCTGCGGCTAGACTCCGTCGCTTAGTGAACCATTGTGGGATGATTGACGTAGATGAACTGTATTGCAGTCCCAGTCCCCAACCGTAGCAGATGCCTTGGCTGAGGTAAAGATGCCAGATCTTATTGCTCCACGAAGCGCCCAGCAAAGCAGCAAATTCTAGTAGCACTCCGAGCCCGACAGAAACCTTGATTCCGTATCGGTGGTGGACGGTAGTTGCGAAAGGGGCGATCAAGCAGGACTGCGATGCTGCAAGGCCGCCGATGAGCGCGTAGTCCAGATATGTTCCGGATACATAGACTGGATGGGCTAGAAACCATTGCATGAATACCCCATAGCTCTGGATATATGTCAGTCTTTAAGCCACCATATGTTGGTGAAGGGTTGTATACGGAAAGAATGCCCCAGTGGTGGGCGTTGTTCCAGAAGATCGCAAGCACAATCACCCAGCCGTATCCTCCATCTGGTGCTGCCGACATGGCGAATAATCGGTGTGTCTAGAGGGTTTCAAAACTGTGGCCTGCAGGATATATGCTGATTAAATACTAATAAAGAGTTTATGGGGCTTCGGTATCCCACAACCATGAATGATTACATATCACTAATTCAAACGTCCCCTGATTAGTGACTCGTATTTATAAACAGCATCTTGGATAAAAATTACCAATGGGAATGAGATATTTTCCTTTTACTTTTTTGTGGGCCTGATGATGCATGTCAAATCCGGCCCTTCAGCTGTGGGATTCCGACTGACCATGCTGATGGCCTGTAAACCTGGACTTACCTGCGCTTCACGATGGAATTGAGTTTAACCTTAACCCTTAGCTAGGTACATCCGCAGAATGATCAGCGTACCTTGGTTTCGCAGACGCAAGGTGCCGCCTGATAAGCACGTTTGCATAGATATACATCTCAGTATTCTATAGATTCGACAACTGCCCCGGCAGAGTTTTCTTACCCACCTGGTCCATGGGCTTCTTGTTTCATCTAGAAAGGTAGCTCTGCCGACCCTAAAGAGAATTGCTTGATTACGCTACTGATTATATATCATTACACTGTCCTTAATACAGCGGTGGGATGCCACGTCTGTCACCTCAGCCCGAGGCGGGTATCCCACCATCCTGGTCTATAAAGAGGCACCGATACTCCTTTCCATGGACCAGCCATACTCTACAAAGCCGACCAAAACAGTTATACTTCTTTAACCAACCAAACCAAACGCCATCATGCCTTTCACCAACACCAGCGTCACCGTCACCCACATTTCAACCGCAACAGCCATCATCTCCATCGACGGCGTAAACCTCCTTACCGACCCAGTCTTCTGCCCTGCCGGCTCAACATACGAGTATCACGGCTGGGCCAAGGTGTCCAACCTGCACGAATGGGGCTTTACCGAGACTCCTCCCCCCTCAACTCTGCGCAGCATCGCCGGGCCAGCTATCAAGCTGGACGAGCTGCCTCCTATCGACGCCCTTCTCCTCAGCCACGAAGACCACGTCGACAACCTTGATCCTTTGGGTCGTCAACTGCTTGACGGTAGACGCGTCTACACCACGCCAGATGGCGAAAAGAACCTCCGACCTCGCCCTGGAGTCGTCGGTCTGAAGCCCTGGGAAACCGTGACAGCGACAATTGGAGGAAAAGTGTTTCGTATTACTGGAACCCCATGCAGGCACTTCCCTGGCGGCGAGGTCACCGGCTTCGTGCTCGAATCCGATTCATTCGGCATCGATGAGACCACCGGACTGCCAAATGCAGTCTACTTCTCCGGCGACACGGTCTGGATCGATGAGTTGGCGGAGCTAGGGAAGAGGTGGCATGTTGTTGTCGCGGTACTGAACTTGGGGAATGCGCTGTTCCCTTATCCTAATGGAGTCCTGCAGATTACGTTTGATGGGAAGCAGGCGGCACATCTGATGCGGGTTACTGGGGCGGAGATTATGGTTCCGATTCATTTTGAGTCTTGGGAGCATTTCACCGAGCATCAGGCCGAGCTGCGGGAGGTGTTTAGGGGAGAGGGCATTGAGGAGAAGGTTCGTTGGTTGACTCCAGGGGTCGCTACGGAAGTGGTTTGAGTATGAAGATTATCATATTGCCATCTTCAAGAAGGACCCAGTTGGATGCACTACATAGACTAGATATAGGGGAATAGGAAGGATTACGCGTTTGGGATTCGATAACCAGATGTGATTTGGTAGTAGGAATGTATTCTATCTGGGTGAACTGTAACAGTAAAAATTAAGCTACCAAACGTTTGATAGTCGCTGGCCCTAAATCTAATTCAGTTCAAAACACTAGTTCTTCGTGTAGGAAACGCTGTCATATCACCATAAATCGTTACTCATACAAGAATCAAGTCGACCAAGCATATCAAACCATAAGACGATGACGCTAACACACGATATACAAAGGATGTCAACGAACAGACAGAATGGTACGGCCACCGTCCCAGGTTATTCTCTTCCGAACCATCAACCTGAAGGTACGGTGTTTAGTATCCAATGTCTCTCCCTCTCCATCAACAAGCTGGGCAGAGGGCGCAAAAACGATCGCCTCGCCGGTACGAAGACTGGCAATATGATACAGGCCGTCAGAGATTCCGTTATCCGGGGTGTCATTTCCGTTCTCGATTGGAAGGTGTGCGCGAATTGTCTCGTACCATTTGGGGCTCGTGAATCGATGTATGATGGTGATGGAACACAGATCGATAATACGTGGAGAGATTGTGGGCTCTTGGGTCGATATGATGGTGCGGACTCCCAGGTGGCGCTGTTGGCGAATGATATTCAGGAAGCTCTCTGTCAGCTCTCTCGCGGCACTCGTTTCTGACATGTACTGGACAACGGGTTAGCAGGTAAGCAAACTTGGATCAATCAATGGTGACTACCTTGTGGGCCTCATCTGCCACGATCATCTTGGCTCGGGAAGGATGGGCGTAGAGGAACAAGTCAATTGCGATACGAAACAGAACACACGCGGTGCTTTGATCGACAAAGGGGCAGGATAAGTCAAGAATAGTGACACCCCCGTCAACAAAGTAATTACCGGCGTTCTGGCCGACCAGGTCGAGATAGGAATCCAAAAGGTCTAATCTCTGCGCAAGAAATGGAGTTTGGTGACGGTCCAGGCGGAGATTGGCAAGACGCCTACGGAAATCGCCATAATCGAACTTCCCACCGCTCTCCATCGCCATTTCCCGCAACACTTTCAGAACTTGGGCCATGTAAAGCGGCATGTGATCACTCTGGGACATCGACATGAGGGAAAGCATCATCCCGATGTTCAAGTTTCGAGGGTTGATCTTGAACGGTCGCACCTCTACATTTGGGATATGTGCGTACATGGACGAGAGGTTGTGAAAGTTCGTTGGTGAAACAAGGACACGCAAGGGAATGTGTTTCTGTTCCGCTGCATATTTTGGGAGCACTGACGCGAGGAAGGCTGCTTCGCTGGGCTGAGAATTGACATTGGAGCTGTACTCGTTGAAGTGGAGTACGAGGGTGGAAACGGATCGCTTCAGGTTTCCGAGGCCTGGCATGGTCATCGAACAGTTCTCTGCTTGCACAATTAGTCGAGGGGTGCATGTTTTAAGAAGGGAGCGTGTCTTACCAATGATACACGAGGTGGTGTGAGATTTTCCACTTCCCTGCAGGCCGCAGATAAATGCAGAGAATGGGACATTGGTGTTTAGGACCACTCTAGGATCCGGGTTGTCGATTTCATAATTTGACGGCTTCAGCTTTCCGAGGAGTGCAAACTGAGAAGGCATATTGTATCCTTGCCTCTCGAGTGCTGCCGATAGGAGTGCTGCATGCTTCAGATCTGCGGTCTGTGGAACGGCCATCATTTCGTCTTCTTCGTCAGAACTGAGAAAGTGTTGTTGATCATCCAGCGAGGGCATGGCGGGTGCTGCTACCGCAGCCACCGCAGTATGTTCTTTGCATTTGCTACTGGCGAGATGTTCCGTGAAGTCTATTTCGACAGTACATTAGTATGGATTCGGGCTTTATAGCACCGGGGACCAGACCTTTCATGAGAGGCGTTGGTTCTGTCATCACCCCGAAGGCAAAGGCACTTTCCGAGTTTTGTGCTGCACCTCCATGCGTGGGCTTTTCGAGAAATTTCGGAATAAGAATTTGCGAATACTCGCTGGTATTAGAGGAATGAACTGTAGACGGCGTTGCCGAGACCGTCGGTGTTGATGCGGCCTCACGACTATTATGTTGGATAGACTGAGTTGCGCTGGAGCCTTTACGGGGCCTTTTCTGAGACTCAAGATGCGCTGTGTAGCTTTGAGACACTTGGTGAGCGCGGAAATCTGAGGGGAGGAGGCTACCACCTACTCGGTGACAATGTTCAGGATGTAGGGTCTAAGGTGGGGGTGCTTCTTGGTGTATCTGGCTTTGATCTCTTCTTGGTCAATAGGGACGTTTCGTCGGTGACGATCTAGGATCGCGGCACGGATGGACTTCCGAACGGCTGGGTCTGTAGTTGGAGGCATTATGATGCGACAGTTACAAGCTCCGCAGTATAGATAGGTTTTGGATGAGTTTGTGGGATGAATCCCGTGTGATGTGTATGTGTTATTGATGTGTTCCGCCCCTTTGGGTATACTTGCATAACCACCAGGAAGTCACAGTGACTCAGCAGTGGCATAAGACGCATAACTTCCATAATAGGGATTGTTAACCTGCACATAAGACTGAATTCAGCGGTGACGTTCTGCCTCACCGGCTTCCCATCCCTGCCAAATATTTCCACCGCTTGGCGAAGTTACTAGGTGTTCGGTCACACTGGTTATGTTGGCGGAGGCCATTGCGCCTCCATCCATCTTACCGACACACCCTGATAGAGCCTATTTTACAAGCACCACGGCGCAAAACATTGTTGTAGTCGAAGATTGCTTGAAACTGACTGTTGACGCCATTTCCCACCAAGCACCGGTCCATGACTAACGCCAATGCCAGCATGGGCCGCTAAGGAGACGAGCTGTTTAGCACCGGACTTGTTTATGTCCGCCCTGCGACTCCAATGACAGCTTGCACAAAGACGAAAATACGAAAGGGCATGGATTTGCCCTGACGCATTGAAACCAGTGATGGTATAGGCCAGACCTTCTCTGACGGCGCACCGAGCCTGGCGGGTGGTTCCATTCGAGAAGATGCAAGGTGGAACTGGAATCTGCCCCTGGCGCCAGAAAGGCATTTTCGTTCTTCGACGCGAGAAGTACGATATCGGTAGCAGCTCCAGCTATAGTCCATTCCATGCAGGGTTAAAATGGCCGATGCGAGGACCCTACATGACAGCACCGGAGGTTTGTTCCCCGGATCGCGACCCCACGGGGTGAACTACCCCGGTTCCCACAGTTGAGGCCTCTCATCCTGGGGAGTGGCGTGGTGTCTGCCGTGTTGGAAGGGAATTTAATTGGCTTTCATGTTGTGTCAATTAAGAAATGGACGTGCTGGCTTGGGCATTTCTTGTCCACGCCGCCAATTCTGGGCGAGGCGCGGCGACTATAAAATACTCTACCTCTCCAGGCCATTCCCCAGGAAAATCCTGGACTGCTTATATTCCTCTCATTGACAGATTTCTTCGTATCTGACTGTTCATTGCTTTTTCACATCATGCCAGAAAAGGTCAACCGTGAGGTTGGACCCCAGGAGAAGCAGGATGAGACATTCGTCGAACATGCCCACCCATCCATGTTTGACGATGAAAAAGCAGTCCGAGGCCAGGGCGACTACTCTGGTGCTGTTGCAAAAACAGATCCGAGGGAGATTCAGCTCGTCCGCAAGCTCGACATGCGAATGATGCCCATTGTCTGGGCGATGTACTTTCTCAACTATGTTGGCTCCCGTGCTCCCTGTCAATTTTTCGGCTTCTGATATTGAAACATAGGTCGATCGCAATGCTATTGCGAGTGCACGTCTTAATGGATTGGAAGACGATCTCGGGCTCCAGGGAACACAGTACAATACCTGCATCTCCATTCTGTTCGTTGGGTATGTCCACCTCTGCCTGTGCAAAACCCCAGCTAACAAATGACTCAGATACCTGGTAATGCAAATCCCTTCCAATATGCTCATGTCCTCTGGAAAGGTCCGAGCTTCCATATACATGAGTGTCTGCATGGGATGCTGGGCCGTAGTGTCCGCCTGCACGGCGCTCACCAAGAACTATACAGGACTTGTGCTGGTACGGTTCTTTCTAGGAATCGCCGAAGCCCCGTTCTACCCCGGCGCTCTGTTCCTCCTCTCCCTCTTCTATACGCGGAAAGAAATTGCACTTCGAATTTCGATTTTATACTCTGGCAATATTGTCGCAACCGCCATGTCCGGTCTTATCGCGCTCGCAACATTTGAGACACTTGACGGAGCACATGGCCTGAAAGGCTGGCAGTGGCTCTTCATTATCGAGGCCGTTGTCACATTCGGCATTGCCGTTCTGGGCCTCTTTATGCTTCCTGACCACCCGCTCACCACCCGCTGGCTCACACCTGAAGAGCGAGAGCTGGCCCATGCTCGTATCCTGGCAGACACCGTGGGCAGCGAGAACTCAAAGGGCGTCCTGGCGGGACTTAAGGAAGCGTGCCGCGACCCTCGCCTTTACCTCCTTGCTTTCATGCAGAACATGCACCTTAGCGCCTGTTCGTTCAACAACTTCTTCCCGACTGTTATCGGGAGTCTCGGCTTCAACACGACAATCACCCTCGCACTCACCTGTCCACCATACCTAGTCTCGGGTGCAGTGGGCGTCGTGGTGGGCATTACCTCCGGGAAATGGAACGAGCGAACATGGCATATAACAGCGACCATGGGCATCGCCGTTATCGCATTCATCATATCCTGTACTACGATGAACACCGGGGCGAGATACCTCTGCTGCTTCCTCTTCACCAGTGGTGCATACGCTGTGAACTCGGTGATCCTCGGCTGGGTCTCGGCCACGCTCGGTCAGACTCCGGAGAAGAAGGCAGCCTCGCTGTCGTTTGTCAATGTTGTTGCGAATGCGTCGTACATCTATACCGCGTATCTGTATCCGGATTCTGATGGGCCGCGGTATGTGATTGCAATGTCGAGCAATGCGGCGTTTGGAACGGCGACTATTATCAGTGCTTGGGCGTTGCGGTGGTGGCTGCAGGCTACGAATAAGAAGATTGCGCGTGGATCTGTTGCTGGGGCTGAAGATGGTGTCTTCTATGCGTACTAGACACTTTCATGTACTGCGGCTGGCTCGGTTTTATGCAACAGAATGTCTGATTGGATGCGGTGTTGTTGAGCTCTCTATTTCCATTTCTTGTATTCGCGGCCGCATATTCGTCTCTAGTACAGTATTACATGTAGTCTGCCAGATTTCCATCCCAACCAGACCCATGGGGAGGGCCCTTGTCATTGATCGCGCAATGCCAACCACATTCTTTCTTCAGATCCTTCCTCGGTCCAGCGGATGGGCTAATAACATCTCAAGCATGATGCTGTCTGAAATTCAACAATTTCTCCGCCTTGGCGCTGATCTCTCCGCAATTCGATGCAGTTTGAGGCGCTCTTGACGCACTCGCTGCTTCAAGTCCTCATGTTATTGGACGCTGTTCCTGGTTTCCACTCTACTCTGTACACTCTTGTCACACGCTTGCCGTTCAGGCACGGACATTCCCCATCGGTTGAATCGTCGGTCCATCTGCCACCGACTCACTCTTCCCCGGATCACCGCAGCAGTGAAAGCGATCACCTCATTCTTCAGGAGTTGACAATTCAATCAATTTAATATATTCATGGCGTTTTTATTTATCCGACGCGTGCCCTGTCTTCTATAGAATTAATTGACCTCGGTGCTGCTCCCACTATATATATCTCTCATTCCCCACCCCAGATTCCCATCCCCAGCAATCCCACAGTCCAAGCAAAACCAAAAGACCAATATGCTTTCCTACCTTGTTTCAGCCCTGCTCCTCGCAGGAGCAACCAACACCCAGCCCACAAAACGGGCTAACCCCCCGGCCTTTATCCTAGCCGGAGACTCAACCACCGCCCCAGACGGCGGCTGGGGCGACGCCTTCGTCGCCTCCCTCTCCTCCTCCTCAGCAGGAACAAACTTCGGGCACAGCGGCGCAACAACAGCCTCCTTCCGCTCAGGGGGGGACTGGGACTCTGTTCTCGCTGCTGTATCTGAGAGCGCGGGGTCATACACGCCCTACGTCACCATCCAGTTCGGACACAATGACCAGAAGACGGAGGAGGGACTAGCTTCGTTCAAGGAGAACCTTGTGCAGTTTGACGCAGATGTTCGGGATGCGGGGGGCATTCCGATCTTCTTGACTTCGCTGACGAGGCGCAATTTTGAGGATGATGGGACGGTTAGTGATGATTTGGAGAATGTGCGGACGTTGACGGAGGAGGCGGCGGAGGAGACGGGGGCCTTGATTGGGGATTTGAATACCAGGTCCAGGGAGTATGTTGAGGCTATTGGGTCGGAGAATGCGGATACTTATAACTTGGAGGCGGATGATAGGACGCACTTGAATGAGGCTGGGGGTGTGCTCTTTGCGGGCATTGTGGGGATTATCTTGAAGGAGCTGGAGCCGACATTTGACGAGTTTATCAACATCGATGAGGCTTTGGTTGCTGCTGTTGAGGCTGGAGAGTATTATTCTCCGGAGTGAGTCATGGATGTATTCAACATAGTATATTGCGTATATTGACTGATTAACTTGTTACAACCGATTATAAAGGAGAATTACTGGCATATTCTCATCAAAGCACGAGTCCTTGAATATTCAACTCGTTAATATGAAATAAGTCATAGAGCTTCTCGACGCTGCCGTGGAGTATAAGCCGAGCCCTGAACCTGCTTGACACCATCTGCATCGCGCAACCACCCAACCCGATCCTTCGCATACTGCTCAACTCTCGGCTTCAACTTGGACTCATGTAGATGAAAATCATCTACCGTACCAATCCGCAGGATACTGCTTCCGGGGAACGCATCGCCCACGCGGTACATCAGCGATCCACAGACCGAGCAGAAATAATTTGTCATGGCCTTTCCCGATTCTATTGTTTTTGACTGCCTGAATGTGCTTAGTTTCTCACGCCCTCGGACGTGTGTCAGATGGGAATCTGCGATGATGAAGTTCGATGCGAACATTGAGGCTGTGATTTTGCGGCAGTCGGTGCAGTGGCAGATGAATGTGTCGACGAGGCCTGGACCCTCGGTTGGCTGTGTAATATTATCAATAGGATATTATGGAGATTGGGAGTGATGTACTAACGAATGACAGCTGGACAGTGCCACAATAGCAGGTTGCTGTTGCCCTGCCCCCTTCAGACCAGCCATCATCGGCCAAGCCGGCGAGTGGAATGTACGGTTTATTAGAGTCGTGCGTGGTCATTTTCACAATACGACTGATATTACTGAGGAAGCTAAATAGTAGCTAGTTTAAGAAAATTAAGGATATTCTGCTGTGATATACCCCAGGCTGACATTGCGGCTGATCTTAGAAATGCAAATGATGACAAATTGAGGATTACCAATAAGCATTTAAATAGTTACTGCAACAAGTTAGCAGATCGGACTTCGGAGTCGGACGCAGAGACAGACTTCCGGCAGTTCAAGGGTGCACTGCTTAATGAGGTCATGATTGTACGAGACGGCGGGAGAAAACGAGGCACAATAAAAGGGTTAAATATTCCGAAGTCCACCAATAAGCAGTTTTATATTAAGCTTGACTAGGACTATACACTTGTACTCGTCAAATCAAGCCATACATCCATATCACAGTGCTCAGGTATAGCCAACCAGCTACGCTACCCGCCAGTTATCAGCTTAAAACCCAGCAGCCTTCGCAAGGAACTGTGCCGCCTCCTTCGCATCGCCACCATAGCTCACATGAGCCATGAAATTGCCGCCATCGAGGCAAACAGGGTCGCCGCTAGCACAGAACGTCTTGAACTGCTCAATGTTGCTAGGCTTCTGCGCCTTGAAGGGATCACCAAAGGTAACAGCCCCAACGACCTGGCCAGACTCGAGCTTCTTGTCCGCGTTGTGCACAACCATGGCGCCCTGCGAGTACCCGCCAAGCACGATCTTGGTGTCCGGGCACTGCTTCTTTGCGGTCTGTACCAGCTCGGCCATCTTTGGACCACCGGAGGCGCCCATGTTTGCGTTTCCCTTGAGTACTGTTAGACAAGATGTATTCATGATAAGGTTTGATGGGGAGACGTACAGCAGCGTCAGCAGGGTAGTCGACGCCCTGAACGGCGCATCCGTTGTTGGTGAGGGAGTTCAGTTCCTGCCCGACCTTGGGGCCGACGACGCTGCCCATGTTGCCCATCTCGGTGGTGCCGCGGGCGAAGATGAAGGTGAGCTTTTTGCAGCCGTTGTTGTCGGTCACGTCGTTTGAGGTAGAGGAGCCTCCTGCTATTGTTAGTGTCTGGTTTAACACGGACGGATACTCAGCTAAATACCCATCAGGCTACCTAATCCACCGCTACCGGACGAGGAATCGGAGCCGCCTCCTGTATTGTTCAGTTTAGTAGTTCAGAATATGAGGAAGGCTCTTACCCATGAGGCCGCTAAGGCCACTGCTGCTGGACGAGTCGGAGGATCCAGAATCGGATGACCCAGAGCTGGACGAGCCAGACGAACCGGAGGAGCTAGAGGAATCAGAACTGTCGGAACCACCTGCACTTGTCAACTATAAGTTCGCATATCCGGGGAGGCGCTTACCCATGAGGCCACTGAGTCCACTGAGTCCACCGAGTCCGCTGCCGGACGAAGAGTCGGAACCACCGCCTGCATTCGTTAAGTACTAATTCCGACATTTGGGAGGACAGACTTACCAAAGAGGTCACTTAGGCCACTGATGCCAGATGGGCTACTAGCGCGGCCTGCGGTCTGTTAGCCCCCTGTCCATATTTCGACCGTGTTAACTTACCGGAGAGTGTTCCTGAGCTGCTATCACTGTTTCCAGAAGATCCCGGGAACAAGTTGGACAAATCGAAGCCATCGTCACCGGAGCCGGACAAAGGCGAGGACCCGGACGATCCTGGGAATAGGTCGGATAGATCGAAGCCATCGTCACCAGAGCTGGATGAAGGAGTAGAGCTGGGCAGAGGCGATGAGCCGGACGAACCGCCAAAGAGGTCGCCTAGACTGCCCAGTCCGCCGAGGCCTCCACCACGGGGAAGCTTCTTGAAGGCCGAAGAGGACCCGGGGAACCAGTCAGATAGGTCGAACCCACCAGGTCCGGCGGGGGCAGTCGATGAGGGGGTAGGGCTCGAAGACGAGCCGGAGGAGCCGCCGAAGAGATCGCCTAGGTCGGGGCTGTTTTCAGAATCCCCGCTGGAGAGGCCTCCTGAGCCGGGTGCTATCAGATCTCCCAGGCTGAACTGGCGAGATTTGAGGGTGGGAGTTGGAGCGCTGAGGGAGCCGGCCGCCAGCGCGAGGATGAGTGCCGTCTTCATAGTGGCGATAATTCAAAGAGTGTAAAAAGAGTGGGAAACCGAGCACAGCTCAGATTGGTATGAAAAGAATGAAGGAGAATGTTTGTCCTGTCGGATGGAAAGAATGGGAGATGGAAGCAGAACCAGTCTGGCTGATGGAGAGAAAGCTTTGGGAACAGGGACCGTGTTATATAGGATTCCTTCCACGCCATGGCCCGTTAGAGAAGCAAAGAATTTTCGCCATACCTGGACTGGAGTGTTTCGTCTGTGGGGGCCGGGGGTGCAGGCTGCCCGAGGCTCAAGACGGTGCAATCTATCTCAGTCCCGCCCCGATGGGATTTCAGGGAATATGATTAGCTGTCGAGGAAGATCAGATAGATCTTCTGCCGGCTTTGGCCTGTTTTTTCGATAGATCGAGGCCGAGCAATGCTAAGTGCCGAACGCAGGTGGACGGGGGCCACCTGAATCAATGGTGCGACGCCCATGTGCGTCTCGAAGGAGCCCTATAGCAAGAACACGCCCGATATGGAGAAGGTAGCGAACCATTCAAAAACCGATCGCTGACGAATTGTCTTGGATTGAATATCGGCAGTTGGCTTGTCCAGACCTGTAAGGCCACGGCCGAGGCAGCAACGGTGCCCAGGCATGTCTCACAGTGAGACAAGCACGAAAGACAAGGCGCGGACCGAATATTATGGTAAATGATCAACACCGTTGACAGATCCCAGCTTTGGTCATGAACCTGGCTTCAAAGTTAGACTGAGCACAGGTGTAGATAGAGGTAGGGCCGCGAGCCGTTTCAGGGGCTGCAGTGGCCAATGCTCCGAGAACTGCCCGAATATTGGGATAATCCCAGCGTCTCACCATGCCAAGAAGGCTTGAGAGCGTGGCTGACATTGTAAGGCTGTGTTTTTGGCACCGTCGCAGGGCGAGTTAAAGGGAGGATCTTCCTTTCTGGGCAGCGCCGAACGGTCCACAAAATCCCAGAAATTCGACGCTTCAGATTGTCGCAGATTGCGCATGGATCTAGATTTGGTCGATTTTAAATGCCGGGCATCAACTACCAATCCTGTGATGGTTTATACCGCATGGACTCGGCGATTATAATATATGGATACTTTCCCACAGTACAATGGAATACCGATTCGAGGCCATAACAAACATGTCCGTTCGCATCAGGCTGAGCCGTAGACAGGACGCTAGAAAAGTGTAATTATGACCAAATCACAGTCCGCCATATCCTGAATACATGGAAATAGTCCGTAAGCCATGGCAGCTCCGGTACGGCGGCGCCACCGCATCAGCGTCAGCATCAGCATCAGCCTCAGCCTCAGCTGAATATCAACGCGGGCTCCAACATTTATCTTCTTTATTCTTCATCTTCCTCATCTTCATCATCCCTCGCAATGTCGCGCCCAACTCAGAAAGAACCACGACTCGCAAGTCCGCTCGGCGGCCCGCATGTTCTCTTCGATGGCTCGCTCATCATCGAGTTCCTGCAGCCGGCGCCCGAGCTGGACGCGTCTTTTCTCTTCCGCGCGACATATGTTGGCGGCCACGAGTTGATCAAGGCAGGAAAAAAGCATCCTCAGGTAAGTCATCTTCAAGTTTTCTGAAGCATGTCTGACCTGGACAGGCCCCTCCCCTGCATATCCACTTCAGCCAGTCCGAGTCCTTCATAATTGAATCGGGCGCTATCGGCACTACGACGACCTATGACTGCATTGACAGTGTCCATACCCCATCAGCAAGCCATCTCCAGAGTGTTCCTCGAAGAGGCCTTTCTCCGCCTGTCCCTAGCCGGACCGTAGATGGCGTCACTGAGATTCGACCCTGGCTGCCGCATAATTTTTGGCCGTAATATGCCCTTATATTGCTTTCTATGGAAAATACTAACAGCTGCCAGGGTCGCCCCTGACCACCCATTCTGGTCAACTGAAGAGGGACAGCAATACGAAGCCACCCTGCCGAACGGCCGCAATACTGACACGACAGCCCTTATCTGGGGCCATCCCAGGACCGGCGGTGATACGGCCACTGGGAAACTGAAGTCGGACTTTCCACCGGATATGGATGGAGCGTACTTCCTGGCTCTCCTGTCCTTCGTTGATGCCATCAGTGCACAGCGCGTCGCTATGAATTTGAGTACAGCAGCAACATTATTTGGCCTCCAGACGGAGAGTGATTCGGCGGCGGTCATCCTCGCACCGACAGCTTGGTGGCTTGGGCCACTGAGATGGATGATTCCGTGGTCAGCACAATGTGCGATGGAACGGGTTCGCAAGATTTGTGGTGGGAAGGACATTGCGAACGTGGTGGAGGATATCATTGAGGAGCAGGTGGTTAAGCGGCAGTAATACTCTACTATAGTCTCACGATAACGCCCTTCTTAATGGATTTGTCTATATACCACGCAGTAGCGGTAAATTTGCCTATGATCAGTACAGACTCGTCGAATGCGTCCAACTCCATTCAACCCTGTGGCGGCGACCTTGGTAAGTGGATTTCAATAGGACACACCGACTTCTTACGCCTCTTATTCTCAGCGGGAGAAACTCCGCAAGGTTCCATTCACCCCCCTGGCTATTGGTTGTAAATGCAGGCTTGCTCGTGCTCTCTGCGTAGGACCGGAATCTGAACTCCGGTCGAGCCATATCCAGTGGACGAATAGACAGCGGCAGATCTGCCTGCCCACTTCCTGCATGCGAACAATCCCGACCGGAGTTGGACCGGATTTAACCTACAACTCAAATCATGGACCAGGAGCCTTGCATGGACATAGCTGTCGGCCTGCGGACTTAAGATAGGAATGGCAGTGTATAAAGGCTACACCCCCCGTGAATGGTTGCGCTCCCACTTCTGCACCTCCAGGACTGTCTTTAGCCATGCCTTTCTCTACCGCGAAACCTCCATTGACGGAGGAGAATCTCCCTGACCAGAGTGGAAAGGTACACTGCATAGTGCTCTTCGTCAGGCAATAACTAACTGCTGTTGTAAGGTCTTTATCGTGACTGGTGCGACATCTGGCTACGGTCTCCTCCTGTCGACATTTCTGTACCAGCGAAACGCCAAAGTCTACCTCGCCGCGCGTAACAGTAAAAAGACAGAAGAAATCATTGCAGATCTAAAGAAACGCTTCCCCAACTCAACTGGACAGCTCGAGTCATTGAGGCTGAACCTTTCAGACCTCACGACTATTAAGAAATCGGCACAGGAGTTTCTCAGCAAAGAGTCCAAGCTCCATGTTCTATGGAATAATGCCGGTGTCATGTTCCCCCCTGGGGGTTCAAAGAGTACTCAGGGCTACGAGCTGCAGCTAGGAACAAATAATATTGGTCCCCACCTGTTCACAAAGCTTTTGTATCCGATGTTAGCTCAAACTGCGAAAGAGTCACCGCCGAATTCGGTTCGCGTGGTTTGGGTTGCTTCAGATGCTGTTTCATGGGCACCGAAACCCGCTATTGATTTCTCGAATTTGGATTACCACCAGAATGAATCTGCCCGAAATAAATACGGTCGTAGCAAGGCGGGTACTGTTCTTCAGGCCGTTGAGCTTGCGAGGAGATCGCAAGACGACGGCGTTGTGAGTATTGTAAGTTCGTTTCTCTCTTCACATTTGGCAATCTAACTGCAGTAGGTCCTCGACCCTGGCATTGCCATGACAAGCCTGCAGAGAGATATGAACCGATTTATGGCCGCGGTTGTTGTAAGTTATTTGTGGCATCTTTATAGTTGGAAGTCTAACTATTGACAGAAACTCATGGCAAACAAACCCGAGGTCGGCGCCTACACTCAGCTCTTTGCCGGGCTGCATCCTGACGTTACTACTGAGATTTCAAAGAAGGAGTGGAGTACGTTCTTTTCCTAAATCAGTAGTGAATACTACTAAGAATAACAGTTGGCCCTCCTGGGAAAATTACTTGCCCCAGACGAGATCTCTTCACGGACGCCGAGTTGAGCCGGAAGTTCTGGGAGTGGAACGAGGAGCAGGTCAAGCCGTATCTGTGATCAATTTATGCTTCAGTATTCATTAGTTAGGGCAATGCACCTCTCCTTATAATCCTGATTCTATCTTACTATGTTACCATCTTTGGCCCTAGGACAACTAGTCTTATGTGGCAGGAGAAGGATCTGATCACTGTAGATCATCAGGAAACGTTTCTATTTCCCAACCAGGGTTCATCCCAAATCCAGAAGTGAGTATCCAGTATCGGGATTCCCAATCTGATCAATAATGGCTAGGATCTCCGTCGACGAAATCCCAATATCATTCAACAGCTCCGCGCTCGGCATCAATGCGTCCTCATGATACATCGATTCGTAGGTCGGATGACCATGAGCATCCGGTAGCATATCATCTGAAAGCTGCCTCGCCCTCCAGCTACCATGCTCCTCTATGCTGGCTGTTAGATCATGCGTATCTGGAATTCCGGGAGCGGGAAGGGCAGTCGTCAATGTGAGTGGCTGAAGCCCATTAGACTCTGCTCGTGCAGCTACCTCGTGGAATAAGCCTTCAAGGTGAAGGAGTTCCTCTTTCCGGACTTTGGCGACTTTGTTCCCGTTGCTTATCATTTGGTCGAGAATAGAATGAGCTTCCTGTGCGGCTCCTTTGCCGTCGAAGGCCTCTGGAAATAATGCGCTCGCCATTGCGAGGTGTATTGCGGCGGCGTAGGTGAATTCGAGATTGTACAATAGGAATACCTCTGTATGAGTTAGAAGGCAGTATACCAGTGGACATGATATTGACTAAACATACCCAGAAGGCTGTCATTCTGCGATATGATCTGCAAAGTCTTGGAGGCTGACTTGATGCCAGTCATTATCAATGTTCTTGTCAGATCCAGTGTGTCGGCGGCGTCGTCATTATCAGTGTCAAGTTTAGACAGCCTTTCCATGAATGCTGAAAGAAGAAGGGGACGAGTAGCGACAATCACACACTGATAATTAGTCAGTATACGATGTCCAGAGTCACGAAATACATAGGGTTACCGACTTGGTGGTAGAGCAAGGTAATATGCCGCGTCCCCCTGGGCATCGAATCGACCGAATTGCGGAATGCAGCGTGGATGATCCGTTCGACTTCCTCGGCGTATCCGGCGAGTTGCTGCAGAATCTGCTTTGTCGTATCTAGGAAAGTATCCAGTTGGGATTTCTCGGTTTTGTAGACCGCTTGCATGAGTTAGCCACGATTGATTGTCCAACATTTATAGTACTTACTAGTCAAGATTGACGATAGCAAGTGTGACAGTTTTGCCTGCAGACTGAGGGCCACGTCTTGGTGAGACGTGCTGCATGGTTCTATCGGAGTGCTAATGTCTCTGTCCTGCATTGACATTGGCAGACCGACTGAATATGAGAAATGCCGGTCCATGATGTACAGTGTCCACCAGAGGTTCCTGCAGCGTGCTACAACACCAGCCCCGAGCTGCTCTTCCGACAGCTGTGTGTGTGGTCCTTCATACTGCGCTATTCTTATTGCTTGGCCGAGCTTATTATACGTATTTGCATGAGCATGGTTTGAATAGATCCAGGGCAGCTTTACTCACATAGATGTACGCCGACTCTCTCTGGTCAATGGAATAAAAGTAAAGACCAGCCAGCGCCAGAACTTCAATAGCCAGTAGGCTGTCTTTCCACAGAGACGCATGGTCTGGCATCAGGGACATGGCACGCACGAAGAACTCTGCCCCAGGCGGTTTGTCGCTTTTCGTTCGGCAAAGGAACGCGGTCCCAAAGGAGAGAACGAGGAGGTACTGTATGTACCAGAGCTGGTGTTCACTGGCCATTCTCACCGGATCGCCCTGATAGAACTCCTGTACGTTTTGAACAAATTGGTCCTCGTCGAAGAAGCGGTAGTTCTGGCCTAGGTGGAACTTGACGGTGGCGAACAGATACAGGGCGTGGTCGAGCGATGGTAGCCCGCTGATGTCGGGTGCGTCTTTTGATGAGCATCGATCCCATCGTAAAGGATATACCTCTTTCTCGACGAGAGTGGGCGCACTGTCTGGATATCTAGCGTATAGTTTCTCCGTCATGAGGATGGTCAACCGTGTAGTAAATGACCACATGGATGATGGGGCAAGCCAAACTGCACACGATTAATTGGTAATCCTAGCAGAAGGAAGTTACGTGGGAAGTTACGTACTCCAGCTGCGTTTATTCCCCTTCGTGTTTTTAATAGTCGTCGAAGGCAGACTGAATGGGCTCGTCCATATGCTGGGCGCATCGGACGGTGTTGGCGCTGGCGAGGAACCTAGCCCTGCTATATTGGGGAATGGGGTCAATTCGGCGGTCACTCCAGACGCAAAGCCGACTCGTCCTCCGGCACTGGACTGCGCCGACTGCAAAGGGGTTGTTGGTGAGGGTTGTGAGGCGCCATACGACTGTCGGTCTCCAACTCGTGCTTCAAGCTGTCGCAGGTAGCTGCATGACCTTTCTCAGCAGACGTATTGTATAGCCAGGGAAAGATCGAACGAACGTCTCCGATACCAGAACCCGATTGATTCCATCTGTGAACTCGCATTTTATCCCGCGACGCTGGCAGTTGGCACACGGCTCGTCGCCGGAGCACTTGATTTTGCTGTGCCGGCAGGCGATGCACCTGTCACTCGTTAGCTGAGTTCCCATACCCAGAAGGGAGCTTTACGCATTGGAAGTTCGCTTTTTGCGAGCGTTGGCTTGCATGTGTGTGTTAGATCGCTGGCGAGACTGATAGTGAGGAAGAAAGGCTTGCACTGGACTTGCAACGAATTTCGAGCGTATCTCGCAAGTTCTCCGGACTCCAAATTGTGGGGGAATTGTATTCCGACCCTGGTGGGCCCGAAGTTGGTAGAGAGATCGGGTTCCATGGGCGTCTATACATTAAGTTCAATAAACCCCATTATGGGTTGCCACCTCCATGGCTTAACCATTCCCTGTATTTCATCTGCGTGGGTTTAACCCATCACCTATACGATGGATGAAACTGCGTGGGCGTATCGAGCTGCTTCTTTGTGATGGCGCCTCGGGAGCGAAACCCGAGACTCGTCGGCTTGGTTCTCATGAGCCAAATTGTTCTTCGTAACAGGTTTTATGATCTTGAAAACCAAATAATCGTATTTATGTACAGACATTTCGACTGTTTATTGAGCGGTGTACTCAGCATTGGTGGCTTCTTGGACGTAGGGCTGCCTTTTGGCCGTCGAATTGGCCAGGGTATACAGCACTACACCCTACGTGTATGTGGACTCCGGGAAAGTAATTCTCCAGAGGTAGATCGTTACAGTAGCTGAAACTGGAGCTCCTCACATGCACTATTGTAAGTATGCAATCTGGTTGCTGGTTGAAGGCATAATAGGGCTGGGTTGGCGTTAACCGAGAACCCGAGGAACCCGATGTTATAAACGACCACGCTCTCCGAGGAACCCGACAGCCATATACCACAGCTCACAGGACAGGGAACAGAGAGCAGTCTTCGGACGATTGCCCGACGACTACAGCATGGCCCCATACTCGCGCGAGCTGAGCCGGTGCCATGCTTCAACGTGAGGTTCTGTTGATTAATCGTATATAACGGTCTGATAACTCACACTGTGCCCTCACTAGCAACAGTCAAACACAACATCTTAACGCCCACCAATACCAACATGTCCATCACCCAAGTAACAACTTCGGCCGCGCCCAAGGTCCACCATGTTACCCTCACAGGGCGTGCCACTCGTCCAACAGAGCCAATCCCTCAATTCCTGATCGACGACGCCAAAGTCGAAACAAAGCAGGCATTCGATGCAAAGAAGCATCTGAATTATGAACCTCCAAGCAAGATCACCACCATGAAGGAGATCGGCCTCGAAGGCCAGGGCATTTCGCCCAACGCAGTTACTGCCCCGTTCCAACTCTTCACTGAGGAAGCTATCAAGCAGATGCGCGCTGAAATCTTCAGCCAGCCGGTGCTGGATAATTGCCAGTACATGTCTGAGTTTGTCAAGTCAACAATCCGGGGGATGGGCTCTGCGTATGTTCTGCAACTTTTCAACTATTCATCAGTCAGTCGCTAATCCATATCATTTAGTCGCGCGCCCTTTATCTGCGACGCCTGGAATAGCCCCGAGGTTCTGGCCATCGTCTCCGAAGTGGCTGGCATCGAGCTGGTCCCCGCCATGGACTACGAGATTGCCGCAATCAACATCTCAGTAAATAACCAGAGCGTGCCAGTCTACACCGCTCCCAAGCAAGAGGACGATAGTCTTCCTGCCTTTGCGTGGCACCGTGACAGTTACCCCTTTGTCTGTGTGACGATGCTCTCTGATTGCGTTGGTATGACTGGCGGCGAGACTGCGCTGAAGACTGCCTCGGGAGAGATCTTGAAAGTTCGCGGGCCTGCTATGGTATTTACACTCCTCATATACATTACTTAAACGTTGCTAATATTTCGTCCAGGGCACTGCTGTTGTCATGCAGGGGCGATACATTGAGCACCAGGCCCTGAAAGCATACGGAGGCCGGGAGCGCATTAGCATGGTGACTTCATTCCGACCGAAATCGCCGCTTGTTCGCGATGAGTCTGTTCTTACTGGTGTGCGACCGATCAGCAATCTGTCCGAACTGTACAGCCAGTATACCCGGTACAGACTGGAAGTCATCGAAGAGCGAGTCCGAGACCGTCTGAAGAAGGAGCAGTATCGGGAGTTCGCACAGCGGCCCCTTGATATTGCGGATGTGAAGACGTTCTTGACGGAGCAGAAGGAGTATATTGAGTCAATGATTGAGGAACTTGTTGAGTAAATATATCTCAGTATTTTAGAATGTTTCATTAGCCTATCTACAGTATGAATTATGCTTCATCAAACGTCTACCCTCTATTGAGACAATCCGATAAAGACGAGACCATTCAGCCCATCCATATTAGTGTTGTATCTAAACCAGTAGGTCGGGTTAGCTCAGGCACCAGATGGAGCACAGAGACAAAGACGAGCATCACTTTGGACTGCATAACCCATGAAACCTTCGGGTCTCGCGTTCTTCGGAGAGTTGGCACAGTCCAAGCTGAGCTTCTCCAAATGCTTTGGCATCCGATGCAGCCAAGTCGGGTCCCTCGGGTTCCACTATCAACTCTATATACCATACTCGGAGGACAAGCTTGTTGTATTGCCACTTGAAATAAGTTTATCTTGAACGCGGTGTTTTCTCTTACTATACCATTCTTCTCTACCTACATACCAACACAATGCAAGCCGCCAATCGCCTCCAGCAACGCCTCAAGGCAGGCCAGCCCGCATACGGCGGATGGCAGATGCTCCCAGGAACAAACCTGACACGAGTCCTATGCCGTTCAGCAACAAACATTGACTGGCTCCTAGTTGACCTAGAGCACGGGAATATCTCAGATGACTCCATGCACGAGATCGTCGCCGCCTCTGCTGCCTGTGGGGTCTCGCCGATTGTACGGGTTGCTGAGGGCCAGCACTGGATGATTAAGCGTGCTCTGGACTCTGGCGCACATGGAATACTGGTGCCTACGTTGGAGACTGTGGAGGAGGCGCGGAATGTTGTGAGGGCGTCTAAATACCCGCCGATGGGGAATAGAGGCTTTGAACCGCTTTTGGCGGTTGAGAAGTTCGTGGAGCAGCGACCTCATGGTGGAGGGGTCAGGGAGCTTACTGGGAGGGAATACCTAGAACAGGCGAATAGTTCGCTCGTGATTGCTGTTCAGATTGAAACGAAATCTGCTCTGGAGAGCGTCAAGGAGATAGCCAATGTGCCTGGTATTGATGTGCTCTTTGTGGGTCCTTTCGACCTCGGTGTCAGCATTGGACATCCTATTACCGGAGGAAAAATGGATGAGACGCTTTCTCGGGCCATTCAGTCAGTGCAAGAAGCTGCGCAGGAAGCAGGTATCGCTTCCGGGATCTACTGTGACAGTGGCGAGGAAGCGAAGGAGTGGGCTAGCAAAGGATTCCTGATGAACAGCGCCATGACGGACATGATTGGGCTTCGGAATGTAGTCACTCAGTCATTTAAGTGTGCATTGTAAATATATTTGGTCGGTCAATGTCTGTTTCGAGACGGCATTGGTGTATAAATCTCAGTCTTTCCGATATCCACACCTCATTTAGTAGCTTTCCATTATAGTAATCAAGGACTATGGCTCGTCCGTGGTATATCTAGGAAGGATTCCGGAGTTACAATGCAACCGACAAAGCTTTGCCACACCTACTGGCATAGAGTTCGAGCACCGGTGGAACCGCACGCGGATGAAGAAGCCGTACGGTGCAAGCAGTCAACCCCGACGAACCCGAGCCACCCTGTATCCAATCGGTATGAATACAATGCCATTAGCAAGGGAAATATCCCCGCACGCCACGATGGAAGTGTGGGGTCTGTAATCTCGGGGTTTACAGGGGCAAGCCTGAGCAGCCAATGTCAACACGGATATAAGGTGTATCATTCCCTGCGATAAACCACTTCCCTGGGGGGCTTGGTCGTTCTTGCACTCTTCCAGGCTCGACAGAACACGAAAAATGACTACCAAAGAAAAGCAACATGGCGCTAAAGAAATTGACGATGTCGATGCCTACAAAGCTCACGGGGACGTTATTGAAGGACAGGCCTCTGCCAGGGTAGGGGTACTGCACCGTCGGCTTGCCAATCGGCAGATCCAGCTGGTGGCCATTGGAGGGTCTATCGGGACTGGTCTGTTTATTGCCATTGGCACTGGGCTTTACAAAGGTGGTCCAGCCAGTTTGTTGATTGCGTTCATCATCGAGGCCCTCATGGTCGGGATGCTCAACAACTGCCTGGCTGAGATGACAACATACATGCCCGTGAGTGGTGGCTTTATCAGGCTGGCAGGTAAATGGGTTGATGAAGCCTTTGGGTTTATGGCTGGATGGAATTTCTTTATCTATATGGCGCTTACGGTGCCTTTTGAGATTTCCGCCGTCAATCTACTGCTGGAGTATTGGCGGGATGATATCCCGGTTGTTGCTGTCTGCATTGCCTGTATTGTTGCTTATGCGTGAGACCATATTCACCCCATATCTCCTGGATTAATACTGACCGGAGCGAATTCGGATACAGATTGATTAACCTCCTCGCCGTCGGCACCTACGGAGAGGCTGAGTTCTGGCTCAGCGGGGGCAAGGTCATCTTGATCTTCATGCTGTTCCTGTTTACATTCGTTACCATGGTCGGAGGAAATCCTCAAAGCGATGCATATGGATTTCGCCATTGGAATGTGCCCGGTCCCTTTGCAGCCCATGGTGGCGGTAACAAGCTCGCTCGCTTCGAAGGCTTCTTAGGCGCACTGTGGATTGCCCTATTCACTGTCGTTGGGCCGGAGTATATATCCATGGTGGCGGCAGAGGCCAGGCATCCTCGGATATATATTAAAAAGGCCTTTATAACAGTCTACTGGCGTTTCGGAGTCTTCTTCGTGGGGGGTGCTCTATGCGTTGGTATTCTGGTCGCATATAACGATCCCCTTCTCGCCAGCGCCATTGAAAGCGGCAAGTCGTCGGCCGCCGCCTCCCCCTACGTGATTGCCATGTCCAATCTCGGTGTTGGTGTACTGCCTCATATCGTCACTGCTCTTATGGTGACTACCGTCTTTTCCGCTGGGAATACCTACACTTATGCCGCCACTCGAGCACTCCACGGTTTGGCGGTTGGCGGCCAGGCACCGCGCATATTCGCTAAGACGACCGCAAAGGGCATACCTATCTTCAGCTTCGGCGTTGTTATGGCCTTTGCCTGTCTCTCCTTCCTCCAATTATCTGGTGGTTCTATGCAGGTGCTGGAATGGTTGATCAGCATAACTACTGCCAATATCCTGATCGACTATATCATCATCACGACCACCTACGTGTCTTTCTATCGAGCTTGCAAGGCTCAAGGCTTCGATCGATCAAACCTTCCCTACTTCGGTCGGTTCCAGCCATACTCTGGCTATATCTCGCTCATCTGGATGATAGCCATGGCTGGGTGTTTTGGGTATGAAAGTTTCACGCCCTGGTCTACGTCTACGTTCTTCCTTAATTATACAATGGTTCTGCTGGCCCCTATTATGTTCATTGCTTGGAAGGTATGGAAAAAGACAAGGTGGTTGCGTCCGAATGAGCTGGACTTGACGTGGGAGGCAGAGCTTATAGCGGCGTATGAGCAGACGGAGGAAGAGCAACCAACGGGCTTCTGGAGGGAGATGGTGCAGATGGTGAATTTCAAGCGCTTCTATTCAAATAGGCACGTGGGGACTGTGGTTTAGCCCGGCACTTTGAGCAGCTTCAGTTCATTCATATGATATATGTTGCCCAGCCACCCTCTATTTCTTTACGTGTAAATGATGGAATCATATACCAATACCCTCTAAGACCTCTGCTGAGTTCTCGATCCATTCCGACATCAGAGTGTCGTTTAGATCAGGGCCCTCCATTTTCTCTGCACCGACGGCCAGCCATTCCTCTTTGCTTTTGGCATTCCATAATTCCACATTCTTTGGCAAGGGAAACTGCAGGTCGTGTGGTCCAAGCCCCCAATCCGCAGACCCAGCTACCTGCAAACTGTCGATGCCAATACCATGCTTGGATGATTTGCCAAACGCCTTCCAAACCTTGAACAGTGCAAGGTTGAAATGCTTCACCTCCTCCACAATGACCCAATTGAATGGCCCTACGTTATGTAATGAGCATCCGAATAGCATGTTTGGGTAATAGAACATTCCTATCTTCTTGCAGCTCGCCACAAGACGAGTAAGAAGATCGAGATCGTCAGGGAGCAAACAAGGCTTCAGATCGAGGCCAAGAGCGCCACAAGGCTTGACGACCCCGGCGAATATGATATGCAGTAGAATTGCCTGGTATGTCGGGAGGGGCCATGCAAGGGAGTTGCAAGTCTGCCCGGATTTGAAGGCGTCCCATACGTCCTATAGTCTGTACTTAGTAACGAATTTTCGAATGGAAACAGGGTTGGCAACGTACTGCCTGGTCACGTAAAGCCGAGCCAAGGAGATTATGCAGCTCAATGGCCTTTGCTTCTGCGTTCGGCTCCTGGCTCATCCAAAGACCAAGGACAACCATGGACTGGATAAGTAGGGGTGTTTCGTGCTCGCTAAACGAGGTCCTGTGTATGAATGGCCAGTGGGAATGGAATAATTCCCAGTAAAGCTCCAGATAATGACTTCCTTTTGCTGAGTGATTTGTCTGCAGTGAAGGGCTATCTTGCCGCAGTGTTGGTGGGCTCTCATCGGTAGATTCTCTCTGTCCACTCCGCGAGCAGTCAATTGTACGTCTGGAGCACTCTTTACACGGATTCCCTCCCTCGCATCGGATCTTCTGGTTTCGACAATGTGTACATGCCCGTTTGACTTGTGGAGGCTCAGATATGTCATGTATCTTTTGCATGTGTCGTCGGAGAGTGTCCCTGTGCACCTAAATCAGCGCTCCTGTTCTTAAGGGGAGTAAACAGCCTCCGTTACCTTCGACCAAATTCATGGTCACAGACTATGCAACGGAGGGCCTGCTGGTGGTGCTGTTTCTCGTGGCGGCGGAGGTGCTCTTTTCGTTGGTAGCTCGCAATGCATCCACGAGAGCCACATCGAAATGTCTTTGGAGACATTATCCACTGCCGTATACTTGAAGGACTTTTAGTTGCCTCCTAGTGGGTCGATTATTGAGAATTGAACATTCAGCTGCGTTGCCGAATGTTTCCGGCAGGATCGTCGATGGCCACAGGCTTAGTAAGGACAGTATCGCGTCATTAATACTGTGCAGTTGTTCGATGCTCGTTAGCTAAACTTACGCCACGATCATAGTCGTTCTGTGGCATCAGTTGGAATGACATTGCTCGGAAAGCCCACTGGAAACCCTCCCGACAACCCATCGGACAGCCCACCGGAGAGCCCATCGGGGCGCCCACCTTGTATAGAGCATTTTATAATCAATTTATTAATCAGTCATTTATGCCACCACACCATCAATTCATTGCATATAAAGTAGCACATCCCATCCCAGTTGAGGCATTCTTCATACAAACACAATCTACTCCATTTCATCATGCCTTCTATTCTCGTCGCAGGTGCCACTGGCAACACCGGCCAAGGGGTCGTCCGAACCCTATCCAACCTATTCTCCACGGGCAACGCCCTACCCAACCACCAGATCATCGCCCTCACACGCTCTCTCCAAAGCCCAGCCGCCCAACAACTAGCCAAACTCCCAGGAGTACAAGTCCTCGAGCAAAACTGGGTCGAGATTACCGCCGACTGGCTGAAATCCCACTCCGTCGTCAGAGCATTTATTGCGTCACACGTCAACACAACCCAATTCGCGGAGGAATCTACCTTCCATGTCGCTGCCCTGCAAGCAGGCGTGAAATACGTCGTCCGCATCTCGACCAACGCGCCCAATGTCCGCCCTGACTGTCCGGCTTACTACCCGCGTTCCCACTGGGCGATCGAGACGATGCTGGCCACCCCGGAATTCAGCGCGCTGCAGTGGACCTCCCTGCAGCCGAATATGTTTTCTCCGTTCGGTCTATTTTCCGCCGCTGAGTTTATCAAGAAATACCGTGCGACCGGGGTGCAGGGGACACTGGAGCTGGCTATATCCGCGGATGCGCCTGTTGCCATGGTTGATCCCGATGAAATCGGGGTGTTCGCTGCCCACCTTCTAGTCTTGCCTGATCCTTCCGCTCATAATAAGGCCCGGTATGTTGTGAATGGACCCGTGGATACCAATGGGAAGGAGATCGTGGGCTGGGTGGAGGGGCATATCGGCGCGAAGGTGGAGCATGTCAGTTATGAAGACATGTCCGGTCTTAATTCTTCGCCGCTGCTTGTGGAGCTGAGGAAGAATAACTCTCCTAATGTTATCAATTCCATCCAGGCCTCTCCTATTCCTATGTGGGCGGGTGAGCTTTCGGTTTCTACGACTAGTAAGGCGGTGCTGGAGCTTGCTCCGCCGCAGCGCACGCCTGAGCAGGTCTTGCGAGGCATATTGGAGGTTTAGCCGTGGTCTTTGGTAATTGAAAATGGACAGTTTATATTTCTTTATCTAGATCTCTGGGCGGGCTGTTTTTTGAGATTAAATATTACTAGACCACCTTATCCATATAACCTAGGCTAACAAAGTAATTGTAGATACAACAATACCCAGATTTTGAATACAAGAAGGCTTAGAGATCCTAGAAGTTAATTCACTACCCTGTTCACAAATTCCTGGTCAATAAAGCCGCTAGGCATACCCTCATAGATAAGCAAGTAATACGAGGTACCATGTCCGCCCCGACAGCAAGAGCCGAAACACTGATCGCCTTCCAAGTCAGCAGCGCTCGGCAATGTCAGGAATGCAACATACTATATCGCGGGCCCGATCCCAACGGATGGCTGGTGTATGGAGGGGGCGGCTCATCTCTAAACACATCAGTGCCATTCCCACTGCATGAGCCCACTGCACATACTCGGAGTCATGAATAGACTTAGAAGCAGATGAACTACCTGATGGTGTTTTGCTTTTCATCTTGCAAGAGGAAAAGAGACTTTGCAGTTTAGCCTTCCAACTACAGGTCTCCTGCTGTTTAGCCATGATAATATAGACAACACCGAGTGTGTCCAGGCCAGTTACGATGACGGGTCACCCGTATTAATAGGACTGGGAAACTGCACGGGGCTGCGTACATTGATGCAAGGGCGGGGATATTTCCTCTGTTTAGCTGGTGTTCTACCTGTGAGTTCGCCGAAGTCTGCAGTGGGTTCGCCGAATGTGCTGTCTCGAATAGGAAAGTCATCTACGGTTGCTCTTTCCCTAGGAATATAGGATGTACTAGGAAGGCGCGATGGGTCTCTGAACGAAGAGAGAAAGGACAACCGAGTCCATGATAGCTGCTGCTGCTTAGTATAGGAAGGAGCATGAAGCAATATTTTACATTGTAGTTGAGAGGTTGCATGAACATGTAATTTACGAGTTTGCAAATGCTATCAGCGCTATGAAATCATTTCCCTTCCACCGTAGACATTCAATGTCTACTCATAAAACACCAAGCATCTAACTTCAATACTCTGTCTCGGCGGCGCATCCTCCGGCGTCTGCGGATCCAAGAACGCCGTATGCCCAGCCCCATGTGCAATTCCCGTCGTCCCAGTCATAGTCTGGCTGCGCGAGTCAAAACACTTAATAAACATAGCCTCGTCCGGCGTCATATCTTTCTGGTAGTAGAAGCGGTGTCCCTCATTTGGCGCAATCGAGTAGACCTCGCCCTTGGCCTCGTACCCCTCTGTTGAGCTGGACGAGTCGGGGGCCTGTTGCTTCTCTTCCCCTGCTTCCCCTAGTTTGGCGTCTTTGGGATACAGCAGGTCCACTTTGACGAAGTCCGATTCGGCCATGCTGCGCCAGTCGATGACGGCGAGGGGAAAGTCTGTTGCCGGATTGTCGATTGGTCGCCAGACGTTTATGATCTGGTAGCGGTTCTTTAATAGCTCGTCGACTTCATCTGGCGGCAAGTGTCGTCGCACTCGTTGTTCAGCGGCCCAGGGGGTCTGGTCGACGTGGACTAGCTGGACTGGAGCGCGTGGAGAGGATTTCTCGCGCCGTCGAATAGTGTGGTCGAAGAGGAATACTTTCTTGATGCCGGGTAGCTTTTCGCGTAGGAGTTCCTCGACTTGGCCGTAGTAGTTTGTCGTCACCCAGGATGCATCGGTGAAATTGTTCTCCTTGCTTGGGCTGTTGTAGACGGCGAATCCGCTGTTGTCGGTGGAGAACTCGCTCTCGCGTCCCCGGATGTTCTCGACCGAGCGCGTCTTGTCGATCAGGGTGTAGGATGTACCCGGTCCATCGACCTTGCCCCAGGGCTTCTTGAACGGCTCTGTGGCGTGGGGGTCGTACGAGGCCGGGTCGATGTATTTGAACACGCCGGTTGTCATTATAACTACAGGACTAAGGTATGCTGTAAGTGTCCAACCGACGGATATATTGGAACGATGGGATATAAATAAAATAACTGTGGTGGTGAACTTTTTGACGATGACGTAGGCTGACAAATGCTGTGATCTCCCCGCTCTGCCAAGCCCAATTATTCACCGCTCTGATTGGCCAGTTCTCATTGCGTATTTGTAACTCAACTGAAAGAGGCTCTTACAGCAGCAATGGAACCAAACAGTGGGGTAGTGTATGGCCTGGAATATTCCCAGCATCGGCTTTGTGGGATGAACACTTGCAGTGTGCCCCCTGGGGAGCGCACTGGCCGCCGTTTGCTCTCCCACCTTATTAATTGTTCGGGCGCCACTGGTGCCGCCAAGGTAAATATGGGGCAAGAATACGAGATCAAAGATCATGCGTATAATGCAATAAAGACGATCGCTAAGACCGCTAGTGGCTTTTATGGTCGAGTTGTTTCAATAGATCAAAGTATAAACAAAGTTAAGAGTTTAATTGGCGTTTACGTTGCAGATATTTCGCAGTTCTGGGTGTTCGATTCAACTGCACTTAGCGTACATGTATATATATATATATTCATATGTACATACACCAAACCTGACAACAGCACGAAGAGGAATTTCTTGTTCGCTACGAGCGTGACATCTAACGAAGTTTTAAAACAGAAATTATTCTAATATAAATTAATTAAATAACCTAAGCGCCTCATTCACGACCCTATCATAATAAGGGCACATCACATCGGAGCCCAGGAAAGAAGGGAATATAATAACATAATACACTGGACAGTCAAACCACCCCTACAGGATACTCGTAGTCTTGGCCGCACCAGGGAACAAATCTATGATAGCGTCCCACGCGGGCTTGCCGCCAAGCTGCATATCCTGGAACGCAGGGCAAGCCAGGTCAAGCAGCGGGGTGGCCAGGGCCTTAGTGAGGAAGTCGAGAGGAATTGCAAGAGTCTGGTAGATACCAGCAAGCGCATTGGGGCTGGCGAACTTGAGGATCTCGAAGATGAAGCAGAGGAGGTTGTTGTCCTCGAGGAGGGTGGTGGCGTTGAGAACGCCGCCGGTGAGATCGGACAAGTCGAGGCCGGTGAAACTGTTGACGGTGCCCGTGTTGCCGCCGATGCTAGTACTGTTAATATGGTTTATATAGGTGGGGGGAATTGGTAATGAGCGCACCTTGCAAGCTCTGGGTACTTCATGGTCCAGTCGAGGAGGTCCACGTTGAGGTTGAGAAGACCCCAATCCATAGGCCTCCTGTACCAGTTTTCAGGGAGACGCTCCCAGCCTCGTCGGTATTCAAGGTTATCATCATCGTCTCCGTACACGGCGAAAAGGTTGCGAACAATTTGTTTCGCTATACATCGTTAGCGACTATCAAAAAGCAACTGGGGAAGTCATACTCAAGACGCCATCAGGATTCTCCTTAGTGTGGTTCCTGAACAGCCTGCCTGCAAAGAGATATCCAGCATTACGGGCAAGGAAGCCAGTAACAGGTCCGTAATAGAAGTCAGGGTTCGTAGCCTTGCTCTGCTCGAATCGGATCGCGGCGCGCTTAGCCATCGTGTCCAGAGAGAAAGTTCCGTTCTCGTCAGCCATGGCGTACCATTCGCGGAAGAGAGTCATGTTCATCGTCGCAGCGTCGCCGGTAACGTAGAGGTCGTCGCGGGTGTTGGAGGAGTCCGACTCGACAAAGTTATGCGAGCCATTCAACCCTTGGGGTTCGCCTGTTGACGAACGTTACTCGGTGTTCGACAGGGTGTATGGATAAGATTGACTACATACCGAGCAAGCCGAGGCCATTTCCAAGAATGTTGTTGACGCCACTATCACGGCCACCGATAGAAAAGCCTGGGTTAACAGACAGGGGGTTGCCGACAGAGATGAGGCCCATGGTGGCGAGGATCAGGGCGAGGTCGACGCCCATTCCATACACTGCAAGAGTTAGCAAGCCCTAGATGATCCCTCGGGCACCGTACCTTTGTTGATGGCGGGGACGACTTCAAAGAACTGCGACAGTTAGTTAATACCGACCGACTAATAGTCCTGGCAACCTACTGAAACAACACCACTCCGCGGGATATACCCATGGTTCGCGAGAGCATTGAGCCCAGGGCAGGGACCGCGCTGGTCGCCATTCTCATAGTCAGGAGGGTGGAAAGCATGCTCCCCGGTAACTATCTGGTCAGTTACGACTGGGCCTACGGAGAGGAGTATTCATACTATCAATGGGCTCGTCCATAGAACTAAAGAGACGCTTCTCATGTTGCTGCTCCTTCAGCATTTCCACAACCTCCGCTGGGAGGTTTTGCAGATGCTGCTCATGGAGCCGCTTGTGGCTATGTCCATGCTCAAAGGAAGGGAAGCTGGCAGCACAGGCTGCGAACAGAGCGAGCGACCACACTTTCATGGTGTTAAGGAGAGACTTGAAAGTGAACAAAAGAAAAAAAAGTCAGAACGAATGAGAGGCGGTGTTTCAGTAATCAACAGGCACCGATATAAGGGAACTCATGGCAGCAGGAACCGGCAGGCAGGGGTTCAAGACAACCACACAGAGTGCGAACGCATTGATCAGCGCAGTTTAATAATTGACTTTGCATCACAGGCACAAATGAGCTTGACAAAGGTACCTTTTTTTGCGGACTCAGCCTGCCTGATTCACGACAAACTCGCACAACGGGGCTCCGGGCCCAGTTTTGCAGCCGTCGACGCGGCTGGCTATTCTTCGGGTCCGGCCAGTGGAGCGTCGGGCAGCCCCATAACGGATGGGACAATGACAGCCAGACAGGAAATAAGTGGCCCGTGTCAACAAGCTCTGATCTGGGGTAGGGGCGGCACGTAGTCGTTGAGCTCCTGACCAATTTGGCTGGCTGCTGCAGATCGCAATAAGGAGCACAGTCTCGAATCTCTCGATGGCTGCAGAATCCATGACTCGCACCTATGCAGCTCGACCGGTGCACTGGTTAGGGCAACTGTGCACGATGAGAACCACTCCCTGCCATGGCCAAATTATACGGGATGAACAGGAGAACTATTCATCTAATGCAGCTTGGCGGCGCCCCAAGCCCATGGACGGGAACTGCTCGTGGCAGGGCTGGACGCCTATCATTATTGATTTGCTATTTGGCTCTGAGGATCGATTCAGTCCACGCATAATGTTGGGAGATGTGTGGCTATAGCTGCCGGTCTCAGGCCGAGCAAAGCATCCTACCAACTTTATTCATTCCCTCGTGTCCCTCTTTTATCCCTGTTGCTCTTGTTGCTCTTGTTCTTGTTCTTATTGTTCCTGTCACTCCTTTATTCCTTTTTTTCTTTGCGTTCTTCCATTCTTTACGATGCGATTGTGGTCAATTGTGGCCTTTCTGGCCATCTGCACCATGGCTGCAGCGGCCAGCATGGAAGATCTGGCCAAGGCTTTGCCGCCATGTGCTGTACGTTCGAGTTTCATATTGACGAGTTGGCGCTAACCAGTGTCAGCTGCAATGCTTCATGAAAGCGATTCCTGCGTCTCCGTGCGCTGCGACAGACCAGACCTGTCTCTGTACAGACCCGGGCTTTAATGCAGACGTCGAGACCTGCGTGCTGGGCGCTTGCACCATTCGCCAGGGCCTAAGTAAGTCTCGTATCACTTCCACAGAGTGCACATTCTGACGGGACAGCGACCAAAAATGTCACCTACACGATGTGCGATATGCCCGTCCGCGACCGCACCCATATCGTTTCGATATGTGGTCTTGCGGGCTTAGGACTGGCGTTCCTTGCCTTTGCTTTGCGCATTGTTGCCAGACTTCCCTGCTGTGGAGGGCAGCTTGGTTGGGATGACTGGACCATGGGGCTGACAATGGTACGTCTATTAATTTGGGAGCGTTCGACGGTTATATTGACATGTTCAGATATGCGTTATTCCGCTCTCAGTCTTGTCGTGGGTCTGTAAGTAACTGAGTATTCCTCATCCTTCGCGGAGTCCGATCTGATGTGATCCTTTAGTGGCCGATGATGGGCTTGGTCTTGATATGTGGAGGGTGCCATTCGACAAGATCACTCATATTCTCTACGTAAGTCGAGTCATACACTCCAAGTCGCATCGCTAATACAGCACAGGTTTACTTCTGGGATGAGTTGCTTTACCTCACCGCGGTTGGGATGACCAAGATATCCATTCTCTGCTTCTATCTGCGCGTGTTCCCCCGCCGCGAGATTAGGAGGCTCATATACGGCGCCATTGGCCTCAACGTTTGCTACATCCTCGTGTTCAACATCATTACGATATTCCAGTGCAACCCGGTCCAGGGCGCCTGGCTCCGCTGGGATGAGGAGCACAACTTCAAATGCAACAACGTCAACGGGCAGGTCTGGTGTTCTGCTATCTTCAACATCATCCTCGATGTCATGGTCATGGCACTGCCTCTGCGCGAGCTTTGGATGCTCAATCTGTCCTGGCGGAAGAAGGCCTTTGTTATGTGCATGTTCTCTCTCGGAATCTTGTGAGTGTCCCGTTCCCCATGCAGACAGAGTCAGTGGCGCTGACAATGATGGTTAGTGTCACCCTGATCAGTGTCATCCGCCTTGACGCGTTGATCGTCTTCGCCAACACTCAAAACCTCACCTGTAAGTGCCGTTCCCCGCCCGCTGGTCCAGGAGAGCATACCCCTGACATGTGCATAGGGGACTACGTGAAAGTGGGCTACTGGAGCACCATTGAAGTCCATGTTGGAGTGATCTGCGCCTGTCTGCCGGCTCTGCGGTCGCTGTTCCGACGCATTATGCCGTCCATCTTTGGGGATACGCAAGCTGGCACATCCCAGAGGGGTAGGACAAAGTCAACCGGAACAGGTTCCCGTAGTGCACTGAAACACGGGGACGATCACTTTGTGCCGTTGGTGGATATGGCAAATAATGGGAGCTCGGGCAACTTCAGCAGCAATGACCGGGAGCATCATGGGCGGTTCTAGATAATTCTTGTTTTCGTACTGGTTGTAAATAAGCCTCGCCACGGGGTATAATGGAGATCTTCGTTGAATTTAGTAATTTGCAGTGGGTACTTGGGGAGGGGGCCTGAGAATGACATTGTCCGTCGGAAATATTGTCCCCTTCTTCTCCGGCCGTGTTATTATGAAGGGACTCCACTGGAAGACAGTATATAGGGGCAATTGGGGATACTGCATTGGCTATAACGTAGTAAAGGCCTTCTCCAACCCTGGGGATCAACGTCCATCCCGTAATAGTGGATAGGAGAGGCGAAATTGGCTTTCTGCAGGATTCTCACAGGCACCAGCCTGCCCAGTAGCAGGCTAAGCAACGGCGATTCTGGACTCCAACCTTCTGCGGCGCAGAGGCCAAGACTCAGGTCCTGCCCTAGTGGGGAGTCCCTTCTCCACAGCTGCGTGCGCTAACTTTCGTCTCATTTAAGTCTGCGCTAAAGACTGTTGGGCCGCCGTTCCGGTGCGTCTCTTTCCTATTCAGGACAGAGATGAGAGGCCTGGCGCCTTGGCCGTATTACTCTGCTACACCGGTCGAATCCTTCATTCCAACGTGCCGGCGCGAACTGGAACTGTGGAAGTCCCGGATGTGGGCTTGTGAAGGCGGATAGACTTTCCGCTTCATGCAGGCCTTCGTCGCGAGCTTTCTCCGCGAGTATGACTCCGTAGAGCGTAGTCAGGAGATACCGTCGACCATGGACAGGGGGCGCCGGAGTATACTGGGGGCTATAATACCGTTGTATGATAATCATATAGCCGCCCAGCTTTGTTGGCGGACGGTGCGTGTGCTTTCTTTTTGCAAGTCGTTCTGCGCGTAATCAGCCTTGTGTCGTTCGTTTGTTCCTTCTTGTCCATTCAGTTCTCCATTGCTTGTCACAATGCTGGTCAAGGAGCTTGGCATCGCCTCCTTGCTGTCCAGCCTGCTATGGAACCCTGTCCTGGCAGTCCATGGACACCAGCACACCCATCGCAGCTCCAACTCCAGCGCCGAGTATGACTATATCGTCGTCGGCTCTGGTGCTGGTGGTGGCCCCCTTGCTGCTCGTCTGGCACGCGGTGGACACAAGGTCCTTCTGATTGACGCTGGCGACGACCAGGGTGATGCTTTGCCGCAGCAGATTCCGGCTATGCAGCTGCACTCTACTGACTATGAGCCGATGCGATGGGACTACTTCGTGAACCACTACGAGGATCTCGAGCGGCAAAAGAAAGACCACAAGATGGTCTACCGGACCTCTGACGGCGAGCTGTACCGAGGGCTTAACCCCCCTGAGGACGCTGAACCGCTGGGCATTCTGTATCCTCGTGCTGGTACTCTCGGCGGATCCACGACGCACAATGCCATGGTGTATGTTTCCTGCCAACGACCATGAAAAGCAATGCTGACTGTTCAGTACAATCTACCCGTACGAGCGCGACTGGGACGACCTCGCTGCACTGACAGGCAACGAGACCTGGAAGGCCGACAACATGCGCGACTACTATAAGCGTCTCGAAGACAACCGTTATGCCCCAAGCGACATCGTCAACCACGGATTCGGCGGCTGGCTCCAGACCTCGCTGACCCAGCTCACCCTCGTCGTTGAAGATCTTAAGCTCCTCTCCCTCGTCATTGCCGCTGGTACAGCCGCAGGCCAGAACCTCGTTGGCAAGGTCCTCAACACTGTTACCGGCCTGGCAGGCATTCTGGGCCGCGATCTCAACACCGGCTTCTCGTGGAGGGACAAGGATATGGGACTCTTCCAGGTTCCTCTCGCTGTCAAGGTCCCAGAGTACAAACGCACGGGGCCTCGGGACTTCATCATGGACACCATCGAGGAGGGATACAAGCTCGATCTGCAGCTCACCACCCTCGTCAAGAATGTCATCTTCGATACATCCGGTGCTACCCCCCGTGCTATTGGTGTTGACTACCTCGAGGGCAAGAGCCTCTACCGTGCAGACCCCCGCGCTGGCTCCGCAAAGGCCGGAACCCCTGGAAAGGCCTTCGCATCAAAGGAAGTCATTCTCGCCGCCGGAACATTCAACACGCCCCAAATCCTCAAGCTGAGCGGTATCGGCCCCAAAGCTGAACTGGCCAAGCACAACATCGACACAGTTCTCGACCTCCCCGGCGTCGGCAAGAACATGCAGGACCGCTACGAGACAACCCTCATCGGCAAATCCCCTACAGACTTCGTCCTAACCACAAAGTGCACGTTCCTTGAGGAGACCCCTGACCCTTGCTACGAGGACTGGAAGAACGGTGTCGGTTTCAAGGGAACGTACATGACCAACGGCATCGCTATTGCCATTATCAAGAAGTCGTCTGTCGCCGAACACGACGAGCCGGATCTGCTGATCTCTGGTGCCCCTGGTAACTTCATCGGATACTACCCTGGCTTCCCGCAGGAGTGTCTCTCGGACGCCCAGCACTGGGCGTGGATTGTGCTGAAGTCTCGCTCCCGTAACAATGCAGGCACGGTTGAGCTGCGCTCCACAGATCCCAGGGATATGCCGCTCATCAACTTCCGCTCGTTTGACGAGGGTGTTACCACCGATGGTGCGGACGAGAAGGATCTACAGGCTGTCTATGAGGCTATGGAGTTCTCGCGGGATATTTTCGATAACCTTGTCCCGCTGGATGGGGATTTCACTGAGTCCTGGCCTGGTCGCGAGAATGTTACCAATGAGAAGGAGATGAAGGATTGGATTAAGAAGGAGGCCTGGGGGCATCATGCTTGCTGCACTGCGCCGATTGGAAAGGATGACGATGAGATGGCGGTTTTGGATGGGGATTTCCGTGTTAGAGGGGTTGATGGACTGAGAGTTGTTGATGCCAGTGTCTTTCCCAAGATCCCTGGTTACTATATTGCGCTGCCTATTTATATGATCTCTGAGAAGGCCTCGGATGTCATTCTGGCTGATGCTGGGAAGTGGTAATTTACTGTTAATATATTGTAATACTACACTATGAATCTCATTAACTTCTAATATTATCTTTCTATTACCTTTTGCTCCAAGCATTCTGAGTATACTTAAACGGGCTGCTTCTCTGCCGGTATACCCCAGTATGCTACCGGATGATGAGGACAGGGGCCACATCTAAACTAAAGAGGCACTGTTACTTACTTTCACAATATGGGTTAGCATCGGACGATGGATTGCACAGAAGGTCTTCACTAAAGACCGAATATTCATCTGCCGTTATGCAGCCACACCCGCAGTGGTGGCTTCGCCCAGAGACTCAACACGCGCATCCATGATGCGGTTAACCTGCCTTGCGGGCTTGCTCTCTGGGTTAAGAGACTCGACCGGCGAGACGTGCTTCAAAGGTGCAAAGATTGATCAAGTATGACAAGGACATCGCAACCCTAAGGTCCGCAAATAGCCGGCCCACTATAAGGGAAACCCAAGTGCTGATATACATATTATGCTCGGCCAAATATTCGACGAAGCTGCCTCGTTCAACACAGGACTAGGAATGTCCTATCCAAACAATGGGGATTAATGTAAAGTCGCCAACCGACATCGCTATCTTTAGGGGCAGCAGGCCGGGCGTCGAGTTGGCCACGCCTGGGAATAGCAGGAAAGTCCGCTTGTAGGGCTGATGCTGAACTTCGCCAGTTGTAGCGTCCTTGTCTTTGCCAGAAACTGTAGTCTGATGAGGCCTTGGCTGTCCAACTCGGAGAGGTTCCTGCAGCGAATCAAAAGCCTGGCGAGCCACCCAGCCAGTTAGTGGTTGACGAGCAGCATTGTCGCCAGGTCCTCTGAACTTGCCAAGCTAGTATATCAAAGAACAGGAATTCGCTTCAAGGCGGATTCACTATAACTGTAAGTACATCAAGCATTTGGGAGCGGAGCTACTGTCGGGGTCGTCAGGGCATATAATGATCTCGTCCTGTTCAAGCACAGAGGTTATCAAGCGTATGGTCCGTTTCTCATGGCGATTGTTGAAGCTTTTTTGTTGGGAAGGTATGTTGGTCCCTGTTGCGTTGGTCAAGATAAATCTGGACGGTATTTGTGCACGGGTCAATGCCTATTTTTATGTACCCCAGGTGGGTGCCTCCAACGGCCCCCAACGACAACAGGATAAACTGTGCCTGCTCACAGTCTGGGACACTTCTTGACGATGTTCGTACATGTTCCCCTGGTCATCTTGGCAGCTGGTGGTTGTAAAGACTGAGAACCCGTATAAATACTGCATTAGTGAATTAGACTGAACATCGCAAGGAAGATGGCTTCTGCTATATTTCTATATCAAGTTAAATGCTGCGCCATCCTCCTGCCGACGTCATCTTGAATTCCACGATCTTGGCGGGTTGAAGATGAGCGAAACAGCTGCTCGTATTGGTGACGATCCCCAGCACAGCCCTGTCCAGTTCCACATCAGACACCAGATTCGCTGTTGCCAAAATCTCACCTTCAGACCCTGAAAATTCAACCGATCCCCTGCCTGAGTTGACAATGTTTCCTCTCTCCATGCGGATGCAATGAGGGTATTGTCTCCCTCGACCGCGAGGCAGTATGTTCCGCCGTACAGACACTCTCGGACAGAAACGCAGCCTCGTGTCCACCCTGACATTCTCGACATGGATGTCCGACACCGCGACCAAGGTTGAGCCGGAAAATGCAGGTGAAAGCACACCCAACAGCCGTTCGTGGACGAAGGGCATTGTGTTCTGTTCCTGGGTTATGGGCACGGTTCTCTCCATCAATATCATCCTAACAATTATCGCGGCCGGGATTGCATATTCTAGGAATGGTGCAAATGATTTCTCCTTTGCAGCGATTTATACTGGGAGCTGTTCCAGGTCAAAGAACTGGACGACAGGACTGCACCTTGTGATTAATATCTTAAGCACGGCCATGCTTGGTGCCAGTAACTACTGCATGCAATGTCTCGCATCCCCATCGCGTGCGCAGGTCGACGAAGCCCACAGTCAGCGGAGATCCGTCGCAATTGGGGTCCCCAATATCTGGAACCTGGTTCGAAGACAACGAGGGAAAAGGCAATTGCTTGGTGGGCTGTTGCTGATTACATCGCTGCCCGTTCATATGATTTACAACTCCGCCATCTTCTTCGCCTTTGGGCCGACGGAATACAGCGTCGTTGTAGGGACTGGTGGCCCTGTGGATAGCAGCGGAACAGAAGATTGGAACAACTGCACCACGCTTATTGGTATGGATGTACCAGCCCTCAACGCCGAGCTAGGCCGGTCGGATCTGAAAACGCTCTCTAATCAAGAGTGCATCGACACCTTTGCGCAGGACTATGTATCCGGCCAGAGGCTGGTTGTCCTGGTTACAAAAAAAGAACTGCCAGAGGGCGAGCCCGTGGTGTTTATGCTTGGGGGAAATGAGGCAGGATTCACCGGCGGAGACAGCAGCGACTACAGATGGATGTGTGGTGGGGAAAGTGACTGCAGCAAAGACATTGCAAGTAGCATGCTAAACGAGGATCAATGGACTATCCAGCCATTGCAGTGGTCGACCCCAACCATACAGATGCAGGTTCCTACTCAGTTTGGCTTCCACAACGTCTCGGGGCAGATTTATTTCAACACGCCTGATTTCCCTGATAGTACGCCGGACACCATACGGCTGAATGAGTTTCTCAGCCAAAATTTGTATGAAAATGAGCTGCAGGCGGAACTTGACAATCCATCGAACTGGGTCAATGCCTCTTTTCCCGGAAATGTGACAATTTATGGGCATACGGCGCAATGTAAAACGCGGGGAATGAATCCGGCCAAACTGCCAGAAACATACCCAGTCGAACATTGCCTGACAGTTCCAGTAGAGGAGAGCTGCCAGTTGGTGTTTAGCCCTCCGATATGTCTCATTGTAATCGGGTGCAATATCATAAAGCTTATCTGCGCCCTGTTCACGGCCTCTGATAGCAGGGACGATGTTTTCATGACTATCGGGGATGCAATTTCATCCTATCTTACTCGACCAGACCCGACGACAGCAGGGTGCTGCCTGCTCTCCAAGTCATTAATCAATAAAGGGACGAGTGGCTGGCACAGGAAGCCAAAGAAAAAGCCCAAGGATGGTGCTATAGATATCTCAGACTCGAAACTCCCGCTCCAACTCCCTTCTCAAAAATGGTGGTTCCAGGCCGTGGGTACAGGACGGTGGGTACTCACAATGACCATGTAGGTACCCCAGTGCCATGATCAGGAGCCGTATATTAACATTCCAGATTCGTCTGCATTATGATTCCAGCAGCCTACCTTCTTCACTTAGGTATGACACAGTACTACAAGTCCGTTGGCTCAAGGACCATTTGGGACACCACCCTCGGCGAACCAAGCCCAGCAACAAATCTAGGGAACTTCCACGGTCAAAGCGGGACGTCAGCGATATTCTCTATGGTTCTGTTGGCTAACTTGCCACAAATCCTCGTCTCACTCGCGTACTTCATGCTGAACGCCCTGTTGACAGTCATGCTGGGTGCTGTCGAATACAACAATTACAGCCGAGCTCGCAAACCATTGCGAGTATCCTGGCCGCAGGGTGGCGAGCAACGGTCTACTTACTACCTCTCACTCCCATATAGATACAGCGTCCCGCTCCTGATTGTCTCTGCAGTCATGCACTGGCTGGTGTCGCAAAGTTTCTTCTTCGTACAAGTCATTCCATTCGATATGGACGGCACCCCGAGTCGGTATGGCCAACTCATAACCGTCGGCCATTCGCCAGTTGCCATTATCTTCGCCATTGCCGTCGGCGGGTTACTGTTTGTCGTTTCAATGTTGATGGGCCTTCGTCGTTTCAAGTCACCCATGCCAATTGCAGGGCAGCACAGCGCGGCAATCAGCGCTGCTTGTCATCCTACAACTTCAGCTGCTGACGGTACTAGCCACGCACTTAAACCGGTGCAGTGGGGTGAGGTCGCGGGTACATATTCGGACCCGACTCCGATGGCATTTTCCAACCGAATCAGGGGGGATCTGGACCCTGGCAATTACACTCTTTCTGGTGTTGGGGCTGTGCAACAGGAGTGCTATCATTGTACCTTTACATCGGATGATGTGTCTGAGCCCATCAGAGGGCGTGTATATATGTAACTGTATAATCTATAAAGTAATGCTGTCTTCTTCTGCCATTCTGCCTCTTGCATAGTATATTCCACAAATGCTCCAATGGTTCCGAAACGGAAATTCTCCATTTGAGCGCTGCAACATAAACCATTAACGATAGTGCAGTGTTGGATCTACACCCGCCTCCACAACGCCGCTTAAGGAACCAGATTACTGACTCGACGAACCGGTCGACACATAGCCAGCCGACAGTCCCTGATCAGTATATAATACGACAAGATCTCGCACTGTTCGCAGAGTCTCCCAATACTCTGGGGGGCGAGAAATCTAACACCTAGACCCTAGCTGATCTTAGACCGACCAATACAACTCGGGCAACAATGTAGACAGCCATTGATGTAAACAATGAAAACCCACAAAAGAGCTGAAGGCCCAGAAATGAACCATTTTGGCGTGCGGTGATTGCTCCAGCAATAGGTGAGCCGGTCAAGGCGCCAAAAGATTGAAAGACAAAGCATGTACCTTGGCGAATACCTATTTCGCGGATATCGGAGATTTGAGCAACCAGAGTAGGTGCAAGCGAAATAAAGCTCCCCGAAAACAAGCCGTACATCACCGCAAATGCGAACAACGCCTCCTGACTCTGTCCCGGGACCCAGAGGGCTAGGCAAAATATCGAGGTGATTCCAGATACGAGTATCGTCACATTATAGCGGCCGAATTTATCGGCTAGGAATCCTGGAATGATTCTGCCAGGTATACTGTAATTGCTCGGGTTAGCATCCAAGTCAATATCTCAATGCAAGGTCGGTGCTCAGAAATTTACCTAACGGCATTTATAATTGGCAGCAGATACTGCGCAGTCTCTCGGCTCATGCCGGCCTCTTCGGACTGAAGAATGATGTAATTGAAGGGGATAAACAGACCCCAGTAGAAAAAGAAGGATCCCAGACACGTCAAAGTAAAAGCTGGATCGCGGAGACCTGAAAGATAGCTCGATGCGCTGAAAGGCTTGGGCTGAGGCGGCAATCGTGACCGTACGGTGCACGCGGCAATGACAAGCAAACCAAGGATCATGAAAGAAACAATGCGGATAGTCCATGGAAAGCCTACACGGGGTATAAGTTTGTTCATCATAATTGGCATGATAACACCACCGAGAGATGAGCCAGAGACCATGATTCCAAACGCGTAGGCGCGGCGACGTTTAAACCAAGAGACCACTGACAAGGTGCAGCAGTTGAAAACAGCAGATGAGCCAAATGCTGCCACAATTCCCTGCGACAGGAAGATCTGATAGTATTGATCAGATATGGAAATCATCATCAAACCGAACACGTAAACGAATGCACCAGGGATGAGTAACCATCTAGGGCCCAGCCGGTCAAATAGAGGGCCGAACTGCGGCGTTTGTGTCAGTAAGATCTGCCGCACTAATTCTGAATAGCAACTGCTTACTATAATGCCGCCAAAGGGTATCCCCCAAGCTTGGAAGGACGTGATCCAGCTCACATCCCCTTGACTATGTTGATGCAGAGGGCCCTTGTCGCTAACATAGTATGCCTCAAAGACACCAATGCAATTGACAAGCCCAAATGTGCAGAACATGCCACACCAGCAGCCAAGGACCACCAACCAAGCTTGGAGACCGCCATCGGGAAAATCATCCTCAGTCGGTGTGCTGGACATTGTGATGCCAGGGCGGCCTCCGGAGTCGTGATAGTGTCCCTGACTGTTACCTATGCCTTCTTTGGCGGCTTGTGACCCGAGCATGTCGATTCTTTGGTCTCTTTTTGAATACTGTGTAGACTTGTCCAGTTCGGCTGGGAGAAAGAGGTCAGTTGTGCCAGCAATGAGAGTCCAATTTTTGAAAACGTACGTGGGCCAAAATAATCAGCTTTGAATGCATCCGATTTAATTCTCCCAAAGGCGTTATTTTTCGAGAAGCAGCATGCCTTATAAGCTTGTAGAAACGGCGTGGAGTCTCGGCGATTGCGACGGATCGGCCGAGCACTCAACGGAGCTCCGCGTTTGTCGCCTCAGGCACCAGCATACGGCAGAGAGAAAGAAGTGATGGCATTCGATGAGGCCCACTCTCTACCACGCGAGTTCAACCGAGTTGAACAAGGAAAACTTTATTTTGGAGGCATATGACAGAAGCGTATCTTAGAATAGTACTCAAAGCGTCCGAATGTTAGTGGGCGTAGTTTTAACGGCTAGCTTTCTTCCTTACCTAGTGCTCCATACTTCTTACATTGTTCTTCCTAGCATAGAGTATCGAGTCGAGGGTAAGGCCCGTCCTATCAGTGGATGATATTAGCCTACCACCACCAGCGGATAAATTAGCTGCTAACAAATTTAGGGTAAAACGCGCTACAGGTCGTTCATTGATGTTGTTATATTCAAACCGTTGGATGAGTAGGCAATGATGTGCGTTGTCCATTTCTTTCGGTCAGGATCAATCGAAATCAAGGAAGTCTACAAGGTCCAATGTATCCAAACCATCCATTTCCCAACCGCTCCAATCCAACCTATCGTGGAAAATATCCTGTGCCATAATCGGATCATCGGGGGGTTGGATTTCCAAAGGTGCTTCTGTAAGAGGAGCACTCTCTGCAGTGGTCGTCTTGCTAGCAGGCTGCGAGGAAATATCCTTTTCGTTGTCAAACGATGCAATGAATTCCTCAACCGCGAGTTTCAAGAAGTGATCTCTCCTATGTGGTTCATTAAAGGCCTTCATGAAAGCTTGTGATGCCGTGGTAATCCAGAGCTGTCTCTGGTCACCACTGAAACGAAGTGTTTTGTTTTGAATCAGTGTCGTTGCATCTCTCATGAACAGAAAGAAGTCATGATCCGGCAGGGTCAGAAAGGTGATGTTCGTCATCGACTTGCATGCTACGTAGACGTAACAGAGCGACAAGGCAGCTCTGAACTGATCTCCGCAGAGTAGTTCTAGCATGTTACTTGCGTTGGCTAGCAGTTCCCGGTGCGTTGTAATTATTTCCCTGGCGCTATTCCACATTACCATGAGAGAGAAATCCCTTTCGGCAGGGGAGGTTGACTGTGTTGCCTGCCTTAGGTGGAGCACCAGCTGATATTGTTGCAGGTTGATGCGGAGCAAAGCAGATATGGGCTCGGCTTTGAGGGTACTGTATGGAGGTACCGCAGAAAGATAGGAAATGATTCGTTCTGTGTGCTCTTTCACGTCCAAAAATGAAATAACAGCATGGGGGTCGTTTAGCAAACTAGTAAGCGAATGTCGAAACGAAAGGCTCAGTGTTGAGGTAGACAAGTACCACGATGGATTTAAAGTACGAGTGAGTTCCGACAAATCAACCAAGTCCTCAAAGCTTTCGTCGGGAATGTTCTTCGGTGGAAGGATGTCCGACTGCTGCATCCAGGGCATGGGGGTCATTCCCTGTTCAAGAGATGCCTGCAATTCAAACTCGGCAGCGGCTGCCCATATTCGTCGGCGCAATTCCCTATCCAGGCTTGAGATATCCCCTCCCAGGCTAGAGCCCTCGCGATGTAGGCCAGCACTCATGAAATTTCGAACAAGCTTCCCGGCATTTGACCAGGTCTGCTTGTATCTGCGCCCGTTCAGCTGCCGCGCAAGCAGAAGCAAAAAGCCCGCCTGAAAGTCAAGCAAATGGGCATATCGCAAGGGTCTTAATTGGAACCAATTCTCACAGGCCTGGATAAGACGTGTGGCTCTGTCGCGGGATGGTGGACGTTCAGAGCCCGGTGCCCTTGCGGCAGTTGAAGTCAAGCACAATGCGATAGCAACAATTAGTAGCACGACAGTAACAAAATGTGGCTTCCGGCTGCCCCCCTCTTCCCAAAGGTCTTTGTAATCCTTTTTGAAATCAGGAAGGTGCAGAATGTGATAGACGAATTCGAAAGTCTGCAAATACGCTTCGACCAGCGCATCTGTCTCTGGTCGCGGTGGCAGTAGGGCACGCAGACTCTCGACAGTCACTGGACTGGCTGTGTTGTTCCATGTTTCCGAATGATGCACGGCGCGGCGGATTTGGTCTATCGCCGGGAATTTATCGAAAGCTTCCCTGGTGAACTGGCGAAGGCCGGGGACTTGGTTAAGCAGAGCACTCGTGTGAGTACTGCCGTTAAACTTGGTCGCAAACCCCTTGCCTCTCAAGGGCGGGTCCAAACTTCTGTCATCCGGAGCCAGAGTCCCGCAATGTGTATCAAAGTTATTATCTACTACCAGGGGTGCGTGAGGACGGACTGCTTCAGCGAGTGCAGTTTTATATTGCGACAGAGAAGACTCCAGGCGATGTACGCGCTCGGCCAGTTTTTCCAAGGTTAATTGGTCTCCTTGACTCGATGAGGATTGACCAGGCCCACCGCATCTACCACGAACCAGGTCGTTCGCATCGCTAAGCTGGCTGGGGTCAGTTGCGGAAGTGGTCGGCACATCATCAAGATAAACACAACAAGCGCTGTTGCCAGACCTGGAGCATCTGCCACACACCGGGAAAAGCCGATCGCATTGTACCTTTCTTCGACGGCACTCGGTACACGACCAGATCTTCCGTCGGCGTTTCCGCTGCGGCTCAGCGGCCTGGAGTTGAGAACCGGTTACAGGCATCGCGCTGTGCATCTGGCGCGGCGGGCGCGGAAGGCGACGGTGAATGGTTGGAACGTCCTGTTTTTGGGCCCATCAGTGGGCGTGGGCGCTGGCGTTGCTTCGGTCGCCGCTGACTAACACCGGTTCACTTTACACCCTTAAACCGTCTATAAATGCTCTCTTTAGGGATACATATTACTTGCTGCAAGAGTGCCCAACCTTTGTCAGGCTTCAGGAAACCCTATATACTGTATGATAATCCGACCGTAACTGTCAACCAAATTATAAAAAAACAAAAACATACAACAGCTGGGATTCGCATGTGGTCACCCACCATACTACTAACCAGCCGGCGTGTGGCTTAAGTACGGCTGAGCGGACGGGAAGCCCTGTTTTCCACACCCTGTGGTCGTATGTACTAGGAGTAAATAAAAAGGTAATGATATGGAGTGTTATAAACAAATTGTTCAAGAGTTGATGTTGATGGGATCTTCTGGGGGTGGACCGAATTATGTGGCTCCGGATAATTCACAGGGACAAGCTAAGTAAAACATATATATATTTGACTTTAACACAGCAACTTGCTAGATGCTCGCAAAGCAGTATTCAGGAGAACAGAGAGCCTCCTTAATACACACACACACACACACATATATATATGCTCGCTAGTACTGAAATATAGTCCAAGATGATATTTTCTGGAAATTTTGCGCCTCACAAAGGTTTTGAACCTCTGACACCTTTCATCTTCGGGGACTAGAAAGAGTCATGAAGGATCGGTGGTCCAGCTGAGAGACCATGAGAAATAGTAACTAACTAGCCGCTGCAAGGTGATTAATTAAGCCCTTCTTCCTCTCCGTAGGGAACATTATTATACCTGTCATGAACTGCGGTTCACTTCACGTTTCAGGGTCAAATTATGTGGTCAAGTGCTCTACCAGTAATTCCGTTTAAACAGCCCTGCTCATTGTTCGAAACCGAATTCCCATTTCCTCCTCTTCATCATCCTGCTCTGGCTGATCACGGATCGGTGGATGGGTTCTCTGCTTCAGAAATTTCGGGAGATGGTTAAATGCATGCTCCCTAGTCTTAATGTTGACTGTTTGGCTAGTTAGTTCACTCGCAAGCACACAATTACGTATCAGGGTCTATACAGATATGATTCATTTCTTCCAGGCTAATCTGTGCCGTTCCGCTTGGGACCTAGGATTCAGCAAGTTAGCAGACAGCCAAAAGAACTGGAGATTCAACTCGGGTCTCTTCTGCTGCAGCCGGACTAACCAGAAAAAATACAAGGACGAACGCCACTGCATTGAGGACTCTGTAAAATCCAGAAAATATGTCAGTGTCTCTGCCGTGGTCTGGAACATGTATGGATGCACCCACGTGAAGGCAAAAAGAAGATTCGAATGCCCGAGATGATCGTCTGCACCCAATACACTCGTCAATTTGGGCACAAAGAGGATTAAGATGCTGAGGCCGAGGAAGTTCACCATGACGCTGAAGCTCATGCCGACCTCTGAGCCCATGAATATTAGAAGACATTCGATTCCAAGAGGACTCTGCTGCTTACCTCGAAACGCCAGAGGAAACACTTCAGCACTAAAGGTGAACGGGACAGGACCGGCACCAATGCCGTAAAAGAAAGTAAAGACCACAATAGCAAACGCGGCGACCAAGCCTCTTCGCGTGCTCTCATTTTCAATTCGGAAAAAGCCACTGGTTGCGCACAGAGTGAAGAACATACCGCCGAGAGAAATCAGTAGAAGAACCCGACGACCCCTCCAGTCAATAAATTTATAGGCGGGGATTGTGAACAAGAAATTGGCCAACCCAAAGCCTGCCGCCACTACTTAGAACCGAAGTACCTGTCCATAGGATGTGCATCACTTACCGAAATTGAGCCAGGCAACTTGGTCATTGCGCCGTGGCTCGGGCTCGTTACAACGAAGCTGGCCAGGCCTCGCCTGCCCCAGATCTTGAGCACTGTGAAATATCTCCGAGGAATAAAAGGAAAGAACGTTAATCTAGGATGGCTGTCAGATGGGAGAAGAGAACGATGGTACACACCCCCACCTCCCTTGAAGATATTTGATGGCATCATATACTCACCCCGCAAAGCTGTTGCGCAAGCATCACCAAAAAGGCCGCCATACAGGCCCTACGGCCGCGCGGAATCGTAAATAGAGCTTTGACCCTCTGGAAAAATGAGTGTGCGTCGACTTCGTCTTGGTACAGCTCTTTACGCCACCATTGCTCTGGCGGTTTACCGTGGAATAGCTCCGTTTCGATTTGCAGCTGGCTGTGAATATAGTATAAGTCTTTGGCAGCTTGAATATCGGTTCCTCGTAGCTGGCGAAGGCTGATGAATGCTTTTGCGTACTCGCGCTTTCGGATGAGGAATCGCGGTGACTCTGGGCACAAAAACACTAGGGTGAGAAGCATCAATGCAGGAACTGCAGCACTTCCCAGAATACCTCTCCAGCTGCGTGCAAAAACCCAGTAGCAGACGAACCCAACAAATATCCCGCTGATTCATTATTCAGTGTCTTGGCAGACGGGCAGGGCCCTGCCTGAAGCCGGTGGACATGCACTTACAACGTGTCAAAGAGTTGCCACATCATCAGCAGGCGACCTCGTAAGTGTTCTGCTGCTGCCTCTGCAGCAAAGACAGGGGCAATGGAAGCCTTCGCTCCGATCTTGAATACAAGAAAGAACTGATTTTTAGCCCATATATCTATCGTCATGTTGATTGTCTGTTTGCCATACCCCAACGCCAAGTAGTAAACGACAAACCAGTATTGTCTGCCACGAATGACAATGCGCAGTCCCTGCAGTTCATCATTAGTGGGAGTCAGCTCTGGACTCCTTTTCAGGCGGCTGTTTGGGAGAAATTGGCTTACCAATGACGCAGGCTGCACAGAGCACTGCCGACATAAAAAGTGCCGGGCGCCGGCCGTACTGATATTCTTGTAAGGGATCACTCAGCCATGTCCCACTAATAGCCAACTCATTAGTGTATAAGCGACAACCGAGTCCGCAGTGTGATATACATGATACTTGCTGATATCCACGGTGCTGCATCAATCAAAGAAACCATATATGTCCCATGATCTGTTAACGTGCGTGAGCCGGACACGAAGGCGTCAACGAGGTGGGAGGCGGGAGCATTCTCAAAAAAAGTGTTGGTGTAGGGGATAAGGTCACACTGCCATCCACGCGAACTGGCATTAATGGAGGATTGCTGCCAGCCTCTTCATTGGTGTTAGCATCTGGGATTGGCATACTCGATGGTCGCTGGACTGGCTTACTGAATAATTGCTGCACATGCAGTAGTCAGGATGGTCGTCTTGAGCTCCTTCGTTTGCTGAAACAATCCCAGCGTCTTTTCTGTCTCTATGGCGCGCTTTTGGGGCCAGGTCAAGTCACAGGCCTCCAAGTTCGCAGGATCCTGTGCTATGAGCGCTCCACTGACGAGCAGCTTAACATCGACCACCTTTTCCAGTTCCGAATTGCGATGGTAAAAGCTGTGGACATCCTCTTTCAACTCCTCGGGTGTCCGGTCCCTCAACGGATTGGGGTTGCTAGATATTGCCGGGTTAGGAAAACACATATATGTTCTATATTCACCCTGAAGGTGGTGGATTGGGGGTAGTGTACTTACCGTCGCCTTACGCTGGCGTGCCCTGATTGATGCATATCTCGAGGAAGAAGCTTCCTAACGATCTTCTAAAGACGCAAGGGGCTGGTCGTAGCGCAGCTCTAATTCAACAACACAAAACGTTTGTAGGCGAGAGATATTCCGAAACCTCGTTCTATGTTTACGGAACCCGAGCAAGTAACTACTCTGTATGATTGCGGGAGCTTAGAACTTGCACAGACCTAGTCACTTCGCTCGAACGAAGGCCGGCCGCGGGTTGCTCACTCTGACAATGAGGCTCAAAGTCCAGCTCTCATCTCATCAAATCTTGTTGGTTCAGGGCTGTTGGTCCCGTGCGCCACTCGAGGGTGAGACATCTTCGTATTATGGGCTGGGGACGAATGAAGTTACGCCGCCCACCCCCCTGAACAAGAAGACATCGCGGGGATGCGCATTCCCCGCTTGCAGTCTCGCAGCCAGACTACTGCCCGGGAATAGGACCTTGAAGTTTGCCTTCTTGCCTCGCTCCTTGTACAGCATGGCTAATAATTTTTATCTTGGGTCCTGATTTTTCCCCAGCCAGCCTTGGACCATTATAATATATCAGACAACCTGAGTGCGTCCGTTGGTCTCGATTGATGTTCGAAGTCGTACCCCGGATGCAGGATTGTCGTCCATGCATAGCCCCAACTGGTTACCAGCCTATGCTGACATACGATTGGTGAATATATCATGGAGACCATCGGCCGACTGGCGGTTTGACACCGTGCCGCGGAAATGAGTCTCCCCGATTCCCAATTAGAGTCAAGCATGCGGACGCTCGGTCCCCAAGGCTGTCCAGGATTCATGGGTTTGACGGGCATGTTCACCCACGCGAGAGCAGCCACGTCCCACACCCCCTCTTTCCCCAGCCTTGTCTGTTGGACGCAGGCGGCTCTTCCCGTGGTCCGTATCTCTTTACGAATCCTGTCCCCTGACCCTGGTGTCTCCAAACTCCCCAGAAATTCGGACACCTGACTTTAACTGACTTTCTCTGCTTTTTCAGACATCACGTTGTGACAATGAGTCAGATGGTGACGAATATAATCAACGAGGATGAAACAGGCTATATCCTAAAAGAGAAACTTGAGGCTCGTTTGCACTTGATATTTCGCTATCCCATCAAGGTTGAGGTAACACTTGCAACTGACACTGCCTCCTTTGGCTGAAATCATCTCGCTTACTATTGATCATGTCAAGCATATCAATGGCCGATACCGTTTTGTAGCGCCCAGGAAAGTGGCTCCGGTAAGGCTCGATGGCGATGATCTTGCGTCTGACTTGCTAACAATGGGGGCACTGCCCCCGGCACAGGATGAGCTTGCGTAAGACTTTTAGAATGCGTCTGGATTCAGCCTCAAGCTTACTGACGCCAATTTGGTATAGTGACCTTCGCGAGTAGACATCCTGGGCCGAGAGTGGTGGACGAGAGGGGGTCAATGACCAACAATAGGTTGCATGAGAATAGGATCTGGGGAAAATGCAATCTCATGCAGAGTTAAGGACAGAGCTCTGACCTCATGTATATACTATGCAGTGGTGACTTCACAAGCCACGCCAGGAGGCAAGAGACGTTCATCGCCCTCTGCTCAGCCAAGATCCAAATCTCTCTACGATAGTGCCCTGTAAATCGCCAGTTGCCCCATTGACTGCGCCGACAAGGGCGCTAGAGCTCAGGTATATTAGATTTTAGCCCTCAGTCCTTCATAGTTTTGAATTTCTCCAGCGCCCCCCACCCCTTCATGATGTCAGTTCCTATCGAACTCGGTCGTATGACTTCCGATGTCCATGTTCCTTCTTCGCATCCGATGTGCTCCTACAAAGGTGCTCAAGATTACTACAAGGGAATAAGACCATATCTGCGCTATCCGGCTTTTATTTCTGACTCAGAAAAATGCAATATCTACGTATTCGACAATACGCTCAATGGGGTGGCTCATACATTCACCAACAGTGAAATATTTGAATCCTACATCGCAAACACCCAGAAGCCTAGCGGTCGGATAATGTATGTTTACCCTGCTGTGCACCATGTATTAACGCCAGCCAGTCTGACGGATTATAAGTTCAATATGCTGTCAGAACTCTCTACAACCTCTACGCATTACTGAGCAGGCATGGCGCAAACTTATGAGCGAGTACGACCTGGATCCCTCTTTATTCGAACTCGCTCTTTCGTTTGGAGATAAGCCACGGAGCTCTGATGCTGGCCTTGGGGCATTAAGCGTGCATCAGAAGGAAAATGGCGCGTTCGGTATTACATACACCCTCTCCCTCAACTCGGATTTGTAGCTTACTTTTAAGACATGCACTATCTCATTACATATGCAGAAGATACCATCAGAGGAGGCATATCGTCCTGGAAAATCCGCCAAACTTGTGTTTTCCATCGCCACGACCCGTCAGGTTCCGGAAGCCTTTGGGTTTTGCTTCATGCAAACGCGGAATCGCCGCTACAGAAACGCATAGAGCATATCATCGCGACAAGCCCGGCCGCCCTGCTTGGACAATGGTTTTCTATGCATCTGCTGGCTCTGTCTACCTATCTAGGCGGCTGGCGCTGGTACATTCGGAGTCTGGGCGACGAGATCGAGAAGACTGTACGTTCACCTGGCTTGATGTCATCCCAAATACGCACAAAAGCCATAGAGTAGAAATGGAAACTAATGCGCTCTGTGGTAGGTCGATATAGCACTTACTCTTGATTTCTCGAAACCTCGGCCAGACGACCACATGCAGGGCCTTGTCCATCTTCTCAAACAACAATACCTGGGTGATAGGATCCTCCCACTGGCGTCTAGACTGCGCAGTACACTGGTGACGCTGCGCCAACTGGAAAAGATGAATTCACTCCTCCATTCGGACACGTCTACCGACGCTGCATTCCAGACTGTCGTGGACAAACTGACGTATCATATAACGTCTCTAGAAGGGAATTTAGAAGGAATTAACGTGCTAGAACGAAAGATTCGAGCGATATCTGATCTGGTAGGTTGATGCAGTTTCCTGCGGGTCGTTTTGCCGTTTTACCTAGCTGTTATCTATTCATCGCTAACCTGGACTGGGCCATTTATAGCTGGCGGTTTCCCTGACAGTGGAGAACCAAGCCGTGACGATAGACATTAACAACAAAATGCTGGATCTTAATCAGAAGCTTCTCAGGCTCACTGACGAGTCTTTGAAAGGGAATACTACCGTTAAAACTGTTACTTTGGTAACTTTGATATACCTCCCAGCTAGCTTTGTCTCTGTGAGTATTATGTTATCAAAGGAAAACCACAAAATTTGACAGACTCTAACGCAATATATAGACCCTTCTTGGAATGAACCTATTTGACTACAGCAAAACGGGAAGTTTCGAGATATCACCCCAGTTTTGGATCTTTGTTGTGATTGCGGTGCCGTTGACCGCGGTGACTGTAGGATCATGGTATTGGTTCAGTCGGCGAAAAGAACGATCGAAAGACCTAAATCGCACACCAGAGATTGGTGCATGATGGAACGAGGGCGGCTAACATGTTTTACTGATACTTTTGGTTTGTGGAGGTTGATTGTCGGGCTAGAGCTGTGTTATTTATAGACATTTGTACGAATATGTATTTGCATACAGTTTGGCGTTCTTCTACAGTCAAGCCCCAAAAAGACAGCTGTTCCCTGGACAAGGACGCCGTGGGTGACATTCCCTCGTAATTTTAATCTCACCAAAAGTGTCTATTTAACCCTGTGGACTGTTAATACGACAGCCGTCCACTGGATGTCTTCTCTCTTGAAATGTTCGGCTATGTTCGGTTTGAGGTGCAGATCGTATTTCCACGCGCGGAATTCTTATGCTTTTCATAGCTATTTCGCGCTAGTTTATTTCAGGATGGAACAGCCTCGCTCGGACTTGCCTTGCCAGTCTGGTCGGATATGATAGGTGTCGCAGACAACAGGATTCCAGTCCGACATGAACGAACAAGGGACGCTGTATGGGTCAACACGGGCTTGAACATGCGAGAAATAGAGGCTATTGGTGCATCGAGGTCATCCAAGGCTATGTCTCCGCTTCACTTACTCCCCCCCTCCCCCACGGGGTGAATCGCCACTGCACCGCGGAGGAGGCTGTGGCTGACACGCACCTGATTATCCTTGTAGCACTGGTCGTCTAATCACTGGTGGAAGAGACGAGCAAATATAGCTGCCTATTTTTTCCGCTAAGCTCCGTCCGTTTCCCCCTGCGTTTCCGTCTGTCTCTTTCCAGATCATCAGCAAGATCTCTGGAATGGATGGTACTCGACATCATCTTTCGGATACTATGCAGGCAGCGTATCATAAAGGTATGTCCGCACTTATTTACTATTTCAACCCATGCTGTATCTGCTGTTGCTGACGCTGACGCTCGATACATGACCATCAGGAATGCCGAAAGCTTTGTATCGCCGGACCTTCGTCTACGTATTTTGACACCCTTCGGGATAGAGAACATGGGCTGGTTATTTGGGGGCCGTCGACCGAATGAAATGCGAGACCAACTTCGGGTCATGATATCCAGTGCTATTGAGAACCCGATACTTGCAAATGGCCGATTCGCACCCCGTGACGGACTCGCAGCGATTTGGACAGTGGAGACACTTGAAGCCTTCTTCCAGAGTTATAAGCTATCCTTTCCACCAGCGTCCATCCGAAAAATTCGCAGTAATTTCCTGCAAACAATATCAATTCTGATATATATCAACTGGGATGGCTGGGCGCGGTTTAATGAGATGTTCTTTTTATATCAGGGGCCTGAGACAACTCGGGATCGCACTGATCGCAGAATCAGACACTATGATATCCAGACCTTGACTAGGGAGGACTTTCTAGGCCCAGAGGCTGGCGGCCCGTTCTTGGACACCCGCAGCATCTTCTGCCCGATCGATATCGAAGAAGGAAGCGTTTCGACTTGGGACGATGGTTGGAGACTTCCGTTCCTTGCAGCAAAGTCCGAACGACGGGGAGGTGGAGGGTCTGGAAAGGTTACCAAGGAGGTTATCGCGGCAAGGCACTACTGCTCAAAGAGCGGCATTACAACGGTATGGATCTGATTTACATGTGTTTGTTTGCCCTGGGTATACCGTGACCGCGGAGCTAACACATCGGCTCGGATGTCTATAGACCGAGGTCGAGGTTGCTCGCAAAGAGTTCAACTCCAAGATCGACTTCGACAGGGAGAGACTGAACCTGGCTAAGCTTGCTAAATGCATCGCACAGCATAAACATGTGGCGCTTCCTATTGCCACGATTACCGTCGGGCACCAGCACAACATGTTGTTCCCCCTGGCGCAAATGGACCTCGAGAAATTCCTCCAAGGACACTTGCAGCCACCAGAGATGTGCGATATGAACGATCTTCTCGACGAAGTGACAAATGTGGTGGACGCTCTGGACCATCTGCACAACCGGCTCGGTGTCTCCATTCACGGCTATCACATGGACTTGAAGCCCGCTAATATCTTGGTTTATCCGGATTCTGAGCTGACGGAACGGCCAGGGGTTGGAAAATGGAAGATAACCGATTTTGGCCTTTCCATAATCACCCCGGCGGGGAGGCGAGGTAGTGGAGATGGCCTTGCTAGGGATCGAGTCACCGAGACGAAGACCCATCTACGGCGGATGCATGGCACTTACCAGGCACCGGAAGTTTGCAGTGGGCCTGGGCTAAGCCGGCGAAGCGACGTTTGGTCATTTGGGTGTATCCTGGTCCGGGTTCTTGCGTTTAAACTGGACGGGGTCGACGGACTTCGTGCTTTAGACGATCTCCGGCGAAAGGCGGATGATACTATTGGATACTGTGATAATGATTACTTCGCCAGGGGTGACCCGCCTGTGCTTAACCCGCATATTGAGAACTGGATAAACGGCCTGGCGCATCGCAGCCGAGAAGACTGCCCGGAGGAGTTCCTTAACGGCTGTGTGAAGCTACTCTTGTCCATTCTAAAGATCGACAAGAATGCGCGCCCGTCTGCATCGGAAGTCAAGGAAGAGCTGGGGTCCCTTAAAGCCCTTCTCAATGTACATCAACGACCCGCCTCGCCGTCAGAACCCAGTTCTGAAGAGGGGAGCTCTGAATCCTTCCCCCCGTCGACCCAGCCCTCGACTCTATATGGAAATAGTCTAGACCTAGCCTTTTCAACAGAGAGACTTGTTCAAGCTATAAAGAACAACGACCTCAGTGGCATTGAGCAAATGTTAAGCCTCCGCATGAATATTGACAAGGCCAACGAAAATAACGAAACGCCCTTAGGTGTTGCCGCGGAACAAGGAAACGAAGAAGTTGTTCAGTTCCTACTTAACGCTGGGGCCAATGTTGATGCAAAATCTGCAGGGGGCAAAACCCCCCTATTAATAGCAGTACGAGAAGGACACGATAGGATAGTCCAGATCCTCCTAGATCAAAGCGCCAGCTGCACGGCGTTCTCCAATGAAGGGTTCACTTGTATCCATTATGCGACATTGTCCAAGGCCAGCGTTGGGCTCTTTCGATTGTTGATTGCCCGACCTGAGTGTACTGACCTCGACACCCTAACTCAGGATGGCAAGCACTGGACCCCTCTCATGATGCTGATTAAACACTTTGTAGAAGACAAGGACTGGCAAACGAAATTTTATGCGCTGATTGAGGCTGGGGCGGACGTCAACCGTCGTGATGTTAATGGCATTTCACCGCTACGATGTGCCGTAACAGAGGGCTGCATAACGGCGGTCAAGTTGCTCATTGAGAACGGCGCAGAACGCGAGGATTTCTCGACGGTCCCTGACAAAAAGCATGCACTGGAAGCGGAATTGAAAAAGGCTTGGCCGGCACGCCGTCCAAGTCTTGCTAGTTCTCGGTCGAGGTCAAGCTGGCGGTCGTGGAAGGGTATTCGTTGGTTTACTTTGTCATGACCATTCGCCACCTGCATTTCTATTACGTCTGATGCTGAGTAAAAGGCCTTGCTGTTGCAAGGAAGAAGAGTCCAGGGTTACCTGGCCCGTTTGAACTGTTGCGTATTACATCGGCCACATGCCTAGCCGTCCAGCCCAGAGCCAACCTGACTTGCACAGTCAGCAATTGCAGCTCGATTATTACGATACGAGGTGTTACTTAGGGCATACTTTAGACGATGACGACCACTTTTCCATCCAACGACCAACTCTACAATGGTCAGGATATACGATATTTCTGGCCTCTACGAGTTAAGATACTACGAGGTGGTCAACCATTATTTGGCGCATAGACAGCAAGGTGATCGTATTTGGTGCCTTGGCTGGGGAGGGTAAATCGAACGTGGGAAAGGACTCATATGCACTTCAGCCAGGGTCTTTTAATACAACATTGCGCTGTTGTCCGGTGGTAATTGGGGGACATTCGCTGCGGGTTTCCACCCCGTCAGTTGCAGCCTGGGAAGTGGAACTCGACGGGGGTCTTTGAAAAAGTCACAGCAGCGAGCAGGAGATCTTTGCTACATCAGAGAGATTGGCTAATTAGTGTTACTAATATGCGATTTGTACTTAGACTCTATTAATATTCCAATCATTGAGAGATCTGACCATGATCTTAATAAAGTAACTTGTGACAATTGGAAATTGTGTGGAAACTCATGTCTTTGCTGCAATCAAAGTTTTTTTTTTTTTTTTGCTGGGCAGTGGCCAGCTATTATCATTTCCTTTCTTTTCTCTTTTTTTAACTGCTTTCAAATTGTATGGATAACTTAGAAGTTGGGGTGTGTCGGACGGACTCAACATCTCCGCCGGCGGACGCGGCAATTAGGGCAAAATATTTATTCTTCGGCAGGGTACGATTTCGATAAGATGCCCTCCAATACTTGTGACATTATGATAGATAGGCGGAGATGGGTGCAGATGGGTATAGAATAGTTTCGGGAGCCAAGCAGCACAGACCACTTAAGGCAATTCAACAATAATAAGGTAAAGAGCGGAGGCGAAGACACGGCAAAAGATGGGGCTTAGCGGAAACTGTGCTAAGACACCGGTCGAATTATCACCCTTCGCGACAATTCTATCATGGAATGGCTATGATATATCAAGAGGCCTCTCTCCCCAAGCCCAGTTGTTATCCATGAAGAATGTACAGACTTCGCACGATTGAATTGCTTCTGAAAAATCTAGTCAGGATGACATCCACTGCCGAAATTCTGTTCTCTCATATCTCGGCCAAATGATGATACCCGCACTCATCTTTCTGGATCGAATCGGACGTTGCCTATTCCTGATAGCAGGCAGTATCTCTCTGACCATCTGGAGGACCATATACACACGGGCCTAATGGAGGGGTATGGCAGGCCGGCTCCCCCCGGAGGGCTGGATCATATCCGCGAACAGAGCTGGGCGATCACAGGGACGCCCCTGAAAGCTGTTATTACTTGTTTATACCTTATTATAGCTCTATTCGCCCTAAACTGGGGCCCTATCAAGTAGGTGTATCCGCCGGAACTTTCCCCCATGCGTCTCCGAGGCAAGGCGACTGCCTTATCTACGGCCAGTAATTGGGCTGTCAATTTTAGTCTTATATACTTTATCCCGAGCGCTTTGGTTAATATCACCTGGAAGACCTATCTTATTTTACTATCTTTTACTTTATTATAATACTTTATATTTTTTTTGTTTTCCCTGAGACTTTGAGAAGGCTGCTGGAAGAAGTGGAAGATACTTAAAATTTAAACACATTAAGGTAGCATGGAGGATGGGTATTACTGAAGTTAAGGATGAAGAGAGAGCACTTGATAGAAGGTCAAACCAGGAAAAGTTGGAGTCCGGCCAGGTGGTGCATATCGAGTGAACGTGGTTTAGCACATGCACTAACCCCAACAGAACAATATACATGGATTTGCTAATCCATTACCTCCACCATCACCGGCTCCTATTCGGCAGTACTGCCTTTATATATTATTGTCACCTACCTCTTAAAGAAGACCATGGACCCCAGAAATAGGAGTGGACCCGAACGATAAGAATAGGCTACGGAGGTTAGCACTTAGAGCAACGCACCACATTCAGGAATTACCTTATTGTGCATGTTTAGTCCGCATCAAGTGGAGGCTTCGCGATCTTTACGTATGTAATACAACAACCCCATCCTGGAGTGCACGGAACCGCTAGTCGCCCAACGGTGCCCTCGCAAATCGCATTCCCAGGTATTGATCCAACCGGTTGTTCAGCGACACTCCCTGATACTTCGCGTAACCCAGGTCGATAGACGACGGTTGTGACGAGGTGGCCGCTGGCGAGAAAGGCGTTCTCGATGGCAAGTCCATAAAGAGGGCGGTCATCATCACCAACGTGGTGATTATTAAAAGATTACGATAAGCGTTACCTGACTTTCGGGACATAGAAAATTCCCAGCGCACTTTCTGTCCCTAGGGAGGGGGCAGCCAGCTTGGTGTAATCACCTGCGAGGTGAAGCGTTCTCTGTATAACGATTGTATTCCTAATATATCTGGTTGTTCCCAAAACAGATCCCCGTCGCCATAAATTCCATGACAAGAATGGTTTGAATGTGGAGAGAGGGCTTCATTTGGCACTATAACATATGATGCTTCGAGCAGTCGGGGGACTGCCGCTGTCCATCTTAACACTTCGAGGTCTGTCGATTAGACGGCACAATTAGTTTCTGGCAGCTTTGAATCAGCGGAGATACCTACGCAGCAATAGTGGAAGCCCTGAAGGTTGCAGCCGTAGGGTTTGCTGTGAAAGAGTCAGATATAATGAAAGGTATGGTAGATATTCTGGCTTCCTTACTCGCTTGGGCAGGACTCGTCCTCGCGGACAGATTCACACTCCTAATAGATACATTAGCATCAAAGAATAATGTCCCTCAGACAGTTCCTTACCTCAGTTCGTGGCATCACCGAAGCGGATGCCAGAGCGGCAAAGGCAGCGAAGATATAGAGGTACTTCATGGTGATGAACAAAAATAGGTGGAATGTACTTGAATTTGATTTTGGTGAGATTGTAGTTTGAATGATAGAGAATTCGTTCAATTGGGAAAAGAAGAGGCCTTTATACCTCTGTTCTCTAGCTAGCAGACCGCGATATACGGCCCGGAGTATATCCACGCGTGCAGTGGCGATCAGGCGTCCCAATATGCGTTGTATAAACAGTACAGATGTAACCTAGATGCAGGCCAGCGCTGCAAACTGCCTCATAAAGTTCTCGGCTGGGGCTCAGAAGGGATCTGCATGCCAAAGGAGGCGAAGTGCACCAACCACTTGAATGGACAGATCCCCATTAGGGAAATCGCTGCGCTGGGTTATTTGACGTAGCAGCGGTCGACGTAGGCTATGCACGTATGGACTTGTTCAGATGTCAGATCGCCTACTAATTCTTCCAGGGCTGGGACGATTAAACGCTCCCTTCGGGTGCTGCCTGCGCCCGACGGCGGTCGCATGAAGACGATCGAGGGGTATAAAAGATATGGTTGGCTAATGAGTCATTCTTACTAGGATTGTACAGGCTCGGCCGTTTGGGCATTGCTTATATACCAGCATCCGTCATTAGGCTTTCGGCGATTACTTGAGATCGACCTGTTAACGCCGAATGGACCCGGGGAAGTATATGACCTGTTCGAAGACTGGACAACAGTTTCTCATACAGCTCCGTATTGGGGTAAATAGAGCGATTGTGCCCTCTCCTCCGAAAGTGGTTACACTTGGCTAGCTTATATATAAATGTTTAAGCTGCATTAAAACACTGGATTAGTTAAACGGCAGGTTGTAGTGTTTATTCAGCACACTGGATGAACTCCACATGTCATGCCAGCTGTCCTCTGAATCAAACATCACACATTCCGCCAACTCCAGCCATCCTGTATTCCGAGATTCTGTTTGAATATCTTCGCATCAATGCCATTTTCAGGTCATTGTCTCTGCGGAGACGTCACTTATGTCAGCAGTGCATCGAGTCCTGATCTAGTGGCCTACTGCCACTGTGATGATTGCCAGCGTCATAGCGGTTCCACATACGGTAGGTGAAGTTGGATTCTAGTATTGGAGGAAGGGAGGCTTTCTAACATTTGTTTTTACTAGCGTTTTTCATCATTGTCCCTCCTGATACAGTGACCGCCCAAGGCCTAATTAAAACATTCGTCAAGCAGGGTACTTCAGGCTGTCCGGTATTGCGCAAATTCTGTCAAAATTGCGGTAGCTCGTTGTTTGACGAAGCTAAAAGTACACCTCAAGAGCTTGCTATAATGGCGGGGTCTCTTGTTACTCAGCAGAAGAGGCTATTGCGACCTGTTAGTGCTTTCGTTTTACTGGATTCTTCTTAATGTCACTGACATTTCCTTAGTCAGTCGAAATGTGGGTAGCTAGCAAATTGCCCTTCTGCCAGAAGTTGAGTGAAAGATATGTCCACATGCCTGAATAGCCCTCTCTTATAGACTCAGAAAGCCATATTGGTGCTGCCTTTTCAGCATGGTGAACGCCATCCAAGCGAGGCCATTGAGCTTGTACAAGAGGAGAGACGCCTTTATTAGCCGGGAAGTAGATAGAAGGCAGAGGCTATTGACAGCAGTATTACTTAACTTATCCCACATAAAATTGGAAAAGGCCAGTGTAATAAGCGATCAGTAGTATAATCCTCGAGGTTCTTGAAAACATACAAAAATATGCGACAGCCGAATACTAAGCTGCTGGCCTGCGGTTTAAGTACTATTTTCCACCCCTTGTGGCGTATATGCCAGATGTTACTAAACAATGGGTCATAACAAGTCTATCAGGGGTTCTAGATCCTTTATTAATAGGAAACCGGCGGGAGTTTGTTGTTTACCGGCGGGTAATCCTGTCCTGAAGATTCCCGGCGCAGCTTGGACAGACACCCGTTTCCAACCGCTGCCAGCCGGTCTGGATCCACCCAAGTGTGCCGTGGCTTTACGAACTATAAGATACGCGCAACCATCCTGGATGCGCTATGCGGTCCCCTGCCAAATCTTTTGGGCTCACCCTGAGATGTGTAAGATTGATCGGTGCTATGAGAAGGTACTTCTACCGACGGGCATGCGTAGTAATGCCTCGCCGATTCGCAGATATATCCGAGTCTATTAAACGAGCTTGTTAGGTAACTCAATAGTCGGTTACAACCAGTGGATTAGAACTTGGCTTACTGCCATTGGCTGATTGATGAAATATCCAAACGACATCTCGACCGACGGAACCATTCCGTACCCACTGCAACGCCGGTGCCTATAGCAATGGAGGTCTCTCCACGAGGTTCCGGGTGTTTGCGGAGAAGTGGAGGAACCTGGGGTTTTCGTCTCTGTCACTCGTGGGGACTGGAGAAGGGGGCGCTTCTATTAAAGAGTATTGGGTGCCTTTCATCCATAGTGATCGAAGCGTCTGAAGTTTCTGCTCCTTACTTTCACGTCTAATCAATACAATGGCTGTCGCAGACAAGAAGACGGATCAGGGAGACATGGACCAGGGTCTTTCGATCGTCGAGGGTCAAACAAACCTACATCAAGATTATGAGCCGATCAAAAAACCCGTACCTGCGGCCCTACAAGATCCATTTGCAGGCGAGGAGAATGGCCAGGTCCAATATCGGAGTATGAAGTGGTGGTGGGTTATCTGCCTCTGTGATCGTGGATAGGAATAACAGGACCTAGGCACTGTGCTATATGTACACACTCCGAAGTCACACTCGTTGATGTTGGCAACTAAACAATTCGCAGTGATGATTGCCCAGTCAGTTTCATTGGGAGTCCTCTCTCTCCCGTCGTCGATGGCCACATTGGGGCTTGTTCCGTATGTTTGACTGATTCTTTGAATACCACCGCCTAATCTCCTTGACAGCGGGTGCATCCTTATTATCGGAATGGGAGCCCTGACAACGTACACCGGGTATGTGCTTGGGCAATTCAAGCTACGCTATCCTCAGGTCCACAACATGTCTGATGCAGCGGATATCCTATTTGGTGCTTGGGGGCGTGAGACAGTCGCGGTGGCCCAGATAATATTTTTTATTTTTCTCATGGGCGCTCACATCTTGACCTTTTCAATAATGATGAATACCCTAACTGATCACGCCGCTTGCACAATCCTCTTCTGCCTGGTGGGCGGGATTCTGTCCTTCATTCTTACTCTATCCAGGCGTCTGCAGGAGGTTTCATACCTAGGAATAATATGTAAGTAAGCCATCTCTCCTACCCACCCATGCTAACTACAGAAAGCTTCGGTGTCAATATTCATTGCCGTGGTAATCACGGTCGTGGCTATCGGCATTGAAGCCCCAGATCCAACGGCCCACGCCCTCCGACACCCTACCCTCCTCTCCGGTGTCTCAGCTTCACTGAACATTGTCATCTCGTTTTCCGGCCATCCAGCATTTTTCAGCTTCCAATCTGAACTCGCAAACCCCAAGGACTTCACAAAAGCAATCGTCGCCCTGCAGATAACCGACACCGCACTGTATCTCATCGCCGCCGTTGTCATTTATCGATACGCAGGCGAGGGAGTTGCAAGTCCAGCACTCCTCAGCACCAGCCCAGTTGTTGCAAAAGTTGCATTTGGTGTTGCTGTTGGTTCTATTGTCATTGCTGGGGTCATAATCGGGCACGTCGGCGCAAAAACAATCTACGTCCGGCTGTTCCGTGGTACCAATAAGATGAATCAAAGATCTCTTGTCTCCTATGGCACTTGGGTGGTCATCGTGTTAATCATGTGGACGGTTGCGTGGATCATTGCCAACGCCATCCCTGTGTTTAATGACCTTTTGAATCTCCTGGCTGCGGCCTTTGGCAGCTGGTTCTCGTTTGGGCTAGAGGGCTTGTTCTGGCTATATATGAACAAGGACCTGAGGTCGGCAAAGAAAATGGCGCTGGCGGGTCTTAATGTCTTCCTTGTTCTTTTCTGCTGCTTTATGGTAAGTTATGATTCTTCACGGTACTTCATGAGTTGCTAATGAGATGGCATAGTGTGGGATTGGTCTCTGGGCCACAGGAACAGGCATTTCGCTTAGCGCCAAGAACGCCCATGGCGCATTCTCTTGTGCAGACAATAGATAGAGGCTTGTCGTGATAAATCGTATCGATTCAGAGTACTTGTTACGAGATGTTGCTGAAGGTGCCTATGACATAGAGATATATAGGTGCTGTTACTGGAATTGACGGCCAGATATTGGTTCATTCTAAACGCATCCATCCTCTTCTACTCGTTCCTTCAGAGCTTGGAAGTCCGCCTCCTTTTGCTTGATCTCCTCTTGCATTGACGCCCATTCCACAGTATACCGCCGTAGCTCCTCCATTTTTCTATCCACGAAGGAGTCAATTTCAGGGCCGGAAACTGTCACGAGGTCATCGAGAGAAGGTAGCAGCTGTCGAATAGCGACCCAAGCCCGGCTATCGGGCGATTCGAAACAAGCGTATACCAACTCATGAAACCAGAATCTTCCGCTCTCCATGGATTCCTGCATGAGAGCCGCCATACGGGGCATTGAGCTATACCCTGCCCTCTTTTGCTGCTCCTCTTCTAGCACATTAACAAACATCCTAAGAAGTGAATTGTACTTTGAAATATCCGCCGCATCTCAATCCAAAGACTTCTTCAGAAGTAGCCATCGTGGAGGTGAGTAAAGCATCTGAAACGGTGCTGCATAAGTCCATTCCCAGTCGAGAACCGCGACTATCTTCAAGTCCTGTGCGTTGTTGACAAGTATATTTCCAAACCGGAAGTCGTCACAGACTAGTCTGAACGGTCCATTGTCATATTTGCCGTCAGCGAAATGGGGTACAAGGGCTTCAAATATCTTGTTATGGAGATATTTGCGACGGAAGGCTGGCTTCAAGTGTTAAGAACAGCTACCGGTATTGATCTAGATTCAAATACAATAATAGTTGTGTTTATTTACGGACTCAGCCATGTATCTACAAGACCTTGTGGATCCACATGACCCGTGGGTCACGTACCAGACTAAGTCTGTATATTAACTGTAAAGCTCGCCTGAGGAAACACCGAAGAACGAGAAAGTAAAAGAGCAAGGAAGGAAATCCCTTTAAACCGTAAGGAGGCAAAATGTCGCCTTCAATGTGCTCGTTCCTGAGGTGCCCCGCGAGGGATGCTCCACCCGTCTGACAGACCTTACCGAGAGAATATCAGTCTGGATGATCTGAATTTATACCTGGCCCCAAGGAAGAGCTTACGCGATTATTACTGGTCACATCCTCGCCATCTGCGGCTTTTTAATTGAAACTACTTGGCCCTAATCCTCCACGGCCGCGAAGGAAATGCAGGTGTATATCGTCCCCTTACGGACCATGTTACACAAGGGGCATCAACACCCAACGAACCGCAACATTGTGATAAAAACCAACCTCTCCTGCCGTACGCACTTAGCAATACACCTGCATGGATAACCAAGACAACACTCTCAGATGGGGCTGGGGGAAAGGCCTATCCCCCTTACTGGCTGACTTATATTATATAAAGAGCCGCTCCTCATCTCTAGGTCTTCTTTTTCACAATCACAGTCAACTCCCTGTGCATCCTCTAGACCATCCAACTATCATGAAGATTTCCTGGCTCTTTGTCTCCCTCGGTCTCTCCGCCGCACCAGCGCTCGCAGAGCCAATCGCAACGGTATGGCACCTTGCCCCAAAAGGGGAAGAAGTAACTAACAGGCTTAGTTGGACCTCAAAAGCGTAGCGGAGACATGGGCCGAGCATCCCGAGTCGGGTGAATGCCTCCCAAACTGGACAATGTATGATTCTCCCATTCTCCCATTCTCCCCTGCAGTTCCTGTGGATATCCTTACTGACTCTTTGTAGCGACGTACCAGTTGATTATGTGAACGTCAAACCAGAAGCCCACGGCGTTGTATGCTCGTTTTTCCCGTATGCTATACCAACCCTCACCATGCATTTAGCCTTGGGACTGACCAAATGACTTAGCGAGGCGGACTGCAAGGGTCAAGGGACTGCCCTGACCGACGGCGAATACGAGTTCAATGGTGACTTTTATTTCAGGAGTTTCGGGTGTGTTGAGTGGGTTCGTAAGGAGGCTTGATCTAGACTATCGAGGTGTGGTGGTCCTCTTGCAGTTTCCTGCCCGTGCTTGGTCCGCGGTTTGCAAACGCCACAGCATGCTGCCTTATAACCGGTTTGAAAGAGGTGCCTAAGCATACGGTTCTCTATCCTTGACTGGCAAGTCTGTTCGGTCTTCTTCCGATATCATTTTGTGTATTTATCAGTATGCGGAATTCATATTCTAGACCACGAAAAGACAGAAAAGCGTGTAGTGTCCATTGCCCTGATCATTGAGCTTGTATGCCTTCCAAAGCATCGAAAGCATTACCGTGGCGCCATTCACGGTTCCTAAAATTGCAGCAGGAGACGCTCCCTGTGTCCTCCCAGCATCCTTGGCTATCGCCTTGCCCAATCCTTTAGATTATATTCAGGAGCCAGCCTGTCTCACCCTCGGTACGTATGTACGTATATGGACTTAATTTTCACAGCTTAGTGTGGCCGTGGCCCTTTACTTGAAGATAACATCTGACATCAAAATACCATAATAGAGTGTACTAACAACTGTCCAAGTAGCGTCCTATCCCGCATAGCTATTATAAATATACAATTATTCCATAGTAGTTGATTAGGGGCGGACCATACCTAGGTGATCATTCCATAACGACAGACCAATATTTTATGAGGTTAGCATAGAATTTCGTTTGCATGTCTCGATAATTAGAAGTTAATTCCACTCGAGTTCTTGGACATCAAGATCGTCTTAACATGGAATCGTTCACTTCAAAAATGCAAAATTGTTTCGACCTTCTGGCCCACGCCGCTGGTATCTTGTTCAATGCGATACACCTCAACCAAAGATTCTGCGCCGAAGCTCTTCTTTCAACGCAGTGACCATGTGCTGCGTTCTCTCAACTGCGCCCTTGTTCTCGATAGAGCGTCGATGAAGGTACTGCATGCACTCTGCAACTGAGCCCCAGACCATGCATTTAAAGGCCTTCGGAACTGGCACATTTGCTTCTGTGGACTGCTCCAGGGCTCGTTCATAGTTCTGTACCAACTCGCAACTCAGCTCATCTGCCATCCCCTGGATCTGTCCACACTCTAGTGGGATGACGGGTTTGTTTGCAAGGAGTCGCTTTTGGTGTCCAATAATTGCTTTGGCAGCACTTGCAGCGTTGTGTGTGGCAAGGAAGAGAGCCGCATTCGGAAAGTCCAGCTTAGAGCCCTCGGGCATTCGACAGCATATCATTGCGTTGGCGAGAAGATCATACGACTGATCCGTCGCTTCCTTGGTGTCGTGGATGAGGGAGCGCATTTCATGTTCAATGTATGCTCCTCGGACCAGCTTAACTCCCACGCTGAAGCCCCCCTCGGATGCGAGAGTAAGATGCCGATCGAGGTTTGACTTTGATCCTTTGAGGTAAGATTGGATCGTGTTGTATACTAGTGGTGGGCCGGATTTATTATGCTTCTTCATGATCTCAATAGCCCAGTCATCGAGTCCATGCTGGAGTACCTGTTGTTCAGCATCCAGCCACAGGCGGGACCCTTGCTCTCGTGTAGCAAGGCAGATCTCATCCATCGCCCGCGTCACAACCGCAGGCATAGGCCTTCTCTCTGCCATAGCGTTAATACAAATGGGACCGGCACCTGTGAGTCTAGTAACATCAATTAACGTTGGTCTTAAGTGGTCAAGTCCACCTGCACACGTACTTAACTGCCAGGTAGTCACCAGGACCAACCATGCGCAAAGTGTTCAATGTCCCCTTCTTCCACTCCTCCACGATGTCATAGCATCGGTCGCTATATACCTTCGAACCAGATCCATCACGGACCACGGCATCAATCGGATCCACGATAATCTCCTTTGCATAGCCCAGAATAACTCCCTGATACCCGATTTTCTTGATGTCCGCTACGGTCTTGGAGACTTCCTGGCGGTTTGTTCCAGCGCAAAACTGGTCGTATACAGTCCAGCGAAGAATCCTATTAAGGACCCTATTGCGGTCGGGGTTGAGGATGGCAGACTTTGAGTTGGTGATGATATCCAGTGCAGCAAGGGACGGCCTGAGGAATAATTTGGATGACATGAGCGATGTCAGGACCAGAGACCGCAGAATGAGCCTAGTGGGCAGTCTTGCCATCGAGGGTGTGACGGCCGACGAAGCCGACTTGCTTCCTATATCATCGAAGCCCGGCTTGGTCGAGTGGTGCCGGGTAAAGGTTATCCTTCGTCGTGGGACGATGCTGGGCATCAACCCAACGTGGAGGGTGGAAGGAGAGCGAGGTTTCATGATGACGGTAGAAGCCCTAATTGACATCTCCAAACACAGAAGTCGCGACAATAGATTCCTTGATCTCCTCTGCGAAGTTGGCCGGCGGGTCTATTAACATTATATATACAGATAGAAGCTGTCCATACTATTACTGATTCACCAGAATTGCCAATTGCCAGCTCTCTCGTCGGACCATGCCGGCTTTCGTTCGGCAGGCCCGTGCAAGTCGGGATGGGCGTCCGACACGCACCCCTTGACGTTCAGTTAGCCGACAGTTAACCAACCATGTTCCATGGAAAGTCGGCTTAGCGGAGCCTGCTGCGGGGTATTCCTGGCGACATTCAAGATTAATTGTGCTCCAGACGATTATACTAGAGTGGGAGAGGCGATTACCCTGTTCACATTCACTGCACCGTAGTGGTATGCATGACTTAACTATCCTAGACAGGCGTAACAGTATGGGATATATTATAGAGGACTGGATGCCCCTCTAAGAATATATTGAGTGTACTATGCTCCAACCTTTCAACTACGTGGGGGTGTCTACTGGGTTTGTTTGCTGTTGGGAGGCTGTGATAAAGAACGAGCGTATGTTGGTGATGGAAAACTATTTGAAATATCTGTAGCCAACATCATATAACCATCAAACCTGATTAGAAGGATACTGCACCCTATCTAACGGGGTAAAGTCCTCTTTAATTGTCCGAGTGCTCGCGAATCTCAGCAAGTGAGCCATTGTGCCGGTCTTGTCATTCGTGCCAGAGTCCCGACTACCACCAAAAGGCTGCTGAGCCACGACAGAGCCGGTGCACTTTGTATTAAGATAGAGCATTCCCGCAGCATGTTTCAAGAAAGTCTGCGCCTGGCGACTAGCATAGGGGTCTTTGGCGAAGATACTACCCGTGAGAGCATAGCGGGAGGTAGTGTCCACTGTCTTGAGTGTTTCCTCCCACTCATTATCAGGGAAGACATAGACGCTCAGGATAGGGCCGAACAGTTCACGAGACATGATATCATGTCGTGGGTTACTGGTCTGGTACACTGTAGGATGGACGTAGAACCCGTCTTCTTTTGATGCTTTTCCACCGATTATTAGCTCCAGCTCAGGATCATTCTTTGCGTCTTCAATAACCTGGTTGAGCTTGTCGAAGGAGCGCTCGTGGATGACGGGGTTAATAAAGTTGCTGTAATCCTCCACAGGACCAGTCTGCAATGCAGAAATTTCCTTCTGCAAATGGTCCTTGAATTCTGGCCAGACAGACTCGGCAACATACACCCGAGAGTTGGCTGAGCACTTCTGGCCCTGGTACTCAAATGCTGCACGGATTGTGTTCAGAGCGGCGCTCCTTATATCCGCAGAAGAATGGACCACGCCCCAGTTCTTCCCCCCGGTCTCACCAACCACACGAGGATATGAATTGTAAACACCCCGGCCAATAGCATTCCCAATCTTTTGCTGAATCCCCTTAAAAACGGCTGTTGAACCAATAAATGACAAGCCGCCAAACTCTGGCCTCTGTAGCACTGTATCTGTCACCCCCTCTGCATCCCCAGGCACGAACTGAATCACGTCCTTGGGAAGTCCAGCCTCGAGCAATATTTGATGAAGCAGCCAGCTCGCATGTAGTGCAGAATCCGACGGCTTCCAAACAACCACGTTGCCTAACAGTGCTGCCGGCCCAACAAGCGTCGCTCCCAGCGCGGTGAAGTTAAATGGTGCAATAGCGTATACAAAGCCCTCTAGCGGCCGATACTCGAGCTTATTCCAGTGTCCGGCAGCCTGTTCTTTCGGCTGCTGGGAATACAACGACCACGCCTCCTGGATGTAGTACCGAAAGAAATCGGCAGTCTCGGCGGGTGCGTCAATCTCCGCCTGCCAGATATTCTTCCCTTGGCCGAGCATTGTTGCTGCTACAAGCTGAGAGCGGTATTTGCCTGTAATGAGCTCGCAGGCGCGCAGGAAGATCGCAGCGCGGTCTTCAAAGGGCATCGCTTCCCAGGCGGGCTTAGCTGCTAGGGCTGCGTCTATAGCGGCGTTGACTTGGTCGGGTGTTGCGGAAGCGTACTCTGCTACTTTCTCGGAGTGCTTGGAGGGGTTCAGCTGCGTGCGTGATTCCTTTGGTTGCAGTGTTGCGCCGTTGACGGTTAGTGGGATTTGCACGGGGAATGTGCGCTTCATGGATTCGATTGTCTTGGTAAGTTGGGTGCGTTCGGGCGAGCCTTTGGCGTAGGTAAGCTAGGTAGCTGAGTGTTACTATTTTGTCTGTACTATTAGACCGGGTCTTACCATTTTCTCGTTCTCGAACTTGGGAGGATGCCAGAGTGCAAGGCCCCTGCGGTGGACAGTGCTCATGGTGCGTTGCACCTGGTTTCCTAGTCTTGGTCGCACCATGCTTGACATGTTTGACATATTCTAGCAATGCGTTTACTTCCTGGACCTTTGGGGAACACTTTCTATTTATCAACAGTTGCTTGACAGAGGGCAGGGCTCGGGGCGCCACCCCGACACCACTACATACTCCGCCGACACTGACCGACATTGACCGATATTAATATCATGCGGAGTAGATCAAAAGCAAATAAACCTTAGAATAGCGTATAGCTATTCCCCGCAGCATTGCAGCCGAGTTGCCTACATATCCCATCCGAGTAGGCGACTTGCAGACAACTAACAAGCCCTGATTCCATGTATGACTGATTCTTCTGCCAGGTGCAGGGTAAAAAGGAGGCACATGCAGCTGCCGCGGGACCATGAGTACTTGATCTTTTTAAACGGCGATGGCACGGAGGAACTTCTCTTGCTTTATTGCCGTCCCAGAAAATTACTTATTTTTGAGTGCTATAACATATATTTGAAGGGATCAGTATCTAAATACAGATATTTAATGAAGTTCCCCGACCAAGTAGGAAATTATGCTGATACAGAGAAACGAATTTTTAACTATACAGGAATAAAATACTTTATTATCGGTTGCAAGTGCAACTGCTTCATTAAATATAACTATCCGTACCCTAACCGTTCACCAATGGTTCACGCACTGCCGAAACATACTACAGGGAAATATGTTAGAGGCATGGGGATACAGAAAAAAAAAAAAAACAAAAAGCATAAAAAGAAAGACCAAACATACTGGGATTATTTGCGCATTGTCTATATCCCAAACGCCACTCTTCGCGTACACATCCTCCTTGATAAGCCCGCGGATTTCTTCTACCGTTTCACCAGTATAGATAATCATGCTTCCGCGAAAGGGCACCTCTTTCCCCTCTTCTGGGTGCGAGTCGAGCATGGCACCTGAATATTTATTAATAATTATACCAGCTCAACACTTGTATATAGAGGCGTGAGGGCCAACTAACCACCTGCCAACATCCTCCCTGACTGGACAAGAGCCGGGATTCCGTTATAATGGTCTCTGTTGTTGATATCAGTCATTGGATTCCAAGGATATACTGGTTACTTACTGTTTAACCTTCTTCCGTAATTCTAGGACGTTAGGCTTGTCGGGGAGGATGCAGAGCCATTCCTTCCTAGCGGCTGTCACTACGGTGCGTTTGGTAGCTATGGCATGTCGAGTACTAGATTTCAAGCACCGCGAGAATCTGGCTGACACATGGAAAAGTGACATATCGAACACAGAAGACGTATTAGCTTTGGATTGTTGTTAAAGAGATTGCTGTCGACATAAGGTAGGGTGGTCAAGGCCTTACTCAGCATCATCGGGGTGGGGCTCCGACGCCGATTCCGACTGTGATGCTAGTTAGACTATAAGCTTATAACACTCCACCGCAACAGAGTCCGATCGTATGCGTGGTTGTGTCGAACTATATACCGAAACTTGAAGCGTGTTGCGATATATCCCGAGTACCCCAAGACGGGCACGCTGTGCTATTGAACAGTCTGCGCTTTGGCAATGTAAACAGACTGAAAACTAGTTTAGGGGGGTATTCAATTGGACATTTTCTGTTCAGATGCGTGTATAGGCTTCCATTACATGCATACGCATGAGACACACTTTATGCATTCATTGTGTTGAGGGAACTGCTCGATACAAGTACTGCGTGAATAGAATATAATAGATAAGTAATGGTTACCTGGCGCTAACACCCCACTGTTTTCACCGCAATAATGATCTGGTTACTCGGCTAGCTGCGCATAAGCCGGGAATTAGAAGCCGAAGCCGTAGATAGAGGTATAACAGTGTAGCTATTGCCCTCGGCGTGAGGTGCCGAAGCGTGCTCGGCGAGATGTCAACTGCCCGACCACCAGCGCTTGTCCTAACGAACCGTTTAATACAATAACATTGTTTGCCGGCTCGCGGGCAATCGAGATATTCGCATATCCCACTCAATCTGCCACATTAACATCCCCAATGATACGACCGTCATACTTGCGTTCTCTCGCCCATATCCGCCGACGACTCGGGCTCGTCCCATCGCCGCCATGCCGGGCATATTCCCATCGCACGCGCACGATACAATCATCAAGATCTCTCCCCTTCCCCCACAAGGTAACATTATTACCATTCCGCCCATTCAGCGTTTCCTCTGCACAATATGACTCGAACTCCTCACCCAATACCATCGTCCGCGTCCCGCCAATGGCCGAGTCCATTACCGAGGGCACACTGGGTCAGTTCAACAAGGCCGTTGGGGATTTCATTGAGGCAGACGAAGAGCTCGCGTCCATTCAGACGGATAAGATTGATGTCTCGGTGAATGCCCCGCGGAAGGGGGTTATTACCAAGCTGCTTGTTGCCGAGGGCGATGCTGTTGTGGTTGATCAGGAGATTGCGGAAGTTGGGCCAGGGGATGCATATTCCAAAGAAGATGCAAAGGACCGGGACGAGGCGTCGCAGGTGTCGGAGAAGAGTAGCTCTAAGGATAATATTGAGGAGACCATGGAGCCTTCTACACACCGGCAGTCAGCGTCTTCAACGGCAGAGAGAGAGGACTCTCAGCCGAGTGTGCGTACACAGGTTGAAGAGCCCGCGCTGATGTCTCTCGCACCAGCTGAGAATCCCGAAGGGCTCGGAGAGACGCAGCCGAGTCGGGCAGAGGAAGTGGTCAGTACATATAACCATTATTCCGATCTCGGCTCTCAATTAACCCACCTCCATGTAGGTAAAAATGACACGCATGCGCCAAACAACCGCAAAACGTCTAAAGGAGTCGCAGAATACTGCCGCTTTCTTAACAACCTTTAACGAAGTCGACATGTCGCGACTCATAAACTTCCGGAAGAAGAACAAGGACGGAGTGCTCGAGAAACACGGAGTCAAGCTGGGCTTCATGGGGCCTATGACGAGGGCATCAGCGCTTGCATTGAAAGAGATTCCCGCGGTTAATGCGTCTATTGAGGGTGGAGATACAATTGTTTATCGCGACTACGTAGACCTAAGTGTTGCCGCAGCGGTTCCCAAGGGTCTTGTTACGCCTGTGCTTAGGAATGTTGAGAGTATGAGTATTTCAGAGATTGAGAGAGGGATTGCGGGCTTGGTCAAAAAGGTGCGTCTATTTCTTTCTTTCTTTGTTTTCTTATCGTGTGTGGACTTAGTAAATGAGACTGACTTCCCCCTTAGGCTCGCGATGGCAAGTTGACACTGAGCGATCTCTCTGGTGGTACTTTTACGATTAGCAACAGTGGCATATGGGGCTCGCTATTTGGCACCCCAATTATCAATTTGCCACAGACGGCTGTGCTCGGGACTTATGGGATCCAGGATAGGCCGGTAGCTGTGGATGGACGGGTTGAGATTCGGCCGGTACGTCTATTGGATGAGTGGAGAGAAGTGCTGTGCGCATGCTAACAGAGTGACTAGATGATGTATATTGCTTTGACATATGACCATCGTATCATTGATGGACGGGAAGCGGTGATATTCCTCAACCTGATTAAAACGTATCTGGAGGACCCAGAGCGCATGTTGCTTGAGTAGTGTTTATGGTCTGGACTTGACGTTCAACTTTGTACGTCTTTTAAGATGGCATGGTGCTTGGAATCTCTATCTAAATATAAATCAACGTCAGTCGTTGCGTTCGGCAGTGGGTAAAGAATGAGAGGTGAATAGAAATGACTTTATACCGATACAAATGTACTGTCCGCTATACAACCTACGAATGCAACTTGGAGGTTCTGTATTAGCCATATGTCTGTTTCTGATCCACATTGAGGCGGCTATATTTGCACTTTCTCGGCTACTTGGTTATATGATATCGGCGAAAACTGAATTTCGCCGATATTGGAGATATTGAATAGGTCGGATCGGACCCGCCGAATCAGTACCAAGCCATTTGCTGTTATAACGAGGGGAATCTCCGGGCGATACAGTATTTGCTGGTCCCAATATCACATATCGTAAACCCGCCAACATTCTGCTAGACGGGTTTTGGCCCGTCTGAGTTGAGAAACGATCACGGCCATGCTCTCAATACTGCGGCCCCCAGTCCATCAAGGGGCCAAATGCATTCCTGCGGGACGTCCTAGGCTCACATCCAGATTCGAAAAATGGAATCGAGGACTCAGTCCACGCTCCCGCTTATTCCAAACCCAAAAATATGTAAGCCAAGCACTAGCCATGTGTACGGTAAGAGAAGTGCTAAGATGAAGCTGTCGTTGTAGCTCCACACAGAGAGCTTCCTGCAAGGCAATACGGCAGATTACCTAGACCAGATCCACAATGCGTGGAAGCAAGATCCATCTTCCGTGGACGCCTCGTGGAAACGATACTTTGAGGCCATCGAGAATGGTCACCCGCCGGCGGATATCCGCTACAGTCCTATATACAAAGCCGAGACTGTGACGAAGCCAAAGTCATCATCACTACTACCCGGATTAGGCGGTTATATTCGGACGGCATCTGGGGCGTCTGTTCTTCAGCCGACCACAGAAAATAAACAGGTAAAGGTAGAGCGTTTAGTGCGAGCATACAGAGACTTTGGCCACCTAAAGGCAAAGACAAATCCGCTTGACGTCCCAGAAAAGCAGGAAATAGCTATTCCTGAGCTCGACCCCAGCCTCTATGGGCTCACAACCGCCGACATGGACCAGAGCTTCTCTATAAACGCAGAAGCGCTCCCTCACTTTGCAGCGACAAGCAACGGGTCCATGACCCTCCGCGATATCATCTGGACATGCGAAAGCACCTACTGCGGTACAATTGCAACCGAATACACCCACCTCGCAACCCTGGAAGAACGCAACTGGATCCGAGCCCGCATCGAATCACCAAATACCCAGCGCTTTCCAGCAGAAGAAAAGAAACGCATTCTCAACAGTCTTATCCGCGCAACAAGTTTTGAGAAATTTCTCGCGGCCAAATTCCCCAATGCAAAGCGTTTTAGCCTGGAAGGCGCCGAGAGCCAACTCCCTGCTGTCGAGGCAATCATTGACACCAGTGCCGAGCATGGTGTCCGCAATGTTGTCTTCCCTTGCTGCCATCGCGGGAAGTTAAATATTCTCAGTAATGTAGGCCAGAAGCCGAACGAGCTCATCTTTAGTGAGTTTGCGGGAGCGCCGTCGCGGCATGGGATACCCGGTGATGTTAAGTACCATTTGGGGATGAGCTGTGAAAGATTGACGGCATCAGGGAAGAAGGTATACATCACAATTCTGCCCAACCCCTCGCATCTTGAGTCGCAGAATCCAGTTGGGCAAGGCATGGCGAGGGCTATTCAACAGGGTGATGGCGAAGATAAAAGGACGACGATGGTGTTTAATAGTCACACCGATGCGTCATTCTCAGGGCAGGGGGTTATTTATGAGACTCTAGGACTATCTGGGCTTGAGACTTATGGAACTGGAGGGACGGTTCATTTGATTGTTAACAACCAGGTTGGATTTACTACAGATCCTGGGTCTGCGCGGTCATCGAGGTATGCTTCGGATATTGGGAAGATTGTTCAGGCCCCAGTGTTCCATGTCAACGCAGATGATGTTGAGAGTGTTGTGTTTGTCTGCAAATTGGCAGCACAATATCGCGCAAGATTTGGCAAGGACTGTTTTGTTGACCTGGTGTGTTATCGGAAGAATGGGCACAACGAGATGGATCAGCCCTCCTTCACACAGCCGATGATGTACGAAATAATTGCGAGAAAGGCTTCTCAGTTGGAGTCTTATTCCAGCAGGTTGATTGATGAAGGGGTCGTCACTGCAGAAGAGGTTGCACACATAGAGGCAGACACATGGAAGAAGATGAGCGACAGCCTTGCAAACAGCAAAGACCCTCCACCGCTTGAGCGCGAGTACACATACCCATCATGGGACAGTTTCAAGAAGCCGACCCAGGTTGCTCAAGAGGTGTTTGAGGCAAAGCCAACAGCAGTATCTACAGACGTTGTCAATACTATAGCGAACAAGCTAGGAGTTCCGGATGACCCGTTCGTCGTGCACAAAAGCCTAAACCGCATTCTCCACAAACGACAGCAAAGCCTGATTGACGGCCGTGATATTGACTGGGCCACCGCTGAGGCCCTGGCGATGGGCAGTCTCTGTCTCGAGGGCTACCATGTCCGTCTGTCCGGGCAGGACGTGGAGCGCGGCACCTTTTCACAGCGCCACGCAGTCTTGAACGATCAGAAATCGGGAGCAAGGTTTACTCCACTCAATTCTCTCACTGATAACCAGGCCGAGTTCACGGTAGGAAACTCCTCACTCAGCGAATACGGTGTTATGGGCTTCGACTACGGCTATTCATGCATGGCCCCGAACGCGCTTGTAATATGGGAAGCCCAGTTCGGCGATTTCGCCAATAACGCGCAGTGTATTATTGATCAGTTTCTATCTTCCGCCGAGAATAAGTGGCTCATGAGATCTGGTCTTGTTCTTTCCTTGCCGCATGGTCTGGACGGGCAGGGTCCTGAACACTCATCGGCTCGCATGGAACGATTCTTGCAGCTCTGCAATGAAGACGGTCGCTTTTTTCCGTCACCGGAGAAGCTGGAGAGGAAGCACCAGGACGCTAATATGCAGGTTGTTTATATGACTTCTCCTGCGAATCTGTTCCATGTGCTCAGGCGACAGTTGCATCGTGATTTCAGGAAGCGTGGGTCCATCTCTTGTCCTTTAAAAAGAATGACCTGAAATACTAACATGACATTTGAGTAGCTTTGATTGTTTTCTTCTCGAAATCTCTGCTTCGCCACCCACTGGTGAAATCAAACGTGGAGGAATTCGTCGGGGAGTCTAAATTCCATCCTGTCATCCCGGATCCACGCCTGGAAGACCCTACATTCGACACTGGCAGCATTAAAAGAGTAATCTACTGCACTGGCCAAGTATACTTTGCACTAGCAAGATACCGTGAGATGCATGGTATTACCGATACCTCCATTACACGCGTCGAACAACTCCATCCATTCCCGTGGCAGGAAGTCCACGAAGACCTGCAGCAGTATCCCAACGCGTCCGATATCGTCTGGTGCCAGGAAGAGTCCCTTAATGATGGTCCATGGGCGTTTTCTCGGACCAGGCTGGAGACTATCTTCGACACAACTGAGCAGCATAGAGGCCGTCGGTTACGATTTGGAGGACGCTCGGCCACATGTAGTGTGGCGACAGGTTTTGCAAGTGAACATCAGGCCCAAGAAGACGCTTTGCTGAAGGAAGCCTTTTCTCATGGCCTAGGTTGACCATGCCACGAGACTAGCTCTAACCCTACTATATAATATACCAGCGCTGCATGTAGTGAGCTGTCGCTTAGTTGTCAATATTACAAAATCCTCATAATCAAGCCCATGTGCCCCGGCAGGCCCCTCGCCATTCCCCATGCTAAGAGGTAATATTGACATAGTTCTTCGCCCGCTGAAATCCGAAATCCAACACAAACTTATGATCTGTAGTCTTAAAATAATCAAGGCTGATTTGTGCTTCTTCTCTTTTGTTTCGGCCGATGGTGTCGAGGTATACAGCCGCGGCTTAACGACATATCGCTCCGGCTATATAGGCCAAGATAGATGTTTTTATCGATGCCCACAGCATGCAGCGCTCTGCGGCCAGCTCGTCATTGGCCAGCTGTCTTTCTTCAAGTCAATGTCGGCCATAGAGGTCGTTTTCTCGTCAAGTGTCCTAAATTTATTGATATGAATTCACGCTCCCTACAATAACGAGGATAATCGATCGTCCACTTGTTAGTGTTAAGATTTGCGATTCAAGGTTACTGAATGTACCCGCCAATATGAGCATGGCAACCTGCTAAGTACTTGTCCAGCTTCGCAGCGCACTGGCATTGTCACCCTTGCCACCCTTGCCCTCACCCTCAATCCTATTCATATCACAAATACAACTCATTCCCTTCCCAACCGGAAAATCAGCAACATTGTCATAATGTCTCGCCACAAAATACGGGAAATACTCCTCCGGAGGACATAAAGCCCTCTCACCGACCACACACCAACGTGAAGGACCTCGACAGTAAGTAAACGTTCCCACCGAGGCAATCGGAATATCATGTAACGGATCGCTCTCGGTTCCCCTTAGAGTCAGTCTTCCACTCCCTGTCAGATGGACAGTGTAGTCATCCGTGACCTGAAGAACAATCAACTGTGGTGCTGTATGCAGGCCCGTTCCTAAAGAATTCGGAAAAGCCTTGACCTCAAAATCAAACCACTCCATCCCATCTGCTGGCGATTGTTGACAGAAGGAGGCATCGAACTCGGCTTCGATTTCAATAAGCCGCAGACCGTCACGCTCCATGTACCCGCTCTTCTTGCGCTCGTGAGAGGATAACTTCACCATCCCTTGTTTTTTGACCTCCCCCCATGTTTCCCGGCCCCACGTAATCGCGAAGCTCTCATCCACAATCAAATGGAGAACCCAATAACCCTCTAAACCATCGCAGGTACATCTAACTGAGATGGAGGATAGACTGAATGACCCGCAAACATTACTTTCCCATGACGAGACAGATATAATCCCAGTAGAAAGTTCAGCTGGTTTGAGCGTGGGGGGCAGGACACTGGCGATGAAGTCGCGGGTTGTGATGAATTCAACCGAGATTGCTTCTTGGGAGTAGCTTGGGTTGCTGACTCTTTGTCTGAAAGTTCTGATTTGCTGAGGGGATGCAACGAAAGGCATTGTGTGGGAAACAGCTGGGTAGTAGTGAATAATGAAGAACCATATGTGGTTTATTTATGGCTTTTGTTTCACGCAAGCAACGAAAAGAAAGGAAAAAAAAAAAAAAAAAAGGAATATTACTCCAGCCATAATTTCTTTAACAGGATGTTGGGAAGCGGTGGCCTAATGCGGTATTTCTAACAGGACGATAGATGACCCTCTGTGGGCGAAGCTATTTGTCTGCTCCGGAGTGTACTAGTCCATGAGGGGAATTTCGTCTCTATTTTGAGTACCGCGATTATGATAGGCTTTGCTAGTCATGTCATAGTCTATCTATCTTGTCTTATTCTCACTGAGCTGTCTGCATAACGCTTCAACTAAAGTCTCCTATAGATTATGGCGATTTATATAGTTTAGATAAAAACTATCTCAATTTTCGCACAATCCAATACGCGCCATTATTCACTCGGCCACAATATCCTAATAACAGCAAAAATTCTTGAGCTCTAGCTAAAATAAGCACAGGTAATACGGCATTAGGCTACACTCCCTCTAGTCAATGCACTCGATCACAAATGGTAAAGTATCGACCAGCAGACCATGACCTAACAGATTTCCCCCAAAACTGGAACCCCACTGAAGTAGCATTTAGAGCAAATAGTACCACGGCTATAGTGATAGTCGTAGTCTGGGCCCCGTTGTGGTTGATCCATGGCTGTAGCCCAAAAGTAAACGCACCACCCAGCACATTCCGTAGAAAATTCGAGAGCTGAATGGCTTCATCTTCCAAGCCTGGGTAGCTATCGAGGCCATAGCCCATTGCAATCGGTGTCGAAGCATCGAGATATATTCCAATGAAGACCAGACCCAGACATGGAATCAGCCAGTGCAAGCCTTGGGCGGCGCCAACACCGTACAACAGGAGTCCACCAGCGCCGACAATGGGGACCAGGAGATATGTCCACAGCCGATGTTCAGGTTCGTAGACGCCTCCGTTTCGTTTCGCGAGATACAAGAGTAGCCAGTCTGTACAGGGGCCGCCCCATAATGAGCCTATCACAGCTCCGATTAGCAATGGGAGGTATAGCAGGCCCAGACTTGTAGCGCTGAAATTGTATGGCGGGACGGAGAAAAAAGATGCCAGGGTTGTAAGCACGACACCCACGACGAAGGAGCCTAGGCTGAACATAATACTCATCCATATAGTTCCTGGTAAGATGGCGACTTGAAACATGGAAAAGGTCAAACGCCAGTAGCCTGCTTTGACATCAGGATTGTGCCGGTATAGAGCCATCCTCTGCCGATAGGGAAGTCTGTGACTGTCAATCAGTGCATTCTCGCAGTACGTAGTTTGAGCAGTGGTAGGATTTCTGTTCATGTCAGCCAGGTCTCTCTTCTTTCCACCGTTAACACTGTGTTCGCTAGTGATCTCAGTGTTCTGTACTCCCTCAACACCATCAAGGTTCTGTGCTCTGAAAGTATCTCTTGCAAACATTGTCTCTTCGCCACTGAGCAGGAGAATAGCCGATGAGATCCCAAAGAAGACCAAAAGGTAGTTGAAACACCACACCCAGCCTTGAGAATCCACAATAAAGCCGGCCGCAATCGGAGGAAGAAAGTTACCCGCAATTAGGACAAGTCCGAATAGTGCCAAAACCGTTCCGCGTTGGTGAACAAAGGAAACGTCTAATAGCGACGTAATAATGGTCGAATAGGCAGGTGCAGAGCCAAACCCAGCAATAATCTGGTATGCAAAATAGAGGCGAGAGTCGGTCATAAACCGGCCACATAAGAGACCACATATAATCAGGCTAAAGCCCAGGATATAAGGAAGTCGTCTACCGTACTTGGTCGCCCATGGCTGGATGAATAGCACCCCGAGACCACACATGACAACGAGCAACGCTTGGCCGTAAGTCAATATTGTGTAGCTTGTATCAAGTTCCGAAGTCCAGACCGGCCATGCTGGCGAGGTCCACGCGATGCTATAGGGAATTAACATTTATTCTGGTTCAGTGAAGCGCGTAGATATACCTAGCATTCGCCAGGAACAACCATGCTAAATGTACCGTGTAATGCGACATCTTTTTTTTTTTGGTCCAGTTCTAGACGGAGAAATTTGTTAGCAATGAGACATTGAAATGTAAAGGGCGCTCTCAGTACTTACTAGTGGATCGTTCACTGTGTTGGCTGGTTGCGGTATCAATATGATACACCCAGAGCTGGAGTTCGTTTCGAGACATCCTCGGTTCTCTGTGCATTTGCAAGGTGATGTTAGTAATTCAGTTAAACGGGTCACTAGGGGAGGGTTAGGTAGGTGCACCTTGTTGAACCAGGAGAAGCGTTCCTGGACAATTAGCTGAATCCTGGGCAGAGTAGGCGTGTTTTCTGGTGGAACCCTGGATATTCTGCATGATCGCAATGGACAAGTGCACGATTCTTCTGTTCTCTTCCCTTGAGTCTAATTGGTAATATATATACGTGAGAAAATGTCCATCCCAGAACCATGGCACAAAAGACAAGCAAGGGTTAACTATGTTCACAGACTTCAACAGTGACTATCTTCCTTCTCGACAAACTTCCTTTTCCGGCGTAGGCGAGTCCAGATTGTAGGTGCCGATATTGATCCTCTTATCAGGCTCCAAATTAGTATTACGCTTATCGCAGACAACTGCGGGGAATTGGGGTATATTGCCACGGAAGCCATATTCTAATAGAATTGCCACAACGGGTTTAGCAGCGTGGCTGCAAATAGCTAGCAAAGTGGAGATGACACATTCTTGTCTTATCTTCCCTTCTTCCTGGACATGAACTTCTCGCCAAATGAGACTCGATACTCCTGGCCCTACTGAAACACTCCTCTGCCCGTATTTTAGGTCTTTCTCTGAAAAAGCCCATTGCTTCGGCGATGCCCAACGCCCGACGAACACGCTCACGTACTGGCTGCACCCAGTGTGTCCGAGTGAGCATCAAGTGTAATGAAGGTCACCCAATATGCCAAAGATGTTTGCGCTTGGGGTTCGCTTGTGATTATTCAACGCGGTTCATCTGGAAGCTGCACAAGCCGCCAAACCCCTCCAAGAGAGTGATACGGTCCAAGCCTTTGATAAAATCGAGTGGCCACGGGGCCTGTGCCTGCCCTGGTCGCCTGACTGAGACTGAGCTGTGCGATCTTTGTAAGTTTTTGATTATCCAACAGGCCAGACGTGGGGTCGATCCATCTGCTAAACAATGTAGTCCTTACCAACGGCAACTGTCTTCTGCATTGGACCAGCCCTTCCCACAATGACCTTGTCGGGCAATTTGCACGACTCAACCGCCAATCTCCTGTGGTCCGATGTAATGTCGAGGCACTAATGTCGCTAAGCCATGATTGCTGTCGGCTGTCCTCGCTTACGCGTATTGACCGAGCCATATCTCAGACCAAGGATTTTTTGGAATCTGACTCGTCGCACGCTGATCAGGATGTTTTGGTTACCTCGATGCTCCTGCTCTCCCAGGTCGCGGTATGTCCCACATCAACTAGGACTCTCGCTCCGGATTGCTAACTAGAGGAATTGTGCACGTTTAGATGAGGGCAGGATACACATGGACCCACCACATTGAAAAGATCCTCCCATTAGCTGTCCGCATGTCACAAGATAGCAACCATTATACTGCCGCAGACTCCCACTCGCACTCGCTGCTCGAAGTCCTGGGCGGACTAGATATGGACGCGTGGATTGTGGGCAGGAGATCTGAGCCCCTGCATGTCTGGAAGACCTGGTGTATGGGGCGGCAGGGAATTGAATCTATTACGGGCCTACCTCGTCCGTTACTAGATCTAATTGCGCGTGTCTCGGTCAAGGAGGATGTGTCAGCAGAGCTCCACCAGTTTATTGGGATATTACCTTTACCCCAACGGCAGCGCCATCGGGAGTCTCTCTGGCATTGTTTTGCCGTTACGGCATTGCTCCATTTGCACGGCCGAGGCAGGCCCGTTGATGGAGTGGGCGTACTAGCGACCCAGCTCTTGGGCTTGGTGCGCCACCTTTGTGCGGCACGCGCTGAGCACGGCACCTACCATGTGCTTACTTGGCCAGCATTAACACTCGCTGTTTATGCCCGTGACAATACTCCGGACGAGATGATTATTGTGAATGAAGTAGCTTCTCTTGTATTCACTCGATATGACCAGGGATGGAGGCACCCAGAAAGCAACATGCGAGCGCTGATGAATCAGTTCTGGGAGGAGCGAGAGAGGATTGGGAGAGAGTCTGCCTATGCCAACCTACAGAGTGCCGCCGTCGAGCTTGGGTTATGGTAGCGAGGCGATAAATATACTCTAATCTTGCTTACCCATGAACCTGTCCAGCACGTTCTTTGTAATCAACTCAGTGAACTCGTCTCGATGAATGAGGCCAGCCACCCATTCGCAGGTCCCCGCGCAAAACACTTGACCTTTCTCCTTGGTAAAACTCGCCACCATGCCAGACCCATATTCCCGTTCCTGCAGGTACTCCGGCAGCTCATACCCTTCGTGCGCTAGCTTGATGACTTCATCACTGGGACTGGTTAGCCACTGGATTGAGATTGTGCTTCTGTATGGGTCAATGTGGACGTACACCTCACGGAATGGACCGCCTATAGGCTCTCTACCACCAGAGATATCGCGCTCACCAAACACCGCCGGACACATGGCGATGATCTCCAGATTCATAGGCGCACCATCAAACCCATTTGGATAAGGCAATCCTTTCTTAAAACAATAATCCACGCCATCAACTTCAAAGGCTGCAATATTGATCGGGTCGGTGCCGAAACTATCTCCATAGCGCAGCTCTGTACCCTTCAAAGCCCAATGATCCGGGCGATATACCTGAAATCCGCCAGAAGACCGAGGCGAAGCCATGCCATAGCGTGTATAGCACCCCATGGTCCCTGTGAGCCCCACAGTTTGCGCCCCTGGTCTACCGATCATAGGGCTGTCCCACATTGTCGTGACACGGGTTGGGTGCCGTTCGGTCTCTGGGTCGGCCTGGGGCACGCGATAGCAATATTGTGTATGCAGTGCTTCATCAAACCGGACTTGCCAGATGTAGTTGCCTCCAAAGCGAGCCAGGTGGCCCCCATTACTCACAAAATTGTCTATTGTATCACGCTGCTCCCAGGACCAATATTCGTCATGGCCAACACAAACAGCAACCTTGTATCCAACCAGACAGTCTGGCTCGACGTGGAGATCTGACTGCGTCAGGTGGTGTACACGGTATCCATTCTTCTCAGCCCAAACGACAAATGGCCGCTCATACGTGGCCCACCCAGCATCAGCATAATGGCGTGAATACCGGAAGTACCAGGCATATTCGAGACTGGGGAACCGAGGGGTATCGCCCTTGCGTATTTTCATCGGCCCGTTAGCTTCCCGCGGAGCGTTCTGTGGTATTCGAAGCATCCCGCGCGCAATTGGACGCTGGGTGCTGGACAAGGGCGAAGGCTCGTCGTTTTGGTACCCGTCCTGGATGCCGCGATAGTGGTTCGCACCACCCCAGTCATTATAGGCGAGCAATGTAGAGGTGGCGTGGATAAGGACAAAGTCTGCCGTGCTCACAGTGGTAGTATTTCGGCATTTATCCTTCACGATGAAGAACCCCTCACGTTCATAAATTCTGCCATGAAACTCCTTGATCCGGATGATGACGAGATAGAACGCCGAACCCCATTTACCCTCTTCGAGATGAATTTGGAGGGCCTCGGGCCAGCCGCAGCCAGTTGCGTAGGCGTCCGTGGGGGTATCGCATTTGCGGCCTGGGATGTCGGTCTGCAGGTACATGGTTTTGGGTTGGTATCCGTCACGGATAACCTCGATATCGTAGGTCTCAGCCGTAGTGTGCGTCATGAGTGAAACTGTTTCCCCTTCCTCGTAGGAGAATGAATCGCAGTAAACCCAGGCTTCCGACTCGTTGGGGTACATCCCGGGCCTTTCGACTAGGCCAAAGGGTCGCGACCAGGCGTAATCCGCCTCGGTGTGTGGGCGAACTTGCTTCCTAGGGGAGGGAATCATCGTGGTGAAAACGAACAAAAGAGATTACTCGGCCTTGTTCTTGCCGATACTGCAAGGGAAGCAGTATGTGTTCCTTTAATAGAGGCGCAGAGGGCGAATAGTCCGCTGGCCATTTTAGGAAATTCTATTAGGATGGGCGAGCCAATCCTGCGCGTTCCGCGGGCTCCAGTCCCACTTAACTTTTGTAGATTCAACCCGGATGCCTCTTCTCCCGGCCTCCACGTTGTCTCGGAACGAGAATATACTGCCTCGCAATCCAGACAAAGTAGGTTCTTTGGCCCTTACTGATGTAGAAATTATGCTGTATATCACCTGAACAGATATCCCTGCTTAGGCTCCCCCTCAAGATCCTTCACACGACTGGGGAGTATCTTTACCAGCAGGCACTCAACGCTTTGTGTCGCACGTGTACAGTAGTGCCACTCGCAACTATTTTAAATCAACCTCTTTCAGGTATAATATACAAATTGAAGGAGTATGGGAACTGTATTAGGCGGCTGTCCACAACCGGCCGGATATTGCTATGACCTTATTAACCACTATAGCGCTGATATAAATGGAATATACATGGGAGAACCATTTATTTTCTATGTAGTTCAGTATTGCTCTGCAGAAATAGCAGCGCATTTCCTGAAATGCCCACAGATGGACGTCAACCTGTGCACGCACTCTGGAGAGAGCCTGTTGTGGTTTGTCCACTAGCAGCGTCTCTCCACAGTCTAAGAACTCCTCTCGTGTCCAGAACTTGACCTCACTCGTCGGGACCGAGGAAATCATATGTTTACATCCCGTGGCTTTATGCAGCCAGACATGGCCAGGTTGGTATATTATTAGGCTGTTTCTCGACGGCAGTATGGATATCAATGCTGCTAGTGTGAATGGAGACGCTACCCTGTACCATGCTGGTTAACTTAGGAACATTTCTATGGTGACATGCCTACTGCAAGATGGAAGAATCACTGCTAACAGCAGGAATCTTTAGTATGAGACGGTACTTTATATTGCTATATATAGATTGTCTGATCTCTGACTTGATTGTCCTGGTTTTATCAGGAATATAGAAGCTAATATATGATATAATAATGATAGTCTCCCTCTTGGGGTAAAGAATATATATAGTACTCCTATATTATTTGGCTGTCCCTGGAAAGCGGTATTAACAGCACCGCCGTAGATTGTAGTGGAAGTACCGCTGTTTATTTGATTGTAAGGTCAAACTTCCTGGAGCTAGTCTAACTCTTACTTGTCTGCTATAATGTGGAGCTGAATGCTGTTGGTTATTGTGGCCGTATGCCTTTAAGATAGGCCTCTGAGGGAGGGTCTCTATCAGTACTGAGGCTCCTGCTGTAGTACCCAGGAGTGAGCCTAAGTACTTAGTATTATAGTAAATATACTCTTCTCTACTAGCATGCTGGGCGGAGAGTATATATAGTAGAAATTCTACTTCAGTAAGATAGTATTAATGTTAATCAAGAGTACGAAGCTGGGGCCTCACCACTTCATGTGTTAATTATAGAGAGACATACTAGTGTTGTTGCGCTTCTGTTAGCACAGGAAGACCATATTAACCTTAATCGCAGTACTTCTGAGGAGCACTTAACCGAGCGGTTATCCTGACACCGTGGGCTGTTTGCTCAACCATCCTGCTTTAAATACCAGGAAGTAGAAACACAATCAAGGCCATACTGCTTATGCTATGGCAAAGAAGAAGGGCCACACGAGCGTAATGCTCTTGTTGCGGACGCCTTTACCCCATGGGGGCCAAGAGAAATCTAGATAAATGAGAACAGAGGCTCTGTAGAAGGGTTACAGCAGAGAATGGTATCTGCAGACTGGACTTAAGCTTAGAGTATATTTTTATACTTCTACTGCCTGTTCTCTTTAGTAAGCATGTTAAACTGGACTCTAGTATATATTAGATATAAAGCTAAAAGTAATATTTCCTCTAACTAGTTAAGATACGGGCGGCTGTAGTTAATAATTATTATATTATTAATCTTATTAGTTACCAGCCAGCCGTTATATAAGCATAGAGTAATTGTGAACCAAGTTTAACAAAAGGAAATCCTTTTACCACGTCCGACCTTGTTTACCTCCATTCAAGTTCTTGATCAACAGCGATATGCCTAGGAGATTGGAAGCCAAGATTGCCGTCATCACCGGTGATGGCGGCGGGATTGGGTCCGCAGCTGCCCGGCTTTTCTGTCGCGAGGGGGCCAAGGTGGCCATTATTGATTCGACCCTGTAGTCGAGTCCATCAAGCGGGATGTCCAGAGAGCAGAGATTATTGGATTCCGCGCTGACCTTGGTACGGAGAGTGAGGCACAACGTGTCATTGACATGATAACGGCTATGTTCGACGGCCGTCTCGACGTCCTCGTCAACAACGTTGCAATTCGCAATTACGACCCTCTCGCCGAGACAACCTGGTCGACATGGGAGCCAGTCGTGCAGATCAACATGTTTAGCTTTGTTTCCATGGTGAGGGCTGCCCTGCCTCTCCTGCGCAAAAGCGGCAAGGCGAGCGTCATGAATGTATCGTCCGTCAACGCGGTATATGGTCGCAAGGGAATGGGCGCATACGATGCAATGAAGGCTGCAGTCTTAGCATTCACCCGAACGCTTGCCTTGGAGGTCCCGGCTACACTAGGACAGTGTTCCACACAAACAGACTAGGTGAGGACGGCGTTGATGCCATCGTTCCGCCATGTGTCATGCGTCGGTGGGCTGAGCCTGAGGAGCTCGCCTACCCTATGCTTTGGCTGGCATCGGACGAGGCCTCGTACGTGACAGCAGCGACCCTGATGGTTGATGGTGGATTCCCACTGTGAGCGTCTCAATGTCTACTTCGATGCCATGCCAGCTTTCAGGGTTGCGTTTGTCATATGTTTCACACGTTTACTTATTTTGACAGCTTCTACAAACTAAATAAAAATAAACAAAAACATACAACAGCTGGGATTCGCATGTGGTCACCCACCATACTACTAACCAGCCGGCGTGTGGCTTAAGTACGGCTGAGCGGACGGGAAGCCCTGTTTTCCACACCCTGTGGTCGTATGTACTAGATACAATTAAACCAGAGTTGGTGTAGGGATAGTTTAATTATTATTGGAGCGTCTGCTTCAAGGCTATCTCTCAATTTTTAGGGAAGCGGGCAATTGGACCATAACACCAAACCATAGAGATGGATAACTAAACTGTGGCAATGACATCCTGTAACAAGCATAAAGTATTATTGTTAATGTGTAAAACAAGCGTTCTAATGGGACACTGGTGTCAACGTAACATGACATTGGGCACCTTATTGCTTTACCCATACCGTGATATATATCTGATGCAAACACCTTTGTGTATCCAACTAGCCCAGTTCTTTCTATCTGTTTCACTATATATTTTCATTATCCTAGACAGGGCTACATTTATTCACGTACATTAATTTCTGTAGATATTCTTACTAAAACAAGTATTATGGATATGGAGAGTTACAATACAGACAGCAACTCCACCGCTTTCAACACTTTGTCATCAGGAGGGAAGGTGGGGAGTTGATCCACGAAACACCCATTTCACTTGATTCTTTTCCCTTGATTTAACAAACATCCATTCTCCCCAATATGTCGGCCACCGCAAACAATGTGATCGCTACAGGCACCTCGTCGGGCCTGGTATGTCGTAACCCCGCTTCAAGATATCAATTCCACAGCTCTGCTAATATCAAACAGGGGTTCGAAGTGATTAAACAATTGCTCGAGAAGCCCGAGCCTTACAACTTTGTTCTGGGTGCCCGAGACATTCAAAAAGCCCAAACCGCCTTTGACGAGCTCAAATACGACACCTCCAGGCATACAATCTCCCTTCTGCCGGTTGATTTTACCGATCTGCGTAGTGTACAGCTATTCGCGCAGCAGGCTCTGGCCAAGCTAGGCCACAGGAAGCTGGATCTTCTTTTCTTGTGTGCGGGAATGGCTGCTCCTGCTGAAGGACCTGGTCCTCACGGCTCACAGTGGTGTGCTTCATATGTTGTGAACCACCTCTGTAAGTTGCAACACGGGCCTGCGAGAAGGCGAGAGGTGCCTGGCTAACATGAGCTGCATTTGAACAGCTCAGCATTATCTCGTCCACCAACTCCGTGAAACCCTGGCTGCTTGTAAATCGCGCATTGTCGTGGTGTCATCCGGAGCTATTCGAAACGTTAGGAATCAAGACCCGAGTAAGTATCTCACCGTTGGCTGTAAAGCACGGCCTGGAGCATTTACTTACCTTTTTTTTTTTTTTTTTTTCGCAAGGAACCCTTGATGTCGACTTGAAGGCCAACTCTGGGGCAGACCGCGGCGTGGTGTACAGTGCCTCCAAGTTCGCCCAATTACTGGGTGCGCACTATTGGCGTCGCGAGCTGCCTGGCTGTACAGTTGTGGCAGTTTCGCCCGGCCTGATCCCCGGCACGACGCTGGCTGGAAGAGACCTGGGCTTGACCATGGACATGCCCGATGCCAAAACCGTCCCTGAGGGTAAGACGGTCCGCTCCCAATAATTATGCAAAGAATTGGCTAACCCGTATTGTGTTGAGTAGGTGCCCAGAATCTCCTCCGTGCCTGGACCATCAATGATTTCCCTGCAGACCCGGAACAAATCATGTTGACCAGCTGGGGTGAGTGGTGGCCGAAGGAAGTTTTCCAGCTTAGCTTGGACACTGCACTTCAGAACAAATGGTGCCTGAGTAGGGATGATATCGAGACAACCGAGGGCCTTTCTGCATAATGACGATACTATAGCTACTCTTCCTGTAGACAATCGCTCGCGGTGAGGTCTTACAAAGCGTTTTATTAAAAAAATTACCTAGGCTTGGTATGGCAATTGGCGCCATATTTATACTCGCACGGTTGCTGTTGGCACCGGGCTTTAGGCTTCAACACAACCGTCTTCAATTAGTCTGCGACGAGGAAGTTTATTGATTTAGAGACACTGAGTAGCATACAATCATTATCCTCTAATGACTCCAAATTTGCTAGCCTGCACGTCTGCGCGACTATGTCAACCAGTTCCAGAAGCTGGTATTCGTGATCCGGTCCAGGATATTCTGTATCGTCTCCCGAATCACCTTCAAATTCTCTTCAGCTGCTTCCAGCGACAACTGATTCTGTGGGTTCGGGTCCGCGTCGTATTGGCGTCGTGCAGAGCGCACCACATCCTGCCACTCGCCCTCGAGGGCATCGCCCCGACGCCGCGCCCAGGCAGCCGCTCGATCTCGCATGTCTTGGAAGTACGAAATCACCCACTCGTCCCAGAGGCCCAGCAGATCAATCTGGCTGGAGTGATGGGCGTTATAGAGATCCTCGAACTGCTCGAGCTCCGACCGGATGGAGTTGACGGTCTCCTGGAATCGATCCTGCACGGGATCCGCCTCCAGGTAGGCGAAGATATTCGCTGCATCTCGCAGCCAGGACAGAGCCATGTGGATATTTTCTGGGTCGTCGAGGTCCTCGCGGTCCCATGAATCCTCGGAGATGATGTTGTTGCCCGTCCAAAGCCGGCCCTTGACGGCGTTGAGCTGCTCCTCGCAGGGGATCATGGCGTCTTTGTTATTGTTGCTTCCAATGGAATTGAACATGTGGTCCATAGCATTTCCGTCGGGTGCATTGGATCCGGCCCAGGATCTGTAGTCATCCTGGAGCTGCTCTGCCACGCGCTGGGGGATCGTATTACGGCTCGTCTGCTGGCCGTCAGGCAGCTGGCCATGGATGGCGAAGCTGAGGAACTGCGCGAGGGACTGCAGCTCAAATATATGCTCAGTCACATAATTCACACTGGAATCCCCGTCGTCAGTCACTCCGACCTCGGTACAGCCGCTGGGGTTACTGATATCCATCCTCGGGTCTCCGGAGCTCCAGGGCAGTCGGCCGATTGACGGGTATGCAAGACAGTAGATGGTGAAGAGGACCTGGCCAGTTATATCAACCACATTGTATGGCCGAGGATTACCGCGGGTATCCAGCTCGTTCTCAGCGTTGCTATCGCCCATCTCAGAGCCCGGAATTGAGGGCTCTTCGCCATCTTCCAGCAATGATGGGTCTGCGGCGCCGATATTGGCCACACAAACGGCCTCGTCAATCCCGCCAGTCTCGTCGTCCAGCCCGTCGACACAGGAGAGAAGGTCATGCCCGCCGAATATTGGGTAGCCGGAAAAGTCTGGCTCGTCAGGAACCTCCAGGTCGCGAGTCGGACCAGCCACCTGGACGGCTTTGGGGCGATCGCCAATGAGGTATTGGGACTCGTCGTCTTCAGTGAAGAGCTCATGTTCACCCCCGTAGTTCATTGCCTGTGCATACCCCTCGGACTGTTGGTATATTGCCTTGTAAGCGTCAAGTCTGAGCCCCATCTCTATCCAGGTACTAAGCTGAGTTGAGGCGAGGTTGCTCTCAGCTTCCCACCCCCGCTTGGCTATGGTGGACGCATAGCTATCGCTGGTGTCATGGTAACGACCGATTTGGATATCCAGATCCACGCGGGGCTCAAGGGTAAAGGTCAGAGATCCCTGTGTGATCTTGTAGTCGCCCTCGAAATCATCGGAGCTAGTCTTGCTCTTGCTCTGGCCTGTACGCTCGCCGCCGCCTTCGGGGAAGAAGGTGAACATATAACCGTCACTTCCACCGCGGAAGCGCGTCTTGAAATCTCTGGGGACATAATTAATGACACTGTATGCGATGGAAGGGGGCGCAGTACTCACGCAACAAGACCAGCCTCAGACGCCGTCTCCACAGAAGCGAGGACCCTGAACTGGGGGGCAATGGAAACGATACCAGGGTGATAGAGACGCTGCATTCTGAGCGGAGTCTGCCAGAGCTCTTCAACAATGCGTCCGGTCTGGCTTAATGATAGACCAGTGCCTGCTGTACACGAAAGCTCTAGATCCACGTCGAAGTCGGCTCCGAGGAAGCTGTACGACTCTTGAATATCCCACGGATCCAGAGTGCCCACCATTGTGAAGCCGTATTTCACTTTGGCACCTGCGTCTCCTTTAATATCGAGTTTCAGAAACTGCTCCGAGTTGTCGCACGACCGTCCGCTTCCATAGAGAGAGTTCTCAACGCTCTTGGACATTTCCGAGTAATACAGGTCATCCTCGGGCACCTCTGTGAGCTTCTCGAATTCTAGAGAGGATCAGTAACTACACAGTACCGGCAGCAACAAATGGAATGATGTCGGCTTCTTACTCTTTTTCCAATCGTCTTCATTTGAACTGTAGAACCGTGACAACAGTTCTCGGTCGGTAGCTCTCTTTTCCTTCACGGGATCTGCGGCGAAGATATCGTACCAATATCGATACACATTTGAATAATCGATACGAACATACACCTTGTCGTCGGCTCGTTTAACGTGGCCAAAGTCGTAGTCAAAGACCAGATCCATGACCGGTCTGCTAGAATCCCTCGTCTGCAGCACTTGACTGGGGATGGACTGGTTGCCAGAAACCTCGAGGGACCTGACGACCGCATACTGACCGGGCCCGCAGCCCCTGGGCATCTTGACAATGGTGCCCTCGACACCATTCAACAGCATATCGTCACAGTTACTGCCCTCTCCATCCTTCATGCACGCAACACGCGTGGACTGCAAGCCATGCTCATCGATGTTGTCGCATGACAAGAACGTCATATGAGAGCCATCACGTTTGTCTAGATTCGACACAACATCTGGAGGACCCGAAAGCACTACGGATCCAAAGCTCTCGTGCGACGTATGCGGGTCAGTGGACGAGTCCATCGCGTCGTCGTAGACCTCATAGTCGTAATCATCGGGGGGAAGCTCGGGGAATATCTTCTCGGGAGCAATTGGAAGGAAGGCCGAGTTATCTGATACTTTGCAGCACAGTCTGGATTCCTCCGCCCTGCAGAAGATGTTGGACAGTTTGCTCTTTATCACCAGAACCTCGTCGCTAGAGAGAAAGCATTAGCAGGCCCGCCGGACACAAATGAGACGGCTAACACTCACGCGTCGCACTGATAGTCGTGGCACTTTGTCCATCGACAACCGTCCAGTTGGTTGTCTTCGTCGCAGCAAACACTGCGCTTCATCTTGTCAGGGCTCGGGCCCTCGCAGTCTCCCCCAAAGTCAGTGAAGCTAGATATCTCGGTCTTGCCGCTGGGACAGCTCGTCGTGCCGCAGTCGGTGACCTCGCAGGATCCAACAAGGTCTTCGTAGTCGTCAGACGTGCAACAGAACTGCTGTTCCCCGTAGAGGCAGTCAAAGCTGCCATACTCGCTTTGGAACAGACCCAGTTCGCCGGGCCTACATTCCGGCTTACAGGTCAGCCCCCTGTCGCCTCCTCGCCACTGACATCCGGACGGAATGTTGCTACTGGGGCAGCATATCTTGCGGTGCTCGTCGTCATCGCAGTCATCAGTAGCCCTCCCAGCCTCTGTCATGGACGACATGCACTTCTCCCCACAGCCCTGCATGACACAGTTTTGTCCGTTCTGCGACGACCAGTTGTCAATAACTAGCCCAATATTTCCGAGACTGCCGTCAAGATCGACGCTCTCGCCGACGTCTCTGTCGAGCAGCCCCGAGAGAGCCGTGTAGGAGTCATCATCCATGTCGACGGCCCATATCATCAGGCCGCCGAGTCTGTACAAGCGTTAGAAGCACGACGCAGACCATTACTGAATGCGCTGAACCTACCCAACATCATTTGCCCAGTCGACCTTTTGCTTGAACGTTTTTCTATCGTCGTATGACACCCACTGGTCACCATCAAATGTAAAATAGTTGACGGCGTTCTCTTTGTCATGTATGTGTTTGATTTTATCGTCGCCCTTGAGGATCTCTTGAATTTCTTCAACTCAAGTTAGCACTAGGCATGATACTTTATTGCTTCCAGGTACGCACCGAAGTATCCCAGAATGCCACCTTCTCCAGTACAGTCGCCGGCTCTTGCTGGCCCTTCGAACTTACATCCGGGCTTTGCACAATCCTTATCAGAGAGCTGGAAGGTTCGGCCGTAGAAACCAGTTCCGAGGACTACCTTGCCAGGAGGTACTTTATTCCTCCAGAGCAGGTCTGCCGCCAGCTTGATTTCTGTTAAATTGGTATGGCCGTGGACGATGTTTCCAATTTCGTTGTTCGCATCCCATACACCTGCTGCCAGTCAATTCCCCATAATCTTTCAAATACTGGGGAACAATACCGTGTAAGTCGTATGACATGATATTTGTCCAGTCCGCATACTTCAGCAGCCCCGGGACATCGAAATACTGCATGTACCTGCAACAGCGTTAGCCTTCCGTGCCACTGACCCTTCCCCATGGAACACCGACCAGTAACTAGATGGGATAGTAAATGTCAGACCATAGCCTCCGCGAGGACTGCCATCAAAGGTCTCTCGCAGTGTCTTCATCAGCGAGACAAAGTTCTTTATATCCCGCTCCTTGCCTCCCCTATCCGGGGCGCCGGGGTACTCCCTAGGGCCAGTGAGTATATAGCAAAAGAAATACGGGACCGACTAGCGCTCACCAATCCAGATCCACACCATCGAACCCATATTTGGTCATGAAGGTGACCAGATTGTCTGCGAACTTCTGCCGCTTGTCTTCATCGGCCGCTATCTCGCCAAAGAGTGGCTGCGTGTCAGTGCCATTATCCGAAAACGTCCATCCTCCGATAGCAATATACACCTCTAGATCGCCCCCCAAGGACCGGTCCTTCAGTGCCGTGACTTGTTTAAAAAGGCTTGCCGGTGTTTCTCCATCCATGGGCACAATCTCATACGTGTCTGGCTCGATAAAGGCAAAGGCGAAGTTGACATGCGTCAGCCCGGAAACAGGGATATCACTGGGAGAGAACTTCTTGCAAGGTCGCCGCGCGGCCCTAGTCATTTCCGTTTAGTAGGGTCCCCGTGTTTGTAAGGATGGAATTTTGTTATACTCACCATGACTCGTAGTACCCGATTACCTTATTGCGAACAGATTTCGAGCTCCCACCGGGAGGCACATCGGGCGAGCCACAGTTGCTCTGGCACTTGTCGTTGCAGAATTTCTCAGTCGTACCACAGTATCCGAATCTAGCAGGGCTCGTTAGATTCGCAGAGGCAAATGCGGGGGAAAGACTGAGTATAACATACTCACTACAGCAAACATTCAACGGGCATTCCTTACCCGGGTCCGCGGCAAATTCGCCGCACTCTGCGTGTGCATCACAGTTGGATTGGCAACCATCGCCGCAGAACGTTGGGCCTAGGAGCGTCAGCTATCTCGTGTAAATTGGTAGGAGGAAGGGGTCTCTGTGTACCGAATCCACAGACTCCGGTCTTGCCGCTGTTTGGAACGTTAGGGCACGAATTTTGCGCGAGATAGCTTGCTTACCAGCAGGCACCATTCGAGCATGGCGTGTCTGCATCACACTTCTGGCCTTCATCTGCTGCCGCCAAAAGTTTTGAGCCGAATAAGTCCAGCGACCGGCCTTGGAGTCCACTTTGTCGTTCGTGATGGCTGGATCTCGCGATGTTGCCGGAACATCGAGTAGCAACAGGGAAGAGAGCGAAGATGAGAAGAAATGAAGTCACGATAAATATCGTACACGGGGAACGAAGGTTACCCATGGCAATGAGTGTCCTCCAGACAAGGCCGTTCTATCTCCTTTATCGTGAGCGCAGAAATAGGGATATATTGCCAGACCTGCATGAGGATTCCGGCTCTCTTTTCAACACATCCCGCACCAGGCGCAGTTGAGAGCGGGACTTTCTCGTCCCTCCAATCGTAGTATCCATACTATCCAAATCAAGCCCCCCGTGGGCAAATTGCACTCGCTGGGTCATGGTGTGACCGAGCTCAACAGCACGATCTTCTGCAACGCCCAGCTGAAATCCCTCAGCTCTCCTGCCCCTGCAGCTCTCATGCACGCGAATACAACCCTCCTGCATGGCGGGACGGCACGCATTCCTCCTGCAGCGCAGCGATTTACTACATCTGTACCAGCCCTGGCGCCGGCGCACGATACTTCCCGAATCAACCACGCCGATCTGAGATCCGCCAAGAATCCGCCGTCTTGGCTGGGGGGGAAGCATCAGGCCTCCCGCTTGGCTAGCGCGCGATCTCGACCCTCTAGCCCTCATTGGACCCGTTGGGAGCGCAGTCTCTGCAGAAGATTGTCGATCCTCATCTTCCCGATGCAGCCCTTCACGGAGTTTCCGCCATCGGTACCCTAGACTTCCTCAGCCTCGTCGGAGCTGACCTGATCTGGCCTGGTGGATCGGTCTTATATCTTTCCTGTGTCCGGCGATGAGGGGTTGACACCCGAGAATCCATCCATCACCCTTCCCACTTACACCATGCGGACGGCGAGAATCCATTCTCTGCTCTGGCTCGTCCTCGGGCTTGGTGCGCTTGGCCAGCGGTTTACCGATGGCACAGGCTACGATATAGACCTCCCGGGGGTGTCTGACGGCTGCAAAGAGGTCATCAATTCCACCATTGCCTGCGATAGGTTTCTTGCCAGTGCTTTAGATAGTGGCACCCCGCCGTCAGCTGATAGGTTAGACAAGGTGTGCGATCAGGACTGTGTGAAGTCACTGAAGGACTATCGTGGCAAGGTGAAGAAAGCATGTACCGGAAAGTCTGATATCATTGTGGCGGATGATATCGCATACAATGCTACTTATACCGCGGATGAGCTGCTGTACAGCTACAATGTGACCTGCGATACGGAGGAGTAAGCTACGTTTGACCTTTTGGTTCTCTATGTGTCTGCAAGCTAATGCCTGTCCTAAAGAAAGACGGATGCCTACTGCTGGATTGAGCTTGCCAAGATTAATGGTACACTTACCCCCGAGGAGGAGTGCTCTGACTGCCTGCTTGGGAGGTACCAGATCGATCTGAACTCTCCATTCGGGTATACGGAGAAGCTGGCGAAGAAGTTCTCCTCCCTTGTGTCCAGCTGCTCGGCTACTGGCTATCCTGTTACTTCGCCCACCCCCATTGCACTTAATGGCACCGATGCCCCAACCCCGACTCCGATTTCATGCAGTCAGTCCGAAAAGTACACCATCAAGGATGGCGATGACTGCAAGTCCATCAGTGTTGCGCATAATGTGTCCACATGGGCCTTGCTGCAGCACAATGACCTTCAGGCGTACTGCCAAAACTTCCCGGGAAAAGGAACATCTTTGTGTCTTCCCAAGCAGTGTAACATCTACACGCTCAAACAAAATGATACGTGCGATGGAATTGTGGGCTCCCAGCCTGGCGACATCTCTGTGACTCAGTTGAGGTCCTGGAACCCATTTATCAACAAGATGTGTGGTAACTTGTTCCAGTGGACCGGGTACCAAATCTGCGTGAGGTTCGTCCCCCCCAATCTGCAACACCCTTTTGATACTCTCCCTAACGATAGTACAGTCCCCCTGGTAGTGACCTCGATCCAGTCCCCAGCCCAACCCCAAGCCCTACCAAGTGCGAAGGGTTATGGCAGCCAACCAGCTGTGAAACCCCTCCACCAACAGACATAGTCTGGCCCGATGATCCAGGCGTTATCGGCCAACCTCTGGCGAAGGGAACCTGGTCGAACTGCACGGCGTACACGACGTACCTCAACTCATCGGCACCAGAATACGACAACGCATGTCGAAACGTCGCGCGGTTCTACGAGGTGTCCCTTGCAAACCTGCAGAGATGGAATCCGTCGCTAGGCAAGAACTCTACAAACTGCCAGATCAAGAAGGGATACCGGTACTGTGCTGTGTATGGTGCGTATCTTCCCACTCATGCTGGACTTATTTTCCCCTTCCATCTTCTAACGTAGATCTAGAGCGTGCACCAGCGCCCACTACCACCTCATCCACGTCCAGTACGCCCAAACCAACCGGGTCACCGAGCACGACTCCATCAGGTTCCCCATCGCCCACTTCTACGAGTACGACGACGACGACGAAAACAACGACATCCACAACAACAAGCCCGACAATGGACCCAACGCCGTCGCCAGTGCAGGACGGCATCAGCAAGAGCTGCGACAAGTTTTACAAGGTGGAGAAGGATGACGATTGCTACGGGATTGCCAAGGACAAGAAGATCAGCGAGGAGGACTTTTACAAATGGAACCCGGCTGTGAAGGACGACTGCTCCATGTTACTGTATGGGTTCTATGTCTGTGTTGGGGTTTCCAAGTAGTAGTCAGATATCAAGGAAGTAAGATGTTGGTTCCGTCTGTGGGCAACAATAATACAAGACAACCAATGAGGTCATAGTAAGCTGTACCCAATGAAGATTAGCGCATAATCAACATATATATATGAGGGTCACCCCGAGGCCAAGGTGTAGTCGACTGTTTATTTCTCACACCCCTTGGTTTTATTCCACGAAACACCATGTCGGATGCTGGAAGGAATTACATACCCCCCTGGATGCGCTACATGCAGCGCGACACCGGACACTGGGGCTTTGTCATCTACCGGTGCGCATGCTACGGCGACCCCGATCGATGGGCCCGGTACCGCGCAGCGCTGGACCGGGTCTGGGACAATGCGTGGAAGCTCTGGTTCCGCAGTTACCGCTCTAATGGGGTCACTGAGGAGATGTGGCACGTGGCAACGGAGCGGATGGATTTGGTGTGGGTAGAGGATGAGGAATTGCAGGGTAAGGGAGTGGATGAAGTCCGGAGGTGAGTTTAACCCTATTCCTACTCTCTATTGTGGGATAGAAAGAAATTAGTAGATGGATTGAGATTCACTGACTGGCCGGTGAAGCTCCTTCAAGAAACTGCAACAAGCCATGCCATCACCAGACGCCGAGCCTCGACTCAGCCAAGACCCCTGGAATTTGGATCTACCGATTCCCTACCACAAGGACCGCCAGGTCTGTCTCTTAGTCGATGAGGAGTCCGTCACGTCCCTGCTCGGTGCACCAGGGCAGGAGGTCTCGCTGCCGGAGGACCCAATGAGTGCTATTCGCAAGCACGTCCGCAACAGCTACATCATAGCAGTCGATGCAGACTACAGCCCGGAGAACGGCTATGTTTCTGGGAGAGCGCCGGCTCCGTACACCGGCTGGGTTAGAATCGCTGTGGGGGTTGTTTTCACAGAACTATGTCCCAAGAGGATCTGGATTAATGATATGCTTCCTCTGGATTATATGTATAGTCAGGCCTATGAGCGGGACTCTTCGGGTGGGGTTTGGAGTGGATAGAGAAGAGAGAGACGCCTATGGATCTTTCGTGTCTGTTGCTCATCTTCCAGGCGATCAAGCATTTCTTTGAGATTTGTAGAGACGGGATTCTTGCATAGATTACGCCCGTAGGTATCAGTGTAGAGGATTCAGTTCCATTCTCATGATGTGAATGCCAGTTACCCTGGCAGGCAACTACTATTATGTATATATACCTAGCAGCAATACTGCAGTATCCTCCATCTAAACCAACACGCATATCCGTTTCGTATATTCCAACTTAGTGCCATCTCTTGCGGCACTCTACTGTTGAACATGCTCCTTGGCCCATTCATCCAGATTGCCGTAGACATGTAGCCAAAGCGATGTGTGATCGAGATCCTAAAGCCCATGGTTAGGCCCTCCAGCAGAGTATTGTAGTATGACACTCACGTGGGTTCGCGGATCTGCTTCGACCTCTCGGAACGCCTTCACAGCAGCTTCGCCCGCGGTGGGATTGATTCCAACCTTCTTGGCCGACTCAATCCCAATAGTCAGGTCTTTGACACTCAATTCAGGTCCGAACGCCCTTTTGTAGCCATTGCTGGAGGGTGCATCAGGCACAAGGCCAGGAATTGGCTGCTCCAGACCCATAACCCAGGAATTGGCCGTACCTTCTCTGATACATTTAAAGAGAGCATTCTTGTTGATTCCGTATTTCAGCCCGATGGCCATGCCCTCTGTTGCGACCAGGTTGTTCCCCAGGGTAATATAATTATGGGCAATCTTCGCCACTTGTCCCATACCAAGACCTCCGCAGAAGGCGATTGTGCTGGGTACCCCGACTAGGGACAAGGTCTCATAGATGCGCTTGCCTACCGCGTCTGTCTCGGTAGGCTCTGCGTGGCCAACCATAAAGGACAGGGTCCCTGCGTTCGCCCCCCACATTCCGCCCGAGACAGTGGCGTCGACAAAGCCACCCACCCCAGCGTCGATGATGGTCTTTCCGATTTCCTGGGTTGATTCAATCTCAATCGTGCTGCAGTCGATACAAAGTCGGACTGAGCTTTTGGCGGCTGCGATTACACCATTCTCGGCGTCTAAATATACTTTGCGCACGTGGGCTCCGGCAGGTAGACTTGAGAGCAGCGTTCCGACTTTAGAAGCTAGATCCTTAGGCGAGGAGGCGGCTTCAATCTTTCCGTAGCTGCCATATTCGGTTATAAGACGCTGGATCACCTCCTGGTTGATGTCGTAAACGTAAAGTGTAGTTGAGGATGGAAGCTTCTTGCGCAAGTTGCTGGCCATGCCATAGCCAATGATGCCGAGGCCTGCACATTAGCTCCCTTCCGTTGACTCAAGGTACGCTGAATCTTACCGATGACGCCGTAACCTGAAGACATGGTTGTGGTACGGATTCTTCGATAACAGTCAAGATAATCGAGGTAAATGAGGTGATATACTTCGATAGTATACGGTCCTACCCGACCCCGTGACCGGGACTGTTCCCGTTGTTCTTACTCGCCAATCAGCGCCAGAACAGTTATGGGAACGGCCCGTAGGCGACGGGCCGCTTGAGCAAGAATAGTACAGAATCAATGGCAATATCATCATAGTGTAGGTTAACTACCGGGTTATTGCCAGTGGTAGCAGAGGTATCACAATCCTGTGTTGGCTGATAACCTGTCCTGCTGCGGAGTACCTAACTGAATAATGACATTCCAGAGCGAAATCCATACATTTTACTCAGGCCGGGCCCAACCCGAATCCTCCTCCTCATCCACATTCACTACAATCGATCCGAGCACGGCACAGCCACTCGCAACGGTCCACACTACTACCACCAAACAATTAGACAACGCAGTTGCTTCAGCCCACGCAGCTTTTCCATCATGGTCTCAAACCCCGCCGTCACGACGGGCGGCCATCTTGCTACGAGCCGCTGCGATCCTCCGCGAGCGCAATGACGAGCTGGCCCGTATTGAGACTCTGGATACGGGCAAGCCGTGGTCAGAGACATCAACAGTTGACATCGCGACCGGCGCCGATGTTCTCGAGTACTACGCCCATTTCGTGGCCTGCGCTCTGCCAGGACGACACTTGTCCCTGGGACCGAACCGGTATTGCTCGACGACTTATGAGCCGCTTGGAGTTTGTGCTGGAATCGGAGCTTGGAATTATCCTATACAAATTGCGCTGTGGAAATCGGCTCCCTGCCTGGCGGCGGGGAATTGCATGATATATAAACCGAGTGAGGTGACGCCTCTTCACGGTAATGCCCTCGCCCAGATCTATATTGAAGCCGGTGTACCGCCGGGCGTATTTAATGTCGTTTATGGTGACGGCCCGGATGTTGGTGCCTCGCTGGTTGCTCACGAGGGCATCGCCAAGGTGAGTTTCACAGGGCAGGTCAGCACTGGCAGCATGGTCGCTTCGCGGGCGGCTAAGGGAATGAAAGGGATTACAATGGAGCTGGGAGGGAAGAGCCCACTCCTGATACTCCCCGATGCGGATATTGAGGAGGCCGTCGATATCGCCATGGCAGCCAACTTTTTTTCAACCGGCCAGGTTTGCACAAATGGAACGCGTGTCTTTGTACCTGATACCCTGCAAGAGCGGTTCGAGCAGACTTTGATTAAACGCTGTCGGGAACGAATAATCATGGGCCGACCAATGGAGGTGGAAACCAACTTTGGACCTGTCGTTAGCAGTGCGCACAGAGGAAAGGTCAACATGTATATCGAGCATGGGCGCAAGGTTGATGCAGCACGCGTGTTGTACGATGGGGCAGTTGATATCCAGAAAGGGTTTCCGTCGCAGGACGGCTTCTGGGTGCCCCCGGTTATATTCACGGACTGCACCGATGATATGCGGATTACACGAGAGGAGATATTCGGTCCGGTTATGAGTATCCTACCGTACGATACGGCATCCCACGCAGACGAGGGCTGGTTGGATGATCTCATACGACGGGCGAACAACACTGTGACGGGTCTTGCTGCAGGTGTAGCTTCAGCCGACATCGGCCTTGCTGAACGGGTTATTCAGCGTCTGGATGCTGGTATCTGCTGGATTAACACTTGGGGTGAAAGTCCGGCAGAAATGCCTGTCGGTGGCTGGAAGATGAGCGGTATTGGGGTGGAAAATGGACCTGAAGGAATTCTGGCGTATCTCCGAACTAAGAGTACGTTGGTCCAGCGTGGTAAAGGGGCATGCAGTGACACGTTCTCAAATATCATAAAAAGTAGTTAGATTCCTTTTCCTTGTGGATAGTCTGTCCTGCAAAATCAACAAAGCAGTTTTTGTAGCTATTACGAAAGTGTACGTACTATTCTATTTCATTCTGCTGGATCTATACTACAGTCACAAATCATCAGATAGAGCACCTATACATAGGTTACAAATTCCCAAAATTCCACGACGTAGAAGGTCCATCCGAATTATCACCTCCGGTCGGAACCCCGGTGAAATAAAGAAGATCCTCAGCACCGCCATATCCAAACGGGTCCGACCAAAGCCAGGGTGTGTTGAACGCGAATCTGCCTGGATTTCCAATGCTGCCAATACCACCGTTTGTTGAACTGGTTTTATACGGCGGCAATGACGCATCGTGCCCTTGAGAGAGGTCTGTTTTGATGGCTGGGGGTGTTCCGGTAGTCCCAATTTCGATTATTGCGGTTTGCTCTGGTTCTGTGATACCGATTGAGATCGAGGATGTGGAAGAGTCGGATGGTGAAGTGGAAATGTCGAATTGCAGGATCGCCCACATCAACGGAATGCTGAGTTGTATTTTCGAGAGTGACTGCTCGGAATCCCAGTCTTGGGATGCCAGTGCTACTTTGGTTAATTTCTCGAGTAACTCAGCCTGTACCTTGTTAATATTGGCTGGTGATGAGTAGGACTTTGGAACTGACCAAGCGTTGGCACGCAGGTGAAACCGGCGAAAAGCTTTCCAGGAATTGTTTACACTTTGTGAAATGCGCCTTGGACTTTTGTCTCAGGCCTAGGTCGGCCGCGGCGCAGAAGTAAAGATGGACTGTAGCAGCAATTGCAGCAGCATGGCCAAGGAACGGATCAACAAGGTTGAGTTTCTTCTCTGTCGCCAGGTCGATTGTGCGGACAATCCACGTAGCATGTAGAAGAACGAGTTCTGATGACCTTCGCCAGAACGTATTCGGAGTCGCGAGATTAGAATCATATTCGCACGCCGTGAGGTATAGGAATGGATGGTTTAGCATAACCAATACTGAGTGCCAGGTCAACTGCAGTTTCAGCCAGGGTATCCAGTAATCCCTGTCCCGGTGGACTTCGTCTACCGGACGCTCGTGAAATTTAACGATGTTATATCGGTGGCATAGAGGGGACTTGTTTTCAATCTCTGTCAGATCTGCAAGGACGCTCGCGTAGGTCGAATCGAGACGCCACGGCTCTTCTAACGAGGGTTTTCGAGACATCTCAGACACATGTTGTCTGACTCTGCCCCAGGTCCATGCAAAATGGAGAGATAGATTCCAAAGCCCGATGCCTGATATTGCGGAACCCCCGGCAGGGTCTTTTGGGAACGCCATGTCTCTGTCGTGTGTAACAAAGAATGGACGCAGAACGTTTATTGGTGCCCGGAGAATGCCACACTGGTCACCGTAGAGCCACTCTAAAAGCTGAAGACTCCAGAGTACCCTCTTTTCGCGCTCCGTGGTCGGACCTTCGCTGTCTAGGACCGATGGATTATCCAGCTTCTGTGACCGGCAGAGTTGAAGACCAAGGCCAAGATAAAATTGGCCCAGGTGCATATTGCCATCTTCTCCTGTCAGTATCAGAGCTGAAGAGAAAGGTTGGGGATCTTACCAATAAAGGATGAGTATGAAAGTAAACAGAGGCTTTCAATACTTTCAGTCTCAACCGTGCCTTTTGCCATCTGGAGCATAATTAACCATCTTGCATTTTCACCATAGGCTGGAAGTTGTTCATTCGTTCGTGAGAAGCGCGCGGCAACCTGTAGAATGCTATGGGCAAGCTGTGTAGGGATCTGTGAGTAACTGCTCAGATCCTGGCAATCGAAGCACCAGATAGGCTGCCGGTGAAACCACTTGAAGTAAATGTCAATGCCCTGGGAGATGGCGGACTCTTGAATGGTCGAAGATGAAGCATCGAATTCGGGGAGTTGTTGAGGAGGGGGTGAGACTGGGATATCTGGGTTCCGGTGTGGACTTGCCCGCGGTGGCTCGCGCGGTGGGCTTTCATCAACGACATTAGAAACCTGGTTTTGCAGGCTGGCGCTCAAAAGCAGGTCGACCTTTTGCTCCAATTCTGCTAATCGCTCCTGCCACGGTATTAACATTAAACCGCTGTGGGATCGATATATGATGAACTGCGTACAGACGAGGCCGGCTCATCATAAACACAACGCCGGCCAAGACGAACACAGCTTGAGCAGGCCGGTCTTTCGGAAGGACATCGAGCTTTTTTCTTTCTGTTTGTGGTTAGTTTGAACACCAGAGATAGACGAAGTTGCGAATACACTGACCGGCAGTTTTGGCAGGCTTGGCGGGCACGGATTCGCTCGCGGTTGGGATCTCTCGGCATGGCGATTGCCGAAGCAGAATAGTGAACGTAAGAACACAAGTTGTCTGAAGAAGAACTGGATGATCAGAGGTCCAGGCACGAGGTTGGTTGGATGTTGGGGGAGAGTTGGAGGCGGGGCTGATATAGTGGAGTGGGGCAAATGATTGGAGGTTATATGTTGAAGTCTGTCGGCAACGATGATTTCGAAACAGACAGGAATTGGATCGGTATAGCAGCGGACGACGAATAAGCAGTCGCATGAATCGCACAGCCCCTAGACAAACTAACAAACATCATCTGTCAGAATCGGATTTCGTCATGTGAAATCGGAACTCGAGCCCGATCAAGACCGACTCGCTATAAGCATGCACACGGAGTAGTTAACTAGGTTACCATCTCACTCTATTAGTAAGCACTTGCAGCGTAAATAGAGTGAAAGGCCCTCCGTGCGTCGGCCAAATATTGCATGCTTTCAATACTCAAAAATCTAAACTTATTCAAACCATCCAAGCGATCATAATGCTCCAACTACGCCCGAACTGCGAATATTGCGACAAGGACCTGCCTCCAACGTCAACAGAGGCGCGCATATGTTCCTACGAGTGCACCTTCTGTGCTGACTGCGCCGAGACAAAACTCGCCAACGTCTGCCCTAACTGCGGCGGCAACATGACTCCGCGACCAATCCGTCCTTCGAAAGAATGGCGCACTGGTCTGTGCATAGCGAAGCAACCGCCGTCGGATAAACGTGTGCATTTAAAGTACAGTATTGAGGATGCTGCCGCGCTCGCGACGAGTGTCAACAACATCAGACCACAAGATCGTTAGTTCTATCTCTGATGGGGCTGGTTATCATAACGAAGCTCGCTCGACTCAGCCGCCTTGAATTTCTGTGACTGGTACGTCGCACATAGGGAGCTCTTCGCAGTACACAGTCAATACAGACACCTTCATCCTGCCTCCACTGCTGTCCAAGTAGCAGTAACTGGTTTTCGAGGTCATGATACCACCGCTATACATTTAAGTTTTAAATACTGAGCATTCTTCAAAAGGCTTGTACTAGCATTACCCACTACCAATATCTTATTAATATTCTAGAACCGTGTGTGTCTTGTTGTTCCCTCTTGAGCTTCTGCTTTGTCAAGCATCGCTGTGACTGACTTGCAAATATCTGACCTCACTCCGTGGTGAGAGACTCGCCTTGTAGCAACTGCCATTTAATTAGGTAATAGCGTCCACTGGAAGACTGTCCTCCGCCATGAACGCTAAGCCTGTGCTTTCAAGCTTGCCAGCTCGGCCAAGAATGTTGGCACTTGGCACATTGATGGCCATCTGACAGCGCGGCGTACATATGCGAGTAAGGAGAAAGAATAACTGCACATTCCCGACACTGGAATGTAGAACAAGACTTCTACGGTCCAATAACGCTTCAGCTTTGTGCCACTCGCTTCTTCGCATGTGGTGGTTGAAAGGAGGCCAGCTTTGGCCAAGAAGCCTGTGATAGCCGCTATGACATCGTCCAAGACCTTCGCCACTTGCTTCTCCTTGACCAGACTGGATCCTCGATACTTTCCCTGATCCTCGGCCCATGTCACAGCATCATTCGATGTCAATCCCATGAGCGGGGCTGAAGACCTTGTCGATCGATGGCAGGGCTGCTGCCTGTGCCCCGCATACCAAGCCCTACATAAACAAAGCCCCTTTTCAGCCATTTTCACCTCTCGGCTTCTTTCGAATCTTTCATCTGCATTTCCGTTTCAAAAACGAAACTTTCCTTCAAAATAACTACTGCACCGATCGACGCTGCCACCGATGCCTCGCGAGTTTCAGCCATTTTTGCAGCGCTTCCTCAAGAATTCGAACCACAAAGCTACCGCTCAACCGCCAGTCAACAACAGCCTCATCGCCCCAGGGGACGCCGACCTACCGAGAGCCGGATATGGCTCGACCTCGACTGGCGAGCCGGGTCGCAGAGACTCTTCAGCGAGCTTCGCGTTCAACCTGAAAGATGCGGAGCACCCCTCCCATAGCCACTTCCCGCCGTCACGACGAGGGAGCCTTTGGGATGGCTTGACGGACTTTGTTGGATCTAAAAAGAGCAGTCGCTCGAATTCTGTTATCTCCATACCACCGCGCGAGGACTGGAAACATTTGGCAGATACTCAGCCCAGCAAGGACCAGGCGCTGGAAAATGACAAGATGACTGCGATTACAAACAAGTACGGTGATATTATCCAGGTTACAGGCCTTGGCGACTATGCAGTGATATTGCAGACTCACAAGGTGCAATATTGTCCTCCACTGGATAACTACTACGCATTGAAAATCTTCCGAAGCCACCCCGATGAAAGCCGAGACCACTACACGAAGCGAGTGACCTCTGAGTTCGCGATTGTGTCGGAGCTCCATCATCAAAACATTCTTCGGACATTCGAGCTCCTCCCGATTGGTCGGAGGAACCTCTGCGCGTGCATGGAGTACTGCGCCGGCGGAGACCTGCACTCGCTTATTACTGCGACTCGCAAAGTGCCAGAGGAGGAAGCAAGCTGTTTGCTAAAGCAGCTTCTACGCGGTGTCCATTACCTTCACGAGCAAGGCGTCGCGCACCGCGACCTCAAGCCTGAGAACCTCCTTCTCACCAACAGAGGGTGTTTGAGGATCTCTGACTTTGGCCATTCAGAACGGTTCCGTGAGCCTGGCGATGATAAGGACCATGTACGGCTGACTACGGGAAGACGAAACTCGCGCCCGTACCTCTCCCCCGAGCAATTTCTCGACGGCCAGTTCGATCCTCGTTGCGTTGATGTCTGGGCTGCAGCTCTCGTGTACGTTGCTATGAGGACGGGGCGAAATATGTGGAAAGAGGCGACGGAGGAGGATGGGGAGTTCAAGCAGTTCAAGGAGACGGGGAAGAATGCCCTGCTTGATGAGATCTGCAATGTTTGTTACCCTGGAGCCTTTATTATTCTAGACGCTGATTCTTTTATCTAGGACCGGAACCGCACAACTCTCCTACGCATGCTAAGTGTCGACCCAACGAGCCGCCCTGGGGCCGCTGAGATATTGGCCTCGGACTGGCTTCAGGGCGTCCATACCTGTGTCCCTCCCCCTGGGGTATAATACTCGGAGCTACGCAATGCGAAGCCGGTGGATTGTCCACGCATTCGGCGTGATTTGGGCGGAGAACGGGAGATCTTGGATTATGCAATATACCCACTCGTTAGAGATAGTGTGAACTCTCGCTTTGACGTTCCTGTTTATAACGTTCTTAAATAAATCACAAAGATTCTTGCCCGGACATGCTGTGCCTATCTTTGTAGGAGTGCGCTGCAAATGTCCTGGTTACTGAAGATCTGAGGATCGACGTTCTAGGGTTGCGGCCCGGACTGTCAATCTGGCTCTTCAGCTACTGGGGGTGTTCCAGGGGCCAACGTTGTTCTCCTCTTTTATCGGACCCTGTTCGTGTTTAATAAACGCTCAAAATGGTTTCCTCTTCCAAACTGGGTAGCACCTCCACGGGCAGCTGCAGCCAGTGTTGGAGAGCTTTCCGCATACAGTTGGGCTTTGGAGATTGAGAAATAATCGACCCACTGGCACAAATGGATTTCAAAGCATCCTTGATAGAAAATATTTAAGATGAATAGAGTCGCCAAACTCATGCTGGCCAGAAATTATCATCACTGTCATGGCGTCTAACGACAGCGGCCCGGCAACATGCAGGGAACAAGGAAAGCCTGCTGAGTTGCCCTCACTGACAGCCGAATGTACCTGCAAGGAAGGTTGCACTCATTCGCGCGATGGCAGAAATTGGAGAAGTCGTCGAAATCGTGTCTAGTGATATTTTCTGCTACAATACTTCAGTGAGCGAACATCCAACCACAGATTTTAGAGAACATCAACACATGTAATACCGCGCTGAAGGTCGTTTTGGAGCGTCTCCCTGACTTTTTTCACCGTCTTCACCACAGATAGGGTCTATCTCCGGGATTGCCGGGCAAGAAACGCTCCGCTGTGTACTAGTGATAAGGAGTTGGTAGACAAGCTATGGGGGTTGAGCGAAGATCCCACGCAACCACACTGCCAATGGACGCGTCATGTTGAGATATTCAAGTTCAGAGAACGGCACTCTTTATGATGTGAGGCGGCTGCAATTAGCTTACTGCGGGTTTGGCGTGTGCGCTGTGAGTCGTGGAAGCCCTGCATAGAGGCCGAGGATTGTGGGCCAGTCAGCAATTAGTGCAACGGACTCTTGGCAGTATTTCTTGCAGTCCAGGCGTCCGTTTGAGGGGATGTCGATCAATATATGGTTCCTGGGATCCATTCCTCTACTCAGGCCACGATCGTCAACCCCGTAAGCAAAAAGTGCTTAGGCTGCTGGCTAGAACCTAGCGCGTCTGGAGTATCTTCGGCTGGAATAGATATCTCCGCTTTCCTCGCATTGGCTGGTCATCACCGACGTCATTTAGACTGATAAGCATGAAGATGTCTCCTATATAAAGCTGCTTCAGGCTGGGCTGGCATACGGCTAGAAGCAAGTGTGAGCACGCATCACGAACTGTCTATAAACTTCCTTTCAGCCCAGCCCTCATCCAGCGTTCTCGTCACCAATAGCAAAATGGCCCTTAACTTGACCATGCAGGCCGTCGTGTACAGCGGTACACCGTACAACGTGTCTGTTATGAATGTGCCTCGACCCACGATCATCAATGGTACGGATGCTGTTGTCCGTATTACAACTTCGGCCATCTGCGGCTCTGACCTCCACATGTACCATGGGGTTCAAGGTGGAACACCACCATGGGTGATGGGACACGAGGCACTTGGATGGATCTCCGAGGTTGGCGATGCCGTGTCTTCACTAAGTGTTGGCGACTATGTGGTGATCCCCGACAACATTGCAACTGGCCATTTGGACATGCATCCTCCTGCCATGGACTCTTTCGGTACTGGAGCCGAGCTGGGTGGACTCCAAGGTAACCTTTATCTTCATGGCTCTATCAACGACTGCTAACTGGAGGTAGCTGAATATGCACGCGTACCCTTTGCCGCCGACTCTCTGATCCCCATTCCCTTGACTGCCAACACGACCAATTCCACCATCGAACAAGACTACATGACCGTGTCGGATATCTTTGCCACTGGCTGGTCTGCCATCACCTACTCCGGGTTCGAGCCAGGGGACTCGGTCGCAGTATTCGGGGCTGGCCCTGTTGGTCTTTTGGCTGCATACTCCGCTATACTCCGTGGCGCATCGCGTGTTTATTCTATCGACCGTGTTCCCATGCGCTTGGAACGCGCTGAGTCAATCGGAGCGATTCCCATCAATTTTGCCGAAACAGACCCAGTCGCACAGATCCTCTCCCTCGAGCCCGATGGGGTCACCAGAGCCGTGGACTGCGTGGGAATGGAGGCCGTCAACAGAACGGGAGATATCGATGAGAATATTGTACTGGAAAATATGGTCGGCGTCGCCGCATCACAGGGCGGGCTGGGCCAAGTTGGCGTCTACATGGCTCAAGCTAGTTCTCCTGGTGCACCGCTGGGAGATACTCTCTCCCCAAATGTCTCGTTTCCCATCACGGAGTTCTTTGGCAAGCATCTGCGATATGAAGCGGGGGTTGTGGATCCCAAGGTCGTAGCTCCTGAGCTGGTGCAGTTGATTGCTTCTGGTGTCGCAAGCCCTAGTTTTATCACGAGCGAGGCCATCAGGATCGAGGACGCGCCCAGATATTATCAGCGGTTTGACCGTCATCAGGAGCTCAAGGTGTATATACAATTTCCTTAGATTAGGGTTGGACGTGCGATGCCGCAATGTATGTCAGCTCTACAGCACTCCAATATAAGTTTGCACCTCTCCAAGTATATGTTGCCTCCTACAAGGTGTGCTGTTGGCGAGAACTGCATAACATTATAGGCCATGCAAAGACGATCAAATTGTTCATGGCCAGATATTTTCCCAATCGTAACTATGGCTATCCTTCTCCGCCTATTTGACAAGCATGAAACATCTATCATGGCCCTACCCTTTAGGAAAATTGCATGATAAGCCTCGTTCGTGACTCATACAACACCCAATCCTGTAACGCCAAGTATCAGGTTCAATGTCAGCGTCTTCGAACAGGCACTACACAGAAAACACCAGGCGCAAGTCCAACTAGGCTTAATTGCAGAATTGACCTAACAGCGTGCATAGCATCCTTGGCCCCCCAAAGATCCACCAGCTCAAATCCACATCCTCATGCAAATACCATCACAAAAAATCGGACTTTCCAGTCCCATTACACGTGTCACAATGAAGGTACTGGTGCCCGGTCCCCGAGCAAAAGTTGCAATAGTGCTCCTTATTCTTGCGCTCGTTGCAGACTTCGATGATCTGGCCCTTGCCGTTGCATACGATGCATGTCTCGCTGCTGGAGGACATGGTGAATTGATTATGTTTTTGTTCGTTCGCTTTTTTTCGGAGAGAAGTGTTAGTGGGAGGATATAATAGGGTGAGGATCTTTATTGACCCTTCGGGGAGACAAAGGAACCGATAAGGATGGTTTTGGAATACATGCTTGGAGTATAGGCACATAGTAGATTTGAGGAACTTACTTGGATGACTGTTAGTAGAGGAGATTGTGGGTCTGGCCGGGTGCAGGTGGACTTGGTTGTCAGACTAAAAGGCGAAAAAATGACTTGAATATTGTTGCTCATAGTACTAGGGTGGGGATTGTCCCTGCTTATATAGCTTGGCCGGGAGGCACTACATCTTACCTTTCCCAGCAAGACCAGCCCTGCTCGCACAACCACCTGTGGCGTATCTACAGTGTGTGTACGTATGCAGGCAGCCCAAACAGGCACAGGTATCGTCGGAATCCTCTGGCGGGAAGGTATACTTGGACGACTTTCGACTGGTCCGGCTTGCCAAATACGAGCACCAACAGCGGCGGCACGCTCGCAGACTGGGAATCTGGACTGGGCGTTTTAGAGCCTCGCCTTGGCACTGCAAGGCGGCGGTTAGAAAGACGCAATTGGCAGTAATATACAGCCATAGTCGTCCTGTATTATATCTGATGACCTTGAGCCAAGGCAAGGCTACCGCAGAATAACCAGTCACATGGTTAATGCGTATAAAGCAGATTGGTTAGCCTCGTGTCTTCACCTTATGTTGTTCATGCTATAGCCCGTTAAGGATGTTGCTGGGTCTTGGTGGCTTTCGCTCAAGAGTTCTGGTTGGTTGGAAGTTCGCTTTATCCAATAGCCTCCGCAATAACGGATTCAGTAGATAGATGAATAGGTGGTGATACATTCGAAACTGCAAGAGTAGTATACTCTACATCACGTCATAGGCAGCTCTTGGGGCTATATATACGTCAATTACTCTGCGCAACAATTAGCATTGCTATTCAAATCCACTCTTCATAACCACCCCTTCCAAGTCAGCAACAACCCAAATGGCACCGAAAAAGTCAAAGCCGCAGGCTCCCGCAAGGCCACAAGCAACATACCAAGTTCAACAGGGCTATGTTGTTCAACCAGCTCAGGTCCTCGCTCCTGTCGTCATAGCATGTAAATCAGGTGGTTGTCCGTACGGGCCTGCACCGGGTTCTGATTACTGCAGTAATCGTGAGTTATTCTCCATATAATGTGACCTCCTGGGTCCCTAGCTGATCTGCCGGTGCTGGTAGATACGTGCAAGAGACAAGGCTGTAATAGGTGGAGGCAGACGAATGTGAATTCTTGTCAGACGTGCGAGAACAGCAGTAAGTGTGTCTTGGTTTCCCGTGGGTTGAAGCTAAAAATGAGTAGGTTTCGCTGTGCAGGTCAATAATCAGTGGGCGAAGCAGGGGAAGAAGTCTTCTTGGTGGTCTGGATAGTTTATATGTCGAAATATATAATACTGCGGTCGAAGTGGCAGTATGTACTAGTTAGACTTAAAGGAGACTCAACGATAGTATTTATTCAATGTGGATGCTAGTTATACTGGTTACCATCTAGTGCAGGTGTACTTCGGGTTATTCCTGTGTGTTGATCCGTGATCTCTTGACCTTGGGATTATATATCAGAGAGGATCATAACGCCACCACCTCAGACAGTATTCGACCGGAGCCTAGGAAGAGCATATGACTTATGTATCGCTGATCGCAGTATCTTGATGGGCAGTCATCTCCTTCGGGGGGAAACATGATATGCAAGTCCCTGCCTTGCCGCAGTCGTTTGAAGACGGGGTTCAGCAACTGCCCCCATAATAAGCTTGAACCGCCGCCTGGCCTTCATTTTCTGAACCCTCCAATTAACAAGCTCAACTAGAACAGTAACAGAAGCGATAAGGACACCGCCAACAATGACCCCAATAATTGCCGAAACGCTGAACCAATGCGCCACTCTGATGTACGTTCTGCCCTCATCGGGCCGCTCCGTCATCAACCCCACCTGCATTGCGGAAAGCGCCAGTGCAAAACAAATAGTCGTTGTGGTGAGCCAGGCAGCGCGGTTGTAGTCGGACCATTGGTCGAGGAAGTACATTTGTCTGGTTAGTAGACAGATTGCGTTTAGGCGGTTTGCGCGGAGTTCGCCGTAATGGAAGCGGCGGTGGATGTCCTCGTAGATAGAGGCTGAGGATGATGTTAATATCTGCTCGGCGAAGACCTGCCAGCTATTCCAGTTGACACCGGTACCTTCGCGTTCGTCAGGGAGAAGATGGACCTGCTGAGCGAGGCGAAAGTCGTGTTGTGAGGAGATGAGGACTGTGTATGTAAAGAGGAAGCCCAGGGCAATAGTCCTCTGCGACTTTGTCTTGCATTGTCCTATTGTGTGTGAGCTTATATCAAAACTTACTATAGTGGTAGGGGATATCGACTGACTGTAATTCTCACTGTGAAAGCAGTCACAACCCTCGGCACACTGCAGGCTAGTCTCCCAAAAGGCAGGAGACAGCAGAAACAGCGGAATAGGTTTGATAAAGATCCGTCCATGGTCGCATACCAGATGCATATCCATCTTCTCACAGATGACTATCTCACGCTGCAATACCAGTTGGTAGTGTAACGGCTGTGGCGGCACTGGAAGTCCGGCAAGCCACAGATAGTCATAAATGCTGTCAAGCTTTGCGACCGAGAGCTCTGCGTCCAGGAAGCCATTCTAGTTATCTTTAACAAGTTGTAGCTCGGCAAGTTCTGTCCGATACGTGGAAGGGAAGAGTACCTCCCGTTTGGCCTTGGCTTCTTCGGCTGCTGGGATATTGAGCAAATCGATTGTAAACGGCGGCTCCTGCTCTTTTTGATGATGGTGCTCTCGAGTACGATAATCATCATCCAGTTTCATATTTGCGAGGTTGGCGGTGTCTGGCATCAGAGGTTGTGGCAGCTGCTAGGAGCAGGATAGCTATAGAAGGTCGCATTTCGGCGCAGTATGAGGGGATAATAAACAGGTATTGGTAGGAAGATCACAGAGAACTGTGAAACTGAGCAATGGTTCTCATCGGTAGTGCGTTGGGTTATTGCGCTGCTGAACGATTCGTTGGTAAACCACGCGTGGATACTATCGACTTTGCGCCCCTCGACAGCATCGTCTAATCCTCATTTACGACCTTGAGGTACTCCTGGTAATGGCGCGCCCTGAACTTGACTATCTTGGCTGCCTCGGCTTCTTTGTCTCTGACATAGTCCCAGGGCGTCGGCCTAATGTGACCCGCGTTGCGGCCTGTACCTCCTGAGCAGGACTGTCGGGCCCTCGATCATGGCAATCTGAAGGGGAGATTTTCACCCTCCACGGCATCCACACCAGATAGCCATAATTAGGGTGGAGTGCAGTGCCACGAAGAGTTAGTTGTTAAGGTCTTACATGTCGACGGGTCCACAAGCAAAGGAGATGATGCTGCTCGTGGGTGAAATGTGCCCGGTACTGGAACACGATAGTTTGGGCTTTGCTTCGGAGTCGGGTTACAACCAACCATGCCATCGCGTCCTCGTAAGTTTCAACAGTCAATCCCACGTCGGTGCTGCTGGCATCTATGCAGGGTTAAATATAGCATCACGACTGGATATGCTGGATACGAGGCACCCCCACTTTCAAGGGTCTGATCAGTCTGCCAACCCCAGATAAGTCGCACTGCTAAGCGAAGCCAAGAGCCTAATCATGCATCACGTCGTGAAGTGAGCGATCGTCATTTAACGGATACTTATTATAAATGCGGTCTCTCCCTCAAGAACTCGTATCTGCTGGTCTAACAAGTGTTCCGAATCTTGTCTCATGTTTATAACGAACATTCTGCCATGATTGATAGCTGACAGACCCAATGATGCGCGGTAATGTTTATGGATAATCCTTTTACTCCGCCAGACGATGGCTGGACATTCACCGTGGGAAAGCCCACAACGATCGAGTGGAATCCAACCACGAAAGGCAAAGTAACTCTGTGGCTGCGACACTCAGATGGAGGCGCTGGGTGGACGATCGCAATCGCCGGTGCGTCTACTTGATATTCTCTTAAACCACATCCGCTACGCAGAGCACTCCACTGAATTCTAGATATAGAGGATATCCCGAACTCAGGCAAATACAAATGGACACCAACGCCAGACCTCGAGCCAGACTCCGGTGAGGATGGAACCACCTATACCCTGTTAATCGGCCCTGGTGGCGGCGACCCGGATACCACCACGAACCAGATATTGATCATAGTTACTGGATCCGGGAGCAGGTCGGCAACTACTACGAGCACAGATACAGGTACTCCGACGTCTGCTTCCTCTATCCGGCCTACATTCTCCACTGCGGAATCGACTGTGACCCTGACCGTGACTGGTGACAGTCGGTCTATTTCTACTACACTCGCGACAGCCCCTACCAGTCTCCCGTCTTCGAGCCCCCCAGGTACGGGAAGGGGGATTTCATCGGGCGCCAAAATTGGAATTGGTATTGGGGTCGGCGTGGGGGTACCGATGGTTCTGTTACTATTGGGATTCATGCTGTGGAAACGACGCCGGCCGCCCCCCCGACCCGCGACAAAGGCAAGGGAGGATCGAGGCCAACCATCGGCGGCGGAGCTATCGAGTGAGGGTGCGGCAAAGCAAGGAGCTGAACTCTCTGCTCAGGAGCGCGTTGAGATGTCTGCTGAGGAGCGTGTTGAGTTGGGTGAGGGAAGGTTAACATACGAGTTGCCAGTAAACGAAATTGCGGCTGCGGAGTTGGCAAACAAGGACGGATCCAGTTAACCATGTCCCAACGGATACCTCGATTGATCGTCATAGTTGTGCCAGTTAAGTTGGCTCTTAAGGGTTCCAAGTTGCTGGTTCCCACGCAATTGCTCGCCACCTCGTCTCGAGAGGAGGCTTGATTGTGCCTGGTTTGGTCACTTTATCTGCATCTGTGTTACAGCAGTTGAGTCTTGAGTTCCAATGCTGTCTTCATAGTAATCATTTGAAGGTACTCAAGCTTGATCTCGATCGGCTCTGTACTGATAACCTTCATAGTTGGCGATTCTAAAGGGCATCTCTCTTGGCTCACAAATCAGTGGTTATCTGCGGTGTTAGAACGGCGATATAAAGTTACATTCAGACTTATACATGTACGAGACGTTGGATTTCAGTATTTAGTTAGATGCGCTTATTTTATTTTACCGTTTCCACACACTTGAGCTCTTTCTACTGCATCACTGTCATATCTTTATTGTCAACAATAGCGTCTTGCTGCTTAGTTGTTTTCGATGTACTGTGCTTTCTGTTTGCATGGATTATCCTCACTAGCCATTGTGATTCACGTCCATGAGTGGCGGTTTGATAATGCATTGGATGAAACCGGGCTGTGCTCGCGGATAAATGGCGACCTCAGCCTTGCCGGCGAGGCTGAATGGATACTACTGTATACCAAATGCAGCTTCCTCCCCAATGATTAGTTATGGAGAGATTGTTCATCGCCACATGCTCCATCAGTCCGTTGCTACCATCCAAAGGCCATCCCCTTATAAAAGCTGTCTATAAGCTTGTCTTACAGGAGATGACTTTGCCGAGAGTTGATCTACATCTGGAGCCCTTGTTTGCGGGCCTTAAGGCACCCTATTATCAACCTCCAGTAACCCCACCAGCCTCGATAACGAACATCATCCAAGTCTATTGATTGGGTCCTCTCGACAGTAGGCCTCCTATGTTAGTCGCCAAAGGTCCAGCGTGACGAGAATCCTTCCAGTCTGGCCATTCATGCCGATCCGCGGCTTTGTACGGCCATATCCCTACGAGGGTTGGCCTGATGTATCTCTAGTGTTGACGGGGGAGGCTGTGTGCATATTCTCGGGGGCCATGGCCTCCAACGCCTATACATATAGAATCCCAATCAGTATTTCATATTATACATTTGCCACAAAGACTTTTCCAGTACAGAATCCACCCTTGCTCAATTCCCCTCGCATTCCTCTCTCCCGAATCATCGATCACCAGTGGCATTATACAACATGCTCCGCTCGCCTCTCGCGCTGGCGGCACTATTTGCTGCGTCCGCAGTGTCGTCTCCTCTCTCATCAACAGCCCGAAGACAAGGCATACCCGCCGAACAATGCCAGGGCATATCGGGGCCATTCCTGAGCCCTTCTTTCCCAGACCCATGTGAGTCCGACAAGCGACAGAGTCTCCCAGGACGCCAACACTAACACCACCGACAGCTATCCTCTATATCGAAAGCTCATGGTACACCTTCGGCACGTCCGATGGAAAAGATGTCCAAGGCGCAAAATCCACAGAGTTCGAGAGCGGATGGACCAAACTCGATGGCCCAATCCTGGCCATCGATGAGTCGACATGGGCAGGACCACAGCAAACCGGATCGTACGGCTTATGGGCACCGGATGTATTCCAGCGAAGCTCCGACAGCAAGTTTGTGATGTACGGAACAAGCAGTGTTGCCAGTGTGAACAAAGAAAATCTAGCTAACACCGTGGGCAGGTACTTTGCGGCGCTCGACAAAGAGACCATCAGCACGGACAGTGCCCAGCACTGCATTGGAGCCGCCATTAGCGACGAGATCGCGGGTGTGTACCACCCGGTGAACGACTTCGTTCAGTGTAACAGCACTGCATCGGGCGTTATTGACCCGGCGTGGTTCAAAGACACCGACGGCAAGCAGTACGTCGTGTACAAGACGGAGTTGCCGGACCGGCTGGAGATCCGGGAGGTGAGCAACATTGGCCCCAAGGAAGGTGTCCAGTGGGTTGGCAACGCGCAAAAGCTGCTCAAGGTAAACGGCCAAGGCATCGACGACGGAAATGTACTCGAGGCCCCGTATATCTTCAAGCGCGGCGACACCTACTTCCTGACTTACAGCACCCACTACACCGGCAGCAGTGACTATGATGTCCAATACGCGACGGCCAAGAGCGTAACGGGCCCCTATACGCGCGTCAAGAACCCGCTGTTGAAGACCACAGATGAATTCGGCTGCAAGCTCATCGGCCCTGGCGGTGCAAGCTTCCAGCGAGATCCTCAGGGCAGCCAGGATACTGTCCGCGTGATCTTTCACGGCCTGACGGATGAATTGAATATCAACAAACGTGTGGCGTACTCGGCGACGGTGAAGGTTGATGGCGACAAGCTCTCTATCGATTCGGCGTAAATCTGGAGCTACCATATGGGGTCCTGCCTGTATGCTGCGCCATAGGTTGATGTGTGCCAGGCCGCTAGGGGGCAGCCATTTCCTGTCAGAACTAGTTTGATCGAGAGTACTATAACAAAAATAATTACAAATTATTATTTACACGAACTGTCCGATCCAGAACTGCACTGGTTGGACATCGACACAACCTAATCTCGCCGGATTACTGCCAAAATAGGCCAGAACCGTGCAGAATCAGTATGGATATGATTTCACTTCAAGCTTTTGTGGCTGACGAGGCCGCAAGAAATTACATAGCCTCCTCCAACAATCCATACATAGCATGAAGATAGTTCAGAATGTAGTTGGACCGAGGCTTCCACGACCTCTTTGTAATTGCCTTGGGAAGATGGCCTTCAGCAGTCGCCATGTAGGTGGAATTAAGGGTTATATATAGTGCTTCACAAACTTGACAACTTGACAAACTTGATTACTTAACTGCTTATTTCTAGCGGAGTAGGATCGAATATGGCAACACTATTTGAAGCCGAACACAACGTCTGTTTACATTCGGAATGTCCACATCCAAAACATCATTGGAGTTAAAAGAGTATAGTATGATGAATTATGACATGAGAGCCAAGGCTTGATCGGCCAAGGGAACACAAGGCTTGTTGTAATTGTAACAGGCTGGTTGTTGCCGACTGCCGATTGTGGCCCACGGGCTGAACGGCGATTTGACAGGAACAGCAATATAGACCCACTGGAACAATAGGATGTGTTCATAATTCATTCGCAAACTGACTGTCCGGGCGCGATCATCAGAGATGATGTGGAGATCGGCTGTTCCTTTGATTCTCCTGACCTGGCTGTTTCTTGTCACTCGATCCTGCTGGTGTGTTATTGTTTGAACCGTGCCTCGACTTCAGTGACTACAGCAGCGGGCTGTAGCTGGCTCAATGAGCAATTCCAGTCTCCACACGGGCGATGCCGGCCCAGGGCAGCCGTCGGAAAACTCTCCATCGCGCGCTCTAGCACACCAGCCCTGTCACGACGAGAGCGGGGATGAGGTCCGCTCCAATGCGCCCACGTCCCTGCTCAGCAGCGAACGTCTACGTGGTGCCGTCCGCAATGTTCGCGAGCAGACAGGTCGCATCGCCGACATGCTTGGGCGGCCCGCCGCGCAGACTGAATCTGGCTTGGGCGCGTCCCTGGTAAACCCCGAGAAACTAGGCTCAACAGACGATCACCAGCTGGCTACTATCGTCCGTGCCAGCTCGCAAGAAGGCCTCACTGCGTCGCGGTATCAGGAAGCTGTGCATGCTGAGGCGGAAAGGTTAATGCAGGGTCTTCAGGGAGCTGCGGCGTCGGTATCGGGATCCGATGCGTCGACGCTTGTCCCGCAGCCTCAGAGTGATGTGGAGGCAGCTGGGAATGCGCCGGCGCCTGTGACTTCGTTGCCTGGGGGGGGTGCTCTCGGCTTTGCTTCACTTGCGTGGTTTACACTCCCACCAGAATAGTATGTACTCGGCTGGGGAGTCGGATAGAGAGTCGACGCCGGCACTATTGTCGTCTGCTGTGTCTGCGAAGAAAAAGCCGACGAAATGGCACAAGAAGTCGAACCATACTTCGACTGCGTCATTGGTGCGGATGTCGTTGAATATGGGCCAGATCGGTTCTTCCGCCTTGTCGACTCCTGACAGGTCCGATGGAGAGACAGCCGAGAAAAAAGGCTCAATTGGACGAAGCAAAAACGAAAAGAGGAAAGGAAAAAAGAACAGTAAACCAAGCCAAGAGGTCAAATTGACCGTCCACATTGCTGAAATCATCTTCCGACAGCGGTATATCATGCAGCTCTGCAGGGCCTTTATGCGATACGGGGCCCCTACCCACCGTCTGGAGGAGTATATGCAGATGACGGCCCAGGTATTGGATATCAAAGCGCAATTCATGTACCTTCCTGGCTGTATGATCATGTCATTCGATGACCCGGTGACTCGTACTGCAGAGGTGAAACTCATTCGCGCGCCGCAGGGCCTTGATCTCGGACGCCTCGAGGACGTCCACCACTGTTATAAACGTGTTACCCACGACATGGTCGACATGCAGACAGCCATCTCGGAACTCACTGCCTTGATGGATCGAAAGCCGCGATATAATAGGTGGCTGGTGATCCTGCTTTATGGACTTGGATCTGCTGCTGTAGGGCCGTTTGCGTTCTCTGCACGGCCTATCGACATGCCTATTATTTTCTTCTTGGGATGCTGCGTAGGGTTTATGCAGCTCGTTATCGCCCCTCGATCCCCGTTGTATGCCAATGTATTTGAAGTTTCTGCAGCAATATTGGTATCCTTCATCGCGCGTGCATTTGGCAGTATTAGACTCCCTGGCCATACCGACCCTATATTCTGCTACGCCTCGATAACTGAATCTTCGATTGCACTGATTCTCCCCGGCTTTTCTGTCCTTAGTAGCAGTCTGGAGCTACAGTCCCATCAAATGATAGCCGGTTCTATCCGCCTCGTCTACACCATCATCTACTCCCTCTTCCTGGGCTACGGCGTCACAGTGGGCACGACGATCTACGGCGCCATCGATTCCGACGCAACTAGCGACACAACCTGCGCCAGGCAGTCTGTCTGGGGAAGCCCATACACGGAACATTTTCCCTTTGTTGCTGTCTACTGCCTCATCGCGTCGTTAATCAACCAGTCTAAACTCCGCCGTACGCCTGTCATGATCTTAATCGGGACGGCAGGGTATGTGACCAACTACTTCAGCACCCAGAGACTGGGCTCTTCATCTGAAGTGGCAAATACAGTTGGTGCGTTTACGATTGGGCTCCTGGCGAATCTGTATAGTCGCGTTTGGCATGGGAATGCAGTGAGTTCGACCATTCCGGGCATCTTTACGCTTGTGCCGTCGGGGATGGCGTCGTCGGGGTCGATCTTGTCTGCCATTGAGTATTCGGATTCTGTCAAGAATGGAACAGCTAATACGTCTGGGGGTTCGTCAGGGAGTTCCTTAACGAGTTTGGGATTCGGTATGATCCAGACGGCGATTGGGATTACGGTGGGATTGTTTGTGTCTGCGCTGATTGTGTATCCGCATGGGAAGAAGAGGAGTGGCTTATTTTCGTTGTAGCATTTTTAATTAAAGATATGTATAATAGATTAGATTCCTGTATTAGACGCATAGTGAGTCTTGTTTACACACACAGTCTGCCAGGAACGAGTAGCGCCATATTGCGTGACTATCACGCTTATCACCAGCCTTTACCCACACCAACCAAAGATTGCGAGGCTAAAGCTTAGCCCGGTCAAGCCTTCTCCAAGCGACGTAGCATTGCTTATCGTCTGCTGCAGGCTCCAGGCTGTTGCCATTGGCGATGTCTCCCGGCCATCCCTGATCAACGCGAAGATCGTAACTCTTCCTGTGTCACAACCCCGCGCGAGATGGCGGTGGCTTCCTTAGATCGCTGCCTGCTGTAACATCAATCAATCATCCTTGTCCTCCGTATACAAGCGCCCCTATCCGGCTAGTGGGGGGGCAATCGTGGCTATTTTGGTTCGACGATGCTGCAATCTGCCGTCGAGATAGCGATCCAACTCCACACCCAGTCAGGCAATTATAAAGCCAGGTTTCCCCCACAGGATGGAAATCGAATTGTGTGACTGATTTTGTTAATTGTCGAGTTGTGCCTCTCTTTAGGTCCGTTGCTCTTTACAATGCGACTCAATTTGTTGTATACGGCTGCAGCCCTTTCGCTGTGCGCTGACAATGTATCGGCCAATTCTCATGGCCGATTTGGCCAAAGAGCTCGAGATTCCTTGAATCTGGCAAAACGGGCTTCGCAAACTGCGACAGAGTCGAACAATGCTGCGAAGGAGGATTTTCGCTTCCTGAACGAGAAGACCCAGCGTATGCAAGCCTCTCCGTTCCAGTAGGGCAAGCAGCTAACATAGTTTTTGACAGCTTACCTCGTCGACAAACTCCCCGATGTCAACTATGACATCGGTGAAATGTATTCGGGATCAATGAAGATTGACGCGAATAACGACCTACGATCGCTGTTCTTCATCTTCCAGCCCAAGCTTGGGGAGCCTGTTGATGAAGTCACCATCTGGCTTAACGGCGGCCCTGGGTGTAGTTCTCTCGAGGGCTTCTTCCAGGAGAACGGTCGGTTCTTGTGGCACCCGGGTACTTTGGCACCGGTTGAGAATCCCTATTCTTGGGTGAACCTGACGAATATGTTATGGTATGAGCCTCTGAAAGTGATTTGTGGCAGAGCTGACGGTACTTAGGGTCGATCAACCTGTTGGAACAGGGTTTAGCACGGGTGTACCGACTGCAGTGTCGCAGGAGGAGACCGCAGAAGAATTTGTCAAGTTCCTCAAGAATTTCCAACAGGAGTTTGGAATCAAGAACTTCAAGATCTATGTCACTGGCGAGAGTTATGCAGGTCGCTATGTACCTTATATCTCCGCCGCAATTCTTGATCAGAAGGACAAGGAATACTACGATCTTGCAGGTATGACTTAACCCTGTACAGATACTGTATTTTCGAGACTAAATATATGCAGGCGCCCTCGTGTATGACCCCTGCATCGGCCAATTCGACTACGTCCAGCAAGCAGCCCCCGCCGTCCCCTTCGTCGTCGAAAACGCCAACTTCTTCAACTTCAACCAGTCCTTCCTTAGCGAACTGGAGACTCTGCACGAGAAATGCGGCTACAAGGACTTTATCGACGAATACCTCGTCTTTCCTCCATCCGGCGTGCAGCCACAAAAGAAATTCCTCGACGGAGAGTGCGACGTCTTCGATCTCATCAACAACGAGGCGTTTGCTACGAATACTTGTTTCGATATTTATGAGATTAACCTCATGTGCCCTTTGACTTGGGATGTACTGGCGTTCCCGACTGAATTGACATACCTACCACAGGGCGGAACAGTCTACTTTGACCGTGATGATGTGAAGAAAGCACTGCATGCTCCGGACTCAGTCGAATGGTCCATCTGCTCCAACGAGAACGTGTTTGTGGGTGGAAAGGCCGGCCCAGAGGGCGAGGGCGACATCTCAGTGAATCCGATCGAGAAGGTCCTCCCCCAGGTCATCGAAGCCACCAACCGCGTCCTCATCAGTAACGGTGACTACGACATGATCATCATCACCAATGGGACTCTGCTGTCTATCCAGAACATGACCTGGAACGGAGACTTGGGATTCCAGCAGGAGCCAAATGCAACTATCTACATTGACCTACCGGATCTACAGTGGGCGGCTGTTCGTGAGGATAATGGCCTTGCTGTTGATCAGCCCCAGGGGACTATGGGGATTCAGCACTTTGAGCGTGGCTTGATGTGGGCAGAGACGTTCCAGAGTGGACATATGCAGCCGGAGTATCAGCCTAGAGTCACCTATCGCCACTTGGAGTGGTTACTTGGGCACATTGAGAAGTTGTAAAAGCTGAGACGCCAGATGTAAATAGTCCACGTCTATATTGCAATACCGCACGCTTCATCACAGAATTGGAATCAGATACTCTACATGGCATATCTAAAAGGTCGCATTCTGTGATCTTTGGAATATGACGGTGAAATATTTGTAAAGAACAGCAGTCTTCAGTATTGTTTATTGTCTTAATGCTTCATCTGACTGGAACGCATCGTTTCAATCTAACAACGCCCTCCATACATCCCCCCTCCCCTCATCCCACCGAATCGTGGGCCTCCGAATCCCATTCCACCCATCCCACCCATCGGACCCATGCCCATGCCTCCCATGCGCATGCCACCCATTCCCATACGGCCCATCCCCATACCCCCCATGGGCATCCCGAATCCTCCCATCATAGGACGAGGATGAGCGACCATGACTGGTCTCATCATCATGGGGTGGTGGCGTCGAGGGAAGCTAAAGCAGAGACCCATTGTGTCCGAAATATATGACGGTGTCTAGTCTGGTGGTTATAAGAGAATATCGTTTAGCTCAAGGGTACAGCAGTAGTAGAGGTATTAGATTTCTTGAAGGAGGACGGGATCTCAACACAGATGTCTGGTATAGATATTTATCCCATATAAGTAGTTTATTTGCATTTCATGGCAGCCAGATAATACTTTAAACAATATTAAAGGTAACGGTGGCGATAGAATGGCGGGGGACAGTCGTGTCGTCATTCCAGCCCTACAACCTCGGCAGGCATAAACAAGCATGTAAACAACAGTCAAGCACTTAAAGATCCCAGTATTATTCGTGCTAGGAGATTATAGAAGTCAGCCTTGCAGAGCCTCCGCTCATTGGTCCTCGTCCTGGATTGGGATTTGGGTTTGCCGATGAGTTAATGCAGGGGAACATTCCCGACACGGCGGACGAGAGCACACAAGCAGTGAAACTGATCAAGTGCTATCATCCTTCTAGAATTCCACCATTGGGGATAAACTGGGTAATAAAGGTGGAGACCTGCCCCTGGACCTGCTGTCCTACGACCCCGAACTTCGAAGTAGCATCCCGTAACATTGAGCAAAAGGGTGTTTCAGGTATACCAAATTGTACCGATGGAAGTTACACGACTCCATCTCTACGGGAAGCTGCTGTTATTTTGGGGTTGCGCATGTGAAGAACCGCACAATATAGACATAGATGTAGGTTTGACCTTACCTGAGAGGGCTGGTCTGGTTAAAGAATGGAAGTTTCTTCTGGTCACGATTGGCGCAGTTTCGGCGGCGAATAGATGATGGCTACCCGTTTTCTCAATACCGTAAGCAACGGTACTATGTGATGGTTGGGTTGGACCTTTTGAAGGCCTATTTGAATTCAATTACCTCTAGTATACCGTATAATTCCCCTGCTGAGTAGGGATGTCCTACCATATCCCCGCCTTATTCCAAGATAACCAAGTACAAGACGCGATGCAGGGGAAAAAAAAAAAAAAAAAAAAAAACTAACGTAACTGATACTCTTCAATGGTTTTCACGCCAACCATACGAATGTCATGCATACTTACATCGAACCGACAATCGTGTTTGTTAGAGCAACTCGTCCCGAAGGCACAACGATGGCCAGAAATACATGTAACGTCTCGACAGGAAAGTCCTTCGAAACAAGGGTTCGACCTCGCGATATACACCAAATCGCCGACTTCCCGGCGGCTTGGCGTAAAGTGATGATCATGGCTACATGGGCTATATGCACACGTACCCAAGATATGAAACATATTGCTAGATCCTTCATATCTCGCGCAAATGGCGGCCCCTCAACTAAGGAAATGTGGTCTGATCCCTGCTTTGGTCCCCGATACTGACGCAGGACCGATGCATAACCATTGTCTGCAGATGCGCAAAACACAACCCGCTGACAATGAATATCAACAAGGTCTCGCTCAAGAATGGCTGTAGATATGTTAGGTATATTTCCTGCTTGCAATGAATAACAGGACTGACCTCGCATTTTAACATCAGAACACTCCTTCCCGTCCCCAACATCGACGAAATCGCACAGTGGATGGGCCTTATTGAATCCTTGGATAAATGAGGTCAAGTCCTGATCGTGGTCCAGGATCTTGTCGGTTCGATAAGCTTTAGTCAAACCAGAAACATTGGCGTATACTCGGATCTTATAGCAGGTATTGGAAGGTGCAGCGGGATCAGTGCTTTGAACATGGCTCTCAGAAGCTTCAAGCAGTAATCGGGCAGCTTTATCGCCCCCGTCCTTTCCGCCTTGAACAAGATCTTCTAAAAACTGCCGTATGTCAGAGCTGTCCAGTATAGGTGCGACGGAACGACGTACATTCATGCCATCTCCGTCGACGATCACAGAAACGAAACTCAATTTATCCTTCACGATCGGATTGAATCAGCTATAGGCATAACGACACGAAGGCATAGACAAGCATACCTGGGCCCGTTTCATTGCATTAATATTGTGCTTGTGTTCCTTAATGTCTTCCCTCAACGAGGCTGCGGCTCTTTTCTGGTCGTCATAATCGTCCCTTGCCCTCTCAAAGTCGAAACCAAGTTGCTTAATGCCAGCGAGCAAATCCTATACGGGCGGCCAGTGAGTGTCTCTTCTAAAGAGCTAGGTCAGTCAGCTAACCTCGATGATTTTGTCTTTACTATCCTCAACAGCTCGCAGTTCCTGATACCGTGTGCTGAGGGCTTCGAAATTCGGCCTCATTGTTACTGAATGGATCAAATGAATAAGCTGATGCAAAAAGAATGCTATTCTGGAGTTAGAATAATCGCGGAACCAGAATCAGAGAAGAAGATGGCTACCTTTAAATGCATTCTCTCCTGGCGCCAACTATGTTCATGGCGCAGACATAGGTATTCAAAAAGCAAAGCCGAGTCAGCCTCGTCTTTCTGCTATTATGCTGTGTTAACTGAGCCACAGCTATAAGGAGCAGCTGTATCCAATCGTTCTCGCTCGGCGCCTAGAACTCATTGATGCATTGGACCACATCGAGCAAAATGCTTGTGTAACCCTGGACCAGTGTATACCTAACCTAATTAGGTAGGTAGCGATGATTAATATCGTTGGTTGATTACGATGGCGGTTGAAGGGTCGCTGTTATTGGACTATTTCGCTCAGCCACTGCCAACCAACCCGTTGTCGAAATACTGGCCGCCAAGAATCAGTCAACTGGGCGCAACTCAGGCCAGAAGCCAATAGATCATGACACCGTCTGAACCATGGGAGGCCTTAAAGATGACGGCGACGTATATAAAGTTGGCCAGCCTGGTGGCAGCTGCTTACTCTCTCCACAATATTTCAAATTCGATCTCCTACAATGCCTTTGGACACTGATCTCGTAACCCTCCGGTCGCTGCTGTCTTCCGATGAATTAATTAGTCCAGACTCACCGGATTACATCGAAAGTAGCAAGACCTGGGCTGCGCAGAAGCAATGCAATCCACGCCTCGTCGTGCGACCAACGTCCGTTGAATCCCTCAGCAAAACCATCGCCCATCTATACTCGACAAACCTCGACTTCGCCATCTATGGCCAGGGCTTCATGTCTGCGTCCGCCAAGGACGTGCTGGTGAATATTTCCTGCTTTGATGAATTCCTTCTCGACAAGTCGTCGATGTCGGTCACCGTTGGTGCCGGGCAGACATGGGATCAGGTCTACCAAAGGCTAGAGAAGGAGGCCCCGGAATATGGCAGTAAGTAGCTGGTCTATGAGTTTATCAAAACTAACATCGTAAACCAAAGTCGTCGGCGCTCGAACTCCTTCCGTTGGAGTCGGTGGGACTATTCTCAATGGCGGCTGGTCGTGGCTTTCCGGGGAGTTTGGCTGCATCTCGGACCCGATCAACTTCCTCGATGCAAAGGTCGTCAAGTACGATGGATCGGTAGTCTGGGCTTCCTCGGAGCCGGATCTAATGTGGGCTCTTCGTGGTGGAGGAGGCGGCGTTGGAGGTCAGCTCTACCCCGGTTCCGTGGTTTTCTGTATTGACTTCAATAGTCCTCGTCAGCGCTGTGCTCCGGGTGTTCCCATATCCCCAAGATATTTGGACTGGTGCCATTCTAGTCCCTAGTGAGCATCTTGAGCAAGTCGCCGAGGGCGTCTCCAACTTCGCCTCTCACGAGTCCGATCCCAAGGTCACAATGTTCTTATACGTTCTGAAAGAAAAAGTGCTCAAGTCAATCGCCCCAGAGGCCAAGTCGGATATGATGGTGATTCATGCGTTTGATGCTAATGGAGAAGCTCATGGCCGAGAAAGCTTCAAATGGGCGTTGGACATCCCTGGTGCTATAGATCAAACTAAGATGAGCACACTGGCAGGTGTGGCGGATTTACAGAGTATGTTTAGTATCTCTTTTACACGCTTGGTACTAATGACGATCCAGAAACCGTTTCTAGTGTGAAACAAACGATGGCTCAGTACTGGGCTCCTTTCGTGCTCCCGGACATTACAAAGGAGGTTGTCATTAAATCTGTCAAGTGGGTGGAGGCCATTAAAGATATCGACGAAGCAGTTGCGGACTCCACGTACCTTATCTTTGAAGTATTCTGCACGGTTAGTACCATTCCCTATGCTGGCATATTGCGGCATGCTTATATTGATATCCACTCTAGCGAGATCCGCCTGGGCCTATATCTGAGGTTGCCTGGCCCAGGCCTGCTGGTAGCAAACATATTCTCCTTTTTGGGCCTGGATGTCCAGCCGCTGAAATCCAGGAAAAGGCGGCTCTTGCACGCCAGCTGGCTACCGAAATACCTACCGCAGTATTGGGAAGTGATGAAGAAGTGTACATTCTACCTAATGGTGCTGAGGATTACCATGACCCGAGAAAGGTGAGTTAACATTTGCACCTGCGGGATGATCTCCCTCCCTAACGTGAGATACAGATCTGGGGACAACATTTCGATAAGCTGCAGACTGTGAGGAAGCGATATGACCCGCAGTGCAGGTTCAGGGCTCCGGTCGAGTGTAAAGATTAAGCAATCAGGTCTTTGGTATATGAATCTAAAGCAGAATAATTGTACCCCTTGGACAGCTGCATAATGGGTATTAAGATACTGGGTTAGCTTATGATGTTTTGACGAATAGCGAGGTCATAGTTAATCTAGTGTTGCACGTTTCAATATCTATTTGCATGTTCTTACCCTGGACAACCCCATAAAATGACATATGCTCACAAACAGATCCCCCGCATATGCCTACTGCCTTCTGGTTGGTGGCTGTTCATTCGAATACCAGACTAAGCAAGTCCTACTTACTACTGTTTTATACTATCTGGGCTCGGGCAACATTCACCCTTTTTCGGAGAATATAAATCCCGAATCACTCTATTGGATCCTATTATGCTAATCAAGTACTATTTTATTATAACTTGCTTGTGGTTGGTTGAGGGAACCCGAATTTCGAAATATCATCAGTTGTCTTCCCATCCAGTGCCAGCTCAGCAGTTACACGACCGATAGCCGGAGCGAACTTGAAAGCATGAGCATTTCCAAGCGCAACAATAACATCCTGGTGCTTCTCCATCGGACTGATAATAAACTGTCGATCAGGGGTGATTGTGTACTGGCAGGTCACCGTGCGCAGCTCCTCCCCATGGTCCGGAATCAGGCCATCGACGAAAGTGGTCAGCTCCTTGCGCAGCCTCTCCGATGGAACCCAGGTACGCTCCTCAGGTGTCATATCATTCCGACCCGCGTCTTGACCAGCCTTGAGTGCTGGCTCGCCGTACAAGGGAAACCCGTAGAACCACTTCTCAGTGGAGTCCGCGCCACCCCAGATCCAGACGGGGAACTTGTCGCTCTCGAAACGGGCTTCGTGCTCCCGCTTGGGCTTGTAGTATGTGACTTGCTCCTGCATGACGGTAATGGGTAGCTCGACTCCAAGCGGTTTGAGGAGCTTGTTGGTCCAGGCGTCGGCGGCGATAATAACCTTCTTGGCGTGGAAATCGCCCTTGGATGTCTTGACGAGGACGCCGCCGCCGGCTTGTGGTATTACGCTGTCGACGCGCGTGTGATCTTTGAGTGTGGCCCCGGCACCGCGAGCGAGGTACTGGATCGTTGTGACGGATTTGGCTGCGTGGGCGATGCCCGTGTCTGGCGTGTAAACGGTATGAACGCTCTCCGGAACATTGAAGCCAGGCCATCGACGATTCGCTTCGGGGGCATCTAGGAGCTCGTAGGGGATTCCATTGGCGTCCAGGCTGTTGGTGAAGGTGTGAGAACCATTTGGTCCGTCCTTGGGGAGGAAGACAACGCCGCCAGTGATAGTGAGCATCTGCATACCAGACCGTCGCTCGATCTCGGCCCAGTCCTTGTAGGCTGAACGGGCGAGAGCCACGAACTCGGGGGCTCCGTAGGAGGTTCTGACGATGCGTGATGTGTCGTGGGATGCTCCCTTCACATGGCCAAACTCATACTGCTCGAGGCCAATGACTTTGGCGCCTTTAATCGCGGCTTGGTATGCTGCTGAGCTGCCGAGAGCACCCAGCCCTACAACGGCAACGTCGTATTTCTCAATTGACATAGTGAGACAGATTTGCTTGACGAGGAACGTGAGAAAGAGAAGTTAGAGTGGCTTGAGAATGAGCAATGATATAGAGCTTGGACTACAATAAATAGTATGCAGCAGGCAATCCCGCCCGGGGCCCCATCCGGCCTCCGCATCGGGCATTGTGGCCGTAGTTCAACTTTGACTAGTTCATCTGAGCGTGCGTATCTCACACGATTGGAGATGATTTTACTAGCCAATTAAGACCTGGCATAAGACCTTGATAAGCCGCTTACGTATTCGGAGTGGGATATCTCCATCCCACATTCTATTGTATGTACGGAGTAGTGCAATACTGATCAGATAGGCCACCGTAGGCAGAAAAGCAATAAACCTCAACCTATATATTTTTTAGATCATTCAAAACAAACTATTCAACTTTCAAGAATCCTGAAGCTACGGGATTGACATATTTCGTCACAAGGTAATAATGTGTCGTAGTCCTCGACGGCGTGGATATATATTTATAGTGCTCGCTTGAGAACTAGTCACATTCAAGTCGCACAGGCAAAACATACTATTGCCAACAATCAAGGACATGTCCACTTTCTTATCTGTCATGAGATTCATGCAATTGCGAGTCATTTTGTATTGTGATGCACAGTGTATACATCGAGGCAGAATAAGAATATCCAGCCATCCGCCGAATCCCGCGGGCTTCACCGGAGGATACAGACCTAGCTTATTTGGGAATGGTACTGTATCCCATATGTAAGTTACCGACTTCACCAAGTGACGATACACCACAATTTCACGTCAGGTGACTGTGGCGGGTACAACTGTGGCTGTGGCTGCCCCCACACAAGAACATCGACTCTGTAAATGTCGAACAGATGAAGCTGTTCGATTACTGTCCTGGAATTCGATATTTACAGCCTTAACATCCAGAGCAGCAGGTATGGATTTACCTGCCACCAGGCCGGCCACTTCGGCTAGGCGCAAGAACACCTCCAAGGCCTGCGATGAATGCCGGCGCCGTAGAGCAAAGGTGTGTTTTACGTTCCTTGAATTCCACAGCAAGTAAATGTAATTAAACTCACGGCTGCTTGCAGTGTGATGGCCAGCGCCCGGTATGCTCGCGCTGTCAAGTGCGGTCGTTGAGCTGCCAGTACCGGGTCGAGGAGGATGGCCGCAGACCGGCTCCGAAATCGTATGTGGAAATGCTACGAGGACGGATGGATCTGCTCGAAGGGATTCTACGATCTCATTCGATTGATGTTGATGCATCTATTGCTGCATTACGCTCAACAAAAGACGAGGCTACCGCTCCTGCATCTGGCGTCCCTGACGATTCTGGTGTGGAGGAGCTAAGTGCAGCATTTGAAGGTGCATTCTCCCTAGATGAGTCTATTAACTATGATCAAGATGGGGAGATCCGCTACTATGGCGCAACAAGTGGCCGTCTGGGTTTCCAGTCCCCGCGAGAGAGTGCGAACTGTACTTCCGCATCAAACTCGTCGCACAGCCGCCCTTGCAATAACCCTGCGATGACTCGGATGAAGTATGATAGCTTCTTGAAGACAATGGGGCAGGATTCGACCCCTGAAAAGCTCAAGGAACACCTCATCACGCTGTATTTCAAGTGGCAGCAACCATGGTGCCAGGTCGTCAGTGAGCGATTGTTTCGGGAAAGCGAGAAGAATAGTGGCCGATATTCCAGCCCGCTGCTGTTGACGTGTATACTTGCCCTTGGTTCCCGGTTTACCGACAGGCTGGATGTCCGCTCCGACCCGGACGATCCAAATACCGCTGGGTCTGCATTCATAGAGAGGGCTGAGGTGCTGCTTCACTACGATTTGAAGTGGCCCAGCCTAACGACCATTCAAGCCTTGGGTATCATGATAGAAATATATACAGTAAGCCAACATCCTCTTTTACTAATGAGCGCATTTGAGACTCGATAGTAATTTATATTCTCGACTAGAGCACTGGCCAAGATGCGGCGTCGTGGCTTCATCAAGGAATGGCCAACCGGCTCGCGCTTGACATGGGTCTTAACCTCGACGGCGAGACTCTGATTGAAACACAGTGTATAACCCTCGAGGAGATCGAATTAAGGCGACAGATATTCTGGGCTTTGTACTGTGACGACAAGCTTTCAGCTGCCTACACAGGCAGAGTCTGTACAATGCTGGTGCGGTGCCTTTTTGACTTGTTTGCGCTGTACACCCTTATTATACCAACAGGACTGACCTTTGAAACATGTGCAGGAAATTCAACATAAACTCAACCTGCCTTCAATTCCAAGTCCGGGAAGTTCGGATGCCATCAATCCTTACGTTCCCACTCTCCTCCTCCGAGCGCTAATCCGCTTGTCGCAAATAACAGAGAAGACAATACTTGGGTTGTAAATTAACCAAATATTCAAGCGTCTTGATGTTCAAATATTAATAAAGTGCAGATATGCCCCGAACGCCAGCCATCGCAAATCCCCCGATATCCTGCCCTTTATAGAATCCCGCATCCTCGATCTTCAGACATGGTATTATGACTTGCCATCAGAGCTGCGTATTGACCGGTCTTCATCTGCAAATACCCAGCCGCAGGTTTATACACTTCTGATGGTATACCATACCAACTACATCCTGCTTCTAAGGCCCTTAACATCTGGTCTGGCTCCTGATGCACATGGGAAGATTGTTACCCTGGCACAAAAGGCCAGCTCAATGAGTATAAAGGCCGCAAAGCAAATATGCCTAATAGGAAAAAAGTACCAACAAGTCTTTGGCTCCTTTCGTCAGAGTCCGGTTACTGCAACCCACTGCTCGCTTTCGGCTGCGGTGGTCCTGATCCATGCGGAACTCGTGCAGAGTGGACCTGAATCCGGGACAAGTAATTATAGCGATCTTCAGACATTGTTGAATATTTTGGGAGAGCTTTCAATCTCATGGGATATTGCACGACGGATACGTCGGAGTCTCATAGAAACGTTGGAGAAGAAATATCCCGGTGTTTATTCTCACGATTTGCCACATACGGTGAAAAGTAACAACATATCGAGCGAAGGGATGCAGGTACCGAGCTCGAGTATTGTATCAGAACCTTGGAATCTCGTCAGCCCGGAGATGCAGGACACTGGTGGCCCTCGCGATCTCGATATAGGACAACTTGCGGACGCAAACCTGCTGGGAGAGCAATTATCGTATCCCGCATTCTTGGAATCGATTCAAGCGACAGCTCCGTCGATCGAGGGCCCTATGGAAGCAGTGAATAATATCGATGGGCTCGATGATTTCCTCCAGTGGCCGGCGTTCGCTGATTTGGACATGGATCTGAATAATGCCGGGGCATTACCCGGGGATTATCACTTCTTCGACTCGGTGAGCCATCTTAACGGAGATGGTAGGATCAATTAGGAGAGAAGAGACCCTTTAAGATAGATTGTGCGGTTGGGGATCAGCCTCCCTGAGCGCGAAACATTTTCCGATGCAGAAAGGAAATTCATCTATCAGGGCCCGAGAACCAAAATGGTAGCAATCTTATCATAAAACGAGTGCAGTCTCCTCTAAACTGTCACATAACTATGTGGTTACTGGTATCTGTACTCGGCTCCACCGCGGAGTTTATGTTCCGCCCATGACGTGGAAAGTGCCTGCCATATAAGCCCTCGCACTTTGGATTGCTATTTACAAGCCGTTGAATAAATAAAGAGCGATTTCCTTGAGCCTGACCCGTTATTAAATTTTCTAAATCTCGGTTGCCCGTTTTCAAGAACCGACAGAATGTCGATGAAGCAGTACGCGTACAAAGGATTCGGCGCCAACAGTCTAAAGAGCCACTGGTACTCCTCCGCCGTTCGTACTGGGGATTTCATCCACTGTGCTGGCCAGGGTAAGCTGTAATCCACATCAACACTCAACATTCCCCGGCTAAAATCCAAATAGGCGGATGGGTGGACGATAAAGGGACCCAACCCCAGACCGTCCCAGAGCAGATCGACCAAGCCTTTGTAAATGTTGCTACCGCCCTTAAAGACGCAGGCAGTGCTGGCTGGTCTCAGGTTTACCGGGTGAACTCGTTTCATATCGCCTTAGACGAAGAAGCACAGGACGCCATGGTTCGAAATTTCAAGAAGTGGATGCCTGATAACCATCCAACTTGGACTTGTGTCCAAGTTAGTCGTCTTGGTGGACCGCGGATGTGGGTTGAGATTGAAGTCTCAGCGTATGACCCAGAAGGTGCTAAGAAGGAGGGGACAAGCAAGACTTAGCATTATGGTCTCTGGGGTTAATGAGTACATGCTATATACGAAATTGAATGTGATATTCCCAGCACACCTGGATGTCCTCATAGCCGGTCAACTATATTGATACCCTTGATTCCTTCATATAGTACACTAGCCAGAAGCTTCGGTTCCATAAATCGTCTCACTGCACACACGGCAGTCTATGAGTTCGAATTATCAGCGCAGGACCACGCCGAGTTCCCCGAGGCCGCCTTGCTCGAAGCAATGATATTGACGACAGCCCCGTACGTCCCGGCAACCATGAGGAACGACCCGATGACAACGATGTAAACATTCCAAATGACCAGCAGGGACCATTTGACAGTTGGCTGGTCTTTGCCGCTTCTCCAGTTGTCATACAGCCACATGCACCCCATCGGCTGGATGGCCATGAGAGTTCCAAGAAGAGCACCGATGAGTGATACCAGATCGCTGAATATGGGGATACCGCTTGCAATGAGGTAGGAAGATATGGTCACGGCGAAGGTGCACCCCAGCCAGGTGATCCAGTGTGTCGGTGTGTTGGCGCTAAGATGTCTCGAGCCGCGAAGGATGCGGACGAATATGTACTTTCCTGCGAACTGATATAGTCAGATAAGGCAGTGTAGAAGCAGTGTTTAACAACTTACATGGAGGACAACTATCGTGCTGACGACCAGTCCGGGCAGTGCAATTCCATAGGAGACCTTCTTTATCAGAACCCCGGCTGATCCCAGTGCAGGCGACGCAACATAAGAGCCACAGTAGTAGTATATGACGGTTCCAACGGTAATATAGATTGCGGTGATGGCTCCCTGGCAGATCAGAAGAGGTCGGGTGTAAAGTGAAGGGTCACGCATTTCCGCCGCGATTGGGAAGAATCCTGTATAGTAGAGATTGGTCCTTTTGTTAGCAATTGTCCTGAGCATGTTAAAATATTCTGAAAGCTTACCAGGAGTGCCAGCGTAGGCATAAACAAGCGAGGAGACGGCGGAGATCGCGCTAGTGAAGGATGGATTGCCGGCCAGTTTATAGTCCGACGCCCATGGTCCCTCCTTGGGGGCAGCAGACGGTCTGCTCTGGAGCCCAACGGCGATAGTGACAATCATAACTGGCCGAGATTAGCACTGCAAGCGCTGATGGAGGTCCCTACCTACCAGCAACGAAGACGCATACCGACCCAATCCAGGCAATCCATTTCATCTTTCCGAGAGTACGGACGCTGGCCAGGGCGAACGACGCAATGGCCGCCACTGCAACGAAGACAGCAGTACAGGTTCCATGTGCAGAGACAGCATTCAGGCCAATCGACGTGCTCAATAGGCCAGAACCTGAAGCAAATATCCAATCTAACATACCAACGCGTTAGGGCAGGTATAACGGCAGCAGCTGGATTCAAGACTCACAAATGCAGACTGCAACACCAAAGAACTCTCGTCCTATCCGACCGAACATCAAGGAACCGGCGTCATCGATACCGTACACCTCGGGGTGGTTCAGCTTGAAAGTGCCAACAACATAATTGGACCAGGTAATGATTGTTGCAACGGCACAAATGCATATGACTCCTGGTATCAAACCCAGCGTATCAAGGACGCCTGGAACGGCGAGAACACCAAGGCCAAATTGAGTCTTCATCATTAGAGCCAGCGTACCAATCCATCCAACCTGAGCGATGTTAGCCACGGTCTGGGTTTCGGTGGAATATGCCTACGTCTCTGTAGTTCGGGCCCTCTTCTGTGATCTCGCCAAACACTGCATCTTCGGCTATGGGAGTGTCCTCGAGCATCTTGGATGACTTTTCCTGCGGGACCTCCACCACTGGATGTATTGGGTCTGCCATGGTAAAGTACGGCAATGGAAACAAGCAAGGAGTAGCGTGAGTAGGCAATCGATTGAGTGGGGATGGATCGGGACTATGTTGCGGTCTCGGCGGTTGACGGAGGGAGATACTTATACCTCCTAGGTATTGATTTGACAGCGAGGAAAGGGGAACGAGGACAAGAGTACTAGTCTGCTATTTAGGGGAGCAATCTTGAACAGCGACTGGCATTCAATTCCCTCGATGACCTCAGGGCTTACGGGCGTAGAGTAGACTCCGTCAGGGTAGCGGCCTATCATCGTGTAGAGCCACATATGGCACTACTGTTTGGAAATAGGACTACCGTGTCTTATCTGAAGGCAAATCCGCGGCGAATTTGCGGGGAATACGGGGTTTCCCAGTCCTGGCTGGTCAACTTTGATAGCCCGGGCAGTTGGGGAGTACAGACCAAGTACCGGACAAGATGCCGGTGTGGAGATCAAACAGCCACTCACATTCCCTGATACGCATGATATCTGGTCAAAACAGACTTGGTAGGAGTGCCCGGATCCACCCGGCAGCGTCCGCTGGATGTGATTCCCCAGGATGCTAGCAGTCAGATAATCCGGGGTAGGCTACGGCCATTAAATCCGATGATATCAGCCGGCAGGTAGAGTTAAATGATATCGATTAATTTGGCTCTCCACCTGCAGACTGATATCTCTGGGGGCTGAGATACACCAGAGATATCGGAAACTCCTGCCTGTATAGGACCATAGCCTCGCCAGTCCAGTTGGAGACACTGCGATACCCCGCCGATGGCGCCTGCGATTGCTTGACACCACCTATCTTCCCGACTATACAACAGATATCACAATGAAAGCAGCTAATGCACTCAGGGATGGTTCCGGGCGACGTTCGCAGCGGGTCAGTCGGCGTGTCTCTAAAGCGTGCGTTCTCTCCACCCAGGCGGGCTGTACAGTGGTAACATAAGGCTGCAGTTGCAAACGATGTCGCGACCAGAAGATTAGATGCACGGGCTCGGACCCCTGCGATCAGTGTGACAAGCGAAATGCAGTTTGCGACTTTGACAACCCGCAGCGCGTTTTGGTGTCTCGTAGGCAAGTGGCTGCATTTCTATACTGTCCCACTCCCTAACTTGCAAGGGGAAATAGATATCTCAATGATCTCCACGACCGACTAGCGACCTTCCAGCATAGGCTTAATCAACATGAATCGCCTGGATCGAAACAGCAGCAGCCGCCCACCCCGTCATGTTAGTATCGGTGCCAGCTGAATATGTGGAGGTTGGACATGGCCCATTAACATGTCGCTAGGCAGTAATGCAATACCAACGCCAGACACCTCCATCCAGGATACAGAGGTACACCGAGAAGTGGACAGGACCTCAAAGCACCAGGGTTCATCGGGGGCAAAGGCGCCTCTCACGAACCCTCTTGCCTTCCACATCACCGACTGGGTCCCAGGCCCGACCGGGCGGCCAGGTGCGTCTTCCACACTGTGGCTGCTGTATGAATTGCTGACAACATGATAGTATTCATGGGAACGTCGTCGACATGGTCCTTCGGGCGGCGAGTGTTGGAAATGACCCATATGAAGCTCACCGGCCTACCTCTGGCTCCAGATCCAAACAGGCTGCTTTTCGACACACAGGTCTACGATTTTAAATGGGATGGGAACAAAGCAAATTTCCCCTCGAATCCCTTCGATGTGACCAACCTCCCCACGCCAGAATTCGCTAGATATCTCATCAGCTCAGTGAAGTTTCATTGTGGCCACCTATTCTATCTAATCGACGAGGACGGGTTCATGGAGCGCTTCGCCGCGTTCCAGCAGAATCCTACAGAGGTGGCTCGAACATCATCATTATGGTTCTGCCATTATCTGCTTATAATAGCTTTTGGCAAAAGCTTCCTGGTTCGCTCGACGACATCACGGAATCCGCCAGGGTCAGACCAGTTTGTCCAAGCGATGCACTGCATGCCGGACTTTACCTTCTGCGACGACGATCCTATTGAGATGATCCAGGTTCTGTGCTGTGGTGCGCTATACCTGCAGTGCGTTGACCGCAGGGCATCAGCATATCGAATGGTAAGGCCAATCATTATCCCGTATGTACTCTATGCTAACGGCCCTAGATTGGCGCGGCACTGCGTCGGGCCTTGGAGCAAGGCATGTATACTGAGATGCATGGGCTCTGTCTTGACCAAGCCTATGTGCATCGATGTAGACTTGTCTGGTGGACAGTCTACGTGCTCGAACGCCGTTTTTCGTCTCTTCAGGGGGTCCCAATGGGAATCTCAGAGGACAGCATAACGGCTTCATTACCATCGGCCTGGGACCAGGACAGTGAAACAGCCGTCTTGGAGATGCAGGTGAGTCTGTGTCAAATATTGGCCAAAGTGGACTTGAGTAAGCATTACCATGTACGATTCGAGGGATCCATTGGCTAATTAGCCTTAGCTGTCTACGGTAGCGAGGGAAAGGTGGACAGCCGGTACCTGAGCGCTACACAGTCTGTTCTGAGAGACATTGCGAGTGTCACACAGCGCCTGAATGGCTGCTTTGATCTCTATGGAAGCGGTGCTATGGGCGGTATTTCTCGCGTCTCGGCGCACCTGCACCTCCTCGAACACCAAGTACGAAAACCAACGGCTGGTGTTGGAATGTCATGCTAATCCAAAATAGTGCATCATACTGACAACGAGGCCGCTGTTGTACATCTTTCTCCAATCCAAGCTCGGGCAATCTGAGCCTGCCCTCATGGACTGGTTGCAGTCTGGCACTGTGAAGGCACTGCTCCAGGTCTGCGTTGAGTCTGCACAACAGACTCTGCGAATACTGTCCAATCTGCTTGACCAGGGGCTTCTCGGTTGGTTCTCCCTAATAGATTCCTTTGAGCGCAAAACTAATGAGGAATTGCTTCATTACTAGATGCTTTCCTCCCGTTCGACTTGGACGCAGTATGTGTCTCAACGATCCCATTGTTAATGGCGGCAGCGATTGACCCATGTCTGCTCATCGATCATTCACCCTGGTCACAGCGTGCCTATACAATCCTGGACGACATGTCCTCCCGTGGAAGCTGTTCTGCAAACTTAATTCGACAGGAATTGAACCAGCTGGATGACGAACTTTCCCAGCTGTTGACGAAGGATAATATACCAATGGCGGTACCCACGGGGACTGTCCCTGCACCTGAGGCAGGGCCTGGTGGTACTGAGTCCGTAGACTCTGTCCCCACTGCTGCGGCTGGGGGCTACCTGGGTTCCGACATTACTGAGAGTTTTGGACAGAATTACGAGCTTAGCCCGGATCAGTTAATGGAGCTGGCGAACTCTCTAGATCTCAATAGCTTCACTTGGCCGTTTCCTTGGATAGATGATCTGCCAGGGACGAGTATATGATTTCAGCTTCGGAATAGTACTGTTAGAAGGGAATGACGTAGGGGATAGTATATAACACCATATTGCCTGTTTAATTAACTGCACCTTTCCATGCCCTTTCTGCCTACTGACACGATTTAAAGACGTCATTCCGCTCAGCAAAACTGCGTGATGGGGCTGTGCTGCAGCATTGTATTTTGTCGCTGCACAGCCTCGCGAGCATTCTCTACAGTACCATGTAGTACAGCGGATACCCCGATGATTATAGACGGTATGGAACTATTCAGCACTGTTCGAAGCTGCAGTGGACCCCAGGTGGTTTGACGCTCCATTGTAACCATTAACCATTCCCTATACGAGACTGGCAGCTCGGCAAAGTGCTCACGATCAGCGGGTCTCAGCTGAAAAGATCCCCGCCAGATCGTCATGCCATCATAGCCTTTCCTCCAAATTAACGTTACCTAAAATCGAGTCTTTATCTCCGTTGCTCAGCCAGTACAGCTTCGACAGGTATTTGGCTAAAAACACCTATCAACCCCAACAGCGCCATGGGCGGCCGAAGCCAAGATCTCTGGCTGTCCGCCATGGACAAGCTGGATGACGCTGATAAGCAACGTCTCATCACATTTGGCGATATCACCAGCCCCAGCCAGCGACTCGACGTGCTCGACGGATTTGGGCAGACGACGCGGGAAGCCTACGAGATATGTGTTCGTAAACGATGGTCTTTCAAATTACCCGGAGAACAGGGAAAGAGGATCATCGTGCGCGACCTCATCGGAAAGATCACGCACTGGCTCGAGGTGTTTAAGGGCATCGGAGACCAGGCTGTCAACTTCGATCCGGCATTTGCTGCGCTTCCTTGGGCAGGGGCACGGTTCTTGCTGCAGGTTTGTCTGTCTCCCTGGATATAGGAGCTTTATTGTTAACGCTTGAACAGATAGCGATCAATGACTTTGCAAAATTCGATTTCGTTGTCGAGGCCGCAGAGAGGATATCAAGGATGACTTCTCGCTATAGGATTATTGAAAAGCTGTATTTGCGACGTGCCTCTGAAGCCACTGGGCAGCTGGAGCAGGCCTTGGTCACACTTTATGCTACGACGCTCACGTATCTAGCCAAGGCAAAACGATATTTCGAGGAGAATACTGCCCTTCGTATCTTGCATAGTGGGCTTCTGGCTAAGAGTGACCTCCATGACCTGCTGAATAAACTGGAAAGCCATGAGAAGGAAGCAGACCGCTGCACCCTCTTGGTCGAGGCAGAAGTGAACAAGGACGCTGCAGCTCAGATTGCAGACCTTTCACTGGAAATAAAACAAATATCGGCTTTGAGGGAGGCACTGGTCAGGATAGACCGGCCTATCTTGAACATGTCGCATCAGCTGGACAGGGTGGAAGATCATCTTGACAGTATGCCCATCTCTCCAATTACAGAGGATCGCTAAATGACTGGTCAGACTTACAACGAAGGGAAATACTCGACTGGATATCGTCGCAGCGATACGGGGACTACCACCGGGCTATCAAAGACAGAGTCCTGGAGGGAACTTGCGGCTGGATCGTTCAGCATCCTGAATTCATGAAATGGAATGCTGACAGCACAAGCTCGCTTCTCTGGCTACATGGTACACAAGGAGTTGGAAAGAGCTGCTTGACCTCTGTAATTATCGAGGACTGTATGCAGTTTGCTCGCCTGGATCGAAGCTGTGCCCTGGCTTACTTCTACTGCTCGCGCAATACATCGGAGCCCCAACGGGCAGATCCCCAGAGGATACTGGCATGTATTGCGCGTCAGCTCTCCAGCGCCTCTCCTGACCATCCCATTGCCCCCGCGACGCTTGCATTGTATGACAGGTTGCGTTCGGTCGATGGATCTAGAGAAGTCTTGACTATGTCTGAGCTCGTTGAGCTCATCCTTGAGCTCACGAACCTTTATTCGAGAACTACTGTCATATTGGACGCGCTGGACGAGTGCGATCCGGAGACAAGATGGAAACTAGTCGATGCACTGAATGATATCGTGGCTGATTCCACTGGCCTCGTCAAGGTGTTCATTAGCTCTCGCGAAGAAGGCGACTTGCGATTATCGATCCAGGACCATACTGGCGTCCAGATGACAGCTTTGGAGAATAACAAAGATATCCAGAAGTTTGTCGAGATCGAAGCAGAGAGAATGGTTAGCAAAAGACAGATACTCGGTCGTGTCAAGCAGCCCTCCACGAAAGAGGACCTCAAACAGCTGATAAAACAAGATGTTGTTTCCAAGGCGAACGGAATGTAAGTCCTCTGGCTCGGCAATTTGCCATTAAAGAAGCTAATGAGACAGGTTCCGATGGGCCGAATTGCAGCTGGCAAGCCTTCGAGGGATTCAGTTCGAAAAGGACATCCGATATGAGCTGTCCCGTATCCCTCGCGACTTGGATATTCTGTACGAGGACCTCTATCAGAAGGCATTTGGCTGCGCCAAAGGCACAGCTCGAGCCGTAATGCAAAATGCTCTGAAGTGGCTGCTATGTTCTCGAAGTACTCTCCCCCAAAAGGATTTCCTAAAGGCTATCACGACATTCCTAGATGTCGATGCTGATGAATTCGACGAAGACCTTATCTTGGACCTTCTGAGCAACTTTGTCGTCAGCTATACGACCGAGTCAGGCGTGGAGAGCTTTCAATTCGCCCACCTGTCAGTCCGAGAGTTCCTGGAGGGGAAACCTGAATATAGCGTTCAAAGCAGTAATTCATTTGCTGCGGAGGTGTCTCTGCTCACATTGATCGGGTGTTCTGGGTCTCCCAACGCTAGTCGGTTCATTCAAGAGCTAGGGCTTGATACTTCGACTTTCATACCCTTTTCAGATGTCGAATCCCATGCAAGGGGCATCCACGACTATTGCATCAGGTTTTGGGGTGACCATTGTGATCTTGCTGGTGCAGACAATCGAGCAGAAGGCAGTAAACATCTGCATACCCTGCTGCATTATTTTCTGTTTGATGACTCCGATGAAAGCTGCCCTCTAAGTCGCTGGTGGCGGTCTTATCCTCGCTTTCTGAGTAGGAGGAGCCGGTCTAGCGCACATATGAGGCATTTCTTCGACGACCATGAGCGACCTTGCGACCGAGCCCTATACCTGGCCTGTTGCTATGGATTTGTCGAGATTGTTGCCATGGAAAGACATGAAGCATTCAATGCCCATTTGCAGACCGAGTGTGCCATGGCCGCAGCCACCCACCACCAGCATTCTGTTCTCAGGTCTCTTCTTGATCCCAAGAGCGACAGTCCTCTGCTCCAAGATGTGCTATCCCGGATGGTCGCACTGCGTGACGCCAACGGTGTCCGCGAATTCCTGCCACTGCTGGAGCCCTCAAAAGTGACCGTACACATGTTATCGCTGGCAGGGAGCCCGGAGGTTGTTTCAATGCTACTGGACCATAACAGGGGCCTTCAAGTCACTACAAAAATGGCCGAAAACTATGGTTGGGCCAATGATACCGTCAGCGCCTACCTTGCTCGCGCGCCAGACTTGGAGATCACGACGGGAATACTCCAGAACGCTGTTGGAAGCATGGATTTTGAGGCTTTCAAGCGTCTTGTTGACCGCGCGGACCCCGCGATCATTACCTGCCATGTTATCGCAGAGGCCGTGTTCAAGGAGCACTTAGGCCCGCACGTAATACCAATGACTGAGCTGCTCCTCGAGCGTGCGGGGAACATTGAAGTCACAGAGGATGCCATGATGCAGGCCGTCGCCAACAACAGAAACCCCAAGACGTTAAAGAAGCTTATTGAACGAGGCTGGCCCTTGAGTCCACACATTATTGAATTCTGTGCCCTGCAAGCGACCAAGGAGACATTCCAGGTTCTCTCCGAGGCCAGTTGTACAGAGATCTCACCTCGTCTGCTTGAGCTAGCCGCGGCCAATGTGGCAGACGGGGACACGATAGTCCAGCTTCTCATGGCCCTCTTAGATGGTACAGTCGATAACGAAACCTGGAGCAGGATGTTGGTTAGGTGTGCTCGCAATACTTCCCGAGGTTTGCAGACCATGGACATGCTCCTTCGCCTCAAACCAAACACGAAGGTCGTAGAGAAAGTGTTCCTGGCTGCCTTGGCCATGAACTGGGACGACCATGGCATGTTTAACCGCATCCTGGATGGCAATCGGGAATTGGAAATCACTGATAACGTTGTTCGATGCGCCTTGGAGCGGCTGAGGTACGATGAAGCCATCAGGAAGATCCTAGATCGTCATGGCTGTGCGATTATCTCCTGTGACATGATGCTCGGGGCAGTGCGTAACCGTCTATATGGAGACGAGATGACCAAGCTGCTGCTACATCGAGACAGTATGCTGGAGCAGCCCTCTGCAGAGGTTAGAACTGCAGTCATCTGCAACGATCATTCCGGCTATGAAATACTACAAATGCTTGAGCGCCGGTTTGGACAGTTTACGTTCACTGACGCAGACCTGAAAAGCGCCGCATCGGGGAGTCTTAAAATGTTGAAACTCGTTCTCAGTCGCTGTGGGATATCGCGTATTCCTGACTCCGTTTTGCAGGTTGCAGTATCCCGCGCGCACTTGGACGTCCTCAAACATCTCCTCCAGCTGTACGATGGTCCTATAACCCGTGAGATGGTGGTCGCGGCAGCCGGAAATGAAGGAAGTGGCGCCGAGAAGTTCAAACTCGTCTGGAACCTTGCGCCAGAGGTCAAGCCCTGTCCTGAGATGTTTATTGAAGCAGCAGCAAACTTATGGGATGACAATCTCAATCTCATAATGGATCGGGTTGAGGACGAAAGCTTATATCAGACTGTCCTGGATGCGGCCGTGAAGTCAAGCACCAGCTGTTACGCCATCGTGCGTACTTTTCTCGACAGAGGTGTCCCTATCCACATTTCCAGCCAGACGGTTATGGATGCCATGGGGTCAGGAAATGGCAGAATGCTATATCTTCTGTTGAATGACATGGCTGGGTTCAGGATAACGCAAGACATTGTTGACCTCGCTGTCAAGCGTGAAGACCTCGACTCCCTACTCATTCTATATAAGCAGGGCAGCTCTATGGAATTGGATTTACAAGGAGTGCAGCAGCGGGTGGCCAACTATTTGAAAACAGCCTGGTCGGAGGAGTTCGATATGCATGGTTAAGACGCCGATATGCAAGATGTTACGGCAATATCAAGCTGTGTTTGTATAGCATTATTAACCATAATAACCGTATTATTTAAAACTCAATCTTAGGCATGCTATTAACAATGGTGCCAATCCAACGTTATTAAACACGCGGCGAAAAGCACAAGAAAGGGAATTCATAAGATGATGGCGTATCAGACATTTCTATCGTCGTGCTTCTCGGTCTCAGGGTTGAAGCTGCTGTCTGAGGGCTCCTGATCTTCATCCTCTGAGCTTTCCTCTTCAACATTCTTCTTTCGCAGACTTTTTATCTTCCTTCCCAGTCGGTGCATCCCCCGGCTCAGAGGACGGTATACAAGCACGACTGGAGTCCCGACAAACTTCGCAATGGCGTGGAACCAAGGGTCAGGGAATATCCGCACAACAATTGCCCAGGGGAGGGAAATAGCGGCGACAAGAATGCAAATCGCCCACTGTTCACCGTAGATGCGTACAATGCTGAAGGCAGCACCGCCGAAGAATGCAATGACGATCTGGCAGCCAACCATGATACAGTTGATCCCGATGAAGAACCAGTTCCTGTGCAGACCGGCCAGGATATTGAATTTGTTGTCTAGACGCCGGTTGTTGAACTCGTTGAATATCTGCATCCAGACGAAGGTGTTGAAGACAATCGAGCGGCGGATGTCGTCTGGGTAGTCGAGGAATTGCTCCCTGGGGCCGAAGTGCAGGATTAGCGTTACGATCAGCTGAAATATGGACTGTCCGATTATCATCTTCCACATTGTGGTTGAAATCAGAGGGGCGCCGCCTTTGATGGGCTTGCGGTCGAGGATTTCTTCGGTGGGAGGGTCGGTTGCTAATGCGAGGGCAGCGAGAGAGTCCCTATACAGTCAGTATGCATTGCCAAAAAAAGTGGTAAGGACTTACATGATGAGATTAATCCACAGCAGCTGCACAGCCGTCAGGACAGAGCGCATTTCGGAGTCCGCCACGGAAGAGATGAATGTCAATAGAACGGCAGTGATATTGACGGTGATCTGGAACTGCAGGAACTTGCGTACGGCGTCGTTGACAGCTCGTCCCCACATCAGGGCTGTGAGAATACTTGCAAAGTTGTCGTCCATGAGAACAATAGCCGAAGCCTCCTTGGCCACTTCTGTGCCTGAAATACCCATGGAAAATCCGATATTGGCGGCCTTGAGTGCAGGGCCGTCGTTGGTGCCGTCGCCTGTTACTGCAACAATCTCTCCCAGTCCTCTTAACCTTGTAACTAAGATTCGCTTGTCTTCCGGTGATGAGCGGGCAAGGACCTGCAGTCTAGGTAGAACATCGTCGAATTCGGCATCTGACAGTGTTCGAAAGCGAGGCCCCTCCATAACTACTCCCCCAGTGTAGATGCCACAGTCAGTTGCAATGGCTTTGGCCGTTACCATGTTGTCTCCGGTGACCATGCGAACCGTCACCCCAGCATGATGACACTTTGCCACGGCCTCTGGGACACCAGGTCTGATAGGATCTTGAATGCCAACAACTCCCAGGAAAGCCATGTCGGCTAGTAAAAGACCAAGGTCTGCCTCGGACTCATCATCGGGGTTCAGTGCGTGTTTCGGTGGCCACTCTGCAAAGTCCCGCGAGACCAAGGCAATAGTGCGAAGTGATTGCTTTGCATAGTCTAGGATAACCTGTTCCAGCTTCTCACGTTCACCAGAACCGAGTTCAATCTGGCCTGTTGGCATCCAGAGAGATGTGCTATATCCCAGTAGGATCTCCGAAGCGCCCTTGACAAGGAATCTGTATGTCCCATTCGGCAGTTTGACGACAGCTCCCATGCATTTCCGGCCGGAATCAAAGGGCATCAACTGGACAACTGTCGAATTGGCCCGTTCCTCTGCGAGTGATCCCATCCCCAAGACATCCCGGGCAAACCCTAACAGTGCAGTCTCGGTCTTGGAGCCAACGAAGCCAGGCATACCGTTCTCTTCACCCTCGAAGGCAGTCGAATTGATTGCAACAGATTCGATAATTGCCCGTTTCTGTTCCGGTGTGAGTGAGCTTGCAAAGGCCGTTGAGCGTCGTTCCTTTCCAGTCTGGTTCTTGTCGTCAAAGTCGTCGTCTCCAAACGTTCCAGTCACGACTGTCATTTTATTTGTCGTGAGAGTTCCAGTTTTGTCAGAGCAGACTGTTGTTGCATTCCCCATTGTCTCGCATGATTTCAGCACTCGAACGAGGTTATTCAGTTTGACCATGCGCGTGGTTGCGAAGGCCAGTGCCAGAGTCACTGCCAGTGGAAGGCCTTCAGGAACAGCGACGACGATGACTGTAATAGCAACAATCAGGATGTCGATAACTTGTGATGCTTTTTCCGTGCTAGTGCGAGGATTGTCCGAAAGCGTTCCTAGAAAGCGAAATAGCAAGATAAAAAATAGAAAGATGGCAGAACTGGCTCCCAGTTTAGCAATAGCACCGGCTAATCGATCCAGCTTCTTCTGCAATGGCGTCGCCTCCATGTCCTGACGCATGGCCATTAAGATCTTTCCATAGCTCGAGTTGACGCCCACGGAGGTGACAAGGCATGTGCCAACGCCCTCTAGCACTTTGCTACCAGAGATGATGAACGGGTCCATGTCTTGCTGTTTACTGTGTCCCTGCTCCAGTAGACGAAGAGCCTGGTCTGCCCCGGTCTTCTTCAGCTGGTCTGATTCACCAGTGGCAGACGACTCGTCACATTTGACATTATGTCCGTCGATATAAACGCCGTCGACTGGCACCAGATCTCCAGGCTCCAAGTGAAGAATGTCGCCAACCAATATATCATGAACCGATATCCTCAGAGACTTGCCTGATCGAACCACGGTCACTTCACGGTCCTCCTTTTTCTTGTTGAGTTTGACGAACGCGCGCTCCTTCTGATAGTCGTTCAACGAGCCCACCATGACCACAATCACAATTGCAACGCAGATCGCACATCCCTCGACCCAGTTCAGTGGCATTCCAGAGCCCGGCTCGTGCTCAACTCCAAATGTCTCATATAATCCCAGTGCCAATGAAATTGCTGCCGCTGCGGTCAGCAAGATCAGCACCTTGTCGTTGTAGGCCAGCCACATCAGTTTCCATAACGGCGTCGCTTTCTTCTCGGGGAGAACGTTCTGTTTAAAGACGCGGATCCGCTCAGTAAAGCCATTCCCTGATGACCCTGCACCAGCAGTATGCGTCCCATCAGCTGCCGATTCCTCCGTCAGACCCGTGCTCAGATCCGTGTGAAGCCCATTTGCGAGTCCAGACAATCCCCCCAGTGCAAGTAAAGCCGCCAGCGACTTCGGATTCAGCAGTTTATTCAGTTGCCCCGGCGAGTACGCGAACGGGTTATTGTCGACCTGGAAATCCGCCTCTGTCCCTGGGTCTGGCCGCAGCGCCTCACCCTGCTCGTCCGCTGAAAAGACACTCGGCGCTTCGCTTGACGATGGCTTGCCTTTCTCCTTTGGAACCTCGAGCCCGGCGCTGCTGGCTGCCATTGTGCTGCCGCTCATCGCTCGATCGCGACCGGTATACTCGCTGTCCACCGCCGTTAGATTGCTCAGCGATCGCTCGCGGGACGTCGCATCGGGATTCTGAATCTCGACATCGGGCGAGTTTGTCGCTGGCTCCTGCAGTAAACTTTGTCAGTAGATGCGCATTCGAGGAACGATTTGAACGACGCGGCGAGAGACAACAACCTCGACAGTGATGGCTGGCACAGACATCTCGTTCAAATACAAGTACAGGCGGCTCAGCCGGAATTCCCATTGGAGACACGATTGACAGGCCTGAAAGCGAGACCCTGGATTGGTTTAAAGGGTTTGCTAGTATTGCACAGCCCCAATGTCATCCGCATTAGGGTTCTCGATTGGCCGGCCAAGGACGCCCAGCAGTCAAGGGGCGCGGATGAATGCCCGCTCCTGCAGTCTCAGGGTCTTGGGGGATGTATCTTTATCACGCCTTGAAAGACACGATCGGCGTCATCTCATCCCAAGTGTCATCCCATGCAGTGCGGAGGTCGTCCTCGCACAAGCCCTTGTCCCGGCATGCGAGCGGCGTTCGTCCCGCCATCAGGGTCGATGCTCCGCTGGACTTCTCTCGGCGCCGCGCTTTCTCGTGCTCGGTATACACTCTTACAGGATCCGCTGACTCCGTCTTCGGAGGCATTGCGCGGTGCGGGTTCTCGCCGGGTCTTGGACGTCTTGGACTTGACAATACGTGGAGCTCTTGCTCAGGGTCCAGCAGCTGCAAGCCAAGCAGATCAGCTTCCTCACTTCTCACGCTTGGCTGTTATTCCGAACTCTTCTAGGCGAAATCGTTGATTGGACTACGCTGAGCGACTTGCGTGATTATCGTATCTACTCCACTCGTCGTATTGTCTTGCCCGTTCCGCAGCCGCTCTCTTCCATGGAAAGGGCAACAGTGGTGCGTTACAGGGCATAACCGGGTCTCTACAGAGAAGGCTGTGCTCACAATGAAGGCTTTAATGACTCTAAGACACCAGACAAAATGAGTCTGATACGCCCACATTCCCCAATATCTCCCCACGTGGTCTGCAGGTCATTCATATTAGAGCCAAGAGATCGACGACCAGCCGGCGCATATTCCGCTTTAGTCGAAGAATCCAGACTCGTGTTTTAGTAACCGCTGACTCGTTTCAGACTGATCGGATCAGTCGGCTTGCTTCTCAGCGTTGTCGATGTCAGCAACGCTGCAACTGGGCGCCTCAAACCCAGAGTTGTTCCTGCAGGACGAAAATCAGTCTCGCGCCCAGTGGCAGCCTGATAGCCTGGCAGGTCTCGTAGGTACAAGAAGCAACCCTCCCACTGTCGATCGTTTCATATATCTCCAGGTGCTCTGCCTTTCGGTGGTTACAAGGGCGGGCGATGTCGCGGTTCAAGGCGGATTCTCGACCGTTTCCAAGCCTTGTTTTCTGGAAGACACCGTCCTCATGCATGAGTGATAAGCGTGAGACTAACCCCAGAAGCCTCTCGCCAAGGTTCGATGGTGCAAAAGGTTTTGGTTGAGAGTACAGCATGCCGCAGCACTGCCAGCATACACTGAGACAATGTCACCGTCGCACCCATGTGCGACGGAATGCAAATGGCATTTGCCATCTAAGGTTTGTCTTACAGCCTGTGCAGCTTACGGTCGCTGATTCGGATTCAGAAACAAAGACAATCTGCCTGTCTTCGATGCGTCCTGGTATATTAATTCTTCCCTCTGCCCGGTGACGGCAGTCTGCACTATCTGATACAGTCGCCACCACTTGATTCACATTTTGACACTTGCAAGCAGATCTTTCACTCCCCTGGCAATGGCGAGCAAAATGGTCAGGCGAGACTGGCCATTTGACTGAGATGTCGGGTTGGCATTGTGGCAGTGCAGCGGGGTCTAGAGCACGACCACTCAATGAAAGACGCTCTCTCTGCATTTCCCAAATCCAATATTTCAGCTCTTTCTCTGCGTCTGCGTCAGCCTCGCCATTCGAAGGTCTGTGTCTGCGGGGTGTTTGCTTCTTTGCCTTCTGCTGTGAGATTCGTGGCCTCGCTAAATGCCGCACGCACTACACTGCCAGCCTCGCGCGTCATCTTTGGCTTAGGATCGAGATTGAGACATTTGTTCCATCGCCATGAATGAGAGGGCTAAGCAGCTGCGGTTATGAATGTGCCTCGGACGTCTGCGGAGTCAGGGCAGTCGCAGCCTGCAATGGGGGGAGAGACGGGGTCTGGCAGGGGGAGGACAGTGACAACGGCGTGCGAGAGATGTCGAAGGAGAAAGATCCGCTGCGATGGCGAGACTCCATGTGCGACGTGTCGGCGCTTTCGCATCAGCTGTGTCCGGATCCAGAAGAACGATACCCAGGCGCTGGAGCAGCGAGTGCGCCAGCTCGAGGCCCAGATCGCTGACTTCAACACCCAGAATCACGGTCATAGTCATGGCTCTGGCCCAGTTGGGCTTCCTAGTCCTCAGGCTTGGTCGCCTGATGTTCAATTCAATGTCGACTTTGGCTCTCCAGGACCGGCAGTAGCGATGGACCAGACATTCAGCCAGTTCCATCCCGGCAGCCCGTCGCCATTGGAAATCCCGAGCATCCAGGTTGTCGACTACGCGGATTCGATGTCGCCAGTATCCCCAGTCTCGCTGTCTCCTTCTCCAATGCTCCGTCCACTGGCCCCGGCAAGGCCAAATCCAATATCGGACGGCCTCGGCACTGGGCTGCGGCCACCGAGCGCCGGTGCTGCTGTCTCCCCTCCACCAACTGCCATTTCATCTCCACACCATGGGCTCATGCCGTATCTGTCTCCGAGGAGTCTTCCAGGACCGTCGAGGTCTCGCAGCTCCTCTATTTCATCATTAGGTCTTGATACGGACTGGGCATCCGCGCCAGATCTCTCCGTCTACGGCCTGACAGACACCGAGCTGGAACCCGGTATATTCGAAATACCCTCGACGCCTGAAACGGAAACGCTGCAGGCGCCGACAAGATTCGAGGCCGAGACCCTGATCGATAAGTTCTTTCTCCAGATGCAGATGGCAGCCTACCCTCTGGCCCACTATCCGCTTGACCGATCCAAGCTGCTCGAGTTCCTCAATATCATTCACCAACAGGTGCCACCACTCGATGCAGTCCATGACTGGAGCTGCTCGGAATCGATGGCTCGATTTCACGTATACATGGCTATGGCGGTTTGTCTAAGGATGGAGAAGGACGGCAGGAGCAGCACGTTGAATCTACTCCAGAAGTGCTATAAACTGGCGCTGCGTGAGACTCAGGAGCCTTCGTTCTGGAAACAGGCTTTTGCGCAGGAGGCTGCAGTGCTGTTTCTGTTATTTGCGCAGGTCAGTGCTCAGGAATATCCATAGACTAGGTTCTGGACGACTTATGATATCAATATACCCATTTTCTGTATATCGAGGCGTAACTTGTATTTGCCACCTGCGTCTGAAGTCGAATCTGGCCTCCATTATTTACCCTATTCTCGTAATACAACTCAATCATACGTAGTGACCCTTCCTTACATAGTCGATATACATCAAGTAATATCATTCAGCACAGCTAGTACTACTGGTTAAAATCAACAACTATCCTCCCAGCAACCAGTCCCTTTCGCAGCTTATCCACAGCCTCAGGCAGGCGATCAATAGGATAAACCTCACAGATCTGCCTCAGCTTCCCCCTGCGCGCAAAGTCCAGCGCCCTCGTCGTATCATGCCTACTACCAACGAGCGTCCCCTGGATCCTCGTGTTCTTAAACAGAAGCAAATTCGGGTCCACCGGAATCGTCATGGACCCAGCAGGCGCAATCCCAATGCACATCACAACACCACCAACCCGCTGCCCCAGATACGCAAGCGCAGTAGGATACGCCGCCTGCGCAGTGACAAACACCCCATGCCCGCCAATTCCATCCGCGGCCTCGACCACGGCTGCCGCGGCGTCGGGGACAGCTTTGAAGTCGACAAAGGCCTCAGCGCCCATTTTCATCGCGAGCGCGCGCTTCTCTTCGCCCGTGTCTACCACGATGGGGCGCATCCCCATCGCCTGTGCGAGCTGCACACCTTGGATTCCTACGCCGCCGCCTCCGCCGGGGAATACGGCCCAGTCGCCTGGTTGGAGCCGGGACTCTGTCAGGGACCGGTAGATGGTGGATGCGCTGCACATTACCGGTGCGGCGACCTCGTCGGGGATGCCGTCGGGGATGGGCGTGGCGTAATGGGCCGGTGATACGATGTATTGTTGGTACGTGCCTGGGTTGAACTCGTTCAATTACAAGTCAGTGAGGTGGTGGGGAGGTGATTACCAGGGACCATGAGGCCTGTATGGACGACGCCTGCGCAGTATGTCTCCTTGTCGCTCCAGCATGATGGGCATGTCCCGCATGTGTCCATGATGGGCTTGATCCCTGCGCGGTCGCCGAGTTTGAAGGTCTTGACGTTTGCGCCGGTTTGGACTACGATTCCGGCGCCTTCGTGGCCGGGGGAGCACACGCCGAATGTGGCCATTGATATGCCTGGTTCTCTTAGTTGTGTCTGGAATACGTGGCGGGGTGGGATTACCTAGGTCGTCCAGCATATAGTGCAGGTCCGACTGGCAAAGGCCGGTTACGTTGAGCTTGATCAGGATATCATCCGGGCCTAGATGGTTTAGAACTTGCCGGTACGAACAAAACTTGGTATAGGGATTACCTGGCGTGGGTACTGGAACCTGGGCGACCTTGACCTTGAAGTTAGGGCCGGCGTCCTCGATAATGCCGGCCTTGCAGTGTGTGGGGATCTCGAATACGGGAGCAGCAGAGCCCATGTTGAAAGTAAATACAAGTAGGATTAAACGTAAACGGCTGCGAGAGTGCTCTGCAGCGTGGTCGCTCTATATAGGCCGGCTATACAGCATCCGAGGTTCCCCTCCTCCAACCCCTCCTCCTCTCCCCTCTCCCCAACTTATGCATCGGTCCGCCCCTCTCTTTGTGCAACTTGGTACATAGGAGCCAGGGCTGAGCCAGTCATGTCCTGGTCAGATATGCGGATCCATAATCACCCAGCGGACGGTGGCTATCACCGCGCCCGCCATCAGCACCGTCAATATACCTGCCCCCACTCGGTCCGCCACGCTGATATTCCGAGTCACCATGTCTGGCAGCGACTGTCGGGGGTTCTCCGATCCTGCTGCTGGGTTTCCTTTACTGATCCCCCCGTCCTCTCGGGTGACCGGTGCATCTATCCTGTGGATCAGCGTGGACTGTATCACGTCCAGCGCCGCCATCTCCAACCCGATGTCCAGGGGCTGTTTGGTGTACTTCTGGTCTGTCCACTTTAGCCCGCATGAAGTGTTTCTCGGTCCTCCTGCACATGTCTTCGCAGCGGCGCTTGCTGAAGCGCGCAGCTTTGGCATTATCATGTCGTAAGTGAACGGGGCAAGCTGCGTCGATGCCGCCATCCAGCGGGCGAGGTATCCTTTGAATGATCGCTGGTCCACCTTGCAGGTGTCCACTGGCTCGCACGCTCGCTCGTATAGGACGTCCTTGGGCTTATCGGTGAAGAAGACGTCTGCAGCTTTGAGGATGCCTTCTGTTCGTTCTTTCCACCTCGGATCCCCGTCCGTCTGGATCGTTAGTATTGGAACCAAAAGCCACTGGGAGACATACAAAGTTATACATCGCGGCAGCACCGAGCAGGTATACGCCGGAGTTATACGTCCACTGCACGCGGTCCATCTTGGTGCAGTTGTCTCCGGAATCGGCTCCGTCGTAGAACAGGTAGTCGTGCGTCATGAACCCGACATCCTGTGTCCAGTCGAATATCTTGGTCGCCCAGTCGGCATACGTTTGGTTCCCTGTGTATCTTGCGAGTCGTGCGGCGAGGTTGAAGAAGCACCCGTTTGATATGGTGTTTTTATATGAATAGCCTAACGATTCATGTCAGCTCGAGGTTAACGCTGTAGACTCAGTTAAGTATACCCCCGTTCCAGGCGAATATCTGCCACCGCAGCCCTCCGCCGCAGTGCTCATCGTCCCATCGGCTGGCCTGAGTGTTGAACGTTGCCTGGGCCATCGCCAGCCAGTCCGGTCCATCGCCTGGGGGTTGGGGAAAGTTCCTCTCTGCCGCCGACATCGCTGCGAATGCCCAAAACCCCTGGTCGTCGTTCCCCTCCGTTCTTGTCTGATTCGACGGCATAAATGCGCCGTTGTTACCTGCTTGGTGGACGAGACCCTGAGTCGTGATCTCGTTCCACTGGTCGTCTCCTGTGTAGGCCCAGTAGTCGATCAGTGCGTTGAACATCGCCCCAGCCTCCCACCAGTAGTACGGGTCTGGCAAATTTCCTGGCACATCGCCTGGTTTGTATCCCGTATAGTACGAGACCATATTCTTCGCGATTGTCTGGCATGCTTCCTTCACGGAGGCTGCGACTCTTAGCTGCCGTCAACAATTACCGGGGTAAAAGCCTTACCAATATCATCCAGCTTCATTTCGATCGCCTGGACCGGAACCAGGGATATTAACAGCAGCTGCCATAGTATCTTCATTGTGCCTGGTCCACGACGGATGCATGAGGGTCGAGGCCAGGTGTGAAGAGCGAGAGGCAGAGAACAGCGCGACCAAGGGGTGCGATCGGTTATATGATTTCATTGTTGATGTCAGGCCACTGGCATTCCTCGATGGGAATGTTGGACCGGAGACTCATTCCACATGGTTGCTGAGAGTTAATGTCTGAATGAGTCCTGCGTTGTCCGAGCGAGGGCTGTGCCTGTCGTCCTGCATTCCCACCCCTGGCCAGGACCTTCTGGGCACCGTCTCCTTCCAATCACATTTAATACTCGCTCTGCTTCCTGGATCGCCTTCTCTCCCTTTTCCGATCCTTTTTTTTTTCAGGAACGCGATCTGGGTGACGATTAACCGTGATTAATCTCATACTCCCGTAGATCCAGTCACCACCGACGCCAAACTCAATAATCCTGAAGGCCTGGCTGCAATAAAGTATCAGAAAACCTTGATGCTGAATTCTATTGCTCCTTCAGAAATTTTCGTCATCCAAGTCAAGTCGGTCTACGTGCTGATGGCAGAGGCGTGACGGTGCTGTCGGATACGAATACAAGCTGCAGGACCATTAAGACTGTATGCAGTATTAGTGCAATAGTGCATTCTATAGCATGAATGCCAGTCTATAGTCGTACAGACCAAATTAGCGTCTTGGGTTGCGCCTGCAGTTCGCTGTTCTCATCGCAGCATCCTCCTTCCACATCCTCAGTCAACATACTCTGTCCAGCACAACATGGCTCTACTAATTCTTTTCTATTTTCTGGGCATCGCCATGGCCCTGCAATACACTGGTGACCGCTTTACTATACCCGGCTGGAATATCCAGTCAACGCGCCATGTACAGGGCAACTCCACCGAGCTGTCTCTCCCCGGGGCAGACGTCTCGTCATGGTATCGCATCGGCCACAGGGCTACAGTCCTCGGTGGACTCGTTGAAGCTGGCGTCTACAATGAATCTGACCTCTTCTACTCCAACCATCTTTCTAACCTCAACGAGTCAGAGTTTCACGTCCCATGGCTATACCGCGAAGAATTCTCGGTCCCCCCGTTGGCTGCAGACCAGCGCCTCATACTTGACATCCACGGGGTCAGTTCCAAGGCTGATATATTCGTGAACGGTCAGCAGGTTGTCTCCCGAGATATCCAGAATGGCGCCTATGCCGGTCGGTCGTACGACATCACGGCTCTCGTTCACGCCGGTGTCAACGCCCTGCTCATCCAGGCATATCCAACGGACTATCTGAAGGACCTTGCTGTCGGCTGGGCAGACTGGAGCCCGTATCCCCCTGACATGGGTATGGGTGTCTGGAGAGCTGTTGAGCTCAAACTCATTGGGCCTGTCTCGATTTCGCCTCCCCGAGTTACCACCAACTTTAGCCATGAGACGCAGGAACCTCTCGCAGTCAGCATCACAATCAAGACGGATCTCGCAAACTACGGGACGCAAGCCCAGGATGCTACAGTACGCGGTGTAATTCGTCTGCCCGATACTCCGCTGGACATCGCTCTCTTTGAGCGTGTGAAGCTGCCGCCGCGTTCGAATTCAATTATCACCCTGAATGCAGTTCTTGGACCCGCGCAGGTCAAGGTCTGGTGGCCGGCTGCTTGGGGGTCACAGCCTTTATATCAGGTCCAGCTGGCTGTGTCGCTGCCGACAAACGCTCTGTCCGACCAGAGTGCACCCACGAACTTCGCCCTCCGCAGTGTCGGGTCCTCGCTCAATGCCCATGGCGAGAATGAGTTTACGGTGAATGGCCACCCTTTTCACGTTCGTGGCGCTGGTTACGCTCCAGACCTGTTTCTGCGGTTTGATCTTCAGCGTCTCGAGGCGATATTTCGCTATACGCTCGATATGGGGCTCAACACAATCCGGCTGGAAGGCAAGCAAGAGCATCCGGAGCTGTATCACCTCGCAGACCGTATGGGCATAATGTTAATTGCTGGATGGGAATGTTGTGACAAGTGGGAGGGCTGGACCTACAATGAAGATGCCCAAGGTGTCAAATGGCGCGACGAAGACTACGACATTGGATATGCCTCGATGCTCCACGAAGCCGAGATGATGCAGCCACATCCTTCCATGCTTGCATTCCTTGTTGGCTCCGACTACTGGCCCGACGAACGTGCGACAACAAGGTTCTTGAGTGCCCTTCGTCGGATGAACTGGCCAAACCCTGTCATTGCCTCAGCTAGCAGCCGTGGTCATCCCAGTCAACTCCCACCCTCGGGGATGAAGATGGAAGGTCCCTACGCGTGGGTCCCTCCGAACTACTGGTATGGCAGCGAGGTTGGTGCAGCCTTTGGCTTCGGTTCTGAGCAAGGCGCCGGTGTTGGCACGCCTGAGCTCAGTAGCCTACACCGGTTCCTATCATCTACCGATCTAGAAACCCTCTGGACCAATGCAAGCGCTGGGCACTATCATCTGTCACCCAAAGGAAGTGTTTTCCATAACCGAACGATCTACAATAAGGCGCTGGTGGAACGATACGGCCGACCGAGTGGCCTAGAAGATTATGTGCTGAAAGCCCAGATCATGGACTATGAAGCAACACGGGCAGAGTTCGAAGCTTTTGCAGCACGACAGAATGCATCTCATCCAGCGACCGGTGTAATATACTGGATGCTCAACAGTGCGTGGCCTAGTCTACACTGGCAGCTTTTCGACTACTATCTTCGACCAGCAGGCGCATATTTCGGAGCCAAGGTTGGAGCACGGCAAGAGCATGTTGTATTAGACTATGGGTCAAACACTGTTTACCTCGTTAATCACTCGTTGCGGTCTAAAGGTGTACGTCGTGTCACGGCAGACCTCATTGATACCAATGGGCAGACGCTGGTCCATCGCGAAGTGACGGACGAAACAGCACCAACCTCCTCCAAGGAAGTCATGTCAATTCCTGAAATTGCAAAACTCAAGCTAGACGACGTCGCCTTCTTGCGCTTGGTTCTCTCCGATGGCTTTAACACGACTCTCAGTCGGAATGTCTACTGGGTAACCGCACATGTTGATGCCCTCGACTGGGACGCATCAAACTGGTACACAACTCCAGTGGCATCGTATGCGAACTATACAGCTTTGAGTAATCTGCCCCCCGCTACAGTGAAGACGAGTGTCGCTGTACTCGGCCGACCGACGCCTACCTTGACCTATATAGAAGTTCACCTGGAGAACACGGGCAATACTCCAGCGTTCTTTCTGCGACTGACTGCGCAGGATCCGAATGGCGAGGAACTGGCTCCGGTCTTTTGGTCTGATAATTACGTTACTCTCTTTCCCCAGGAACAACTCCGGTTGGTCGTGGAGGTCCGCCAGAGTGCAGGCTGGGTGGTGAAGATGGCCGGGGGGAATGTCGCAGAGAGCACTATTGGCAGTGGGTAGCTAGCCAATCTATACACTTATTCACTGGCATTAGCATAGTAATATTAAACATATTCCAGAATCATGGAACCGCATAAAATAGTTATCCTTAAGCATATATAGATAGTGAGTCATCGCCCCACCGCGGGGTTCAGCTCTTTCCGCGGGAAACAACATCTTTGCTCTTTACAACCCCTCAAAATGGCACAGACTGCAGTATCAGACATCTTGAGATCGACCTCCTTGGACTTGGCACCCTATGAGGACCTCTACAGGTACTTCCATGCCCACCCAGAACTGTCGCTGCAAGAGGAATCCACATCGCAAACAATCGCCGCCAAGTTATCCGAACTAAATGCCTTCGACATCCACGCCAACATCGGCGGCTTCGGTCTCGCCGGCGTCCTCAGAAACGGACCCGGCAAAACCGTCCTCCTCCGGGCAGACATGGACGCCCTCCCAGTGAAAGAAATCACCGGCCTGCCCTACGCCAGCACCGTCACAATGCGCGATGCCGACGGCGTAGAGAAGCCCGTCATGCACGCCTGCGGCCACGATATGCATATTACCTGTCTCCTCGCGGCAGCAGAGAAACTAGTCCACCTCCGCAACAGCTGGTCAGGAACCCTCATCGTCCTCTTCCAGCCGAACGAGGAGCGCGGCGCCGGCGCCCAGGCTATGGTCGATGATGGCCTGTATGATAAGATCCCTATCCCGGACTATGCCTTTGGGCAGCATGTTATGCGCCTGCGCGCCGGTACGATCGGCTCCCGCTTCGGCACTATCATGGCTGCGGCGGATAGTATGAAGATTACGGTCTTTGGGCGTGGTGGGCATGGTTCGCTGCCGCATCATACGATTGACCCTGTCCTGCTGGCGGCGCATATTGTTGTCAGGCTGCAGGGGATTGTCAGTCGTGAGGTGGATCCGTCGGACTTGGGTGTTTTGACGGTGGGGAGTCTGCAGGCTGGGCAGACGGAGAATATCATTGCGGACCGTGCGGATATCGGGATTGATTTCCGCAGTGTGAAGCTTGAGACCCGAGAGAAGATTATTGCGTCTGTGAAGAGGATTGTGGAGGCTGAATGTCTGGCGAGTGGATCGCCGAAGAAGCCCATTTTCACGCCCACAAGGCGCTTTCCGCCAACGGTTAATGAGCATGCGCTGGCGGCGAGGCTGGACAAGGAGTTTGGGGAGTATTTTGGGGAGGCGTTTGATGGGGATACCCCGAGGACGAATGTGAGTGAGGACTTCTCGACGCTCGCAACGTGTCGGGATATCCCGTGCAGTTTTTGGTTTCTGGGGGGGGTTGATGAGCAGCTTTGGGATGAGGCGACGGTCAAGGGGACGACGGAGGAAATTGCTGGCAATCATTCTGCGCTGTTTGCCCCGGTCATCCAGCCGACGATGGGCGTTGGGGTGGATGCCTTGTGTGTTGCTGCTTTGAGCTATCTGAGTTGATATCGTTTAATACAAGCCAATTATACTGGCAATCAAGGTTGGAGCTCTACGTCAATTGGCTGTAGTACTCCTATTCCAAGCATTAATATGCGTCATTCTGAATCTTGATGAAGGGTCTATAAGTCCATCATCCGCTAGTTTTAACTGGTTAGCTAAACTATATTTGACATCGCCATTCTGTATTTAGTATAGTCTGTATTTAGGGCTTGTCAGTTATAAGTACCACCGAAGAAACAAGGGATCACGGAGTCCACTTGCTTCACTGGAACTCCTGTCTTTGTTCGATAAACTACCGGCTATGAAGCAGTATCGACTACTGCAGGTATCACTATTAGTATTTCATGAAGACTTGGTTGTAAAGCTTTTTCTTTTCCATCCTCACAATACCCGAACAGGATGACAATGTGTAAATATATATCTGCGGCACAACATATTATCTTCTAGTACATAACCAAAAGATATAACAACCTAAAATGCCATATCTATGCTGTAATAGTTAAACCCATCCAATATAATTGCATGGCACTGCACTGTCCTCAATATATAACCGCATGACGTATTGACGATCTCTAGCTTAAAACGCCATCCCCGCACTCATCGCCCCCAACTTGCTTCATCTCAACGATATTGGAAATCAAACCTGTATTCGATACAATAGACAACATGCGCGGCCTCGAAGAGAGCACTGAGACGATCAGGCGCGTCAGCCACGACGCCAGAGAGCGCGTTTACCGTGCGTGGGAGGGTTTCATCGACTTCGCAGCCCGCGACAACGTCCTCGAAGTCGCGTTGGGTTTGATGTAGAGATCCCTTATTTGTTTCTTTATTTTCTACGGATAGGCTGCGGTTTGAAGTATATATTGTATTATGGACTAATAGATGTAGCATCGCGCAGTCCTTCACGAGCGTCGTCAACTCGTTTATTTCGGATATCGTTCTCCCCATCGTATCGCTTCTGCCGTTTATCATGAGGAATATGGATGAGAAGTTTGCGATTTTGTCCAAGGGCCCGAATTGCGATGAAGAGAATGGGTATAACACCCTGGAGCAGGCGCGGGACGACGGGGCTCTTGTTCTGGCATATGGGTGCGTTTTGTTCATGTTCTGAAGGCTGAAATTACAAAGATTAACAGGCTACAGTATATTCCTGGAAAGGGCTATCAATTTTCTAGGCATCAGCTTGACCTTGTATGCGTTGGCGCAGCTGTACATGGTGGTCTCGCATGATAAGATCATTAAGCGGCAGATCAAGTGTAAGTACTGCCTCAAGTGGATCAGTGACAAGGTGAGTTCATGTTGGGTCTGCTACTGGTTCTGCTATGTTTTGAAATTGGTAATATCGACGTTCTAGGCGCTACGATGTGCAAACTGTTCGACTTGGCAGGATGGGAGGGAGGACTGAATGCATATGATGTTTATGTTATGATATGATGTTACGACGTGATTATGGGGGGGATAAATGCTATTATTATGTAGAAGCCGGGATTGGATGTGTTCATATACTGCATCAGGTAGTTAGCAGGGCGAGCCGACAGTCGCCACATGTCCGTCTGATAACAATGACAAACCAGCGAAACCGTTGGGATTCTGACGGGGTCTGCCGGACCATGTGAAGACACTTATCCGACGACTCGTACCGGATGCTGGCGATGGAATGTTCTTTCGAATGTTGAGGCCTGTGGCATGACCACGCTAGTCTAAAAGAGGAAACCTGTGCGAGTCGAGATGCCAGGAGTATCGACAACAACACTGAGTGACCTCGGGCATAGAACCACAATGGTTCATCTGATATCAAACCCCGTCCCAACAAAACCCGAAAGACAAACCCTGGTGCCTGGGGGATCGGCTGCAGCGTTCATGCGAGGTTCCCCATGCAGTATCCATCAATTGGCGAAGCTACAGCACGTTACAACGTGCCAAAGCCCACCATGGCCGAGACAACCCGATGTTGACCCATGCCAGGCACCAGACAATCGCCCTGATGTCGGGTTTGCAATTACACTCGGATATCTGGAAGTGCTTGATACATCCCGGAAGGTAGATCTCAAGCGTTCGCATAGCGCGTAGACGACGCTCAACAGGCTCAGTAAACAAGAGTCACGTAATGGCCGTTGAATATACCGAATGTTAAGCGCCAGTTACCCGCCGGTTGGACCCGTGGACCCTATTGCCCGGTCCACGAACAAACAGTAGTCTAGAAGTCCACCGCGTTGTCCATCAATGGGCGAATCTCAGGATTGAGTCATCGAGGCTGCGCCATTCGTCGAGGTCGCGTCTCGATAGGCAGCTGCAATTGACAGAGAGATAGAGAATAGAACAGGCTACCGCATTTCTCGGCTAAGAGATTGTAGATGCTGGCGAGCTGGTGCATGCACGAGGAGTGTGATGTTGTATACGATGACTCAGCCATGTGTAGCACAATCACAACACCAGATCTGGTGGAAGTCAACGACACCAGCTCATCCTCACCACCTCCCCGGGATTGTTTTGATTAGGAGTACAAATCAATCGCGGGGTGCGCAATTTGGTCCAGCCTTTCCGCTTCTGTCCAACTCCAACCTGTTATCGATTCATCACTCGTCAAGCAACCGGCAGATCGACGCATCTTGGTAGATCTCGATAACCCAGGGGTCGGGCAGGGACGTTTCAATCTCGGTTCGCGCAGCTTCAGGCACCTGCCAGAGCCTTCCGTTTGTGGGTTGCTTCGGACTGATGAGAAATCTTCACAGAGCGCGCCGAGGCGACGTCAATGCCCTTCATGTCGCCCACCGGGATCACAGGCCATTCTCCCGTCGAAGCCGATTCGGTATCGTCAATTTAAGGCCCGATGCCATCTATCGAGTGCGCAGGACGAGGATAATGAGGATAACGAATTAACGAGGACAACGGGTTGAGTGCTCTGGCCTGGAGGTTGCGTCTGGGGCGGCTTGCGGGGTGAGAGACCGAGGAAGGACGACGTTGAGATAACCCGCGGCAAGAGGCCATGTCAACGCTGTGGCGACGTGCGCTATACGAAACGGGCGACCTCTGCGAGTCTGGAGCGATGGCTGATTTCATCGTGTTCGCCCTAATTTCCCCTCTAACCAGTTTTGTGGGCCACCAGGCACCCTCTTTGGAGGATCTGCACAGCCTGCGGGGATTGGTGGTGCTCTCCTTCACGCTCACTGGGACAGTTCTTTGGTGACCCAGCAAACCACTCTTGCAATGAATATCACATGCGACCAAATCCCACCCGACGTTGGGGCAATCTGATATTCACTGGGGCTCTGGGTCGCGGGTATAAAATTCCCCCCAGTTCCCACATCCAACTCGAGTCGCCTAGACCTACGACAACTCACACAAAACCCTTTGTCCATAATGAGTGTTCAACGCAACCCCAAGGACTCGATGAAGTCGACCTGGCGAAGGTCAGACAAAAGTCAGTGGGGTTTCCATCACTGGCTGTACGAAATTTTCGACATCCATCCCGTCGTTCTTGATAAGGACGTCCCGGTCCACGAAAAGACCGAAAAGGTGCCCTACCTGCCTGAGTATCAGCAGCACCGATGGGTGATTACCCACGCCATCATTCCGCTCCTTATTCACCATGTCTACACCTCCTATACCGGCAAGAACCTGACCGCGCTCGGCGCCGTCATCTTCTACAGCCTTGCTTTCAAGATGATTGCAATCCACGAGCTGCATGTACTGCGCCGCGTCGGCCATCAGACGGGCTTCCTCGACGGCGACACCCATGAGCGTGATGGAGTACCAGACGTGGGAGTCGCAAAGGTCGCCCGCTCCCTGCTCTCAACCTCGACTTTCCGACCAATCTTCACCGTGTTTCTGGCATACCGGCAGAGCCAGGCGCCTTCCTCGATCAACTGGTGGTGGCTGCCTGTGGAGGCTGGTTTATATGGAATCATCCTCGACTTCTGGTTCTACTGGTACCACCGTCTGATGCACGAAGTTGGTGGACTCTGGAAATACCACCGAACCCACCACCTGACAAAGCACCCCAACCCGCTCCTTACCCTGTACGCCGATCTCGAGCAGGAGCTGTTCGACATTGCCGGTATCCCGCTGATGACCTACTTCTCGATGAAGTTGATGGGCATGCCGATGGGATTCTACGAGTGGTGGATTTGTCACATGTACGTGGTCTGGGCCGAGCTGGCTGGCCATAGTGGATTGCGCATCGTGGCAATTCCCCCCAACACCTTCAGCTGGGCGCTGCGACTCGTCAACGCCGAGCTCATTATCGAAGACCACGACCTGCACCACCGCCACGGATGGAAGTCGAGTGGGAACTACGGCAAGCAGACGCGGCTGTGGGACCGACTCTTCGGTACCTGCAAAGACCGCATCGAGTGCCCACCGGAGAACATTGACTATGTGAACAAGGCGTACCTGCCTTGGTTCTAGATGTACTCGTTACTGAGTTGTTATGATTTATGTAAATACCCCTGTTGAATACCATGTCCCTCGTTTGGTTATCATTTTCTCGAGTCCCTGAGTGTATCCGTGAACGTAGAACTGCCGAGGATGAACTAGTCCATTTCGGGAAGGTGTTGCGAGACCCTCGGTGAATCACAACTTCATCATCAAATCAACAAACCGCGTTCAATGGAGATTTCTCGGCTTATTGTTGGCTCTTGCGATGTCATCCATCCTTTTCCATTGATGTAAGCAATGTTATCCCGACCTTATCCCTGGCCAAGCAATCTTCGGCATCCGACCAATGTCGGTCGGCGAACCCCGCGTTGTTCGTATCTGCATAAGTGGGTGCATAACACATGCACAAATGCCTAATAGACCGATATCCTCGTCTTGACTGGTCCTGACTGCTCGGAGATGCTGGATTGGTATCAAAACCGAGTGTAGACGTTACTCTGCCCGATGTCTGTGTAACCTGCGATAAATCGCCGATGGGACGTATATAATCACACAGGTAGGCACCGGTCTTGTTTCTTGTTTCGTGTAAACATCTAACAATGGACTGGCAGCAGAAAGCACAGCGCAAACGAGACGAACTCACGGCCAAAATACCCCCAGAATGGCGGGTTAAGCCTGAGCTGCTGGAAAAGGCTTCGTCGCAGGACAATATCCTTGATATTCCCCGCCAAACCGGTATCCTGACGGAGCGTGAGCTCGACATAACAGAGACCCCAGATGCTACTGCTTTACTTGCACGCCTTAGGACCGGCGAGGTCAGCGCCTACGATGTCGCAAAAGCATTTTGCAAACGGGCGGCTATTGCTCACCAGCTAACGCGCTGTCTGACGGAGATATTCTTCGATCAGGCCCTCGAGCGCGCGAAGGAACTGGACCGTCAATATGCGGAAACTGGTGTGCTTACTGGGCCTCTCCATGGGATTCCTATTAGTTTGAAGGACTCTTTCAATGTTATCGGGGTTCAGTCTACGCTCGGCTATGTTTCGTTCCTGGACCGACCTGCACTGACATTCAACAGTCCCATGGTGAATATCCTGATTGAGGCTGGCGCAGTTATGTACGTGAAGACTCACCTGCCCCAAACTATGATGACTGCCGACTCCCATACGAATGTCTTTGGTCGGACTCGCAATCCGTACGGACGCAATTTGACGGCCGGGGGTAGCTGCGGGGGCGAGGGTGCTCTGATAGCAATGCGTGGCTCTATTCTGGGAGCTGGAACTGATGTTGGGGGTTCGCTCCGCATTCCCTCGCTGTGCTGCGGCACTCGGGGATTTAAACCTTCTGTTGGGAGACTTCCATTTGCCGGTCAGACACCTCCTGGACGGGTTGGCCTTGCGGGTGGAATCGCAGTCAGCACCGGACCGCTTTGCAACTCTGTGCGCGATGCAGACTTGTTTTTCAGAACGGTCGTCTCGTCTCATCCGGAGAATTTGGACGACAACTCCCTTGGATTCCCGTATATCGAGCCACCGAAGTTAGAATCGCCGCTGACTATCGGAGTCTTGCCGGAGGATCCGGCATTTCCTCTCCACCCTTGTATGCAGCGAACTATAGCCGCCGCCACCCGCAAGCTTGCCGCGTCTGGCCATCGAATTGTAAATCTTCCTGCAGATGAGATTCCGTCTCTGGCAGATGCTTGCGACTTGGCCTTCCGCTTCTTCAATATGGATCCGGACCGCACCCCGTTGCGCAATGTGTCCAACGGAGGAGAACCGTGCATTCCGTCGCTCGGTATGATATACAATGTCGAAGGAACCGATCCCGAGCCCACCTTGCGCGAGCTGTATGATTTGAACATCGCCAAGGCACAAGTTGCCACGAAGATGCGGCAGGCCTGGTTGAAGAGCGGCGTTGATGTGGTCTTGGCCCCTGGCTACCAAAGCTGCGCGCCTCTCAACGATACGTATGGCAAGATTATCTACACGGTTATCTGGAATATGGTAGATGTACGCGCTCCATCCGGTTTGAAGATTTTAAAGAGATATGCTGAACTATGCAGTACCCTGCTTGTGTAATCCCATTCGGACACGCGAATCGGGCTGCTGATGCTGAGTTTGTGCGCGACGTGGCGTATACTCCTGAATGTAGGTTTACTCCTTATTCATGATTCAGAATGCTGATAGTGCTAGACAACCCCGAGGAGGTCGAAGGAGCACCCTGCCATCTGCAGTTGGTTGGGAGGCGGCTGAAGGATGAAGTCTTACTCCAGCATGCGAAAGTAGTCGAGAAGGTGCTGACCGAGTAGGCTAAAAGGCCGAAATTCCGGAATACCGGCAAGGATTTACCATATTAGTCTGCAGGAACGGATTACTTTAATAAAACTGTTTTGGATATCCCGCCCTTGTTCAGGGGTATAAGTTCGCTTCGGCTGGTTCGATTGTTCCCTTTTCTCTGCCAACACCCTATACGTGTTACACAGAGTCTGCTTTTAATGCAAGGGGGGAGCAATAAATGAACCAGCAGTTACTCCAATTCAAGCGTCCAAGACTCTTGGGTCGTAGCACCCCGCGAGAGCCAGAGAGAATGCGATCTACAGCCAAGGCGGAGGAAGGCACAACAGCCTTATCCCATCGGGTTCTTCCTTTCTCTGTCTGTGCCCTGCCTCTCCCTTGTTCATTCTGGCCAACCATAATACTGCCCGCTTCGTTTCTGCTCACTTTGTATGCGACAAGACGTGGAGAATGTCTGGCCAAGCCTCAACTTCTTGGGCGCATTGCCGTAACAATCCAGGCCCGGCGGTGCACGCCGCACATTCCCTCGGGTCATAGCTATTAAAACGCGCTATTTCCCCCTGTAAGGAACCCACGAGGTACCAAATTGTGTTTTTGTTTAGACTGTCTTTTTTGCAATGCGTTCTTCGCTTACTACGGCAGTTTCGACTGTCCTGGCGGCCACACTTGCCGCTGGACAGGCCATTACGTGGGATGAAGCATACCAGAAAGCAGCAACAGACCTCGCAGCCCTAAGCCAGAATGAAAAGGTCGGCATTGTAACGGGCGTTACCTGGATGAAGGGCCCCTGTGTCGGGAACACATACAAGCCCGAGTCGATTCCCTACCCGTCATTGTGTCTCCAGGACGGGCCATTGAGCGTGCGCTTTGCGAACCCCGTCACTGTGTTCCCGGCTGGAATCAATGCTGGTGCGACGTGGGATCGCGAGCTCATTCGCGCTCGTGGAGCGGCAATGGGTGAGCAGTCCAAGGCGCTCGGCGTGCATGTCCAGCTTGGGCCGGCGCTTGGTGCTCTAGGGAAGATTCCCAGTGCCGGTAGGAACTGGGAGGGTTTCTCCAACGATCCGTATCTTATGGGAATTGCGACTTCGGAGGCTGTTCAGGGAATGCAGGGGAGTGGTGTGCAAGCCTGTGCCAAAGTATGCTCTCTAAGCAGACTGCTTGTTCAATGCTAATCGTGACAGCACTATATTCTCAATGAGCAAGAGCATAACCGCGAGACTATTAGCTCCGTCGCTGATGATCGGACAATGCACGAGCTGTATCTCTGGCCGTTCTATGACGCTGTCAAGGCGAATGTCGCCTCTGTTATGTGCTCTTACAACAAAGTCAACGGGACTTGGGCCTGCGAGAATGATGCCATCCTAAACGGCCTGCTCAAAGGAGAGCTAGGGTTTAAAGGCCATGTGCTGTCCGACTGGAATGCACAGCATAGTACAGTCAAGAGTGCCGTAGAAGGCCTCGATATGACTATGCCCGGTTCTGACTTCAACCAGCCACCCGGCAGCATATACTGGGGCGATAACCTGGCTGCAGCCGTTGCAAACGGTTCTGTCCCCCAGACGCGCCTCGATGATATGGTAACTCGGATTGTCGCAGCGTGGTATCTGCTCGGTCAGGACAAGGGCTATCCCGAAGTCGCATTTAGCAGCTGGGACGGGGGTGCAGCGTCTGTTAATGTGACGACGCCTGAGCATGGCGACCTCGCACGGAAGATTGCGCGAGACTCAATCGTGTTGCTGAAGAATAACAACCACAGCCTGCCACTGGGCAGCCCTAAAAGTCTTGCCATTATTGGTTCTGATGCCATTGTCAATCCGGATGGTGCCAACGCGTGTGAAGACCGGGGCTGCAATACTGGAACTCTTGCTCAAGGCTGGGGAAGCGGGACAGCCCAATATCCGGTATGTTTAGCTTTGACTTCTGATGATAGAAGATACTGATTCACCTAGTATCTCGTTGCTCCTCTGGATGCCATCAAAGAGAAGGCCCCAGCAGGCACGAACATCGTCACAAGCACCACGGATCAAGCTTCTGCTGGCGCTTCTGCTGCTGCTTCTGCTGAAACTGCCATTGTTTTCATCACTTCAGACTCTGGCGAAGGGTATGTGCTCTTGCCACCTCTGTATCGCAGTCCTAACACTGTAACAGGTACATTACAGTCGAAGACCACGCCGGTGACCGCAACCACCTCGACCCCTGGCACAATGGGAATGCCCTGGTCCAGGCTGTCGCTCAGACCAACACGCCCACGATTGTCGTCGTCCACAGTGTCGGACCCGTCACTCTCGAGACGATCCTCGCAGAGCCCAACGTTGTCGGAATCGTCTGGGCTGGTCTGCCCGGTCAGGAAAGCGGACACGCCCTCGTCGATGTTTTGTTCGGTGACCACTCTCCCAGTGGGAAGCTGCCCTATACAATTGGCAAATCTGAAAAGGATTATGGCGCAACATGGACCACCGAGTTGACCGACAACTTCTCCGAGGGCCTGTTCATCGACTACAGGCATTTCGATAAGAACGAGATCCAACCACGATATGAGTTTGGATTTGGCTTGTGTATGTCCTTTGAATTCCTTTAAGGGTGTGACTAACGTGTTGATAGCGTACACCACATTCAACTACTCGACTCTTGCGACTGCTGTAACCGCAACGCCCGGTCCAACCACCGGTAAAACCGTTGTCGGTGGCCCATCCGACCTCTTCGCTTCAGTTGGTACAGTCAGTGCCTATGTGAACAACACCGGTAAGGTCGCCGGCGCCGAAGTCGCCCAGCTCTACATCGGATACCCTGACTCGGCCCCATCGACGCCGCCGAAGCAGCTGCGAGGGTTCGACAAGCTAAGCCTCACGCCTGGTGAGAGTGGAATCGCGGTATTCGAACTCACTCGCCGAGATATCAGCTACTGGGATGTCGTTCGGCAGAAATGGGTTGTGCCTGAGGGCGCATTCCGGGTCTATGTGGGCAGTTCAAGTCGTGATATCCGGCTGACCGGGAGCTTTACTATCTAGACTCTATGCACAGTTGGAATGTTTGACTCTGTACTTAGATGCATAACTTCCATAACAAGTCATCTCGGTTGTTGCTCTATTTTCCAATGGCTGCGGCCATTCTCTCCCATACAGCCTTGTCCAGCCTCCCTCGAATCCAATAGCCCCCGTTCCCATCTTCTTCCTCTGCTTGGCCCTTCCAAGTTGTAACTATATCGTCCATAGAAAGCCCAAACATCTTCAAAAGCCCCCACATATCCAGCTCCCCAAACACAAAGCTCGGTGTCGTCCCCCGTGCGTCCAGGTTAAAGAACGGCAGATCCGTCCACGAGGTCACCGACACCTGAGGAGCTTTGCGTCCAATCCACCGCGGGATTATGGGCCTTGTACTTGGGTTTCCATGGAACTGTAGCAGTTTTGAAAGACACTCCGGTTGTCGGGCTTGGAGGATCGTGCGTCGCACTTCTGCTGCTATCTTGGGGAGCGCCGCGGGTGTTGGCTGATTGCCGTCAAGGGAGTCGATGTTGATTGGCAGTACTATGCAGGAATTGTGTATTGGGGTCTGGTTCTGGAGTTGTCGTCGGATGCCGAATATGATGGTGTAGTCTTGGGGAAGGGATTGCTCGTACGCGGACTGGATGTGTTAGTACTTGAGAGCAGACCTGAAGGCGTGAACTGCATACCTGATAAATGAATGCGGAAAGCAGATCGTGGTCACTGACGCTGATATTTTGCCTTTGAGATTCTTCTTTCCAGGCTCTTATCTGTTTTTCTGGGATGTATAGTGTGTTCTCGACTCGTCGGGGGTGCAGCAGGTCTCGCGAGGCCAGTTTCACGCCTTTTTGGACGAGAGTTTGCCAGCTCCAGGTAAACAATTCGCGGGTTCGATTTATGACTTCTGTTGCCTTCTCTGTGTTTTTTTCATTTGTCGCTTCTTGCGTGGTTCCATCGTACAGTCTCAGGGGGGTTCTCATAAATGATACTTCTGGGACCTTCTTTCCGCTGAGAATGTTGCAGTATGCCTCTGCAATCCTATACCCGCCTGATATTGTCAGAACTTGCCTTGATTATCGAAGCGGTATACGCACCAGTCGCATCGCAGAATGGATGCTGGAATATAAATCGGATGATCGTAGCGTCTTGTAGCAACAGCGCGCGAACCTGGAAGACCTGCCCGCGCAGCGCTTTCTTCAGGCTATTGGAGAACTTGAATAGTTTATCCAGCTTCTTAACCTCGTCACCTGCCTGCTTCGGCTCGGAAATATTCATTACATCCTCGAGATTCTGTTCGACGAATTTTCCGCGGTAGACGTAGGGAAGGTTGTCTGGTTCGCTTGGGATGAGGTCAGTTCGCTGTGAAGGCTATCAGTATAGGTACTAACACGCATTCTCGAGAAATATACCAGTGAATTCAGTCGAGAGCCAAGTGTGGGCCATTCTGAGAGCAAAGCCTGCGTAGCAGCGTCAAGTTGCCCTGTAGAGTATACTGCTGGAAACACAAGCGTCACGGTAAACTCGAGGAAGCGCTGAACTCCCACATCCAAGGGCGTGAGACTCATTCTGACTGTGATGCTGCGAGGAGTCTGGACCCGGGGGCAGGAGACTTTATGGTTATTATTGCCGACAATTGTTGTCACCGGTGCCAGTTCAGAGCTTCAGGCACAAACCGAGCGTCCAACCAGCGAAGGCGAGATCGGGTCTAGAGTTTTCTGGCCCAGTTATCTCAGACGCGATCGGCGGGGCCTTTTGCTGCTATTTTGTATTATTGGCTGTGGCGCGCGAGTCAGCCCCAGTGCGAGGTTCCTATGACAGGCTATGTATCAGGTTCACTGCACCAGATCTGGCGAGACAATTAGTCTGTCTCTGGCGTAGAATAAAGAGCTTTGGGGTTTAATTGTCGGTAGCCTAAAACAAAGTAGGCGACATTTTTGATGAGAATCTAATGAAGGGGGAAGTATGGAGTACGTCGGTGGTTGTTCGACCAGTCAATATATATATCCCTACCCCTAACACCGACGAATTCACACGCGAACAAGCCAGCAAACTTGATTCGTGAATTAACTCTATAGAGAGCTGCCTGACAGAATATTTAGAGCAGCGAATACAATGTGGATCATAGATGAAGTGTAAACTAATCTAGATAGTATCTTAGAAAAGTAAACTATTGATGATCCAACTACAGCCGTATCCAAGCAATCCTTCCACCGCCAGATGGATTAGAGGAATCGCAGTTTCCGAGCGATAGTAATAAAGAGGAGAATCAGCGCGAGAATTATTCCAAGAATACTAAACCATCCATCTAGTGTTTTCTTATCCTCTCCTGGAACAGTCACGTTCATTCCAAAGAGACCGGTAACGAACTGGCAGGGAACGATGATTCCTGCAATCATAGTCAACCGGCCCAGCGCGTGCATTATCTGGTTCCGCATACGGGTAGAGTCGAAGGATAGTTGGCTTAGATACTTGGACTGCCCACGCGATAGCATCTGCTCCGCTGCATCCAAGTTCGCTATCATAGTCAGGACGTGATCCTGGATATCGCTGAGATACAGCGTCACCTGTGACAAGGAGGCCCCGAAGGCCTCGCAGTGGCGGGCGAAGCACCGGATCACATCCGTCTTGTCGTTCAGCAGTTGTCGGATGTGGAGAACCTCTTTCCGGGATTTGTAGATTTGCTGGAGAGCCAAACCAATGTCGTCTGGCCGGGTGATGGAAACGCTATCTTCCATCGTCTCCACCCCGCTCTCCACCTGGTTGATAAAAGGGGCGAAACCGTCGACAATGTCGTCGCTGCGGAGAATTAGTTAGAGACCTTGCGAGCCCGACAACAGAACTTACATCAGCGCATAGCAGATCCAGTCACTGGTTAGCGACAGGTGACTCTGATGTTCTCTGATACGGTTTCGGACATGGCCCACATGGGGATTGCCTTCCATTGAGAAGCTGAGCACTCCATTTCGGAACACGACGGCATAAACGTTGACAGTGGATGTGCGTGCTCCCACATAGGTCTCAACCCGAAGAGCCGGTCGGAGGGACAAAAAGTAATACGGACCGAAGGCTTCGATCTTCTCACGGTTCTCCCGAATTTTGATATCCTCCGTCGTGAGCGGGTGGAGGTTGAAGATGCGCGAGAGTGTCTCGATGTCGTCTTCCGAGGGCGCCGTTACGTCCAACCACCACAGTCCAGGGTATGTTCCATCCTCCAGCAAGGGGCAAAGCGGGTCGTAGAGTGCTTTCAGGCCATCGATGGTCGAGGCTTCCACGCAAGAATCCAGCTGCGAGGAGAAGAAGTTGAAGTGGGTGGGTTCCGAGGGCCGATAATCCTGAGATTCTTTCTCATTGGTTATGGATCGGGTATCTTTGGCCGACCTGGGGCCAACCCTCCAGGGTAGCTTGAAGGGCTTCATCCCCGGCTGCGGTCGGGCAGTTGCAAGGCGGGCGAGGCGCAGGGTCGTGGGTCTGCGACTAGTAGAGAGGAACCCGAGGCTCCAATGGCGGCGACATCAAAGGGAGAGCGGAAGGAGGGCCGCATAGTATAGGGGTTTTAGCTCAGGAACTGAAAGACCGAGCGAGAGACAACGAGAGAAGAGGAAGAAGAGACCGCGACGCTGGTGAGGCTGAGCCAAAAATTCAAAGACGCACACGTGACGTCCAGATTGGGCGGAATTCCTGCCTCAGGCAGCAACTGATTTGCTCCCCGGAATTTCCACTTTGAGGCAGATTTTCCTCACTCCAACAGTCGACGTTGATTGCCATTGATTATTCCGTATTGATACCCTGCGATCGTCGAGGTCGTATCGCCGCTGCATCATCGGATCTCGCAGCTCTCCGCCTGAAATAATGTCCTGACCCTCGGTCTCAATTCTCTCACAAACACCAACCTGAACTCACAGTCTCACCGTGTTGGGCCCAGAATGTGGTGGATCAAGGACCCAGAAAAGAGGCTGCTTTTCAAGATCGACTTCTTCATTCTCTCCTTCTGCTGTGTAACCTATTTCTTCAACTATCTTGACCGCTCCAACCTGACCAACGCGTATGTCTCGGGCATGAAGGAGGAGCTGGCCTTCAAAGGCAACCAGCTCACTGTCATAAACACCATATTCACTGTGGGCTATATCCTCGGCCAGGTCCCCTCGAACTTGGCACTAACTTACCTGCCACCACGGTTCTTCTTCCCATCCATGGTTCTCCTGTGGGGTGGGTTGACAATGATAACCGCCGCTGTGCACAACCCACAAGGAATCATGGCTATCCGGTTCTTTCTGGGGTTGGCTGAGGCAAGTACCTTTTCCGGAACCCATTATATCCTAGGGTCATGGTATACCGAGCGTGAGCTAGGCAAAAGAAGCGGAATTTTTACCGCGAGTGGTCTGGCTGGCACCATGTTTGGCGGCTTTATCCAAACGGGAATTCATTCATCGCTGGATGGTGCAGCAGGTCTGTCGGGCTGGCGATGGCTGTTCATAGTGAGTACTTGCTCTTGCACGCTTCTATTGCTATGAAGCAGCTCATTAGCAGTGTCACGGTGCTAATTGATCCAGATCGACGGCTTGATCACTCTTCCAATTGCAATATATGGGCTGTTCCTCTTTCCGGATACACCGACAACCACGAGAGCTCCGTATCTCACTACATCTGAACGTGTATTGGCCGTATCCCGACTACCAACGGTCAACGCTGACCGCGCTCCAATCAACCGGGCATTTTTGAAAGAACTGTTCACTACTTGGTATTGGTGGGCATTTGTCATTCTGTGGGTGATTGCGGGTGAGACGGAATCGTTTTCATCAAACACTCTTTTGGCACTTTATATGAAGGCACACCCCACAATCAAATACTCGGTAGCTCAACTAAATAACTATCCTACTGGGGTTCCTGCTGTCGGAATCCTCTCGACATTGTTCTGGGCCACCTTGACGGACTTTCTCGGCGGCAAACGGTATATTGTGGGTTACTTCATCGGCATTACTGGAGTGGCGACGTCTGCCCTTATTCTAGCGCGATTTGATTCCACCGCAACTGTATTCGGTGCCTACTACTGGGCAGGCGCAGTTTATGCATGTCAAGCCACGTTCTTTGCCTGGGCCAACGATGCCATGCGATCTCGAGATGCTCGCCAGCGTTCTGTTGTTATTGCCAGCATGAACCTGGGTAACAATGCCGTCAATGCCTGGTGGAGTATTATCTTCTACTCCGCGGACCTGGCGCCGCGCTTTACCCGGGGAATGTGGGCGATGATTGGCTGTTCAATTGCATTGGCACTCTGGACGACGGCGATTTTGGTACAAACTACCCGAGAGGAGAAGGCCCTTGCCAGATCACAGGCGTTGAATGGCTTGCCAGAGTGCGTGCGTCAAAGCGAGAAATCTGACTGAGTTCATTTACTGTCACTATTTGCTCTACAAGCGAAGCCTTGAGCTCCTCGAATCTGCAATATTCGCTGACATCCTCTAATGCTTGGGGTGCGTGCCACTTGTGATAGAGACGGCGCGTGTGTAATACTGTCAAGCCCTGAACCCTGTCCCGCAGTATAGCCTCTTCGATGAACCCTTTTCGTCGATAGCTGTTGGAAGCTACCAGCCCAACATGGAATGTCCACGCGCGTGTTATAATGTCCTGGCATTTTGAGAAGCCCAGAGGCATGTTCAGCCACGAGGCTGCCTGGCCTGAGTTCCCAGTCCTTTGGTACACTGGGCGGTTCGTCAAGGGTTGCCTTCATCTATAGCTCATGGCTGAACTCATCCATTGCAGTTTCAATATCTTCACCACTACAATGTGTCGACAACTCCCCTAAATGGTCTGTTCCCATTCAGCGGCTTCCAAGGCCGCCGCCAAAACAATGGAGTTGCAAGTCTTTGTCCATCACGTCGACATACGAAATGCGACTGGTCAATCTCCAGCTTCTCTGAACTGCCCGTCATGCTTGCTGGATCCTGTTCTCACAAGTATGTGACATAGATCTTCAGTTCGTCGCCTCTTGGGCCACATTTCCAACTATAACCGTTTCTCCTGCCATTATAAACCCATCCATAGCCTGGGGGAGTAGGTGTGAACTGGTCAAACTGGGAGTCGAAGGTCTTTCCACGATATGGTCCTGTCAGTAACCATGTCCCCTGGAGCGAAGTAGCAACTTTACCCAAGTAGTCCAATACCCAAGTACGGTGAAGAGAAGAATCCCTGGCCGTGGATAGGTAAGCATCGAGCAGTATCATGTGGGGATGGCCTGTCGCATTGTCCTCTCCAGATGACCCTCTGGCCTAATCTTCCTTTTCGATCCCCTCTCCTTCAACGCCTCAAGGATGGCTGCCAAGTATACCTTGGTCCTTCAGCCGTGCAAGAAATGCCAATGGTGGAATCGAGCGCTGTCAGCCCCGCACCGGACTCCGTGCTAGCAGCCTTAGTATCACGAATGCGGAGAATGCTCCGGGTCTCTCCCTCAATTATTCGTATTATTCACCGACCAATGAACTGCTGAAGACTCGAAGACGTGAGGGAAATTTTTTCTCCCGCGGTGGTCAAACCCGGGGCTCCGCAAGAGCGACAGTAGCATCGGGGGACTTCCGGCATCTCTCCTTCAGGAAGGATTAAGCCCCGGCACAGACGATATTTGACGATCTTGGGCATTCTGAGCCTGGACAATGCGCCTCTTTGTCGCGCCGGTGCCGGAGCCGACTCTCGCTAACATAAACACCGCCAAACCGTTGAAAATGGAAGCTCTACGCGCATACCCGGCTCTACATTCGGCTCCGTTGCCGGCCAACTCGGCCAAAAATGGGCACGATACGCCATCCTTGTCTTGAAGTGCTTCAAATGGGACGTATATGTATGTGAATTGCGCTTCCAGTTACCTTCTCTGCCCCCGCTCCTCCACAGTGCTTTTCCCGGGGTAGTCAAAAGGGCCTCAGTCCCCGTTGTAGGTATTATCTAGTTCAGCTTTAATTTCTAATACCAAGCGACTCGAAAGTATGGATCCCGTTGATGTCGTTGCTCATGAAGAGCGCAAGAAGTCCCTGTATAACAATAGGTGGCGGCATCTTTTGCATAACCCAAAGCTTATGGTCATCGCGTTCTTTGCCTCGTGAGTCGTCTGTGGGCTCATAGACTCGAGTAATACATTAACCTTGCTCGAATAGATTCGGCGGGTTTGAATATGGCTACCAACAGGGCGTCCTCGGCCAGTCTCTGGTCATGTACCGCTTCAAGGATAACTTCCCGTCTGTGGTCGAGTCCTCCAGTGCGACAGGTTGGTTGACATCTGTGCTTCAACTTGGTGGAATCACCGGTTCTTTGTCTGCAGGTATTCTGGGAGAAGTGTTCTCGAGAAAGTACACCATGTTCATGGCTTGCTGCTGGGTGGTGCTCGGCAGTTATCTTTACGTTGGCGCATCCTACCACAACCCTTCGCTGCTCTACGCCGGTAGATTCTTTACTGGAATCGGGGTTGGAACATTTAGCGGTGTTGGGTAAGTAGACTCGGCCCCATCTCATGTACCCCGTCAACACGGCTAATATGTATATTGTGAGTACAGCCCGCTTTACAATGCTGAGCTGGCCTCCTCCGAGCTCCGAGGCTTTCTTGTATCGTTCTACCAATTTGCCACTATATTGGGGATCATGTTGTCCTTCTGGTGTGGATACGGAAGCAACAACATCGGCGGGATCGGCGAAACCCAGTCTAACCTCGCCTGGCAAATACCATCCATCATCCAGGGTATTCCCGCTGCCATACTGATGCTGGGAATATGGTGGCTGCCATTCTCTCCAAGATGGCTCGTGAAGAAGGGCAGAGACGAGGAAGCAATCAAAACCCTGTCCTACCTGCGCAAACTCCCGACCGACCACCCCCTCGTTGACATTGAATACAAGGAAATCAAGGCCGAAACATTGTTCGAACAGCGCGCATTCGCGAAGAACTTCCCAAACCTCGCGGAGAAGGAGAAGCAGAGTGTCATCATGCGCGAGTTGGCGCAATACTGGCACATCTTGCGTAAATGGGACGCTTTCAAGCGCGTCGCAACGGCGTGGCTCGTCATGTTCTTTCAACAGTGGTCAGGAATCGACGCCATTATCTACTACGCGAGTAACGTCTTTGAAGATTTAGGTCTCACTGGCGGTACAACTGCACTGCTGGCCACTGGTGTTACTGGGGTAGTGTTTTTCGTATCGACTCTTCCAGCGATGCTTATCATTGACAAAGTTGGCAGGAAGCCAATGCTGATTGCCGGCTCCATTGCCATGTGGATATTCATGGTCATTCCAGCCATTATCGTTGCAAAATTCCGACACGACTGGCCGTCACATGAAGCTGGAGGTTGGACTGCTGTGGTTTGCATTTGGCTTTATACTGGTTCATTCGGGGCCACTTGGGGGCCAGTGAGTTGGACGCTGGTATCGGAGATTTTTCCTTTGTCCATTCGATCGAAGGGAGCGGCTTTCGGGGCATCTAGTAATTGGGTAAGATATCCCTTTCCAGTTTAAGTTATGTTATCAGCTTCTAACTTGGAGCGCTATAGGTTAATAACTTTGCGGTTGCCTTCTTCGTCCCGCCTATGTTTGAGGCTTGGGCTTGGGGCACTTACCTCTTCTTTGCAGTCTTCCTGGCTGGCGGAATTGTTTGGGTTTGGTTCTGTCTCCCCGAGACAAAGGGCGCCTCGTTGGAGGAGATGGACCGGGTCTTCAAGAGCCGGACAGGAGCGGAGGATGCAGCCATGCTGGCGCAGGCCCGGGCTGATGTTGGACTCGACCATCACATGGAAGAAATGGCTGAAAAGGCGGCTATGGGGACAGTGCATGTCGATACTCCCACACCAGAGGTGAGCAAGGCTTAGAGACTACCTAGCGTATACATGCTACGAGTATAGACTCGGCCGCATGCGCCTCCATGATGCGAGAATGATCCACTTTACTATGAAGAAAATGAGTGAATGTCATATACTGCCTCCACAACTACATGATTTCCATAATTGAATAGTTTCCATCAGCAAGCGAACACACGAATAATGATTGTCGTTGGCTGCACCTCATTCCGAATACGCATCAATCGCCCGCTGGACACCAGAAACCACCTGATCTGCCAAATAGTTTATAATTCCCTGCAAAGCAGACGGTCCCTTGGGCGTAATGGCATCCCGTAAATTCTCACCAGGAGACTTGAAGTCGTAGAGCGTGTTCAGCACACCATCCGCCAACCCATCAACAGTGAAGTTCGGCTCCGCGTCAATCAGTGTATTGGTCAACTCGTCTACCTTGTCCGTCAGCGTGGTGATGGGGTCTAGGCCGGTGACGGTCTGTGCGGCCTCGTTGGATGATTACGACGAGCTCTTCGGAGGAGGTCCGGACGTCAGTCTTGACAGAGGATGATCCATATCGGATAATGTAAAAAAGACATACATTCTGAGCTGCTCACGACCAGGACTATCAAACCTTCACCTTCAGCGAAAGCCCTCCCTTCATCACACGAACTCCCACCATAATACCCGCCGCAACGATTCCAGCGACTCCTGCGTACACCCACAGCCCCGTCCATTCGAGCGCTTCACCACTCCCCAATATAGCACCAGCGCTGGGCCCACCGATCAACAGACCAAGCCCCCCAATGGCAAACCCCTGGCCAATGCGCGTGCCAATCATAGACGGGTTCTGGGTGAGCATGCGGAAACAGACAGGTGGCATGGCCACGACCACGCCGCTGAAGAAGCCGGTGGTAATGCCCTCAACAATCATCCCGGCCTTGTTGACCACGCTGAGCATGCACAGGGTGGTGACGCCGAGTAGCAGTGTAGTTGGGACTATGGTGTTGAAGACGCCAATGCGGTCTGACAGAGCGTTGGGGGCAATGCGCCCAAATACGGAGCTCGCGTTAAAGATGGCAGCCATGTAAAATGACAATGACGTATTGGTGAAGCCCTTGTTCTCGGGGAAGAAGGAGATGTAGAATATGAGCACGGCGTTCCCGATGAAGAGGATCAGGACGCTGAGGGCGAAAGTGATAAAGGGTGCGTCTGTAAAGGCGGACCAGTCGATAATTGCCCGTGGCTTGGGGGGCTGCACGCGTGTGCGCATGAGGGCCACTGGTAGGGTAAATGTGGCCAGAGCGAGGAAGCCGATCGTGCGCACGGCCCAGGGGAAACCGATATTATGACTGTAGAGCAGACGGTAGAGGACGATTGGGTAGATGATGCCACCAAGGGAAGATCCGGACGAGGCAACTCCTACAGCAAGACCCAGACGGCTCCTGAACCAGGTCGGCAGCAGGGACACGGTTGGGGTGAAGAGCAGACCACCGCCGATGCCGATGCAAAAGGCCTGGGCCAGCAGGGCTTGCCAGAACTCCTTGCACAGGGAGAGCATCATCAGGCCAAAGACGACCAAGAAGCTGCCCGACACGAGGAGCAGGCGGAGGTAGCCTCTGTCGTAGATGGGTCCTGCCACAAGGCCTGTCAGCTGCAGGAGAAAGCATTGGATGGAGCCTATCCAGGAGATGTCGGACGATGAGGCCTCAAACAGAGCGCCGCTCTCATAATAAGTTTGGAAGACGGCAAAGGTGTTTATCATGCCCCAGGTGTTGAAGAAGAGAACGAAGCCGGCAGCGACCTGGAGCCAGGCCATGGGTCCGCCATCGGGGGGTTGAGGGGCTGCAATGGGAGGAGCTGGTGCTGGAGGTGTTGATTTCTCGTCTATCTCGCTGGCGCGGAGGGCATCATTGGTGTTAGCCATGGCGAATACTGAGTGAATATGCGAGCGAACTGGCTTAGGATCCTGCATGTCTTCCAGCTTAAGTAGGGCAAGGCGAGCTGGTCCGCCGTGACGGCAAGGCAGGCCCATAATAGTATTATATTACTTGGTGGTATTATACTATACTTCTATCAAAACATTACTGCTAACCGTATCCTAAAATACTTTACTAGCTGTATCTGACAAATCCACATTCGTCCGTCACGGCGGAGATACGAGTGCTTGATAATCATTCTTATACTGCACACACCGCGGAAAGCACAATCATCCGTCCCTGGAGTCGAGAAAATGGTCGAAGAAATGCCATCACCCAAGCGCCGTCGACTGCGCAAAGGGACGCGGTCCTGCTGGGAATGCAAACGGCGCAAGATCCGCTGTCTCTTTGCCTCCCCAGACGACGGCACTTGTATAGGCTGCCACCACCGACGCGCTCTCTGTGTCAGTCAGGACATGCCCGAGGATCTCTCGCCGGCGAAAAAGGGGAACCGACATCTTAGTGACCGCATCGGGCGTATTGAAGATGTGTTGAAAGACTGGCTCGCCAGACCCGCCACTGCCACCGCTGCAGAGGTAAGCATTCACTGCAGAAGATATTTCATTAATTTAATGGAATAGAGTCCTAGAGAGACTATTCCGCAAACTTCCTCCCTCAGCGCTCACGCCGATGTTTCTGACAGCGAGTCGACTGTCCTCCACCACCTCCTGGAAGCTCTACCAACGCCAGAGGATACCCAGATTCTCCTCCGCGAGAGCGCTCGCCCATCACTATACACCGAGTTGATAGCCACGCAGCCGCGAAGCAAGTTAACCCTAGAGTCTCTCGCCACGCTTTCATCACAGCCGACGGACTTCCCCGGCCCTAACCCACACCCGGTTCTCCTAGCCAAATGGATGCTGCTCTTTGCCATCACTCTCCAGAGCCCCTGCGGAGATGAGGTCCTTGGACTGTCGGAACCGTTCAGTCTTTTAATGCGACGCTTGACGGCAGCAGCGACAACGTGGGTGACGACTCGCGACGAAATGCAGGGAACCATAGAGGGTCTGGTTTGCATTATCCTTGAAGCCACATTCGAGATCAATGCGGGCAATCTGCGCCGCGCGTGGGCTGTGTATCGCCGTGCTTTGACCGTCGCTCAGCTCATGGGCCTGCATTGGTCCCCTAGACCCCCGCTGCCACGCATCGATGCGAAGCTGGAGGTGGACCCGGAGTGCCTGTGGTTCCGCATTGTGTATATGGACCGCTATCTCAGCCTGCTGCTGGGCCTTCCACAGGGCACCTCTGATCAGAGCATAGGTGCCCCTGCCGTCCTACAGCGCGAACCATCATTAGGACAGTTTGAACGACATCTCACAGGCCTTGCTGGCCGCATCCTAGAGCGGAAGCAGACTTCTATGGCTGCATCGACTGCGGTCGATATCACTACCACACAGGCCATCGACGCGGACCTCTTGAAAGCGTCACAGGCCATGCCCACAAGCTTCTGGCGACTTCCCAACTTCCATAACCTTACCTGTGGATCGCCCGAGGCTGTCCTAGAGACCGTTCGACTCGGCGCTCAAGTCTACTACAACGGCCTCCTAATACACCTCCATCTCCCCTATATGCTCTGCGAGGTGAGAGGGCAGCACAATCCCATCAACAGCTCGCAGCACGACTACTCCAGGAGTACTTGCGTCAATGCAAGTCGCGAGATCCTGGCGCGCTTCATCGCGCACCGCAGCTTCAACCCAACCTCGTCGTGCTCCCGACCTGTGGACTTCTTCGCTCTGCTGGCCGCTATGACGCTGCTCGTCGCGCACCTAGACGCCCATCATCACCAAGTAGCACCTAGCCCCCTTGCCCACCAACGCCTAAGCGACCGCGCCATGCTTGACCAGGCCCTAGAACGCATGGACGTTATCGGCCACCTCAGCAACGACACTACGTCTCGCCAAAGTGCCGCTCTCATTCAGAAACTTCTTGAAATCGAAGCCGACGCCGCGAAGGGCAAAAGGTATACCACCCAAAGTGTCGACAGCAACCCTGGCGCGCAGGGGGATAGGAACGTGGACGGCACAAATGAGCCCGGGCTTCGCTTGCAGATCCCCTACCCAGGCGTCATCCCTGGGCAAACGGTCTTTGGGCTTGTTGCAACTCTACAGGTGATGATATACCAACATGTCTACTCCAGGCGATTGGATGCTAACATTATGTATACAGGCTTTTGGGCCCGCTCCCTTCAATACTTTCTTGTAAGGCATGAAATGGTGCCAGGATTCTAGCAACTATCAAGCGATGTCAACGCGGTCAAGGGATACTGGTTCAACCAATTAGAATGCTCCATTCAAGATAGAATAAATTACTTAAGGATCGATAGGAATTAGAGTATCTAGAGATCTTATATAGACCCTTTTCTAGGGCAGCCCTTAGAGGCAGACTAGTAGTAGCCCTAAGGCCTTCCTGGCCTGACCCCTGCTACCGTATAAACTAAAGGGCTTCAGCCCTTTAGACAAAGGACTAAAGATAAGGCAGCAGGAGCATTAAATCTAATAAATTAAATAAAAAAACAAAAAACATACAACAGCTGGGATTCGCATGTGGTCACCCACCATACTACTAACCAGCCGGCGTGTGGCTTAAGTACGGCTGAGCGGACGGGAAGCCCTGTTTTCCACACCCTGTGGTCGTATGTACTGACTATAACTAAGCATTGGGTGATAGAGGTAGATGACAATGGATAATGTAGAGGTCTTATGTTCTATAACTATTGAATTGCTATTCAACAGGGATCGGCAGGGCACGTTCCCTCGTAGCTCTTGGATAGTCAGACGAGTTGACTCAACAGCTTCCACTGCGAGCAGGCAATTCTGTTAGCATACATGCATTGAGCATTAATGACTCTGGCTATTGCGGGGACGCTGTGTTCAGGCCATTTGTAAACGATGAATGTCGCAACTGGTCCACAGGGCTAAGGCAAAAAGAGCATTCTGGACGAGAATCGCCCGTCTGGACAACCAGATGTAGATTGCTAGGCCGTTTATATTCAGCGATCAGCATCTTTACCCCAACGTTTATCTGTTGGAGTGAAGATCCTTGTGCTTGATGAAGCTCTCACAGTTGGGGTCTGCCATATTGCACCCCGCTGGTACCAACTCCGTCAGCAAAGAAGCATCCATGCGTGTCCAGATTGAGGATACAAGGCCGTCCCATGTTAACCCAATGCAGAATCAACGGCGAGGAATTGGGCTGCGGGGAAGGCGGGGTGCAAGTGATATGATAATGATATAGCGTTGTAATACTGCTAGCCTGCAAGGACTCTGCGAGCTACTGGGAGTACTGGATGAATGACCAGTAGTAAAGAAATGAGGAAATAAACTGAAATATCATACGATGCAACTACGGAACCAAATAAAGGTCTAAGCAAGTAAACGCCGATAATTAACATTCACTATGCCACAATCCAGAATTATCCGGCTGACTCTGCCAGTCAGACTCCTGCAACCCGAATTCGAAATTGGGGGGATAGTCCTGCGGCAAGTCCAGATACTGCGCTGACCATTGCATGGTGTCTGATATCTCGCTCGGCCATTGTTGCCACAAGTTAAGATCACCGGTGGGATTCGCCAGATTGCTAGAACTGGATGTAATTGCATTTTTAACGCCCATCTGGCTAGGTTCGCTCTCATCTCGCCGAACTGCATCGATTAGCCAGAGTTATGTGGTTGTATGAAGGTATCCTTGCCCTTAGATTTGACTTTGAGCTGTTGCAGACTGTGTAGCATGGACTTGGCGCAGAATGCAGCCCTTGAGTTAGTGCTCAAGGCTTCGAACACTTTCAAACAGGTTTCGGCATCCTCATCGAATGTCTTGGTTCGCAATTCTGAAGACGTAGGGCTGGGCTCGAAGAAGGTCGCTGCAACGACGAGAATCGAGCTGGCGCATATTAAGCACGATATCATCTGCCACCATGGGAAATCATGCACTAGGCTCCTTTCATCGGGGATGTTGTGCAAGAGGTGTGCCATCTCCTGTGCCTCTGTGATGCAGACCAGCTCGGCTTCGTCGATTCTGGAGCGGTGGTGCTGGAATAGTTCTCCGAACAGGCGACTACTTTGATGCAGACGTGACATGCACAGGAATGGTCTGTGGATTAGAGCGCGGAGATGGTGATACTTAATAGCGAACATGTTCCGCTGAAAACAGTTACTTTCTGCCCATGCGTGTTCACGATCGACTTACCTGCCGCCGAAAGACGAGGGATCTTTCGAGGGTATGTCCAAGGTCAAACCGCAGATGGCGAGGAAGATGGTCTTTCCACTGGACAAGATCCCAGTCGAGAGAGGCAGTGCTGAAGAGCAGCTTCTTTGAAGACAGTTCAGTTTCAACCGGTTGATAGAGCTCTGTGTTGACGCGGCCGACAATGTGGGAGAACTCAATCAGCGAAAGAAAATAGTCCATTGATGAGGCAGCCCCTGGTTCATCTACGGATTGCGAGTTGATACGGCGAATATCTTCAGCCCTCGATGGGAGCTCAACGTGGAAGTCGGCTTGCTGTATCCCAACGGGCCGGCCGAGTTGAAGTGCCAGAAGCCGGTCTAAGATGTAGAGCGAGAACCATACCCTGCGTCGTTCTTCCTGTATCTGTGGGTTTGTTTCCTCAATATTGCCCCATTGTGATGTTCCTACGTGCAGTCCCAAGCTTTGGGCCATGCGAATGGCAAGGCCAAGAATGTTCCAGGCCCTTTTGCAAGACATTAACATCGATGTGGAACAATATTAAGGAGTCATACCGGTCTGTCTGGCATGTGGCCAGGAGATAGAAGCACTGAGTCAGAATCAGCGATACGTTCTGCAGCGAAGAGTTGCTGTACATCTCATCGAAGAACAGGAGACCCTGGGCAAAGTACTGCTGGTGCGATATATCGTCGAGGCAGGCCGACTCCGTGAGAGACGTATAACAAGCGCCGATAGCGAAGAGGAAGCCTTGGAAGACAGGGTTGGCAATAATCAGGTATCAACTTTGGGGAGATATACTCAACTGCGCAGTCCAGGATGGATCTGTGTCACTGGCGCCCTCGGCAAATATTCTTTCCAGCCGCTCTTCCACGGTGGCTCGGCTGAGAAATGGGAATGCGCAATGAATAGTCGAGAAGAAGATGTCGAGATACTGGTGGCACAGCTTGCCAGAGGGCAGCTTCAGCGGCTTACGGATTCGGGGGATCCCTCGCAGTGAATCCGGCTGGTCGTACCGCTCTGTGCCTGGAGTGCGATATTTAGAGGTTTCCAGATTTGCGCTCATGGCATGTTTGATTGTGTTGAAGAAGTACGTGTCGCTGGCAGTGCCGACGTATGTATGGGTAATAGGGAGACTCGATTCGGACGCCTGGGACTCGGTACTGGACGAGAGTCGCAGAGGAAGATGGCTTTGGATATAGGCATGCGAGGCCTCTATCTCTGACCGCTGGCGCTCGTCCAGCCTTTCTTTCAGGTTCGTGACCAGGGCCTCGTAGGACGCGACTATGGACCGCAGAGTTGTCTGATCCCCTGGCTGCAGACTCGAGCGACCCTTACTCCTGGACCACACGCAGGTAAAACCATAGCCCGTGCAACGGCCGCACACAGGCTGCTGTCCATCGCACTGCAAGATGTAAATATTATGCAGGACGGGGTGAGGGTTGTGATTGACCTTTGCCTTGAGTATGCGACATTTCTCGCACGCTTTGGAAACTCGCTGTCTCTTGAGACACTTTTCGGTGACCATAATGATTAATAGATTAGATTGGCCAGGTAGACTCGATATATTCCTTATTTATTATGCGGGATTATTCCCCAGTGCCCCATAGGACGGGCTGCAGGGCACTCCCACCTGACCAGCCACCGACAAGCTGCTAACTAGACAGGCCTGCAGTTTACGTAAAATCGATCCAGCTTTTAGCAGAATAAGCGACGGATGGAACGGATCGAGGGCAACGCTGACTGGTGCGAGGGCTGCTATAAGACGCCTCCTAAGCCTTGACTGATGCGGATCCACGGACCGGCCGGGTCACTCGAACGATTCTCAAAGCATAACGAGAGTCCGATCGTCGAGGTCATCACTTTTAGTAATCTCATTTATAACCAGTTAAATAGTGATATTTCGCTGCAGTGTAGTAGAGACGACTTAACTTGTACAGAATGGGCGGGCGTACAGATTCAGAGTCTGCGAATTCCCCGGACGCTCTCGAGCGTAAGAGAACGGCTAAGGCATGCGACAGGTGTCGATTGAAGAAGACAAAGGTACGATCCAAGACATTTGGAGGGAGTATTGTTAAATTGGATCCTGCAGTGCAGAGGGAGCCAGCCGTGTGACCGATGCACCGTAGATAATTCGATATGCACATTCGATCGCCCGCGCAAGGTCTGCGAGAGAACATATCCCAAGGGGTGAGTTTCTTAATTCTCTGTACTGTTGTCACTAACTAAACCTGTAGATATGTTGAATTATTAGAAAAACAGCAAGACGTTCTCGTCGGCGGTCTTCAGAAGCTGTATGCCATTGCATGCGACGGGGGACTACAAACGAGGCCAGTAGCGAATACGCGGTGTGGCCCGCCTCTTACTACAGATATTCTTTCCTGGCTGGGTGAGTTGGACACAGACCAGGGGAGTCCTTTCTTTGAGAATCCAGAAGATCTGAAGCGGTTGATGTTCGATCAAGGAAAGTCTACATCGCCTACTACTGCCGAAGACCTAGACTGGACCTGCGACCCCCCAGCTATAAACTTGGAAATGGACTGGGACTATGAACTATTCTGGCGATCGGGACTGGATTAGGAGATATCGGGTTAATATTGGAGACATTCCTTCGTTAATGCGCGTCTTGCACGGGGATATCTTCTGTCACATATGTACATAGTTCGGTTAGGAACTCGTCAGCTTCAACCGAGATGGATGCTCAATCGTAGACCCCGATGATCTCGCCAACTACGCTGCGATAGAGACCCTTGGGGTCGAACTTCTCTCGAACAGCCTTGAAGCGAGCAAGGTGCTGGGATGGTCAGCGGTGTATAGAGAATAGGCAGTGATACTCACGTCCTTGTCGAGATTGGCCTTGGCCAGTTCAAACACCTCTCGGGTGTTCTTGGTCCAGTGTGGACGACAGGGGAATTCCTTGACCAGAGCCTCTGCGAGGGCTCCGTCTGATATTGTTAGATACTTCCACATGAGATGTGAGGAACACTTACAGAACGGCTCGTTGAAGCGAGTTCTATCCCCAACACTCGGCTTGTAGCTGGGAAAATCAAACATGATCGCACCCTTTGACCAGTCTGCACCGTCAGAGGTGTTGTAAGTGACTTGTCCCAGCAAGTCAAAGTACGCACGGCCGAATTTGATGTTGATGCCGCTGCGGTAGGTGGATGTCATGACGATGCCCTTCTTGAGCTCGGCGTCAAAAAGCTCGCGAGCGCGCTTCAACACAGCATTCGCTTGAGTGACTGGGAAGGCCAACTCCATGGTGTCTCCATTGAGCCCATGCTCCCATACTGGCTTCTGGTCGGGGTAGAGGCCGCCGATGAGGACATCGTAGTTCCATCCGTACACAGGCCATTCGGTGATGTCTTTGTTGGTCGTCTTCTCGCGGAAGTTGGGAGCCTCCCACTGTCCAAACAGAATTTCCTCTGCCAGCATATTGGAGGTGGCTAGGTATTTACCACTGTTCCAGAGGGTCTTGATGGCCGAAGCCTCGAGGGCCGTGACGGAGAAGGTGTTTTGGAAGCCTTGCTGCTCGTTGATATCGTTGTCGACGACGTCGTAGTACCGCCAGTGGAACTTTCTCTTATACGGCCACCACTGTACTCATCAGCTTCGTCCAGGCCTGTGTGAAGCTTACTTACCCAGAAGTTGGCGGTCGCGTAAGGCGCAATCATGCCGTAGATGTCACCGTCCAGGACCTCGTCGTCGTCCAATCTATATAAAGTCAGCATTACTCCAGACCAACCGGAGCCAACTTACGTCTTCTGGTCGGCATAGACCTTGAAGTCGGGATAGACCTTGAACTTCATCCGCACGATAACTCCCAGCAGACCGAGCGAAGTGGACGCAGCAAGCCACTCATCGCTGTCGTCACGCTCGAGGTGACGCAGCTCACCGTTGCCATCGATGATATCCAGGGACAGCACTCCCGAGGCAACCATAGATTCTTCGCGAATAGAAGAGCGATGGGCACCCATGGCGACGCAACCTGCCAGGGTGATGTTCCAGTTGACCAAAGTATAGCCGGCCTAGAGGGTTAGTTATAATAAAGCATCTACGCGAGAGAGCATACCGATGCGCCTCGCTCGTGCAAGTAGTCGGCCAGCTGGAGGAAGGTGACGCCGGCCTCGATCATGACAGTCCCTGCATCGAGATCGAGATCGTAGATCTTGTTGACGTTCTCTGTCTGGATAATCACCGTGTTCGGGTCGTCGGAGCACATGGTGTCGTACCACATGTGTGCCTTGCCGGACGCGCGCACCTGCTGGCCGGCGTCGATGGCATCGTGGACGAGCGACTGGATCTCGTCTACACTGTGGGGGGTCTTGACAGCAGCGACCTCGTTGCAGGCAGGGAAGCCAGGGCCATCGAAGGTGTTGTAGGGGTCTCCCGCGACGAGCGGGAGGGCAAGCAGCGACAAAGCCCAGCGCATCCTGACTCCTTATTGATTGATTTTGATCAGATAATAGTATCTGGCGGCAATCGCTTTATAGCGATTCAGGAGCCGTCTGTCACATTCAGGATGCGACCGAGGTAGAGCGACAATCGCAGCTTCCTTAGGATGCCCAGAAAAGCCAAGGGACTAATACAAGGCCATTCACGCGATCGCCATGAAATGCGGAGGAACAGGGACGGGAAGAGGAAGACCCTGATTCATGGAATCCGTATCAAGTGCATATCCGAGTGTATATGGAGTGTTAACAGGGTTATGTGGGTGAAGTCTCCAATGCTTACCAAGCCGACGTCATCGTATATAAATATTCTAGTAATATCCCACAATTAAAACATCCAATATCAAACAATTATTAACTATGGCAGACACAGAACAACAGACACAGAAAGCAGACAACGTCGGGTCGTGTCTCTGCGAGGCCGTCCAGTTCAAGCTGTATGGGAAGCCCCTGCAGTGCGCCGTCTGCCACTGCGACAGCTGCCAGCAGTTTAGCGGGTCGGCGTTTATGGTCAACTGCTGGTACAGACAGGATGTGCGTGATCCGCTTATATATCCAGATAGTATTTGGTTATTGACAGAGCAGAATGTGCAAATACTCCGCGGAGAGACCCTGGCCACATTCCACGAAGGCGGCACCACCACCGGGGCAACGATGCGTCGCTCGTTCTGCAGGGCGTGTGGATCCAGCGTCTTCCAGCAGACCGGCGACTTGTACGAAGCCGGAATAGTCTCCGTGGCCAGCGGGACGATGCTGGATCGCAGTGAAGCTATTCCCACCCTCGAGGTCTGGTGCCGGAACAGGCGGCCCTGGCTGGCTCTGTCGCATTCAGGAGAGAAAAAAGAGGCCCAATAGAATTATGGATAAGTCGAGGTTATGAAATAATAAACATCGAATGAATAAAGGCTGGATCGGTACGCAGTCTGCATCTCCGCGGAGACCATGACCTCATAAGCCGCCGTCCACCTCTCTTCTCTTCTGTTTTGTAAATATTCATCAAAATTCATTTAATTCATCATATTCAACATGCTGAATATTCTCAGACAAACGGCGCGAAACACTCCGCGTCTCTGTCGACACTATGCGACCGCGCTCTCCCCCCAGCAGAAGCAGATCGTCAAGGCCACCATCCCAGCCCTCGAACAGCACGGCGTCGCCATCACGACTCTCTTCTACGAGCAGCTGCTGAAGAAACATCCCCAGCTGAACAACATCTTCAACTCCTCCCACCAGGCCACCGGGGTGCAGCCCGCCGCCCTTGCCCACGCTGTCTGGGCCTACGCCAGCAACATCGACGACCCCAGCGCCCTTGCTACTGCAGTCTCACGCATTGGCCATAAACACGCCAGTCTGGGTGTTGCTGCCGAGCACTATCCCATCGTCGGCGAGCATCTCCTCAGCGCCATCAAGCAGGTCCTGGGCGACGCCGTGACACCCCCTGTTGTTGATGCCTGGTCCGCCGCATACCAGCAGCTCGCAGATATTTTTATTTCCTTCGAGGGCGACCTCTACAAGCAGGCGACGCAGACCCCCGGAGGATGGAAGGGGTGGCGCAAGTTCGTCATCGCCGATAAAGTCAACGAGAGCGACGAGATCATCTCCTTCCACCTGGTCCCCGAGGACAAGACCGACCTCCCCACGTATAAACCCGGCCAGTTCGTCAGTGTCCGCTGCTTCGTGCCAGAGCTGGGTGTCTACCAGCCGCGCCAGTACAGTCTGTCCGATATCCCCAACCGCCAGTACTTCCAGATCTCCGTCAAGAAGGAGTTTGCGTCGGGCGCTCGTCCGGCCGGTCGCATTTCGAATGTCCTGCACGAGGCGCTCCCCAAGGGCGCCGAGGTCGAGATCAGCATGCCCTTTGGCGATTTCGTGTTGGATACGAATGCCACGACGCCTGTGGTGTTGATGAGTGGTGGTGTTGGGCTGACGCCGATGATGTCTATGCTTAAGACTGTCACTGCGGAATCTAAATCGCGCCCGGCGGTGTTTGTGCATGCGGTGCGCAACGGCCGTGTCCATGCGATGAAGGAGACGCTGGCCAGGATCATGGCTGAGAATCCGCAGGTTGGCAAGGCTGTCTTCTACGAGGAGGTGGCCGAGGGCGACAAGAAGGGCGTCGACTACGACCACGTCGGACGCGTCGATGTGTCAAAGATCAAGGACCAGGTTCTCCTGCCAGATGCTGATTATTACATCTGTGGGCCGTCGCCGTTCATGAAGGCGCAGAGCGAGGCCCTGGAGGGACTGGGGGTCAGCCCTAAGCGCATCCATATGGAAGTCTTTGGCTCGCCGACTCCATAGACATTGACATTTGAGAACATGTAACTATACAACCTGTAAAATAATAATAACAGTCGCTTGGGATGATCTGCACCATCGACCAATTACAGTAGACATCACACGCACTAATGTTCTTCTAGATTAGCTGGCTGCGATAATTTCTCAGCTGAACCTCAGCTGCATTTCCGCCACCCATGGCCCCCCTACAAGGCTGGCAGTTCCAGGACAGCGATCGCTCGTCGTGGGACATTGTCTGGACATGTCTGACGACCATCTTCGCCTGTACATGGACTATCCTGCATCAAAATGTGCCACCGCGGTCTGCCTCCGAGAACCTGGTCACCGCGATCAAACTCGTTAGGTGGACCATGACCTTCCTGGCCCCCGAGCTGCTCTTCCTGGTGGCCCTGAACGAGTTATGGAGTGCCCGGTCGCTGGCCAGGCGCTGCAATGCCGCCCAAGAGAGAACCGGTAGCAGCAACTCTCCGACAGGAGAGCCCACGTCGTGGCTATACAATCGCACCAGGCCGCTGTCCGACGCCCACGCCGTCGACGACATGCATCTGTACCCTCTCCCCGCACGCTGGACGGTGGCGCACTGCTTCTGTGTGCAAATGAACGGGGTCACCCTGGAGACAGAGGATGGCTGGATCTTCTATGTCAGGGAAGACCAGATTGTCGCCTTCATCGAGGCAGGCGTTATGAGGAGCCCCGACTTCACCGACCGCGACATCACCTACCGCGCAAAATCGGACGCCTTTGCGAAGGCATTTACTATCTTCCAGAGCACCTGGGTCATCGTCAACATCGTCGCTCGTGCCGGGTACAACCTCCCCATTACCCCGCTGGAGTTCTCAACGCTGGCCTATGTTGCCTGCGCCCTGATGACCTACGCCTGCTGGTGGAACAAGCCCCAGGGCATGGCCGTCCCTATCACGCTGTTCCTGCAAGCACTCGTGCGGACCTGCCGCCGCAGATCCAAAGCCTGACTGATGCATTTCCGGAGCGATGGGAGCATTGTCGTGTCTTCTCCCGCGGCCGCGTCAGTACTGCATTCCGGCGCTGGGGGACAAAGCTTGAGACTGAGATTAGGAACGAGCCCGCTGAGGGAGGGTTAACAAGAGGAGATTCGGGGCAGACCACGAATGAAGAGTCCTTTGTGAATACAGCGAGTGCGCTGTCAGGGCTTGTTTTCTGTGGACTTCATGTCGCTGCGTAAGTAGAACCGCGACCACAGCACTCGCCACTGCTAATACTTAATGGCAGATGGAATTTCCCGTTTCCCACACGTGCTGAAGCCATCGCATGGCGGGTATTCGCTCTCACTGGGCTTGGATCGGTGGCTGTGGTGTATGTAGTCGGTCAAGCACCAGTCACTCTGGCATGGCTCCGCGAGAAAGGCGCGACTTTGCCCCGCTGGATTCGAAGGTTCGGTGACCTGGACGAGGGGATTAGTGGAGGGGAAATGTTCTTGTCTTTATTTTTCCCGCTATTATATGTCTTGGCTCGCCTGGGCCTGGCGGCTTTGACGTTGTCTTCGTTGCGAGCGCTGCCTGCTGGCTGCTATACTGCAGTAGTCTGGGTGGAGTCCATTCCGCACATATAATTCCCATGCAATTCGTTATATTTAGCCGGCTGAAACAATTTTAATCCTGTTTAGGCTCTTTCCTGCGCTGGTTTCCGAGAACAGACCTGCAGATTGGTTCTCTCGCGGTGGCGGCTGACGGATGTTTCAGCACGTCACATCGGGTCTATACGAACATTGAAAGATACTTAAACGCGACGATCCCCTGAATTAAAGTCAACTATTCTGCTGTATTATTCAAAAATGTCTGCTCCTCCGTTCGAACCCATCGTCGTCAACAGCGGCTTCGAGACTGGCCTGCTCGCGCCCTGGATCCCCTCTGACCCTGCTGCTGCAACCATCGCCAACGGAACTGAGGTATATGCAGGAAACTACTTTCTGTAAGAAGCCTGCTCGTTTATAATGCTCCTACTGACGTGCAGTGCCCTGCGAAATGCACCCGGCAACCGCGCGAACTGGGTGCACCAGCCCCTGAACGACCTCGACGCCAGCACCAACTACACCGTCACTGCGCAGGTCTCAGGCCCTGCTGTCTCTGCTGCAAACTACTGTTCAGCCTGGGTCCACATCGGCGCCAATGTTACCACCGGTCTCATTGACCAGGTCGATCTCAGCTATGACGACTTCGGGAAATGGGTGACCCTCCAAGGGCAGTTCCAGCCAAAGAGCGACGCCGTCGAGCTGTACCTGCGTGCTGCCTGCACTCTCTCGGGGGCGTCGCATACCAGTGTTCTTTTCTGGGATGATATTGTCGTGGCGCCGGCTGTGCTGGACTAAGTTGAGCTATAGCCTTTTTTTAAAGATACCCGTGGCAATAAAAATTCCTAGTATTTGTAAATTCTCCTATTCGCCGTCCTTCTCCTCGCTGTCCTTCTGTTTGCTGTCTTTGAGCAATGTCTGCCCAAGCTTCGCACACAGCTCCCCCAGGGCCTGTCTGTCCTCTTCCCACTGACTGGCAGGCGGCCAAGGAGGTATCCCATCCTGCTCTACCTCCCACTCCTCGCAGTTCGCCTCCGATGCGTACTGATTGGACTCGCGCTCCTCGAAAAATGCTTGGTAAGACTCCTCATGCAGGGCGACCTCCATATCCGTCTCCTTCTCGAACGGCGTCCTCTCCGAGTTACGGATATTCATCAAACGACCGTACCGGAAATGCTGTAGGCGCGGCAGCTCGTGCTTGAATGCTCGGAAGTAGTCTGCCCAGCGCCCGTCGTACAGAGCCCACAGTTCTCTGTGCTCCTCATTGCGGTAGGTGAACCTGTCGTGTGGGAGAAGTGTTTCCGTCTCGTCCCATTCGCGGGCCATTGCGTAGAGAATGCTGCAGTCGTCTAGATACAGCTCTGTGAGCGTCGCGGCATGGGAGAGGATCCACTGTAGCTGGGAATTGTCGGCGAAAGCGTAGTGTCCCAGAGCCAGAGTCTCGAGCTGGGGAAAGTGAATCCCAGTGAAGTCGAGAATGGGATAAAAGCCCCAGCGAAGATCGGAATAAAGGGTGAGATGTCGCAGGTTCGACATTGCTGGCCGCAGCCAGAATCCAGGCAGCTGGCGGGGGAAAGCCTGAGCTTCTTTTTTCTATGAAGGCATTAGTGTCCAATTATAGGCATTGGTCCAAGGGCAATACTTTATAGGTATCACTTGGAGGGTCATCCCAGAGCTCGTTGACGATGTTCAGTCGGAGAGACTGGATACCTCCCAAGACCTGCTTGATATCGGCCACCACGGTCGGATCTGTCTCGTTGGCGTTGTGCAAGTCTTGAATAGCCAGTTCATTCACCTTCTGGGGCATCGCAGCCAATGCAGCGAATACTCGCTCCATCACAGGCGAGCGAAAAGTCTCAGTAGGTTGCGGCGTCACCCACTCGCCGTTGGAATGCTCCCAGTGGAAACACAAGGCGACGCTCTGCAGGCGAGGGAAGTCCTTAATCTGATCAAACAGGTCCCAGAAGCGTCGGGGAACCTCCGTTTCTTCATGGCAGTCTTGACTTTCGGTGTCTACGCAATTGCCATCCTGTGGGACGATGAGCGTTGCACCAGCAAAACACCACAAAACTTACCTCTTCCAGGTCGAAGGTGACAAGATACAGCTTCATGACGTATGATGCTACGTCTGGCCTTTGCAGGATATTCTGTAGTCGGTCGCAGCTGGCTTCCAGGGGGGAGACGCTGATAGTGTGGAACACCCAGCGCGCGGCCACGTCCCCCAGCCGGCGATTCATCAGGCGAAGCCCTTTGCGACTGGATAGATCCGCATAGTAGCAGATGCGATGGAGGATCTCGATCGGCAGCGACAGGAATTGGGTCATTGTGCTTTGTGCATGCAGAGAGGAGGGGATGGACTGTTATCATTTATGGGTTTGCAGCAGGCACCACTGGAACTGGCCCCAATCTGCCTTGCGAAGATCGACATGTCTAACTGTTTACGAGTTTAGCATATTACGGTCCACCTCTTATGTTCATCTGAGAGCTTCCAATCTACAGACAGAGAGGCAGTGTCATTCTGCAAGTCACAGTCCAAGGCTTCATTTTCCAGGTTGTGTCCCTGCTGCATCTCACTAGCTCAATAATTGTACTTCGTTTATTGAATGAAAGGAAAGGATACATGCTATATAATCCTATGGCAACTTCGTTGGCGTCTGCTCCTGCTGGGCCAGACGCTGGTCATAATCAACAACGCTCTCCAGCAGAGCCTGAGTCCCGAGTGCACTGCATTCTGTTAATACCCACAGTCATGTTAAAGGAAGGTAACTTACCAATCCTCCGGAGTGCAATATTCGGTCGGATGATGGCTGACACCGTCACGGCAAGGTACAAAGATCATCGCCGTCGGACAGTGTCGACTCGTATACACGCTGTCATGGCCGGCACCGCTTGTAATCTCCATCCAGCCCTCCTCCCCAAGTAAACTCCTTGCAGCAGTCTTGATGGACTGGACACAGTCAGGGTGGAATTGTGTAGCTGGAGAGTCTGTGTCCACTGTCCATCCAAGGCTGACACCCTTTCCATCCTCAGTTGAGATGCGTTGGAAGGCCTGGAGACATTCCTTTTCCACGGCGTGTACAACGCTATCATCTGGATGACGGATGTCGAGTGTGAATGCCACCTCTGAAGCCACGGTATTGGTGGACGAGTTGTCTGGAATCTTGAGGATGCCCGTAGAGGCTAGGGCACCATGACGCTTGGCCACCTCGTTGCTCGCAACGATCATCTTCGAGGCAGCAAGCAGGGGATCGCGACGCGCACTCAGTGGTGTCGTCCCTGTATGTGCATCCTGCCCAGTAACGGTCAATGTGAGCCAGCGATAGCCCTGGGCGCCGGTTACGACTCCAATAGACCGCTTGGTTTCTTGCAGGATCGGACCCTGCTCGATGTGTAGTTCAAAGTGTGCTCCCAGTGGATACGCCTCGTGAGAGCAGGGAATGTCACCAAGATATCCGTGTTTCTCTAACTCCGACCGGAGTGTTATCCTCTCGTCCTGGATATCACGGAGATCCCATGCGGCCTGGATGGGAATGCCCCCAGCCCAGACTCCCGACGAACACATGGACTTGGGGAACCTGGCGCCTTCTTCACTGTCAAGAATTAGCCTCAAAGTTGTAATGAACATTTAGTCACCTACTTGGTCCAGTTGACAATGCCAACATCGTAGTTTGTCTGGAAGTTATTCTCCTTCATCGTCCGCAGCACCTCCAGCGCACTCGTCACACCTAGGATACCGTCGTAACGACCTCCTCTAGGCTGCGTATCGAGATGACTCCCCATTGCGATCATGGGCCTATTAGACCCCAGACGACCTTTCTGTCGGGCGAACATGTTGCCCATCTGGTCAATGGACAGCGAGCATCCGAGCTTGCGGACCTCGTCGGCAAACCACCGTCGCACTTTGGCATCGTCTTCTGTTAGTGTTAGACGAGCCATTCCGGTGTCATTGGGGCCTCTGAAGCCGTCAGCGTGGATTCATCCATATAAAGTTGTGGGCACATACTCTCCCCAGCGGTGGGCAGCACCCCATTTGCAGGTCTCGTGGATCGTTTCGGACAACCGCGCCTGGTTGATCCTGAGGCCCGACGTCGTCAGTTTAGGAATTTTGCTAATCGTCATAATGCGAGGAATGAATGATTAGCGATAATTAGTTGGTTCGAGTGATTAGTTGGTTGCCCAATTTAAAAAGCTGTCGCGCCTTCTGTGAACACGGTGGAGCTGCATCTGCGCCCTCCAAGGACAGCGAAAAATGGACCAAAACACCTGCAGAGTTCGCCGAACAAATGTACTTGTTTAACACAATGAAAAGTTAATATTATGAATTGACTTATGTTAACGAGTCTAATACCTCCCGGATATGCAGCGGAAGATAATAAGTATTTGCCAATCCCAGCCCCAATGCCCCATTCAATCGTATCAGCCCCAGATCCATCATATCCCAGCCTCGTCCTTGACTCCGGAGCGCCTGCTGCCACATATAGACCAGTCTCTTCGCGCGCAGGGCATGCTCTTTCGTAGGCGCTTGGACGAGGAGTAAAAGCATGAAATTGCTCACGGTCGCAAATCCGATTCGACACCCTACGACGTATTAGATTTATACAAGAAGATAAAGGCAAGGCAACTGACATGAATACCAGAATGTGCCCATTTCGCGGGCTTCCATACGTGATATAAGCCGGAGCATACTGGCCGCGCAGTTCTCTGCGGCGCTCAAGACAACCGGTACGGACTTGTCCTCGATGGACACTGTTACTGCGGGGATGTCTTCCCCGACTACGTCGTCGCCGTCGAGGATCTGGGCTATGTAATCATCTACGGTAAGATCTGGGAAGAAGGGCAGTTGTTCGGTTTCGTCAATGAGACGGGGCGGAGGTTTAGAAGGGACCATGGGGCGGAGCAGGGCTCGAAAGATAAAAACTTCGAGCAGCAGGTACGCGAAGTGCACGCAGGTGGACAGGTCTGGGCCAGCAGGGGTTCCATCCTGAGCTAGAGGAGCTGGGATAAGGGAGAGCCATTCTTGTAGCTTTCGTAGAAGGCCGCGCGAGGTCTGCAGGGAGTCTGCAAAGTCGGACGACAGCCGCTGGGCGGACCAGAGAGAGCTTCATCAGTTAGCAGGGACATTCAGAAAGGGCCAGTTGGTTGACTTACTACATGGAGCTTTGGATTTCATCGGCAATGATGGCCATCTTCACCATGCGCATGAAGGGCTCTGCAGGGGCTGTCTCAAAGTCTGCTTCATCGAGATCAGTGACGTCCCATTCATCTCTACGAATGTACGGCGGTCGGCCCATCAGCAACGAGCGCCATTTGTCCTCGCTGTATACAGCCCACCAGAGTCGTCGTCGCACGCGACGTTCCCACAAGGGCATTCCCATCGGGCGACACTCGAGCTGAAGCCCTAACGAGGTCGCCAGCCCGACCATCATCCCGACGAAGGACCAGACAAATGGAGTATCGGCGATGGCCGCTTCTTGTGACGTTCCCCAGTGTTTGTGAAGGTATAAGATACCTGCCTGGAGTACAGACAGATGGGGGGTGTGTATTTCCTCAAGGATGAGGTCAAGTGCCAGCCGCCAAAGCTGCGACGTCGGTGGCGCCTGGTATGCATGCACAATGGACAGCCATTCGTCGAACTTGGCAAACGGGAGGGCACAGGCATATATTGCAGCAAGAAGATGGACTGGGATGGTCTGTGGGTCCTCAGAAGCGATGAAATGGGGGATGATAGGGAGGCTAGGGAAGACATAGGTCAGGAAGAGCGAGATCAAGCGCTGGCTATGGTCAGCCGGAACGAGCGTATCGAGTTCATCGCGTGCGGACGGAAACTGGCGAGTCATCCTAGTAGATGACGCCGCAGAGTCATAAAGCACATTGTCGGTGACGAGAAAATGCACAGGGATCTTCTCCTCCAGGGGCACTCCGCCGGCATTGCGGAAGCGCACCTGGTGGAAATGCAGCAGCCCGTAGTCGTCGAACTTGCAATGGCGCAGTAGGAAGGGATCAGACTCGCCCGAGGTGCCCATCACCTGGGCTGACACGCCAGGGAGCCGATCCAGCGTCTGGATGGCCTGCTGAGGCGCAGACCGTTCGGCGATGGGGTACGCCAACGGACGTTCGTGCAGATAAGGCACCGGCTGCGAGGCGACAGTGTCGGGAACGATATGGGGCACACTTGGAGGGTCTGGCTCGTATTGGGGAGTCGTGCTGCCAGCGTATGCCACTGGCATCGACACAGACCGATGCAGGCGAGTGAAGGAACACAGCGTGCCGCTGGCCTGGCATCGGCGACACGCAATCTGATCATCCGGATCACACCGGAGCTTCTTTTGGCGACATCGATCGCACGGCGGATGTCTCTTGGACCGATATGGTCGGCGAACTGGCGAATTCATGTTTGCAGGCCGAGTATCGGGGGCCAGTATCAGGGCTGCCGGGGGAGTGATATACAACGGAGATTCGCCACGAGTTCGGCGAACGATGAGATCAGACGGGAAAAGTCAGAGAAGAAGATCAGCACGTCTCCACCGGGATAAGTGTGCAAATCAGAATGCGAGACGCCCGAGCTGGTCAGCTTTGGCTCCACTATAGGGTCCTGTTCGCCGAGAGTGCCCACAACCACGGTTCGCCTCACCTTTCCAGCACAGTATATCAGTCGCGAATTCTCGCGATGGCCTCGTCCCCATAGCGCAATACACCTCGGCAGGAAGTACGGTCCGCTATGCTGGACCTTGAAACACCCACAGACTACCCCGAAGGCGGGCTCCAGGCATGGCTGGTGGTCGTCGGTGCCTGGTGCGCCATGATCCCCTCCATGGGCCTGTTGAATACTCTGGGGACGCTGCATTCCTGGACCAGCGAACACCAGCTGATGGGCTACTCGGACTCCAGTATCGGGTGGATATTCGGTGCTTATGGGTTTTTCCTCTACGTCGCTGGTGCCCAGGCCGGGCCCATCTTCGACTGCTACGGGCCCTTGTATGTCGTCGTGCCTGGTTCTATAGGAATGGTCGCATCTTTAATCTGCTTTAGCTTTAGCACTGGTAAGCCTTGACGTTGCTCAGGCGGATGATCTAGGGTCGTGCTGATAGCGCACAGCATACTACCAGATATTCCTCTCCTTCAGCGTCCTCGGCGGCCTCTCGGCCTGCACCCTCTTTAATCCAGCTGTTTCGGTCATCGGCCACTGGTTTGACTGTCGCCGAGGAGTCGCTACTGGCATTGCCTGCACTGCTGGTGGTGTCGGTGGCGTCATCTTCCCGGTTATTGTCATGTTTGCTGCCCCCAGAGTCGGATTCGGCTGGGCTATTCGCATCATTGCATTTCTCTCCGCCGGTTTACTTGCAATGGCCTGTCTTTTTATGCGTACCAGACTGCCACGTCCCAAGGGAAAGTCGGCGGCAATCGACTTCAAGGCCCTGTCCGATCCCCGCTACGCCACGACAACACTCGCCGTGTTCCTGGTTGAATTCGCAGTCTTCATTCCGATCACCTATGTCTCCAGCTATGCACTTCATGTTGGAATAGCCAAGAACATGTCCTATGCACTAATTCCTCTGCTCAACGCCGGGGCCATCCCCGGTCGTTTTCTTCCAGGGCTTGTGGCGGACCGACTTGGGCGCTTCAACGTCATGATTGCCACCTCTCTCTTCTGCTCCATCCTCACCCTCGCTCTTTGGATTCCGATCGAAAGTAATACTGCCGGTGTAATCTGCTACGCAGTCCTCTTTGGCTTTTCCAGTGGTGCAGCAATCAGCCTCACGCCTGTCTGTATCTCGCAGGTGTGCAAGGTAGAGGACTACGGGCGCAGAAATGGGACAACCTTCACGATTTCCAGTATAGGAACCCTTACCGGAATCCCGATAGCTGGAGCTATTCTGCAAGCTGGCGATGGGAACTACCAGGGGCTTATTGGGTTTGGAGGAGCACTCTACTTTGCAGCTACAGTGGCATTTATCGTGGCCAGGGGAGTCTGCGCAGGATGGAAGTTGAGGACAATATTCTAAGTTTAAGCAGACACTATGTAGATAATTAGACAAATTTGATACTGTTGTTGAGATATGACATCATGGTGGACATTCTTTCTTGAAGTGTAGAGCTTGTCTGCCAGGGACCGAGAATGAAGAAGGCAATTCTTTCCCCGAGGCCCATAAGGCAGAGCTTGACAAACCTTAGTGAAAATCTTGGTAAATGGAGGCAAACGGTGGCGCAAGATGACAGCTGCCGGGGTTCGGCGAAGTGTTCGGCGACGACCAGCGAGCCTATCATGGCCGCACTTGGCCGAGTGTGATGCCAGGGGGTCCGAGCAGGATATCTTTATAAAGAGACCAGAATCCGTTCATTGAGAACTACAGATAACTCAATTCTTCAGATATCAATAAAATAATCTATATTCATACTCAAGAATCTAAACTCGATACAAATACTCAATACTCAACATGGGAAAGGAAGACATCATGGTCAAGGTGCGTAGCCTGCTGCACCCAACCTCCACAAAGGAGTCTACTGCCTCAGACTCAGGCACCATAGTATCTTTCACCGAGTAAGTCTACCCTCAGTATCTTCATTATCTTTAGAGGCACCGTGGCTAATGGTATCTTAGGAAATCACCAAAGGCCCAGCAAACCCGCGAAGCCATCCATGTTCCGTACAATGGTATGTACCTTTTCCTATATTACTGTTTACAATGGATGCTAACGTTCCCCAGGAGACCAGTGCTTCGGCTCTTGCTGCCGTGGAAGCTCGTCCATAGCATACCAGCAGTATCAGATAGGCGATCAATGCTTTGGCTCGTGCTGCCGTGGACGTGCGCCCATCGTATACCAGAAATATCAAACAGGGGACCAGTGCTTCGGATCCTGCTGCCGGGGGAAGGGCTATGCGCGCTGAAATCCCCCTGATAGCCGATCAGCCCTCTGCATTTTGACTTGGATGACAGCTAAAAGCTATTCAGTTATCCCGTGGACCGATACATTTCCTCATTCTCTCGCCCGACGAACATCAGTGCGATACGTCTACCGTGAACTCTACAAGACCCAGAAACTCAATTACGGTGCGCCCCCATGTATGGACTTACTGGATCTAGTAACCCTATGGGATATTCATTGCCTTTCAATATGGCGATTCGGTCAAGATTGGCTACAGCCGCGGATATTAATCTGCACGCTATTAATATAAGATTGCTATTTAGTAGCCCGAGTACTATGTAGTAATATAATTCATTCTTTGCTAATACCGCCGTGTCCAATGTAGATCTGGTCAATAGGTTCGAATTTATTAAGCCTGAATAGAAAAGGGGCTTAGTTATTTAGTTAATGGAAAATATTAATGATTTGCGCATCGTAGGGTATCAATTAAACGCTAAGCAACTCGTATATACGGTTCATCCGCTGCAGGGATTATTGTGCATTCTCAACTCGAGATAAATAATCACCAACACTTTTCTGCAGGCTAGTCGGGCTTCTTGTGCCCTTCCAGGTCTCGTAATTCTGACGCGCCCCTCTGGCATAGATGCCTGCTCCACGCCCAAACAGCAGGTCCATGTCCTCCAAGGGAATGCCCTTGGTCTCGGGCACAAATAGGAACGCGAAGACCAGAGCCACAAACGTGCACGCAGCGAAGAAGTAGAAGGTTCCAAATGAGATGGCCTCGACCATGTGCGGCAGGGAGTAGACGATCATGAACTGCGCCAGCCATTGCATGCAGACCGCGCACATCATTCCAATTGTCCGGACACGCGTTGGCAGAACCTCAGATGCAAAGATCCAGGGGATTCCGTTCCAGGAGAAGCCGTAGAAGATGGCGTAGATGTATACCATTGCCACTGCTGCTCGGGAACCACCGTCGCTGGGGGGTATGCGGTTAAACGAGTCGCTGATTTGGGAGTAGATGGCGAGATAGAACATGGCGATACCGGCGCCCACTGCACCGACGATCAAAGCAGGCCGACGGCCGAATCGGTCTACAATCCAGATCATGAAGACCAAGGTGGTGATCATCTTGACCAGGCCATAGACACCCGTTGCCAGCAGCTGGACAGAAGTGCCCTGGAAGCCGATGGACTTGAAAATTGTGGGAGAGTAGTAGTTGATTGCGTTGATCCTAGATCATGTTAGCTGTCTGTTATGCTTATTTGATAAGTACTCACCCAGTGAGGTTCTGCAGGAGCATCAGCAAGACCGAGATAATCAGTCGATTGCGAACCCCCGGGGCAGCGCACTCCTTCACAATCTGCATGGGAGTGCGTTCCCCGCCGGCGATTTCCAGCTCGTGGTTGAGCGATGCCTGAATCAAGGCCATCTCATTTACAACGTACTCGTGCTCCATGGGTAGATTGCGGACCCATGCCAGAGCCTTGTGTGCCTTGTCCATCTTGTTCTTGCTTGCCAGCCAACGGGGGCTCTCGCACATCCAAACCATACATATCAGCAGTAGACCGGCAGGAATCAGCTGCACGGCCATGGGGATCCTCCACTGCTTCTGGTCCGAGTCTGGAATGTTCCTCTCGACGCCGTAGTTGACCCAGAAGCCGAAGACCAGGGCGATTTGCAGCATGATCTCGAAGATACCGACCAGGCGACCGCGGATGAGGGCCGGGGAGCACTCGGCGATGTATATAGGAATTATAGTCGACGATGCACTGCCGAGAATTAGAAACATCTATTATCAAGTGTGTAGAAAGCCCTACCCTACTCCCAGGCCAGTCAGGGCTCGACCAAGGTACAACAACGACATTAAGCCGATTAACTGCACAATTGCACCGGCTGAGAACACAACGCCTGATCCCAAGATGACTGGCTTACGGCCGAAGCGCTCGGCAAAGAGAAATCCAATGATTGCGCCGAAGAAGGCTCCTGCCTGGAAGATCGACACGACGTTGGATGAAATGTCTGCTGCCTCGCCCTCTTCGGCGCCAGCAAGACCGAAGTTTGTCTTGAATGCGGGCAGTGCGATTGTTCCGCCGATGAAGGCTGAGTCGTATCCGTACATGGCTGATGCCTGGGACTGTTAGCATCATATATTCCTATATCTTGAAGAGAAGGCCACCCACCCATGTCGCCGACAACACCAGCAGATAGATGCGCAGCCCATAGACCTCTGGCGGCCCATCGCGCAGCGGCCGCGGCGGAGAATACAAGATGTTCCTCATAGTTCAAGTCAAGGCCAGTGGTCAAAGACAGTCACGATCAAGCCCATCCTCGAGGTATGCTAACGGCTTGATTGACCCCGTGGGGCCAGGCCGATTCATAAACCAGCAGAAGGCCGGAGCAGCGACTCACGCTCCGGAGGATCGAGACTAGAAACCTTCAACGGCCTCCAGCTCGACCGGAGGACGATTGGCTTTACAGTTTGGCCCCTTGGTCCACATCGTCCACGTCGCTGGCGCCGAGTGGCCAAAACCACCCATGGATCGCCTGTTGGAGATGAGCTGCAGCGACCCCGACTTGCTCTGCGCGGCACTGAACGCGCTATTGACACGAAGGATTCCCTGATTTCCTGAAATGCGGGAGACGCTGCAGGTGGCAACGGCATTGGCCTGGCTGGTGCTGATCGACTCCAAAGATCAGCCCTGCTCATTCTCCAACAAGGGATTCCAGGAATCGAGAGACTGACACGAATGGTTCATATTAAACCTTGGTTAACACGCGTTGACTGGTTTAACTGGTTCAAGCAACTGGACAAGTCGATTGCCCTGTCAACGCTCGCCATGTCCGACGCTTTGCTGCCTCCCTCGCAGGGACCAATTGCTCATCGTCTCCAGTCGCTCGTCGTCCTCATCACCGGCGCTGCTGGCAACATTGGCTTCGAAAGTGCCCGGCGATTCCTTCGCGAAGGCGCTCGAGTGGTGCTGGTCGACCTCGATGCAGATAGACTCAACAAGGCAGCAGACGCCCTTCGCAAAGAGGACCAGGTCGCGGACGGCGATATCCTAACCGTGCAGGCGGACGTTACTGAAGATGGAGACGTCCAGAGATTTGTAAACGAGACGATACAGGCCTTTGGGCGTCTGGATGTGGCATTCCTCTGCGCGGGCATCTCCTACTCTTCCACCAGCATTCTCGAAACAGACGTTGATCAGTACGATAAAGTAATGCGCGTGAATTGTCGATCAGGTCAGTCGCGATCTTTTCTCCAATTATTAACTTTTCCTGACACGGTCAGCCTTCCTCGGAGTCAAATACTGTGGCGCTGCAATGAAGGACGCAGGCCATGGAGGCAGCATCATTCTGGCCTCGTCCATCGCCGGCCTTCGTGCGACTCCTGGCCTGTCTGCTTATTCTACGTCCAAGTTCGCTCTCCGTGGTCTTTGTCTGACTGCAGCAGGCGAGCTGGGCCAGTACAGGATCCGCGTCAACACGGTCCACCCATGCGGCGTCAACACGCCCATGTTCCTCGCCTCGTGGCCCGAGGAGAAGATGAAGAGCATGCTGGCCACTGTGCCGCTTGGTCGCTGGGCTGAAGTTACAGATGTGGCAGCCATGGTTTCATTTCTTGCGAGTCCTGATGCACAGTTCCTGACAGGGGGCGCCTACAAGGTGGACGGGGGCATCGTAATGTTTTGAGACCTCTTTCGCATTGCATACTATAGACTGTCGTCCAGACTAATGAATAGACGGTCGGTCTACTGTAATATCCTACTCCAAAGCCTTGACCAGCTTCTGCCACGACTGCAGGCCTCTTCTGGCATTGTCCATCGGCCGTCTGGACTCATCCCTCATTCTCCAGTCGAATATCTCCATCGAAACCACTCCTTTCCACCCCTTGTCGACCAGCCAAGCCCTTGCAATTTCCGCGACGGGTAAATACGCGCCCAGCCCAGTTTCCAGGGGGAAAACCCTCATGTGGCGCGACCAAGTAAGCGCAGGCGGGAAACCAGCCTGGTAGAACCGATGCTGAGACGACAATAGCGGAGCAAATCTCTCCCCATCGGAGAGCTGGACGTAGAAAACATTATCGAGCTGACACGAGTCAGTGAATCGAGCCAGCGACGCCTCGAGGGCCGGCCACGCGTCATCCTGCATGCCACCGGCAACGGTATTGTCCCCCCAGAGTCGCGCAGCAACGTGGAATGAGTCCAGACACAGCCCGAAACTCCCCCTGTCCACGTCCTGAACCATGCGGAGGCTGTCTTCCCAGGTGTTGATGTAGCTGCCCCATGCCACTGCCTCGTAGGCGACGCGCAGCGACCGAGAGGCTGCAAGGTCGCTGAGCTGCTGCAGGTCTTGTACCATCTGCTGCCAGTCGCCTGTGCTGTTGGCAGTGTCGAACTGCGACGGGACCTGTAAATGCTCAGCTCCAAGCGCGACAGCAACGTCAATCCAGTGTCTTGCGGACTCGAGACGAGTGGACCGCGGCGAGTGGTGGCCCTCGAAGTTCTTGAAGGGATTCAGGGCCAGCACCGACACATTGAGCGACCGGCATAGCTGTGCGATGGCGCGTGCGGCATTGAATACATCTAGCACCGGATTTTGTGACAGGCCGTAGTCCACGACTTCCTGGTAGACAATCTCGAGCGACGAGAATCCAGTGGACGCAGCGGCGTGGACTTTCTCGGGCAGTGAATGCGAGGGGTGCAGACCGAGAGACGAGGTGGTGATTGCTAAGGGATTGTCGAGCATGATGGATGAATAAAGATACAATAGTGCTTACTGCTTTATTTATTGCTTTTAAATAAATAAGCCAGTGCTGTTGGAGAAATCCCGAAGAGTCCGCTGTCTCCAATTACTGTCATCTCATGTTAACATGGGCGGCCTTAGAATGGAATATATATTTGTAAGGGTCTATATCTTGTTCTTTGTTCTCGGGGGTAAATGACATATAACTTGTTCTTTACTCCCAGTAGGGAATGACATGAATATATATATCTGACAGTGGCAGTAGTCGTATCTCAGCAGAACAGAGATAACCAGCAAAAATATTTAATTAGAATACAAGAGCAGGTTCATATTATATAAAGCATATGATCTTTGAAACTAGACGTCTATCGGAACAGACCATAGAGCAATGAATGGTCCTCAGCATCGATCCCATGCGGCGCGGCCAACCCATCAATATCCCCGGCGAACAAGTCCCGGCACAGGGTTTCAAAATCAGCGTCTGCTAGCTGAGGTATCTGCTCCTGGTCTGGACCCTGAGACGGCATTGCTCCATTTGCAGCAGCGAAGCTGGGGTCATGGTGGATACGGCCTGCAGCCTCTAGGCTGGATGGCTCAGTCTGAGCCAGGATGCTGTTCAAGTCCAAGCCGGCATGTTCAATCAACGACCGGATGATTATGATCGGCTTGCGCAGTCCGAAGTTTGCCCCGTTCTGCAACTCTTTCAGTGCGATCCAGAACCAGCCGATCATGTGTCGTTGCGAGAGATCGACAGACTGCCTGGGCCCGAAGGGAATAACAGATGCAGCACAGAACAGGCAGTAAGAGATCATGTAGGTCGCCCGACGGAGGGTAAAGGCGTCGCGGTAGCGTCTGGCTAGCTCGTATATCTGCACAGCAGAGCAGAGGCATATTTCGCGATGCTCAGTTTCGTCGGAAGCTCCGAGATGTCGAAGGTGGCCCTCTGGAAGAAACGGTCGGTGGAGGAGTATGTGCAGCATATGGAATGTCATTCTGTTCATGGTGTTAGCGACTCCAGGCAACTAAAGAGCGGGCGACAGACGGTGGATTGAAGCGATGGGCTGGCGGCGCTTTGTCCTGGCTGGGATCATATTGCAGATGCACGGGCAAACTGGCCATCCAGGCGTCGAGTCTCTTCTGCAGGTCTCCAGCTACACCGAGTATCTCTTCCTTTGACAGAAACTGCATCTGGGGTGAATAGAGGCCTGTTACGATACCAGCCATGATATCGGCCAGGTATGTGAATGCCTGGAAAGTCGAGAGCGTATAGGCTGGCTGCGGGTCATATATAGGGGGTGGAACTTTGGCCCGGGGGTCGACGTAGGGCTTCCACAGCTCCAGCTCTTCAAATTTATCCAGAAACGTCCTGGATGGCTCAATGCCAATTGCAGTCAGCGTCGGCGGACGGCCGAAATACAGTGCCTGGAACTTGTCATTGATATAAGCACCCCAGTATACACGGCGATGCATTTCAAGATCAACCTCAGTGAATCCCCTTGCCGGCTGCGACGGATCTGGATGAGAAATACGAAGCTTATGGGGGTCGACATGGAGGCCCAGGTCAATTATCATGCGATAGCCCAGTCCTGAATAATGCCAGCCAGCCGTCTGCCGACCAACAGACACCAAACTGGAGCCGGTGATCAGAAACGCAACAGCCGTGGCAACGCTCGAGCTGTCCAGCTCAGAGAGGGTTAACTGCTGGATACGAGAGAAGAATCTCCTGCCTAGTGATTGCCGGTCTGTTGGATCCTCGTGCAACTCGTCGCGATCACTGTTCAGCGCGGATGACAGGTAAATGGCATTCAGCAGTAGCTTGTTGATGTAAGGCCCATCCGTTGCAAGACTATGTATGACTGCAGGGCGATAGGTGGTCAGGTATGCCTGGTGGTGATGGTTCCAATGGATCTGCAGCAGGTGCCACGCTGTATCAAGATCCAGTCCGTCCAGGTCAAACTTGCGCTCGGCCATATACGTCCACTCCTTTTGTATTTGCAGAGCCGAGTTGGCGAACAACCGGCACTCTTCTTCCGCCGTGTCTTTCTTTTCCGCTGCAGAAATCTGCGTCGGACGTGATTGTCGATAGAATGTATATGAAATTGGTGGATTGAATGTCGAGCTCGGGCCGTACACTGATATGTGGCCGCCGTCGCTCTCGACTCCGGTGTGTATTTCGATCGGTCCCAGCTGCTTAGGCTCCAGGGTCAAATCGAGGGCATGGGTATCTGGGTGCAGACTCTGCGGATTGCATGGTGTTGCGTCCATACCTATAGCCATATCGTCCAGCCCGTGCAGGCCATGGGCCTGTGAAACAACCGACGGCGCAGTATCCGAAGGGGTCTGGACTTGCCCAGCATTATGCCGGTGATGCGATAGAGATTCCTCTAATCTATGCACCGTTTCCTCGACCTCCGTCAGCCGGTCGATGATGCGTTGGACAACTGCCTGCGACACCCGCGATGTCTGTCGCCGGTCCTGCTCGTATGCGCAGGCCACATTTTCTGCTCGACACAGGCTGCATTCTGGACGGGCACTGTCGCACTTCACCTACATGACCTCTGAGGAGCCTGCCAGTAAGCTGGGCCAGCGAACATACCTTGCGGGCCCTGCATAGCTTGCACGCCTGAGTGTTGCGCATTTCCCGCCTCGCACGTCCTGCGTTGGGCGTCATGACGGTGTCATTACTGATTCACTCGTTCCATGCTCAGTACCAGTATGTCAGGCCTGGGGAAAGATCCGGGGATGTCGATCGAGGGTTCCCCGCATTGTTGGAGACTGCATAGTCCCATCGGAGATCACATCTCCGGGCCAGAACCGAGGGAAAGGAATATATTCCATTGTCTTGCCAGAACCGGCACTAGCAGTCGTATCATCGCACAGAATGCCATCAGCAAAGGCCCCATACACCGTGAGAAATGTCCCGTTGGGAACGCACCGGCCAGTCCGGGTGGTCTGTATCGGTGCGGGCTACTCGGGCTTGATGATGGCCATTATCGCGAAAGAGAAAATGCAGCACCAAGAAGTCGATTTTCAGGTATATGAGAGGAACAGTGACTTGGGAGGTACATGGTTGCTAAACAGGTAATCGTTCCACGCTCTCTTCTTCTGACTCTAACCTGGCGATATCAGGTACCCTGGCTGCCAGTGCGATATACCCTCCCACAACTACGCTTACAGCTTCGACCCTAAGCCAGACTGGCGGGGCTACTATGCAACTTCAGAGGAGATCCATGAGTATATGAAACAGGTGTCCCAGAGACACAGTTGCGACGATCTATTTGCATATGGCCATGAGGTCGTATCGGCGGTGTGGGACGATGACGCTGGGATATGGAAGCTGGTCGTGAACGCAAATGGCGCGGAGTTTAATGATTACTGCCACGTCCTGATCAATGCTGCTGGGGTTCTAAAGTATGTTCTTGCCCATGCTACATTTGATGGTTCTGACAGTTGATTGCAGCAACTGGAAATGGCCCAGTATCCCCGGGATAGAGGCCTTTCAAGGGAAATTAATGCATTCAGCTTCCTGGGACCAGACCTATGACTATACTGACAAGCGTTTGGCTGTCATTGGAATTGGGTCGTCTGGAATCCAAATCCTCCCCCAAGTGGCTAAGAGTATGCTGTGTCCTTCATTCGTATCGGGTCTGGTACTGACAGAGAATCTCTGTTTATTACTTTAGCTGCTGGTCATGTCGATTACTTTATTCGGTCTCAGACCTGGATTAGCCCAGCACGGGGTATAAATGAGGCCCAAGACGGCGATCCGGAGGTGGACGAGGATTACAATTACGTCGAGGACGAGATCAAGCGCTTTCATGACGACCCAGAATACCTTCTGCAGCACCGCAAAGAGCTGGCTAATCGCCGCATTGATGAGTTCAGGGGGTCGCTACAAGGCCCTGAGGCCCGAGCAGAGGTGAGACGTAGCTATGTTGCGTCGATGCTGCAGAGACTCGGTAATGGCGAGAAGGGTAAGAGACTGGCATCGCTCATCGTTCCGGATTTCCCAGTCGGCTGTCGCCGGATCACGCCGGGGCAGGGATTTCTAGAGGCGATGGTGCGTGAGAATGTCGACACGCATTGGAACTCGCTAGACCATATCACGGCCGAAGGCATTGTGCTGCGTGATGGACGCGTTTTACCGGTGGATGCGATCATATGCGCGACTGGCTTCGACACGACCTTCAAACCGCGCTTCCCCATTATAGGCCGGGATAGAGTGAATCTCGCTGAAAAATGGGAAGAAGAGAACCCTGACGCGTATTTTGGCATCACTGTTCCTCACATGCCGAATTACTTCTGCTTCATTGGACCAAATAGCCCGGTTTCAAACGGCTCTCTTGTGCAGGCTATCCAGATGACGGGCATCTACATCTACAACTGCATCGAAAAGCTCCAGACACAAGGGGTCAAGTCCATGACGGTCACAGAGAAGGCTGTGGCTGACCTCAATGAACATGCACAGACGTGGCTTCAAGATACCGTCTGGGCAGCTCCTTGCCGAAGCTGGTATAAGAGAGGAACGACTGACGGCCGCATTGTCGGGCTGTACGCCGGGAGCTGCTTTCACTTTGCAGAGGCACTGCGAGACCCTCGTTGGGAGGATTATCACCTCGAATACCTGCATCGAAACCGCTTCCACTACCTGGGAAACGGATTAACCCAGCGGGAGCAGAGGAAGGGCGATATGGGCACCACACAGACATTGGACTTTGAATCATACTGGAGGTTATTTGTGCTGCCTCAAATACACATGTAACTAGGTACGAAACGTGGATACGTGATGACACAAGATTGCTTGTAGTAATGCATAAATATTGTCTAATATCGCTTGCTTCTCATGAACCCAAAACCATCAACACAATCAGTAACAGTCATACTAGCTTCAAACATATCTACGAGCTGTACCCTGACAAAGGTGGTGGATAAGCGAACATCTCAGTATAGTTAAGCAAGGACCGCACTTACAGGCGCAACTGGTTTTGATCCCGCTGGGTGAGGCAACCCTCCTCTGATGAATAACACTCAACAAATAGAAAGTGAAGGGTTGTGGAAAGCTCAGAGCTTGGTTCTTGACGATCTCTACGTCCACTTTCCACAGCAGCCGCCGTATGACATGCCAGTGCTGTGCGGGTTCTGTCAAGGTCCTGGACAAGGCTTTTCAAGGATGTAGTGAACCGCGTAGCTGTGCCTTTAGACGACTCGTGGTCAGTGCAGAGCTTTATCGTTATAACCCGAAACCTGCAAGCTCTATGCTCAAAGTGTAAGTCATTATTGCTGCCGTCCACAAAGCCCTCGACCGGGGTAAGAAGTTGCAGTTGGGGGAATTTGAATAGCCCCGAATCTGTCTCTTGCAGACCAGCTATAAACTGCCGCATTTTCTTGTAAGGTGCGGACCCCCGGTGAGTGACGGCGAGGGCGTCTTCGTTGTCGTAGCTGAAAAGGGTCAGCCCTACAAGACCATGTATTGACATCTTGCGCACGTACAACTCGAATCCCTGGACAAACTGTGGGTTGTTGATATCCCGAAACCAGCAATAAGTAGAACAATGCTCCTCATTCTGGTACGTGGATTGGTAGATGTCGTGTATTAGAGCGAGAAACTTCGACTATGCGTGAGCTGTTCTGCATACGCAGCGGTTTGGATGAAGAGGACACTATACCTGAGTCGCGTGGTCCACATTTTCGAACTCGAGCGTAGGTGCAAGACAGAGTGCCATGTTGCAAGTGATACTTACCTTCGGTAGGTATTTACAACTCTTGAAGTCGTATTTATGTCCAACAAGACAGCGACTCGCAGCGGAGATCTGAACTCCGGCCACCAGGAGGCACAGGAGGTCGTAAATAGGACAGACTTTCAGCTACATATTTCCTAGCTCCAGCTGCATTTGAAGGCTGGGAAACGAGCGACGAAAATGGCCCAAGTTCATTCTTCCCCATTTGATGAAGAATTCTACAGCCTGCTGGCCGAGTTACAGCCATCATCCTCGTTCAAATGGTACCAAACAGCAATCGTTGCGCTTGGTGCACTGAACTATCCTGAAGAGATACCAAAATTGTATAAGATACTCCTAGACGCGTACATCCCCAAGGAGATCTGGCTAGAGGAAACGCGAAAGATTCGAGAGGGATTGACCAAAGCCTGCGGGATTATGGGCGCAGCAAAGGTGTGTCTTCATCCTTTTTATATTGGACATTTGACGCTAAGTTCTTTAGACAGGGTCAAGCCTTCGTCAGCTAGCGACTGCAATACCACCTGAACTTATGGAGTCAACATATCACCGGTCAGCGAACAACTGCCCAACTTATTCTCCTTATAGGCCGTACTGACTGCAGGCATAGGGCGGGTGATACACAAGAGACAGCCTTCAAACGAGGCCGAAAGATGTTCTTTCAGATCTACGGAAACATTCCTGGATACGACGAGGGCAAGACATTGCATGCAAGTCCTGACTACTACCATATCGTAAATGGTAATAAGGAGCACAAGTTCCAGATTACCACCGCTAAAGCTAACTCTCAGCTCTAGACTTGTTCTATGGCTACATCTTCTCATTTGACGCAGTTCTAGACATCCTAGAGACAGAGCAAGTTATTGTTTCAGCGTTGTTAGGAATAGACTGTCCAGAGCAGGCAAAGAACCATATTGTGGGTATTCTAGCCAACGGGGGACGGGACGAGGATCTTCAATTCATTCGTGATATTGTCTCTCGGATTGCTGATCGAGGCCATGTGCAGCTGCGCAGGGTCTCCAAGTTCGAGACACCACGGCTTGATTCGTCAAACTAGAGTAGAACTCTGGCAAAGGGGTTCATCGGAAAGAAACGACTTGATTTATGTACATAGGCGTGGTAGCTGCCCACAGTTTATTGCAATATTGTCCAACATGTCAAGCGCATTTCTTATGTACCCAGGTTATTTCAAAACCAATCCTTCCACCAAACCCAATATTAGAACAATTCAGAAAATAGCAATGGCATTCGGCGGCGTGGCAACAGCCCCTGTGTAATTCAAGGGCGCAGATGTTATAAAAAAGGACCAGCGGCTCAATCGCGCGCACCCTTCAGCCAGGTCGTCAAGATCGAACAGCTCTCCTATTGGTGTCCCCCATCCTGAAAGAAGAATGGGGTGTAGCATATATTCTGGATCAGCCGGAGCTGTCACCATCGTCTCATTAGTACGGGATTGACTGCAACAACTGGAATGCAAGTGACTCACGAATACTTTCGAAGGCCGGACTATCAGATGTGACCGCAGCAAACTGTCGCTCCCAGAGCCATTCAACCGTGTCTCGAGATTGCCTAAGACCGGGAAATTTGGAGACCTTTGATTGTTTCTCCCGTTGCTCTTTGCTGAGTTGACGGTATCCCTTGACGAACCCTGGTTCGAGATCACAGTCAGCCAAGGTTATTAGACCGTACCCATGTTCAGCCAATCTTACCTGTCCGTAGGAACAAGATGTCACCCTGTCGGAACTCGATTCCTTTCTCACGAGCAATAAGTTTGACTGCCTCTAGTGGTATATGCTGTGTGCTGAGGGGGTCATATTGGACCCCATTTTCACTAGCCCAGCTGGCGTAGTCGACCAAGACACCTCTACCTACTATACCCCCAAGTCCCTTGGACCAAAGGGACGAGGACCCAACAGTGCTCGATTGATCTTCGTGGATATCTCCTTGAGTGACCCTTGCGCGGTATTAGCTGACCCATTCCAAGTTTCCGAGACCACATTGGAAAAGCCTCACCCGTTATAGAATTTGCCGTGCTTTTGGTACGCAAAGTGACGGAAGCTGTCCCACTGCGAGCTGCCCTGGGTATTAAACGTGATCTGGGATTGTGATATCGAATCAGTATCTAGATTATCCGAGAGATACCCCGAGAGGAAACATACAACATCATCATTAATAACCCGCGGAGCCTTGTTTACAATTTCTCTCTTAAATCCCTTTCTCCCTAATAGAGGAGGATCAATCAAGTCCAGAGGCAGGCTACACCCACATCAGTTATAACCTCTCGGAGGGTGTCCTTTGAATGAGTACTCACTCGAGAGAAACTCTTTCCCCAGTTTGAATTTCCTCGCGAGCAGCCTGCAACAGACCCGTATCGGTCAGATAGTTGAGAGAACCGTACTCGGGCTTTTTCCATAACCCCCAGGCTGAGAACGGCGGATCACCCTCGCGGAGAGGTAGCTGATCGAAGCGGGGAATCTTAGAGACTGCAAGCATTTCGAGAATGGGGGTTTGCTATTTGACTTGGTGACATCAGAGGACCTCCATACATTTATAATGTGCAGTATTCCGTCGCTGCTATGACCTCCGCGGAGTCGCCTCTATACTCGGAGGTGTGACCTCCGGCTTTGCAAGGTTTAAAATCAGAATAGCCGGCGAGGAACTATTCGTAGAAGAACAGTAGATATTCAATTGACTACTCCGGCTCTTCATATAACTGTGACCATGGCTGTCGGACTCCTCCGCGTCCTACTCGAGAAACCCGCCTCGACCGACCACGAAGCATTCGAATCGTGGCGCAGACAGGCCTTCTCCACGCTACCTGGGGTGTCTGGAGTAGACTTTCTCACGGCAACTGACGAGGAAAAAGAGGGAAACACCTACGGCTACGAGAACGCCTACCATGTCGAGGATGCCGAGCTCATAACCACCGAACTCATCGAATCTTTGATCTCAATCGAGAAGAAGAGTATCGGCCTTGACAGGGTCGACTTTCAGCTGTATGAGCGTATCGCCTTCAACACCAGGGACGATATTGAGCCCCGCGAGCGCCCCGCAGGGACTGTCGTGGTGACGGTGGGAATGTCGCCCATCGAGACCGAAGAGATCATAAAGGACTTTTACGACTGGTACCGTGAAGAGCATATGCCTATCCTACGAGACGTGCCAGGCTGGCGTACCGGGAGTAGGTACAAGCGACTGGCTACGTTTGGGTCCAATGCTGAGTTTGCTGCCCCCTATGTCGCCATTCATCAGTATAATCCAGATAACGGCCTCGGGGGGGAGCAGTGGTCCAAGTCTATCAAATCCAAATGGACTCAGAAAGTCATGGCACGGCTAGCAGTGCCGAATCACCGTCGTGTTTGGAAGGTAGACGCTTGAATTGTATCCTGCTTTGCCAGAGAAGGACGATGGGAGTCGGAGTAACGCTTTGTATTTAAAGAAGTCAATACTTCATTCGTGCATAAGACACTGACGCTGAGATAGACGGACGTAGAAATATCGAAGTAAAGGCTTTGGTTCCTCAGTATGACGCATGCCTTCATTACTTGTTATTGAATCCTACGAGAACGAGTTCAGATGTTGTGTTGCGATAAATAATTATTCTTCCATGTCATATCACCCGGGCGCGACTCGAATCCATTTCGCTCTCGGAATAGTTGTCGCAATGGTTATGCCAAAATTTCTAAGCCCCTGTGCTCATTCTGTTAGGCCGTAGATTTCAGGCTGTAACCTCATCTGTCTCCGTTGCTTCAACCCTCTCGCGATGTTCAACGGTGTTTCTCTTCGAGTCTGCCTCAGCCATAGCATCTGACAGGTGGACAACCACCGCGTCCGTATCACCAAACTTCTCCGCCATCTCTTCAAGAGGAATAAGTTTTGTCTCGAATATTTCGAAATACATCCATACCAATCCGATGGTCATTATGATGATGAAAACCTGTGGAAATGTTACAACATGCGCCAATCAAAGGAAACAGGTGCCCGAGCATTCACGTACCAGAAAGTATTTCCATCCGATATTCGCAACAGCCAGAGGAGTAACCTGGAGGTAGACTATTGCCGATAACGCATATATGGCAATCGCAACGGCCATGCCTTTGGATCGCATGTGGCTGGGGAATATCTCGCTCATAAAGACATATGTTGGAGCGTCGACACCCAAGGCAAAGAACAGCAGGAACACGAAGAGCGCAGTCATCCCCACGCCCAAAGTTCCCATGGCATTGTTCTTTTGGAACTCGGCCACCGCTGCCGCGAAAATACAGAGCGTGATGAGACAGCCTGTGAACCCGGTGAGCAGCATGGGGCGTCTGCCGATATTGTCTAGGACGGCAGCGCCGACAATATTACCGAGGAAGGCAACTATACTTTGGTTAGCCTGGATGCATACATTTGATAGCATGGCGAGAGGTTGCTCAACGTACTGACGTCTCGTCCAGCAGCAAGAATAAGCTGATTACGGGTTCCAAAGCCGAGTGCCGCATAGAAGATTGGCCCCTATGAGACAGTTTAGTTGAGTTCAGGTAGTGCGCTCGGGGAAATATACGTAGTTATTCAGCACGAGGACAGCTGTGCTCTGGCCAAGAAAGGAAATCCCAGATGCCAGCAACAGGCGCTTCCTATACGACGGCTTTCTGACCAGCTGCATCCATGAGCCGTCCAGCGTGCGGTCAAAGTCAGCCTGCTGCTTCATCTGAGAGAACTCGGCCAGTGCGAATGCTTGTGCTTCATCGCTGTGACTGCCACGAAGTCGGGACACGACGTCCCATGCCTCATCAGATCGGCCCTTCATCAACAGGTACCGCGGTGACTCGGGGACGAATAGACAGACAAGCAGCATGATCAAAGGCCAGAGGATTCCAATGCCCAGAGGACCACGCCATTGCAAGGCTTCATTCTCAGCATAGTAGAAAGCGAGTCCCATGAAACCGCCACTGCAGTATCCAAGTCCGATAAATACACCACAAAGGCCGCCGAGGAAACCTCGCATGTTGGGTGCAGCCAATTCAGAGACGTATCCTGGTGCTGCATCCTGTTAGCTAATAGTAATACACCAGGGAATGGTGGAAAGACAGGAACGTACTCAGCGCCAGGAAGGCAAAGCTACCGGCACCAGCGAAGAAGCGAAACACAAGCAGCATGACCATGTTCTGCGCAGCAGTCACGCCAATTCCTCCAATGATTGACATAATAGAGCAGTAGAGTAGTGCACTTCTGCGCCCAAACCGATCTGAGATCTCACAGCCACAGATAATACCTATAACAGCGCCAACCTGGCGTATTCCACCATCAGCGCGCCATCAGTTGACAGCTCGTGGCTTCAACTTACCTGGAACAGGCCCGTAATGGTTCCGGCCATCCCTTCTTTGCCTGAAAATATTCCGTTATCATCCCCTAGACCCATGTATTTCAGAAAGGGGGTCTTTGCGAGTGTTGATGCAACAATGACCGAGGGATATCCAAAGCTGATGGTACCCATCGATATAAGAAAACAGGCGATGATGCCCCGGGAGCCACCACCGATGCTTAGCATAGGCTGCCCCATGTTATCTTGTTGTAGAGAATCAAATACTGGCAAGAACATGAGTTATTGTGACTCTGTCTTACCCCGATGCTTTTTAGGACTAAATAGTTACCCCGGACTTCCCCACACTCTAGGCCGGAGATCACATCGCCGGCCAAGGCATACATTATGGGTTGTACCATTGCACCTCAACCGATGACCATCAATGACATGAAATACACAGGCGACTTGAGCCTCGCAGGTTCTACAGAATTATCATATTAATACGATTGCTTTTGACTGGAAATCTATTTCAGAGATGATTGAATTCTCTATTGATGCAGTTTCTAAGAGGTCGCTGTGACTTGCCAGCCGGGATAATATGCTGAATCAGGCTCAGACTATGTACAGGATGCAAAGGACGTCTCTATCTGGGGTACTTGTATACAATAACCCCTTAATCCTTGACCTTCTCGTAGCGGTAGGGCTTGGCCGTGTGGCTGCCGACCTTCCAGCCAACCTCGCGCTTGTCGTAGACACAGCCATTGCCACCCTGGCATTCAAGCGTATTGTATTCCTTCTTGGAGCTGTCGGTCCACGACTTGAACAGAGTAACGTGGCCATCAGCACCGCCAGTACCGGAGCCAAGGGTGCCAACAAAGTCACCTTCCTTGAGGTCGTCCCACTCGATGGACTTTGCAATTTCCGGAAGGCTGACAGTGTTGAGACCAGGGGCGGACGCATGCAGAGCCATGCTGACGAAGCCAGAGCAGTCGGTGCGGTACTTGCGGCCATCGGGGTCGGGGTAATAGGCGCTCATGGAGTATGGGACGTGGCGCGAGACCCAGTATTCACCACGCTCGAGAATCTCCTTGCGGCTGATCTCGCCCTGGTAGGAGGAGCTGCCGCTGTCGGAGCCGCCGTCGCAGTCCTTGGTGACCATGCTATCTGAGCCAGTGTTGACGTAGAAGTCGGCGACGTAGCAGCCGTCGTCGGTCTTGTCCCAGATGGTGTTGCCCTGGATGTCTTCGCCGTTGGTCTGGCAGGTGATGTTGACATCCTCGCCGTTGTCGTAGGTGGTCACGGAGGCATCGCTGGTCGAGGCACCCTTGCGACAGTTGAGGCCGTCGGTGGTGACTTTGTATGCGTTGGCGACAGAGAGCGTCGCGGCAACGGTCATAAGCAGGTTGGTGAGCTGCATGGTGAATAGTTGTATTGAAGATTGGTTGAAGAGATGATGAGTGAATGGGATAGAGACAGATTGCAGTGGCAGGACGGGATACTTATACTTGTCCACCACCATTTGCATTCCTGGTCATGTTGCGATGTTATCCACCTCGTATAGATCCACAAAGACGAAGAGCTGCTAAAAATAGGGCGTTCTGTCCTTGCAAAGCAGCGATCAGCAGGGCCCGATCCCAATACGAGATCGCTTATGGGCGATCGACAGCCCTGCAGAACAGAATCAGCTTGACAAAAGGTAGCATTTCTCGCTTAGGCTTGTTCTTTACGAGTTGATCGGCGCGACTGCACCTGCAGAGGAGAAAACACCGACCAACACGAACTGCCGAAACACGCATGTGGATATCAAGAGCGAACACGATGTTCCCCAGAATAGTAAACGACGGCGAGCTGTATCAACACGCGACGGAGGAAAGCAGATTACTGGGCCATGAGATATCGACAGGGCTGAATGGTTGATATTTTTAATTGCGTTTGACTTCGATACGAGATGCCCTCCACTTTGCCCGGGAATCAGTAGGATAGGAGCCCTGGATGTAACCACCTTCCGAGCAGAGGCTGTGCGTCTTCAAGCCCAGCAGAGAGCATCCAGCACTTGACGACCGTCTCGTGGTTGGAGTCCGCCTTCACAGCGTGTCAGACAGAGACCAAATGAACAACCCATACTCAAATCATAGGATCTTGCTTGTGCCTGACTCTACCCAAACGACATTGCACAGGCTTGTTGGGTGGAAGTCTTCTCCGACTAAAAAGACTCACTACCAGCCGGGGTTCGAGATGAACGCCCCATGCCCGAGTTTCGCATAAACTCGGTCATACTGGTATTCGCGCCGCCAGACTATCTGGATCGCATACAGATAGTGTGCGATTCCAACAGACATCGAACATTCTGGATGGGCAGGTCATCAGTCTGACAGATATTGAGCACCTTCGCAACAAGCATCACAGCCCAGACGGTGTCAATCCCCTCGGTCGCTCTGCGCATTATGCAGATAGGTAGGGTCGGACCATTGCTATAGGTGATGTCGCTGACTTCGAACAGAGGGCAATTCTTAGACTAATCCAGGCAGACGTGTCCATGTCATTCCCCATGGGTCCCTCGAGGCAGTCTCCGGTTTAGACACCGTTGCCTCAACCAGGGTTTGAACGGTCTCCGGCACTCGAATATCGTTGGTTTCGCCTTTCACAACATCGACAGCGTTAGCGATCAACACACCTCGATAAACTCTGCCTCATCGGTCCCCTTAAGCCACCGACCATGATTGCATAGGGACGCCGAAGGTGGATGTCTATGACATTTCCTATGGCACATCCTTCTGCATCTGGAAAATAACGTCGATACCCCGTTGGCGATGATGTCGAAATCCATCTGGGCATCAGCAAGTGGGCAGAGTCTATCGAACACTAAGCCGACTATACAATATCGAATGCCGTGCGGTCGCCAGCCACATCTATGAAAGAAACAGATGGGTACTGCGCTTACTCCGCATCAATAAGGACGCGTTTGAGGGGTGGGAGGGTTGGAAGAAACAACAACATACCAGGACGGGTGACACCCTGTGAGACGAACGATCCGAACATCATGAAAAGAGATTTCGAGCTGTGCTCTAAGTGCAGTCAAGTTGTGGACTTATACCACAATATCTCCGAATTCAGTGGAATTGCTGGAGGTAAAGTATTTTCTGAAGATGCAGGGATCCAAAGACTGCAATATCATGTACATGTAAGGATAGGCTTATCTTCAATTGATTTATACAGTAATATTATTAACACAGGAACTTGTGCTCAGCTTCAGAAAGATGCCCTATCACTTAACAAGGTGAACTGTCGTAGACACTGTCCAGATCCTTGGGAATCACGCCCGCGTCAACAGCATCTGTGTCTTGTTAGCACCTGAAGAGATACAGTGAGACGCTGACTTACCCTTGTATGACCAGCGGTAGTCGCCCAGGTTGGCCTTCCAGGTCCAGAAGACCCAGCCCTGCTGCTTCTCATACGAAATGACCTGCGCTGCGAACCATTTCGTGTAAAAGTCTTGGTTTGTCCATGGATCCCAATCGGAATTCCCTTCGACGTCACTGTTCACACTCAAGCTCCATTCGCCAACAATCAGTGGCTCGTCACCACCACGGTCATCATTGCAGGAGGCGTCAATGTAGCTATCCTTGTCGGTGGGGACCTCACTCCACTTGAGGTAGCGGTGGTCATCGTATGCTGCAAAGGTGTCATCCTCAAGGAACTCCTTGGGATTGCCCGAGCCCCATTTTGTGTCCATCATCTGAATGTGAAGGCTGCCTTCTTGGGCAACACCGAGCGATGATTCAGTATCGCGGATACGCTGATGGTGTCAGTTCACTGCATTCTGGGTTCATCACAAGGAAGAGACTAACCTTCCATGCATCAGGGTAGTATCCCTTCCGCATACTGTCTGTTTGCGCTGAGCCCTGCAGAGGCTCATTCACCAATTCAATCATACCGACGTTGCGGAACTTGTCGTCCTGGTGGATGTTCTTGGTCATCCACTCGATCCATTCAAGAGCCCGATCATATTGCGCGTCTTCGTAGAACCCGACACTCGGGGCGTACTAGAACGCATTAGTTATAGGTATATGTCTGTGCTCGAAGGACGTACCTGTCCAGTGAAGGGCTGCTCTGCCTGCTGTGCTCCGGGCAGGCCATGGAAGTCCATGATGATATACATGCCAGCCTCAGCAGCCCAGTCACAAACATCCGAGAGATATTGCAGCCCACCACGGGGGAAGTGTTCGGACTCTGCATCGACCAGGTCTTCCTTGAGCCAGTATCCAACAGGGATGCGAATGGTATTCAGACCATACTCGCGCATCTGCGAGATGTCGTCCTTAGTAACCCATGACCCCCAGTGCTCTTGGAAGACCTTGTCTGCTTGGTCCTGTCCCAAGGACGAGACGCAGTCAAACTCGGACTTGTGCTTTTCATCCGTCGGGCAGCCCATCGACTTCCACTTGTCTTCGGCAATCCAGGGCTCGAAGATGAAGTGGGCGCCGAGGTTGACGCCCCGGATCTTCTTCGCATCGGGGAGGTACCGTTTGTTGATAGCGGCCGTCGTGGCATTGAAGATGTTATCGCCGGTGGTGGCGAAGATGTCTTTATCGACACTTGGGAACCAGGCCGCGGCTAGGGGGACGGATGCGAGGAGAGGAAGAATGGACTTCATACTTGCGTACTGAGGCTTGTACCAGAATGCTGGGCTGATCTATGGGCACGGCTACGTACGCCTTTTAATCCCCTGCAATATCGTGAGACAGCAAAACGGCCCCCATATTGTCCTTGCCGATCTGCCAATCCTGCAGCGACATACAAGGTTAGAAGAGACACCAGGATCGGCACGGTTATGAGTTCCTCACCGTGATAAGCTGGATATAGACAATGAGAAGTGAAGAACCCACCGGCGATCAGGTGCGAGCAGATCGACAGACGACAAGGCAGCCTTGAGGAAATCCTCACTGAACCCTTCACTACTTTCACTGCTGTGTCTTCAGACCTTGTCTGGGCTGAATGATCGTCTGCCCTGGTCTGTATCCGTGCCTGTCCGGTGTGGCAGAGCTCGCGCTCGGGATAATCTTTCCGCGAGCTGTTAGTGGCCAGTGTTCAGGCCGCGGATCATGGCCTGATCCTGCTATCTTGACTTCAAACTGGCCGTCCGTGTGTCCTGGGCCTGCCTCTGTGTGTTAATGAAGAGACGCCCTGAGTATCGGGCAGGATTGACATGAAGAGGTCCGTGCAAGTTTACAACGGTCACCAGTCCTCCTGACATCTGTTACGCTGTTGGACAGCAGATGCGCCATTAATTAGACTACTGACGTAGGAGACGGCGGAAGAGGCCGCCCTGCCCCTGAAACGAAGATATCCCAGGGCCCACCATTCAAGCTCAACGATCGCGTCCAGTCCCCAGGTCCTCAGCCCGTGGGGGCCACCTCGCACTTCGCACTTCGCACTCCAGTAAGAAACGTAAAATGCTCCTCGGGCATTGAACCTGGTGAAATGAGACCCTGTCAAGCTTTTCGCCCTGTTTCCTGACTGCCCCGATCAGCGGATTCACTCCACTGCTCATCTCCCTATGGCGGAACTGAAACAGCACTGCCCCAAGCTGTGAAGGTGACATCGGGCGTTTCGAGACTGCGGAGATTGACCGTTTGCTTCTCTCCTGCTGAAGAAGACCCCTGACCCACACGATCAGCGTTATAGAATCTCGCCTACGTTGCCCAGACTGGTTATAGTGAGCTTGTTGGATGTAACCCGCGTCCAGTGTGAACTAACACGCGCATCTCATGGGCCGGCCCTAGCTGGGGGCCAAAGTATGCACATCTCCGTCGGGATACCTATGAACGCGGCCTACTTAATCCATGTCTCCGGCTATTAGTATGATTTCTCTAGTTCGCAAGTTCAATCAATCACATTGTTACATTCTTTGCTAATCCCATTGCCACAAGATGTCTGCTAAACTTTCCCTCCTTCAACTAGGTCTATTGACGCTGGCCCGCTCGGTCATGGGCCAGCAGGTCAATGGAGAAGACTACGACAGCCCTGACGCAGGACCCCCCGCAGACTACTTCGCTGCTGATGCAAGTCTGCCAGTTGATAAAATCCTATCAGCCGTCTCGAAGCTGAGCGACGTCGGCGACTCCTATCCCCTCAGCACCGAATCTGATCAAGAGTCTAAAATATTTAGCGACTGGGCTTCCTTCGACGAGGCGAGTTGCTCATGAAGTGGGTGATGATGTTCACTAATGAAAGCAGGGCGCGGCGATTGTCTTCACCGCGGATATGGACGTGGATTGTGATGGACTGGACTATCAGTGCGATGTACGCAAATCAACCCTCAAATGTACTGGTCGGCCTCTAACGGTCTGTAGGGAAATGAAGATGGTCAGGATCAGACGAACTGGGGAAGCCTCGCTGCCTATGAGGTAAGCCCTGATATCCCTTCATGATTCTGTCTTGTTAACTCTCACAGGTCCCATTCATCGTCATCCCAGATGAATATCTCACCAACAATGAAGAGACGCTTTCTGGCAACAACATCGCCGCGGTTATCTGGTACGAATCCTCCAACTTGTGAACGGACCCCAGTTGACAAATTAGCAATGGCAAAATCTTCTATGGCATCTTGGGCGATTCCAACGGGAATGACCCTCAGGTCACCGGCGAGGCTTCATGGCTGATGGCCCGCACCTGTTTCCCCGACGACAACCTGGCTGGTGATAAGGGCCATGGCGACGCTGATGTTACCTGTACTTGCTCTCCTATACCAGTGCACTATTCATATAGCTAACTGCCAACAGATATCCTGTTCCTGGGCGAAAAGGCTGTGCTCCCAGGGGATGTTATTGACGAGAACTACATCTCGGACTTTGGCAAGCTCAAGTCTATGGGCAACGATCTCATGAACTCTCTTCTTTCCAATATTGGGCTGAATGGCGATCCCCAGACGGACCCTACAAGCACTTCGACTTCTACGGCCACCCCTACACCGACTGGCGGGGACTGCTCGTGGCCCGGACACTGTGAAGGTATTACCCTTGCCCCTTGACTACTCAGTTGTCCTGACATGCTGATTCCGAAGGCGCATCCTGTTCCTCGGACGATGATTGCTCTGATGACCTGGCTTGCAACGATGGCAGCTGTTCTCCTCCATAAATTCTAGCTACGGCTAGGTCTGGTGAAGTGGCAGGTCCATATGCACAAGATGATGGTTTCAACCACACATACATAGGCAGACTCTCATAAATCTAAGTGTATAATTTTAGTGTAGTTTACTGCTTTTCAAATGGGTTAATACGCCTTCAAGGTCGAAGTTCTCTGCCGCTGCAGACTGTATTGGAAATAATAACCAGCTAGGTGCCCTCTATAACGAACTTCACAGTTATCTACAGACCTCACACATCATATATAAGCCAGGCACGCTACCCTCATTCAATGAATCATAATATTTTCAACTCGTGCCTTGTGGACTTTAATCTTGTTCACCCGCCTTTCTCTGAGGACTTTCCGCAGTTTGGGGATCATTTGAAGGGTTCTCTAATGGGGTTAGTTAAGCAGATACGTTTATTATACTGGGGTTTAGAAGAACCGAACTCCAACCCTATAGGCCCCTTGGTTCCTGTTATGCTTTGTTTCTGTGTAGATAATACGAGAAAGCACTGATTGGACATGCTACACAAATATCGGTAGACCTTTACAGTAAGTATAATTAATAAGCGATTCTTCCATGGAGCGCAGGTGTATTTGTAATCCAAGCTTATGCGTAGTTAAGTAGAACCAACCAGCTAGTTGGTTTCCTTTGGAAAATGCTCTCTGTCCAAGGCTTTAGTCAGCTGGTTTCTCAGTTAACTAGGCTGACTCGAGCTGTACGGAGGAGAACAGCAAGTAAATCAAATGGACAGAGGGTTACCATGGGATTGACTGACTGGCCGAGGAAGGTAGGTGATATTCCAATTCAAATAGAAATTGCTAACTTAGGGAAGGCGTGCGACCTATGCTACACTCGCAAGATCAAGTGCGACGGGCAGAGACCTCGGTGCTCAAACTGCATCAACTATACCACGGACTGTACGCATAGCGCACCGAGCCGGAAGTCGAAGCCCAAAGCACAACGTCACTCGGAGAATGGATATGTACGTATTACCTGAACTAGAATTAGAATGATACTTAATGTACAAGGTGCAGACACAGAATGGAGGCCAAGGGCTCGAGCAGACGCGAATAACAGCGCAGGTTGAAGACCACCATGAGGACGACCATACGATCAGTGCAATGGAACTGCCCCCACTAGAACAGGCCATGGCCATGGTTGGGATATTTCTCAACAGTAACAACTCGGTTCTGCCGTTGTTTCATGCTGATACGCTCTTGTGTCTAGTCGGTAAATGCTACGCCCAGCAACCCGGACAACGCGACCCAGTGGTATGGGCTGCCATCAACGTCGTCTTTGCCCTGGCTAGCCAAGTGGTCCCAGATGTAGGATCTCAGAACCAGACTGATCGAACAACCGAGTATTTCAATAAAGCACAATCTGCCGTCTCGACTGTGATGCTCGGTGAGACTTGCCTTCTTAACATACAAGTCCTGGTAGGCATGGTGATGGTGCTCCAGACTGCACATAATCTGACTCCAGCTTTACTCCTAATATCAGCCACCATGCGCCTCGCACATAGGTTAGGCCTCCATAATCATGCAGCATCAGCATATCTGGATCCGGTGCGAAGGAGACAGCATGCCCGCGTCTTCTGGCTGGCGTATATTCTGGACAAAGATTTAAGCCTTCGTGCCCAACAACCTTCAGTCCAGCTGGATGATGATATTGACGTGGAGTTACCGTCCGCATTTACGGTTTCTAATGACGATAATGACAAGATGGCTGGCATCGTCATGACGGCTGACGGGAATGCCAGCATGAATTACTTCCTGGCTCGCGTAAAGCTGGCTAATATTGAGGGCCGTATATATGACTGTCTCTTTTCAAATCGGGCCGTTAATGGAAGCCTCGAAGAACGAGAGAGTGCAAAGGAAAGCATTGTTAGCTCGCTGGATGAATGGCGAGCTTCTATACCACACGAATTCAGCGCCAGTATTGTCACCTCAAGTACTAGAAATAAACCAGCAAATAGTGGATTTTTTTGTGTGCTGCACTCCACCAGCCTCCAATGCATGGCGCTTGTTCACCGAGCTCACGCTTGGGATGGGCAATGGGTGATGAGTCTTCGCAGCCATAGCCGGGGAATTCAGATGCTGCAGCTACCACCATATTGGGAGACAATGGTCCATCAAGCACGAGACTACATGCTCATGTTTCGACAGATTTGGTCGAGAGACGCCTGGTTTCGCTGGTTAGCATCGCATATTACATTGACGATACCATTGTTGACAGTAGCAGGATGACTTCATGTCCTTACACAACCGCCATGGTCCTGCTGACGGCCAACACTTTGTATAATTCGTGGAATCATGAGATCCAGTTAGATATCGAGCTGATTGATTCGGCGCTTCTTTGGCTCAGGGAGGCTATGAGAGAAAACCAATCGGTGGAGGCCCAAACACTTTGGGAGACTTGCGTTGAGGTTATTCGAACGGTCAAGCAGAAGCTTGCTGAAGGCATCACGTCGCCCTTTAATAGTTACTGGCTACTCAATGATCCAGACAGTCAAGAGGCGTTCTAAGCAGACACGAGGACCGGAAGGTTAATAATCATAGCTCCAAAGCAGCCTGTTTACATGATCCACGCCAACGATACTGTAGGACCAGCCCTCAGGCCTTCCATTCCAAGACATCAAAGACGACATTGAAGTTGCCCCCATATTCGTTCTCCACTAGCAGATGTAACAATATACCGATCCGCTCCAACAACCTGGAATTATTCAAGTCATAGCCCGCAAACTGGGGCTTGAACCCAGCGTCCTCGATCAGCTTTCGAACGATACCAGTTGAAGATTCGACTCCACCAATAAAGATTATAGACGGCACGCGACCGGATGACGCCCATTTCTGTGCTTCCAAGAGTGGTGCAGGAATAGAATTAAAGGCCTTGAAAAGTACTGCCTTTGGAAAAGCCCTCTGAACCTCCTCCGTAACCGAAGTTCTGTCCATGTACTCGAGGTCATGGTAATGATTGAAATTGGCATCCACATTGAGAGGATTCATTGTATCAATCACGATCTTCCCTTCAAGCGTAATGCTGTCGTTTTGGAGCTCTTCCAGGATATGAGCCAGCCGTGGGAAATAAGCGGACAAAATCACAATGTCACCGAATTTCGCAGCGTCCGTTATCGAACCGTATTTAAACCGAGCTACCACATCCTCCCCGATGCCATTTTGCAAGGCGTATTCTTGGACGCGCCCTCGAAGCAGTTCCGGATGCGTATCTTTGCTGAGCATGACTTGATAACCCAGGCGAGCCCAGGGAAAGGCCAGGCGCAAGCCAATATTGCCTGCGTTCACGATGCCAACTTTCATTTCGAAATATTAACCAAGAAGCAACAATAGGCTCGAAGGTTATCGATGGTGTCTGTAATCTAGAATTGTCACGACAGGTTGGCTGAACTTATATGCTGTAGTCAAAATGTCCAGGCAGAAGGCAGCTGTTCCGCGGAAGCGATTTCCAATGTATGCTTTATAATATATTGAATAATCTACATTGTATTTCTAATTTGACCTTGCTACTAGCAAAGTATCGATTATTACGCCGGAAGAACAGTCGCCTCCGCGGATGTCATTCCGATTTCTAATCAATGGAAGAATAACGACAAATGTTGAATTGACTTTGGCAAGTAACGGCAGCTGACCAATAAATACAGGCTACCGTGGTTCAGTATACATTATCTGGTTAGGCAGCTCAGTGAAGTATGAACTAGGGCAGGAATCCTTCTTAACAGGAACTACTTCCACAATCATAATCGACCTACTCGAATAGACAAAGCACTTGTAAAGAAGATCCAACAGAACAGTGTCAAGCTTCTAGTATTTGCAGGGCAAATGAAGGACGTATGTACTCGAATCTTTTATAAGCCAAATCAAATGAACGACCGAATTTCTAACCATGCCAACGACCACAGCAAGGCTGTTTTCAGGTCCATACCCCCTCGAATCCGTGGTAATCCAAAATAACTTCCCTCTTAGCCGTTCAGGTTGGGGCAAGGGTTGTCCGAGGTGGTAGTGCGGCCGTATTGCTTAGCCCAGTCGTCAATCTGCACCCAGCCAGCGACGTCCTCGCCGCATTTTTCGTTGATCAGGCGGACGGCCTCGTTCATTTCCTGGTGCGTGCAGGCCTGCGAGCCCCCGCCCCAGTTGCATACGAAAGCCATGGCGCCGCCGTACGAGCTGTACATCTTGGAGTTCTGCAGGACAGGCGTGCCGCTGTCACAGGTCGACCCCAGCTGACTGACTGCGCGGCGACCCTCTTCGAGGGCGACGGGCCAGTCCGAACGGCAGTTCACACTGGGGTTGGGAAATTCCACAGCGCGCGCGCCGGTAGCGGCTGCGAGGGCGAGCATGAGGGCGTTGGCGAAGAACATTTTGGTTGGAGTAGGGGAGGTATTCAAAGTCTTAAGATAACCGTGGGTTCGTTGTTCCTGTTATGGGTTTGGAGGTCTGGGAATATAATGAGATGATGAGCTGGGAGAGCAGATGTTGAGCACGGGTGATGGGTATTTATATGTTGATATTCTATCTATTCTATAAGGCTCGACATGTATAGCATTGAGTAGGGGCCGGCTCAGGAAGCCCTCGCAAGCTTTCAGCCCCTAAGCCCTCGCAAGCCTCAAGTCGTCAAGGAACACACCTCGCAAGCTTCAAGGCTGCAAGGAACCGGCCTCGCAAGCTCTAAAAGCCTCGCAAGCTAAGGGTCCCTCGCAAGCTTTAAAGCCTGAAGAAACCCACCCCCGGTGAAGCCTAAAGCCCATACCAAGCCTGATATAGTATGGATCTTCACACATAGAACAGTATCTGGGGATAAAAACAATTACCCGTGTTGCACTGCCCCCAAAGTGAGTGGCCTGATCTGCAGTGCAGCCACATTGGACAACACAATTGGTGCCCCTGTGTCTCACTCTAGCTTGCAGAGCAGTTCCCTCGTACCTAGTGGAGTTCATAGTGAGTTGCTCTACGCCTGTATACTTCGAATGTGTGAGATAACAGCCAGTCACTGCTCTAGCCCCTGCTGCCGTCCGACTTGTGCCTATTGTTGGGTCCGCCAATCTGGCCATTCCGATTGAGATCTTCAAGGCGCTCCTTGAAGGATTTTTCAGTATGCTGCAGTGACGTAGAGATCTCGTAGAAATAGCAAGGGGGAAAATATTCTGTTTCCTATTGTTAGCAAGAAAGGGGCGATTCTGGTTCGCCCGGATGGTATTGTCGCGTGGCGGGGAGAGGATCACGACTCGACTCTGTTTGCGCTCTGGAAGCAGCTTGGCATCTCAAACTCCCTGTAATAATTCAATTTGCTGTACATGATACGATAGCTTTGAGATCTTTTGGGTATAAATCAAGGAAACAAGTTTCAGCGTATTTCCTCGTCGTGACGGACCATGAGTCAGCCATGTTACAGTACGGTAACGACTTGAATCCGTTTGTCCCACATTTGATCCCGCAAACACCTCGACGCCCATTGCGCCGTACTGTCTCCGTTCACAAATAGAACAAGGTAATTAGAGGTCCCACTGGATATATGACCTATCCTGGTGTCATTATACTCATGATTTGAACTTTTCGATTACAAAATAATCCGCAGAAATATAATTTCCTTACTCCTTTGCTCTGTTTATATGGAAAGGTGGTCACGTTGATGGATATAATATACATACGACTTGGAATATATATCAGTCGCTTTACGTAAATATAGCGACCCCTCAAGTCACTTTATATTTTAACAAACCACAAGAATTCCAAGCACTTCCTTCGCTAAGAGATCAGAGGGTGGCAGTGTAATATTAGTGTTAAATTGGGGTTATTGTACTTTTGCACACCGTGGTCCCGCTTATAGATGGACCGCTGGTTGGCGGCACTAATATGCGCGCGTCGACGAAAATAGCAACAAAAAGGGAGTGCCCCAGGAAGCCCACTGAAAGGAAGACGTAGAATTGAACCTGATTTAACAAGAGTGAAACAATATTGCATCTAACACCGGTGTGTAGTGGACCCGGTGGCTCGGGAAGCCGCGAGAACTGCCATCCTCATTTTCCCATAAAAATTCCGAGTCCGGTTTGGATGGAAGGGTATCACGACTGCAATCTCACTCATCGTTGCTGACGGATCCTGTACCGATGATGATAGATTCCTCCTACGGCCAAGGCTCTCTGCGCTATTTCTTTTTCCACGGAAATCATGGGGATGTCCCCCTTCCCCACCATATGACCGTCGAGGCCAACGTTGTTGTCTTGACCGAACAAGGAGAGACGTAGGCCGCCCTTGCCCTTTGGCTTCGACTGCTTTCTAATGAACAAGTTTATTCGGCCAAAACTTTGGTAAGGGGCCATCATGTTACGAATTTCAGGATGGGATCTGCAGAAACGCAGATGGCCAAATTGAGGGTCCTCTACCGGCAAAGTCTTTTGTGGAAAAGATCATGAAAAACGTCTCGGTGCCCTCGCTTATCGTGGCAGAAGTTCCAAAGTAGGATCTTGTGCCCATTCGTCAAGGAGGTTCAATTTTGACTAACGAACAGGGATGAAATGGGGATCGATCTGGAGGCCAAGGACGCATTCTTTTATGTGTAAGGCACCGTTGTTTTTACATCTATGTTCATTTCTGACCATGATTGGTTTGTAAAGCGCCGTTCTAGTGATTGGAAGAAGTGACATTCGTCCATGCACTGCTGGTGATAGAGAGTACCTCTCTGTTATGATTCAGACATTTGTCCCTCGACTTGTACGCTCGATGGCTCCTACGGCCAGCGAATACCTCCCCGGTGATGCTCGTAATTTGTGCATTGAGATTGCGAATCGCATGGAAAGGATTCCAGATGATCCCGACTATCACACTTTCATTGCGATGTATCGGGGTCGCTATGTCCAGAAGCCATTGCCGCAAAGAGCATTGGTAGAATTATGCCTGCTTCATGTGCTGAAAATGCCGTTTGAGCTGAGTACCGCAATTCGTAGCTCATTGATTCGCTATTGATGCTGCCATTGTCTCGATCTGACACCATGCATGGCACACTACTGCTAAGGAGGATGGAAGAATTCAAATCAGAATGCGAACTTCCGGGTGGCTTCGGATATTTGGAAGCACAGAATATAGTCTAGCTGGCTTCTCTGATATCTTCAGGAGCATGAAATAATGAATAGTGTATTCCCTGAACCAGAGAGGTTCATAATTACTAGTTATCTATTCTAGAGAGCATCTCTTCGCAATAGCGTGACGTTATTTAAGTCTGCTGTTTCAGGAAGTGGATTTGTGTGTGACGCAATACTGCGATCCCGGAAATACGGAACTGGATAAATCAGCATAAAATGGGGAACGTCCTACTCATGTCTAGATCGGCGTACTGCATCGGTCTGTTCAGGTGCCTGAGATTTCAGATCCTCAATATGATGGCCCCGAGACTTCTACCACAATTCTACCCAAGGGATTCCGCAATTCTTCATGGCAGGGCACTTCAACCTCAGTATAATTCCTGACAGGGTGGGGGTCCCAGAATCTAGGGTATCAGGCTTTGAGAAATTCGAAGCTCCGGATCCTGCGGAATGGACAGCCCGTGGGTACGCTATTGTAAATGTAGATTCCCGAGGGGTTTATGACTCCGAAGGAGATATTCGGTATGCTGTCGGATACTCCTTTCCTCTTTGGACTACAGGGCATCTGACGGCTGCAGGTGGCTGGGCTCCGCAGAGGGTCGAGACGGGTATGATGCCGTGGAGGAAATTGCCAAAATGCCGTGGTGCAACGGCAGCGTTGGGCTTGTCGGTAATTCATGGCTAGGCATGGCTCAGTGGTTCATCGCAGCCGAGCAACCACCCCATTTGAAATGTATTGCACCATTGGAAGCTGCAAGCGACATGTATCGTGAGCTCTTGTGCCGTGGTGGCATACCTCAATGGCCCTTCTGGGGGTTCTTAGCTGAGACAATGTGTGGTTTGTGACCCTGACACCGAGCGTCACCATGTCTTTGGTTAACAGACTCAAGGTCGAAACCGTCAAGAAGATGTGAAGGGGATGCTCGACGAATATCCTCTCATGAACGAGTATTGGGAGGATAAGAGAGCTCAAATCGGCCGTATCAATGTTCCGGCCTACATTCTAGCGAGCTATTCCACCCTTCTCCACACCATGGGGTCTTTCCGAGGATATGAAGAGCTCGGGAATAAGCGGAAATGGTAAGAACACCGCGTGAATTCGTCTCGGGGCCTTGAGGACACTCGTCTAATAAATTAACTCCCAGGTTGCGAGTGCATCCAACACAAGAGTGGTTTGACCTTTATCAAACCAGCACAAATGATGAACTCCAAATGTTCTTCGATAGATACATGAAAGGCATTCAGAATGGCTGGGAAGAAACTCCAAGGGTGCGGGTTTCTCTTCTACAGTTTAACCAAGTTTGTTGCATTTACTCGAATGGGCGATACTGGACTAACCAGGGGCTAGGAGCCTATCGTGAACTACCCTTTTGACACCTGGCCCGTTCCCACAACTAGATACGAGACTCTATACTTGGCTAAAGATGGGACTTTGTCCAAAAAGGCACCGTTGCGAGCCGATATGCTGTCGTACCAGTCGGATGTCAGAAGTTTACAGATCGATTCTGATAGCGAGGAGCTTCGGTTCGAGTACACTTTTCCTCGAAAGACCTGCTTTCTGGGCTGCTCGCGTACTTTGCTGAGAATGTCTTGCCCGGAGTACGATGACATGGATGTTTTCGTACAACTGCGGAAAGCGGACAGGGATGGACACATCTTGCAAAACATCAACATTCCTTTCCAAGCTCTGGAAAAAGGTGCCGAGGAAATTGAAAGCGTCAATCCTCTCAAATATCTTGGCCCAACTGGCGCTCTTCGTGCGAGTCACCGTGCGATTGATCCAAAGTTGTCGACGCCTTTTTGGTCCGAGCACGATTATACTTCTCGAGAACCTGTGGAGCGAGGAGACATAGTCACGATGGACATCGGCATATGGCAAACAGGTATAGTCTTTGACGCCGGTGAAAGACTGGTACTCAAGGTTTCAGGCCATAACATGACACTTGCTGAGTTCACTGCACTACGGGAGCAGTTGACTGCTGCCAATGTGGGCCGACATGTGCTTCATGTTGGAGGAACAAATCAAAGTCGCTTAATGATCCCACTAGTGGAAATTGATCATGATAGTGGGTGATGTCCATTCATGCCAGGCTGACTAGTTTGGTAGGTATGCGCAGGTGTCAAGAGCTCTTGTTGTATGGCAGAATATACTGTCCACCTTAAGATGCCGCTGGGATTCGGTTTTAATTCTAACCTTACTATAGGTCAGCGTCTGCTTATTCATGTTGTAAATAACTTCTATCGTCTATTTCAGTTAGCCCACTCCCATCATTCCCGTGTTTGGCATAGAATTGCTGCCAGATTTAAAAGTTCAGACTCGACATGAGTCTAGGTCGGGGTTAGCTTCTCTTACTCTACTATAGATTAGGTCTATAGGACCAGAACCTGCTCTCGACCAAAAGGGGATTGTCATCAATGCTCATACGTGGGGCAGTGACGATGGCAGGAGGGAGGGGGCGAACAGATACATCTTAATCAATGCATGTCATAGAGAGCCTACCAAAGGAACAAACGAGGTATTAATAATCGCAATGACGAGCTCAACCGCTGATATAACAAAAATAAATAAATAAAACATAAAAGGTAAGAACCCCTAGGCCAATGCCCTGTTCCGGCGCCCCAGTCTTCGCATGAAATCCTCTCGAGCCTGCCGGTTCATCTCATCGATGTTGTACGACCAGATCTTGCGAGCTCGCCAGTCAATCTCCTGGCGGATACTGACTGCATCGCGGCCATGCTGCCACTCGTACAGTTCTCCGACGAAGCGACTGGACTCCACAAGCCAGTGAGACCGGCCCAGTCGAACATGGTCGTACGCAACCAGAGCCGATTCAATCAAACGGGCTTTGGTATTTGTCTCCTCGTGCAGCTCACTCTGCACTCGCTCTAGCAACGACACTAGGGCGGCAGCATCTTCAATTCCCATTCCCGCTCCGGCTCCGTGGTGGGGAGAAGATGCGTGCGCAGCATCACCCGCAAGGCAGAGACGACCTTTGACATATGTGGGCGCAGGGTTGTCGCAGGTGTCGAAGATAGCCCACCTGTCAAGCTCGTCCGGGAGGAGGTCGATGATCGCTCGCGTGGCAGGCGCAAAGTCCTTGAAGGCGTCGACGGCGTCCTGCTTGCTGCAGGGACCGATGAGTTTGTCCTTGTGCGGCCACTCTTTAGGGTCGTTGACAAACGCGACCACGTTAAGCAGAGCCCCATCAGCAACAGGGAACGTCAGGGCGTGGGCGCCGAGGCCGAGATGCATATAGCGACTGCCTGCTTTCTCTTCCCCCAGCACAGCAACCGCCTGGTTCATGGGAATGAGCCCGCGGAAGGCGTACTTGTGAGTGTATCCTGGGTATGCTGCCAGGTTGCTTTCACCAAGGACAAGCTGACGAACTCGAGATCGAATGCCATCACATCCAATTACTGTTTGATATTAATGGCTGCGTGGTCTTAGGGTTACTGAGTGCCACTTACCAACATCAGCCTCAGCCGCTGTTCCATCTTCGAACGCCAACAGCAACTTTTCATGCTCTCCACGTTCCTTGACGGTGACAAGAGTTTTACGGAACTCAACCGTGCCCGCAGGTATCAGTTTGGCAACTTCGTCGAGAAAATGCGCTCGGTGGCAGCCCTCGAAGCCTCGCTCCCCGAGATACATGTCGTAAATAAGCTCGTCCTCGTCACCGTTGGTGGAGCCGTGGACATCGTACGAGTTAATCCACGTAAACCAATCAGAGGCATTGCGAGAAGCCACTTTCTTGAAGGCTTCATGGATGCGTGGGTCAATGTCCTTCATGGCCCATTCCGCGTTGGGAGTGAATCCAATGCCAGCACCAACTTCACTGAACCCTCGAGCCCGCTCGTATACCTTGACCTTCAGGCCCCGCGTGCTGAGGCCCACGGCGAGGACTGCACCGGCGATGCCACCGCCCACAATGGCGATCTCCAGACTATGTTGTTCGAATAGGTAGGGCATGGCTGTCCGTTGAGGTATGATGTGGACGTTAAGAAAGATTTTGAGAAGTCTCTCGCTATGCGTTGACCTGATAGTCTGTTTGCTTTCTTCGAGTGTATCTTCCCTTCCATCCCATTGATCTTGCTGCCCGTTTATACTCTATCTTTGTTGTACTGAACGACACCTTCGCCATCGAAGTCCTTAGGGATAGGACACCAAAGTTGAGAATCCGATAGAGTCGGCCTCAACATCCCGCTGAGCCAGAGGAGTGTAAACGCAACGAACATCCCGAGATGGGTTGAATACGAACTCTCAACACTTTGACTCTGGGGAACTGATGGAGCCAGGACACCGAGGGACTCGCTCCATCACCGCGGGCTCGAGACTTTCCGGCTGTCCATGACAAATGCCGACACAACAGGGAATTGACTCAAGCAGAGTTTAGCCATACTGCGTCAAAGCACAGACACAGCATGCAGACAGATGCATCAGGGTGCCCAGGGATTCGCGCAGTGTCGCGTGTGCCGGCGCGATTGACTCTCAAGACAAGCTGACCCAACGGATTCCATATGAAACCCGTGGCCGATGCCCAGAAACGGAATTCCCACGGTGGCATGTTGATTCGTCTGTCTCAGCCACCGTCAGACGGGATTTGGCGCGGCATCCAATTGTGGGCTGGGAATCCTGCTGCACAGCCAGGATTATCCAGCTAAGGCAGGTTATATACATGCGAAAGTAGCCTCGTAGCGCACATTGGATCCAACTACGAATCGTGAATTATACTACCTGTTCTGGCGACTCCACTTTCTACTCTCAGAAGATCGCCATGTTCGACCTCTCGAAGATCCAGGATGATATTGGGCAGTTATCCCGACTCAAGACATACACGCACCTCCTTGTGTGCTTCCCACTGAGTGATGAAGCCTATAGAGAGACCATAGTGAGTGCGCTCCATGCGGCAGCGCACAGGCTGGTGTCATCTTTCCCTTGGCTGGCCGCAAAAGTGGTGCATGAAGGCCAGAGCACTGGGAATTCCGGTTCATTCAGACTCGAGGAATGTCCGGATTTCGCACCCCCGAACAGCTTGGTCGTCGTCAAAGACTGTTCAGATGTCTCTCCACCCTACACTGAGATTCTTGCTGCACGGGGTCCCTGCTCGCTCTTCGACGGCGATGCTCTCGCACCGGTGGTTGCCTTCCCGGAAAGCTACGAAGAGTCAGACACAAAGCCCGCGCGAGTCTTTGTGATTCAAGCCAACTTCATCAAGGGCGGCATTCTACTCGACGCTGCTGCACAGCACAACTTCATCGACGGCGGGGGTCTCTTCCAGTGCATGCAGCTGTTTGCCACAGCGTTGCGGGGAGAGCCCTTCTCTGACCAGCAAGTCCAGCAGGGCAACAGAGACCGCAGGACTCTGATCCCCCTCCTTGGTCCCCATGAGCCCATGCTCGACCATTCTCATTTGAAATGCCCATCTGCTTTGACAACCCCGATTCGTGCCCGCCATTCTGGGCGTGCCCCCGCAGCCTGGCATTTCGTTCGCCTCTCGTCGACAAGCGTGAGCAAAATAAAACAGCAGGCCAACTTGGATCTGCAGAGGGAGAACAGCGATACCCCCTTCGTCTCCACAAATGATGCTCTCAGTGCCTTTCTCTGGCAGCGACTGTCCACCGTGCGTCTCCAGCGTGACCGCAATCCGCAGGAGCTGACGAAATTTTCACGCGCCATGGATGCTCGTCGGGCGATGAATGTCCCCCAGGAGTACATGGGGCAGATGGGCTACAACGCTACTACAAGAGTCTCATTTGGTGAGCTGGCAGACCTGAGTCTCGGGGCGACTGCGGCCTTGCTGCGTAACAAGGTGAAGGAAATGAATACCGAGTATTCTGTCCGCAGCTGGGCTACGTTCATCGCCAACGAACCGGACAAATCGTCCATCATGTTTGCAGGCTCTTTCAATCCCGACACCGATATTGGAGTATCATCGCTGGCCCATGTAGAGCTGTATACCTGTGATTTCGGTCCCTTGGGGACGCCGGAGCTCGTTCGTCGTCCCAATTTCCGGCCTCTTGAAGGCTGCGTCTACTTCTGGTCGAAGACTGCCAGCGGGGATATTGATATGTTGATGTGCTTGAACGAGGCGGATATCAATGGTCTAAAGCTGGATGACCATTGGAGAGTACATACTGAGTATATTGGGTGATGTTTCTGTAACAAGTATTTATCTGTACCTAATGTTATGAATCTATCCTCTCCTTCTCTAGTCAAGAGTTTATATAACCGTAAACATCAAAGGCGAAGACCGGAGAACTACGCCAGCGCATGCCCATTAACTCCAGCCGTCAAATTGAAATCAAACTTGTTCTTGAACTTGTCCAGAGCAACAATCTCCTCCTCCCTCCGAATTAATTCCGGCAAATCCCAGGTGAGGTTCAAATACCGACCCCCAAGCCAGCTTCGCTTTTCTGACGTCAGGAAAGCAATCGAATCCCCTGCCAGCTCTGGAGTCTCGATAAAGACTATCACCGGTGAGCACATGGTCACGCTAGTCGTGCAATTCAGTGAGATGAGGATACATACTAGGTTTATGATGCTCGGGCAGTCCCTCGGGACCCCCAATAATCTCTGTGGGAACATTCCCTGGGTGTACAGCAAAACTCGTAATCCCCTTTGCGGCGTACTCAACATTAACAAGCTGCGAGAACTTCCAAAGCCCCAGTTTGGAGATCTCGTAGGCCGAGAGCGTTGGGTTATACAGGTGTGCGGCAACACTGGTGACACTGACCACATGTCTGCCATTGGAGTCGCCCTTCAGAAGAAGAGGAATCATTGCTTTTGTCACCAGATAAGCGCCTCGAATGTTCACGTCGAATACATCCCACCATCCCTTGGAGTCTGAGTCGGCTATTAGTCCATACTCCCCAAGGACACCTGCGTTGTTGATCAAGATATCGAGTTTCCCCCACGCTTCCTCGATCCTGGCCGCGCATGCAGATACCGACCCTTCGTCTGTAATGTCCAGCTTTAGTCCAAGGAATCGTGGAGGAACACGGTTGGCGGATTGAGCAGCTGCAGCGATGCCCTTGGAAAGCTGTGTCAGATCTGACCGCGCACCAACAGCGATGAATGACGCGCCGCCCTTTGCAAATGACAGGGCCATTGCGCGGCCGATGCCCCGTGAGCCTCCGGTGATGAGTACGGCTTTACCGGTTAGGTTCAGCCTAGAGGGGTCGATGGCAGCGTAGGTGTCATTGTGGATTGTGCTAGTGACATCGTAGTCTCCTGGGCCCTCGATGATGTTGGGGGTTCCTCGGGGTGGTGGCATCTTGAAACCCTACGATAGACTTGAACAGGAAACGTCGGGATTACGGGTTTGGAAGTGCTTTGGATTTGGCTTTTTCGACGGTATTTGTCTGAGTCCTGTATCTTTATATAGGTGAATTGTCTATCTTTTCTCACTACACCGTGCATTGATGTCCTTGTCCGCTCCGAGAAAACTATACCAAACTATACTCATATCCTGGACCAGATGATGGGGATGAATCGCTATTGCCAGACCGAACTCCGCATGCAAGCTCAAGATAAAGATAGATACAGACATGGCTTAAGGTCGCCATCCTCGGGGTATCGGAATCCCAGTGGCTGGTGGTGAATATCAGCCTCGGGTCGGAGTTTGCCGTCGATATCAACCAAACGCACAGACTCCGTGGCTTAGCTGCAGAAGGTTTGCAGAATCGGACTTCTACTGAGGTCGATGCCGATCCGAGCCCGTTGCAGTGCACTTTCTGCAGAGTTGTATGGCATTGTTCCAGATATGCAGATCACTGCGCTTGAGCCCATCGTGTCTGCCCCCATGCAGTAGTGCAGTGGATCGACATGCATTCTCGTATCACTCAGTCCGGCGGGGTCTTTCTCGGCCTCAATCTACATGTGCTGCTCACCTTGGGTGTATTCACCATCTGCCGCGAGTCCGAGGAGCATCGTTAACAGTCGGAGTTCGGGTCTGCAGAAGCATGTTCAGGTCGAGATGACTGTATTCTCAGCTTCATGCATAAAATGACTTCTCGTCTGGCATCTGATGCAAGTACCCTGTTCATTCACTGCGCTGATAACTATTCTTCAAACTATTTCTGTGGTTACTATCACCGGCATGCACCCACTTCCAGCTCAATTCCTCGGAAAACCACAGTCACAATTAGAGAAGTCGTCGAAAAGACAACATGACCAAGACGATCATTGCACCCTCCACCGTAGACAACCAGACCCTCCACCTGCCCCGAATCCTGTGTCTTCACGGCGGCGGCACCAACCGCACCATATTCCGTGCACAGTGCCGCGTCATAATCGCCCAATTACGGCCATACTTCCGCCTCGTATTTGCAGACGCTCCCTTCCCTTCCGAGCCAGGCCCAGACGTGGTCTCCGTCTACAGGGATTTCGGGCCATTCAAGCGCTGGCTGCGGTCCAGGCCGCACCATCCAGTGGTTGAAGACAGTTCTGCAGTCTCGGAGATCGATGCCTCCATTACCCGAGCTATGGAGTCTGACGAGGGCACCGCTGAATGGGTTGGCGTTCTGGGCTTCTCACAGGGCGCTAAAGTTGCTGCCTCCCTCTTATACAGACAGCAGCTACGGACCACCATGCTTGGTCCCACCTCTTGTTCCGTCAATTTCCGGTTTGGAGTTCTTATGGCGGGCCAGGGTCCTATTGTTTCTCTGCAGCCGGAATTGCTGCATAACGAGGCGTTGCTCACGGCGTCGGAGATCTGCCTGGTGCGTGCGCCGTCCAGCCAATGTCTCGCTAGGGAAGAGCATGTCCTCAGACTACCGACCGTCCATCTTCATGGAATGTTGGATCCGGGCATTGATCGCCATCGTGCGCTGTTGGAGGGGTACTGCTGTCCAAAGGCGAGACGGCTGGTGCAGTGGGAGGGGGCGCATAGAGTCCCAATTAAAACGAGAGATGTGGCCCTTCTTGTCGAACAGATTCTGGATATTGCCAGACTGACTGGCGTTTTGTAACTAGTTATTTTTGTTTGTTATCTTGGACGGTTTGATAGATTTTAGATGCTCAGATGCAACGGCTAGAAGAAATGTTCAACACTTAGGTTCTGGAATCTTATAAATAAATTATCCTTATATTTATGCAGGTTTATATTGCGTAATATTTTTTGTATTCTGAAACTGTTCTTTAAATTCTAATGAGATGAGATACGTATATATTTATATGCGCAGGCGTGCTGTTTAATCCTCGACCCATATATATTCCGCCTGTCGCAACTCGAACATCATGAATCTAGCAAACAAATAGATCGGCCGTCAGGCATTTATATCATCAAGGTATTTCTGCCAACTTCATATTTACAGGTTAATCTGTAGAGACTCCATTTTCTATTTCCATCGCTGGCTGTTGAGCTTCGCTCGATTCGAGAATTTGGTGCAGTTTACCGCTGAGGCTGTTCACGCACTTGATATTTCGCAGAGCCTGGAAGACTTCTTGTAGCTTCGCGTAGAATGTCGTGCTGGGGTCTCGGTAAGCGTTGAAGAAGTCCGAGCACAGATAAAGAGGAATGGGAGTGAAGGGATGGATCTATGCATATCAGTTTAGATGCCATATAGGACATGGGCAACACAGGCCTGGCTCACTTTGAATGAATTAATCTGGCTCAATACCCTCGTTAGCAGTACCATTTCCTGTGCCGCAGTGAGGGCAATATCATTATATTCAGACACGGAGGCAACTTCGAGGCTGTCAAGATTGTATGTACTCTGCTCCAGTGTATGATACAGATAGAGCATCGTCGTTTGCCCTAGCATGCGGGTGAACAGTATTATAGAGTCCGCATTCTCGGCAATGACTGGAGCTTGGGATGCGAGTATCTCCAGTCGCTGGACAAGGGTGGCGTGAATCCAGTGATGGCGGTCATGGAAATTATGGATAGAGGTGTGATAGTTGCTCTCGACAAGGGCCTGATAATGGTGGACAAGGGCCCGGCCACAGACAGTTGCCACGATGACGAGCTCTGCAAAGGGAGAAGAGATAAGGGGCCCACTGGACGCGATGGCATCGGCTAGAAACTCCATGACCACAGGCTGGGCAGACTGGAAGGCCGTCTCTGGGGCGGGCAGGCGTGAGGTGATCTGTAACTGTCAGCTTCTGGACATATCAACGGGCGGCGAACTGACAAGATGTTCGATTAAAGTCAACGGCCATCGATTTCGAATACTGAGAAACCGATCCAGGCAGAAGGCAACCCAGAAGGTGCGCCGTTTCTCCTCTACCTCGACCCATTCGCTGGGCGACAGGATAGAGGCACTCGGCGTATCCAGCTCGAACAGACGCATGAGCTGCACAAGCCGGAAGGCGTATCCTGCTCGCATCCAGCTGCGGCGGTCGTAGGAATGTATGAATTCGTAAATGGCGAGGAGCAGGCATGCCTGGAGGTGCTCGATCTCGGTAATATCAGTCTCTCGCCCCTTCACCTCCAGCGCGTCAAGTATATGTCGAGTTTCCTCGTACAGCGACGGCGCGAGTTGTTGAAAATGCGCAGAGAAAGCAGCGCCCAGCGTCCACATTGCATACTGCAGGGCTTCCTTGGATTCGCTCTTGGGTTGCTGGGAGCTCCAGCATCCATACCGGCCCTGGTGGATCATCGGCGCAAAGACGTGAACCCGATCGAAATATAACTGGTCTCTGAGAAGATAGACATATATTATTAGCTCTCGCACCATTACCAGCAAGGCTCCAACAGAATGAAACAATGATCGCACAGTTCCTCTCGCATTAGGGCCGAGATTTCTGTCCCCGCCTGCAGCAGCGGACTCGACGGCAACCGCAGATCCAGGGAGCTTGGAGCCCCAGTAAAGGTCTCCGGAGACAGGGGCAGCGATGGTAACTGCGAGATGTCGGTCGTCGTCAAGATCGGATCTGAAAGAAGCAAACCGCTCTCTGTGGCGAGGGAGAGACGCTCCTCGAGCGCCGCTACACGTTGTCAGACCATACGCACAGCAACCTCAGAATTTGCCGATTTACTTTGCATCACATACCCATCCGCTGTTGCAGCTGCAGAAGATTGCCCTTTTTAGGCCCACGCTCCGCCCGCGACGGGTTGAATTGGCACACTATGTCCGCCGCGGCGCACACACCACACTGCGGCGTCTTGCGGTCGCACCGCAGCTTGCGGCGGCGGCATTCCTCGCAGGCGGCACCGGGGCTCTGTCGCGGCCGGTGTTTCGTCTGCTGGGGGGATGGGTCGGAGTTTTCATTGTCTTTTGCATCCCATTCAGATCGATCCATGACGCATTGAAGGGGAACCGGGGACACGCAACGGGTGGGTGAGAGTGAAACAAGCAAAGAAAAGGAGGGAATCCACCAGATAACTTCCGACGCCGGTTTAATTGTAAGACAGAGAAGGGGGCTGTGAGCGAGCCACGAGGGGCAGAAGGAACCCTCCCCCTCTCTGCTCTTTGTCGGCGCAAGATCCGCCACCGGGCTCGTATTGGGACTGGGTGGCCCGTAACTTGAAACCAGAGGTGCAACCAGAAGGACGATTGTTTCTTTCCGGCGCCGTCAGATCTTAGGCCCAAAATGACATGCTCACCGGGGATGCTCATTGGGGGCTGCCACTGGTGCTGACTGCGAACTGTTGGTATCATATGGGCTTTTTAATTAGAGTGCGGGCGCCGGTCTGCGTCGAGGCGTCCACTGAACAATGCAGATAACCAGACAAGAAGCATGGATTGCCCCAGCTGAGGAAGCAGCTGAAGACCCAGGAATTCCAGAAGTTCGACGCGGAAAATAATCCCAGCTTTGGCAGAGCACCCGAGAGCGTGGTGATGCCGCGGTTGGGCTTTGACGTCCTAGACCCCTGCTCCCAGCACGAGGTTGCACTGCGCATCCCCGGGGCCCAAGCTATGTGGAAGCCTGTCGGAGCCCCAGTGGAGCTGTGAACAGGCCAGACTGTGCACTGTGCATCGTTCAGTGCAACGCGTTGTCCACCGCAGGCGACGCTAATTCCTGCAACAATCCTCCGGCCTCGAGGCTTCAAATAAGCCCAATAGCACAGGCCCAGCACGCCCCAAGCAGGGAATCTAAGCAATGGCCGGCTCGGGGCCTCCCGTCAGACGATCTCCATGGAGCGATCAGGATGAGGATCAGTGAACTCTATGTCGTTCCTCTAGATGTTGTTGTCCGCTGGGCTGGTATCAAATCAATGCGCCTTCCATTCTGTGCAGACCAGTGTGCACTCTATCCAAGTCTAACTGAGGCTCGTATTCCCGATGGGGTACATAGCATGATTTTCATAGGAAAGAAACGCTATCTCATAACCGAAGCGCCGTCACTGGGGCCGCTGTCCCAGCACGCCAATCGTAACAGTCCACGCAGGCCCATCCAGACTCCCCCCCCTGTTCCCAATTATGCCCCCCTGTATCAGGTTTCACTGTCTCTCCGCGCGCCGGTTTTAAGAATCCTTCAGCTGCTCAGGCGGCCGAGGTGGCCTTCTTGGCCCGGATGTCCTTCCAACCCATACCCCAAGCGAACACGAATGATGCGCAAGCACACCCCAGGCAGAGATACATGACGTGATCGGTGCTCTTGGAGTATGCCAGCAGAACACCGGGGAGGTCAGCCGCAGGGACAACCTTGGACAGGTCGGTGGCGCCGGCTGCAATGACCGTCTCGGCAGCGATGTTCGGCGAGTATCTGGGGACCAGCGAGCGGAGACTGTTGGTCAGAGCAGTGTTGGCCAGACTGAGGAAGACGGCGCCAAAGAACGTTGAAAAGAACATTGTCAGCGCCATTGCGACAGGGATCAGAGGTGCAGGAAGGGTGTTTTGCACTGCAATCACCGGCTAGACAGGGGTCATCGTCAGCATTGTCGCTTCGTTTAACTTGTTTTTTCTTTTTTTTTTTTTTTTTTTATTCACTCACCATCTGCAGCCCAATACCCTGGCCAAATCCAGCCAGAATCTGATATCCAATCCACTTCCCAGTGCTGGTGTTGGGCACGAATGTGGACAGCAGGCCGTCTGCAATGGCATTAAACACGGCCCCCGTAACGGCAAAAGGGAGGTAGTATCCGAGTTTCTGGACTAGTAGCGGTGTCAGCTTATCTGTGCTTCTATGTCGTTTGTTATATGCTCACCGAGAAATCCCGAAAGGCCAGCTGCAAAGAGCTGAGCGATGATGGTCGGCAAAAGGTACACTCCACTCATCGTCGGAGAAACGCCCTTGACCGCTTGGAAATAGATCGGGAGGTAGTAAGTAATCATATACAGCAAGCTCATCAGGAAGCCGAATGTAATGCAGCTGGCCCAGACGGTGCGCCGCTTCATGATGCTGGCTGGAATCATCGCGCTGTCGCCCTTGTGTGCCTCCCACAGCACAAAGACAACAAATGTCACTACAGAGCCAACAAGCAGCCCGATGACCTGAGAGCTGTTCCAGGAATACTGGTTGCCACCGTACTGCAAGGCCAATAGAAGCATGATGGCAGCAGGGGCGAACAGGGCAAACCCGACCAAGTCGAGTTCCTTGTGCATAACACGCGCGACAACCTTTGCTTCGGGCTTGCGAGTCTCATCGGGGATACGCACAAAAAGGAGCAAAAGGCCCACCAGTGCACCGACAGGAAGGTTGATATAGAAGCCTATGAGGGATCATTAGTCGAAGCCAGGACCCTGATAGAATGGACTTACACCACCGCCAGGTCGAATACTGGGTCAAAACTCCCCCGATCAACGGCCCAATGACGAGGCCAAATTGAGAGACTTGAATCATATTAGAGCTTGTATTGCTTTAGCGGATGATGCGAAACCTACTTCCCATGACCATTCCAATCAATGCTGGCCGCTTGTTCAGCGGTGCAATGCCAGCAATAATCGTGAACGCGCCATTGGATATGCCTGAGACGCCCATGCCAGCGATGGCTCGACCGACAATCAACATCTTCGAGGAATTGGCCACGCCGCAGATCAGAGAGCCAATCTCGAAGACGATAAAGAACCCGATATATGTCCACTGCAAGGCGTTAGACTGCGTGTTACCCCTTATCGGACACATACCTTGGCACTGAAGTTTTCATAGACCCTTCCGCTGAGCGGTTGCAGCGCTGCACTGATATCGCTCAGTATTCGCGTCCAGGCTATCATAAATCGTGTCATCGGTCGAGCTCACCTTGCCAGTTGGTATGCGGACCCGTACCAGCCCACATCGACCAGTGAGTTGAAGTCGCGCGTGATAACGGGAATGGCCTTGTTATGTTTAGATGTGAAACTGATCAGGATTTCTAGAGAACGAACAGTTGAGATGATGGACGTATCCAGCAGCATGAGGAAGGACACAAGAGTGACACCCGCGAGGGTGCTGAAGAGCGGCCAGCCAGTGAGCCACTCCTGGACAAGCTCATTCTTGACCTGGGCTAGGTTGCCTGTGGAGCTATTCTCGGAGGAAGTGATATCAGGAGCTTCACCAGCAGCTTCTTTATGCAGCGAAGGATCGGGAGATGTCTCTATCGCTTTGCCGAACATGGTGAAAGTAGAGTCGAAGTCGGATCTGTTGGTTAAGTTGTTGATGTGCCGTATACAAGGATGTCTGTCACAAGGGGTGCTGGTAACCGTATTATCCAAAATTAGTAAATAGTTGAGTTCCTGTGTTGATGTTGATGTTGGCATTGACGAGGCGCAGGGTCTTATATACCAGCCCAGCCGGACTTAGGGTTGGCGTATCTGCACCGACCCCGATAGCGGCGGCGCAGTGCAGAAGGTTAATTCTATTGGTAGCTACTCCGTACAGTTTTGCGATCTGCAAGAAATAGTCAATGGCATTCGACAGAACCCACGGTGGGCATGGGAGTTCCACAGGAGGTCAACGTGAGTGGTCCACTCCGAGGGATTGGAGGAAGTACAGCACTCCATTTCCCAGCTCTGAGACGATCGAAAGCGAATAGATGGGCAAGTCAGATTTCAAAGCAGACCTGATTAGTTGCTAAGCACTGGAATGTGCCTGGTGTGGGGGATTTCTGAATCCCGAACCCCGATGGACACGAGATAGACACTAAGCAACACATATATGTACAGGATAAACGCCTCGGATTGGATGGCATTCGGAATCGAACAGGACAGTAATCCGGCCAGGGCAGGCAAGCCTTATAGGGATCGTTCCGACCCGAGAGATCCAGCTCGGAGCACGATGCTGAAACTCCGGCCTTGCAGGATGCCGCTATATATTGCAGTCCCGTTGTAGGCGACCAAATTCCCCTAATTGACTGTCATTTTGCCCATGTGCCTGTTTGATTCTTTCTACTGCTTCATTATCTACAGCGAATTGCCCTGCGACAGCATGGATCAGCTCCCCTCCCCAGCCAGCAGGCCATTTATTGAGTCCGTCGACGAGACGAGCCCTCTCATTAATTCACACCATAGTTCACAGGATGGCTGGACAAAGGTCGCCTTCGACGGTCCTGACGATGCAAGCGACCCAATGAATATGCCTCCCTGGAGGAAGTGGGCGTGTGCAAGCATCCTCGGCGCAATGACCTTCGCAGCAACCTTCTCCAGCGCAGTGTTCAGCGCCGCAGCACCAGCTGTCGCAAAAGAATTCAATGTCACCCCCGAGACCATGGCATGGGCGACGTCGCTTTATATCTTTGGGTTTGCGACCGGACCTGCGCTCATGGGTCCCGCTTCTGAGCTATATGGTCGGAAACTCCCCCTGTTCTCTGGGTATCTGTGCTTCGTCTTGTCCCAAGTCCCCGTGGCGCTCTCGCACAACATTCAAACTATTCTTGTTCTCCGGTTCATAGGGGGCGTCGCCTCTGCTGGGTCGCCAGCGATAGTCGGGGGTTATCTGGCAGACTTCCTGCCCCCCGTCGAGCGAGGCGTGGCGGTTGCGATCTTTGCCGCGACCACCCTCATCGGTCCCTGCGTGGGCTCCATCATTGGCGCCGTCCTGGTAGAGAGTCCGCTGGGCTGGCGGTCGACGGCATGGTTGACTCTCGTCCTGGGCGTGGTGTTCGGTGCCATGGGCTATATCATCCTACCGGAGACCTATGTGCCTGTCCTTCTGAAGCAAAAGGCGGCGCGACTCCGTCTGGAGACTGGGAACAAGCAGTTCTACTCAGCTCTTGAAGAGAAGCCGGTTACTGCGGCCGACTTTGTTGTGCGCTATCTTAGTCGGCCGTTTGTGATGCTTTGCCTGGAGCCGATTTTGTTCTGCATGACCTTGTATATCTCCTTTACATTTGGCATGGTCTACCTTTTATTTACGGTCAGTGCCCCTTCCGTATCACATATTAGGCGATATCTAACTGGCACAGGCATATCCGATCAGCTTTGTACAGGAACGACACTGGGCCCTCGTCGCTGGGACGATGCCATCTATCTCCGTCGTGGTGGGAATAATTCTGGGGTCAGCGCATGTGGTCTACTACACACTCACCACGCTTCAGAGGAAATTCCGGGAAGCTGGACACATCTCTCCAGAGGCCCGTCTTCCGCCCATGATTCTAGGAGCTTGTCTTCTCCCATTTGGGCTGTTCTGGTTCGCGGAGACATCAAATCCTGAGCTCAACGCTTGGCCTCAGATCATCGCGGGTGTTCCTATGGGTTTTGGCCTGCAGGTAATCCTTCTCCAGTCTCTCGCATATCTCATCGACATCTATACGACCAATGCAAACTCCGCTATTGCGGGGACGGTGGTCGTCCGGTCGCTTCTTGGTGGACTGTTTCCGCTCGTAGCTATTCCGATGTATCGCCACCTTGGGGTGAGTTCTCCGTATAGAACCGTGTGCGTGGCTTCAGTTTTGACTAATTACAGGTTCTCTGGGCAACCTCTGTTCTGGGCCTCGCTGGAGTCGTATTTGCGCCAGTCCCGGTCCTCTTTCTAGTCTTCGGGCAGAGGATTCGCGAGTCGAGTAAGTATGTGCGACGTGATTAGATGGATGTAGTATTAGAAATAGATAGTTAACTTATTCTCCTGGGATCCAATGTTGGCCAATAATAAATAAACAATATTTAAACATGGCCCATGGCGTATTCTCCGTCGGCTCGGAGTTTTTGCTGTCAGCCACAGAATCCTGCCAGTGTGGTATAACTACCACGTCTTCAGCACTTTCCAATGGTTCAAATCTGGTATATCAATTGTCAGCTTACTATCTCCGAAAATGCTATTTGGCGGGTCCCTTGTGCAGTCCATCTTGGGCGTGTCTATTGCGACTCCATCCTACCAGAACCTGACCTCTCTATTCGGGCCTCATCTTTCCCCCCAGGCTCAGATTATTCTTCCTACCGATGATACGTTTGGATCGCAGTTGACCCAGCGCTGGACGGACTATAATAAGCCCTCGTACATTGGTGCTATCAAGCCAGCGACCGAGAGTGATATTCAAAAGATCGTCAGTGCCGTGTTAATCACCGAGATGATAACAATTAACAAGCGTAGGTCGAGATCTCTGCCGCGAACAAACTCCCATTCTTCACAACCGGAGGAGGCCATGGAATCTCCAATTACTCCAGTTTCGACGGTCTCTCGATTGATCTCAGCAACTTCCGCACGACTGAGCTGGATACCGAGAACAACCTACTGACCATCGGCGGCTCCACCAAGGTCGACCAACTGCTCGATCTGCTGTGGGACAATAAGAAGGAGCTGCGTATGTTCCATTGCCATTCAAGGAAGCACTATGCTAATACTATCCAGCGCTTGGTTCATGTGAATGTGTCGGCGTTGTCGGCGCAACCCTCGGCGGGGGCATCAGCTCGCTCCAGGGCGTGCGCGGTCTTCTCCTTGACGCTCTGGAGTCTGTTCGAATCGTCACAGCTACAGGCGCTCTCGTGAGGGCATCGAGGACAGAGAATCCAGACTTGTTCTGGGGCCTCCGAGGGGCAGGCAGCAACTTTGGAATCGTCACGGCTGCCACTTATAAAGTGTTCGATCTGACGAACGATGGCGAGGCCATGAATGCAGATTTCGTCTTTCCTGCCAGTGCGAATCGGACCTTCTTCGAGATCATGCGCTCGTTCGATAATGATCTTCCAAGAGAGTTTGGAATTACGGGGGTTGGGCTGTTTAACCGGAGCAGCAATGAGGTAGGCAAGACTCCATAGCTACTTGGATGCGAATACTGACCTGATGCCTATAGCCAGCCATTGCCGTCAATGTAATCTACTACGGACCCCAGTCTGTCGGCGAGCCCTACATCCAGCCTCTGAAGGACCTCAACCCGACCATGGTGAACATCTCGACGGTCACATCCAGGGACTTGATGGACGCTGCATTCTTCTCGTTTTTTGGAGGAAACAATGGCGCTTGTGTCCCCAATCAGCACATCAACATCTACACCGTGGCCTTGAAGCAAATCCACGTCCCAACGTTTGAATCCTTTTTTGCCAAGCTCGACGACTTCTGGAGGACATTCCCCGACTACCAAGGCCGACTTCTTCTGCAGAAATACGGAACAGACGCTGTCGTCGACATTCCTGATGAAGAGTCTGCATATGCGCATCGGGAGGTGACGACCTTTATGAATATTGAAGGTTTCTACACGGATCCCACCATTGACGATGCAGTCGACGCGTTTGTGGGCCCGGCAAGAGATGAGTTTGCAAGGTGGTCTGGGTTTGATGAGCTGAGTGTATATTCCAACTATGCTCGTGGCGATGAGGGCGCGTCTGCTTGGTATGGACAGAGAAAGCTGGCTGAGTTGACCAGGCTGAAGCAGAAGTGGGATCCTCAGGGACTATTTAGTGTACATAATCCCGTACCTGTGGTTGCTGACCGTGAAGATCTGTGATATATGGAGAACACATATGGAAACAAATGGGCACACTAGCCATCTAGATAGGATATTGGAAAGACATACATGGAGTAGAGAACAGCTTTAGAATTGTCTGATTTTCCTAGCCTCCGTTCGTGCCCATGACGGACAGGAATTCGTATTGAATATATCTCTTAACCTATATCATTATCCCACTACAAAGGAACACTGACAGTAACATCTCGAATCGTACACCCGACCGGATTATACACTTTTGCGTACCTCCCTTCCAGCACACTGACCAGCCAGGCGTAAGCAGAGGCACTCCCATAAACATATTCGTCCTGGTGACTGCCCACAGTGTTACGCTCGTACAGGATATTCGCTCCATCCGTACAATAGTTGTCAACAAGGACATCCGTGTCGCCAACAGGGCTCAGCTCATCCTGTATAGCCTTGTAGACGTACAACGGCGCTCGCGGGGTGAAGTAGGCCCCCATCTGCCAGTTCCGTTCTCTAGCAGGCCGGAGCTGTGGAGCGTCGAGATAGGCCTCCCCGTTGGAAAAGTAGTCGGAGACTGATTGGTTCGCGAAGAATGAAAAGGCTTCAAATGTTGCCATTTTACCCGCAGAGAGGAAGGACGTCTTATTGTAAGGCCCGTCAGACTTGAGTGTCGTGTCCAGGTACGCCTCGACCTCCGGATATCTTGCTGAAACTCCGAGAATTGCCAGCATGTTGAGACCAGCGTAAAAGGTTCCATCAACGACGTCGAGGGCGTTCGTCACATTCGTTACAAGCCCGCCGATCGCAACACCCACCAGGTCTATCTCTGGGGCGTAGTATGGGGCAATCTCTGCGCTGAACTCACTCGGCATGGATCCGCCTGAGTAGCCCCAGAGAGCCACGCGGGTCTGTTGCGTCAGACCGCGATCAACATTGATGACTGCTCGAATGGAATCGAGCGTCGCGTGGGCTGCTTCGACAGAGACTGAAAATGCAGCCCGGGGACCTTCAAAATCAGGGATATTGACATACCAACCCCGAGAGAGAGCTGGTGTGAGATCGCTGAATGCAGACGCAAACTGGGACTCCAATGTGTAGCTGGGACTGTAATCGACGTTGTTTGTATTGTATGGGATCTGGTAAGATAGCAGCCTTGTGCCGTTTGCCAGCAGCGGCTTTGAGGGAACGAGCAGGGTGGTCACGGCCCATGACGGCTTGTCGAAACTGTCCGTGGTTCGGTAGAGAACGGTCCACACGGATGAGAGGTTCGTTCCCAAAGCCGGCAGGAGGCTGTCATTCCCCGGGCGTATGCGTAGCACCGTGCCCGGGTCAGTCTGCTCGAAGCCCTCTGGCGCAGTGTACCACGGGTCTTGACTTGGGGGCAGCGCCGGGGGGTTGCGTTCGAATGGAATTCCGGTCGAACGACCGAAGAAGCATAGCAGAACCAACAGCTGGACAAACGAGTGGAGGACGGCCATCCTATCGCTTCAGGCTGACTGAGGTGGGTGAGATATTAGCAGAGATTAGCAGGAGGAGGGGACCTAGAGGCACTTAGCCCGCTACTTAAACAAAGCCACAGTGAACTGATTCACCGCTAGGCCGTGCCTATCGCCAGTAGATCGGCCTCTGTAACAACTGGCATGCAACAAAAAAGAAAACACAGGCAGTTGGCGGCGGACTTTGAGCGGCGTCGAACTCCGAAGTCCGAAGTCAATGCAGGGGGTGGAATCATGCAACTCGTCCCAATCCCGGAGAGTGAATGGCTATCCATTTATTGCTGCTGTCGCGGCTGTATCGTGCACTCCACTGGATATCTTTTGAAGCATGCTATCACAGCTGCAACGCAAGGCCAGAACAGGAGCAACGATGGCGCCAGTGAGCACTATCCCCTCCCAGCCCCATCAGTCCCCCTGGCGAGCACGCGAGAGCTAACGAATTAGAACACCATGATTGCGATCTACAAGCTGACCGACTCGGATGGCCACTTCCGGCGCAGACCGTCGACATTCAGGCGGACCATCTCCCGCAAGCCAGGCTCCCAGTTCCCCGCGGAGAGTGGGCGCTACTATCTGTATCTGAGTCTGGCGTGCCCTTGGGCCCACCGCACGAATATCGTTCGGACCTTGAAGGGCCTCGAATCCATCGTGCCTCTCGTCGTCCTGGACCACGATATGGGGCCTCAGGGCTGGTTCTTTTCGGGCCGTGACGGAACCGCAGCGCAGGATCCCCTCCATGGATACACCCACCTACGCGATCTCTACCTGCATGCTGACCCGGAATATACGGGGAGATTTACTGTCCCTATGCTCTGGGATAGTAAGACGCAGACTGTCGTCAACAACGAAAGCGCTGACATTCTGCAAATGCTCTACACCGAATTTGACGACCTTCTGCCGGCCTCACTCCGGGAGACAGCCCATCCGCTGGGGGGGTACTACCCCTCTCCGTCGTCCCCATTGCGCACGGAGTTTGAGGTCTGGAACGAGTGGATGCAAGACCAGGTTAATAACGGAGTCTACAAGACCGGGCTTGCCGGTACTCAGGCCGCGTACGACGACAACGTGACGAAGCTGTTCACGGCGCTGGATCGCATCGAGTCGCATCTTCAGCAGCCAGGCCACCCCTACCTCTTTGGCGAGGCAATCACCGACCCGGATATTCGGCTGTTTACGACAATTATCCGATTTGACGTGGCATATTACATGGTCTTTCGGTGCAGCATCCGCACCATCCGATATGGGTATCCCAATATCGACCGCTGGATGAGACGGCTGTACTGGGATAATTCTGCAGCAACCAGGGGTGCTTTTAAGGATACAACAGCATTTCATATTGTATGTCATCCCTGCTCTACAAACATTCAGAAACTAACTATGACCAGTACAAACGCGGCTACCTAGCCACTCTGCTCAGGAACCAGGGATTTAAGGGCGAGGCCATAGTTCCTGCCGGGCCTGTGCCTCACATTCTCCCACCAGATGAAACGACCTTTTCATAGTATTACTTAGGCTATTTTGATCATCGTAGCTTTCATTTTCATAGTTACCTGTTCCATGTATAATTATCTGTCCGGGCGTTCATATTAGGAGACAATGTGACGAAATTGGAACTATCCACAAGCAGATCCCCCTCAATAGATTGCGTACACTCGGAGCATCGGAATATATTATATCATAATGAAGACCTGAGTGATTCCCATACCGGAGTTGTGGGTCTCCGAGCCGCAGGCTGGTTATTCTTAATTTATATTAACACCTTAACAGACTGTCCAATGGGAAACGCGACCTGGGAACCCTTCATGAGCCATCTTCAGTGGCCACAACTGTATCACTGCGTGTATTATAGTCCACTGAGAAGTCCATGCAAAATAGCAGCCAGTATAGCTACCTATTGTTCCCTTCAAAGGCTTAGATGTGTACTCGATTTTTTCTGCGCCAGTTTAAGGAGTGGTATTCAAACGATTTAATTCAATTCCGTAATACAGCTATCTATTTACCATCCCCAGCCCATATCAATGACTACTAATGCTTATCAGTGTTTTCCTTGGCCAACACTGCGGCCTTCTGGCCCTGAATGAAACCCTTAAACTGCTCAGCTGTAAATGGAGGAGTAGGAGTAGCGAGCCCCTTCTGCACAGCAGGGCGCTGGATAATCTTGTCGTTCCATTTCTTGAGATGAGGCCACTCGTTCAGATCCAGGTCGAGCGCGTCCGCACCCTGAAAGACCCAAGGGAAAGATATTATATCGGCGATGGTGTACTTGTCACCCGCGAGATACGCAGACTCCTTGAGGCGGTACTCGAGTACCCCGAAGAGGTTCTTGACCTCGTTCAGGAACTTCTCAATGGCGTAGTCGGACCGCACGGGGGCGAAAGCTGCAAAGGCAAGTGCCTGGCCTGTCTTCAAATCAGCTCTGATACCTTGTTGCTACCCGCGGCATAATGGAAGATATAGCGTACCAGCTTTCGGTCCAAGACCGCCGAGTTGCCAGGAGATCCAGCTCAGCTGCTCGTAGTACTCCGGAGTTCCAGGGGCATAGCTAAACTGGCGGTTTGTGTCGTACTTGTCGACCAGGTAGAGCAGAATAGCTCCACTGTCAAACACACGCTGAGTGCCGTCGGTAATGGCGGGGATCTGCCCATTGGGGTTGATTTTCAAAAACCACCTATGATTGATACTTATATTAGCCTGCAATTAGGTTTCAAGGCCGCAATGCACACGTACTCCTCCTTCTGCTTGCCGGACTGGATGGAAAGATGCTCTAGCTTGTAGGGCAGGCCAAGCTCTTCGAGGAGAATGGGAGGCTTAGCCCCGTTAGGAGTATTGTCGGTGTAGAGGGTAACGTTGGCGTTGGCCATTTTGGGTCGTTCTTGTTCTTGAGTGCGTGTAACAGGAGCTGGATTTGATCGAACTTTGGGTTGAGGTCGCTTCTCCTTGTCAGTGGTGGAGGAGCGGAATATACGCGATAGTAATGAAGCCACGATGGAGATTCACTGGAAGGAACTTGGGCGATGTTGGAGATTACTGCGGTGTCTGACTCCGGTTATATAGATAGATCCAAGATCGTGCAATCTTGGACACAATTACGAGACCTCGGAATGCTTAACACCGTTAAACCCAGCCCTCCATCGATTGCTAATCGTAAATGTTGCCCTGGTGTTGACTCTATACACGGAACCATGAAGGTATCGCTGGCAGCGGCGGAGTTCGGGATTCGGCAACTCCGAGAAGTCCGAGCTTATGAAAAGCGGCTCAGAGCCTAACTGAAAGAATGAGATGGAAAGAAAGCTTGGCCTGGATGCTAAACTCCGATGGCGTGCTGTTGATCCTGCAGCGTCGGAGTGTTGGGAGCCGAGCCGCAGCCAGTCGGAGTCTTAGGGCTGCACATCCATCTTGAAGCTCAGTTGATCGAACAATGGGATTATTCTCCGACCCGAGTAATGTCGTGAAGATGCTTGGCCTGCTAAGCCTTGAGAAACGTGTACGGCATGCCATGGATATTTCCCAGTAAGAATAAAAGAACTTGCTGAGCCGTTCGACATGGTATCTTGGTATTCATGATCCAAGCACCATGTTCTCTCTCTTTCTGGCTAGTCTTCTGATGGCCAAGGCCGCTCTAGGTCAGACAGTAAACCTGGATGCCTTGTTCCGCCCTGTTCTGTCCCCTGAGGCCGAGATCTTCTATCCCTCGTGGGCGAACTGGACTGACAATGTCCAACAACGATGGACGGACTACCTCGCCCCTTCGTACCTTGGGGCCATCAAGGCTGCGACAGTCCAAGATGTCCAGAATATAGTACGCGACCTCTATAAGGCACCACGGATGACGCTAATCGTCACAGGTTAAACTTGCAACGAATCACAGTATCCCCATTCTAGCTACTGGCGCCGGACATGGTGTATCATCAGGATTTGCACGCATGAACGGCATTGATATTGATCTCAGCAACTTCCGGTACGCTGAGCTGGATGAGACCGGTAACCATGTCACCATCGGCGGGGCAACCAAATTCCTCGAGATTTGGGACGCTCTTTGGCCCGCCGGCAAGGAAGTTCGTAAGTCGCTCCCTGCGATGGTCTACAGAGGTCTTCTTCGGCATATCTGACGAGTGGCCAGAAACTGGGGCGGCTTCCTGCGTCGGTGCTCTCGGCGCAACGCTCGGGGCTGGAATTGGCCCCCTGCAAGGCCGGCATGGCCTGATGATTGATGCCCTCGAATCGGTACAGCTCGTCACTGCCGAGGGCGAGCTGGTCACGGCCTCCAAGACTGAGAACGCGGATCTCTTTTGGGGTCTCCGCGGCGCAGGCTGGAACTTTGGCATTGTCGTCGAAGCCACCTTTGAGGTCTACGACGCGACGTGGGGGGGCGACGTGCTCGAGGGAGACATGCGATTCCCAGCGAGCCTGAACGAGTCTTACTGGAAGGCTCTCGCAGCGCTTGACGAGACGCTTCCAGATATTCTGTCCATCACGACGGTTCTTTCATATAGTGCTGCAACGAACTCGGTAGGTGCCTGTCCTCCTGCCACTGTGCTCGTGTCTTAATGAAGTGCAGTCTGTCATCACCGCCAACTTTATCTACTTTGGCCCCGAAGAAGAGGCCCAGCAGTATATACAACCCTTCTACGACATAGGCCCAATTGCCAAGAACTTCACTGTGGTTCCCTGGAATATTCTCTATGCAGCGCTGTACTTCGGCGCCCCCAGCACCGCCTGCACGGAAAACAATCACCTGTTCAACGGTGGTGCTGCAGTCACCCACACCGATGTCGATGCCTTCGTCCAATACACGAACCGTTTCACCTCATTCTGGCACGATCATCCTGGTGTGTCACCGTCGCTCGTAATCTCCCGCTTCCCAACCCAGGGGGTTCGTGCCGTTCCGGACGAGGAGACCGCATTCCCCTACCGAGATATCAACACGCATCTGTACTGGCAGGATATCTTTGAGTACGATGCATCATTAGAGCCCGTGGTTTATGACTTCCTAGTTGAGTCGAGGGATCACTTTACCAAGACGAGTGGCTTTGACAACCTCACGCTCTATAATAATTACGCGCAGGGTGATGAGGGCCCGGAGGTCCTGTACGCCCACAAGCTGCCGAAGCTGGTTGAGTTGAAGAGGAAGTGGGATCCGAACGAGGTGTTTAGTTTCTATAACCCAATCCCCGTGAACTGGCCGTAGTGAAAGACAATATTCAGGTACTTGAAGCAGAGAATCAGGTAGTCTAGCAGTTACCAATACATTGGCCTTAAGCATTATACCAGATGTACAGGCTCTTATTTGCAGCTAATTACTAGAAAGTCCCAGCTCTCTCCTTAGAACAGTTGCCACCACTCTCACCACGTCCTGGACAAAGCTTTCTGTATAGAATGCCTCATTGTAAACAGCGCTGAGTTCCAAGCATCCACGGAAGATCCAAACAAAGCAATACATCTGCCTAGTCAATGTCTCAACGCCAACGCTAACCTCAGTAACTTCAATCTTTCTCTGCGGACCCTTATAGATTTCAGAGACGTGTGTTTCTGCATCAGCAAAGGAGATGTCGATCTCACTCGGGGGCGTGGCTGAAGGGGGTGGAGCAGCCTTCATCATCGCGAGAACATCCCGGGCGTACTGCCTTCTGGAGCTCAAGAAGTCGTTGCTAATACCAATTTCATATTCATGATGATACTGTCGTGCATTCTCGATCCAGGACTGCGAAGGGGAAACTTGGAACATGTACCCTCCTGTATATATTCCCGCAGCAACAGCGGCGTTGTCGTAGGGTGTTGGTAAGTAAGGGCGGATACTGAAGCGCATAGTACTCGTATACGGCTTGGTCTTTGATTCAGCATTCGCAAAATGATAGGTTGCGGCAGCTGTCGATGCGTGCACGGCTGATAGGATACTTATACCATTGCTCTCGCAGGCTTGTGTGATTGCATCTGTATTCTCTCGAGAGAACCGTAGGCGAGCACTTCGTGTTCCTGAAGGTGCTCGAGACAGGTCCGTCTGTAAGGCCACTCCGACGGCTCCTTTCGTGAGAGTGACAGTTGACAGGTATTTCTTTGCTGCGGCGTGGATCTCAGGGCTGGAGTCTACCGGGTTTTTGAGTGCCTCTTCCACGGTTGGCACAAGCCGGTCGGTTTCCAATCCCCAGGGCAGGTATTCGGGTTTTTCGTCTGCTACGGCGGCTTCGAAAAAAGCACCTAGTAGCTGGAACGCCCCGTAGCCATCTGTACGCCAATGCGCCAGGTGAATGATGAACTGCGATGCATGAACAAGGTAGTGCCCTGTCACATACCGCGATGGCCTGAGCGAGGCGATCACATCGTTGACGCTTAGTTGCACGTTTTGTACAATAGTAAAGGTATCATCCACCCAATCTTCAAGTTCTTCAGGTGTTGGGACAAGGTAGTCAAGAGTGTCGTCGTTGGCCGTAGAGGCAATACTGGGATGTCGGAAGCGAAGCCTTTTCCAGGCCTGTCGTAGCAGCTGAACAACCTCTCCTGGGGCCTTGGACGTGGTTTCATCGAGCCTAAACGAGGCGTATGAAGTTATGGACCAGTGCTCTCGGCCTTCTGAGTGAGCTCGGTCGCCAACTGCTTTGATGAAGCGCTCGTTCTCCCCGATGGGGCGTTGGAAGTGGCCTGATTCAATCTTGGACCAAGTCATGTTGCCAAGGATGACCATGTATATCATTCCAGACGCTGTGGTGCATTCCCTTGTGATAAATACACACGCAGTTACGTCCGATTCCTATAGGGATGTACGCGGCTCGGCTCGGAGTTTATAGAGGCTTGCTCTCGGAGTCTGGAGTCTATACAGTCATGAGGGTGCAGTTCCCAAGACAGCAATTTATTAATGACGCAGATCAACTTTGAACTCGGGCCATTGCCAGCTTTCAAAATGGGTTCTATCATGCACATTCCCTGGGGAGGCGCAGAGAACATCTACCGCCGCGTTGGTCTCTCATTCCAGCATCTAGACAAAGAGCACTGGCGTATTCACTGCGTATGCAGACTGTCTTTCACCAATTTCAGTCCAGATGACCGTCTACGCTCTCTTCGGAATGCCTGGAAATCTCTTGTGATAGAGTTCCCCCGACTCGCTGTCCGACCCAATGGCACAACATCAAAGATATATCGGGTTCTGAGCGACGAGACCGATGTTGAGAACTGGGCAAACGAGAGCTTCTTTGTCGAGTTGGAGAAGACTCCAGGCGACGTCGTGCGCACTCTGGGTCCTTGCGATCTGCCATCCCTGCACTTCCTTCCAGCTTCATCTGAAATCGTCCTCCTGACATCGCACTGGAGGATGGACGGGGTGGGAGCTTTGATGCTTCTGGATCGGCTGCTCACCCTTGTGGTACTTGAAGGACACAGTACTATCCCTAGTAGTCCAGAGAACCAGTGCCTTCGCGTCTCTCCCTCGCTCGAGGACGCAGCCAACTGTCCACCTATGGATGCGTCTCCGGCCTCGACAATGCTCAAGTCCTACGCCAACTCCTGGATCGACAACATGCACAGACAGGCCATCAACGCGAGCGGTCTCCCCTATAATGGAGATAATACGACTCCACCTGGTGATACAACTCAAGAGACCATGAACCTCACACCCTCTGCCACCAAAGCATTGATGATAGCCTGCAAGTCAAAGGCCATCTCCATCTCCGCCGCCGTTCATGCGGCACTCGCCCAGACTGTCTTCTCTTTAAGCCCCGAAGACGACAAGTCAGACTATACCACAGTCATGGCCGTGAACCTCCGCCCTTATCTTCCCCCGCCATATAATGGCCCCGATCATGCAGTCCAGACCTACGTCGCGAGTATCATCCCCACTGTCCCAAGGAACCAGAAACTTACAGAGGCCGCACAGGACCTCACCCGAACGTATAGAAATTGGTACAGTGAGGAGTTCATACGGGCTCTGCGCTGGATATACACCATCCATGCGGAGCGATTGTTTAAAAGTCCTCCCAAGCCAAGTGGAGGTAGACCGAAGCCGCCGTCAGGTGTGACGTTGAGTAGTCTGGGTGTTGTGGAAGGCTTCCTCAAGGGTGCATACGATGGCAAGGGAAAGGGTGTCATGGTCGAGCAGTTTAGCTTTGGAGTGACGATGATGACGAGGCAGATGTTGCTGTATGTTTGGACATTTGCAGGGAGGTTGACGTTGTCACTTTGCTATAACGAGGCTTATTATCAGGAGGCGATGGCGAGGGAAGTTTTAGAAAGACTCCGAGATTTCTTGGAAAGCGAGCTGGCGGTTTCCCTCGACGTGGAGTGAATTTATCTATTTTCGATTAATTGTATGGTCACGTACGGATCTCTATCACAACCCGCTCTATGGATAGATTCAGGTAGAAGTCTTGATATTGAATACCGGCCTGTTCAGATCCCTAGCCACTCGTGTTCTTAATTGGAGTCTGGGAAGAAATGATGATAGATATACAGTGTGAGGTCTCTAGAAATGTATCAATAGCGGGTATCAAATAAGTCAAAGATGAGTAAACGAGGTCGTATCCGGCATCTAGCTCATAAGGGTCGTCCAAGTCCAAGTCCAACGCCAACAGAACGTATATAGATTTGGCATTTCAGTTGGACTGGGTGATAGAGTTCAGCATGTCAGACAACCAGTCATTGTCGCCCACCATTGGGAAATTGAACGGCATGCTATCCAGTGGTTCGGGGAGAGACTGTGTCGACTGCATGCTTGAGAGCGGGAGACTCTCGGGTCCCATCTTTTCCTCCCAGCCCATCAGCACGGATTGGTACATCTTTGCAACCCGTGAGAAGATGTCGCTGTCGGACTCTCCCTCCAAGCCAGCTAGAGACGCCACTTGGCTCATACTTTCGATCACAGTGCTGAGGATGGACAGAACGTTGGCTGACTGTCGAACGGTATTAACATCCCATGCAGGATCCTCAAAAACGGACAATTGATAGAGAACCACGAGGTTATGCACCATTTGCGCAAAGATGGAGAAAGGAAACCCGGTATATTCAGCGGGTGGGATGGTTAGAAAAAGATTGAACCATGACTTGGTGGCCTCCAAGCAGCCATAAAGGTACTCCAGTTGCTGGAAATTAAGATTCTTCGACATTATGCTAGCATTGCTAAGGGCGGACTCATGGAGGGTTAATGAAGTATAATGATGGTGGAGGAGAACAATTTCTGAATAAGTCAGCAGCAGCCTGTCACTGAGTAGCACATACACAGAGAGACTTACTATATCCCAACGAGTTTGGTGGCATGCTGGGCTGGATCTTGCGCAATCGGGCGTGCATTGAGTGGAGGTAGAAGGAGGGCGGTGCTTGGATTGGATCTGGAGTAGATGCAAGGCCCCCATGGTATGGGCCAAGGTCTAGTTTGTCAGTTATCATCTGCAGTCGTACCTGATGCACTAGGATCTCGTCGTTGAGGCATTCCTGCTGCTCCTCCAAAACCTGAAGGCACTCGTCCATGAATGGCGTCCAACGAAGGGGGTCGGTTTTGCGGATGAATGATGAGATACTGCAACGGCATCAGCATGATCCACACACAAGAATTAGTAGTTGAAAAGTTACATTGATGTTACAAGAAAGCACGCCACCACTGCTCTCCGCTCCTCCATCGTTTGACCCCCTTGTGATGTCGCTGGCTCGTCCTCGCCCTCGTGATGAACGCACAACGCCATCATCCTAGGCCTTGCAGAGGGATTTTGGATGCCGAGCTCATATACTGCCGCCGTGGTGAGTTGAGTAAAGACGTGTATGTTGGCCTTGTTGTATACTTGCTGATTCGACCTACCAACCGCGGCGGTATTAGTCCATGCCCAACAGGACAGGTGAGGTAGACGAACCATCCAAGGTAGATGAGTAGACCCAGAAGAATATCAATGTCAGTGTTCAAGGAATTATGCACCATTTGCTGTGCGGTGATATCTTTTATCTTTTGGTACAGAGCGCGGCGTTGCACTGCTGACCTACAAGTAACAGCCATGATACACAGCCAAGTGAAAGGCCGGTCACGGCGCAGCTGCTGCGCGGATATCCCCGGTTGGATATATACACAGGGGAAATATGGCAGCAGCTGGTTTTGGAACATGGTCAGGTATTCTTCAGCTTGAAGAACGGTGGGCTCAGAGGGCGAACTGAATGGCATAACCGCAGTATGCCCACCGACATCCGGAGTATTCGCATCAGATGAGCTTGATGGAACGGCATACACATTGCGCGCGGCGTTTCCGAGAGCAGCATCCAGCGAGTCTGGCGGCGAGAGGGCAGTCTGCGAGGCCGGGAGGTCCCCTGGCTGACCGAACTGTCCTAGCAAGAGATTGATCGGATTTGCGCCCGGTGGTTGTACACCGGCTCGCAGCAGCGAGACAAGATCCTCCAGTTTTTCTTCCAGTCGAGCAGCCTTTGAACCGGGCTGTTTGCGTGTAGACTGCCTGCGATGGACCGCTGGCTGGCGGCACTCCTTATTCAAGCGCCGACATCTGCCACGTTTAGAGGCTGACCTCAGAATCTCATTGACAGTACACTCACCTTTGACATCGTCCTCCCGATTTGGAGTAGATGCACTTGCACTTGGACTGCGAACAGTTGGAACAGGCACGCCCATAGGGGGCCGGATAGCTGTCCGAGTCGTTGTCCATCTCGTCTGGGCCCATGCGCTGGAGCCGGATGCGATGGTCAACGATGGCAGCCCGCAGAGAAACAAAGGCAGAATCTCCGACTAAAGACCAGCTGGGAAAGAGTCGACAGGGGGGAACTTTTGAAGCACTTGAAAGCAATGCAGCTGCTGATGTAAGCTGTCAGATCGCTGCTCGGAGTTCCAAACTCCGAGATGGTGGCCGCATTGGGCTTAGCTCGGCGGAAGGGCCTTAACTCCGAGTGGCCGGACAATACTCTGCACGTGACGTCATTGGCCCTAAAGCAGACTAGCTCCGTATTGTGGCCACTGCCAGCATGAAGTTCTTCGGTGTTCTGCAGTTGGCTACTGCTGTATCACCGATGTATGGCTCAGAATGGTGCGTAGGCCACATAAAAAGTCGAGATTCGGCTGCACAGAATGCAAACGCCGCCACATGAAGGTGCGTAACTCTTGTTACTCGACCAGCCCAATCCTGACCGGCAGCAGTGCGACGAGAAACGGCCGATATGTGGGAATTGCGTGGCCTCAGAGCGTCTATGCGGCTACGCGGAATTAACCGTACTTGCTATGCAATCGGGCAACACGAGAGCTGGCAAAAAAAGAGCACGCTCGCCGGCATCATCATCCATGCCCGACACACCACCGGAGCTCACTGCACTGGCACAGCCAGATCCGCCGGTGAATATATTACACGTGGAGCTCTTCCATCATCTCTCCACGCAGACATTCCCATCCATCTCCGAGACCGGTAGTGGTCGCTCGCTCCCACTAGGGGAGATAATAGAATTCGGCCTTGCAGCACCATATCTCCTCAACGAGCTCCTCGCACTCGCGGCCCTGCACCTGGGGATCATCCGCGCACCGCAAAAGGGGTTCTACAGACACCATTCAGCCCAGCTATAGAACCACGCCCTACGCATCTTCCACGAGACCGAGATAGACACAAGCAAGAGCCCTTCTGTGCCGGCCTTCTGCTTCGCATCAATCCTCGGCGTCCACCTCCTCTGCGACACGCTCGTCTTCCGCGACGACGCAAACGAGACCTTCCTTGACTTCCTCGACCGTTTCATCCACTACTTGCGCATCCACCGCGGCGCACGCACCATGATCGCGGGGAACTGGGGGGCCCTGAAACAGACCTCGCTTGAGCCCGTTCTCAGCGGCAGCGAGGCGAGTCTGCGGACGAAAGACGAGGGCCGCGGGGATGGAGACGCCGATGTCTGCAACAGCCTGCTTGCGCGAATTCGCGCCGCGAAACTCGGTGCCGCTACAACGGGCACGTACGAGGCCGCGATTGAGTCGCTGCAGCACTCGCTGAATCCGTCAGCGGCAGAGGGCGCGACGGCTATTGAGAAGATGCATGGTGCTGTCGCGTGGCCGGTTATGGTCTCGGCTGAGTACACGGATATGCTGGCGCAGCGGCGTCCGGAGGCTCTGGTTATCTTGGCGCATTATGCGGTTAGTTTGCATGCCTGTCGCGACATGTGGGTTTTTGGCGACGGAGGCGAGTTTCTGATACGGTCTATTGACCGGTATCTTGGGGTTGAATGGGCTGAGTGGATGGAGTGGCCGACGCGGGTGTCCGGGGTGTCAGAGCGTACGAATCCGTTCTCTGCTTAAATTGCGACTTGTTCATTAGCATGCACTGGCTATTATTACACGCGGAGGCGTTTACTTTTCTTTAATATACTTGAGGCGATGCGCCTTGCGTATCACTATGTACCTTGCATTTACACCGCATGGCGAATATTTGGCGACCGGGAGGATCTAACGACGTGGAGTCCGTAAAGGAACATTAGCCTGGGATACGAAATATAAAAAATGGCCCGTGCATACTCGGATCCTGGCCGTGGATAGCAGTGGGTCAGCATCAGGGGTGGCAACGCACAAGGCCCACACTTACCACGGCCCCAGTCTCCCAATGATGTTCCCCGTATCCAATGTTTTGCTATACGCAAACGAGTACGGTTCGAAACAGACCTATGTGCTTGGGGCAGGTTCAAGTGGCGAAGCGCGGTATAAAAAGAAGCACAACGACCGGTTGAAAGCATCTCATCGACTCTCTCTACGACAACTCTAAAGCCTTCTTACTATGCTATTGCTACGCAACCTGATCTGCCTTGTGGCATGCTGCAGTCTTGCAGCCGCTCGCCAGCCATCCCATCGACCTGTCGTTGACCTGGGATACGAAATCTACCAGGCCGCCGAGGAAGGAAATGTATGAGCTCTCCAGTGCCTACGTTGCAGTTTGCCACGACTACCTGACTGACACGTTCGTTGCAGCTCACCCAAAGCTACTACACCTTCTCGAACATCCGCTACGCAGCCCCCCCTGTCGGCGACCTCCGCTGGAGAGAAGCCGTGGCCCCGCAGGAGAACCGGACTGTCATCCAGTCCAACCCGGACGAAATAACATGTCCTCAGGGAACGACGGCATGGCAGATCAGGACGAGCAGTCAGCTTAACGGGTATCTGGACACGGGGATAGTTCCGAACGTTTCGTTCGCGAACTTGACTTCGCTTCTGCAGACGGGGCAGGAGGACTGCCTTTTCCTCGATGTGCTGGCGTCCAAGAAGGTCTTTGACCACGTTAGGAGCGGAAGGAAGGTGCCTGTTCTCGTTTGGATACATGGTAAGCTAACGCTAACATTCACAATTGAATTACCCTGCTAACTCGTACGCAGGCGGCGGGTTCACCACAGGCTCCAAGACCGACTTCGGGTCCCCGCGAACCCTCCTCAACCGCGCAGAGGAGAACGACGAGCCAGTCGTCTATGTCGCCCTCAACTACCGCGTTGGCGCCTTTGGCTTCCTCTCCGGGCCCTCATTCGAACGCGAGGGCGGCCTCCTAAACGCCGGCCTGCTCGACCAGCGCAAGGCCCTGCAGTGGATCCAGGACAACATCCACCGCTTCGGCGGCGACAAGGCGCAGGTCACAGTCTTCGGAGAGTCTGGCGGCTCGGGTTCGATTCTGCACCATATCACTGCTGGTGGAGGAGGTATCCAGCCGTTGTTCAACAGGGCGATTCTGCAGTCGCCTGCATACTTTCCCTACCGCTCCACGCAGGACAAGGAGAATGCATTCAACTTGTTTCTGGGCCATGCAAACGTTAGCAGTATCGCGGACGCACGCAAGCTGTCTTCGGAGGCCCTGATCACAGCGAACGCCCAGTCAATCGGCGAATCCCTCCCCTACGCATCCCCAATCTACGGGCCAACCCCAGACGGCGACCTCGTCATCAGCGACCCGAAAGTGCACCTCGCCCGCGGCGAATTCGCTCAGTCGCTGGAAATTATCACGGCATACAACGCAGACGAAGGACTCGTCCTCGTTCCCGCAATCCACACCGACGCCGAATATCACTCCTTCCTCCAAGCAATTCTCACGAACGCGAATGCGTCGACGATCGCCTACATCGCGGACACCCTCTACCCGCCCGCCTTCGACGGGTCGCAGGGCTATACAACCCAGTTCCAGCGCGTGGCCAAAACAGCTGGAGACCTGATCATTGACTGCAACGCCGTCGCAGCCGGTCTGGCCTTCGGACTGCGCGCGCGGGGGTACTATTTCTCGACATACCCGGCCGTCCACGTGCAGGATATCTCGTATACGTTCTACAACCCGGAGAGCAAGGCGTCGTACTCGCTTGTTGATACGGGGGCTGTCAATGTGACGATTGCGCATGTGCTGCAGGACTATATTACTGGATTTGCGACGCGGGGAGCCATGGAGAGTGAGGGCGATGGGTTGGCGAGAGGTATTCCGTCGTATTCTCCGCGCGGGACGATGGTGCGTTTGGATTCGGAGGAGATTGAGCTGATCAGCGATCCGGGGCTGGATGAGAGGTGTCGGTGGTGGGCGTCTGGGGTGTACAACGGGTGAGTGCTTAGGGATGTTTTTGTTGGACTGTGGTAGTTTAGTTGATCTCACTATTCAATTCAATTCGTGTGGCTATTGATTACTTAATAAAGTCTACTTGCCAACGCATCTTAAAATGTCTCTTCCTTGACTCGCGTACGCGCATGAGGACATTCCGTACTGCTTGTAGTCGGCAATTAGGGTTATTTCAAGTATCTATAGTTTACCAATATTGATACCATAATGTAAATAAATAAAAAACAAAAACATACAACAGCTGGGATTCGCATGTGGTCACCCACCATACTACTAACCAGCCGGCGTGTGGCTTAAGTACGGCTGAGCGGACGGGAAGCCCTGTTTTCCACACCCTGTGGTCGTATGTACTAGAAATCAATAAATAATGGAATATGTACAGCGAAATAGCATGTTTGCCCTGGTATACATTCGGGTCCTTACCCTGAGTTGAAGTGCGCCAAGTGTCAGTATATCAAGTGTTAATCTGAAAGAATTGTTGAAGGGCCCAATCCTTGAATTCTATATATGAGGAGCATGCGGTGAATTACAAGATTGCAATATGCAGTAGAGTGTAATGGATTTATGAGCAATACATTGACATTATATATAATCGTATATGGTACTCTGTTATATATAGTTACGCGTTATAATCAATGCAGAAACCCCATATCCTTCCACGCCTTCACATATCCACGCGCAATCTCATCACTCACAGGGCCAACCTGCGCCAGAGTGGGAGAATGCTGCCGGGCCTGTACAGTCTCGAGCAGCAGGCCGCCGCACGACATGCGCAGGAAGTTCCCATCAAGGAAGTCAATCAGTTTGGCTGCGGGATTCTCGCTCTCGGCGCCGGCGAAACTGCGGACCCGCTGAACCCACTGCCCGAACGGGATAATGCGGTCACGTGGGATGTCCAGGCTGCGCGCCAACACACCAATCATGTCGCGCCACTGCTGCCGCACGGGATTGTCGATGTGGAAGATCGCGTTGTTGTTGTTGTTGTTGTCCAGCAGCAGCTCCCCAAGACTCGCCGCCACGTCGTTGACCGGCGTCCACGACAGCAGCCCCTCAAAATCAGGCAGCGCCCGCAGCGTCTGCGATGACTTGACCAGGAACGAGAGGTGCTCCTGTGGGTTCCAGTATCCACTGGTCCGCGAGCCGGCCACCTGCCCCAGACGCACCGCCATTGCGTGGAAATTCCCCGGGAAGCGGTGCAGCGTCTCGTCCAGCAGTCTCTCGCAGACGAACTTTGCATCTCCATATCCATTCGGCAGGATGGACTCGATCGTCATGCGCTCTTCCGGCACGTCGACCTTGCCGGTGCGCAGCGGATAATGCCCGACCGTCGCGATGGACGAAATAAACTGGAAGCTGACCTTGAACCCACCCTTGTGTCGGTCGGAAACATCCCTCGCCAAGTCGATCAGGTTGCGCATCACCTTGAATTGCTGCTCGAAGCCCCTCACCGGCCGCTTGCCGCTCATCGGCCACGCGTTGTGGAGGATATGGGTGACACTGCCCACCAATTCGTCGTATACCTTGGAGTTGAGGCCCAGGGATGGTTTGGAAGTGTCTGCCTCGTACACCTGGAGCTTTGTCCATGCCGAAGGTGACAGGCGTATCCCGCGACTGTCCAGGGCCTGTTGCTGACGCCGTTCGGCATCTTGGCTGGACACCTGGCGATTAATGCAGACGACATTCTTCACATTGTCAAGGTTGGCAAAATACTCGACCAGATGAGAGCCTAAACTCCCGGTCGCTCCGGTCAGCAGTACAGTTGTTTTGAGATCGTGGTCTTTTGTAGTAGCTGGCTGGGCAGGTGCTGTGAATCCCTGCGAATGTATCCGGACGTATTCGTCAACGGCCGCTTGACGGGCGCGAGTGTCAGCATTCTCCACGGACTCAGGCGGCGGTGGGATGGTGAGGCGATCATACCTCGATCCCGACGCCATCGCAACTATGACGCGCTGGATCTCGACTTCAGGACGGTTGCCGTCAGTCCAGTCGACGTGGCCGTATCCCACAGACTGCAGCGCTTGCTCCCAGCGCGACTGGTGCGAAATGGCGTGACGGCGGCCATCGTCGAACAACCACCACCCCTCGAGCAGACCAAAAATGACATCGATCCAGACCAGGGTCTCAGTCATTTCCAGCATCATCAGGAACCCATCGGGCCGCAGGGCCTTGCGGATATTCTTCGTAGACTCGACCAGACTGTGCGTGGCATGCACAGCATTGCTGGCAATGATAATATGCTGCGTACCCAGCAGATCGTCGGCGGGCGCCTTCTCAATATCGTGGACCCGGAATTTCATGAATGGGTACTGCTTGAACTTCTTCCGCGCGGCTGCCGTGAACGAAGGCGAGAGATCAGTGTAAGTATACTCCACAGGTACGTTGAGAGCAGCCAACACAGGGACCAGGAGCTTGGTTGTGCCTCCAGTTCCAGCACCCATTTCGAGGATCTTGAGCGGGCCTTGGTGCGTAGGAAGCTTCCCAATGAGTTTGCGCAGGAAGTCTTCCATCATTTTGTAGGAGAGCTTGTTCAACATCGAGTCGCCGTAGAGACCCGACACCAGCTCGCGTCCCTCTTCGGTTCCGAATATTAATTTGATTCCATCAGACTTTCCTGTCAGGACATCCGCGAGCCGCTTCCCGGTGAAGTAAGTCAATTTGTTGGCATAACCATGGTCCGGGTACTTCTGCATCAATCCCTGAAGCAGCTCCTCGCTTGACTTGCTGGGTGGCGTGATGGCTGTTCGCACAACAGTGTCGCCCTCAAAGTCAATCAGTCGGGCGTCTCGCTCCAACACCATGTACAGATACTCGGCCAGACGCCCATGCTGGGGGAGATGCTTGATACGGTCGAGCCGTTGACCAGCTTGAGCGGTACGTATCGGGCATCCCAGCTCCTCAAAGGCTTCCACGATTAGGGCAACGCACATCTGAACCTGCTTGGGATTGATCGTATCCATGTAGTTGGCGCACCCGTAGTCCGCGATGTATTGGTCAGTAAGTTTCTTTACCTCGTTGAAGGCCTCCAGAACCGTCTGAGAGGGTAGATTGAGCTCGCCATCCTTCGAGCTGGCGGCAGCGATGGCAGTGACTCCAGGGGCAGCAATATCATGAGCTGGAGATTTGATTTCGCCAGCGGTAGGATGTTTGCTGCTCGCTGGCTTTCCGTTAATTTCCTCGCTAAGCGCCTGCACCGTGAACTCTTCCAGCATTGTATCCTCAGCAGGATGAAATCCAAATTTGGTGGCCAGGTCAGCCAGCAGCTCACTGGACAAAAGTGAGTCGACACCAAGATCCCGGAGGAGAATGTCGGCCTTGATTTCGTCCTCACCAATACCCAGGAAATCTGACAAGAATTCCGGGAGATTAACACTGGGGCCTTCGTCGTCTGAGACGCTGGTGACAGAAGAAGCCTCTCCGTTTGACTGACTAGTTGTATCCTGCTCATCATCATCATCATCCTCATCTTGGTCAGCGAGGCCAGGCTCGAATCCAACGGCCGACTCAACAACTTTGATAAGACTTTCCACAGTTGTAACCTCCACCAGCTGGTCTTCTGGGAGCGAACATTTGAATGCCTGCTCCAGCTCCTTGGCCATTTCCATCCCCATGAGCGAGTCTATGCCAATGTCCGCAAGTTGAGTACCATCTGTGATCTCGTGGAGCTCGAGTCCGGATAGTTCTGCTAGCACGGCTCGAATGGGGCCTGCGACATTTGGCTTGACTGGTGCAGGCGACTTTTTAACAGGGTTCGGAGCTTTGGGCTTGCTCGCCTCCTTGGGCTGCGGTGTAGTGGCAGCTGGCACTACTTTTGAAGGGGCCGCAGCAACTGGCGAAGACTGTGAGATGCCCGGAGTGAGTCTTGCAAGCATCTTGCTCATTGCCTGCTTGGCCACTCTGGCATAGTGGATGCCTAAGATCACCTCGGCCAGGATGCCAGTCGTCGCGTCGAAGATGAAAATATCCGTGAGGTACGCTTTCTCCGACTCAAGATGATGGTAGGCGAAGACATCCCAGGTGTCTGTCTTGTGGTACTCGCTACTAACCTTTGGCGATCGGATCCACTGCTCGAACCCAACGGCAATATACATGTCGCTTGGTAGACGGTCGGTCATGCAGTTCACCCATATACCGCCGACCTGACTGAACGAATCGGCAAGGTGCGTGTCGAGCCAGTGTTGACTGGCATGTTTCATATTCACGCGGCCTGCAGATTCGCTTCCTTTCCCAACGAGCTTTTGAAGTCCTCTGTATGCGGCGCCATAGTCTACAACGTCCGCGAAGGTCTTGTATATGTTCCGGCCCTGGATGATATCGTCCGCATCCGGGGTATTGAGGACGTCGAGGCAGCGCCGATGGCCGACGAGTCGCTCATACCGAGAAAATTCGGCGTGGTATTGAGGATCGCTCGTAGCCTCCAATATGATAGAACCTGAGGCGTGCAACGTACTGGCCGGCCCATTGGCTGTACTCAGCATTTTAAAGCTCCAAGCATGTCCACCATCCTTGGCCTCAAGATCTACCCAGACGGAGCGGGAAGGATCCACACAGATTGGAGATTGATTTTCCACATCTTGTATCCTAGGCAGGCATTTGCCGTCGGAAAGATCCGGGCGAAGACTGTAAAGTGCTTCGATGACGATGGCCATCTCTAGCGTTGCCGGACAGATGGCGGCAGTCTGAGCAATCAAGTGACCCGAAATGTAGTCCTGATACTTTTGGATCATGGTATTGACGCGGAACCTTGCGGTGCGCTGCTTTGAGTCCTGGTAGCCAACGAAGGTGTACAGTTCTGTTGGGAGCTCCTCTGGTGTTTGTTGTACTGTAAGAGGCGGCGAGGCGGCTACGAGCTTCTGAGGATTCTTGGATTCGAGCCAATGTCTGGTCTTCTCGAACTGATAAGGTGGTATCAAAATGGGCCCATACTCGTAAGTCTGGGATGCGTGATGTGGCCAGAACGTATGCGTCAACCCTTCTTTCCAAAGCGAGACGCTCATGTCAACAAGACTGTCCAGGCCTTTACCCTCCGTGATGCTGACAGACTGGAAGTGAGACTCGCTAGGCGCCCCAAGGGCTCGGCTCGCCATAAGGGTGATTGTCGAGTTAGAACCAGCTTCTAGGAAGATAGCAGATGGATACCGCTTAGCGAGGCGTTGAACAGCGTGATCGAAGTAGACGGGATTTCTCATATGATCGGCAAAGAAGCCTGGCGATGGAGATGGAGAGCCAGACTCGACCTCAGTTGCTCTCTCCAGATGAATTGAAGATTGGTTGAGGGTTACCGTTTGTCCGATCTTCTTCAGGTCGTCCAGGAGGGGCTCAACGAGCGAAGAATGGAACGCATTGGTGACATTGAGCCTCTTCGTCCGCATGGCAGAGAACTCAGGCCTGCTTTTGACAGTCTCGACAACAGCGTCTATGGCTTTCGTCGTTCCTGCAACCGTGAAGCTGCGTGGTCCGTTGTAGCAGGCGATATTGGCTGTATGATCCTCGGGGCTTTCTTGATTTGCTTCCTTCAGCATTCTTTCTACAACATCGAGGTCCCCTTCGACGGCCATCATAGAGCCAGGATCGGAGCCCCAGCTGTCTCGGACCAGCTGAGCCCGCGCAGCGATAACCCTCAGGGCATCCTTGACCCCTAGAGCGCCAGAGATGCTGAGAGCCGTCAACTCACCAAAACTGTGCCCGACAACAGCGGCGACATGTACCCCACAGTCGGCCCATGTTTTGGCGACGGAATACTGCATTGAAAAAAGCATCGTCTGCAGCCTCACTGTGTCCTGAATAGGTTTCTTCTCGAAGATATAAGGGTAGAGGCCACCGACCCCCAGATCCTGCAGAACTGAATTACAGTAGTCCAGATGACCGCGGAGGACGCGAACGCCATCGTATACCTTGCGATCAAGGCCTATATATGTGGAAATCTGACCTCCGAAGCAAAGAATAACAGGCCGTTCTGGCTTCTTGGACGTGACGCTAACAGCTGTGTCGCTTTTGTTGATGAACCCTGTAAGCTTCGCCTCCAGATCTGCCAGCGAGGCCGCGCTGAATAGAAGTCCCCCGTTAAGGTTACGATTCGACTGCTTGTACTGATTGAAGGAGACGTTTGCGAGCGTGATGTGTTTGGCTGAGATTGACCTCGTGCGGATTAGGTTCGTGAGTCTCGTGGCGTATTCGCGGATACTTCTCTCGTCCAAACCAGTCAGCCAGAAGGGGTGCTTCAAACCGTCAGAATGGATTGCTGAGACACCAGCTCCCTCATGCTGCATTGGCTGGGTAACAACCATCGAGGCGTTGGAGCCCGACGCACCATAGTTGTTGATAAGGGCTGCGCGATAGTCGGAGCTCCAGTCCTTGAGAGAAGTCACAACCTCCATCATATCGGACGGGGAGGCTTTTATATGCGGGTTCAGGCTCTGGAAGCTTGCTTGAGGTGGCAGTTTCCCCTCCTGGATCATGAGAAGAATCTTGATCAAGGCAATAACCCCAGATGCGCCTTCAGTATGGCCGACCAGACCTTTCACCGAGCCGATGGTCATAGGGGTCTGACGAATGGAGCCACCAAATACTTTAAGGATACTCTCGTACTCGGCTGGATCGCCCACCGGGGTTCCAGTGCCATGGGCCTCAACAACAGTAACCTGGCGGGGGTCGAGTCCCCCATTGCGTGTCACGTCACCAAAGAGGGTTGACAGAGAGGGAGAATTAGGCACGAAGATAGGGGTGCAGTTCTCATTCTGATATACCGCGGTGGCTGGAATGCATCCCAAAATAATGTCACCATCGAGAACTGCTTGAGACATCTTCTTGAGAAAGACAGCAGCAATACCCTCACCACGACAATAGCCGTCGGCCTTTGCATCGAAGGGCTTACAAGCTCCAGTCGGACTCAGAAACGACGCGCCAGCGAGGTTCTGGAACCAGAGCGGGTTGGTCATAACGTTGACACCACCAGCAAGCGCTGAAGTACACTCTCCACCTAGGATCGCTCGACACGCCATGTGGATGCAAACTGCAGAGGCAGAGCAGGCAGAGTCGATGGTCATGCTGGGACCAGTCCACCCGAAATAGTGACTTATTTTGCCGGCAATGAAACTGCGGAGGTTACCAGTCGCCGAGAATGCGTTTGGATCGTGACAGGCAACGTTGTTTTCGTAATCAGTCGCGCATACACCGAGGAAACAACCAACCTGTTGCTCTGGAGAGTGGAAGTAGCCAGATTGCTGGACAGCCTGGTAGGCAACCTGCATCATGAGACGCTGCTGCGGATCCTGCGATGCTACTTCACGAGGGCTCTTCTTGAAGAACCGGTGATCGAAGGCGTCAGGGTCTCTGATGAAGTTCCCGAACCACTTGCGCTTGGAGTCAGTCTTACGCCAGTGGGTATCGAAGGAAATCTTCTCCGGTGGCACTTCAATGTGCTGCGATTTGCCCTCGCGCAGGAGTTGCCAGAATTCCTCGGGGTCGTCAGCATTGGCCACCTTGAGGGAGTAGCCCACAACTGCAATATCGTTGTCGGAGTATCCTTGTGGGTATTTCGGTGGCGACTGTGGCTTTGAAGTCCCTTGAAGGAGCCGAGCCTTTGCGCTTTGAGGATTCGTCATGTACACGACTTGATCGTTCACGGACCGCAATAGCGAAGGAGGCACACATCGCTCGGGGCCGAAACCGAGAACGGTTGTTTGCTTGTCCCCAAGCCTGGAGGCATGTACGGCCTCAAAGGTTTCGTACCAGTAGGATTGTTCAACAAGGATACTCTGCAATGCGGAATGATGTAGTTTGCCCCCTGTTATCAAGCCTCCATCATTGGATCGGACGGCAGTCACAAGCCTTGATGAGTCGGGGAATTGAAGGGTCGAGTTTGCGTCGCAAAATTCCAGGATCTGCTGGATATCATCGTTATAACAATCGCTATGGAATCGACCGACCAGATTCATTTCGGTGGCAATGACCCCTGCTGCTCTAAGCTTGTCCTGCAGGGACTTGCTGCTGCTGGCGGCCGTGGTGACCGTCGCCCTGTTTTTGTCGTATAGAACAGATACATATGCCTTTAGGCTGTTAGCCTCTCCTTGCCAACGAGAGTTTTGGTGATTTGAAGTACCTCAGGGAACCCATTCAAGATGCGCGTCATCTCTTGTTTCGCACCGAGCGAGTTCCATGCCGTGGCCAAGGAGATGGAAGCCTTGTGGGCGTTGCTGGCCTCCTGAGCATCAACAAATGCCCCGATCAGCGTCGCCAATCGGACTGCCGTCGCCGCGTTCTGTTCAAATTGTCCTTTACTGGTGGCCGTGGCGACTGCAAGGGCACTCAGGAGACCTGTACAGAAGCCGACTGTTTCGGTTTCCTGCCCAATGCTGGAGTACATGTCCTCGCTGCTGCCAGCATCAGGGTGAACAATCCGCAAATACTGTGTGAATTGCGTGAGCTGAGAAATCACTACCAAGGGACTAAGCAGAACATTGGGCAATGTGCGCGTAATGGGCGACACTTCCCCAGAGCTCAGCCATCGGTTCAGCTCCTCCAGACTTTGGCCCCCTTTGATGACATCGAGTTGGGGGAATCTTTGTATGAACATTGCCCAGGTCTCTGGTAGTTTGGAGACCACGTCGATGGCCCATTGGTTGTAAGGGTCATTCCGAAGTGCGTCACGGATTTCTGCAAAGGACTTCTCGTCGAAGGAAAGGGCCTGAGGCCCGAAGAGGAGCACAGTATACGGAGCCATTGTTAAAGAGCTTCACGATCAAGGTGTTGAACGTGTGTGAGTCTAGGTGAAGGACAACGATCTAACTTAGAGGACAAGAGTTCGAACAAGTTCATCTATCGATTGGTTTGTAGCTGACAGGATTGATCGTTTATAAAGGCGTTGATAAGCATACAAGTTCATCATGGAGTCATTCCGATGGTGAGAAGCGTGTCGGCTCGGAAGACAATGCCCTTCAACGAGATCCTGAAGAATCCTTCGTCCAGATAAGCCAATACACAGCCGCCATTGTAGCAGCTATCACAATCCATTCTAAGGCATCTCGTATCCTGAATGAAGCGGCAGATCCCTTGCCAAAAGGATGCGACCCCCTGGCGCCTTCGTAGTACTGCTTATATGCCACTTCAGGCTCGTGGGAGAGATAGGGGCCACTGGCCGGCTAATATCTCCCACCGGAGCCGTTGAAGCTGCAGTCGCCGTCGCAAGTTGTTCGTTACGCGAGGAGGGGCAGCAGTGAATAAGCGACTGGGATTAGAATCCGTTGATGTCGTCAGAGTCCTTCTTGGAAAGGGCAGACAAGATATCGGGCCAGCAAGTCCGAACCCCGCGGAGTCTGGAATCCATGAACCCTAAAGTCCAACTCCGACTGATATCAGCTAGTCGGAGTTTGCAGTCCGGCAGCCGGGCTTCTACTGAGAAAGATGTTGGTTAAAGGGCACAGTCTTCCTGCTACCCTGGACATGCGTCCTACATGAAGCGTACTTTGTATAGGCCCTTCTCATCCTCTCGCCTCTACCCAAGGCCCTTCGTCCGACGCAATATGGCTCCCACCAACAGCGCAGCCTGGATCACCGCTGCAAAGGCCCATCCACTGCAGGTCAAAGAGGCACCATACACCCCTCCCACAGACAATGAACTCGTCATCCGCAACCGCGCGATCGCATTGAACCCTGTCGACTTTGCTCGACAGCTTCTGGGCGCGGGGCTGTTCCCCTGGACAACGTATCCCGCTATTCTGGGAACAGACGTCGCCGGAGAAGTGATCGAGGTCGGGTCCGGAGCGGCATCGAGATTCAAGGTCGGTGATCGCGTTGTCGGACTCGGCAGCGAGCTGAAGAACAACAACCCGGCCGAGGGTGCGTTCCAGGACTATGTTGTCCTGCAATCCCAGCTTGTATCTCAAATACCGCCTACGCTCTCATTTGAAGATGCCTCGGTGATTCCGCTCGGGATCAGTACGGCGTCCTGTGGTCTCTTCCAAAAAGACCACCTCGCTTTGCAATTCCCTACCGAGCCCCGCGCTGCATCAACCGGCCAGACCGTCCTGATCTGGAGTGGCTCTTCCAGCGTCGGTAGCAATGCCATCCAACTCGCAGCAGCAGCCGGATATGAAGTCTTCACTACGGCGTCACCCAAGAATTTTGACTATGTCGAGTCCCTCGGCGCCAGCCAAGTTTGGGACTATCGCAGCCCTACGATTGTCGAGGATATCATTGCCGCATTCAAGGGCAAGAAATCCCCCGGTGCTCTCGCCATTGGTGATACTTCTGGTGTCCCAGTTGGCGAGATTGTCAGCCGCATTGAGGGGAGAAAATTCATCTCGTTAGCCAATCCACCAGCCGGAGGACTACCGGCAGGTATCGAGACCAAGTTTATCTTCGGAGGTGACTTGAAAGACAACGAGGTTGGACCGGCCATTTTCGATGCATATTTGCCCAAGGCCCTGGCGGCAGGCACTTACAAGATCGCGCCCCCTGCGGAGGTTGTTGGAAAGGGCCTCGGAGCTGTTCAGAAGGCACTCGATGATCTGCAGGCTGGTGTTTCGGCGAAGAAGTTTGTCGTTTCCCTGTAGATCAATGATGCATACGCTCAACGTATAGTATGGAGTTGTATTTAGATATTGCCTTGAGTCTAATCTAACACACTTATTTCTTAATGAGCTACGGGAGGCGGCTTTCCCTATCGGGTCTTATATATCCGGAGTAGAAGCAGAAAGTTGTAGCGCACACACAGGAATGCGGTGCGCCTAAAATATAGAAACAAACAATGAAAAATAACAGTCATGGACCGATTCGAACCGAGGCCTCGGGCTAAAGGCTGCTAAAGGCTGCGATATCGGGCGATCAACTCCTCAGCCCCGTATATAAGGACCAGACCCCTAGATGACTTCCTGTTGTTCTTGCTCAGCAGCCTGATCCTCCTTACTAGACGGAGTAGCAGAGCCACCTAGAGCGGCAACATGCCCGAACCGCTTGACCTCCATTGTGATCTCGCGCGCAACCGCGACAGGGTTCCCGCCATGCGAGAAGATGTGGTCGACCTCCTCCAAGCGCAGATTGCTTGTCTCGGGATAGAAGAAGTACAGAGCAGGAACAAAACCGGTGTTGGTTGCGAAGAAGATGAGATAGGCTTTCCACGACAGCCGGCGCGTGATCACGGGGGTTATCATAACGACGGTGAAGTTCCACAGCCAATTTGAGCTCACGGCGAGGGCTGTGCCCCGTGTGCGTGCCGCGAGAGGGAGAATCTCGGGCACGTAGACCCAAGGCACACAGTGGGCGCTCATGCCGAAGACGAGGGTGTACATGAAGAAGAACACTACTGCGGCGGAGGAGTACGCGTGGCCCTGTGCGGTGTCGGATCGAGAGAGCAGAATAGATATCAGGAGCATGCAGAGACCAAGGCATGCGCACCCGGCCATCATGGTGCGGCGTCGACCCATGCGGTCGAGGGCGAGCGAGGGGGCGATGGACCCAAACATCAACATCATGTTGATGCACCCTCCAAGAATCTGTGCAAGTTGCTTCGAAATGCCGACATTTTGAATTAAAACAGCTACAGAGGGGGAGGGTTAGTGAGGCTTTCAAAAGGTCTGCAAGACGGGTGTGCTGGCCACGTACATGGAGCATAATATACCACCAAGTTAATACCTCCCGCCTGGTTCATGAAATGGATACACCACGCTAGCACAACACGATACTCAGTCTTCACTTTGTCATTGCGAAAGATGCTGATGAAGTTGCGTGATGCTTCCTGTTCCGAATATTCTAATTGAATGGCCGCCCTGATGGCGTTCTTTTCGGCCAGGATATACTCATCAGTCGGCTCTCTATCATAAACCCTGCAAAGAACTTCAATAGCTTCTTCTGATCGGCCATGCTTGTACAGCCAGCGCGGTGACTCTGGAAGATCAAAGACGAGGACGATAACAACAAGGGCAAACAGTATTTGTACCGCGACAGGCAGCCGCCACGCAATAGGACCACCGACGAACGACATGCCGAAGTCGAACCAATACGCGGTTGTGATGCCAATGCCGACAAAGAGAACCTCAGCAGAGACGAGACGCCCGCGAGATTGGCGATCGCAAAGTTCCGACTGGTACCTATCATTCGGTGTCTAGGTCAGTGGGAGGCGGAGGATAAATTGATGACGGGCATATCTGACGCACATTGGCACGGTAGAAGTCTTCATTCCAGTTCCAAAGCCAGTAATAACACGGCCAACGATGAGGTGAGCCACTGTGAATGCGGAGGTTTGCAATGTCGTCCCGACAATGACAAATGCCATGGCCAGCCACATCGTCCAACGACGGCCTAGCCTTTCACCCGTAAAGTAGTTCACTGTGATTGTCAGAAAAGCACCTCAAAACTGCAAGAGCAGCAGATAGTGCCTACATATGCAGCCGCCCAAACAGCCGAGGTTGTAACAGCTGACAATGATGCCAGTCTCGGTGTCGGACGGGTGGTTGAACTGATCGAGCCAGTCCTGGTTCTCGAGAATCCCGCCAAAGACACCTTGTTCATAGCCGAACAAGATAAATGCCATGAGACAGCAGATAGTGACACCGGCCTGGAGCCTTTTTCCTCTACCAAGGAAAGTCTGCATTGTGGGGAAAAGGAGGTCCGGAATAACTGAGATATCTTGGAGGCGGAAGGTTGACAATCTGCTTAGCTCCAGGTAATGCGCGGTCCCATGGGGCATTCCTTTATACAGCGAGCCACGCGGGGAAGAGCCGGGGTCACGGATATGGGGCTAGGAGATATGCAGACGAAAGACAGGGGTTAAGCCTGCCGAATTCTTCCTGCTGCCATTTTGGATCATCCTTGATGAGCCGCCAACGTACTCCGGAGGACCCCGAAACCCTACACTGTCTTGCCAAGCCATAAACCGGCCCGACTGGGCGGTTGCGGTTCAACTTGCATCTTTTGGGGTTGATGGATGCGCTTGCCGTTAGAAATAATCGACTGCGGCTGGGTACCTGAGCGCTTGCGCTTGCAGCTGCTGGTCGACCTGCTTCATTTCCATGTGAGTAGGAAGGACCGTTGATACAAGCTGTTGGAGGTTCCGCTTAGGGTTTCCTAGTTGTGCATTGCCTTACGAGTGGAAAGGTAACTGTAGACGCGTGAACCCCAAATTCAAGGCGTCAACTATCACGGAGAGCATGGGGACTCGAAATTAATGAGACTCGGCGGTGTTAAATAGAGAATGGTTCCCCGCCAGATATTGCTTCAGATGCAAAATCCAAGCCAGTTCCCGAACCGACAGCTGCACCATGGGCCAATCCAAAGAAGTCATCATCCTCGGTGGTGGTGTTTCCGGCCTTGGAATGGCCGTCCAACTGAAGCGCTTCTTGGGCCACGAGAATTTCACCATCTACGAGAAATCGGACAACATTGGAGGGACTTGGTGGCATAACAGGTACCCTGCATGTGCCTGCGATATTCCGAGCCACTTTTACTCGTATAGCTTCGCCATAAAGCCTGACTGGACGACTACCTATCCTGGCCGTGATGAATTACACCAGTGTAAGTTTATCTGCTCGTTTCGGTGCGTGTATAAAGTGACATCCTGACATGACGTCCAGACTTCATGTCCGTGGCTGAGAAATGCGACATCATCCCGCATTGTCGTTTCAACAAAATATGGTCGGACTTGACCTGGGACGCTTCACGATCGGTCTGGATCTGTACTTTCCAGGATACAATCAGTGGAGAGATTTTCACGCGTGAGGCACCGGTGGTTATCAGCGCAATCGGAACTCTCGACCGCCCATTTATTCCAAAGGTTGAGGGCGCAGAGACTTTCAAGGGAAAGATGTTCCATAGCGCGCGGTGGGACGATAGTCTGAAGCCCAAAGGAAAAAACATTGTTGTTCTTGGAAACGGTGCGTCAGCTACCCAGTTCGTGCCGGAGATGGTGAAGCATGTCGGGGCCCAGGGCAGCGTCACGCAATTCGTCCGCAGCGCGCACTGGTGGACTAAGAGGGTATAGGCACCTTGGTGTCCCATCACTGTGCATACTGCTAACATGAGCTGCTCAGGGAAACCCCAAATATTCGGACACCTTCAAGGCGGTCATGAAATACGTCCCCTTCGCCGCTCGCGTCTACCGCATATGCCTGGCATGGCAGCTCGAAAATGTCTTCTATTCCTTCTACATGACCTCGAAGGGCGCGGCCATGCGCCAGAAGATCCGAGACGCTACCCAGGCCTACATTGAGAATGACGCTCCACCGCAGTACCGTGAGCTCCTCAAGCCAAACTACGAGCCCGGGTGCAAGCGTCGTGTTAACACAGCAACATATCTCGCCTGTCTGTATTCGCCGCAGATGCTCCTTACCAAGGACAAAGTGGTGAAGATTGGAGAAGACTACGTCCTGACAAACACCGGAGACCAGTACCCTGCCGACGCGATCGTCTTCGCCACAGGATTCCTCACTCAGCGCTGGCTGTATCCGATTAATGTCAAGGGCATCGGCGGCAGGGACCTGCACGAAGCGTGGGACGCCAAGGGGGGAGCCGAAGCATATAAAGGAACTGTTGTCACTGACTTTCCCAATTTCTTTATCCTTTACGGCCCCAATGCCGCAACCGGCCAGCATTCTGTCATTTTTCACTCCGAGTGTCAGATCAACTACACCTGTCGTCTCCTGCGCCCCGTCCTGAGCGGTAATGCTGATAGCATTATGGTGAACCCAGGGGCACAGGAGCGAGACCTGCGATGGGTACACAGAAAGTTAAAGGACTTGGTTTTTGATAGTGGCTGCCAAAGCTGGTGGATGGATCCTGTTACCAGAAAGAACACGTTTATCTACCCCGACCCGATGTACAAGTACTGGCTACGTACAATCTTCCCTCGCTGGAGCGATTTCCAGATCAAGAGAAGTGAGCACTCAGGGAGCTCGTTCGGGAAGGTGGCTTTTGGTGTGGCCCTGTCAATGGGGCTGGCTAGCTGTGCTGCCGCGTTTCTAGGGGATATGGAGAAGATCGTGGGTCAGGTTCCGAGTTGGGGATCGAGGGCTTAGATAGTTGAGCATGTACTTATCATCACTACCAGTGTCAGTTACAATTTGAAACCGTTCCTATATTTGTCAATGATCTAGTCTTTTCCCAAGCTATAAAGCACTCTGCCCCACTCTTTGTATGCAGTAGAGCAAAAGGATGGAGATACGAAACCTGATGCTCATTTCTGTCTTCAATCCGACTGGGGAGGGGCAGACGCGAGTTGCAAGAACTGGGCTCCAGGCTGAAGCATCTCCCAGGAAAGCTCGACTATTTCGAAGTCATAGTTGCTGGTCAACCCGGCTCCCCTTTCCCCAGATACTGCACCGGTTTGTATTGGACGCCACTGCGGGGCGAGCGCTTGCGGTTGCAGTTGCAGTTGCAGGACAGCCTGGCGTCGATGGCATCAAATAGTGCTCGCTGTAATATATATATCTCTCACATACTTCGCATCTCAGGAATCTGGGCTCCTACCTCGCTTTGCATCGAGCAATAATCCAAATACTACTCAAAATGGGCCTCAAATCACCCATTCCCATCCAGGACCTCAAGTTCAACAAGCCGGTTCCTTACACTTTACACGTTGACCGGGAATTGCTCAGCTTGACAACACAAAAGCTGGACCTCGCGCGTTATCCAGAGGAGCAGTCGGACTTTGGTGAGGAGAATTGGGCCCAGGGTGCCAAGGTGTCAAGAGTCAAACAGCTTGCTGAATTTTGGCGAGACGAATACAGTTGGGAAGCTGAGGAGGTGAGTAGGCGTCGTATGTAGGCATTGCAAGTATATTATTCCGTCTGACCCAGCACGAATTCCAGCGCCGCCTCAACGCAGCCTTCAACCACTTCTTGGTCAAGATTGACGTCCCGGGATATGGGCCCCTTGTCCTGCACTTCACGCACACGCGCTCCTCGCGCACAAACGCAACCCCCCTGCTTTTCTCGCACGGCTGGCCCGGTTCATTTGTCGAGGCTGTCCGTGTAGTGCCCCCGCTCACTGAGCCAGACAGCACCGCAGACCCAGCCTTCCACTTCGTCGCACCCTCGATCCCCGGCTTCGGGTTCTCGCCCGCGCCTACGAAATCTGGCGTCGGGCCTAATGTGGTTGCCCGCGCCTACAAAATCCTCATGACGGAGGTCTTGGGCTATCCGACCTTTGTCACGCAGGGCGGAGACTTTGGCTCCTTTATCACCCGCTCCATCGCGATCCAGTACCCCCAGATCGTCCGCGCCCAGCACTTGAACATGTTCCCCGTTGCGCCACCAACACTCACCTCAGCCCCGCTGGCCTACCTTCGCTGGTGCCTGTCCGGTGTGGCGTACTCGCCCTTTGAGGTCGAGGCACTCCGTGTCCGCAGCAACTTCGAGATTGACCAGAGCGGCTACCTGGAGCAGCAAAAGACTCGACCTCAGACGCTTGGGTTTGCATTAGGCGACTCGCCCGTTGGCCTCCTGGCGTGGTTTGTGGAGAAGCTCCATGACTGGGGCGATGTGTACGAGGCGTTTAGTGACTCGGATATCATCACGCTGGTAATGATGCACTGGATCCAGGGCGCAACACCGGGTCTGAGATTCTATCGCGAGGCTTTTGGCCGTGGGATGCGCGAAGCGGAGAAGACATTTGAGGTGTACATTTCTGCGCCAACTGGGGTCAGCATGTATGCTAAAGAGCAGCTGCACGTTAGTAATCCGTTTCCTGTTAAGCCTTTACCTTCTCTATTGGAACGAGCCAGGCACCTAATATGTGGAACAAATTGCAGTGTCCTCGAGACTGGGCGGCGCAGGCGGCCAATATCCAGTACTGGAAGGAGTACGAGCGAGGAGGGCACTTTTCATCGCTGGAGCGACCGGATCTCTTTGTCCAGGACTTGCGCAGCTTCTTCTCCCAGCCATCTGTGCTCAAGGCCATTCACTCCAAATAGGCGGACACTGTGCATTCCGGTTCTGGGTTCCCGCTAGGACATACATCCGGCTAGGTTCGTTACATGGAGAATGGAAGATGGGGAGACATTAAGAGGCATTTGAAGGTAAAGTTGGCAGTCAACCTCTCATTTTCTTATTACCTTGTATAGCGACCGGCTTCATGTACACTGTATGATAATATCTAATGTCAAAATCTGTGTTACAGTGGCCAGCAAAAGAGGCGCTCCCATGTTCTGCACAACTATACTCCAGATTATCCAGACTGACATGCATGGAGTCATGCATCACGATCCTGTTTAATCCATAGCTCCACGGTTATCTATCCAACCAGTCATGCAAAGCCTCCTAGAAACCGAAAATCAAAAACAAGCAGCGTGTCGCTGGGTCTCTCACCAGAGATGCCATGAGATACGTTGGTCAACGTCGTATCACTGCTCGTTCTTCTGCTCCTTGATATTTTATGAGTAGGGAAGGGTTACTGCATGGCACGCTATATTTCCTGGTCTAAACGACGGTCCCCTGTCAACCATAACGCCTCGATTCTAGGGCCATGGCCATTGGTGCCCCGCTGAGGTATGCCGTCGGTGCATGGGCACATTTGACACGCTGGTATTACCCTATCTTATAGCGTGATACAAGCACCGGTTTCCAGAAGCAGACCATGCGCTGTTGCATGGAAGCCCACCTATCCCATTCCCCACAGTAGCCTTAGATCGACCGCACGATCCGACGTTTTCCAACCGGTCTCTCGTTCTATGCGAACCAACTGCTTCAGGAGGAGGACCTTCTCAGCAGCGTACCTTTCTTCCCCTTCCCATGTTTCCAGGGACGCATCATCACCCGCAAGCGAGTTTATCGTGCTCCCGCGTTGTACTGATAGGTCTACCTGTGATTGCACATCCTGACGATTGATAGAATCATGTGTCCACAAAGTTAGTGCGCCTCCGCTGGGAGTAAAAACAGTTCCCGCAATGTAAAGCGGTTGGGCCTGATTGACCCAGTTTGCACTAAGATACCGCGCTCTTAGTATAGCACAGAAGCCAGGAGAGGCACAAGTAGGAGTCACTCCGTGAAAGCTCCCAATGGCGGATCAGCAAAGCACGACGGTGGCGAATACTCACTGGGAAGGGTTCGAGATGGAAATACCGCCGAGCTCCCGTGCGTGCCAGACGGGGCTGTTCTAGATGAGCAAAGAGTCAGTGAAATCGGCAAGCACCGGTGGCCAAGTGGTCTTCCAAAGAGACTCCTGCAACCCCGCGATGAGCCATGACATACAGGTTCACTGGATATGTTATGGGCTTGCAGTGGGACTTCCCCCGTTTGCAGCAATAGTATAGAACCGGAATGATAGAAAGTATTACCGCAAACTAATTACAAACGGTTAGCTGCCACACCGTGGATACAAATGCAAACTTACTTGATGACGAGCGAGAGTAGAGAACCACAGGAAACACTTTTGACGACGCCGCAGGATTCCTAAGGAGGGGCTTGACTTCCTGTGGTCGATAGCCTCTCCAATCCTGGAGTTTCTGCCAGAGCAAGGACACCGACGCTGCGTATGCGCTGTCATGGCCACCTTTATCTTGGCCATGTGTAGCTAGGAAATTGACGATTTCGGCAAATATCAGATTAGCCAGATTACAATAATCGTCGATATCCCCCCTTGTGGCCACCGATGGAATTGACATATCATCCAACCAGAAATTGGTTGGAATGAGAGTCGTTTTCCTGCTAATGAAAGCCGCCCACACATCTGCCGTGCGCGTGAATCAGAGTCTACGATTAGTCTCTGCGTGCTTATATGAAAGGATACCTTGATACGAGGAAATTACCTACCGATACGAGCAAATGCCCAAAAGCATGACTTTACGATGCCTTTGCTGGATCCATTCCACTTTTGGGCTTGAAGGTGAGCGGCACATCCCTGATACGTTAGAGTTAGCCGTCAGCACGAGGTCACATCGCAATGCAAGGAAGAAGCAGTATTCATCAGGCGCGTAATGAACACAGACTGACCTTTAGATGACGTCGCCATTCATCCACTCCTGACGCCATCATTTCATACACACAGAGTAGAGTGCAAGTAGCCAAAGCGGAGACATCCTGCTTTGCGGGGTCTTGTTGAAGAAGTAGCTGAATAGTGTACTGGTACAATTCAAGGGTGACAGGACGGGCCCCATCGCCTGCTCAGTAAGTACTGAGATCAGTTTCGGGGNGGGGAGATCAAGTCGGCAACGAACAGACCCAAACTTACACTTTCGGCGACGATCACGGCACGGGAGGCTAGATGTATTCCTTCAGCAGTCGCCGCGTCCAGGTATGAAGTGGCAAAACCAACCAGCCAGTCCTAGTCCGTCTCCTGGTGTTCTCTGCCTCCGGATCGCCACTAGCTGGCAGCGACATGTCACGCTTTAATCGAGCTGGCGTGGAATAAGATAGTTGATCTTAGTGAGCAATGGCACCCGCATGGGATATGTGCGATGGGCAACAGGAGCCTGGGGGAGGTGGTGTTGGGCCAAAAGCAGGGCAGGTGGCAGACGTAAGATTATGGAACTCGGTGGCCACGAACCACGGCAACTGGAACCGCCGGCAGGAGACCGCAAAACGCGGCAACTGCAACCGCTGGCAGTGCAGTGTGGTTTGTCAGCTCCCAAGCTGTAACTAAGGCACTCCCAGAAGTCCTTGTCTGTCCGTACCCCTCCTGGTAGTCGCTTCGCCATTCCTACTATGGCGAAGGGGGGATGTTTCCCGCTCGAGATCTCCGGCATATTCGCTGGATTTGGTGTTGCGCGGCGGGTATTCCTCGAATTCCCTATTGCGGATTTCATATGAGAAAAGATAATCAAACGGACAACGACGTGGTCAAGGAGGAACTTTTCTTCGCATTCTCCTCTCAGTGAAGTAACCCTCGTTTTGCCAATGCGGTGTAGAAATGCAGGCCCCTTGCATGTAGATACATCAGGTATCGAGGCGGAAAACAGACAGATCACACATGCAGCGATCGCTTTACAAAATACGATAAGGGATATAATACAGCTACTGGAGTGTTATACAGGCTGCATGGCGGATAGACATGGGCAGGATATCATATGCCTCCATTAGCTACGTATTCCTCACGCGATCAAAACAGCAAAGATGCATACCACGGTCTCACCTTCCGCGAGTCATTGTAGCTAAAGACGGGGCACCTCGCGGCGACTGATCTGGAACTCCAGCACGCGGTTTCCATGTAGTTCTACTTCAAGGCTATCTATACTATTTATTAGCCACTACCCGGATCTATACCCCACACTTTAATATATATAGTCTGGTTATTGGGAGTAGTTGTCAAGGCCTGCACGGGAATAACTGTATACTACATTGCGAGCCCACTTTTGGTTGGAGCTTTGGCACATACCATTCCCTTATGTTAACCATACAGCTTCATGGGAGCGATTCCTGTATTTGCACGTTTAAGCAATTAATATCTTGTAGAACGTTAATCAGCCCAGATGAGACTACCCCAGCTTGGATGATCATTTCCTTGCACAGGTCCCTCGAAACCAACCTCTGCCTTTGCCCTTGACGTCCAAGGGGCGGTGGCCTTGCGCCTTTTCACGTACTCGTAGTATACAATATCCCACACTGGAATTTCTGCCGTGACTCCACGGTTCTCTTCCGATATCGTCTCCCATGGCCCGTTCACCAGCACTGCCTCGCATCGATACCACTTGGGATCATACGGAACACTCTCGTTCAGGTTATACTTGGCCAAGTATTCAGCCCCCTTGAGAAGTAAATTATCTCCCAGTTCATATAAATCGACTCCCTGACTCTGGCCCACCCTGGCCGCCATTGCAGCCCACCCAAGCCCTGACATTGCGTGGCCCTGGTCTCTACCAGACTCCCCTGACTGCCCTGTTTCGGGGTCATAGGTGGCAAACAATCCAGCACAGTTGTCTTGAATATATGCATCGATTGCATAATTCCATAACTGAACGTCATCCAAGTACGCTGCAAAACTCAGCAGGGCCTTTATACTGGCCATTCCGTAATTCGCCTGGCCGATGGGGATAGACTGCCGACTAAACAGCCAGTACAGTTGCACGCTGAATCCACTGCCACCCTGCCACTTTGCACCGGCTTCTGTCCAGTTACCTTCCCACCTCATGATCTCTGCGGCATTCACAAACATATCCCCATCTAGCCCTATCATGAGCGACCGGTCTGTCCCAATGATGTTGGTTAGGTTGGCGCCCCAAGCGTCAAGGATACTCGTGCTTCGCTCCCAGTGTCCCTGTGCCTTAGTGATGTACCACATCCAAGCGTTCTGCCACGCGGCGCGGGCGTCATGCGTAAATGACGTGTAGTTTGAGACCTGCCCGCGGCTTAGAACGGTGGCGGGCCCTTTCATGGTGTAGTTTGCCTGGGAATAGCTATCATTGGCAAACTGGGCGTAGGCGGAGGCCCAGGGCTCTTTTCCCTGCAGGACACCCTGCCGTGCCCGCTCTAGATCGTCGTGGGTGTGCCACAGTCCAGGATGAGTGAATTCGCTTGTTTGGGTTTTGAAAAAATCAGAACGGTTTACTTGTACCATGTCATGGACCCGGGGGATTGGCGGTATGATGCCGGGGACATCGGCAACCGTTGCAGTTACAAGGTGGCAGACACTGGCCTGGAGGAGTGCTACCTGCAGCAGAGATATCTGGTAAAAGTGAGTAGCTATTCAAGTTGGGCTTGTGCTGGGGGCCTTACATGCAGCATATTGGCGTTGCCGTCTTTGCGGTGACAGTGCGAGTTCGCCTGGCTGAGAGAGATCCCATCAGGCCATTCATTTCCTTTTATTTACTCCAATCTGGGGAACCCCATAAACACACTAACTCTCCACGCCATTTCCCCGTGGCGGGCAACCACCCCCGGCCATCCCCCAACCTCCGTCCGGCCGCGGGGCAATCCCCGGAGTCGCCCCGATCTACCTGAGATAAAGGTTAGTAATAGACCATGGGCAAGTCGACGAGAGCCACAGCACGCATCAGGGACGCCATGATGAAGCCCGTATTCTTTTTCAGCACCATTATTGCCGGACTGGCAGCGGCATTCCAAGATCCCCTCTCCTACCGCTCCCTCAAACCCACATATACCCTTCCAAAGCCAGATAATGTGACCACTTTGCTAGACATCATCGATTCACGGCCAGACTTGAGTCGGCTGCGGGCTGCCCTGACTCAGTCCGGTGGTTTCGAAGAGGCCTTTGGCACGACCCCGACATGGGACTTCACTTTCTTTGCGCCGAATAACGATGCTTTTGCTCATACCGGTCGCTATTTCTCGACGTTCGAATCGACACCGTATGTTATTCATTATATATATGCTCTTCCCATCAAATTGGAGAAAAGAGGGAGAATGGCCACTGATTAGGTGTTAGGAAGGGAAAATGGTGGCTGGGCAATACCCTTGTGCATCACTATGTCCCCAACTCGATCCTGGCAACCGCAGACTTTAACGAGACATACCAGCGCGTACAGGTATTATATTTGATCCCACTATAACTGTGACCAGGAACCTGGCTGAGCAAGCTGCAGACTGGGACCCACCTCTTCATCGGTGCAAAGGTAGAAAACGATGAGCTCGTTCTAAACCAAGTCGCTCGAGTTGTCGAGAGCGATATCCCCATCACCAAGGTAATGCCCCCATATCGGCCCGGGACTCGCAATTGCTGAGAAGCTCTAGGGGGTTGTACACATTATTGACCGTATCCTGGAGCCCGCTGCTCAGATTCATGAGGATGACCTTCCATGGATCGAGCAAGAATTTATCGCGGGGAGCTGCTCGGATCCGTCCCTTCCATATTGTTAATATCTTTGGAAGGGGATTTATACATGTATAGACCCTAGCTCGATGGGAAGGGGCAGACATTTGAGAACTGGTATGGTGTGCAGTAACGGGTGATATATATATTGTGCCGTTCCGATCTGGGTACGGCGCTGCGTCAAGACCCTGACCTCACATCAGACACTCTAGGATTTGATACAGATAAAATATAACTTCCAGGTTGATTCTGCGAAGATAACTCAGGTACTGCCGCAACAAGTTCCATAGGTCGTGGTTGGGGGAGATTTCTGCTGCCAAGCATCACTCATATTAAAGTGCAATAGAACTAGCAAGTACAATGTCTACAAAATTAGAGGTGTATCTAGGCCTTTACGTGCTCCGAGGGATGTCCAGACGGATGCTGTACAACCTCAGGAAGGCTGGATGAACTGCACCGACGCTATCCCGTGCACCAGGCAGATACGTGGAGTTGACTGCCCGGGAGAAGTATCGGAGCTTAGCCCGTACAACAACTCCCAGATAAAGCAACCGGAGATTCCCTGGTAGCCCTCTACAGCTCTTCAATAACCAGAACCTACATCGTCATGTTTGTGAGCTTGTCCTTCACAGCAACCGCGATGGCCGGCGTGGCTGTCGCAAGCGCATTGGGAAACACGCCCCAGATGGGCTTCAACACGTGGAACTCATTCAAGGGAAACTACAACCAGAGCATCATCCACAATGTGGCAGACCTAATGGTCTCACTGGGGCTCAGAGATGCAGGGTACAACTACCTGGTCCTCGACGAAGGATGGTCCGACATGGAGCGCACAGATGAAGGTTACCTACAAGAGAACCGAACAACCTTCCCTGACGGGATAAAGCCACTAGCCAACGAGGTCCACGGGATGGGATTGAAACTCGGTCTCTACGGAGACAGCGGGATCCTCACCTGCGGGTTTCGGCCGGGGAGCTGGGGGTATGAAGAGAGGGACGCCATGACTCTTGCGGAATGGGGAGTGGATTACTGGAAATACGACAACTGCGGAGGGTTCCAGGCCATGACGCACTCGCCCCAGGAGAGGTTTCTGACTATGCAGAATGCGCTTCTGCGGACGGGGAGGGATATATTCTTCTCTGTGTGCGAATGGGGGTTCCAGTTCCCGTGGCATTGGGGTGGCCGTATGTTGACCTTCGCCTCTATTACCTACGTTCGTGCACAGTACTGATTGACATGGCAGATATTGGACACTCGTACCGAATGTCGGGCGACATAACAGCCTCCTTTACGAATGAAACGGACTGTCCGTGCAAAACCGCGTACTGCCTTAATACGGGCTACGCTGGATGTTCGGTCACCAGTATCCTGCGAAAAATGCGAGAAATCAGCGTCTACCAAGAACGCTCGCACTGGCTGGACATGGACATGCTGGAGATCGGAGTCGCCAACATGACCATCCCCATGCAACAGACACACTTTGCGTTCTGGGCAGCATTGAAGTCACCGCTTATTATTGGGGCGGATCTGCGAAGTATCGACAAGAGCAGTATTGAGATACTGAAGAACAAGGAGATCATCGCTTTGAACCAGGATCCACTGGGCCGTCCAGTTCATTTCATCGAAGGGGCCGGGGTGGAAGGCTCAATTCAGGTCTGGGCAGGGGAACTGGCGGTGGGACACGTTGTTCTGGTCTTCAACGAGAAGAGCTATCCACAGGACGTTTCGCTTCCGCTGGAGGCGCTGGACTTGGAAATGCATTACCCTGTACGTGCGAGGGAGCTGTGGTCTGGCAAGTGGTGGGGGAGAATTTCGTCTGTCGAGGCAACTCTTGAGGCCTATCAGACTCTGGTGTTCAGGCTTTCATAGTCTGACTGAATTATTTAGAGACAGTAATAGTAAGAAAGTCTTATTAGTACCCCTGGATTCTATATTAGAATACAATAAGTTGATAGGCTGCATAATTAAACATTATCGAGCCATGTTTCCCCATTCCAGCCACAACGGTTTGGGCGCTTGTAATTCACCGATCCCCACGGGCAATTGACGATTGTAATTCACGATCCCCACGAGCAATTGACGATTGTAATCCACAGGCCCCACGGAGGAACTGCCGGACCTCCTCCGGTCAGATCTGCCTGTTATTACTTGTTTGGGCCTATTTCCTCCGGTGGGCAGTGATCAGAAATTCTGTCCCCGCATTTCCCCAATTTCGACTCCACTACTAGCTTTTCTCTAATTATCTGCGACAGGGACCTATACTCAATAAGCGTAGGTGTGTGATCTCGGCCGGTGGCTGTCTTTCTCTGGCGGGCAATGTGCCGGACGTGGGCTCCCGTGGACACGATGCCATGTTACGTATTAAAGTACTCAGCACGACCTGTCTCCCCAGGTGCACTACGGCAGTTGTAGGTCTTGATAGACGCAATGAGACTCTCTTTGATACTTTCTGCCCTGCTCCGCACACTTTGGTATGCCAACTTAGGGTTAGCCATTCACAACCCCGTCATCCCCGGCTGGAACCCTGACCCAGCTGCCATCCGGGTTGGCAGCGAGTATTTTATTGCTACCTCGTCAATGGAGTACTGGCCGGGCATACCAATCTATCGGTCGACTGATCTGCAGCACTGGGAGCTGTACTCGCATGCCCTCACGCGACCAGAGCAACTGCAGTTAAATGGAGTTCCAACCAGCGCAGGTATTGCTGTCTGTGCCCTGATAAGAGTTCTTCGCTGACATCCAAATTAGGGGCCTGGGCACCGTCACTGAGCTTCATCGATGGGAAGTTCTACCTCGCCACATCTGTCCGGTGGACCTACGACCCGGTCGCCAAAGTATGGCCTCGGGTCTTCTGGGTATCCTCACCAGACCTCAAGCACTGGTCAGATCCTGTCTGGTCAGATCCCTGGGGGATCGACCCATCGCTGTTCCAAGACCCGACCACAAACCGGGTGTATCTCAACGTGATGGCGCCGAACAATAATATTGACAGACTGTGGGGCATATACCAGTGCCAGGTCGATCTAGTCACTGGCCGCTGTGTGGGCGACTACCGTTCTCTGTGGAATGGCACCCAACCGCATACCGCAGACGCCCGCCCAGAAGGCCCAAAGATGTTAAAGCGCGGTGACTGGTATTACTTATTGATAGCAGAGGGTAAGTCTGCAACGCTAGCCACTGTCGCGGATACTTACTGGAGCCACAGGGGGCACCGATGAACTCCATCGAGCCACCATTGCCCGTTCTGCATCCCCCACAGGGCCCTGGGAGCCAGCACCCAACAACCCCCTACTATACAACGGCGAATTCGGCTTCAACAATCTCACCGTTCAATCAACCGGCCACGCAACCATGTTCGACACCGACCGGGGTGACTGGTATGCGGTTTTCATCGCCCGCCGCAACATCAACGGCGCATCGCCTCTTGGCCGTGAGACTTTTCTATGCCCGGTCACCTGGAGAAATGGATGGCCTGTCTTCAATAACGGTGAACCCATTCTGCTGAATACTGGCCCAAAAACGACCTCCTCCCCAGCGCCGTTCGTGGATACATTCAGCAACGGTACATTGCATCCATCCTGGTATCAGCTACGAACTCCCTACCAGGAGATCTACACCCTACGGCGAAATGGCGTCTCCGACTTACCAGGTCTGGTGCTCCATCCTAATGTCTTCTCTCTTAGTGACCGCGATGTGCCGGCTGCTCTCCTCCGCAAGCAGAAGTCCCTTAACACTACATTTTCTGCCGCTCTCTTGCCACTCAAAGACCACGGATCCCTCGGCGTGAGGCAGTCGGTCGGAATCAGCGCCTACCTTAGCGAGCTCCAGCACCAGGACATCGGTGTTACCGGGTGTAAGGACGATGCAGGGATGATCTGTATATACACTGCGCTGCTCAACAACGGCACAGAGGAGGTATGTAATAGTTGATTCCTCCTGTGCAACAGGCCATCTAACGCACTGAAATTACATTCAGTATACGCAGTACCCTCTCAAGGGCGTAGTATTTCAGCAAACCATCACTCTCCATATACGAGCGGAACCTCTCGAATACCGCCTGGGATACAGCGCTGGCAATTCAGCAGTCAAGTGGCTGGCGTCGTTCCCATCGTCCTGGATGGCGGTCGCCCCGCCAGATTGGTTTGTCTTCAGCGGTGCCATGTTTGGGTTATTTGCAAGTGGAAACGGGGAGCCCTGGCCTAATAGTGCACCGGAGGTGGGATTTCGGAGTGTCAGGGAGGTTTATCATCAGGAGAACATTCCTGATTATGACCGGTGGTGAGGAGGTTCTGGACTAGATGGGGAGTGTTGTTTCTTTTAATATATATGCTCCGGTATGGATACTCACATATAATGGATACTCACGTATAATGAGACAGAAGAGCAATAAATTATGTACTGGTCCTCGCAACTAGGAGACTGGACAGCTGCCTGTCGATAGATTACATTTTGCTGCTGGTATGGCTCCCTAAAGAATCAATCTTTATTCTTCGTTTCAACGAAACTCAAGACCCAAAACAACAACTTTTGACCTATCAACTGAATGGCACATTTGATCACATTTCTCCTCAAGTGGTTATTCTCTAACCGCGATTGCAAAGCCAACACAAATGGTGATCTAACCTGACCACGTCAAGTTTGCTACATGAGCACCAATATACATGGGAACAAAATCAGCCGCAGAATACCAGCCTGGCTTCTGCATACCCTCCCAGACATGCACACCATTGACCTCCAAACCCTGGAAGTCCACGAACTGAATGTTCCGGTCCTTGTTATACCCCGCTATGGCTGGGATGTTACCTCCTACCCCATTATACGACAGATTCCTGACTGTAACATTGTGAACTCCCCTCCCAGGCGCCAGATTATACTTCTGGTTATATAGAACCTTGAAGCTGAGAAGCATACCGAGCCGGAAATCTTCGACGCGGATATCTTCAAAAAGAATATCCTTGAGTAGGTTCTCGTCCCCGCAGTTAATCGCCAGACAGCCCTGATAATCAACCTGCGGCTCGCGGTGGTCAAGAATATCAATATTCGAAATCGTCACACCTTCCATCACTTCCGGGGCGTCAGGGTTCCCGTGGAGTCCCAGATGAATGGGGTGTGCCACATCAGCCCATAGAGACGAGTCCCGTAATGTGATGTTCTTCGAATCCCCGTAATATTCCCAGCGGTGCTGGTATAAAGCAACGCAGTCGTCCGAGTTACGCATGAACAGCTTCTCAAGCACCACGTCCTGACTGCAAAAGACGTCAATACCGTCGCCCCACTGGACCGCGCTGATGGACCGCAGGCCAGAGACGGTGATATCTCTGCTAGAGCCAATCATCACCGAGTAGTGAGCTGGATTGAGCACGGTGACTCCCGCGACGCGGATCCTTTGGGAGTAGCTGATTGTGATGGCCTCGCTGGGACTCTTGTAGAGCACCCCGCGCCCGATAATGGCTGCGTCCGAGATCTTCTCGAAATTGAAGCCCCCTTGTACCACGGAGCCAGGAGCAAGATAAACTGTCTGTCCGGAAGTGACGTTCACCACCTCACTGAGCTCGTGGTATCCGGCGTCGTAGTAAATAACGGATGAGTTTCCTTTGACTTGCTCTTCCGTGAAACTATCGTTCTTGGCCCTGTCCAGAAAGAGATGCAAGACGTTAAAGACGTCCCCATTGAGCTCGACAACGAGGTTCGCAGGCTCAGTGAGAGACAAGTAGATGACACGACCACGGACATCTGCCCGCAGGCCGTAGGAAAGGGGGCGAACACGAACAGCATCTATCGATGGAAAAGAGTCTCTAGACGGTTCAATGGCAAGTTCAATAGGGCCGCTGAAGTCAAAGATCCCGAGGGATGTATTGTACGGCACGGCGTTTCCGGTCGTTGCGTTGACTTCGTGCACGTTGGCATGGAACAAGTCGAGCGCTTCCCAGTGTCTCGTGTCGTCCCCGGCCTTTGATCGGACTTTAACCTGGTAAGAATCGGACTTGGGTATCTCTTTTGGTATTGGGGAGATCTGGATACTATTCTGACTGTGGGAGCGAGCGGCATTTGCAGTTGAAGGTATTATGATGGTACACAGGACGGCTAACAAGCTGACAGTAAGTCGCCTGAGCGTCGTCTGCGGTGAAAACATGATTGAGGTTGGATCTAGTACAAATTGCAGAGAAAGTGAGGACGGTCTGTCCGCTCAACTTATACTGCCCAGTCAAAGGCAGCGGGCGACAAGCTGAGAGCTCACCTTCGGCCGGACCAGGTCCGGCGATTGTTCCATGAGAGGCCTTCTCGTATACCAAGATTCCCTCTCCGCAAACTCTCCCGAGCAGAGTCCCAGACCCTGACATCGCTGATCGTCCCGAGGATCGGTAAAATCCCAATGCCAAGTGGACTATGATGTGGATTTCCCAAGTGGCTTTACCAAGAGCGTTATCATAGTCCATCGAGCTTCCTGGGTTCTGCGCAGATCTCCACCCCCCGCAGTCGGTTAATTAATGAAGGGTCAACACGCCGAAACGGTGTCCACCAGCTATATTAAACCTACGTAAGGCTGCAGGGGGGAATCTGACCATTTGCGGGAGTACTCCGGCCTTTCAATTACATCCCCGAGTGGATGATGAGCTTTATAATACATCAGCCGTCAAAGACCGACGCCGTGAACGGAGGTTGAACTGGATATCCTCCATTTTACACCTTCCCTTTATCCAGTGGGTGTAAAGCGTTCCTCAACCTCGACATCCTAACCACGGTAATGATACGCAACGATAGGTCAATATCACCCGACGGCAGATTAACTGTGCTGTTCCCCGCAAACTGCAGCTGTCTGCACTCTCGCTACTCGCGGGGAAGATGGCACGAAATCGGTTGGTCAATGGAATATAACCAACTGAAACTCATAAATGAGTCGCTCCGCCGTCAAGGTACCCCGTTTTTCTCTCCCTCCATCGTCATTCCTGTTTACTTTCTCGTCTTTCGCCTTGCAGGGTGTGTGCAGCCGCAACATGGGTGTCTGGACGTTCTTGCCGGCAGTCTTCTTTGGCCTCGCCGCAGGGCGCTCACTGTGGTCGTCAAGGCCTGCAAGCTATGGAGACCGATCGACTGATGATTACATCCTCAAGTCTGCATATCCCCTAGGAAATGGAAAGCTTGGAGGTGGTGCCCAAATCCCCTACTTCTCGTGCCTGCAGCAATCCCTGACGTACTGGTCCCAGCTATGCCGTTTGGGCCTCCAGAGTTGGAGAGGATTCTCTTGAATGTCGACTCCCTTTGGTCCGGCGGACCTTTTGAAAACGCGGTATGTCTCTTTGACGGCGTCACACCAGGCCTCATCTCGCTCCCAGGGCAGCAGAGTGTCTAACAACCTCCCATAGAGCTATAGTGGAGGAAATCCACTCGGCTCGCAGCCCAAGTACCCGGTTTTGCCTGGTATTCGGTCCAAAATCTTTGATCAAGGCACAGGAGGTGAGAATCAAATCAGCTTCCAACTGATCCTACTGTTCTGGCTCATATCTCGCTTATATTAGATGTGAACGGCCTTCTGGGGACGAATGCCAACTACGGCTCGTACCAGGTCCTAGGTAATCTGACGGTTGACTTCGATGGCTTCGCCGATTACTCCGAGTATCGCAGGTCGCTGGATCTGACCAATGGCGTACACACCACGGTCTACGACTCGGATGGCCTTCACGTCGAGACCACCAGCTTCTGTTCTTTCCCAGACCAGGTCTGTGTTTGGGCGACATCAAGTAATGGAACCCTCCCTCCGCTGCATGTCCACTTCGAAAACCTTCAAGTCTCGCAAGACCTGGTTAATACCACCTGCGCCAACGACGACCATATCCGCCTGAAGGGTGTAACACAATTGGGTCCACCAGAAGGACTTCAATATGAGGCAGTGGCTCGTCTAAGCAAAGACTCCCATGCTAAGGCGTCGTGCCACAACGGTCGGCTGAAGGTCGTGCCTAGCGAGGGCAAAGGCAGAGTGACCGTCATTGTCGGAGCCGGCACAAACTTTGATCATACAAAGGGCACCGCTGACGATAATTACTCGTTCAGGGGAGCGAGTCCTGGTAAACTTGTTGCTGAGACCACGTCGAACGCTGTATATAAAAGCACTGAAACTCTGTTGGACCGCCATATCAGAGACTTTTCCACTCTCACAAACAGGTTCAAACTCAATCTCCCGGATACTCTTGGATCCAAGGAGAGAGAGACAGCAGAGATCATCTCCGAGCTTCAGGCAACTGGACCCTCCGATCCCTTCCTCGATGGCCTTCTTTTTGATTATTCTCGCTGCCTGCTCATTTCCTCCTCCCGGGAAAATTCCTTGCCCGCGAATTTGCAAGGCAGATGGAACGAGGACATCAAACCCAGTTGGAGTAGTGACTATCACGCCAATATTAACGTTCAAATGAACTACTGGCCAGCTGACCAGACCGGTCTCACGGAGACCCAGGGCGCCCTTTGGGACTACATGCGTTACAACTGGGTGCCACGCGGCGCGGAAACCGCACGACTCCTGTATAACGCTTCTGGCTGGGTCACCCACAATGAGATGAATATCTTTGGGCATACGGCGATGAAGGATGGTGCGACGTGGGCCAACTGTGAGTCAACACCGAACACAACTCCCCATCACGACTCCGTCTTTGCCTGGGTCCATAAGCCATACAGATAAGCTAACGGTCCGATAGATCCGCTCGCTGGTGCCTGGATGATGCAACATGTATGGGACTATTTCGACTATACACGAGATATAGCGTGGCACAAGGAGATCGGCTATCCGCTGCTGAAGGGTATTGCTGAATTCTGGCTTTCGCAGCTTCAGGAGGATGAATTCAGTAACGACGGGACTCTTGTTGTCAACCCTTGCAACAGTCCAGAGCAGGGACCAACCACTTTCGGCTGTGCTCACGACCAGCAACAGATCCATCAAGTGTTTGATAATATCCTCGCAAGCGCAGGTGTCGTAGACGAGCGGGATCACGACTTCCTCAGCCAAGTTTTATCTGCAATCTCGAAGCTAGACAAAGGCTTGCACTTGACCGACTGGGGGGGTATCAAGGAATGGAAGCTCCCCGACTCGTATGGATACGACACGAAGAACACGCACCGGCATTTGTCGCACCTTACCGGCTGGTATCCTGGCTACTCTCTTTCTTCCTACATGGATGGCTACGTTAACGAGACAATCCAATCCGCAATCCGCGAAACCCTCATTGCAAGGGGGAGTGGAAACGGTGACGATGCAAATTCTGGGTGGGCCAAAGTATGGCGCGCAGCGGCATGGGCCCGCCTCAATAACACGGAGAAGGCCTACTACCACCTCAAGTACGCGATCCAGGTAAACTTTGTCGGAAACGGGCTGAGTATGTATGGGGCAGCGGAGCCACCCTTCCAGATTGACGCCAACCTAGGATTTGGAGGGGCAGTGCTCAGCATGCTCTCGGTCGATCTGCCACTGGCCCACGATTCTGACGACACCGCTGTGAGAACGGTGGTCCTAGGTCCTGCCATTCCATCTGCCTGGGCTGGTGGAAGTGTCAATGGCCTCCGCATTCGGGGTGGTGGAATTATTGACTTTGAATGGGACGACTCTGGGCTTGTTACTACAGCCCAGCTCACAGATTCCAAAAGTCGTGTCAAGGTGGTGAATAAAGAAGGCACAATCCTTGCTGAGCATAAGTAAATTCGGCTCCAGTGGACAAACTCCCAACAGGAACATGACCATACACAGAGAGAGGGAACTCGAGTAGCGGACATTACCCGGAGATTCCCCATGGCACGACTCCGGTAATTCCTCCGGTGCTCTTAGTAGAAATAGCGGGTAAGCCCTTCTAAAGAATTCAACATTATCCGTTCTTGCAGGAGTAGAGAGTGAAGTATGAGAGTATCCGCGTTGCTAGCAGTTCCCCTAGTGGTATTATTTAAGGTGCCAATTGCATGTGCGGTGACAAACGTGACAGGCAATCCTCAGCTAACGCCCTTCCAATATGATAGCTTCCCCCTTGGACTCAATCAAATCCTCTGGTTTGCTTCAGGACCAGCTTGCGCTTGCTGCAGAAGCGTTGCCAGGGCACGCATTCGACTTCTACCGATACGTCGCAGACCCAACATGGCTAGGAGGCACATACGAGTACAGCGAGTTGCACGAATCTGCGCCGTATTGGTTCAACGATATTGTTCGTGGCATAACCCAACGTCCGCGCAATGTAAAGAACCACATATGTATAGGAGTGAGAAAAGGAAGGAAAAAAGGTCTTGTTCCCTGTGTGCGCAGTCCCCTATATACCGAGAGGCCGGAGGAGCAGGAACCTGAGCCCGTACGGTGACCACCACCGAGCCAGCCAGGACAGTAACCAGGCAAGGCACTCAGCAAACAATTGCCTTTGACCGGAAGAATGAAGGAGGATGAAATTATACCTGCACTAATGCCTCGGAGTGGGTTCATGAGGCGCGCTGGTATTAAGACCCCGGGTGAATTCCCGGAAACGTGCCCGTGTTTCAAGCTGCTTGCTTGGGTAGTGATGAGCCTACCTGTGGAGTTCAACCCACACGTAGTTTGTCTCTTCACTAACCATGTGTTCTTTGCCACGGCGTTTCGCGAAGAGACAGGAGTTTACGCCACCCAGGTATATACGAAGATGATGCAGCGCAGCCCTGGGGCCAGTAGTTCTTAAGTGGCCTGTCCTTCTGTCGAATCTGGAATCTGAACAAGGCCTTTTACATAGATTGTCCTGGCTTGATCTGATTAACACCCACATTATCACAATGTCTGCCAGGTATCTTCTCTTTGCCCCCCTCCTGAGATCAGCTTTAGCAGGGAGCCTCAACACAGGTTCCTTCTCCTCCTCGCTCTCCCCCTTCTCAGCATGCAACTACAAGTCGCCATCTAGCGTGACAGCATCTGACGGCAACGTGGAATTCTACTTTGATGAGAGCGACTTCAACGACACCCGTGACGACAAGGGGGTCGAGATCTGCGTCTTCGAAGACGGGACAACCACCAACGTTGCCCAGATGACGAAGGAAGGATGGCAGGGCTTCAAGCTCTATGCCTCATCAGACTCATTCCCAACCGACAGAAGCACCATCATCGCACAGCAGTTCTGTCCTGGAGGTTGCTCGTCCTGGTGCGGTGCGTTGCAGATCGTTGATAACGCGCTTGTGGCTGAGCACCGCGCTGCCTGCGGAGAGGCTACAACGACCACAGTTGTTGCGGATATTGAGCGCGATACTTGGCATGATGTCGTCGTGCATATGAGAGTTTCACAAGTGGAAGACGGCGCGTACGAGGTTTGGTGGGATGGGACGCAGGTGTACAGCGTGGATGGCACCGATATTGGCTTTGGGACGTGGGACGGGGACGAAATATCTTCTGGGTGGTATTTTTAAAAACGGGATGTATGCCTTTGGTAAGTCCAGATTCAACCCAGAGCAGATCCACGGATGTCACCAAGCTGACTATGGTCTTGTGTCAGATACGGAGGATTACGTCGACGGTAGGACCAGGACGTTGTTGTTTGATAACGTGAGCTGGTACGAGGCTGATGGCGATGAAACGGACGGATATGATACTGTTGCCCCAGGGAGTGCTAGTTAATCGGCTTTTGAATTTTGGGTTACTTAGGGTAAATGAATCTACTGCACGGTAGTCAGAGATAGAATTTTGATCGAAGACAGTCCAAGCTTACTTGGCGACCAACGAGTCCACCCCGTGGTTGCCAAGGGCCTGGGGTCCACCCGTTTAAATTGCACACAGGGGATTGAGTGAAACACAAGCATCGATGCGCCCACGTGGTGTTTGAGGTACGGTACTGCGCTTAACGACTGCGCAGGCGGATGGCAATGCCGGCATTGGAAAGGCCTGGACAGTTCATTCAGTGGCAGTCGGTAGGACTACGCGGGTGCTAATATTGCCCATAAATTCTAGTATAAATACCATACCCACCGTACACCGGCTATTCTTTTTGACATTATTGTTCTTGATGAACAAAATTAGCAACTATGCATTGCACTCCCTCTACAAAGCTATTGCTGTTCGGACTCGCGACCACAGCCCTGGCTGCTCGACAGCCCTACGACGTCAGGAAGATCATCGATGCGTTCCGCAACCCACACGACGATCTAACCATTCTATGCTCTCACCGTGGTCTCAGGTAACCCCAGCAGATATAATCATGCGTATTCTGTCATATCTGATGTGGTGTTATTTCAGATGGAATGGGACTGCAGAGAACTCCCGGGATGCGTACTTCCGTACTGCCGAGGCAGGAATTGAATGTATTGAAACCGACATTCGACTCTCCAAGGATTTGGAGCTCCCTATGATCCACGATAGTGGGCTGGGTCGAGTTACCGATGTTGGAGAGCAAGCCGGCGAGCCCGCCTACAACCCCTTCACCGGAGAAGGATATGACCCCAAAGTCGCCGAATCCAACTTCACCGGTTTTATGGAGGATCTGCACCTACGAGACGAGCAGGGCCGGGTGCGCTTCGAGCGCGTGCCAACCCTCCCCGAGATGGTGCAGACTATTCACGACGCGGAGATGAATGTCGTCCTCGAGCTGGACTTCAAAGACCAAGCCGCTGTTGAGCCCGCGTACTGGGCGCTCAAGTCACTGAAAAATGCCGCGGGGATTCCTGCAAATGAGTGGTGTATTTACAAGCTTCAGGCTACTTGGTACAAATCGCCGGAAGAATTCGAGGCCCTGCCATGGGTGCAAGACGCGTTCGCAAACGGGATCCAGTTGTCCTTCATCCCGGTCTATGAACCTGCATACCACACAAAGATGGATCAGCTTGCATCGCTGAAAGCCTTTGCAAAGACCAATTATACCATCTCCGCTGAGATTGAACTCATGTCGACAGATGGGGTGAGCTACGAGCTGCTTGACCTTGTCAAGGAGAGGCAAAATAGCCCCAACTTTCGCATCAAGTCTGCCGGAACCTTGTACGTCGCGACAATGGTGCTCCCCCAGAATACATGTTAAGCTGACCATCCGAACCACAGTTACGCTATCGGTGACTTCTTTGAACAAGAATCCGACCTGACCTTGTAAGTTGAGCTAAATTGACGCTACTCTGGATGAACAATGCTGATTATCGTCCTTCATCGTGATAGCTTCGTTACAGGAGCCTTTTCTCTTCCGGAGGACATCCGCCACAATAACTCTGTATATGTCTTCCAGGAGAACAAGCCACCGGTTCTACTTGACTCCAAAGTTAAAGATTACTCCGTTGATGGGCATGACTATCGGTCCGATTTCAACTGGATCATGGAACAAGGCTACAACTGGGTCATCTCAGAGACTGTGGATGTATGGGACGTGCTCCTTCGGAAACAGGGTAAGCGGAACATCCAGCATATGATTGCTGATGGTCAGGCCGTGGCCGATGAGACCCGATCAAATGGGTGGTATAAGCGGCATGCGAAGGACTTCCGGATTTGAACGAGCCCGCTATAGGCCCAGTTCGAATCATCGAAATTCAGCAGCAGGAATAGAGAACCTAACGTAAATAAGATACAGCCAATGTGTTATTAGAGGCGCTTAAAAGTCGGGAGATAGCAGATTATCTCATATCAGTCAATCATCTATGGCATTAGTTGCGTGGACTCCCCTTGCATGTATACCTGAATTTTCATCCTTCACGTTCTCCAGCTAATTTGCAGGTATAGTATTCTTAGTTACCATCACTACCTATTAAGCCTCACTTGGTTGATAACGATGGGTCATATATACTGCTTCTCAGAATAATAAACCGGTGGGACGTGGGACATACCACACTAGCTGGAATTCCTCTTGACTCTTCAGGTCAAGGCTTCTTTTGGAGCTAGACCAAACCTATCCGAAAGCAACACGGGGGCACAAAATAGTTGCCCTCAGGCCTGTGAATGGGGCGAGAATTTGAAGGTCCTTGGCTATCGACTTGCAAAGGATCTGCAATTGCAAAGCCTCAGTCAAATCCTTACCTGGTTGGCCTTTTCTGTGAGGACTGGAAGTACAACAATGAAGCAAAACCATGAGTTTCTCAACTACTAATCAGCTCCCCTTGCCTCGTCGTGTGAATGATAATCCAACGGTCGAAATCCAATACCAGGCAATCTACTTCTCAGGAGAAGGCTGCTGCAGACGACACTCACGCTACTCAACGCCATGGCTAAGCTAGCCCAGACAGGATCAAGCCTGATATGGCCGCCATTGCTTTTGATTGGATATAATACTCCAGCGGCCACAGGACATCAGCGTATTCATGCTCCCGAAACGGTAGAACCTTTGAACAATAGGTGTCGGGCTTCCAGGTTTCCATAGGGCATGCAGTTCCCTTAATGCACGACGATGGAAGACGTCTGCGGCAAGAAAGTATAGCTGATGTTCAAGATAGGGTCGACGCGGCTCAACAGTTTCTCGATCTTTACTTCTCCATCACAGCGCCTTAGAGATTCAAGGATTCGAGGAGGGCAATGATCACAGTATATTCCACTGACATAGATTGAAACCTGTCTCCGGTGATCTTGATCCTGTCTGCGCTCCAGATCTTGTACCTCATTCAAGGTTGCCTCGTACCCAATATCTTCAATGGTTGTCGTGATTTCTGCAAGATGCTCCCGGCCTTCAAAAACGACTGTGGCGCTGTTCGAGATCAAATTGATATCGACTCTTTTTATCCAGTCGAAGGTCTTCAGAGCCGCGTTGATAGCTCCAATGCAGCTGCTACATGTCATTCCACCCAAGGAATACGATGCTTGCAGGTCGTGTGTCGGTACCTCTTCCAGAGGAGTACGTCCTCGCGTTTAGTCGGTGTGAAAATCAGTACCTGCTTGGCTGTCTTCCAGTGCTCCCCATGAAAATCTAGTGTCTAGTTCGAAATAGGTTTTACTTTTCTTCGAGTTGCCCTCGGATGTAACAGGGCCTTCCGTGACAAACACCTCGGCTACCTGATTAAAGGTTCACGCGGTAGCGTCCAAACGTGAAAGACTTCCGAGGCAGTGTGTTTTTCACTGTATACTTCCAAGGAGTTATCTCGGAGGATCTCAGGAGAATTTGACCTATTCCAGGTGTTTTCCGCACAAAGGCTCCACCAAAAGCTCCAGCTCTCGATCAGCGCACCCAATAAGCTAACTGAAGTCTAAATAACGTTTCTGAGTATACCACACGCTGATTCAGGAATGCAAACGAAGTCGGCGAATCTTGGGGAAAGCATACCCCAGATCATGCACCGTATCTTGGTAGTCCACAATGATTACAAACCCTAAGTGCATATATATGACCCTCACCCTGAGATGTTGGGAGAATACACCCCCAGTGTTGATTACCCTCAAACTACATTGTTCAAACGCTTATCAACGAACTTGAGAGAATGACTGCATCAGCTCCAGGCGGCCACACCAGGCGCCTTTTTCACAACCCTATACTGCTCATTAACTGTGAGCTACTTTCTGGCTTCCCTCTTCTTCAGGCCTACCTAACCAACATACTCACTTGTTAAAAGGTGTAGTTTGCTCGATCGCCTTTTTTTGCTACGGCTACGATGGCTCCGTCATATCCGGTGTACTCGAGAATCCACCATTCCAGCGAACTATGACCAGTTCTGGCAGTCTGAGTGCTGGCCAGCTCTCAGTGATTACATCTGTGCCGGTAGTTGGCGTTATCCTTGGTCTTCCTCCATTAGTGTTCTTTGCCGACCGTTTTGGCCGCCCCAAAATAATGCTTGTTTCCTGTGTCATCGTCGCGGTTGGAAGTGCAGTTCAAACAGCAGGATTCAACATTCCCACTATGGTCGTCGGGCGAGCAATTGCCTGTAAGTGGTCATCTCATTTGCTAGCCTCTTGTAGTCTGACGATGGACAATAGATGCCGGTATATACACTCTTCTTGTTCTATCCCCGGTCTTGTTAGCCGAACTTTCGCCCCCCGAGATACGAGGGAGAGTTGTTTCCTTGTCCATTGTTCTTATCAATGTGGCCTCAGTCGTCTCTGCTGGGGTCAATTGGGCATACAGCACCACACCATCAGACGTCGCTTTTCGCGTTCCACTTGGGTTGCAATGCGTCTTCCCGGTACTTATTGGTCTCGGACTTTATTTTGTTCATGAGTCCCCGACGTTCCATCTCATCAACAGTCAAAATGATAAGGCCCTATGCAGCTTACGCAGGCTCAGAAAACCGTTTAGCGGGACCGAAATCCAAACGGAATTTGAGATGTTGCAAATGCAATCCAGCCTCGCTAAGCAGGATGCGGAGATTCCCTGGAAAGAGTTGTTTAAAGGGACCAACCTCAGAAGGACACTACTCTCTTTATCGATTCCGAATTTCCAGATGCTGTCCGGGAATCTGTTTGCTACCAACTACGCTACGGTATTCTTATCTCAAATCAACTCTTCCACTGACCCGTTTTTACTGGTACTTGCTCTCAACATTCTCGCTCTCGGTGGTGCTGTAACCGGCCTTTTCCTTGTGGACCTCGTTGGTCGTCGAACTCTTGCACTTACCACCTTCGTTGTTTTATTTCTAATCAACCTATCCGTCGGGGTCTTGGGATTATATAATAACGGTACTAACGAGCAGATATCAAAAGCTATCGCAGCCTTCTGCCTGATGTTCGGGTTTTTCTTTGGGTCTGGGTTTGGTCCACTCGCCTACGTTGTCCCGTCGGAGTTCCCGACAGCTCGACTGAGAAACAAGTGTACAGCTCTTACGTTCATGACCGTTGCTGTTTTCTCTTTGGTGGTGGCTCTCGTTTTGCCATATATTTCCCAGCCAGACAGGTCAGATGATCCTCCTCTCCCTTCAATACCTAGCGGCTAATATCATTTGCAGTGGTAACCTAGGTGCCAAGACATACTTGCTCTTTGCTGGCTGGATGCTCATGTGCATTATCGTTACATTCTTCTGGTTCCCAGAGGTTAAGGGTCGCTCTCCTGCTGAGATTGACCATATGTTCGAGGCCAAAGTCCCTGCGAGGAAATTCAAGAGTAAGTGTATCATTAAGGTCGTGCTGATTATTTGGTATACTAACGCTGTAAAGCTTATGTGTGTCCCATAGAGGCGGCGACTACGGCTTCGCTAGAGAAAGACGAGAAAGAGGAGAAAGAGGGGACCGGCGTCTCTCACATGGATTATGCTTAGTTGTGGATTGGGAGGCCTGGGACTCTGAGCAGACTTGATCTAGTTAGGAATGTTAATCTAGACTCTGCCTCTAATTGGGTGCTTGTACGGACCAAAGAGCAGCCCACAAATACATTATCATACGGATAGGTTTCTGTCAAAAGGTCATCCTTAAGATCTTTGGTGCCTGGAGGGAGTAAATACAAGCAGATTCTTTTTTTTTTTTTTTTTTTTTTTTTTCAATCCATACCCAGGGTGAGGAGATTGTTCGGTTCCTCGAATCCCCCGTCTTGCTCGTCTTGCCATTGCTCGGCTGCCGATTTATTCCTGTTCATTCTGCCCACGCTTCGAAGCCAGTGTCCTCAACCATTCTCTCATCCTACAGTGTGATACGATCAAGCTGCCAATTAAATCTAAATTGGTACTCTGACAATTAGAGTCATCTGCATCAAACGCGATCTGCTAATATAACCCTGTTTCATGACACTTAATAATTACAAGTCCTCCGATTTTTCATATCTGTTACAATTTAGGGCTTACTTATCTCCTTAGGGCTAGGGCTACGAAGGGCTATTTGGTCTTTAACTTCTTGCTTGCCAAATTCAGCATTGGGTTTTTTTTTTTTTTTTTTTTTTTTTTTCAGTACTAGGTGTGTATTTCAGACATATATCTCCATTTGACTACAACGGAAGCTAACCGAGACCTTCTCCTTCTGTCGATGTGGTCCTTATTTCAATTTCGTTTCTGCGGCCAGGTGATAGAACAGCAACCCGAAATAACCCATGGCGTCCATCTTTGATGTTCGCCATCCGTACTTGGCTGAAGGAAATTTTGACCTTAAATTCGGAACTTGGAGATATTTTCCATCCAATATTGGTATTGCGTAGATCGGAAATTGTCCTCTACAAGCCCGTTCTGATAGGCGTTCTGGCGCAGCAATCTGGTGTCAGAAGGCGTGTACTCCGGCCACCTGATCAAAGGGCCCGATATTCCAAGCCCATTAGGATCCAATTCGTTAATAAATGCAATTGCATAGCGCTGTTGCGTTTCTCCGGGTACGCTGGTTCTGCCGATGATAGATACTGCCTGTCGCGCATCTGAGCCATGGAAAGACCCTAGAGGCACGGATCCATGCAGGCCGGCATAAAGATAGGACCAACATGACACTTGTGAACAGACATTTTGGAGGTGGAACCTCCGCTGGAAAATAAGAACTATATCCCCTGGAATCGATGCGAGTCGTTTATACTGGCCGTAGATGTTGCCAGCCTTTCCAGTTCCGTATGGCGATCCACTGATGCCCTTATCATCTGGATATTTCCCGATTAACGCTTTTGTATACTGGTCACTTCCTGGGAAGTATGGGATAAGATAATTGATCAAGTCGCGATTAGTCGTAATGTTCGATTGGGTGATGGCAAAAACGGTTCCCTCGTCCTCGGCATCTCCACTTAGAATTGGCACTTTAGCGAATATGCCTGAGGTGATAGCAGCGTCAGGGCTAACGGGGAAAAAGGAATCGGAGCTGTCTGGTCGAGGAATAAATGGCAAGTTGGCTCCCGAGTACTTAAATTCTGTACTGAGGCTGTTTTCGGCCTTCTGTAGCAACTTTGCATCCACTCCCTGCAAGCATTGGAGTGTATTGTTGGTCTTTATACACCCAGCACGCTGGGCAACTGTATCATAAACCTCCTGCGCTTTCGGTGCGACGATATCTAGAGCAGGAACTACCGATCCAGACACTAAAATCATTCCTCGGAAGAGACCGTCGATATCTCCATTGTTAATGATGGTTTGATCCATTGCTGACATTGACCCTGCGCTGCCTCCGTACAAAACGACTTTCTGCGGGTCGCCACCAAATGCTGCTATGTTATCTGTGCCGCCTGTGAGCGCTGAACGTGCTTGAGGCTCCTCAAAATCTTACCTTGAATCCATTGCAATGCCAGCCGCTGATCTCGCAGCCCTAAGTTTGCATTCCCAGCGAGCTGTTTGCCTGGTAAGAACCCAAAAGCACCCAGACGGTACTGAATTGAGACAAGTATAAAAGGATGACCCAGCTCAATCGACTTCAGAACAAGCGGCGTGGGCTCAGTTTCGTCTTCCGCTGAGCCAGTCATGAAGGAGCCCCCATGGATATAAACAGCCACTGGAAGCTTGGCAGTATACTTAGAGGAGGATGGACGAGTGACCTTGAGCTTCAGGCAGTCCTCTGAGCCGCTTCCGGAACTTTGCATGCACGTTGGTGCGCTCTTACTTCCATCCAGCTGTCCGAAACTGGAGTTGAGTGGCTGGGGGCTCCTGAGACGAAGGTTTCCCACTGGTGGTTGTGCAAAGGGAATACCCTTGAAAATGTCAATTCTTCCATTCGTGGTGCCTAGAATGGTGCCGTTTGTGATAGTGACTGAAGGGGTAGATGGTTCGGCGGGACAGGCCTGTCCGGCCAGAGTCCCCAGACCGAACGCAATGAAGTGAAGTAAACGGGTGACGGTGAAAGGCGACATTGTGGCTGTAGATGACTTTGGGCAGCTGTTCTCTCTTATTTATTCTAAACCCATGCGTGTCGAACTGTACTGAATTGTCGGAACTGACGGAGGTTACGTATACTCCGTACAATTCGCGAAGTGCGATGTGTCTCCATAGCAGCTGAAAAAGGCAAGGCTCCGACATGCACCCCATACTTGTGGAGGTAGAACGCAAGACCTTTTGCCAAAACTAGACAAAGTCCGTCAGTTCCCCGCGTGGTGGTGCAGTCCCCACGATTCACTTATCTAGATCCCGCAATACTGCGAAAGTGTGGGTCGGCCGGGTTAGATTTGCATTGGCCTATCGGGTGTTTGGATCTGGGACTAATGGTTTCCACTGCGCTCTGTTCGGAAAATCCCCCAATCGAGTCAGATTCCGTTATGAGATTCGCCGAGATAGCCCCATTGAAGGTGTGTGTCAATATCGGAAGGGGAAATGCTTCTAGTACCCTGCTTTATCACAGTAAATAGTCATATTTACGTATTCGGAGCGAAACTCGGAGTGCATGCTGCTAGGAGTTTGGTCGTCCTGCATAGTGGACCTACCGGCAACTTCATGGACTTACGGGCTGCGCTAAATATATACAACACTGAGAAAGTGAAACGGTATGCCGACCGGATATACGCCAATTCACTCCATTACTGCCATTTTAGTGTTTATTTTTATATTCATGAATATATTATAGGCTCCAATATTAGGAACTGGGGCTCTCGAAACACTACTAGAATTTGAGGACATATATAATGCCTCCTACTATCGCCTTCAAATATAGGGGCTCAACTCTGACTTTGTTTTTTTTTTTTTTTTTTTTACATTATATTCCTTGAAAACACATTCATACTATCCCCCTTCGATACCAAAATCCCATCTGGGTCCAACAGCACAATGGTGGCAGTTAAGTACATGGGAGAATTCGACTACATCCCATCAATACCAGCTTGTGTGGTATTCATCATCCTTTTCGGAATTACAACGATCGTACACTTTTTTCAACTAGTCCGTGGCCGAACATGGTTCTTCATCCCTTTTATATGTGGAGGTATTTGTGAGTATCAGACTCGATCTGGTGATAGTTCAGCAGCCCCTTCTTACAAAGACCTTTTATAGTTGAATTTGTCGGATATATAGCGGTAAGCTAGTCCAAATGTTCCATCGAGTCGGCCAAATCATCCATCCATACTGACGCGACGGCCATAGCGTGCGATTTCCTCCAACCAATACCCGGATTATAAAATGGGACCTCTTTCTATCCAAGCTGTCCTAGTCATAGTCGCCCCGTCTCTTCTGGCCGCAAGTATCTATATGGAACTCGGCCGCATCATGATTCTCACTGGTGGAGAGGATCTGTCACTCATCCGACGTTCATGGTTGACCAAGGTTTTTGTGATTGGAGATATAGTGTCTTTTTTTGTTCAGGCAGGAGGTGAGTTTTTTTCTTTCTTGCTGTATAACATAATAATAATATCCTGAAGAGCCGAGCTGACCAACACCTACATTCACAACTTCACAGGAGCTAGTATGCTTGTCAAAGCCAGCACAGCAGAAAAAGGCGGGAAAGTGGTCAAAATTGGCTTAATTATACAAATTATCTTCTTTGGGCTGTTCATGATCACCAGCGTAATCTTCCATGTCCGGCTTCAGAAAAGGGGCACAATGTTACCACAAAACGACGCTATTTCCTGGAAAAGGCATCAGACTATGCTATACATCAGCAGTCTGCTTATTCTCATCCGGTGTATTTTCCGATACATCGAATACAATCAGGGAAGTGACGGAACGTTGCTTCAGCATGAGTTCTGGAGCTATATCTTCGATGCCGCTCTCATGTTTTTGGCTATGGCCGGATTTAATGTGGTTCATCCGGCTGAGATAACATGGGTGATAAAGCAAAGAAAATTCGGACGTGAGACGGAATTGGTTGGATAATTGATGATTGAATGGCATACCGAGAAGTCTCCTAGACTACTGAGTTGGGCCGATTGAATCTATCTAAAACGATGTGCAACTCTTGATAGATAGAGCCAATTAATACTATTAATGCTGTCAAATTCATGATCAACAAAGCACAAAGAAGCATATTACTGTATAGTTTTCATCAATAGGCTGAAGAAAATAATTGCCCATTCAACTATGCTATTCCAAACTACAATTAGCATGTCACATACCAAAGTGTGGGCGCTGTGGATGAAATTCGAAACCATTTCAGCACTTTCAGCGGGGTCATGGATGTTGTAATTTAGAGAAATATGAGGATATATATACATCACAAAGGCCAAGTTGATTGCCAATAAATTTGGTTCTTTGTATAAACACCTCGGCGGTTATTCCGGTAGTCCGGCTTGGTTCTTGATCTGAACGAGAGCTAAACCTCTTAACTAAAAATAACATTTGAAAGAACCAGGCCATTAGAAAGATATGTTAACCACAGGATAATTCACACGTGTCCCAATGATATCTGATGCATTTGCTAGGGTTATCACGTATATGGCACCGGCCACGGATGTTAGTGAAATAAGGGACAGACTTTGGGTTTTTCCTGACCTCATATTTCTTAGGTTAAAAGGTAAGCAGTTAAGTGTCGCTATCGGACTTCAGAACTTCCAGGATAGCTTTAAACCGCTTCGCGGTCTCCTGCCCTAAAAGCTCCTCCAAAGAGTGACACAGTTGTCCATCCTTCCCATTCCGGAATTTGTAAAAGGGACCTGGATCTCCATTTTCGGTCGTCTTGAAATGAGCCCAAGGGTCCAAGCCGTAGCAAAAGTCTAGCCAAGCTGACTGTATCTGCTCAACGCTTCCTTGCCAATCGCTGAGATGTTCCGCAGGAACTAGATCCTCTGCGACGTTGAATAACAATATATCATTGATCCCATGGTTGGCCTTTCCATAGCTAGGTTTCCAGTTCGGAAACGGATTCCGCGCGGCGATTTCGTATATAAACATCTTGGTATTTGGATACCGGGATGCGAGATACATAGGAGGCAGCCGGAACATGACATCCGCGGCGAGAGCTGCCCAGTTTGTGAAGGATGTCGCAACGCCAATATTATACGCCTTCAGGACTTCGTGATATTGCAAGGGAAAGCCCTGCTGGTTGTGGAGCATTTCATTGGCTGTACACAACCCGCGTACTTTGTTGAGTAACTTGTCACCGAATAGTTCCTTGTTGTTCTTGATATCCGAAAGAAGAACCTCGGCAACTTCTTGCTACGTGAACTGTTTAGCTCATAATCAACTTGTAGCTTTTGCTAATGCACAACTTACCTCGAATTCGCAGGCCCCAACCATTAGCTCCAAGGGTGCATGGTCGCCAAAACCGTCCGCGGAATTATTTCTCCAATCATCATCAGATAGAGGGTTGTATATTTCTGGTGTAATAGAAGCGATGAGGTCGTGCACTGGTACAGACTGTACGAGCTCCAAAGCGGGAGCTGGCGTGGAGGCGACCTTGCGCAAATTGTCTACAACTCCTTGAAAAATGACCTGATGCTCGGCCATGCTCTTCGGGCTGATTCCTGTCAGGGTTCCACTGGATAAAATGGCTCGGCGAAACCGGCGGTTAGGTTTAACAGTATGGTAATGTGTCGAACATCCACCAGCACTTGTCCCGTGGAGAGTCACCTGTCCCGGGTCACCACCAAAGGCACCGATGAATTTGTTCACCCAATCCAGACCACGGGCTTGATCATGGAAGCCATAGTTTCCAACCGGCTCCCCATGGTATCTGTTGAAGGCCTCAAGTTCTTGAGATGCCATAAATCCGAGAGGCCCGAGGCGGTAGTTGATGGTCACCACTACAATACTTTGTTTCCGTGCTAAACTAGCTCTGACAAGATTCGTGGCATCGAAAACCTCTCGGCCAGCAATAGTGACGCATTGTGAACCGCCAATAAATGCGCCGCCGTGAATAAAAATGAGCACGGGCACCTTGGCTTGGTTGTGGGCCTCTAAAGCTGAAGTTGGAGCCGTGATTGTGAGATTCAAACAGTTGAGTTCACACATCTTTGGCGAATATAGCACAGGATAGTCCTGGGGAAGAGCTCCATCCCAGAATGGGGGGCCCACAAGATCAGTCTGCGGACAAATTGGCCTACAAGGCGGGTTGGTCATCTCATTTTGTGGAAAGGGCAAGATGCTTACCCCGACTGTGTGGCATCAAAAGGTTGTAAAGGCAACCCATGGACCATCACACTCTGCCTAAAACGTGCTGGGATACTTGCAAAAGGGATCCCGCGAAACTGAACCACATCATTGCCTCGTGGTAAGCCAACCAAGTCACCCAGTTGACTGTGATTGAAGTGGAATGTGGACGACATTCTCGAGTATTAAGACGTTCAACAAGACCAGAAGCAGAGGGTGTATCACAGCCTTTCTCGTACTTGCCGACAGGCTGACATGCTCAATTTATGTACCTAATTGTCTCTCTTTCCTCTCTTATTAGTAATTGGGCCTGGGCAGCGCGTTCGCTTGTCGCACCAGGTCTACTACTCCTACAATATCAGGTAGCGTCTTGGCGACCTGCCATTATACCCAAAGTAGAAGGATTCCGAGGTCAGATAACAGCTTCCAAATTGATTGAGGTGTTTGCCGAGCAGCATCCACTGGGGGAATCGACTTTTCTCCGATTACGCCCCGGAACCTGAATAGAAGTGTTGGGGTTGGTCACTCTGCATCTTTAGAGGTTCTCGGGTATGAGTCCCAGTGTCGGCCACTCCAATTGGGAGACATTATCACACAGGGTGACGGGGTATCTCAAACTTTTCCACAGGTCAAAATGGAAACAAACACAGGCTACCGCGGGATCGTTAATGGCGCTGATGAACATAATCTTGTACCAGTCAATATATATCCTTAAATAGCAATAGTTCGTAGTTTGTAATAAATGTTGTCCCCAGACAGAGATACATTACTAGACGCCGCTCGTAGGCTTCACTTCAGGACAGTGGCTATTCACAGTGGGTGCAGGACCACCCTGTCATGTAAATCTCGGACGTAGGCAAGATTGAACTTGGCTCACGTCTGCCCCATGACCTTATCATGAGCCAGGTTTGCCGGTCTTTTCTCGAATTCCTCTCGCACGTTGAAATTCTTCCCAGCCATAGTTTTGCATGCGCTAGTAGTCCTCCCATTGTCCAGGTGTCCACTGCCATGCTCATGCTTCCTCTCACTTTGGCACGTTGAGACGCAGCGACAAAACTGACCCACGTCTCTCATAGAGGTCATCCTGAGACGCGGCAACTGGCAATTGTCCTTGGTAGGGAGCTCTGCAATGCCATTTTTACGTCCAATGAGGAAAGCCCCTGACTAATAAGTCAGAGGCACTCATTTTTGAAGTCCCTGGCAGGCCTCGTCCTCACCAAAAATCTAGATGGTCAGAGGCATCCACCCCTAGGTAGACTTGCGCGGAGGATAGAGGGTCACAAGGACGTTGACAAGGGCATCTCATGGATTCTGAGACCCCTGAATTGACAGACCCCAGCAAATTATGTTCGAATTGTCACAAACTGTACAACAAATTGTCACCGTTCGCCCATGAAGACTTGATAAGCATCAATATAGTCTTTGAACCTAGGGTGGTCCCCGTTGTTGAATGAGGCGAAGAAACCGAGAAGGCCATTTGCTATCCCAGAGACAGATATGGTGGCTGACTCTGCGTAGCCAGTTTGCGATGTCATACTGACCAGTGATATATTATCGACGGATGATAGGTCTGACACAGAGGGTAGAGGGAACTTCATATCGAGGATATCCGGTCTAGTATGCTTTATCCGTATCTCGGTAGCAGCGTAGAGAAAGTCGAAGGAAATATCAAAAAGTTGGTGGATCTACATGCATCATAGATCAGTCTTTGTGATCAAGGGCAGATCATGTAGTAAACCTACCAAAGCGTCCGGACTACTTTCCAAAGCACGAATCCGAAATGACTTCAGAAGCGCAAGTGCGCATCCTGCAATTCGGATGGGGTAATAAAGGCTCAGCTTTGTCTCCAAATCGCTCGGGCTTACATGTCCATGTGTGAGAGCTAAGCGCCACAGTCGGTTTCGTATCCACAGGCACCCTAGCAGAATCCCACATTCATTGTTACCACCAGGAAAGATATCGAATGGCATAGGGACAGTTCCAACATCAAGATATAGCTTGACAGTTCCATTGTGGTTCTTGAGATCGAGACCCTTCCAGTCTCTTTGACGCTCAAGTAGAGACAGGATATGTTCGCGCGAGAGCACAGTACATTGTCCTTGATTGCCACAGTCATTTCTAAGGCAGGTCACGATTGTATCATCGAAGAGGCCGATGGTCTCTCCTATGAGTACCAATATCGAATAATCGCTGCTGTACGGGATTTCATTCCGTGTGTTGTATTCAGTAGGGAAGCCCGAAAGCTTCTGTAACAAGAGCGGAGAGACGGGGGGCAGGGAAAGCTTGTAACGGCTAGCGGTCCCGATTGCAAACACTCTTCTCATGGTTAGCTTCCACACAAGGACAGAAGTTTATATAAGTTACCTTTCTAGAACGACAAGTTCTAAATATACCCTGGCTTTATCGCTCCAATCAGCTGCACCAAGTGCTCCTGGTGGACCGTCTTCCTCAATGTTCGACGGGCAATAAAGCCTAAATAGGCCAATTGCTTCGTGTAGACGAAGCCAAGCTGCACTTTCCTGTTTCAAATGCCAGAGAACAGCAAATATATAGACGCTTGTTTGAAGCGCTTCGAACGTCGGGAGTTGTCCAAGCACGGAGGTGCTGTGTAGTCGGATTGCCTCTGACATCATCTCGGTTGACAAGGAAGAACCGTTGTTCGACGTAGACAACTCCCGTGGGTGGTAATGAAGCAATGTGAAAGCGCCGATGGCAAGAACCATGCTGGCGAATCCTTGATGAAATCTGTATTTCTTACAGGCCATGCCATCTTGGATAAGAGACGCTCTGAAGAATGGTCGTGTGGGATGGATGCTGCTCAAATACATGCTTATAGCCTTCTGGAGTATCTCCTCATTGACAGCAAGTGACAAGGAGTATCGACTAGGATCTCCTCCGGGAATCTGTGTTGCTTCATCTTGGGAAAGCAATTCAGGCAAGTCACACCCGAGATCCATTGAACCTCCAGGCCACCATAACCCCCAATCTACCGCGGCCATGGAAAGATCATGAATCGGGAAAGGCTGGGGCTGCACCGGCATGTTTTGTGTGTCGACGTTAGAAGAAATCCCCGGAACGATCTGTTCGCAATAAGGCAAGTCTCCGAGAAACCCAGAGTCCGACCGTAACATAGAATCGTCCGAAGGTTGAGTGAACAATACAGCGTCGTCTTCGTTGCTTATTGGTGTATTGATTGGCTTTTGGTTGCTTTGAGATATCGGCTCGGACAACTGCACGCTCTCTGGCGGCGCATTGGCTCTATTGGAGTTTCTCAGCATTGCTCAAAGCTACTAGCAGTGCTACACATGCGTACTTTGACTTCCTACCTCTCAACCCCCGCATGTTGTCATAGACGCAGTCGTAAGACTTTTGAAGACAGTTGCTACATGGAGCTTGTTTGGTACACTTGGATTTTTATTAGGATAGGTCGAGGATGGAGACTGTTGTCCCCGATTCGGAAACGGTTGGTACCTTTAGCTTACGAGCTCTGCACTGCCGGCATGCATTGGGATAGACATTGGACGTGGACACAGAGTCGAACACGAGTTCACTCATGGTGTGTCTCTGCTGCAGTAGATTGAAGAGATGGCATATAGAATTATCAAGTGTTTCATGTATGGTCAAGAAAGTGTTGGTATAGCTGATAGCGAACGCCAGGCTCGGTTCAGAATGTCAAGGATTGATCCAAAAAAAAGTAGATTGGTGAAGAGAGGTCTGTTAAGCAGTGGAGTCGTTCCAGCAAACTTACTATTAGTCAGCATACTCAGTCCGACCTGGTCAGTCCTACCTGAAGGCTTAAAGCTTGGCCTAATCAAAAAGGCATAATTTAATAATCTCCACAGGATACTGGCCTTGAGGTTCTGCCTTCTGATTGGTGTTGATGTGAATTTCAATTAAGATAGGAGACACAGCTAGGCAAGAAACAGTAGTAGTAGTCTAGACAGAGTCTTATTCATAGTACTTGTTATGTTGACCATGCAGTATTATATATATATCGGCCTTCGATCTTCCAAATGCCTCACCGCGATGGTTGTCATCAAACATAACCTCATTCTGACATCTTTTCACCGTGTTCTATTACTTCAGCGATACGGCTCTCAGAAAGACCAAGGATCCTTCGGGCCTCCTCAATAGGTATGTTGTACGGCATCGTCTTTTCCTTTTGCACCGGATCACCACCCGCAGCGAAAATGACGTCCTGGGCCATAATATTAGCGTATAACGTTTGTTCAGGGCATGTCGCAGTACCCACAAGCTCCTCGAGACTCCTCTTTCGGGTCTCAACTAGGAAAAAATAGATGATTGGTATGAAGCAGGCATTGAAGACGGCAAATATGATATACTGGACCAACATCAGGCTCATAACTAACCCACAACGCACAAGGAAATTGTCTTACCGTCCTCCAGCCGATATTCTGGAAAGCGGGTGGGATAATCATGACTACCACGAAGCAGAACAACCAGTTGGCCGCGCTCGCCAGGGCGTTCGCCTGCGCGCGGCATCGCAGAGGTGCAATCTCGGCGCTGTACAGAAACGGTCCCCCAACCCAGGCAAGGCCGAAGAAAGTATTAAAAAGGAATAGAAACCCGGCGGCGGTCAGTTGGCAGGTGCGCGAATCCGTGCTTTGGAGGCCAGCGATGACAGCAAAGCAACTGGACATGCCGACCGTAGTCCACAGAAAGGCCCGGCGACGCCCAAGCCCTTCTATGAGCAACACGGACAGGAGCGAGCATAGAGCGTACTCCAAACCTCCCATGGCAGCGATGAGGTGTGATGTGCCAGCGTCGAGGCTGAACGACTCTTGCAGGATCTTGTTGGCGTATGTTGAGACCAGGTTGATTCCGGAAATTTGCTGCGCGGCTTGCATGAAAACTCCGATGGCGACGCGATGGAATGTCTTAGTCTTTCCCATGTCCAGCAATTCTCTATATGAGAACGGAGCGAGATCAGCCTGGGCTTCAAACGAGGCGATGATTGCATCTCGTTCAAACACTAGGTCCGGGTGGTCGTCGGGCAGGCCTCGCAGTTTTGACAGGTTGTATATGCCCTGCAAACATGTATTGTCAGTCAGCACGGGTGTGAAAAGGTTCCATGACGACGTACCTCTTCCACATGGCCATGTTTGATCAACCAACGCGGTGACTCAGGAAGAAAATTAATAAAGACAAAGACAAGCAAGGCCGGGGCAAGTTGGATGCCCACGGGCGTACGCCATTGTGCCTGGCCCTTGACGAAGAAGAATCCATAGCTAACGAGCTGGCCGCAAGCAACGCCGAATGTCTGCAATCCGCCCTCAATCATGACTAGATCATTTCAGCCATCGGATACAAGAAGAAGAGCGAGGAAGAGCGAGGAAGAGCCGCTTACCCCAGCGTCCGCGACTGTGAGCTTTCGCGCATTCAGACTGCCATGACGGCACCGTAGCGACCTGCAAGCCGAGCCCGATGCCACTAATAACGCGACCCAAGACTAGCTGAGAAATGGCCCAGGCGCTCGTCTGTAATATGCCGCCAACCAGCATAAAGAGCATACCGAGCCAGATGATCTGACGACGACCGAGTCGGTCGCCAAGGTCCAGGCAGGCAAGGGCGCCGACGAGAGCCCCGAGTTCAAAAGCGGCGATAACAATGCCCTGGATGTCGGCGCTGTTCATTTCGGGAAAAACTATTGTAAAGGAGTCCTCGGTAATGAGACCGCCCTGTGCTTGTTCTTAGAAGACGTGTTGCCACTGAAGGAAGAATGGGATTGTACCATAACGCTCATGTCGTATCCGAAGAGCCAAAATGCACATGTTGCAATGCCGGCGATGAGAAAGTTGAGCTTTAGGCCCGACGTGCCCATGTGCGTTGTGTATCTGGTCAATGGGAAGATGGCCATCTTTGTAGAGTACAGGGCAAACGCATAGATATTGTCTTGATTTAAGGCAACGCAGCCCAGCACATCGGATCGAGATGAGTCCAACTTGAATTTATAGCTGGGTGATAGCACAGTAAGTAATAATCTTACTTCAAAGACCTGGGGTAAACCGCAGGCCAAGGACCGGGGGGTGGGGACTCTAGACTGCAATTCCCCGGAAGGTATCCAGCCCCGCGAAGCTTCCAGGAGCTTACCAAAGTCAATATGGCCTGTGGGCCAAGCGTACTACGATTCCTGGTAAACGGCTAAATGGCAGCGATCAGCACTCGGGGATGACTGCTTTCCGCGATCTCCATCGCAATTCCCAAGACTCTGAAGAGCCAATACGATTGCGACGGCAGAGTGGAGATCGTGGAGGGAATGACACTGTCTCCGGAAGGGAACTGAGTCCGATATGTCGCTGTCGAGAGATGGTGCATGGTCGGTCGAGATATAAAGTATGCAATCCAATGACAGGAATGTGCTCCTCCTTTTGACTCCAATGCCTTGTCCAATACCTTGTCCAACACCTTGTCTCAATTTGCAACAGTGATGCCTTCCACTCTAAACCAATCCTCAGGTAGTCCACTGTAAGTGATCGAGAGGAGACATAACATCTTATCTACATGTTGCTGACGACCCGACAGTTCTCTGAAAGTCATCGGCCACAATGCGGGAACGTCGATGGACGGCGTCGACCTCGTTCATGTCCACTTCGCCCAGGACAGTCCGACAACGCCGTTGAAGATGCAGCTCCTGCACTACGGGGAGTACCCAATGCCTAAAAAGCTCAAGGCAAGGGTTATGCGGCTCATCAAAGAGAACACCACGACACCCGAGGAAATGGCCATAGTCAACATCCAGCTGGGGGAGGTCATTACGGATGCTGTCAATTGGTTCGCCGAAAAGAACGGGTTCAGCCTAGCGACAGACGTCGACTTAATCGGTGGCCAGGGCCAGACGATCTGGCACCTACCGCTGCCGGAGCTCTTTGAGGGCAACCAAATCCGTGCCCACCTCGACATGGCTGAGATTGCCATCATCGCCGCCGGCACTGGCGTCACCTCGCTGGGCAACTTTCGGGTATCAGAGATGGCTCTTGGCCGACAAGGCTGCCCGCTCTTTGCGGCCCTGGACTCGCTCCTGTTGAGCCACCCAACTCTCAACCGCGCTGTGCAAAACATCGGGGGTATCGCAAACTTTTCCATCTTACCCCGAGGTGCCGTTGAAGAGTGCTACGACTTTGATACGGGTCCTGGCAATATTTTTATCGACGCGGCTGTGCGGTACTTCACTAACGCTCAACAAGAATATGACAAGGACGGCGCCATGGGCAGGATGGGCAAGGTTGACCAGTCCGTCGTCGACAAAGTGCTCCAAGGCCCGTACTTTGTGCATGACGTGCCCAAAACCACTGGCCGAGAGACGTTCGGGGACCGGATGGCGGAGGATATCTGCGATGAAATGCTAGCCCGTAAGCCTGGCGACCCCAGTAGAGACTATGGATGTATTTAGGGGCTGATAAACTGTGATCTCCCAGGCGGAGCTACCCCAGAGGACTGTGTCGCAACCATAACCCGCATCACGGCCCAGTCGCTCGCCGATGCCTACGAACGCTGGGGCCCTCCCGGGGGCGTAGACGAGATCTACATGGGCGGCGGCGGATCTCATAACCCCAACATCGTCAACTACCTGCAGCAGCGCCTGCCCAACACCCGCATAGTCCCGATTTCCGAGATTGGAATCCCCATTGGCGCAAAGGAAGCTCTTGGATTTGCGCTACTGACGCTGGAGTGTTTTGTTGGACGACCCATGATTGTCCCCAAGAGGACCGAGTCGGACCGTGCCGGAGTGGTGGGCCAGATCCAGCCGGGCAAGAACATGCACCAAATCCGGCGGCATGTCGTCCAGGTGAGTGATCTATATTCTATACACGGATCGGGCTGGATAATCTGACCCTGGCATCGACAACAGTTTTGGGGAGACTTCCCGGAGGAGCAGGTGAAGAGCACAACAAAGATGATTCTCCTCCCGTCTCAGTGCGACATGTAGCATATTACTGTATTCCAGTTGCAATGATAGCTCCCCAAGCCAGTCATTTAGATTCAAGTAGTGCACTACGAGTGGCATAAAAATTACCAGTATCAGTTAGCCCGTGGTACCAGTGAATACTAGTGTAAAACGGTAGACTCGGTACCCGTTTTAATTCGTTTTAATTCGTTTCACTGGATGACTCTCATGGCTTCTTCGACCAACCCAACCCTTTATCTTTCTTTCTCCGTGGACCAAGACAGAAGGCTCGCCCGCACTCGGAAGCATGCACTATCTGGGTTCTACGGCAGTGAATGGACCGACTTGTGCCCGTGATATTCATAGAACTGCGCAAGCACCCCGCAATGCGGTCCTCGAAACAAGTGCGAGGGCCTAGCTCGAGATCTAAGCTAGGTAAGCACAGAGCATGGAAAGCTACTGTCGTTCATAACCGGAGTGCTGACGTTTGAGTTAAGCCTGCGAGGAGTGTCGCAAGAGCCATGTCAAGTGTGATCAAGCGCGGCCCTGTGCTCTATGCACGCGACGGGGAACTGAGTGTTCTCTTTGCCAGGAGGTTGTTTTTACGGCGCTGGAGTTCAAAGCACCCGCGGTTGGCCGGTTGGGCGACTTTGTCTCAGAGACAATAGAAAGTCCAGGTCAGCAAGGCCCACCGTGGCTCTCGCCGCAGAAACATAACCATGGGTCTAACCTACTGAACAATAGCGACCTTTGTGGACGAAACGCAAGAGGTCTCCAACCTATACCAGGTAGTAAGAGCGACCGAAGAGGCGGCGAGCGTATACCAGCGTCCGTCGCCATGGCCTACACTCTCCGGCCAAGCGAGCCCCATCACCGATTCCACTGACGCGTTTTTTCTCTCCCGATACGTGGACTTTATCGGTCCACGCTTCGACATGTTCGATGGTGTACTACGATACTTCTCAACAGTCGTGCCGCAGCTCGCTCTGAGCGATAAGCTTGTCCTCCTATCCTGTGTCGCCGTTGCAGCGCGCCAGTACACCCTCGTCAATGGTCATCAACAACACAATGATGAGCAGGCCTTGACGTACTACAGCGCGGCGATCCATCGGCTGTCCGAGAGGCTACAGAGTAGCAGGCCTGACCCTGCGGTATTTGCGAGCTGTCTGCTTATAGCTCACTGTGAAATGGTCGAGAGTAAGGCCACAGATTGGGACCTGCACCTCAAGGGGACGGGGGATCTTCTCAAGCTGCATGGTTGGCATGGAATGAGCGGTGGATTGGCCCAGGCTGTATGTTTTACTCTTCACTCTGTGACTATGATCACTAACTTGGATCTTCGTACGCAGTCATTTTGGATTTACTGCAGGATGATAATTCTTGCCTCTCTCTGTGCTGGTAAGCCGACCGCATTAGAACCGAAAGAATGGATCCCCGGGGGTGTATTCCCTGATCCGGCCACCTGGACACTCGAGTCATGGCAGAAAAAGGTCGTTTTTCTGCTCGGGGTGGTTCAGAATTTCTGGAGTCGTACGCGCGATGTCGACTACAACGGACATGCGGTGCAAATTGATATTGCCCGATGGGAGCAACTTGAAGCTGATCTGATGCGTCACCAAAGCCAAGCGCCAGCTGTGGCCTCACCACTCAGCATTCTATCTCCGAACGGAGAGGACAATCTCTTCCAAGCCGTGCGTTACTTGAATGGCACTGTCGCCGCAGCATGGCAAATGCTGCACACTGCATTTCTCATTCTCACCATTTGCAAGCCTTGCTCGCGGGCGAGTCGGCTCTCGCTCCTCTCCAGCCCCGACGTAATACAGCGAGTCCAGACGTACACGCGCCAGATTGTCGGCAACACGCTGACGAATCGATGTTCTATTGCATGGGCGAACGCTGTCCAACTCCTTACAATTGCAGGCCAGTGTCTCGAGGTCGAGCCCGAGCGCAATGCATGCATCCGCGCCCTGCAAGAGATTCAGGAGCAAACGGGCTGGGACACGCGGGCAAGCGTCCACAGACTTAACGCTGCATGGGAAAATAGTTGGGGGTATGAGTCCGCGAGGACGCACTCTGCGGTCGCGCATGCAGATGCTGGAAGGCTGTTGTATCATGTTTGGCTTGGTGATGAGAGCAGTCTAAGCTAAATCGTGTGGCTTGGTCATGGAACTCGAGTTGAAGTACGTATTCGCCTAGAGATCAAACGAACGCTCCCCCAACCGGCAGTGGAAGAGCATCCAGACTGTATACGCGGGAAACATTGGACGAGTGAAGGAGTAGGCGAGCAGGGAAAACTGATTGGCCCTACATCGAAGAAGAATTCAGAAAGGCGCACTATGGATCCAAAACCGAGTTGTGCGAATGAGCCATATTTCCATGCGCCATATGAGTTTAGTTTGATGTTCCTGGGACTGTATTTTGGACAATGATATACATGGTTCTTCATCTGGTATAAATAACAATTCAGAGCTTTTTGATAATCCATGAAGCGATCATGCCTGCTCCGCCTTCTAACAGACGGGGCTCAGGATAAGTGCTAATCAGCTATGACAAGAAGGGGCCTGCGTCGATTGAGGCTACGTCATTAATTAATAATGTAGGTCCCTTTTCGCTGGCAAAGTCTTGAGGCATAAGACCGCTACGGCGACACAGCAGACATGGCCAGGCGGAGATTACCCAGGAGGAGATTACACAAGAAGAGATCGCTAAAAGTGCTAGATTGGAATGAGACTATTGCTTAACCCTTAAATGCGCATAATTGAAGATAACAGAGAAAGTACACTGCTAAGGCTTCCCATAGGTGTAGGGTCTGTCAATAACCATCTCCTTGACCGTCGGCAGCTGGGTTTGACCTTTTCCGAATTCCACAGCCATTGACATGACCTCTCGCCACCGTAGCCCCGGCGCAATCTTGCCTGAGATAGTGTTGGGCGTCAACGTGTCACTGTTAATGGGAACCAGAGCGGCACGGCCGAGAATAGCCTCAAGGGCCTGCTGGGCGAAAGAGACAGCCTCCTTGGCGTCCGAAGGAACACCCGTTTCATCGAGCTTAAGAATTTTTGAATTGACCAGCTGCTCCTTGAGGTAGGTGGTTATGTTGGGGTTGCGGGCACCACCGCCGCACATGTACACACCGGCTATCTTGTTGATATCAATGTTGAACTTGGGGAAGAAAGTGCGGTACTGCTTGACTATATTCTGGGCAGTAATGCGGGTGATGGTCGCGACAGTGTCGTATTTATTCATGCCCCGAGCCAAGCAATCGTCAATGATTTCCTGGGCCTCGTTGTCACCAAAGGTCTCACGACCCGTTGTCTTGGGAGGCAAATGGTTACAGTACTTATTATTGTCAAGGAACATGTCGACGACAGCCTGGTTGACTTGACCCCGGGCACCCCATTCACCATCGCGGTCATACTCCATCTCGCCGTTGGTGAAGTAGCGCATCGCGGCGTCAATGAACATGTTGCCCGGGCCGCAGTCCCAGTCGACCATAGCATCAACACCACCCTCGCTGTCGGGTGGAATAACACAGAGGTTGGCGATTCCGCCGATGTTCTGGCAAATGCGCCATTCGGTGGGATGGTGAAGGAGGAGACCGTCGATGAGGGCGACGAGAGGCGCACCCTGGCGGCCGACGGCCTGTTCAGCCATGCGGAAGTCGGTGACAGTAGTGATGCCGGACAAGCCGCTCATGACGGTTCCTTCGCCAAGGCAGAAGGCAGAGCGGGTTTCGCCCTCCTCGGGCATGGAGAGAAGCCACACAGTCTGACCGTGGGACCCGATGAGGTCGATGCTGTTGATGGGGATATCGTGCTTCTCACAGAAGACTTTGACCGTCTCGCCAAACATGTTGCCGAGCTGCACGTTCAGCTGGGACATGAGGGAGGGAGTGGTTTTCGTTTCGCGGAGCATCGTGAGGACGAGCTTCTTGATGGATTGAGGAATGGGGATCTCATCGTACTGTACAAGGGCGATTTGTCAGTTCTATTAGAAGTTGAAATATAAATGAACACTAGACTTGCGGTACCTTGAGGATTTCCATGTGTAAAGGAGCCTCGGGAGAAACCTGGCGATATCGCACAAGTGCGCAGTCGATGCCGTCCATGGCCGTACCACTGTTCATTCCCAGGACCGTGATGTCGAGAGTACCATCGGCGACACAACGGCGAGGGCTGTTGGCCTGAGCAGAGCCATTGGGCTGAGGAAATCCAACTGAAGTGACCATTTTTGTCATTTGTATATGCAGGATAGTAACTAGAAGCTTTGGTTTCCAGCAGTAATTGAGAGGAGCGAAAAACCGGTTCATATACCTCTGGGAACTAACCCCGTTTCCTGGCCGGCAGTCAAGAAGAACACCCTACCCCTCATATCGCAGCATCGGGCAGCCATTCCACGAGAAACCGCGGAGAATCGAAGACTCGGGGTGCGCTTATGAGCTCCATGACGATTCTGAGGCGCAAGTGGATACCGGGATTGCCTAATTGAGAATCTTCGAGACGAGGTGCCAAACCGTCAGCTCCTCCCCGGGATTGAACCCCAGCCATTTCAGCCGTGAGTCTCGGACCGTTTAAGCGACAGTCTGGGCTCTGGGCCCCCCTCTTCCAAGGAAAGACTCCAGCGAATCCCGAAGTCGGCCACTTTTTTGTTAACGAGTAGTGGCTAATACTTAAGAGTTCCCTGAGTCTGCTGTGATTGATACCTTACCGTGTATATCAGATCTATCAGGATTGTCGTATCGCCCGCCGCCATGAGCATTAAAGAAGTTCATTCAGTTTGGACGTCAGAGAAGGGGTCCATGGCTAAACAGACGGCCGAGAGCCGATGGCCCAAAATCATCCAGGGCACCATCGACGACGTTGGTAAAACAGCAGCCGCGGAGGATGTTGACGAGCAGACGAGAGCAGAAGGAATCGCCATTCAGATTGCCCTCAAAGACATGAAGAAAAGAATTGAACAGAACAAGCCTCTCACGTACGTACTTCTCCAACAACCGAAAAGCCAGGGACTCACGGCGCGTCAGACCGCTTCGAGATGATGGCAAACTCGATATTCAAGAATGGAACAAGCAGCTCGCTTCAGTTGGGGAATGCAGTTGGACAAACTGCCCTTGGCTCTTTGGAGAGTGCTACATGTACCGGTACGACTGGCGCTGCAAAGATCAGATCACTGAAATTGGGCTGAAAATACCTCCAGAAGCATTCAGCGGATCCTGAACTCCTCGAAACAGTGGCGAAACTACGATGTTTTCAAGCGCCAGAAAGACTCTACCTTTATCAACTCGAGGGCCGCCGTCGAGGAGCTCGCCTGCCGTTACATGCAGATCGTTGCCGATACTCGACTCGCCCGGAGCGGGAACAAAGAAGAGGCCAAGAGGTTGCTGTATATTGAGATGACTGAGGTCGCCTTGTGGGGGAACGCTACAGACCTGTCACTCCTCGCCAACCTCACCCTGGAAGACTTGCAAAGCCTGCAGGGCCGTGATGCCATTCAGAAGAGCCAGCGGAACATCGTCGACAATGACACCAACGACGTCTGGGCGTATCTTCAGCGGACTGTCGGTCAACCTAATCGCCGCATTGATATTATCCTCGACAACGCTGGCTTCGAGTTTTTTACTGATGTGCTGTATGCTGCCTATCTTTTGGACGCAGGCATTGCCACCTCTGTCAAACTGCATACCAAGGAGTTTCCGTGGTTCGTCAGCGATGTCACTCCTCCGGATGTCGAATCGCTGTTCTACCACCTTGATTCTTCCGAATGCTTCCCATGTCGTGAGTATATTGACCAGCTCATTCCAAGACTTCGCAAGCTCTTCCAGTCGGGTGCCATCACGACGACCAGCGATCCATTCTGGACAACGCCGTTCTCGTTCCACGACATGCCATCCAGGGCACCTGCCCTCTTCAAGGAGCTCCAGGAAAGCTATTTGGTTATCCTCAAGGGCGACCTCAACTACCGCAAATTGACCAAGGATGGGATGTGGCCTCACACTACCACATTTGAAGAGGCTCTGGGTCCCCTAGGCAAGCAGAGCGGCGTCCATATTCTGGCCCTTCGCACGAACAAGTCCGACGTCTGCGTGGGTGTCGAGACCGAAAGCGAGGTTGACGCGTTGAACGAGGAAGCGCCCCATGGTGCCTGGATCCAGAACGGAAAGTATGCGGTGGTATCATTCAATGAGGGCCAGTGAATTCTGTAAGCATTCATGAAAGGGTCATGTCATCGTCCACTCTTCGTTTAGAGAGTTGATTATCCAAGTTGTTGGCCATGCATGCTTCGCTTCCATGTCTCGTAGCAGCCTGATTACTCCAGCTCTTTCCCCTGGATCTGTCATCAAAGGACCCCCTATCTACGTTAGCAACTGCAGGACAAGGCTGTAAAGGTGGCCCTACAAATAAAGGCGGAATGGCAGAGCGTGATCAATGATGGCACCGTTGAAGAGGAGCTATTGCATGCCCCACAGATTGCACGGGCGTGCATCATGACTCGGATCTGATGGCGTTAACAACAACCCTTTTACTCGACAGCAAAAGCCAGAACTCACATCGGATTCGCGAGTGCTATGCAGTCCCCTGACAGCAAATTTCGGCGATGGCTTGTAGATGGCCAGAAGCATACAGGCCAGGTGGTAAAAGCCGAATGCCATAACTATAAACAACGTTAGACAGTAACAAGTCGACGACCTTTTTGGCAGACATACTATGCCAGTCCGCCGTGAACCATATCTCCGGGAATGGGTTTCCACTCGCTGGGACCGCTTCGCTGTACCAAATTGGGTCAAACGTGCCCGGTCGGTTGCTCAGCCAACTCTCGACAGTTTCGGATAGCTCTTGCCATCGACGTATTCTACTGGAGGGCTCAGGGTGGGCTGATCCAAAGCAGAAGCTTACCACTGTGGCACAGATCCAAGTCATAGTGTTGGCCCATGCAGTTTCAGACCTCAAATCGCTCAGGGGGTCACCTCCGCTCGGGGGAGGAATGAGAGCCAAGTTCGGATCCACATTAGGTGCTTGTTGATGTACACAGGCATTGTACAGGCATTGGCGAATGTACACCCAGAAGGCGGCCTGCCGCAGCCCCGGGGTAGACGGATCCACCTCACGTCCTTGCGACGCCCGGAGCAGAGCCGAGCAGCCGGCTAGATGACGCTCCTGGTCGTTCCCGGTTACCATGACTGTTTCAGTTTCCAAAAGTATTAGCCAGTGCAGTGGCGTGAAACATTTCCTACTTACCGTTCAACTGTTCAAACACCCGCAAGATAACGATTGCGCACAGCAGAATATCATCATCGACTACTGTCTCCGAGCTCAGGCAGGGGATCAGTAGCTCCACACAACGCTCATGCGCTCGCTCGGCCATTTCAGCATCTCCGACATGTCGAGCTGCATAGGAAATCACGGCATGCAGCAGGATCGGCGATTGTTTGACCAGGATGGGGATTTTCCGGGTAAACTGGCGGGAAGCGTCAGTGCAGTCGAGCCAATAGCCGAGGTGCGTTGCAAAGTGATGCACAAGGTAAGCTTCCTTGTAGGTCAGTGGAGACCCGGTATGTATTGGCGAAGCTGGAGACAATGGACTTAGAGGATCGGCTCGGAGCAGCTGGGAGATCGGGATTGGGACCGCGCTGAAGTAGGGTGAGGTAGTTGTATTATTGTTGACTGGAGAGGCCATCAGAGGCGCGGGAAGCATGGTGTGGGTATTTGTCTCCTGCGTGCTGTACTGTGGCATTACTGAGGCATCGTGATATTCTTTATTACAGGAGCCAGTATAGAATTGGTTGTTAATGTGCTCCGGGTTGGTTGTATTAGCAACCACCGCTCCGTGTTCCGAAAGAGGAGATCTTTCATCATGGTCTAGATCCGGAGCGTCCTTGGATATTTTCCTGTTCTTTGGTATCTGATAAGGCTTGATCCTAAGGCGATTGGATGGATCTTCTCGAAGGCATGGTCGGTCCTTTTTCTGGCACTGCGAACAGATTGGCTTGGCTTGGTCGCCTGTTCGCGGGTAAGCAGTTGCATACAGCCTATATTGGACTGGTGACGGGCATACATTTCACATGCCTCTTCCGGCAAGTTAGGCTGCGATGAAATTTAGCAAAAATCACGACGAAAGACAGAGATCATGGACATGTATTGTAACGGCCCCGGAGTAGTGTAGGGAAACTCACCATCCATCTTTTGAGCGAAGCTGCCCCATATCGAAATACGTGCCGAAGTCTGTGAGATCAGCAGGAGTGGGGCGGCAGTAGTTGGCTAAAGTGTATCTTTGATCGAAGTAGGAAGATCGAGACGAGAATAGAGGAGACCGGACCAAGGGGAAGGGAAGCAAAAGAGTGGGAGAGCTCGGAATTTATGGTGCGGAGGCAGTGGAGCAGAGTGACCAGGAAAACGCCCCCGAGGTCTGGTGGAACCAAAGACCAGACTCTGGAGATCCCCCATTTCGCTCCCCATGGGGTTTCTCTCCCTGTTTCTGTCTGTGCCTCTGTTTCTTCCCGCGCCACCCAGATGTCATACGTACCATGGATGGAAAGATCACTCGTCTATAAACATCCCCATGTGTCCCCGATACGAGAACGGTCTTTCTCCATCGGCTATACGGGGCTGTCTTTCACAGCTTTGGTTTCTCCCATTACTTTATTAGTTCCAAAGCTGCCTTCGGCTACTTTTTTCCTCGTTCAACTTTATTCACCATGATCCAGAAAGGGTTCTGGCGGACACTGCCTGGACCTAGGCTGCTCAAGTTGATTACTGCAGTCTCTGCCGTGGCTATCTCCTATGAGGGCATGAGCCAGGGTGTCATGGGCGCCGTCAATGTCGCCCCAGAATATGGCGTGAGTAACCACAGTCCCTAGCTCATTGGCTTCAAAGGATGAGAATCATGAACTAATCGAACATCACAACTACAGCACCGAATGGGCTTCGCCGATGAGCACGGAAAAGTCATCAACCCCTCTCTGCAGGGTGGCATCGCTGCCATATACTATTTCGGTGCTCTCCTCGGAGCCTTCTGGGCCGGGAGCTTCTCTGACAGATACGGGCGGATCAAGGGTATCTGGATGGCCTGTTTCTGGTGTCTTGCCGGAGTCATCCTGCAGGCTAGTGCCGTGAACCTCGCTCACATACTCTGTGCTCGTGTCATCGCGGGTGTTGGTGTCTCCTTCATTATCGTAATTGCCCCCTCATGGACCGCAGAGCTGGCTCCAGCGTCCCATCGAGGGCAAACGATTGCCCTGACTTTCCTCGCCAACTTTGGAGGCATTGCCCTGTCTTCCTGGATTGGTTTTGCTACCTCATTCACCGAATATGCTGGTGGGGCGTTTCGATGGCGCTTCTGCTTTGCCTGCCAAGTGATCCCGGTTGTCTTCCTTGTCATCGGCACCTTGTTCATTCCTGAATCGCCTCGGTGGCTCGTCAAGGTTGGACGCAACGAGGAGGCATTTGAAATCATCTCCAAACTCCGTGGCGATGGCGACCGCGAGCACCCGGATGTGCAGAGCGAAATTCGCGAGATCGTCGCCGTCGTGCAGATGGAGCACGAGTCACAGAACTCCAATTATATCAAAATGTTCTTGGGCATTGGATCTGGGGATATTCACATTGGCCGTCGTATCCAGTTGGCGTTCTGGCTCCAGGTCCTCATGCAATATGGCACGGGCATCGCAGCCGTTGTCATCTACTCGGGCAACATTTATCGCACTGCTGGCTTTGACGATTTGAAGTCCAACTGGCTCTCTGCTGTGTGCATGACCTGCGGTATTCTCGGGACTGGGGTCGCTGCCTTGACCTTGGATCGAGTGGGTCGTCGCCGGACCCTCTACTGGGGAGCAGTCGTTTTGAGTATGATTCTCTTTACCCTGTAAGTAAACACACAACCTTGTCGACCCCGACGTTACTCCTGCTAACGTCCCTCGAGTGGCGGTCTGAACCGCGGAGCCACCAACAACCCCGACAAGGCTGCGCAGTACGGAACCGGCGCCGCCGCCATGGTCTTTCTCTATGTGGTTGTCTTCAGCTCCTCCTGGTTGATGATTCCATTTATTTATCCCACCGAGATTTTCCCGACATGGCTGCGCGCCAAGGGTAACGCCTTTGGTGTTGCCGGCTGGGCGGTTGGCTACGGCGCTGGGTCGCTGCTGGTCCCCGTTATGTTTGCTGGTATCCAGGAGAAGGTTATCCCTGTCCTCCCCCTCCGGTATGTTTCGTTTCTGACGGCTTTTGCTTCAGACCTTCTACGTGTTCGGGGCCGCAATGCTCGTCTACATTCCCATCGTCTACTGCTTCTTCCCCGAGACTGCCGGTCGCACGCTCGAGCAGATCGATTTCCTGTTTGCCAGCAAGAGCCCCTTTGTGTGGGATGAGGAGAAGGAGTTTGCCAAGCGCATGGTCCAGTTCAATGTGGACATTCAAAAGATGGAGATTGAGAATGGTGGATATGCGCGCGAGGAGAAGGGAGGTGACGAGTTGGTAGAGAAAGTCTGATCATGGAATAGGTAAGGCAAAACTACAGTGGTATGACAAAAGTTTGCGTCGCCCCATATACTCCAAAAAAACACGCTAGTATCTGACCCCTTCCTAATTAGGCCTAGATAAAGCTATTCGACTGTTTAAAACAACATGTTAAAATTAAAGCAGGTATGTGTCACGACCTGCCAAGTGTCAACCAGTGGAGGTCGGATCCACGCTTAGTCATGCCAAGATCCAGCACCTCACTTCATTAAATTAATCTATTAAATTACTATGTTAACTTACTGTATTAAATAGATAGAGAAACCAGGTATGCTAGTAGGGTGATTTATGGTCCTGGACCACCACTAATCCTAATATTAGTATCTGATAGGGTGTAGAGTATGCTAGCTTATTCTTATATAAAAGTTACCTGATACTAGGCTTAATTAAAACTAATATATTATATTCTTTAAAGATATTTATTTTATTTTTTAAATTATCTTTTTCTCTATTCTAAAAGCCTGTTATTATTAATAAAATATTATTAATAAATTTATTAATTTTTTAATTATATTTTAATCTAGTAGTAGCTATTCTTTTTTAATTATATAACTAGAAACTAGTAACTTTATTTTATTATTATATTTATAAGGTCCTTGGCCTTTGGGGTTGTTGTAAATAGTATAAAAAAGTATAATATACTTAATAATCAAGAGTATAAGGTTACAGTAGCCGGATTTCAAGAACAAAGAATAATTAATAGATTAATACTAAAGTTCTAAGTATATACTCTTTATAAAGTAAAGAGATATCTCTCTAGCTAAGTTAGCTTTAAACTAACTTAGCTTATAAATATTTAGTATTTTTTATAGAGATCTTATAATTATCTTTTTTTTTATAGTCTTAGTCTCTTAAGACCTAACATTAGTATCTGATGGGGTGCAGAGCACACTAGTGGGTCCTTATACAAAAGTTACCCGGGTTAGGGTTAGGGTTAGGGTTAGGGTTAGGGTTAGGGTTAGGGTTAGGGTTAGGGTTAGGGTTAGGGTTAGGGTTAGGGTTAGGGTTAGGGTT